GTGTAGATCCTGGTGGTGTACTTTCACTAGCAGGTGGTGGTGGTGGTGGTGCTGTCTCAGTAACAGGTGGTGGTGGTGGTGGTGGTTGTGTAGATTCAGTCAGCTTCGAGCTTGTAGATCCAGGAGGGGTACATTCTGGTGGAGTACATACTGGTGGAGTAGATCCTGAAGGGGTACTTTCACTAGCTGGTGGAGGAGGTGGCGGTGCTGTCTCAGTAGCTGGTGGAGGTGGGGGAGGTGATGTGGATTCAGTCAGCTTGGAGCTTGTAGATCCTGGAGGAGTACATTCCGGTGGAGTACATACTGGTGGAGTAGATCCTGGAGGGGCGCTTTCACTAGCTGGTGGAGGGGGTGGTGGTTGTGTAGATTCAGTCAGCTTCGAGCTTGTAGAGCCTGGAGGGGTAGAACCTGGTGGAGGAGCAGGCATTGTCTCACTAGCTGGTGGTGGAGGAGTAGATTCAGTCTCCATCGAGCTTATACAGTCTGCGGGAGTACTTTCGAGTGGAGGGCATTCTGGAGTACTTTCACTAGCTGGTGGAGGAGGTGGAGGTATTGTCTCAGTAGCTGGTGGAGGAGGTGGTGGTTGAGTAGATTCAGTCAGCTTAGAGCTTGTAGAGCCTGGTGGAGTGCAATGTGGTGGAGTACACCCTGGTGGTGTTGGTTTTGGCGGTGGTTTCTCGCCACACTTGGGTTTCCAACACATAAGTGGGTAATCGACCTGTTTCAAGTCACAACCGGTTATATACTTGGCAGCACAAGAATTCCAAGTATATTCAAATTGGAATGGAGTGGAACAAACAACATGGCCATAATTAGTAACTTCCATAACCCAACGAGCAGTAAAATGATATTCCTTACCTTCAATCTTATTAATACCTTTAGCTTTGTGGAAGAGAGTAATCAAACCGCCCTTATGACGTAAGCAAATGGATGTTAAATCTTCTACTGGGTATTTCTTTTCAATTTCAAATTCAATCAGAACTTCGTAGGAATTCCCAGAAATCCATTTGACTTCTTTGTATTGCAATTGGTGCAACGATGGATAATGTTTTAAAAACGCATGTTTTCCAAAAAACACAGGACATTTAGGAAGAGGCTTGCATTCGCCCTTTGGCTGAGGCAAGAATGTTGCTTCTGCAACCAGAAACAATAGTAAATAAACTATGAACAAATAATTCATCGATAATAGTTTGCAAATTTCTTAATAAACAAAGACAGAGCAAAGTACATAAACTTGAGGATATTCCTGGACTATTTATAATTCATAATTCAAACTCATGTATATGGGAATATATCTGTAAACACTACTCTCCATATTCGTCAACTCAAGCACTTCGTCTATTTGATTGTAGTGATATACTTATAATTGTTCTATTTGCATTGTTGGGAACTGGAAGACTATCAACATTAACTGAATTTGTGTAGCACTTTTCCATTCTAAGTATAACTGCTGCATGGCTAAAATATACAGTTGAAACATTCAGTTGTTTGACCAAAGGGTAATCATCCTTTTGTAGATGATCAAATCAGTTTACTAAACAACCGCATGTGTTCTTTTCTGTACCTATACCACGCCACATATCATACATGATTTATAACTGTAGCTATTAGTCAAATTCAATAACAGAATCAGTCTACCAATATTCTAAGAATATAATCCTTTTTCAACTTTTCTAACGGCATTCTGCTTCTTTTCACAAGATTCTGCTACCATTTTTTTCAGTAAATCACTGGTATGTAAGTCGGAGATCAAAATATTTACCTGATACTTTTTCCCCGGCGCTCACAACGCGCTTGTGACACAAAACTGATTTTCCAATAAGGGCATAGCCAAGAATAAGATAACTGATAGGGTTATAGGCTGGAAACAAACCAAAGGCATTTCTAGGACTCGGTTAATCCCAAACAAACTGGATGGATAGTTGTTTTTTTTTCCTTTTTGAGAACATTATGACGTGTATAGGAAAGTATTGCACTTTGTCAAAAGAGAAATAACGCCATGTGTCTTTCGCTAAAGAAGTCTAGAACAAGAAAACACAGCCTTACGGATATTCTTCTTTTCGAGATTTCGAATGGACTTTTCGTATCTAGTTCGAATTCAAAACAATTTGCTGCAAGTGTCGAAGGTAATTTTACGAAGTAGTGCTGTATTTGAACTTGGTAGCATCAGTTGGAACTTCAGAAATAGACTAACCAGGAGGTTGGCTGTGGACACTAATCCTGGCTAAGCCTTGAATCAATCTTTCCTGGAAGTTTCAAAAAATACTTTCCCACTCTAAATGACAATTCTGTACTTCCAACCCAAACTTTGAAGAAGATGTGCATCTGGAAAGAAAGATCACAAGGCGGCCGAAAGTTTCAACTTTAAATTTGACGGATTTTTTTCAACCAATGCAACAGTTTGTTCTATGCAGGTTTCTCATGAACAGAATACATTTACGAGTTTCACAATATGCACAGTACTCAAGTTTGGTTATATTGCATGATCCATCCATTGAATGGTCGCACTTCTAAAAATAACTATATTTTGCTATAGGGGTTCTTTTCTTGTGTTGAATTTCAAGTTTCATTGTCCGTTACAGTACCACATCCCATCAGTTCATTACGATTTGGATTGCTATGAAATAGATCTTCTTTGAAATACCTTTTTGATACCTCTTGAAAGCAACTTTAACTCTATTGTAACATGAACCTTCCCTTACAATGGGCCAGACAGTAGTCCAAAACTTTAATGTATTGTTTATAATATGTCATATCAGGCCATTGGAAGCATGTTTGTTACATCTGCAAATGGCAACAAGTTAGACTCTCGCATCTAGAACAATCAAAGGGAGAGCACGAATACTAAGTAATTTACTAAAGGAATGGTTTGATAATTCCTGGATTTATAACTTCTAAGTTCACATATATTGTAGTTCAAACTTTATTGGTTGCATCGCTCGGTATACTTTACATTTCTCATATTTGTTATAATAGATTCAGTACGAGAGTAGTATTTTTAAAAATGAAGAGAACAACACCATTATATTGAGAGGTTCTGGATTCAGTTGTATGATGAAATATACAATATTAAGTTGTAATAATTTGGTTAATTTGAGCATCTGACCAAATTTCTATTCTTGCTTCCAGTTTATCCCTAATATCCTTAATCTTGGAAGCTTCCCTTGTACAAAGAGACTAGGTCATAATGGTATAGACTCGTGGTCAACTCGGTGATTACATCTACTATATAAGTCATCCTTATTGTATCTTTTAATTATTTGGTGTTTCTACAAAAAAAAAGTATTTTGACAGTGGCAACTTATCTGATATTGCTTAATATTTTTCAGTTAGTGCGATTGGTCCTCATAAACAAATATACAGAGACTGTATTTTGCTACTGAATTCCTTATCATTTTCATGCTAGTGGCAACCACCGGTATTCTAACATATGTAATAGTCTAGTTACCATGACAGCAATCAATTGTATCGTATCTGTCAAACCCGGGGGCGGTCTCCCCCCCACAAATTAAAGTTGCTGTATTAAATCGTTCCATTTTATTTTTTTTTTGCCATTTTCTTTCTCTATCCCCTTACCCCATCTGGCCACTAACCAAGGATCAATTCTCCCTCTATGTTAACGAGAACACTCAATTGTGCTCCTGTGAGCTACAATTGTGTCAGACGAGCCCTTTGTACACCACTACTCCATCACCATTATTACTCAACTGATATATCTAAGCTCAAAGAACAAGCAGATACAACCAAATCAGACGAGGCATCCACAACGGGAGTAATAGATAAAACGTCAAGCGAGGTTTTATTATACTACGACAACATCTTTCCTTGGTCCAACAGAGGTCTATTGTCCCGTTACTTCAAATGGTTATTCCCTCTGAATGTCAATGAAGCTAATTTGCGAGATAAAGTGACATCACTTTCTTCGCCGTTGCCTGAGGATGTTGAAATCACCGATGTTGTCCCGTTAAGACGTGATGACGGTGCTTTTATAAAATACAAGATCCCACCGGGTCTTGCCCCTGCCAGCTTCATAACCACGGTTAAGAATAACGTGGAGGTCGAACATGGCAAAACAGTTCTGAAATTGTTAACTTGGTGGGCTCCTGGAATTCGTGTATTTGATGTCAAAGGTACTCCATGGATTGAAGATTTGAAACGATTTCCTAGTTCAAAACTTGCTGTAAAGTATCAAGGAGATGTACAATTGACTGAAGAAGAATTGTATGTTTTATTCAGAAGGTATGGTCTCATAAATGATATAGTTGTTTCTTCAACTGAACCAACAAAAATCTCATTTAGATCAATAAGATCAGCTATAAGTGCAAGAAATTGTATAAATGGATTGACATTCAAAGGAACAACAGTTCATTTAACCTATGTTCCGGTGCAACGAGTTAACTATTTGACAAATTTCATTGTGAATCATACCAAAATAGCCATGCCCATCTTGTTAGCGCTTTTAGCCACTGCAGCTGTACTCATTTTCGATCCAATCAGACAATGGTTTATTGAATACAAGATCAACCATAGCAATGAATCTTACAAGAAATCTAAATGGTTTAGAATGATTTACGTACCATACACTTCTATTCGTGATTGGATATCTATAAGCTATGATTACTACATTGATACTCCCGATGAAGAGAACCTTTCGGAAAAACAACAACCAACCAAGATTGAACCGGAAGACAATTTGTTCTGGTATGAACGAATGGAGAAATCAAAACAAGTTAGACTATGGATCAAGGAAAACACCAATACTTTCATCATAGTCAAGGGCCCACCAGGGTCAGGAAAAGAGGAATTCATTCTTGAACACACGTTACACAATGATGATAAATTGAACAAACGAGTCTTGATTATTGAATGTGACCAATTGGCAAAAGCCCGTTCTGATAATGCACTATTCAAAAATTCTGCCTCGCAATTGGGTTATTTCCCTGTGTTTACATGGACAAACAACTTGTCAAGATTTATTGATTTGGGAATCCAGGGCTTAACTGGACAAAAGTCAGGATTAAGTGAGAGTAAAGAAACCCGGGTCAAGGGAATGTTCCTGTTGAGTATTCAAGCTATTCGTCATATAACTGATAAAGAGTATTCGAATTATGTCAAGAGTGTTGAACGTGCCAATCGAGGAAAACCTGAGAATGCCAAGGTTGAGATTCTCAATCAAGAAGATTTCTTGCAACAACATCCTGAATGTAAGCCAATTGTCGTGGTGACTAAATTTGCTCGTAAGGCAGATACTGCTGGTAATGATTTCATATTTCCCATGATTGCCGAATGGCTGTCTAACCTTGTTCAAAACAATATTGCCCATGTAATATTCCTGACGGCTGATGTAGGAAGTTTGCAACATTTAAACGATGCCTTACCTAATCAAGTGTTCAAAGACATTTCCCTTTCTGATGCATCCATGACAAGTTCTAAACAATATGTATGCGAGCAATTAAAATTGGCAGAGGGTAAAACCGCCAATATCGAAAACTGTATTGAGCCAATTGGTGGAAGAATGTTGGATTTACAAGCATTTGTAAGACGTGTAAAATCGGGGGAAACTCCAAATATTGCCATTACTGAAATGATTAATCAAGCTTCTGAATTAATCACCAGTTTCTTTTTAGAGAACCATAAGATTGAACAAGGTGACCACAATTGGACAACTGCTCAGGTTTGGGTATTAATGAAAATGTTGTCTAAATCAGATAAGGTCAAGTATAATGATTTGATTAAACTGCCATTGTTTGGATCATCTCCAGATACTGTCAACACTTTATCGACTTTAGAAAAATATGATTTGGTGGCATTGAAACGTGATAAGGGTGTATTGAATGAAATAACTACAGGTCGTCCTTTGTTTAAAGCAGCATTCCGGAATATCATTAAAGATGTATACATTTGGAAACTATATGAAACAAATTATCTTTCCAGTTTGGTTAAAATTGAAGTGGACAATATTCAAAAATTAGAAAATGAACTAGTACAAATATCGAAATTGGAAGGGAAATTAAATGGTAGAATTGATTATCTAGTCAAGAAGATTGATGCATCAACCACAAAGATTATCAATTATGAGAAGCAAATTAGTGAGGTTGGACAATTCACTGGTGATAAACATCAAAAGTCGTCTTCTTTTTTAGGTATTTTTTAATCTGTTAATAAATGATTATTTATGATTTCATGCGTCATTCTTCTTCTAATTATCTTCATATCTCTTTGACCAAACCTCAAACCTTCGCGTGACGCAATGAACTTTGCAGCCGTGCATGTGAACACCCCACAATCATATCCATTCTTTTGTTGAGGAGTTTGCTTGTGATGTGGATGCAATGTATACTCTACTGGGGCGTGGCCTACCCGATTTGCTTCCATGTTCATATAGTGATTCAAGTTCGTGACTGCAGCCGTGTTTCCGATAGATTGACTGTCCAATGAATCATAGTATGTAATTGTCGCCTTTACATTATCAATCACGGTCAATGCCCAATGTGTTGAGGATATATTGACCGGAACCAAAATCATATCTTTTTCAAACGGGTTCAACTTCTTTCGTTTCCCCCATCTTTCAACACCCTTGTACCCCTTTGTTTCGAGATTTGAATAGAAATGGGTCGTCCATGCAAAAACCTTGGGGTAATCTTTCATGATTAAATTAAGATAATAATCAATGATATTGTCATTCAACCAACGACCATCCTGCAAGGTCTGTAGATCCTTGGTTGTTATCTCAATTTGGAAATTCGACACAAATAACTGATGGGGATTAGTTGATTTCCAGGCATTGTAAACATGTGTCAATTGATCAGAAGTCAACGGTTTCACAGCTGAAAGAAAGTCAAGTCGTTTCGCCGTGATCACATCCTGGAGCTTATCTTGGGCTGATTGGTAAATGCTGGATATTCTGTCAATATAGAAATTGGAAATGAAGTTGTCAACAATGGAATAAGACGTCATAGAAATAGGTTTTGAAGGTACGTAATAGTTCAAAATTGATTTCCTGTATGCGTCATGGGGGTTGAGTGTAAGTGATGAGATTTGTGATGAACTGCGTGGCATGGTTATGTCTAAGATAGTGGAATCATAATTAGGTGGAAAAGTGGGTGCTGGTTTGAATGGTGATGTCCTCCTTGGTCTAGGGATAGCTATAGACAAGTCTGTTCCATATTGTGGTTCATCGGTGTTGCTCTGTTGATTTATCTGTTGATGTTGGCGTAATCTATTAAACGCCAATTCCTGTAACACATCATGAGGACTGTTGCTTAACTTTGCAGTAGATATCTCATCCTCTTCATAATCTAATAATATGCTATTCTGCTGTCGTGGTGGCAGTTGAGCTGAATTGTGGTCGATATTTGTGTTAACGGCAACAATTTCAATACTGGAGTTCTCCAGTGGAGTCGAACGTGAAATTGGCAGAACGTCTTTAACAAAGTCCACTTCTTGTTCCTGTGGTGGGCTATGAAGGAATGAAGATACGTGAATGTATATATAATGCAAATAATTAAATATGAATTGAAATATGTTATGTGGAACAATCAGTTGCAGATTGGTGACAAGATTGGTTGGTGGCTCAAGCTTAACAGGATTAACAGGATTCTTGGTAACTAAACTGTTATTATGATATCGACCATACAGTCGTCTACTATAAGCTAATGGATTCTCTATATCTGAATCATAAGACATTATTGTAGAGTATACCGAATGAGCACTAATCTGATTCATTTAATGGATTTTCTATTGCTGGTTGGTTTCATTTTTATGCACTGAAAAGTGCGAAAGTTGCAAGAAATTTTGACAGTGCTAAAAGCTGACAACAGTAAGATCTGGGATAGTGAGCGAGGGTGTACTTTATATTACAGCTAAGTTGATGCAAACCTCAATTGTATTTATTATTTGAAAACTCTAACTGGATCTATATAGCTTTAAGTGTCAATTAATGAAGCAACCATAGATATTTGATAAAAACACTCAACAAATCATTTTTTTACCCACAATAGCTTGCAAAGCGACTCGTGAATTTGATAAAAATTCAGCTTCTAGGGGTATATTCCTCAACTTCACCAATCACCATTAACCATTGATTGTAGGATGTTTTCGTTGAATGTTTTTTTTTCTCATAGAACACCTGCTAAATCTGACTAATTCAACCATCCTTCCAGATGTAATTAACTTGAGCTAGCCTAAATGAATGGGGTTTTTTTGTTGAAAAGATAAATATTGTCAGTAAACCTAGACCGGATGACACATATCACTAAGTTAATCTTATTCTGATAAGGCTTGTTGAGTGGGCGTTGGCCAGAGGTGCTTCTTCTTCTTCAATCAATTGGTTTAAAGAGGAAGATTTTTAACTTTAGCTTGGGGGGGCTTTATAATGCATTTGTCAGTTTATAGATCTTGTAAATGCATTACAAAACCACAAAGGATACGCACAAGATGATAATGATAATGTTTTCAGGGAACTAGATACTACCGCCCATATAGGCCACAACAAAAATGAGTAAGAGAAACATTTGTTGTTGAATTTGATGGAGTTAGAATAATTGGATCTCTAAAGCCACTCTCGACATAAAGGTGGTGATAAAAATGTGTATAAACTTCTCATAAGGAAAACTGAACCACAAGAAATTCCAAGAAATATGAACCATCTTAAAATGGAGAGAGCTAGTCGTGCAAGATCGAGATCTGACAAAGAAAGCGAACATCATCAAACTATTGAATCCAGTCACAAAATGTAATTCTCTTCAACAAGCTTCTGATTCCTGTGATATTTTCTTGACTCGCATTCTATTTCTTACCACGTTAGCTCTATTTCCTTCTTGAAGGTAAATTCACAAGGAATTCCTTAGGGTCAAGTACTCCTTGTTAGTGAGATTATTCAATTGCTAGTTATGTGAGTATAAAATTGGCTCAAAGTATTGCCTATTTTATCTCACCTTTGAATCTTTGAACTACATGAGAAGATACTATAAAGAAAGGTGGGAATAAATTGTTTGTAAACAAATTAGGTTAGATTTATACTCGTGCGGATCCTTGTTCCCGTGTTTTTTGATTTGTATTTTTTTGGGGGCAGCGTAACTATTCACCTTAGCGCACGAAAGCAGGACGAGTGCGTAACGGGATGTGCTATATATAGCTTGTTACTATCTGAATCATTAGTTTGCTATAAACAGTAATAGAGTCGAATAGCCGTAGTAATATATAAAGAGAAATTTGGTGAATGTTTAAGATTTGTGATTGTTGAAACCTTTTTACTTGGAATTGTTCGAATTTTGCTAAAAATTTACAGACAATCGTGGAACATAATTCCCTAACCAGATCTAGAGAGAAGGGGGGGGGATTGTATCAAACTCATAATAAACAGACATTATATTTAACCCTGTATAGCTACGGTAGATAATCCTTAATGGAACATTCCAGGTGCAATACCCAATCAATAGCAGAGTTGAACATTCAAATCAAACTGTGCTCAAAACCTATAAAGGCAACAGTCGTTTAATTTACGAACAAACTTTAACCCAAACTTGTGTACACACACTAAACCTCGTGTGACTTCAACCTTCTTTCATTTTCTACTTATATTTCTATTGGCTTAGAAAACAGCAAGAACTTGTTTGAGTCAAGGTACAAAGCGAGACTATACTTCGGCGTTAAATTGGGCAACGTGTCGTGTGAGCCTTGTATGCCTTGAGCATTGTATTGGGGGAGACAATAGTTTGGGCCAATAGAATTGCCATAGTGGATCACAAAACCTCGATTAAGTGAGTGAAAAAATATTTTTGAAAATTAGATGTATTAATTGCGGTTTACGAAGAAGGTTAAGTATGAATAGCCTTGAAAGAGAAAACCTTGGCATGTCATGGGGTTAGATAATATGATATACTTTTGACATAATGTACAGAAGTAACTCGTCACAAGATGTTTTAGTTTATAGCCAGTAGTTCGTATTAGAAGACACTAGGCTAGTTTACGCATCTAGTCCCCACTAAAAAAAAGGAAGATCGCCTCCAAAATTCTTTAGCCCACGTGGTGCCTGAATTATTTAATTGAATAATAATTTTATAGCTGGTGCAAAGACAAAAAAATAATATTTTTTTGGAAAGTGTCGTAATAGTTTTTGAAGGACTGAAATTTTCGCGACATGACATGTTGTCATTTTTTTAAGGGATGATGATGGAGATGATGGTGACAATGAGATGGGGAGGATGAGTATGGCTGTTAGAATTGTCAGAGCAATTATGTGTAGACAATTAGGCTCAATTGGGAATTTGCTAACAATTATATGTAGTTATTTTGTTCAATTGTAAACATTCTAGTCCATAACCTGCAACCCAATGTCCAATCTCACAAAAGACAAGAAATCCACGGAGTAAAATGCCGATACGACATCGTGTGGTAATGCCTGCTTCTATTCGCCCAAGTGCCCCCCCAAAATGTCCCGTTCTTTCCTAGAAACGGCAGAACTTTTTATTTCAAGACACAAAAACTCAGGGACAAAGAGGCACGTTTTCTAATACGAAAAATAAAAATTAATTATTTTAATTTGAGGTGCGGTTTTAGGCGCGATGGGTTAGATTTCTTTTTGGAAAACATGCGACATGAGTCCAGGACCTGATATTGGAGATGTGCATGACGGTACGATAATGACTGAGATGCGTGCCTTGTGAGCTGGGTGTATCTGATCGGGTTGGATCTGGTTGATCTGTGTTAGATTTAGGGTTACATTTTTGCGACATAAAAGTTAGACTACAATGGAAGAATTGATATGTACCGAAACCACAAAGGGAAATAATTATGCATGATAATAATAAATTATTTTTTTTTGGTCATAATTACAGTAGTAAAAATGTCGCTGATTTTCCATTTATAGACATTACAAGAGTCAAGCGTGCAGACAAGGCAGTAGGCATTTTCCCGATGGAGCTTGTTGTTGTCGTTGCGGATGAGGCCATCGTAAGTAAATATATAAAAGTTGAGCCATCCCCCTTTCACTGCTCAAGTCACATCCAGTTTTTTTCTTGTCTTATCTTTGGTTTCTTCTGATTAGTCTCTGGTTCGCAGACATAACAACAGACACAACTGCAGACACAACAACAACAGACACACATCTGTTGAGACATTTGAAGAGAGCGAATAATTTCAAATTATTTTTAACTTTAGCTTACATTGCATTCTTTAAGCCAGTTGTTTGTTCCAGACACGTTTATCGGTTAAGTCGTGACAAGCAAAAAAAAAAAAGAATTGAATTTAAATTAAGAAAAAAAAAAAGGGAAAGCCAAATCTACCAAGTTTTTTCTTTTAACTGAAACAGAGAAGAGTCAACGTTGCATTCATATAAGTACAGCCACATCTCATCTCAATCCAGTTAAGCTTTTTCTAGTAATTTTTATTCATATCCTCTTCAATCAATCAAAGCACATAGATTATGTCAGTATCACCAACCACAAAGGAACCAATCAACAATAGCAACACCAGTACGAGTTCAAAGGAAGAGCACACTAAAATGTTATTTGGTACTAAATTAGAACGAGAAATTTACCAACCATGGAGAGAACACTACATTAAATACAACCAATTGAAAAAGCTCCTCAAGGAAGGAGTCATCCTCAAGAACAATTGGACCGACAAGGACGAACAAACTTTTGTCAGTGCTTTGGATGAAAACTTGGAACTGGTGTTTGGATTCCAACATGAAAAGTTCGACGAATTGAATGACGAATTGAACCATTTGCAAAGCTTGACCGAATCTCCAAAGGACGATTTCGATGTCGACTCTTTCCTGAAGAAATTGGACTCTATTTTAGAACAAGCACAATTGTTGGAGCATTTCCAAAGATTGAACTATACCGGGTTCATCAAGATCGTTAAGAAGCACGACAGATTACATCCAAACTACTCCGTCAAGGCTTTGCTTAATGTTAGATTAAAGAAGTTGCCATTCCACTCTGAAGATTATTCTCCATTGTTGTACAAGGTTGGTACCTTATTCCAATTCTTGAGAGACAACTACGAAGTTGATCAAAGTTTGAGTAAATTGAGTTCCTTCAATGACGGTGCTTTAAGCGGCGAGTTCCAATCTTTTAAGTTTTGGATCCACAGAGACAACCTTATGGAGGTTAAAACTACCATTTTAAGACATTTGCCAGTGTTGATTTACAAGTCTGGGTTAGGTGATAACAATGACGATGACGACGACGACGATGAAGACGAAGAAGCTGAACAAGGTGACAATGACCAAACCATCAATTGTCTTTACTTTGACAATGAGCATTTTGATTTGTACAATCACAAGCTTACCAAGCTCAACAATTCGTCTACTCTTCGTATCAAGTGGATTGGTAAATTATCTGACAAGCCAAAGATTTCCTTGGAACGTAAAGAGTTTGATGTCAATTCCAACTTCCACATGGATGAAAAGATTGAATTGAGACAAAAATATATCAATGACTTTATTATTAACAAGAACATTCCAAAGAAGTTGGTCAAGCTAAATGGCGAAGAACCAGTCAAGACCTTGCTTGAATTCATTAAGGAACACTCATTACAACCAGTCTTGAGAACTACCTATAACAGAACTGCATTCCAAATTCCAGGTGATGACAAGATTAGAATTATCATTGATTCTAACTTGACCTTTATCAGAGAAGACTCATTTGACCCTCAGTTACCTATCAGAGATCCACAACAGTGGCACAGATTAGACTTGGATAATGCCAAGAACCCTCAGCAATTCTTGCGTAAGGGTGAATTCAACAAATTCCCATTCTCTACCATGGAAATTAAGATCAAGAAGAGTTCTGTCAAGAACTTCAAGAAGTTACAATGGATCAATGAATTGATCAACTCTTCTTACTTGGTCAAGGAAATTCCAAACTTTTCCAAGTTCATCCATGGTGTTGCTTCATTATTCTTGGAAGATGACAAGTTGGACAACATTCCAATGTGGTTCAATGAATTAGAAGCTGATTTGATTAATGATGATGTTCCAAGAATTCCAACCAGTGCTTCCTCAAGCAACCAAATTGCTAGCATTTCCGATGAAGACAATTTATCCAAGTTCAAGTCGATGATTCTCAAAAACAACACTTCAAACTTCCAACCTCGCTCAGCTTCATTCTCTGGATCCATGTTGTACTCAACTAAGGAAGATGATGAGCTGATTGAAACTCCTCCACCACCAGCCCAAATCACCACTATCATTGAAGAAAGCAGCGCCAAGCCAGTTACACCATCATACGGTCTTGCTGGTGCTACTACTGACGACCAATCTTCTGATTTTGAAGATGAAGACGAGTCAGACCTTCCTAAGCCAAGTCCACTCACCAGATTGTTGCACATTCCTTCCAAGTTGTTGAATGTTGATTCTGAGGATGAAGAAATTGACTTGCCTGTCGGTGTCTCCAAACCAAACGAATGGATCAAGAACATGGGTCCGATCAAGATTGAACCAAAGGTTTGGTTAGCCAATGAAAGAACTTTCAACAGATGGTTACACGTCACCACCTTGTTATCTTCATTGACTTTCATTATCTACTCCTCCACCATGGCTTCTAACTTTGAAGGGTTGTCCACCTTCTTGGCCTACTTCTACTTTGGACTTACTTTGTTCAGTGGTGTTTGGGGATACTATATCTTCATGAAGAGAAGACAAATCATCATGGAGAGATCCGATAAGCATTTAGACAATTCAATTGGTCCATTAATCATTGCTGTTGGGTTGATTGTGGCCTTGATTATCAACTTTATATTTGGATGGAAGAATTTGAATTTGGAAGATCCGGAACACCAAGTGTTTTACATGGAAAACCCAATGCATAAGAAGATTCACGATTTTGTTGTTAGTTTAGTTAAATAAGTTTGCGTGCTGCGTGATGCGTGCTCGTCTGTTTGTATATTAAATGTCATATATTACTAGTCTATGCCAGAGATAGCTGTAGTGGTTAGTATTTAGCATTCCCACTGGTGGAGGCTATACGTCTGGTCACGTGGACTGGTGTCCTGCATACAGCACCAGCCAATTTCTGTCTGAAATCACCACCGTGTTGGCAAAGAAAAAAAAACAGCCTCAGGTTGAACCAACCCACCACCTAGACGGCCTTATTGGGTAACCATGTCATTGAATATTTCGTTATATACAATCTCTGCTGTTCTAATATTAGACAATGAGGGAAACAGAGTCTTTTCCAAGTACTACCATTCATCATTAGAGGAAACTAGTGATTCCCAATTTGAAACCAGTTCTCAACAAATTAAATTTGAAAAGTCGTTGTTTGGCAAAATCAACAAGATAAATCAAGATATTTTACTCTACGACAACCATTTAATCGTTTATAAGCAAACCAACGATGTCATAGTTGTGCTTGTTGCCAAGATTAACGAGAATGAAAGTTTGATTTACTCCACGTTGGCCAACTTGTTTGAAGCTATAAGTATATTATTGGACAACACCATCGACAAACAAACCATTTTGGATAAATTCGACATGGTTAGTTTGGCCATCGATGAAACCATAGACGACGGTATCATAATTGAATACGATCCAGCTACAATTGTGTCCAGAGTGACTAATCCGCCATCTAGTCATTACGATGTCAATTTGAAGAATATCGATATCAGCGAAAAGGGGATCTTCAACGCGTTATCCTTTGCTTCTAAGAAGATTGGTGAAAGATTACAGCAGGGTTTGTAATAGCTATAGTGTACATTTTCCTCTTTTTTATCCGTTAATATACACACACATACAAAGTTTTCTTTCTCACTGTATAAAACCACCGAAAAATAAACGTCAAAAATTTCTTACAACCAAACCAACATAAACAGACAAAGTTTGCCGTGGCAGTATCAGCAACAGTAGTAGCCATGTCCGACTCATTCCATTTCAGTCTACTTCGTATATCAATAGCACAAATACTCAAAGCCAATGGGTTTGACAAGTGCAAACCATCAACATTGAACATCCTCACTGACATCTATATCCAGTACCTCACCAAACTAATTCAAACCTCAATAAAATGCAGCCAGTTACGAACACGATCAAACACACCGGAATTGCAGGATGTAACACAGTCGTTGATACTAGCTGGCGCTATTAAGCCCAAGAACATTCTCCAATTGAATGATGATAGATTTGAAGAGTCTCCGTATAACACACAATCCGTGGATTCATTCAAAAATTGGACATTGTACAGCGAAAACAATTCCACCGCACGGAAACTTAACGAGTTACCTCCCAACCTTATAAAGAACTTGATAGAGAAAAGAAAGCTTGATATAAACGACGGCGAAACCGATCAACAACGACGCAAACGAAAATACAAAGAACGCCAGGATTATTACAATCAACTTAAGTTAGACCGACATGAACCGGAAGAAGACGAAGATTTAATTACCAGTAAAGATCAATTGAAATGGTTTAATTATTTGATTGAAAAAGATTTGAAATTGGGCCATGATTTGAAGTTCTTGACTACTCAAGCCAACGTAGTGCAGGAGTTTATGAAGTATCAAAATAATACAAAGTTTCATCCAGGGAATACCAATAGAATCACTCAACATTTGCTAAATTTGAACAAGCATGATTACTTAGTAGGTGAAGTGGATCATACTGAGGAGGATGAAGACGAACAAGTGGTACCTTCACAAGATTTAATGAACTTGCTTCCGTATAACCTAAAGTATAACGATCATTTGCTAGAAGAAGATTTAAGCAAATTCTTTGAAGTTGAACAAGACCAAAATCAAGACCAAGAACAAGAACAAGAAGTACCACTTGACAACTTAATCCATGAAGATCATGAATTTGTACAAAACCACGATGAAGACATGATCATAAATGAAGAGGGTATTGGCGGTGACAATAATTTAATGTTTATGTAGGATAGCAATAGTAATGGCTTTTGAATACTGTAATATACGTATTGTTGACATTTGCCCCAAGTTTAAAACATGTGCATTGTCAGAATTTGGAACCGGGAAGAATATACGGGAATGTTAGATGATTACCACTCATATAACATTCCTTGCATCCTCATCTAAGCTTTAACACCATTTCAATGTGCTTATTGGAAACCAGAATGTGCCACGCAGCTGTTTCGATGATTCATTGGGCGTTTTGTCGTATTACAAACGACACTTGCATGTTTACCCAAAATTTACAACACATAACTTGTAAACCAGGACCGAAATAACAAGAAGTTGGGCCTACAAAGTGATGATTATTGGACAGTACCAGACGACAACCCATAATATTATCATTGTCAACATACTTGTTCAATTTCACAGTATTCCAAGTCCCCGCGGACATAGCTATTAGGTACAGGTGAAAAGTACTTATTATAAATTTGAATGTTAGATAGATTAATTCAGCGTTTAGTAAAGAAAAGAATATTTACAAAAGTCGAAGAAAATTCTAAGGAATTTATACCCGTAAATATTCGTCATAACTCCTGCGCATAAACTCAATCCACGATCATCATTGCAGCCATTTTACCAATGGAAAATCCTGAAAACTTAACTTCTTATTCTACAAGTTCTTTACAAATCATCTAACTATCAGGCTTTGAATACACCCTGTTGAATAAATTGTCAAACGATCAAAGTCCATGGAATCCGAAAAGGGGACTAAAGGGAGTTCAAAGGGGGAAATTGAATTTTACAAAATGCAAGTTAACAAAATATCTACTAAATGGTTAGAAAATCTGCCCCCGTGTTATTAATGATACAGAAATCATTTCTAACGATCCTGTATATTTTAGAACTTGATTGGTATATATCTCAATAATATCCATTTCTATTTCGTATACAACGGGAATGGAGTCTCTTCAAGATAAGATGCTCGACTGGTGAGACATCAATTGAATTGTTAGAAGTTAGTAATAAACTGTTTTCTATTTTTTGTTGCTTTTATTTAAAATTTTTTAAAAACAAAAAGGAAAATGGCTTTGCAATCTGCTTCCAAGAATTTATCCCAGCCTTATAGTTGAAGAATGTCATTGTTTATGGAGTAAGTCTTGGTATTACAAAATGAGTTTTGGCAGGTCAATGCCAAATTCATTTATTTTTATTAAAGCAAGAAATGAACTTGGTATCAACTGATGGAAGAGAGGCGGGGGATATTATGCCGAGAAACATAATCTAGCAGAATTTTCTCTGATGTTGCAATTTGTAATCGATTTTACAAGCGAACATCGGTGATATAATTTCAAGTTCTTCGTGGACATAATTACCTCAATCATTGGCTTATTCGTATTGTTGTACGGACGACGGATTTAGCTTGTTTCTTATAAGTTCCGGCCGATAAAGCACGCAATTTTCACACACACCGGCGAAGTCTCTCGTATTACTTAATCTCCCAAAATTACGCGTCAACTGCCAAGCTCGTATAGAACCCTTGGACTAGAAACGAGAGTAGTAGTCGCATCAATCGAGATACCCGAAAGGCCAATTTCTCCAGGGAACCAACTGATGATGCATCCCTATGCGGGTTATTCGCGTACTCCGAACAATCCCGCAGGCACTATTGATCTGACGCATCTGCTGACATCCGCCCGGGCCAGCCGTAAAACAATGTAATACTTGAGAATGGATCGATCAAAAAAAAAAATGCCCCCCTGGCCGTTTAACCAGGGGAGAGTGTAAGGAGTGCAAGGAGTAGGTAAACCCTATTCGGGATAAAAATAGACGAGTAGAAAACTTTTAAGGTTTTGGGTTTTGTTATCATAATTCCGATTGGTATACGACAACAAGAATATGCTCGGATTCTTATCACGGTTGCAACATCTTGGAAGGAAGGTAGCAACCTTCTTATCTAAGTCAAGCTAAAAATCTAAGCCAAGTTCCATCGATTGTTCTCGAGCAACACAAACATTCCGAGGTATTACTTCTGTGGATTGTTTGGATATAATTACCTCAATTTGAACCTGATTATTCTCAAAGGAGGAAAAGGTGTTCTGCCGAGCAAGCCTGCGCGTCTTTGCATGAGATATTTTTTTTTCTTCTTCTTCGAAGGATTTTCTTTGCTCTCGAACATTTTCCTATTTGGGGCAAATTATTGAAAATTAAATGTAGTTTTAGACATGAAAATACCACATTGGCTAGTTAGTAAAACTCGGTTTCAACAATCATCAGATCTAATTCCAGGTATTGTTTCGTTTACATCATACGACGTCGATATAATCCCGTGGAAGTAACGTGAGCTTACCTCGTGTCTTCAGTTTAATTTTCACTTATATACCTAAAACATTGTAAAACATAGTAAAACATATATAAAACTTGACATTGCCGCAACAAAGCAAGACTCATTACAAGGGCTCTTTTAGTACCACACATTAGATCACAATACAAATGTGTAAACTTATTTGCTGTTTAACAATAGCGTTCCTGTTCCCCCCCCTCTAAATTTGCTTTCTGGCTACCCCTAAAATGCAAGTAATTTAATTTAAATTAACTCTCTCGCTATCCCCCATTTTTTTAAAAAAATAAATCCGACACGCGCGAAACCAGAAAAAAAAAATCTGAAAACCCCCCTTATCCCCCCAACAAAAAAAAGTCTAAACCAGAACAGTCACCTAAAATAAATGCACACACGTCCGCCCCAATTTTTAGTTAATTTTCAACGTTTATAACCATTTCATCATTACCTTGACTTACTACTGTTACTCCTCTGTCGTTTCATTTTGCTATACTCAAACAACTCGCTACAACTACTTGTTTCAATTACACGCCTGCCAAGATATTTCAACTGAAACACATTTGTCACTCCCTCCTCAAAAATTGTCACCACAACTGGTTTGTCTTTTATATAATTCAAGTTGAATCGTCAGTTCGATATCTTTCTACACCAACTAGTTGTTTCAACAAAGTTCAAAAGACGCGTCCTCCAATATATGATAGTTTTCCAAAACTAAGAAACTTCATCCACCAACTCCTCCTCCTGTATTATTAAAAAGTTTGCCTTTTCATTCCCAACGAAAAATTTCACCGATACCCTATAGAATATTTAATAGACATTCGCCATGATCAACAATTTGAACTTATCGCTTAAAATCAATAACAAAGCTCCAGATATGGATTCTCGCCCGTTTACGCCCATTGACGCAACGGTAAGGACACCTTTGGAACCACCACCACACAATTTGCCACACCACGGGTCGCAGTTATCCCTGCAACCCATGCAAGCATCAAACAGTTCGTCGCCGTTTTACTTTACCAATAATCCTTGGGTCGAACAACAACAGCAGCAACACCAGCAAATTTACCAAAATCCCGAGTATACTGAGTCGGATGACATTTTGACCGATATTGACGAGCCTAATGACTTTGGTCGTCGCAACTACACCATATATTTCACGCAACATTTTGACCAGTTGTTGATGTCGATATACTCGAATATCTTGTTGTTGCCTACAACCACTCCATTCCTGGGTCATATACCACCAAGTGGATTAGCTGGGAGAGTTGCCAATGAAATAATGTCAAACTTGATCAAGACCTTGAATGGAAACGGACAACCACCAATGTATGACCAACAGAGTATAATTAATCGCGAATACCTCAAGAATCACGAATACCAACCAATCATTTTACAATTGATAAGAAAGAGATTGATGGATCTTTGTCATTACAATCACAACTCCGCCCAGTTTAAGTTGCCCGAGGCCACCACGACTCAAGTTGCCGCCAACACGTTGAGACATTCGCTGATTTCAAATCTTTCCCTCAATGAAATGAATATCCTGACTTATTCAAATGGAAATGGAAGCAATTCAAGTTCGGCCAATCCAGTTCAACCTCCAAGATCAAGATCTTCTTCGTTAAATTTGAGAAAACAGTCATTAACTAGAAATAATAGTAATAACTGGTTACATGTGGGTAATATGAACAATTTGCGTCCTCCACAGGCACCACAACAAGGTGGCTACTCCAACTTCAACATAAGTACCGATTCATTACAGTCTATACAGGATTCAGTACCACAATCGATAATAACGAGAACCACACCCGTAGTCAATGCAAATAATCCGACCTTGCTCAACCAATTCCAACAGCCAAATCCGCAATACGCCATGATGATGGAATACAACCCTAATAGTAACCAAAACAGCAATACCCCACCCCCATCCCATAAGTCATCTTTGTATACCCCACCACCATCAGCCACCAACTCCTCGGCCAATTTCAACTTGCCTCCAGTTAGTGATCACGAAGAGTTTGATTATTTCCCCAGGGCAAGATCAGGATCACGGACCAATGTCCAATTCCCACAACACACCTTGAACATCGACACCAATCTCGCCAATTTACAGTTGCAACCGCCATCCATGCCCGTCAATGGCAACACGTTCAACTCATACCGTCATAACTCCAATGGAGCAATAACTTTGGATTCGCCGTTTATGTCAGCCACGACACCAGGTGATGATTACTATGGGGGGTTTCCACAGCCACAAGCACAAGCACTTGGAACGAGTCCTTCGCGTGGTGACAGTCCTGATCTGATGAAGCTTGGTGAGTCCGCTAGGTTTAATTTGCCGGCTCTGGTTAGTCTCAATGAAAAGAAGCGCGATTCTCTTAAGTTGAAACGAGGAATCCATTGATGTGGGAGGGTATTTTTATATAACATTTTGTATGTCTTTATGTTTTTACGTTTGTTAATAGATATTTTTAAGTTTTTACCGAGTGGTTGATTGTAAAATTAGTAGTCAATAAATGGTGAATGGAGCGGTTTGTCGAGAGAGTACCAGCTCTTTACTACGAACACTATTCACTAGATTACTTATCCGAGCTAGCTAATTCGTGTTATTACAAAGGAATAAACCAAACTACCAAACTAAAAAACCCCCATTTTTCGCAATGACAAAATAGTCAAAAAAACACCAGTCCGCCCATACACAACAAGCCAATTACTAATGATGAAACAACTTTCAAAACAATTTCAACGGAAATTACACATATCCCCAGTAGTATCACTACCTGAAACAACTAAAATACATATCCCCACACAAGAAGAGGAAGATGCCGAGATCCATTCCATACTTGTAAAGCTTGTAAAACCAAAAGACGATACTCCCCCTTTGACAGACCCCAGTTTAATAGCACTATATAACAATTGGCGATTGCCTGTCACGTCACAATTGCCATTACAATCACCAAACAAGGAACTCACTCCGTTTGAATTCTATTCTAAACATAACAGCAGCAAGTCATATGTGAACAATCCCCGTTTAGGAGTCACGCGTATGCTAAACAGCAGCTGGTGTGAATTGAGACAATACTATCAAATCTATGCCGGATCACCAACGGTTGAACCGACAGAGGCGATGCAAATGGGATCGGAGGTTCATTTAAATTTGGAACGAGAGATTCATCCTGAAGTTGATGTCACCACAGTGGAAATGTTACTCAAGGAGAATTTTAAAAAGATTAGGGACAGAGGAATCCTTACTAATGAACAGCTGAAAATGTTGAACCACTTGATTTTTACGTCTGAAGGCAGAAAGCAAGTCACGGACTGGGCCGATGCAATCATTGGCAGGTTGTTTACTTTGCTCACTACAGGAGAGGCCAGGGAGATTATGGTGCACGGATATATAAACTTTGACCAACGGGTATTTGTTCACGATATTGAAGAGTTGCCTAGAGGGCAAGAGAACAAGAAGGTTTTAATCAGTGGGATAGTTGATCATTTCATATTGGAGAACAAAGATTTGGGCAAATATACCTATTTTAAAGAACACGAGTCATTGTTTGATGATTTTGACGAGTATCTTCTGTTTGAAATGCCCGAATTCAAAAACGAAGAACACAAAGTTGACTTGAACAAGTTCTTTGAGTCTGCCCGGGAAATCGTGCACAAGCACAAGGATAAATACAACTTGATTTTGACCGATGTCAAAACCAGGAAATCAGATTTTGCACCCAAACAACAATCAGTGCTTGCCTCAGCAAAACTTCAAACTTTCTACTATAGACACATGTTTGAATTGTTATCCGGAAATCCTGAATTCGGTTATTACAGTCTTTTAGCAAATGCCCAAAAGAAAGGATTCAACATTGATGAACCATTGAGCATAATCGCAGTATTCACTATCCTCCGATCAAACTATAAATTATTCTTTACTGATTTCATGAAACTAGCCAACGGTGAGCCCATCGGATTTGCTCCATATGACAGCGACGTTAACTCGGAACCATATGAATTCGGTAAAGTGTTTCAAATGAGTGATGAATTCTCGTGGGATACCCCCAAGCACGACAAGTTTCTCCAACGGATGGGTGAACTTGACACTGATGTAGATTATCAAGAAATTCTCGTGCCGTTGCTACGTACCTGGAAAACGGCACCTACCTTGCGATACCTCGCAGCCCGAGCCAGCCAATTCTACAACTTATTCCATGGAATTGCCATCCCCAAGACCAAGATCGAGTATACTAGCACGCAAACCGGGAAAGTGTTTGAAACGAGAACATACTCGTACAATTATGACGAGTTAGAAAGTAGTATTGAGGAGGGATGTTCATTTTGGGATGGGAGCAGGGATCCCGAGCCCACGATTGATTTGTCACGATGCACTTATTGTCAATTTAAAAGTAAATGTGTGGTTCCTAATGGTGGAGGTGGAGATAAAACCAGATCAAGAACTGATATCGTACGGCAATTTTTACATGATTATGAGGAACCGCCCGAAGATCTTGATTTGGAAACGGCGATACTTGCGGAAAGCACAAGGAAGGTGCCTGAAACTGATATAGGAAGTTCATGAACGGGTCTATTGGGTATGTGGTCTGAAGTTATCTGGATCTAGGGTAGTGGTTTTTCATCTTCAGCCAATTGAGTTTATGCTGAAACATGTAGATGTTTTCGCGTAGACGATTATAGTAAGAAGAATGAAGATGCAAATTCAATTGGTATTTAAATCAGACAATTTCTTGAACCTGTATATTTTTACACATTATGCAATAATACGACCAAATCCTTCGATTACATATCCCCGGAGTTGAATAATAAAGAGAAATTTTGAACAGCCCACAACAGTGTGGGGCAACCCCACACCCATCGAGAAACTCCAGCCAAGAAGTTTAATTTTTTTGTGATTTACTTTTTTTTTTCTTTTTCTTTCTTTTTTTTAGACGGGATATAATGGTAACTCCGCATAAGCATGGTGCTGTTTCTACTATATATGCTCAGTTGCTTGTTGTATTCGGTTAATAATAATGTGTTGTTGTAAGGTACCTTGTCGGGTCTTGAAGCCGAGGCTAACTTTTTTTTTTTACAGGTTAGAACTATTACCGGGGATCAACACATTTTTTTTTTTTCTTGACAATAATAAATTTTTTATTTTTCTGAAAACGTACTCCGAAATCTGGGGAAACCTCGAATCTTATTTGTCAATTTTTTTTCTGCCCACTCCCAAAAATTTTTCAAGCCACAAAAAACGAACTGTAAACTACAACATCTAGACAATGAATTTCTTGTCACAAAGGGGTTTGTTTTCCCTTCCGTGATTTTACGGAATGCAGTGCCTGTCGGATTAAAAAAACGTTCATGTGGGTTTGAAATATCTCTTGGTGTCTGTGTTTGTGTCTAGGGTAGGTCCACACAGATACGCACATCGAGACAGATATCGGATATCGTCAAGACAGCAGTGGGCTTATTACTGCGATAACGATTGCGTATAGAAAAATCTTTCGGTTGTAGACCAGGAGATTAAATTCCGAATGATCTAAACCCGCGGTGAAACGCTCACGGAGTTTTTTTTTAAATCTGTCGTCGACATGCATCATTTGATATGAGGTAATTTTTTTATTTTTTTATTGGGTGGATAATTGAGGTTTTTCTTTTTTTTTTTAGTGGTGGTGTCCCTTGGGGGACAAGTGTACGGGAAAAAAAGTCCGCAGGATTTGTCGCAATCCCATTGGACCAGCGGGGCTAACTTGCAAATTTACTTCCGATTATTGTCATGATGAAATGTCATTTTTTGCAAGTTACGCAAAAGGTGCCCACATAAAAATAATTTTAATTTTTTTTTATATCAACCAGAAACATAAAAAAAAAATTACTTTGCTTGTGAGAGACAAGAAAGGGAATCGGACTGAGGTATAAATTCAAAGTCAAATTTCCAATGGAAGAAAAATTTGCTGTTTTTTTTGAAACTTCTGTTTCTTCTTTCTTTTAGTTCTTTAAGTTCTTAACTAATACAACATGTCTACCTTCAGATCATTACAACGTTCTTCCAAATTGACCAGATCCGCTCTCACTCAAGTGAGAACTTTAGCCACCGCTGAACCAGTATGTGTTTTTTTTTTGGCCATCGCTATTAAATTATAAGGAAAAATTTGTATACTAACTAATTGTCTAGACTTTAAAGCAAAGATTGGCTGAAATCTTACCAGAAAAGGCTGAAGAAGTCAAGCAATTAAAGAAGGAACATGGTAAAACCGTATGTATCGCTTTTTTTGCTCATCGTACCCAATCACATGCAATTTCCCCCATTGTAGAAAAAACTGGAGAAATTTGAAAATTTGTGGTAATTCTTTACAATGCTTTTACTAACACTTAAATAGGTCATTGGTGAAGTTTTATTAGAACAAGCTTATGGTGGTATGAGAGGTATCAAGGGTTTAGTTTGGGAAGGTTCCGTTTTAGACCCAATCGAAGGTATCCGTTTCAGAGGTAGAACCATTCCAGACATCCAAAAGGAATTGCCAAAGGCTCCAGGTGGTGAAGAACCATTGCCAGAAGCTTTATTCTGGTTGTTATTGACTGGTGAAGTCCCAACCGAAGCCCAAACCAGAGCTTTATCTGAAGAATTAGCTGCTAGATCAGCCTTGCCAAAGCACGTTGAAGAATTGATTGACAGATCTCCATCTCACTTGCACCCAATGGCTCAATTCTCCATTGCTGTTACCGCTTTAGAATCTGAATCTCAATTCGCCAAGGCTTACGCCAAGGGTGTCCACAAGTCCGAATACTGGAAATACACTTACGAAGATTCTATTGAATTATTAGCCAAGTTGCCAAACATTGCTGCTAAGATTTACAGAAATGTCTTCCACGATGGTAAATTGCCAGCTGCTATTGACCCTAAGTTGGATTACGGTGCTAACTTGGCCAACCTCTTGGGTTTCGGTGGTAACTCTGAATTCGTTGAATTGATGAGATTATACTTGACCATCCACTCTGACCACGAAGGTGGTAACGTTTCTGCCCACACCACCCACTTGGTTGGTTCTGCTTTGTCTTCTCCATTCTTGTCCCTTGCCGCTGGTTTGAATGGTTTAGCTGGTCCATTGCACGGTAGAGCTAACCAAGAAGTCTTGGAATGGTTATTCAAGTTGAGAGAAGAATTAAACGGTGACTACTCCAAGGAAGCCATTGAAAAGTACTTGTGGGAAACCTTGAATGCCGGTAGAGTTGTTCCAGGTTACGGTCACGCTGTCTTGAGAAAGACCGATCCAAGATACACTGCTCAAAGAGAATTTGCTTTGAAGAGAATGCCAGACTATGACTTGTTCAAGTTGGTTTCCAACATTTACGAAGTTGCTCCAGGTGTATTGACCAAGCACGGTAAGACCAAGAACCCATGGCCAAATGTCGATTCTCACTCTGGTGTTTTGTTACAATACTACGGTTTGACTGAAGAATCTTTCTACACTGTCTTGTTCGGTGTTTCCAGAGCCTTTGGTGTCTTGCCACAATTAATCTTGGACAGAGGTATTGGTATGCCAATTGAAAGACCAAAGTCATTCTCTACTGAAAAGTATATTGAATTGGTTAAGAACATTAAGGCTTAGACTAATTTGACGACGACGAAATTGATGTTTTGACTTATACGTTTTTGTTTATATAATTTTATTTATTCGATTTGACTATACAATGTATATATATATATATTAGCTTTAAGTGGGTGTGTAGCGTGCGTTCTTTAGTGGTGGGAGATACGGCTTGGGCTGTGTTTGAGTGTGGCAACTAGTCGACTAGTTAACCAGTTAACCAGCCTTAAATGCTCTTCTATAGAGTGCCATGAGATGGAGGAAGTTGTTGGCTCTGGTTTAGTTTTTGTTCAAAAATTTGCAATATCTATGCAAAATAAACACATTGGAAGATCCTAACGAGTAAATCCTGTAAATCTTTGAATTGAAATTGAATCAAAAGTATCTGCAACATATTAAGACAACAACAGGAGGATATAATCAGAATCATGAGCTGTAAATAGCGTATGTCAACTACTTGCACTAATCACTGGGTGTAGTTCGATTTTGCATCAAATCAAATTGTTGCCTTTTGCACGACCTCTCCACTAAAGTTTTCCCAGAAATTTTTCACTGGTTGTAAATTTACAACCAAATCACTTACAACAAGATACCAAGTAGTTTCAGCATGTTGCGGTGTAGAAAACAACCATTTTCTACCACTGTACTTAGACTAAACAAGATAAGTTACTCCCATACATTACTTCTTCCGCAAACCAAATTCTCACCCAAACTTCCCCAGGGTGACCTTCGTGAATCACTAATCAATAAAACCTCCCAGGATCTATACGCATGGCAACTGGAACACAATTCAGATAAGAAACCGTTTGTGTTGCACGATGGACCCCCCTACGCCAATGGAGACCTTCATCTCGGTCACGCGCTTAACAAAATCTGCAAGGATATCATCAACCGGTTCCAATTGATCCACAACAATGCCCTCATTAAATACCGTCCTGGGTGGGATTGTCATGGCTTGCCCATTGAAATGAAAGTAAACCCACACCAGACTATACGCGACCCTCTTGAAATTAGACAGGCATGTCGTGATTTGGCAACCACCATGATTGACAGACAGCGCCAGCAATTTCTCCAATATGCCATTATGACTGACTTCACTACGCCCTACATCACCATGGACCACAGCTATGAAATCAACCAATTGAAGGTGTTTAAAAAGTTAATGGAACGTGGATTGTTGTCGAGACAGTTGAAGCCGGTTTGGTGGGGGTGTGACACCGGGACGGCATTGGCTGAGGCGGAATTGGAATATAACGATAATCACACTTCAGTGGCTATTCATGTCAAGTTTCCTGTCGTTAGCGAGAACTTGTATGAGTACATTAAAAATAACTACCAAAAGACTATCGAAAAGATACAGTTGTTGATTTGGACTTCTACTCCGTGGACCATCCCAGCAAACAGGGCAGTTTGCGTTAATGAACACATGACGTATACCTTAATTACAAACAACAGTGAGTATCTTGTAGTTGCAAAGCCATTGGTCGAACATGTATTATCATTAAACAGCGATTACAAACAAACAAATGTCGAAATTCCAGGATCAGTACTTGTGGGAAACACATACACTAACCCAGGATCCAAAAAAGATCAGCAATACCCAGTATTGCACGGTGATCACGTCGTTGATAATGCCGGTACTGGTCTTGTTCACAATGCACCAGCACACGGTCGTGAAGATTATCTTGTTGCTAAGAAGTATGACTTGTCTATTGACTCTGTAATTGACGAAGCTGGTAAATTAGTCGAGGCAACGCTTGCTCCTGGTTTCCAATCATTGGCTGGATTCAAAGTAACTGAACCAAAAACCAATGTTATTTGCGCCAATATTCTTGCCGAAAACAACATGTTGTTCCACATAAACAAAAAGTTCAAGCATTCTTACCCTTACGATTGGAGATCCAAGACTCCAGTCGTACAACGTGCCACTCCACAATGGTTTGTTAATGTCGACAAGATCAAACCACTTGCTTTGGAAGCTATATCTAAAGTTAAGTTTGTTCCAGAAACTGGTAAACACCGATTAGCACTGTTTATCGAGAACAGAAGTGAATGGTGTATTTCAAGACAAAGGGTTTGGGGTGTGCCATTGCCATTGATCTACAATAAGCACACCAATGAACCTGTATTGGATTTGGCTGTGGTTGACTATCTTATTGGTAGATTAGACGAAAATGGAACTGACCAGTGGTTTGTGGATGAAGTAGATATCTCTAGATGGTTGCCTTCCGAATCAGAATCTGCAGAATTAGGTATCCCATTTATAAATGGGGCAGATTACTACAAGGGTAAAGATACTATGGACGTTTGGTTTGATTCAGGAACCTCATGGAGTACATTGGAAAATCAAGATGAACCAGCCGATATCTACTTGGAAGGATCCGATCAACACAGAGGATGGTTCCAATCATCATTATTAAACAAAGTGATTACATCCAATTCTGCTCCTTTCAAATCAGTAATCACCCACGGGTTTATAACTGATGGGAAGGGACAAAAAATGTCAAAATCGCTTGGTAATGTATTTTCACCTCAAGAAGCTATCGAAGGATGCAAGAAGCCACGTACTCCATACTTGGGACCCGATGGTTTGAGGACTTGGGTTGCATCTTCAAATTACAAACTGGATGTTAATTTCAGTCCCGAAGTGTTGACTCGAGTTTCAGAAATTTCCAAAAAGTATAGAGTTACATTCAAGTACTTGTTAGGAAATCTTTACGATAGGGGTGAGCCAGTGGCGTATGAAGAATTGGCCGACTTGGACAAATTCACCTTGCATTCTTTGTATAAGTTGCAACAAGAATGTGTTGACTTTTACCAAGAACACAACTTTTCCAGAGTCATGAATTCGTTAAATTTGCATGTCAATTCCATGTTGAGTGCTATTTACTTTGACATCTCCAAAGATTGTCTTTACACAGACAAGAAAGACTCGCTTAAACGAAGATCAATCCAAACTGTGCTTGACAAGATCTTGGTTACTTATATTGGATTGTTGGCACCTATTCAACCACTCTTGACCCAAGAAGTGTGGACTTCGTATCGAGAAATAGCAAACGTCGAAGCCGACTCCCCTTTCAAACTTGAATGGAATACGCTGTACCAATTACCTCAACAGTATGAAAATGAACAGTTGGCCCAGGAATTCAGTCAATTTTTCCTGTTGAGAGATGAAACATTCAGATTAATGGAGGTTGTCAAGAAGCAAACCGAGTTAAAGAATAAGTTACAGTATGAAGTTGTGCTTACTGTTAAACCAGGCTCGCCTATCCACACATTCTTACAAAGAAATGTAGCACACCTTGATGATTTCTTCTTGGTTTCAAACGTGATCTTGGAACAGGGCGATGTAAGCGCGGCTGAGAAAGACGATGCAACATCAATATGGAATGATCAAGTTGCTGTACAATTAAGACCTTCTCCAGACCACAAATGTCCAAGATGTTGGAAGTTCACTGCCCCAAAGGAAGACGAGTTATGCCATAAATGTCATGAGGTAGTAGACTCGTTGTAAATAGACTCCTGTATATAATCAATAAACATGTTGGTACCGGAAACGGAAATCCTCATTCGCCGCATGCGTGCTGAACCGAACTATCGAACAAAATAGAAAAACATGCAAATGTTTATGTGCATTGCAATGATTACAACCAATTGAGTCACCAATTTCAGTTCACACAACAAGGTCAATCATGAAACTACAAAATTCATTACCCTACCAAAGAAAAATCCGCAACTATGTTGAGCGCAAGGATTCTCTCACCACGGAATATCTCTCGCTCCGAGAGAAGATCAGAATGGAGGACTCCCCAGAGCACGAACTAGAAAACGCATTCGAAGTGTTGCTCAGACTCGACGAGTTGCTATACGACTACCATGTCAAACGAGCATACTTGGAATACTCCCGCATCGAATTGGTCCCGGAAAACAGACTAATTCTTGAACATATCGACAGAACCATACATAAACTAGAGCGAATAGTGCCAATACCATTGTTGGTCCGATCTGCCCCCAAGCTCGCCATATTCCGCCGGCAATTATTCGAAAGTGCCCGTGAAGCCGCCAAAATCTTGGCCCAGACAGAGAGCTCTAACCCCGATGCAAAAAAGTACATCTCTCCGGAATCATTAGAAATTCATGATCATCGTGCCATGAGAATTCGCAACTTGATGAGATTTGAAGATGGAGGTTGGTCCAAGGATCACGTTGAGATCATATACGATGCTGCTAGATTGAAAAAGTACAAGAGTGACCGGTGCGAATATATCAAGACCCAATTTGAAAGGAAATTTAAAGTCAACATCAGCATAAGAACCGCCATGTATTTGCTCACTCATTACGGGTTCAATGATACAAACTACAGAATCAAGGATTTCCGTAAGGCATTTGACCAAGCTTATGCTTTACACAGGGATAAACTTTCACAAGAACGTACTCGATATATAATTGACACAGTGAAGGAACTAATTGGCATTGAAATGACGAAAAACGACGCTCAATACGGTGCCAAATTAAGAGATATCTTCACCAAGGTTTACGGAGTACCAATTGAACCACCTGAAAACTGCATGGAGTTTATTACTCGGAAATTTGAACCATTGTAAAATTATATATTGTAAGATTATTTGTATAGATACATAATACAGACGGCATTTCATGCAGAATAAACAAAACCTATAAACCTAAAAAGAAAAAAATCAAAACACTTATCTCTTACCACTCATTAATTGAGTCAACAATTGCGAACTAGAAGATTGGATACTAGTGGCAGCAACATCATTATATTGTGGTTGTTGAACTTGATTTGGTTTGGCACCATTACCAGCAAATAATCCTGGTGGAGGTGGGGTTGAGGTATTACCACGTTCATTAACTCGTAACATATTCAATTGCTGTTGCTTTTGTTGTTGCTGAAGTTGCTGTTGTTGCAATTGTAAAAGCAACATTTGTTGTTGAACTTGTTTTTGTTGTTCAACCAAGTTGTTGTCACCTTGACCCTTTTGTTGTAATTGTTGTAATTGCAAATTTGGAGTTTGTGCTTGGGCAGCTTGTTGTTGTTGTTGTTGTTGTTGAACTTGTTGTTGCTGTTGTTGTCTTTGCAATAAAGATTGTTGTTGAGCAATTGGATGGTTTTGGTATGCTAAATGATAATTCTTAATAGGTCTTAAAAGAAAACGTTCAATAACTTGTCTAGCAATTAACTTCTCGTCTTCAAATTTACTATCATTATCATATTCAACATTCCGATTAAATGAAAACAATGGTAAAATCTTGCCAGTGGACTTGTTGGAAACTTGTTTGAATTGAATTTGTAAATTTTCAGTTCTATCTTTCAAACTTCTCAATTGTTCAGCTGCTTGCTCAACAAATTGAATTGCAGAATCATCTTCAAGATCATCAGCAGGTGATAAGTTGTCTCTAGGAGATTTGGCAACTTTACCCCTGGCTTTAACATCTTTTCTTTGTTGAGGCTGTTGTTGTTGCTGCTGCTGTTGTTGTTTAAAGATTTCACCCAATGTTGGGAATGCTGCTGGGTTGGCCACTGGGATGCTATTATTCAAAGATGGAGAATTACCAGCAGATGCAGTTGCTTCCTTAGCCCACAGAGCAGTTGCAGGTAAAACACTCTTTGGATGATCGTGATCCTCGTCTGAAGGAGAACTATGATGGTCTTCATCATGGCCATTAAAGTGACTACTACTGGTAGCAGCAGTTTGGCCAGTTGCATGCCCACCGATATTAGCCTGTCTTGAACTTCCCATTAATCCCATCATGCCAATCTTAATACCTTGTTGAGTGGACAAATCCTTTCTTGTGTATGAATCAGCTTCTTCTCCAGGTTCATGCAAGAACATACAATTTGGATTTGGACATGGATGACCTCTCAAGTAAGATGAACAATATTTGGTAGTACCATGGGCAGCTCTCAATACTCTTCCATCACATAAAGATCCATCTAATTCGTTAATACAAGTCAATGCGTCTTCCTTTCTGGCGAAGGTGACATAAACAACGATGCCTGGATTTGGATGATGGTGATGGTGAGCATTAGCTGGATTAGGAGTCTTTTTATTTATAACGATCTTGGAGATCTTACCATATTGACCGAAATACTTTTCTGATCTCAACACGGAATGCAAATCTTCTGGATTACAAGGAGGATTCAATCCAGTCACATAAACCAAATTTTTCTGAACTACTCTCAATCCAGCCAAATGTTTCTTATTGGCCATTTCGGTTTCCTTCTTTTCCTTTTCTCTTTGCTTCTTTTCTCGCTCACGTTTCTCCTTCTTTAGTTGTTGCAATCTATACTCTTCTGCACTTATGGTTTTGTATTCCACGCTGGCATCATCGTATAATCGTCTGCACCCAGGACATCTGCCGTTAAGTTCAGGGTTCTGTTTGATGTTATTATAACAAAACTGACAGATTTGATATCCACAGGGACAAGGTTTGAAGTTCTTGTCGGAAATATCCATTTCCTCAACACACAATGGACAATATTCTTCTTCATTGTCAGAAATAAAGGAGTCATCAGTTGGAATCATTTTGTTTTTTTGGCGTCTAATATATCTATAGTCGTTGTAGTTATCGATGGTATATGTACAAATGTATGATTTTACGCGATTTGTAACGGTGCTTAGTTATACTTGAGTTGTAGCTGTCAAGTTGTAGCAAATGCTTACTTAAACTTTTGGAGAAACAAAAAGAAATCAACGGAAAAATATTTTGACCAAAAAAAAAAAGGTCGTGTTAACAACAAAATAAATTAATCTGATTCACGTGATTGAAGTTTTCTCGAAGCAGTTTACATAAAGATAAATCACTGAAAGGACTAGCTCTTTACACCTGCATCACCACCAGACATGTCGTTTTTCAGTGAATTGTGGGAGTCTGTGTTCACTCCAGGTACTTCTCCTGCGTTAATCAAAGCTACACATGCTTCATTCATCTTGTTACTTATGTCATTGGGATGGCTCATATTTTTAACTAAATCAATCCACTTTATTAATTTATTCGTTATTGCAGTGCTATTATATGCCACTGTTATCTGGTTTATTAAGGAATTGCAAGCTTCAAAGTTAAAGACCAATGAAGAATTGTCCACAGAGGAACCAAAGGAAGAATCAAAAACGGAAAAGGTACAAGAAAAGGGTAGTGCCAGTTCCAGTGCCACCACTGCTGCTGCTTCTGCTGCTGCAACTTCAATTCCTGCTACTCAAAGTACTCCAAGGAGAAGAAAGGCTTAATCGGTTGTTAGCAACGTTTAACTGTGTATATAATTAATTTATGATGTCGGTTTATAGCAAATGAATTTGTTTTTAAATGTAACGAAAAATAAAAATTACCGTCTAAGAATCAACTCTATCAAAGTAATATGAGTTTTAGAGACGCATTCCAACCGTATATAGATAATCCCGGGAAGTATAAGGACCTTGTTATTTTCCATGATGAAAATGTAATCATCATTAAGGATATGTATCCTAAGGCAATCAGACATTTACTAGTGATTCCTCGTAATACACTCGTCTCCAAGAAGCATCCATTGGATGCATTCAATACCAATTACCCTGAATTTACAGGAGAAGAGTTGTATGAGTCTATCAGCAGATATGTGGAAAAGGCAAAAGATATAATAATCAAGGACTTGCAAGAGAAGTTTCAAGTGAATGCGCAATCTTTAACTGAATTCAGAAACACATTTATAAATGCTGGCGTCCATTCAATACCGTCTTTGAATAATTTACATGTTCATGTAATAACCCAAGATTTTCATTCTCCGAAATTGAAAAATAAAAAGCATTATAATTCATTCACCACCAAATTCTTTGTTCCCTTTGACGAATTGAATCCGATATATAATGAAAAATATTATAAATTAAGCAAAATTCCGAATCTAGACTTAAATTATGACTCTGATTCTGAATATTATAGTGAAACTGACGACGAGAAGCCAAGTTTCATCAGACATGTACGCATACGATCTTCTTTACAAGATATGATAAAGAATACCCCGTTCAAGTGCCCTTCTTGTGAACTTACGTTTGCGAATCTGATGGTGAAATTAAAAGAACATTTAGAAAAGGAATTCGAGAAAACATATCAACATTTTGGGGATCCCAAGTTGCTCTCTCCAAATAATTTGTAAACAGGGGATGTATTATGTAAACAACCAGAAAAGCTGCAAAAATAAAATAGAATAAAAATAAAAATAAAAATAAAAATATTGGGGGGACAGATAAGACTTCAAATGTGTAGATGCAACAATGCGAGGCTGTAGTTTATTATCACCGGCAATAAGGATAGACTGCACACGTCCTAGCACCCGTGTATCGAGCTTCCATCATGCACGAATACTAAACTCCTCAAGAAAAATATTCCTCGAAACTAACTTCAGCCGTGCAACTTCATAAATTCTTGTCGGAGTTTAGATCTATTTCGTATCTATCATAGCTGAAGGTCATGCCACAAACATAGATTACACCCTAGGTAAACCCCTGAACTATAACTCTCAAGGTTAGAATGTGTTAAAATGGTCCAGAAAAGCCTCCCCTCCTTAGATTCTGGGGTAAAGTTCGGAAGAATCGCGCGGAACAATCCTTCTTTGTTTCTGGTACCTTTCCATACCCCATAGCTACCCCAAAAAATTATTGCGAAAATTTGGGGGATATAAAATAGAATATTTATTGCGAATGGAGGGGACTATTTGGATTACGTCACTAGGTGAAACTTGGCATTAGTTCACTACATTCTAAACCGCATTGTCTATCCATTTCTTCCCAAGCTAAAGTTGACGAGGCATATGCCTCACCTAAAGGTACTCTTCCCTCCCCATCCTGATCAAGTTGAAGCAGTCCTAAAGTGGAAAGTGGCAAATGGTATGTGTAATACTTTGCATTGTTCTAAAGTCCATTTGAGGATTGTTTGACCATTCCAACAATCCACCTAAATTCTGAAATTTTGGGTGGAGGGATTTAAACAATGATTGCTAAAAAATTCTATTGTTAATTTGCCGCATTATTTCTTAAAAATTTGCATCAACTATAATGCACTTTTACAATCGTCTTATAATTGCATAATGATTAATGAATTAGGTAAGCCTGGATTAATGGATTAGGAAAATCCGCCGCCTGCATGACAAATAGGTTATGTACATTCCCCCACAAAAGTATTGTGGTTTTGCGTAAGGACAATCACACTGATCACAATAGTATATGCACTTACTTTTGCTTCGACCTTGTCCTGTAAAAACGCGTATAAATAGCAGGCAGATTCCCCCTCCCCATCTGAGGTTCTTGTTTGATTCTTCAAGGCAACATGTCAGGTACAATTAGCCCAACTAGTGAATTCGATAAACCTACTGTCGAGAAAACTGAAAACTATTCCGCTTCAGTCGAATCAGTCGAACTTGGTGAAGATATTGATGTTGATAAAGAATTCGGTGACTATGTTCAATTAGGTCATGAGTTAAAAAGTGGTGGTACTTTCTGGACTAATCTTAAGAATGTAGAGTTCCCCGTCACATTTAAGAACAGAAATAATATGGTTCGATTCCTAGGTATCTTTACTTCATTTGCTGGTATCTTATCTGGGGTGGATCAATCCATTATTTCAGGTGCTTCCATTGGTATGAATAAGGCTTTGCAATTGTCAGACCATGAAAATTCTTTGATATCAAGTTTAATGCCCCTTGGTGCTGTTGCTGGATCTATACTTATGACCCCATTAAGTGAACATTTCGGAAGAAAAAGAGCTATCCTTATTTCTTGTATTTTGTATACCATCGGTGCTATTATTTGTGCCGCTGCTCCTGATCATGAAACTATGTATGCAGGTAGATTTATCTTGGGTTTGGGTGTTGGTATCGAAGGTGGGTCCGTTGGGGTTTATATTGCTGAGTGTGTTCCTCCCACGCAAAGAGGTAATTTGGTTTCTCTTTATCAATTTTTTATTGCTTTTGGAGAAGTCCTTGGGTTCGCTATTGCTGCCATCTTCTTTACTGTTCATGGTGGTTGGAGATTCATGGTTGGTTCATCATTATTATTTTCAACAATCTTGTTGATTGGTCTTTTATTCCTTCCCGAATCACCACGTTACTTGGTATACAACAACAAATACGCCGAAGCCATCAATGTTTATGACAGATTACGTGACATTTCCGAAAGAACAAGTAAAGTCGAATTTTTGGAAATGATTAAAAACGCACAAGCTGAACGTAAACTACGTGCTAGTCAAAGTCGTGTTCAAGTCTGGCTTGATTTATTCACCATTCCAAGAAATCGTCGTGCTTTGTTCTATGCAGTTATCATGGTGTCCTTGGGTCAATTAACTGGTATCAATGCCGTCATGTATTATTTATCTACGATGATGGCCAATATTGGATTCTCCGAAGAAAACGCCGTGTTTATGTCTTTAGTTGGTGGTGGAGCATTATGGCTCGGTACCATTCCTGCAATTTTGTACATGGACAGATTTGGTCGTAGAGTATGGGGTATGAATCTTGTGGGGTTCACCATTGGGTTAGTTCTCGTTGGTGTGGGTTATTTAATCCCATTAGAAACCCAAAGAGCAGCAGCCTTAGGTGTTTACTTGACTGGTTTAATTCTTTATATGGGATTCTTTGGTGCTTACGCATGTTTGACCTGGGTGTTACCAGCCGAATCTTTCTCTATTGGTACCAGATCTATTGGTATGACTATCTGTTCTTCATTCTTGTACTTGTGGGCATTTACTGTGACTTATAATTTCAACAGAATGAAATCGGCTATGACTTATACCGGGTTGACCATTGGGTTTTATGGAGGTATTGCATTTCTCGGTTTCTTCTATCAAATATTCTTTATGCCGGAAACCAAGGGTAAGACTTTGGAAGAAATTGATGATATTTTTGAAAAGCCTTCAATGGAAATTGCCAAGGAGAATTTGAGAAACATGAAGAGATTTTTAACTAAATAGTTTATAATTGTATGTATAATTTAATCTTTATAATATCTGAAAAAAATTCCTGTATACAAAATTCCAGCCGCACATAAAAATCTTTTGCGAAGAGATATCGAAACCAAGTTTTGATCAACTGTGTACATCACAACAACATGCTGGTATATAGAATATTAGGAGGGATATACCTCTCATCAATAGAACCATTGAATAGTGGAGTCAACTTAAAACGAGATTATGGAATTCACCACATATTATCCGTCATTCCAGGACCGATTCCTGCTGCATACACCAGTGAATATCATTGGAAACAAATTGAAATAACCGATGAAGAAACCACGAATTTGTTCCCATATTTGGAGCCATGTTATAAATTTATAGATGAAGCATTGTTTCTGGAATCAACTGATCCTAAGAAACATTCAGATAATATCTTGATTCATTGTTCTCAAGGAGTTTCTAGATCTGTTGCCATAGTCATGTCATATTTAATGAAAAAATACAAGCTTAATGTGCAACAATCATTACATGCTGTCAAGAGGAAATGTCCCGATGTTGGACCAAATGAAGGATTCGTGTCTCAATTGAAATTATACAAGGATATGGGATGCGTAGTTGATGAAGATAACGATGAATATAGACAGTTCTTGGTAGATTTGAATTTGAAGCTCGACCCTTCAGGACAATCATTACGTGAATTAATGAGTAAACGCAGTGAATCTACCGCTCCACAAGAAACGGAAGTGGTTTATGAACTCAGATGCAAAAGATGTCGTCAAGTTCTTGCCAATAACACCCATATAGAACAACATGAAATACCCGTAGCTGAATCTCGTCAGTCCCAATTTGTCAAAACCGCACCAAACTCAAGAAGAGTGATTTCAATTGAAGAAGCCAGTGATAAATGTTCCCATTATTTCATGAAGGATCCATTGAAATGGATGAAGGAAGAACTTGACAAATCAGAAATTGAAGGGAAATTCCAATGTCCTAAATGTACTTCTAAAGTTGGTGGATATAGCTGGCGAGGCTCTAGATGTTCTTGCGGGAAATGGATGATTCCAGCCATACATTTACAACAAGCAAAAACTGATTGTATTAGTAAGAATTTGCATGCACCAATACATCAATCAAATGCTTAGTTTTCATCAACTACCATATCCAATTCGGAATAATCTGGATCGTTTTCATTATGGCCTTCTTCATGAATTCTCTGCATGTAGTAGCTATTATTTATACCAGGTGCACTAGCAGTTGTAGGATTAGTAGGTATAGTGCGCCCACTAGCATTATTAGAATTAAATAACGAACTTGAGCCACCGCTGTTTACCACATAGGTAGAATTTATTTCTGAATTTAAACTGTGATCATCCTGATATTCAACTTCAGATGCCATAAACCCTTCATCAACCAAGTTAGTTCTAAATCCCGTATCTGCTTCAGAATCACTTTGAGTTTGTATTCTATGGCGATGTAAATCGTCTTCTGGCTCATTGGTATCTGACAAATTATCAACTTCGGCAAACACATCGTCATCTTCATCTTCTGCACCAGAATAAAGGTCATCAGCATTTAAAATCTGGGCATCCAAATCAACTTCACGCAGTTCATCACCAAGCTGAAAGGTCAATCCACTTGCATTTAAATTAGAGCCCAATAACAAGGTATTATTACTGTTATCTTGTTGGTCTTGTTGATCACCGGAATTTTCAGCGCCAGTATTATTGACACCTGCCCCATACAGTTGTTCATCAGTTACAGTGAATTGACCAGAGTTTTCAAATTCGATTTCTTCCATGGTTTTGTTTATCCCAATAGGTCGTATCGTATTGTATCCATAGTTCCTAATAACATCCAATTGTTCGATATTAGCCTGTGTGGAAGGAGTTATGGAAAACATTTTGGAATTGTGTTGTGTGCCTCTCCTCATAGTATACTCTAATTGGAACAGGCAAGCTCCAGGATAGTTTGCAGAATAAGCTGATAATGGTGGTGCAAACAAGTTGTTTATATGTTTGCGTTGATCTGATGTCGTAACACCGTTGTTGGTAGATCTTGTTTGTGGTTCAGCATTTGATTTTGATTCATTGGATTCGTTTGGTATAAGTGTTGGATGACTAGAAACACCATTCCATAGACTATACAAGTCTATATGGAACAGACTGGGTGCATACATAGAAATTGTTGTAAGTTGGTAGAGAATAAGAATTGTGGTGTTTGTTGCCAAAAAAAAAGGTTAGTTTTTACAACCATCCAAAGTAAAGTACGAGTACAAATGGATTGTCTATACACAATAATGTTACACTAGCTACCTTCTTCATCGTCAGTCAAAATGAATTCATCCAACACCTTCTTCTTTTCTTCTTCATCGTTTGTATATACAAATTGCAAGGGAGTATCATGTTGAGGTTTGTCGTCTATAACTGGCCAAATAAAATTATCCTTCTTAACTCCACTCAAGGTAACAATACATGCATAGCAAATACTAACTGGTTCTTTAGCAACACCTTCAGAAACACCCCCAGTTTCCAAACTGGCTTTAAACAATTCCAAATACTTCATTTCTTCATCAGTGGTAACTGGTGCTGCATCATTCACAGTAATATTTCTTAACCATTCATGCGGATTGTGATAGATTTCTTCACCACAGATCTTACAATGGTCCAATATTTCTGTGCCTTTTGGTGGAGGGCCTAACTTTTCCCCGGTTTTAACCACGGTAGAGGCGGTTGACGCATACCCGGTTGCATCCAAGTTCTTGAAGTAATTGGTAGTCAAATCCCTGATGGTTAAGTTCTTTGTAATTTTGGACTTTTGTATGGTTGAAATGAGGATATAAGGCGTCAACTCTGCTAATTGAGCATATGCCAAAAGTTCCACATACAAAACGTCCCTTAACGGGAATAAAATCTTGAACTCCTTATTATTGTAAGTTGTGGTATGGTCAGCTATAGCCTTGTGAATTATAGAACCTCTTCCCTTGATAGTTAATGCAATGATTTCATTAGCTATTCTGGTCATACTATGTCCATACACTATAGTTTCACATCCTTCAACTTCGGCAGTTTTTAGGATTAAACTTTCATAGACAATGGAAAGCAAATCTTCCGCGGAGGATTTATCTTGACAAGATTCCAATAATTCATTTAATGTATATTCTTTGGTACGATGCAATTCCTGTACAAACCCTGTGAAATCTTTGTTCAAGGATATATACTTCAATGTATCTTGGTCAATGTATGAATCCAAGGATAAAACTTTGAAAGACAACTTCACTTGCGTATATCTTTCCAATAATTTAGGAATCACGTCTTGACATTGTGAATTAAGAGACTTTAATTTGTATTCATCCAAGTTCACAACAACCAATTCAAACCCTTGTCTTCCTTTATGTGCTTCGAACTGCTCTTGCAATAAAGAGGACATAATATCAAGTAATACTAAAGATGACTCTCCCCCGGACAATGCTAATAAAACTTTCTGTTTCCCCAACTTTTCTGCTACTTCACCATATTTGACTTTGTATTTGTCATCTTGCATTTGTTTTCTTTGCTTGCCTCGTATGAATCGAATGAAACATGTTTTACAATATTTTTCTCTTCTAGTTAACAAAACAGCAGGTTCCGTTTTACACCTTTGGCAGAGTGTCTCTGGCTCTGATGGATCTAGGAATAAAGAACCTTGATTTGTAGTCATGTCTGGTTTTGTATCTTAGGTTTGTAGTGTCCAAACTCCGAATCGATATTTTTTTTTAGGCATCGCGAGATGAACTCATACAAACCAATTAGTCACACTAGTTAAATAATAATATGTATTGAACGTATTCAAAATGTGACTACAGTGTGGACTATTATACAACTTACATAATCTTAACTTCACTTTCAATCAAGTTAAGCAAGAATTCAACTTCAAGTCTCTTTCTTCCTTCAGTAACCCAATCGTCAGCAAGCTTTCTACACCAACCCTTCAAGTTTGATGCTTCTTCGACAGCAACATCCAACTCACCTCTGGTTAAACTAGATTCAACTCTGGCAATAACTGATTCAATATCTTTACCTTCAGCCTTAACACCCTTGACTGGTAATAAAAGCTTGGAGAAAAGCAAGGAAGATAAGTGTCCTAATAAACCAGCGTTTGGTGGCAATAAGGAGGCAGATCTAAGTTCAGGAGCTAATTGTTCCCAACGAGATAATAATTGAGAAGGAGTTAATATGGAATGAGTTGATTCACCGGAAAGCAATGGAGTCAAATCCTTTAATGCCAATTGAAGAACTTCATCATCATTAGCTACGGATGCTAATGCTTCAACATGTGGTGCTAAATGTTGTGGCTTGTCGTCAGCAGTAGGTGCTAATAATAATCCTCTAATCTTGGAAATAGATTGTTGGATCAAGGATCTGCTGTGGTTGTTAACAAGTTGGTGTTCGAAACTTTCAGCAAACTTTTCCAATTCTTCAACTCTAGAGTGTAAGCTTTCTAAATTGGCCAATCTTCCATTTCTTTCTTGGTCAAGTTTTTCAGCAACCAATTTTTCAAAATTCTTGGTTTGTTCAATTCTAACCATAGAAACAGCGTTACTGGCAGCTTGAGCAATAGCTTCTCTAGAAGCTTGAATTTCATTAGCCAATTTTTCGTTTAACTTAGCTTCCAATTGAGACTTTTCCTTGTTGAATTGTTCCAACAAGTTTTCAGTCAATTCCAATTCTTTCTTGGTGAATGAAGAGAATAATTCAGTTTGGGAAACCTTTAATTTAGATTGTAATTCATCATCAAAAGTCTTGGTCAAGGAGTTTAACTTGGTGGCTAATTGGTTAATGTTTTCACTAATAGTCTTTACAACAGCAGCGTCAGAAGAAGCAAGGGTATTGGCATCAATGTTTTGGATAAACTTATTAAATGAAGCAATGGTGGACTTGACAGTGCTGTCAACAGACTTAGCAATGTCACTGTTTAATTCAATCAATGGTAAATGTCCAATTTCTCTCTTGACAGGTTCGATTTCAACCTTTTGTAATTGTTGAGCTGGAGTCAATGCTGTGTCCTTTTCCACTGGTTCTGGAACGGATTTTGGAATATCGACAGCTTGTGTGAAAATTTTCTTGGTTTCCTTAACCAATTCTTCACCTCTGTGTTCTAATTCATGAGTAATTGATTCGACATCCTCCTTGGTTGGTAATTTAACCCCGTTGATTTTGTTTATAAGTGTATCATAAGATTTCTTGATATCATCAATGTCAAAATTGTCAATGTATTCCAACAATTCTTCATGGTAAGGCAACTGTTGTTCAACGACAAAGTCCATAACTTTATCATTCTTGGTAGCAACGTACAAAGTACCACCATAGACAGTTCCAGCTAAAAGAGTAAGCTTGATAAGGGCACCAATTAAAGAAAACTTCTTTTGTTTCTTAGCAGCTGGTTTGACAGCAGGTGGGAGTGGTGGGGCTTCCACTTTTGCAACATTGGATCTGATGGCAGATTGGGACATCCAACGGGTGCCACGTCTGCTAGCAGTACGGGTAGAACGCAGAACAACACTTCTAATCATATTTCCTTAGTTCTCAATGGTTAGGTTTCCCAAGTGAATTTCGATATGACCAAAGAAATCTCCAATTTTTTTTTAGTGGAATTTTTCGTGCGTGAATTAATTGGAGAAAATTCAATTACGAGGGTATCTACATCATGTGACTGAAATTCCAGATCCACCGGATCTAATCTGTCGATTGTTTACTTCATAGTTACAGCCACATACCGTTTGGTGACGAAACATACCATATACCACCGATTCAAACATGTCAATCAAACCAATCGCTATTACTGTTCCTCAACCTTCTACTCTGAGAGGTCAAGCTAGTCATATCTCGTATGATCCAGTCAATGAAAGATTGGCATATGTCAACGGCAAATCGATTATTGTTAGGCCCGTGGATTTCAAAGCTACCGCCCCTGTGATTTGTTTCAGCAAGCATATTTGCAACACCACAGCTGTCAGCTTCTCACCTTCAGGGTTCTATGTTGCTTCTGGGGATGAATCTGGTCAAATCAAAATTTGGGATGCTTCCATTGATGCAAAGGATAAGTCTACCAAATTTGAACAGCCCACTATCAAGAGTGAATTTCAAATTATGTCCGGGCCAATTAGATCCATTGCATGGGATGCTGACAATTCCCGTATAATTGCCGTTGGTCAAGGTAAGGAAAAATTTGGGCATGCGTTCACTTGGGACAGCGGTAACTCTATTGGTGATATTCAGGGCCACAGCGCTGCTATTAATGCCGTGGCTATCAAACCTCAAAGACCATACCGCGCAGCCACTGTTGGCGATGATTTTGCCTTAGTATTCTTCAATGGTCCTCCATTTAAATTTGACAAGAGTTTGAGAGGACATCATACTAATGTAGTTAGAGATGTGAAGTTTAGTCCTGATGGAGAACATCTTGTTTCTGTAAGTTCGGATAGAAGTATTGTTATTTATCAAGGTAAGACAGGAGAATTTGTCAAGCGTATTGAAAATGCGCATAACGGTGGTATTTTCGCAGTTGCCTGGTTACCAGATTCTAAATTCTTCATTACCGCTTCCGCTGATAATTCGTTAAAGAAATGGGATATTTCCACTTACGAAAGTGTACAAACATTCACAGTCAGCGAAAAAGTTACTGTTGAAAATCATCAAGTTGGGTTAGCTTTAGCTAAGGAGTATGTGATTTCTCTTTCTGCCAACGGTAACTTAAACTATTTCGACTATTCTGGTAAGTTGGTCGAAGCAGTCAAGGGACACCAAGCACCAATTACAACTGTCAAATACGACGATGACTCATTGTACACCGGTGGCGCTGATGGGAAATTGTTTCAATGGAGTGTGCAAGAAGATGGGCCAAGTGCTCTTCCAGAATCAGCTACTGGTCATACTAACTATGTTGTTGATATCGTAAAAGTTGGTCTGTCGCAGGTTTCTGTCGGTTGGGATGACACTTTGAAACTTTGGAATAAAGAAAATGTCTCAAAGTCCATTCAATTACCAGCACAAGCTAAGCAATTGGCCAAAACTTCCAATGGTGTCATTGTATTATTCGAAAATAAAATACAAATATACACCGAAGATCTCAGTTTAGTATCAGAGCTTGATTTTACATTTTCATCCAGTTCTATTGGCGTGGTTTCCGATTCCGAATTATTGATCACCAACACTACCACCAACACTATTGAAGAATTGAGAATCGAATCCAAATCAATAACCAAAACATCTAAAGAATTCCCAAAGATGAGATCTCCTCCTACTTTAATTGTGGTTTCTCCATCCAAGGAATATTTTGCCGTTGCTGATGCTGCTGGTAAATACACTTTGTTCAAGACATCAGATGCTAGCGTTGTTACAACTAGATGGGCATTCCATTCTAGTAGAGTTTATGATGCTAAATGGACCCCTGATTCCAAGTATTTGATCAGTGGTGGATTAGATAGTGGGTTATTCCTTTACTCAGTAGAAAGACCTTCTAAAGTGGTTAAGTATCCATTAGCACATCTTTCTGGTATTTCTGGTTTGGATTGGTTATCATACGATTCCGAAGCTAAGGACGGTAGATTTGTAACTACTGGTTTAGATGGAACCATTAGAACTTGGGAAGTTAACATTTCCTCTTAAAGTCGCTTTTATTAATACAAATAGAAATAAATAAAATTAGATATTTAGGTTACATACCTTAGATAATTTGGTTATTAAAGGACTCATTTCATTTATGGCTTGTTCTTCATCAGCAAGATATGCTTGGACATAGCCCAATACATGTAGATTCAAGGGCCAGATTGTACTATTGGAATCATAGCATTTAATTATCCCAATCAAGTCTTTAGCAAGCTTCTTTTCATAACCCGGTGGGAACTTACTTAACTCGTCTCGTACTTCCCTCGCTTGGATATTTGTTTTAACAAGCAATGACTCAAACAATAGTAGTTTGGCCAATGCTCGATTGATGCCAATCAAGGTTGAAAGTTCATCCTTAAAGAAAATCGTAGGGAATGCACCAGAATCAGAATTACTGTGATATATAACTGGAAAAAGACCATCTGGGGCTTTATTCTCAAAATCAACCAAGATATCTTTCAACTCAATCCACTTTTTGAAACTTTGATTCTGCTCAACATCTTGCTGAGTGGGAACGTTTACCTCCCCTTTAAAATCCGAAATTTGACTGCAAATGAGGATAGTTTTACGGAACCACCAAACCGTCTCGGTTTTCGAAAGCGTAGTTTTTGGTTCTGATGCTTCAGTCAACACCATGTATTTATCAAACACGGTAAAGTATTCCGAGTCAAGCGCCTTCCAAAATAAATCAACGGAATAGATATTAACACGAACATTCTTTAGTGATTGGATGAATCCTAAAGTAAACACGCTCCAGAAACAAGTTGCAAGAAAGACTGAATCAAGTAGGGGACTTGACTTATTTCTGCTGTTATCGCTTTGGATAATTGACGCTAAGATACTAGCAGCGTTTCCTGTGTATATATCCTCAATAGAAGTGAAATAAAATTCATAAACTGATAATAACGTTGTAGCCAATAGACACTTCGAGCATACTCCCATATCATGATTGAACATATCCAAGTAAGACTTGATGGTTTTGATTGAATGGTGATAGTATTTGATTGGGAGCGATGCATCAATTTTATCAGGCATCATTCTATGAAGCATTAACGAACTTAAACAAAACACCGATTGTAACAAAATACCAGAATCATCATATAATGCCATCTGTGAAACAATTTCTGAATATACTTTAACTTCAAAGAATACGTCTAATTGACTAGAAAGATTATTGACGAAATAGTTGAACATTTGATACTCAATCTCATTCTTGAGATTGGCACTAAACAGGGATAATTTGTTAGTTGGTTCAATCATATGCAAGTGATTAAGGAATAATTGTTTTAATTCATCAATGGAGTATTCACCAATATCAGTGATGGGATGTTTAAACAATCTTGTGCTGTTTTCTTGTGGAGTAGTCAACTTATTTATTCTAGGTCTGGTGTTTTCTTTTGGTTTTGGAGGTTTGAAGGTTCTTGGGTTTTCAACAATTGGATGAAGGCTACCAGCAATCAGGTCCAAGTCATTAATGGGTCCATATATAAAGCTGTGACCGTGGCCGTCGTTGGAATGATAGTACTGGGAGATGATTGGCTGGATAATTTGTTCATTCATATGTGCATGTTTTGGGAAACTCTGGTCATGATGGTACTGGTTTGTGTTGCGGTTTGCGTGGTAGTAGACTCCTCTCTGATTTCTATGTGGAATAGTGGGTGGGTTTGCATATTGTGGTTGATTTTGGTATTGTGATACTGAATAATTTGGAATTAGTGATGGTTTAAAGGTTTGCGGTTGGGCTTGACTAAGACCGTTCAAGAGTCTAGCACCCGAATAAGTACTATCCGGCATTGATTGAGCTAAAGGGACACTTGGTTGTCTTATTGGATCTATTGATTCATTTGGTTTCATATTGGAATATTGTGGAGGATATAATTGGATAGGCTGGGCTAGGTTAGAAGAAAATGTATGGTACTGGTACAGGACTTGAGAATTTTGTAATTGATTGTCAAATGCGGTGGTATGTCGGGTGACTTCATCTGAGAGCTTTCTATCAGTTGGACTCGATACTGGAGATGGATTGTACACGGTGTTATTGATGTAGGGAAAACTCATGGCGATTTTGAATAACTAACAAGCTCATAGTCCACTAGAGAAGAGAGTATGTCCAAAAATAAATTCTTTAGAGGGGGGGAGTATAACCACTACCGCACCAAAGACATGATAGCCTAAAGTTCACTTTCTACAACATCAGTACTCCTAGCACCGAAACAAACTTTTTCCAATTCCAAAAAGACAAAGAAGGGCGTAGTGAACAAATTGCAAAATTGGTTAATTATACGCGAGTCATAAAATCTCAAGGCGGAAATTCGCGACACACAAAACCATTTGACAAAGGCTTTGGTAACTAAGATAACAACTTTAACCGATACGCTTGAACGCGATACACATCAGTTGTTGTCTTCGTCACCTACATAAAAATTTACGCAACAATACCGCCGTGGGGATATCCTTGTGTATAAAATTAGGCTTTTGTGCTACAATTATATAACTTAATCGAAGTGTGTGAAACTGCAACATGTCTAAAGAGTATACGATCTTCGCCCTAGATGCGTCAAAGTCAATGGGGCGACATCTGTCCCACCCGGAGAAATCAGATTTGACACTTGCCCTGGATTTTGTATTTGATTACCTAAACCGGCAATTAGTAAAGAATAGGAAGCTGGACCGTTTTGCCTTGGTGTTATTCTCCGGGCATAACGTGCAAATCCTCTACGAAAACAAACCACTTTCATTGGCCATCCTGAGAGAGTACAATTCCAAGGTCTTACAATTCTATTACGATGACGCCAAGGTGGAGAATCAGGATGCAAAATATCAATTCAGTGACGCGTTAAAATTGGCGTTGGAACAATTCCAAATATCGGCCCACTTGAAGTTTAGCCGGAATTTGTTTGTGTTGACCAATGGAGAATTACCATTCAACAGCTTTGTGACTCTGGATTGGAGTGATTATCATGACTGGGTAGAGAACTACAATATCACTGTCACGCTTGGGATTATTAATTACACATCCGGCATTAAGAAGTCAGAAAACAAACAAGGAAATGAGCGAATGTGCAAAGAAATATCCGAGTTTGGGGATAGGTATCTATTGTATGACATGGATACTCTTCTCAAAGCTCGACCTCCTTTGAAATTGATCGGACCGCGAGTTTTATGTTCGGCTAAACTTTCATTTGCGGGAGATGCTGCGCAATATTGGAAACTAGATTTGGATGATTCTGGGGCTGTGTCCATGGAAATTCAAGTTTACCCGGCAATTAAACTTGACAAATTTGCTCATGGGCATGAATATTATATGGATAGAGAAAATGAAACCTTGACACAAGTCAAGAGATCAACTACGTACTACATCAAGAAAACTAGTGATACGAACGAATTTCAAAACGACGAATCTGATGAGGTGGATGATTTAATCAAGGAGGAGGAAACAATTCCTGTTTCTAGCTTTGACTGTACTCCTGGGTTTAAGTTCTCACCTAGAGATATCCTAGCTGTAAATTCAGATTTACAAGAGGTTGCAACATTAATTTCAAAACCTTCGATAGATATTCTAGGATTTATCAAGAAGGAAAAGTTTCCTGTGGCATATCATACTGATGAATCTTTGTTTGTTTTGCCAAGTCTGCACATGGGAGGTAAGAACAAGCTGTCCTTTGACTGTCTTGTTCAAGCTTTATTGGAGTTGGAATCAATTGCTATTGTAAGGTATACGCAATACAAAGACTCTGAAGTCAAACTTTGTGCAGCCTATCCTCTGAAAGTTAAATTAGATGGAAGTTCAGCACGTGTGTTGTTATTAATACGAATTGCTATGAAAGAGGATGAAAAAATTGGGAGATTTCCACTGTTAACCAAACCCAATGAGAATATGCAACTGGATAACAATGAAACCAGTAAAAAAATAGACCGTGTTGCAGCAGATAATCTTATGGAACAACTTATTAAATCCAAAAAACTCAAAGATGAGAAGATTCTCAAGGACACACTAGATAACAGAAAAGTCGGTCTACTTAGATCTGAGTCTATTGGAACTCCAGTGACTGATGGTACTGGATTAAGTGAACTTTTAATGTCTTCTAACCCAGGTGGGAGAAAATTTAACCATTACTTACTGAAGATTATTCTGAAATCATTACTGACAAAGTCCTTATTTAATTTCTTGAATGAGGAAAAGTTTGTTGAAAATTACCTTTCAAAAGATGAACTGACTGTATTATTTACTACCCAAAATGTTCTTGATTCTTCATTAATATATACAGGAGAAGAAACCAAAGAAAACTCTATAACTGAGAAATTAAGAAAAGAACTCGATGTGGAATATATCACTCAAAGAAAGGAATCTAACCGTAAAGCTGGTAGGAAGTACGACTCAATTTATGGTCAAGATCCAAAGAATGACGCTAATTTTGATGAATATTTCGATATTGATGACCTATTAGCCAGCTAAAGCTTGAAAAGACGATTTCTGATATCATACTCTCTGTCTTTGGCAGATCTTTTCCTATGTTTAGACTTAGCAGTTCCATCTTGACCTAGCTTTTCCACAATTTTTTCATGTACTTTAGTTGAACTAACTCGTTCCATTTCTTGTTTTCTAAGTGTCATGTATTCATTGTTGTTAACTTCTTTAATTGCAGCAATGTCAAATAATGCTCTTCCGTCGAAGTTACGCCCCTGTTTCCACATGTTTACCCAGAAATTAGCAATTCCTACTTCATCGTATGCCCCATCTGATTGCAATACCCCACGAGCTTTAGCTATGTAATGTAATAGTTCGTAGATATCATTGGTGGGATGATCCATAAAATCAGCATATAATACACCTCTTGGATCTTGTAAGTTCAATAAATACAATAAATAATCGGCAAGAATAATTGGATCAATAAACGATTCGTGAACACAACCAACCAAACCAAGAGTTAACATAGTTTCTGGGTCTTTCACGGTCGGCAAAAATACTCCGGGAGTATCATATACAAAAAGATCGGGATTCTTACATATTCTGATAACTTCACTGGTGTTTCTAGTTACACCTGGTTGGCCTCCTACTTTGGCCACTTTTGTTTGTTTTTGTGAAATTGCATTTTTGTTAACTGGATTACCAACTTCTCTTAATTTGTTGACTAATGTGGATTTACCAACATTGGGCATACCAATAATCATTGCTCTTAGTCCCAATGGAGGTGGAAGGTCATAATCATGGTATTCCTGTTTGATTTTGTTAATGATCTTCTTGACATCAGTATTGTTGTTACAGTTAACATACATGTAATCTTCGTTACTGGAGGAATGCCACTTGTCTAGTAATTTGGTGTTGATGATTGACAAATCCTTTTTACTATACAAGACAAGCTTCTTCTTACCTGATAATACTCTATCAAATAAGACATTAGAAGTGGCAAGTGGAGCACGACCATCACGAACTTCAACCACTAAATCTATCATTGGTGCAAGGTGGCCAAACTTTGTGAGTGCTTTCTGATGGTGTCCTTTGAAGTTGGACAAGGATATATTGTACTTGGGAAACATCGTCCTAGGTACAAAGGACATGTTGTGTGTGTATATTGGCGATGTAGTTGGAGGGTGTTGCAAAAAGACCCAAAGGTAAAGCGAGATTTTTTTTTTTTTTTTTAGGTTTTCAAATGGTGATGTCTTTCTTAAAGCAAACCCGAAGCCAATGCCGTTGATTACACTCACTGGATTTCCTTCGTCCGGTAAGACGAAATGGGCCAAGCTATTGCAGGAGCAGTTAAAAACAAAGATACAATCCGCCAAGGACAAGGGTGAAGTTGGACAAAACTATGATGTGATATATCATTCAGATGAAACATTGGGTATCAGCCATGAAGTGTACTCTGACTCAACATTGGAAAAGAACGCTAGAGGAACACAAATCTCAGCTGTGAAAAGAGATATTTCCAGATCAAATATTGTGATTCTTGATTCCATGGCGTATATTAAAGGATTCAGATACCAACTCTTCTGTGAAGCCAAAGCAACAGTTACACCACATTGTGTTGTTCATGTAATCGCCCCAGTTGAACAGTGCCTTGAATGGAATAATAACCGGGAAGATAAATGGGATGAAGAATTGATAAAACAATTGGTTATGAGGTATGAAGAGCCCAACAGTGACACCAGATGGGACTCGCCTTTATTCACAATTGCCTCTGATGATCCCAAGGAAACTCTTCCTATTGATGAAATATGGGATACCCTTGTGTTGAAAAGACCCCCACCACCAAATGCAGCTACATTGATTAAACCAACTTCAGGTAATTCCTTCTTGCAAGAGTTGGACAAGAAAACTCAAGAAGTTATTACCAAGATTCTTCAACATCAACAAATTACTACTGGTGATGTTATTATAGACAAGGATTTGGTGGTACAACTTCCTGCTACATCAGTAAGTACTGCACAATTACAAAGAATTAGAAGATCATACATCAGTCTTAATAGAATGAGATCGGTGGAAACTGATAGAATTATACCTTTGTTTGTGGATTATATTAATAGAAGTCTAAACAATGATTAGAAATACACGCCTACCTTTTTCTTTGGTTCTTCCATTTGAAATGAACTTTGCCTTCGCCATCAACCATCTTCTTTTTGTTTCCTTTCTTCATGGTTTCCAATTTGGCAGACATTATAGATTCAACATGTTTCAATTCTTGCTCTTTCTTTAGACGTCTTTGTAAAAGTTTAAACAGTTTCACTTTCTTTTCGTCTATTTTGTCTTTTAATTCTGGTTCGGGGACATTGGCCTTGTTTATAACTCCAGAATTGACATATAACTGGTCTAATTTAAGTCTATTTTCTCTATTTTCCACCAATGATTCATCAGTATTGAAGAATTCTGCTGGATTAAACTGCTGCTGTTCAGACACGGAATCGACAAAAACAGTATGTTTTCCCGACCCTTCAAAAAGTTTGCCATGCTTTTCCTTTTCGATCTTTTTCATTTCATTCAATCTCATTGTTCGTATATAATTGATATCTTGGGTCTTCAACAATTTGACTTGGTCATTACTAAGTTCTTCATTTCCTCGATCAGCAATAAGGATACCACGTTCATCAGTATGACGTTTAGTCATGGAATGGTAGTATTCATCTGGGTTATGTAATTTTGCCTTTTCCTTTAATGCCTTTAATGCTGCCTGTTTCTTATGATAGTCAGCAGCTCTTAGTCTATAATCCTTCTTCTTTTCTAGTAAACCATACTTGGCCCTGCTAGACACCTGCGATCTCTCTCTATGTTGTTTCTTTTGTACATTATGAACTAATTTGGCCATGGTGACTTGATGTTGTATTGATCTGCTCCTTCCTTCAGATGAGCTTCTAATTTTTTTTATTTTATTTTTTTTTTTGGTCTTCGTTGAAAAATTCGGTTTTCAAGAATCAACCGAAGTTAACTTAATTAGGACCAACGTACATATTATGATACCAAGAAGTAAGCTAGTCTCGAGAGCTTACTTGAATCATATTAGGTCTAGTACTCTAGTCCCACGCTCTCACAGGAGAAATCTCCAATCCGAAACACCCATTAACACTGATAAGGTTGGCGAAGAACAAAAGGAAAACCTTGAAAATGAGACTGCAAACGTGTCTGAAACTGTTGAACACGACTCCTCTATACCATGGTACTTGAGAGAAGACGCATCATCACAAATAAGAACCGTTGAAGTTGAATTACCTGAGGTTCCAGAACATGCCCCAGCTACAGTTGCAGATTTCTTACATGTAGTTGGCCAAGAATATGGTATGTCTGACATCAAACTATACGACTTGTCTGAACTACCTGAAGATCACACATACAGCGTCACTAACCAACCATTCAAATACATAATCATATGTTCCGGGAAGCTGGAAAAGCATATTTACAAAGCAGCCTCGGAATTACGATACCGGATCAAACATGAACGGGGATACTTGCCTTCGATGGAAGGAAGAGTTTCTAGTGCATTAAATGCGTTAGCTAGACGTCGTTTGATGAAACGTGCCGGGAAGGGACCAGCAGCCACCGATAACGAATTCGGACTTGGCAAGAACAGTTGGGTGATGTGTGATACTGGGGTTGATGGGATAGTTGTGCACATGTTGACCCCTGACAGAAGAGAACATTTGAAATTGGAGTCCCTCTGGTCCGAACAAGAAGATAATGTGAGTACCGAATCAAGCATTGATAGTGATAGTATCTTCCGAGGATTCAGAAGAAGATTCCACACATCAACTCGTTGTTTTAATGGAAATAAATTAAAGGAAATATATGATTTGTTGTTAGTACAAGAATCCCCTAAGTCTTTACAGCTGCTTAAACAAGAGTTTGATTTATCTTTCAAAGGTTTGAATATCCAAGAATATAATATCAAGTATGATTTCTACAAATCCTTGCATTTACTTGACCCAGAAGCGGTGACTGAACCGGATTTGTTACGAATTGTCTGGGATAAGTACTCTAGTTTATCTCTTGTGTGTGACAACTGGAAACAAGAAATAACACATGATGTGATTAAATATATGGAATTGTTAGTAGACTCCCCTATTGCTTCTCACGAAGAACCTGCAGAAAAATATAACAAGCTTTCCAAGTTTATTTCCCAAATCACACAATTTTCTAATGAAGAAGTCAACTTGTTATCTAACCCGCAATTCCAAAGCTTGCTTTGGAGATTATCATACAATGGTTCAAACGAAGTAGATGCTGCTACCGTGTCGGAAATAATTCAAACAGGCCAACCCACTGAAACCACGTACTCTGAATATTTAGTACTAGATGAAAAGAAATCAAGAGACGCATGGACCTTTATCGAGCAATGCTACCACAAGTCAGGCACTCCAGTACCTGTTTGGTTCAGAGAACAAAAGATGTACACCTACGGGAATTGCGGGAAATGGACTGAGTTCTGGAATGAATGGGATGTCATAGTACAAACTGTTCCAACTGAGCATGTACTCGGTTATTGGGTTAAACTTTTGGTGTATTTAACGGAAAGAAATACAATTGAAGAGTTAAGAAATTTCTTTGTTACATACTGGAACCAGCCACAACGAATGGGATATTCGTTCATAGCTGATTATATCAAACATGGTGAACAATTCACAACCAAAGAAGAAAAGCACGCTATTAAGAGTGCAATTAACAAACTTGCAAGTGAATGCCTGACATTCCCATGGTTCCAACCAGCATCAGATTTTGCATCCAAATTGTAAATAGAAAAAAAAAAATTAATTACGCGGTTGGGCGGAATTGTACATAGTAAAAATTTAACACGCGATTTTATTTCATTACTCATGTATTAGATGTAAACACCAGTGAACGTTGAATGGACATAACAGAACTCAAGAGGAAGATTAAGAACTGGGAACATGAGTTCCAGAAGAAAAACAACCGGCTTCCTTCCAAGTCTGATGTAAAAGGAAATCCAGAAATATCCAAGCTCTATTCACTATACAAAACCACCAAACTGGGCAAGACGGCAGTACCGTCGAAGCCACCACAACCACCTCCACAATCACCACATAAACCAATCCCTGCATCTCCTGGTATGGAACTAGGTCCAACGCCACAAGCGAATGGAAAAGTACTATCTATATTTGACTACAGAATGACTCCACCCGAATCATCACCACTAAAACGAAAATCAACAATTACCGAAATGCTGCCGGCACGTCAGAACATGGGCCCACCAGAGTCTCCAATCAAGAAAATTCAAATGGAAACACCAACCAAGCCCAAGGTCAGACAGCTCAATTTTGTAACTCCCACCAAGAAACCCACAAAAATCAACTTCGAAACTCCCGATTACCTTTCTCACGGTGTAAGAGCCTTACAACAAGATCCCACCACACCTGCATCCGGTAGAAAATTGAACTTTGCGGCTGTATTTCTGGTATCTCCATCTCCACTTAAAATTAACCGGTTTGGTAAGAAATTAGCAGATGTTTACAATGCATCTGTTCATGAAATGGATATGGAAATTCCTGAAATGAGCGATGAAGAACATAGTGAAGAGGATGTGGCTCAAGAAGATGAGGATGGAACAATTACTACTTATAGGAAAAAGAAGACTCAGAAACGACTGACTAGAAGAAGCAAATTAGCACCTGTGTTTATGGACCAAGACGCTCCGCAGAATGTAAATGTTCAAGAAGAAATGACCAAGATTGAACAACAAGAAAAGAAGAGATTGGCTTCGTATATCAATTCAGATGTTGAGTCTGAAGAGGAAGAAAGTAATGTATTTGTTGATACTACTGTCAAGAAAACTAGAAAGCCAGTGGCTGACAATTACAAGAGATTGAAGATTAATGATGCAAGATCACGTCACTTTAAACGAAGAATGAGACGATAAATTATTTATGTAATTAATGTGGCTATCAAGTCTTCTGCATCTTCTTGTGCAAACTGCACTCTATTCTTGGCGTTGACAAGTGGTTCAGGCGAACTAACAGGAACTTCTGAGCCGGTAGTGAAATAGACCGGCTTCTGCCACTTAAGCTTGTCATTTTCGTAATCCCAAATTTGGTTGTTGCCATTATTAGCTTCTGCGGCTTTTTTCTGCTTTATAGATTCTTGTAATCTAAGCTCTTCTTCAGATGCTTGCTCCTTCTTAGATACATATTTTTCAACCATGGTTACTTTACCATCCTTAATAGACATTTCCACAACCCTTTCCCCGCGTAATTTTCGTTCCTTCTCCTTCTCGGCTTCCTGTCTTAATCTTTGTTGCTTCTTCAAGTTTAATGCTCTTTCTTCTGGGGTCAACCACAATGTATGTGTGGGCAATTCAAAATCAGCAGCATTGTCAATTATTTTCGTTCTTTCTGCCCCGGTTTCTTGGTAGTTCAACAAAGTTTCTAGTCTCTTTTGGGCATTCTCAAGATCAGCATCTGTTTGGGAAGAACCTTCAACTGGAACTTCAAATTCTTCGTCCTTTAATGCCTCTTCTTTCTTCTTTAGTTCTTTCTCTGCTTCTTTGAATGCTCTATCTTGAGCTTCCCAAAACTTCTCTCCTGTATTCATTTTCACAACAATCTTCTTTTTGGATTTCGTAGATGGCAGTTGTGTCATGGGTGTAGGAGACAACAATAAGTCTTCTCTTTCCTTAGCCAACAACTTTATAATTTCATCCTTATCCTTACTAGGTATAATATCAGCACCACAGAATGAACAAGGTTGTAATCCTTCTTTAGTACATATTATCTTGCCGCAATTCAAACAATTAGGAGCAATTTCAAAAAGGGGGTGTTTCCTTGCCATACAATTACAATACCTTCTCTCTTTGGGATTAGTCACGGCCGCTTCAGTTTCTAAATCATGCAATATCGATTCAATTTCTTCTATATTGGCCAAATTTTTCTTTTTGAGTCTGGGACCAGAACCTATTATCGTATCTTCATTCTTGGACTTTAGTAATTGAGAAGTAGTTTTAGATTTAGGGTTAGATTTGGACATTGTTGGATATAGTAGTAGTACATGAGTCTTTGGTCTCCCAAAAAGCAAAAAAAAAAAAGAAATAGACAACCAAAAAAATTTGGCATTCTGTAGATGCAACACTTCACATCAACAGCGGTAAGTTAACACAAGCATGTCTGCTCCTAATGAAGGAGACTCTACGGAGCTTAAACTCAAGTACCAAGAAATAGCAGCCTTGAAGAAAGCGATAGCTGAGAAACAACAACTAAAGGATATTCAACAGAAACTACAACTAAGAAGAAATGTGATGCTACAAAAGAAGAGACATCAAAAGAAATATAGAAACATGACCCTTGTCATGAATAATAGTTCACCTCAAATACCGCATGAATCATCATCCAATGGGAACAGCTTGCAGAATCTGCAATCTGCTTCCGGATATGTGAGTGTAGTATCCAAGGGGGCGATGTCATTCATTAACCAATCAATCTACAACGATAATGTCAAACGTAGACAAGAACAAGCTGAAGCTATCAAACAGAAACAGAAAGAACAGAAGATTATTCAAAGAATCCAAAATAGAATTCTGAAATTCAAGGTTCAATTTGCATTTTGCGATAGAGTTAAAATCAACGGAGAGAAATTTGCTATTGTTAAACATGGTAGAGTGCTTGCTCCTTTGAGTTACCCTCAAATGAGTAATCCAAGCGAGATTGTATGGAATCATGAAGATTATATCAGGAAAGGTTCTGGAGCCTTTAAAATGAAGACAAACCGAAAGTCTAAACAGTATGTAACTTTGCAACAACTGTTGCTACATTGAAATACTAACTCATTATTATAGCAAAACAAGAGACCCTTGTCGATATTTTACAATGACAGGTGAGTATATTTATTTCAATATTTGCTAATTTGTTTTACTAACAGTATTGATTCATTTTTTGAATCTTTCAATGGTTAATTTAGGCTTTTGTCAGAAAGGTTCAACATGTAAATATATCCATGACAAGAACAAAATAAAGATATGTCCTTTATTCTTAAGTGGTAAGTGTTTTAACAGGAACTGTTTATTATCCCATTCATGCAATGACAACAACACTGCCATGTGTCGATATTTCTTGGAATATAAGTGCCATAACTCCAATTGCAAATATAGACACATGAAACCTCCTCATTATGATGATCCAAATTATGAAATTTGGACATGTCGACCATTCGCAATTGGAGGTTGGTGTCCTCGAGGGAAAAGATGTCCATTCTTGCATTTACCAAATTGTCCTGATTTTGAAGAGAATGGATATTGTTCACGGAAGCAAGAATGTCCATTTAATCATCAAGTGACTTTGCGTACGCAAGAACAAATATCTACTCGTTCAAACAAGTATATCCGAGAAGAGGTAGAAGTTGAAACACAAAAAGATGACAAACCGGAAAAGATAATCATCAGTAGTTATACAGTTGATCCCGAAGTTTTATTCATCAACGACACAACTAGCAATTACCAGTATTACATTGACAATACCGCGCAAGAATTAAGATCCAAAGAAGATGCACCTCTGAGTGAGTTTTTGATTGAAATTTCAGACACAGAATCAGAGTTTTCCTTAGACGAAGACCAACTAGAAGGTAATGATGATTATGTAAGTATATGACATCGTAACCTGCCTACTTTTCTCCAACTCTATACCTAAATAGGTTAATAAAAATAGCATACTAAAAATCGTCTTCGCATTTCTTTTTTTTTTTTTTTGCTCTTATGTTTTCCTTTCGATTCCTGTGGATGTTTCAGATTAAAAAAAATGTTGCAAAAAAAAGATCCAGGGTGATTCCCCTAGATCTTTAGCCGCCACGATTGTTACCTCGTTACCAATTACTACGACGTCGATCAATTGAACAAAGTCAAAGTCCCATCAGCAATTGATTCGTCTCATATTTCCACAACTCCATCATGTACAAAACATCAATTCCCCTTGATATTGATTCACCGCCAAAAAACTTGCCACTTGAATCATATAAACTGAAGTATCAACCAATCAGCACTTTAGGAAATGGCAGCTTTGGAACAGTGGATTTGGTAAAGTTTAAATTCCACAAGTTTCACTTGTTGAAGTATCATGATGATAAAAAGGGCACCTTGTTGTATCCTTTAGAAGATTCCAAGTATAATTTGTCTAATCTTGTTGCAATCAAAACAATGAAAAAGAGACTACCATTGCTTCACGACTACAAAAATGTTAAAGAAGTCAAGTTCATATTATCAGTCCAGTCCCATCCATGTCTTGTACAGATTTATGAAATGTTTATTGATGATGTTAGATACCAGCTTCATATTTCCATGGAGGCTTTGAATCAAAATTTGTACCAGTTGATTAGAAGTAGAAGAAACATCCAGTTTTCTTCGCCAACTTTGAAAAGCATCCTAAGTCAATTACTTTGTGGCATTAAACATATTCACAAGTTTAACTACTTTCATCGTGATATCAAGCCTGAAAATATCCTCATCATTTCAACCCAACAGTTTTATGGCTCCAAAGAAGGTATTCCCCCTTATAGAAAAAATGATAATTTTATTGTCAAGTTAGCCGACTATGGCTTAGCCAGACATGTTACCAATCTAAAACCTTATACTGCATATGTTTCCACGAGATGGTATAGATCTCCCGAAATCTTACTAAGACAAAAATCATACTCGCAACCACTTGATATTTGGGCGTTTGGCGCTGTTGCTGCTGAAATTGCGAATTTTACCCCATTGTTTCCCGGTAGTAACGAACTAGAACAGATTTGGAAAATTCTTCGAGTTCTTGGCTCACCATTAGTACCTGAAACGTCCAATAACAAATACGTGATTCCTCTTGGCGGCTACTGGAAAGATGCGCAAATGTTGGCACACAATCTCGGATTTGTTTTTCCGGAGGAAACCGGATTAACTATTGATGAAGTCATTCATAATCCTAATTTGGGACAGTTGGCTGAAGTTATTCAACTGTGTCTCTTATGGGATCCAAATCTTAGACCTACTGCAGTTGAAGTCAGTAGGATGGCTTATTTTAAAGAAAGTGTCAGTTTACTAGATAGATATTTTGATAACGATATCCCCATCCAAGTCACATTGAATAAATTTTCAGGAATACCATCAAACCCCGGAGTATCTTCCAATTATACAACAGCATTTAATGACATGACAACAGATACCGTAGGATCATCCACCAAAAAAATCCTTACACCAACCCAGACAAAACGGTCATCTAACCGAAAGAATGTAATTCATAGTGACTGTGATTTTACGAAATTTTATGATGACCCTAATGCAACAGGTGAGGAAAATTATTTTTCGGGTTATGTTGCAGAATCTGACAAGATACAGCCCAGTTCTGGAAATACAAATGACATTTATAATATATGTCATGCGTGGATGAATAAAGAAAATAAGGTTAATATTTCTTCGCCTGCATCGGATAAAGAGCCTCGGATTGAATACAAAACTTCGGTTGTCCCTAATAAACCATCGTTTACTAGATTTTCCCTAGAAAGTGAGGAGGTGATGAACCTTTGAGTTGGGCATTCCCCCACTATTTCCCGTTTAGTATATTTTTTTTTTTTTGCCCTGCCCCACAAATGAATTACAATAGAAGGAAATTAAAGAGAGAGAAAAAAAATCATATGGTGACGCAACACTCCGCTAAATCGGGACTAAAATGTATGACGGAAAAATAAATAAAAATAGAAATTAAAAACTGATACGTGCACTGTTACAGAGGCAAAATTGGTTAAGAAATTTTTCCTTTGTCACTTGTCAGTGGTTACGTGGTTATTATTGTTTCTGGGGTTAGTGTTTCTGTGTTGATGTTAAGATATAAAGGGAACTTTTAATTCCTTTTCCTTGGTTTTTCTTTTTTTGCTTCAACATTCTTTTTTGCTTATTCACTACAACAACAAATAACATATACTACTCCTATTTACTATAACAAGGAAACTTATTTACAGATATCACAACATACTATAACTCATTAATATTACAAAATGTGCATTGCAATAGCTACTACAAATCATCCAGATTTCCCGTTCATACTATTATCAAATAGAGATGAATTTTTTAAGAGACCAACCATGCCTGTCCACTTTAGATCGATAGAGAACGGTATCAAGTTGCTATCACCGTTGGATTTAGCAAGACCGGAACATGGGACTTGGATAGGTGTTACAACCAGTGGTAAGGTTGCAGTATTAGTCAACTACCATGAAGCTGACTCTTCAAGTATGTTTCAATATATTTTTTTTTTTGTGTTAGAGATTAGCCCCCACTTTCCGGGGATTCTCTAAGGCGATCTTTTTTCTTTTTTTTTTTTGAAGGGGGGTGATTACTAACAAATATTTTTTAGGAGCTATCGGTGAGATATCAAGAGGAATATTACCATTGGATTATCTTTGTTCAACCGAGCTGGATGACGAATGGAGAGAGAATCTTGAAAAGGTTCAACTAGATAAGATTGGAGGGTTCACTTTATTATATGGCCAACTATCGTTAGATCCAAACACGTCAAAGATAAATAATTTGAATATTGTTAGTAACCGTGGGGAACATGGAAAAGTATTCCAATCTGATGGTGCAAAAACTGAGGATGAAATTGCATGCAAATCAACGTTTGGATTATCAAATTCGTTATACAACGAACCATGGAAAAAGGTTAAAATTGGTGAAGGTTTATTGGATAAATTAATAGACGAGTCCGTTGAAAAGGGCTATTCTCAAGAAGTATTGGTTGATAAATGCTTTGACTTATTGAGTAACGATACTTATGATCGAAATATCATTGATAGTAAAGATTTTGAAAAGAAAATTATTGCCTTACGGGATTCTGTATTTATCCCACCATTAATTAGAGCTGGAATGAAACGAGATTGCATTGCAGTTGGAAAATATTATGGTACACGTACTCAAACTATTATTTTACTAGATAAGACTGGGCATCTTAACTATTACGAAAAGAATATTCATAATTCCGATGATTTGGTCGAAGAAGATATGGTTGCCCATTACAAATTTAGCATTTTGCATCATCCAAATGGTGTTATGAAAAGGTGACTTAGTTTGTCTTAGATATATAATTTTCACCTAATAAACCAAAGTCATATATTACTAAATTAATTTTTTGAATTTGATACTACCGTACTCGTAATTTATTCCTGATTTCTTTTTATGTATATAGGCAAATATTCCAACATTGCATTTATATGATCTGGTATCAAAAATGGAGACTTTGTTGTTTTTAGCATTACTAGTTGAACACAAGCACCAAGAGCTGGTTTCCTGACGGAAGTCACAAGGGGAGAAATCAGAAATTTAATTTCTTGTTTTGTTTAGGTTAAGAAAAAGAGTTATATTGATTAAAGGTAAAACCAATTAAGATAGAACCAATTTTATGTTACATCATGGAAGAAAGCATGTGAAAGGGGGAAAAAAATTATGATTTTATTGTCCTCCAGATAGCTGCTTAGCCAGGATTAATCAGAGGTCAAGAAGACGGCTCTTTAGGCAAGAGTTGTTAAGTAGCCCAAATCAGCAGACTCTGTTAGGACCTTTTCTGTACTTCCAAATGCTAAATTGTACATATTATTTAGAAAATAATTACCAGTTTAAATGACGCGTTAATAAAAGAAATAGGGCCAACTGTCAAAAAAGTCTTTGATTTTATGTTCTTCATTTTGCTTGTCAAGTTTCTTGTTGTATTTTTCTTAGCTTTGTTAGTTATCGTGATGTTACAATGCTAGGTAAGCCTCGGCTATATTTTGGTGTTGTAATGTTATGACAAACCTCTGCAATATTTGCCTTGAATAGTAACTTCGGATACATTGCACAAAGGGGTTATGTTTGTTCTTACAAAATTGAAAACATCTTGTTACTTTGGAGATTAGAGATAAGTGCAGATTGAATGCCTTGACGCATTCACAAGCTCTTCGGAACTCTAGTCTGGGATCCAACTATAATAGCCGTGATCATAATGTTGGTGAAAATAATCGACATGATGTAGGACCTATAAATCCCATTGGTAAAGATAAATCAATATCTACTATTACCTGTATTCTCTTTAGCGATGTATCATTCACTTCGCCCTCGATTTTTGGTGGTTGCTGTTGTTCTTGTCACAAACTTGCTGGTTTAACTTATTTTCATTATTTGCTTTAAGTATTTTAATAAATGGTCCCTTAAATCGAACAAAGATTTTCTTGTAAGTAAGTACCGAATAGTAGAATTAACTATTTTGGATCATCCGTATAGTAGTTCTGACTATACCTCTTGGTAATTTTGCAGCTAAAATAAACTGCAAATGGTTTGGTTACTCGGCTTTATTTTTTTGGTTTGGAGAAAAAAAAAATCTTGAAATATTACAAAACGTTTATTGATCCGAAGGCACCGTCACAAACGGAAATACTGAGTCAAACACAACAACCATGCTTAACCTTTTGGATATCGAGCCCAAGACTACCATATACCATAAACTACCTTTAAAAAACCTTGATGGCGATGAATGTGATTTATTATTGATGATCCCGGGTAATCCAGGTTTAATAGAGTTTTATATGACTTATCTTGATTTAATCCAAGAGCAATTCCCATACATGGAGATTCTTGGAATTAGCCATGCCGGATTTTCTGGATCTGCAATATCTGAAAAAACGTACGATTTAAGCTTTCAAATAAGCCATAAGTATGATATAGTTAAGAAATTTATATTAGACAAATATGCTAGTGCGGGGAAGAAAACCAATCTTTACACATTGGCACATTCTATGGGTTGTTATGTCTACCAGCGTGCTCTTTGGGAAATTCTCCATGATAAAGAACTTGATGGGAAGGTTACAGTTAAATTTAGTGGATTGATTACTCCTACAATTTTAGATATTGCCCAGTCACCCCTGGGAACAAAAGTGAATTTTATGATAAATTGGAATATCCCATTTATTTGGTTTGCGTTATTATTATGCAGCTTTTTAAACTTAATTTTGAGTGAAGAAGCCATGCAAAATGTTGTGGCATTACGGTTAATCCCGCGACGCAAGAGAAAAGCTCTTGGCGTGGAAAATTCAATTGTTGGGGGAGTTAAGCTTTTAAAGTCTAAAGAAATAATTAACCAAGCTTTGACATTAGCACTGGAAGAAATGAAGGAGATCAATCTGGATCATAAAATAAACGATTGGTACTTTCATCATTTGCTGGATAAAAAATGGGTTTTCTTTGCCAATAAAGATCGTTGGATCGGTAACAAAACCAGAGAATATTTAATCCAACAATATGGAAATGGCTCTGGGCAGAAATTTGAAATTTGTAACAACAAATCTGAACCTATTATGCATAATTTCTGTGTTAGTCAAAGTGAAGAATTTGCTGATATTACTGTGAACAGAATTAAGGCGCTTTGTGAGTCAGACTAATATATGGAAATATAAATCCGGTTGTTTGTTGGGTAGTCGCACTATTGTTAAAAGTTTCAAATGCGCCTTTTCGTGATAGATTCATTGTTTATTTCGTAGTTATTGCCGTATGATATTGTATATACACCGTTTTAATTGGGTTATTTTCATTGTAAATCTTGACTCAAATTGACTCAGGTTAATTTCAGGGAAAAAAATATTGTCAAAATCATGACTCGTAGTCATTGCGCATCATCATCATCCACTGCTCAAGAAAAAACATGAGCCTCCGCTCAACAAAAATTAATTTGCATCTTCCTTTCTTCTTTTCACCAGAGCTGTATTTGTGACTAATTCACAAGAGGTGTATAAATAAGGGTAAGATTTTCCTTTAATTCTCTGTTTAATTTCAATTGTATCTATAAAAATAACTTACATTTGTGAGTTTATTTGAAATTTAACCATGAGTTACCTGTCAGACGAAGAATCAAGACAAGCAAAGACAATTGCTGCTGAAAATAATTCACAAATTATTAAATCTTTTGAACAAGATGAAGAATCTTGTGTTGCTGTTGAGGAGGTTAATGTAAAGGAACTTGATAAAGTTTACCGTCGGTTGGATTATAGAATTATCCCTGCTTTATGGTGTCTTTATTTCCTTACTTCATTTGGTTCTAGTGCTTATGGTCTTACCTTAACTATGAATAAGGAAGTTGGCCATTCTCTTACTCAATCATTGAAGCTTTCCAGTCATCACACTGCTACTGCCCTGGCTCTTTATTATGTTGGTTATATTCTCTTTGATGTACCTATGAACCTTGTCATGACCAAGGTTCACCCTCAAACTTGGCTTTCGAGAATTGTGATCACTGTTGGTTTTGTTTATGCTTGTTATTCGGTTCTTCACAATGCTGGTGGTCTTATTGCTGCTCGTTTCATTAGTGGTTTGGTTGGTGCTGGTACTTGGCCAGGTATGAGTTATTATATTTCCCTTTGGTACCCTAATGATAGACTGACCAGACGTATTGGGTACTATTTCACTGCTGCACAAATTTCAGCTGCTGTTGCAGGGTTGGTTAGTGCCGGTTTCCAAAAAATGGATGGTATGAGAGGCTATATGGGCTGGCAATGGATGTACTTGGTTTATGGAACTGTCACTGTGTGTGTTGGTATTTCATTGTTATGGTGGTTGCCAGATAGGCCATTTGCTAAGCCAAGTGAGTCCACTAACAAGTTTAAACAATTTTACTTTACTTTCTTCAAATCCCCACATCCATTAAGTGGAACCCAAAGAGAATTGCATAGAAAGGATCTTGAACACAGATACAAGCTTTTGAAATGGACTTGGAAGGATGTTTCACTCATCATCACTGACTTGCGTATTTGGCCAATCATTATCATGTATTTTGGAGTTGTTGGTACTGGGTTTGGTTTAGCTGTGTTTGGATCAACAATTATTGCCGTAAACAATCCACGCTTGTCCTCAATTCAGGTTTCGTTATTGTATGCTCCAATCTGGTTATTTGACCTTGGTGGAATCTTGATCCTTACCCCATTTGCTGACAAATACAAGAGATTTCGTGCTGCTATTTTCAGTGGTGCCTGTTTAATTATTATGACTGGGATGTTTGTTACTACATTTGCTCATGGATCTTGGAACAAATATGCAGGATTGTTGATTGCAGGATTTGGCTTAGGTCCAACCGTCCCCATCTGTATGTCTTGGAGTGCCGAGATTTTCCAACCGCGTTATGGAGATGTTGGTACTGCTGTCAGTGCCGCTTTAGTCAGTGGTTTGGGTAATTTAGGTTCGGTTACTGCTACATATGCATTGTACCTGGGATGGCCTGCTGATGTTCCCAGATTATTCAAGTACTCCAATATGATGTTGGTGGTTATGTTGGGTGTGAGTATAATTGCATCGGGAGTTTGTCACTTAATTAGAAACAAGGTGAGACAATAGTAAAGAGAGGTCAATTGCTTAGTTGTATCTACATAAATTACGTTGAACTTGTAAAAAGGAAATATTAATAAACGTTTTGCATATATGATCAAATTTTTCATGGGAAATCAGGAAAATTCATCAAGGTGGGAAATGTCTTGGTTCCTGTAAATATGATGTAAGAGGGGGGGGCAAAACACACCTACATGTAGTTCGGGCTAATTTTCCCTTGTTGTGTCCTTTTCCTGAAACAGGTTTTGAGTAATTTCCGCAAAAGTTTAGGATATTTGACCAGTAACAATAAGAAATTAACAAGAGAGACATTTCCGATTCCACTCATATATCCGAGCCAGTCACATACAAAATACTAGTAAGATCCCAATTTTGTTTTTGCGTTATTTTATGTACGATCTAAAGCAGCGGTTTTTTTATTTTCTTCTGTAAATTGATGGGGATTAGGTGAAATGGCACATTTCCGGTGCGTTAATAAAAAATAATTCAAATTTCCGGTGTTTTGCACCCTTTGTTTAGGAAATCCACTTAAGCGTATTTGACTTCGACGCATGGTTTGTGTACACTACTACCCCTCTGTGGGGGCAGAGACTAGATTTATTTTAGTATTTAAAACAACGGACAGAAGGAGTCAATCATACGATTCAAGGAAGTGTGGTTTTTCGTTATCACAACGTATATGTACAATGTAAAAGAAACGGGTGTGGAATAACTACCAACATGAGATGTAGGCTAATTCCACACTCGCACCGTTCTAGCCATTGTTGTTATTAGCAGATTTCCAAGGCGTGGGATTATTTGTCAGCGCTGCTGCGGCCGAGTAGAATGGGTATGGCACGTACGGCAAAAATTGCTTTTTGCACCGCAACATTAGTAAAAAGTTAATAAAACCTACAGGTTTTAGCCGATTCAGCAATCTACCGAGAAAAGATTGTGTTATATTTCTATTTTGCAGATTTTGTGACAATTCTGTTGGGTCGATGTGTGGGTTAATCAACAATTATCCACGGAATATTGCGAAAATTGATCTTAATCGAGAAAATGGTACACCCGAAAGTAGCAAACTGTAGTTAGCGTGTTTTAACTCCATGGTTCATGTTTATCTCCAGAGAATTAGATAATTTCATCACTAATGCATGGCAAGACCCCACAGGTCAACTAATTGTTGTTTTTGTAGAAGAAAAAAATTATATTGGCAGGTTATGGGCAGACGGTCACATTCTATAAATACACAAAATAATCCAATTTTTTCCTACTCAAGCAATATCCGACCCACAGAGATCTGTAGTTAAGTATAATTTCTTTTTATAAGTATGACATTCAGTTCGACAATTAAGGCATCTGTTATTTCCGGCTCTCTCGAAGAGAATCAATTAGCCACTGTTAAGGAAATTGAGCTTCCTCCTATCAAGCCATACCAATTATTGATTAAATCTGAAGCATTTGCCGTTAACCCTACTGATTGGAAACACATTTTATATGGATTAGGTAAACCTAATAACATCATTGGATCCGATGTTAGTGGGGTTGTTGTTGAGGTAGGTTCTGAAGTTGAAGGATTCAAAGTCGGGGATTACGTTAATGCTTTCGTTCGTGGTAATACTTCTGATACTGAAGGTGCCTGGGGTGAATATGCTATCATTAACCCTAAGGTTACTGTCAAGTATGATCATGAATTGAAGCATACCGAAAGTAATGAAGCTGGTCTTATCAACTCGTTTGAAGGAGCTGCTAGTGTAGGTTTGGGTTTGGTTACTGTTGCATTGTCATTCTCCCATTACTTGAACATTGACTATGATCAGGCTAAGAATAAAGACAAGCATATCTTGATTTGGGGTGGTGCTGGGGCCACAGGTACCCTTGCCATTCAAATTGCTAAGTTGGTCTACGGATTGAAAGTTATTACTACTGCATCACCAAAGAACCACAAGTACTTGAAATCCTTAGGTGCTGACTACGTCTTTGATTACAATGATGATAAGGTTGTTGAACAAATCAAGGAAGTTGGTAACAACAAGATTGTTTATGCATTAGACACGATTGCTTTCCCAGAAACTTTCCAAAAAGTTTATGATGCCACTGAAGGTGCTCCAGAAGTATTCTTAGATTCATTATTAGGGGTTGATGGGTCAGTTATTGAAACCAAGCAAGAAAGGGTTGTCCATTACGGATACACTTTAGCTTATAATGTCCTTGATAAAGAAGTTGTTTTGGGTCCTGTTACCTTCAAACAAACTCCAGAATTGTTAGCCAACTACGAAGAATTCTGGAAACAATATTTACCAAAGTATCTTGACCAAATCAAACATGCCAACTTGTTGATCTTGAAGCCAGGTTTGGAAAGTGCTAATGAAGCTTTGGAATTACTGAAACAAGGTAAAGTTTCAGGTCAAAAGGTTGTCTTTAGATTATAATGTTAGACTTGTATTATTTTGTTGTTCTGTCGTATATGGGCATTTATGAATATATAGCTTGAATTTTACATGAAAGTTGTAAGCAGTATAGTTATGTTAGTGTCTGTAGAATGGAGCATTAGGAGCTTGCAAACGTTTGACCCAACAAGTGCCGTGTTGGGCATTGTTGATAATTTTTCATTGTTGTCCAAGATATTTCTGACGTTGTTACCCGAATATTTTCATTACTACTACCACCTGTATACCACTATACTACACGAAATAGCACTTTTTATGGATGTTGTCTGTCATTAAAACCGGCTCGGGATCTTTTGAAGTCAGTTTAAGTGCTTGTTCTGGTCCGTAGTCGGAAAGTTTCAGAATTTCAACAAATTATCCTTCAGAAAACGTAATTTCAAGTACATACGAATGTCTGGTTTAGCTGTAAATGATTTTTAATGTGATAAATCTACCTCGCTAATTCATTACTTTGTCCAGAAAGGAGTCCGGGGGGGGTATGAAAGGTGTTTATAGCGTTTAGCTTACTACGAGAGATGCTTTTAAGATCAGCAAAGATTCATAGTAATTGGGTAATGGGTCTAAATATGTTTAAAAGCTTCCTGTACGTCACATAATAATATACTTTGATATGTATTTAATTAAGTCAGGACTAATGTTAACAAGTTTACTACCTATTCCTGGTATTGCTAATAAACAGGATTGTCTGACATTGTATCCCATCCAACATGATCTTGAGGAGAGTTGAACACCTACTACCATTCAGAATTGCCTTCATCCATCGAGTAATCTACGCTAAGCTTTTGGAACTATTAAGTGAAAACCTGTTCCAGAATTGATACGCATTCCATAGCCCGTCCATGAACAACAGAAGAAAGAATGGTATGTGAGTGCAAATTTTATGTTATGGGGAAATCACAAAGTATTAATATACGTCTAGACTGAGAAAGGTTTAATATCACGGCCCAGATTATCGATGATGTATACCTTTTGCAACTAATGAGAATTATACTTGGAAAGACATAGGCTATGTTAACTGACACATAACAACATCATCCAACAACCATGAATTAGAGACTAGCTTAAATATAATAGAGAAGAAGGGCACATAATCAAGGCTAGGATTTGACAATGTTTCTTCCTTACACTTTCTGCACAAATTGATGGCAAATGAAGAACAGGGCGTTAGCAGCAAGAAAATACTGCTTCATTCTAAATTAGATTGCAATGTAGTTGATGTAATTGCTATGCAACATATTCCCTATGAATTCAATTCGGGAACAAGAATCTTTATTGAAACAGCAAGATGAACTGAATGGTAGTTCTCTTGAAGGTATACTTGGTAACTCGCAAACATAAGTTAAGATAACTATATCACACTCTAAATTTACAAGGCTCATGCGCAAGTAATACAGGTATAATCACAATATTTTAGAATAAAATACTCAATTTTATAGCATAACTGTTTCCGATCATACATATGCTTGATCACAGTTGTAGACTGTATCTAAGGCTTTATGTTCATTCTCTATTCGACAGATTGTCTATCGTGTTGGTAAATGTGCCATTTGATTGGCTAAAATATTTTCCAAAAAATTCGCAATAAATTGCAAAAAAATATAACACCCACATTTAGATTGCACTGAAATTAGAATAAGTCTATAATAACTACGCATGTATCAACAACACATATAAAGTTATTCAGTTATTACCGCCACCCTCCCCCCACAACCGTAGCGCCATTTAACCTTAAAGTGAAGGCTACTAGGCTGTAATTGTTTTAAAATTAGATTATTGTTTGCACTTGAAATAGACAATAAATGTCACGGAACAAAAAAAACAAAGGACGTTCGGTGGGACAAGTCCCCCCGCAACAGGCCCCACCAAAATCACCGCGAGCCATGATAAGGTTAATACCTGCGGACAGTCCCCCTTAGCACAATTAAGAGTTAGCACATAGTGACATATATAGAAGTTTAATCTAATTACGTTTTTTACAGCTTGATTTCCCAATTAGGAAACAGGTTTGCACCAACATAGCGAGAGAATAAAAAAAAATTGGGTAAACTAAAATTTGAATGACACAATAAATTTTAAGGGAGCGACTGAAAAAGTGTCACACATTTTCTTTGGCGACTTTCAAAATTTTTCAATATCACTCAATTTGATCACAAAAAAAAAATAAATAAAAATAAATCACATAATAAAAATTATCTTCACTATCAAAATAGAAACAAAAGGCAAATCTACAGTTAAAATTGATTACTCTAGAAGCTTACAGCTGGATCAAACAGTTGTTATCCCATACTGTTATCACATACACACTGGCCGTAATCACCCACACCCATTGTCATAGGTTCACTTTCCAACTAGTGTAGCACCACGCTAGTTAATACCGCAAAAAAAGAAAAGCCGTTAAGTTGCGTTAAAGGCTGTGGGACCCTGTAACCCAAAACCTACCACCCAAGCAACCCACACCCGTTAATTAGTCATACCAGATCTCAATCAATCACAGTCCAAATCGTACTTGAGACACTAGAAGCTTGTTCCCGTTTTAAATTTTTTTTTTTCACCTGCATTATCTATAGCACCTACGTTTGCCCACATGGAACCAATCCACTTCACAGTCAACCCTGCATCCGATGATGCCATGTTGAAACTCTGGAAAATAACCTGTAATACTTCTGGCATAACCATGGATGAGATGCCCCAGGGAACATCGCGAATAAACAACCGGACTTGGAGACTTCTAAACAGGAAACTCGTATTGAAACGGGAAACACATCTCAAAACTCACGACTTGAAACAGTCATTCCTTAACAACGTGCCGACCACATTGGAAAATCGAGTATTACTTAGCAATTCATCCAATTTGAGTCTTGGTTCGGAGAAAAAGTCTACACAAAGCAGTAGTATTATATCCAATGACGACAAGAAAGAGAAGGGTGTAGCGTTCCATTTACAAAGTCACGACAATCACGAAGAAGACGAGGGATATCATGAAGATGAATCAGATACAGAGCACGACAAAACCGTATCACCGAAAACAGACTACCTTTCACCAAAGGGTATCCAATCCAAGAGTAATATCTTTTATATTGGAAATTCTCCTTCTCCTTGCACCAGCAAAGAAAATAATCATGGTCAAATTTTGAAACTTAGAAGTTCAATCGATACATCCAATGAAATGAAACACGCCACCATGCAACGACAAGGGTCTTTATTTAGTAATTTTGGATTTTCTCAGGATACTAATAATGATAGCAGACTGCATACCGAAAAACCAGCAGATTCAGATGATGATGATGACGATGGATATTCATCCACTGACATTTCTGAAGACGAGGAGCCTCTCGAGGAGACTGATGAAGAAGATGAAGAGCAAGCAATGCCTTCATCGAAAAGTAGAGACGATAATGAAAGTGAATGGTTATCAGTAAGTTCAGAATCCAATCATCTGGCAGAACACCCACCACCACCGTTAAATTTCCATAAGGTGGACCCATTGCCTATTGCTGTCCAAGGAAAACGCACAAGTGCACCACTTCTCCAAAAACCACGATCTTTATTACTGGGGTTATTCTTGAATGAAATGGCACGAACTAATCTGGTTCCCCCACCACCTGAGAAACCACAACTACTAAGATCACGAACCACGGGGATATTCCATATTGAAAATCAAATGGAAAACAACAAGCCTTCAATTGTATTTACGAATAAGTTCCCGTCGTCGACAGATTTAACTACTTCAGAAGAAGGCACCCCTGTTCCCATGGTAAAACAAGAGACCATAGTGGCGGTTTCTGACGTGAATGCAATATCCACTACTGATCACAAAGAACAAGATCATGCTAGATTATCCACCAGTTTAAACAAGATATCCCGAAGTTTATCCCATCATTCATTTAGAAATTTACTTTCTCGATCACAACTAAACTTGACCAAGATGTACCAAAAGCCTAAACCCAAGCCAGAGTCTATAAAACAACCAACGCCACAAGTGCAACAACCGGTACAACTTAGTCCAAGTTACAGTCCACCTGTGCCTATCGTCCCTCGTCGCCCAGTAACTACCACCACCATTGAACTTAAACCGAATGACAAACTCCTAGATGAAAGTTTAAGTGCATCATTGAAAAAAGCCTTGAGCATTGATTACAAGTTGGGAAAGGTACCTCTTCCAGAAAGAGTGATTGATGACCGAGCAATTGTGGCCGGCCCCGGTGGTGGTTCCCTTGACAGCGACTTTGATGATTACCACTCCAAAGGTTGGTAAAGTAGAAAACAATGTGTATAGAGCGAATATAGAGTGTCTTTAATCTTAATGTAACAAAAACATGCTTCTCATATTCCTGCACAGAAGCAACAGCCATAAAAATAAAAATATTTCAAAATTTTGTAGCTTAACCCTTCACTTGACGACAGTATCACCATGAAGACATGTTATTATGAGCTCTTGGGCGTTGAGCAAACAGCCACCGAGCTAGAGTTGAAGAAAGCATACCGAAGAAAAGCGCTTCAGTTGCACCCGGACAAAAACCCCGACAATGTCGAAGAAGCCAATCATCAATTTTCATTAATCAGCGCTGCCTACGAAGTACTTAGTGATCCCCAGGAGAGATCATGGTATGACTCGCACAAGCTGTCGATTCTTAATGACGAAGACGAGGACGTGGTGGACACGGGAGACTCGCACATCCCTAGCATTTCCGCTGATGAAATCTATAGATTCTTTAACCCCAGTTTGTTCAGCCAGGTTGACGATTCCATCAATGGGTTCTACGTCGTGGCGTCGCGATTGTTTGAACGGTTGGCGAGAGAGGAGATTCAGCACGGGAAGTACGCAAATGTGCCAGGGTATGCGAACTTTCGCGACGACGACAATAACGTGAATGCGTTGGACCCCTCCTTGCTCAAGTTTCCGTTGTTTGGAAACAGCAAGTCGCTGTATGTTCACTATGTGAGAAAGTTTTATAATGTATGGAGTGGATTCAGCACTGTGAAGTCATTTGCATGGCGGGATGAATATCGATATTCAAGTGCCCCAGATCGTAGGACTCGTCGATTAATGGAGCGGGAAAACAAGCGATTACGAGACGTGGCCAGGAAGGAATACAATGAAGTGGTGAAAAAGTTTGTGGCATTTATAAAGAAAAGAGACCCCAGAGTCAAGTCGGGTCAAGAAGAGTTTGAGAAACAAAGAAAGAAGAAACAGATGGAAGAGTATAGGAATCAGATTAAACAGCTGGCATTAGACAAGTTGAGACTGACAGGCGAGTTTCAAGAACAGGATTGGCAGAAGTTAACCGCAGATGAATTGGAAGATATTGAAGAGTTACTTAAGCAAGAATACGAGGCGTCTTCAGATTCAGAATTTGATGATTTTGAAGATGGCGAGGAGGAAGACGAGGAGATTTATGAATGTATTATATGTGATAAATTCTTCAAGAATGAGCAACAGTTTGAAATACACGAAGCATCAAAGAAACATAAGAAAGCAGTTAGACAAATGCAGTATGAAATGAGACAGGAAGGAATAGAATTGGGTATCGATAAAGATGATATAGATTTGGATGAATTCGAAACTGCATCAAGTGGGTTCCTGGAGGACGATATCGATGATGAACTAGAAATTGAAGACATAGAGGATATAGAAGATATTGAGAACATAAAAGAAGAAGCCAAAGAAGTTGAGCAAGAACCTTCTCCAGTTAAATTAGACAACTTTGAAGTTGATGATGAAATCAACAGCGACGACGAAGCAGAATCTAAGCAACCCAAGATAGATGCAGATTTAGCCAGACTAATGGAACATACAAAACTAGATGATGATGATGACGATGACTGGTCAGACAACAAAAAGAAGAGCAAGAAGCAAAAGAAGAAAAGTAAAGGTGGATCAAAAGAGGCTACACCTAAACCAGACACAAAACTAGTCGCTGAGAAATGTTCAGTGTGTAATGAAACCTTTGATTCACGAAACAAGCTATTCGCTCATGTGAAAGCCGAAGGACATGCTGCACCACCACCGAAGTCTAAAAAGAAGAAATCAAAACGTTAGTTATTAATCTATAAAGTTTCCTTAATACCAGTTTTTGACATTTTAACTTTGGCAACAATTGGCTCATTGATACCTTGGTTGCCATGAGCACCTAAACCTTGACCCTTGACCCATCCTAGTTTTTCCAACATTTGTCTACCGACGTTGGATTGATCAATCTCGGGTGCTTCCGCACCAACTATATCTCCTTCTCGAACTCGCGCCTTCAGATCAGCACCTCGGGTGACCTTCTTGGCCTTTTCAGCCTTGTCGGTCTTTGGAGTTCGCTTGACATCTTGTCTATGGAAGATTGGTCTCCCGCGAAGGATTCGATCAATTTGGTCATAGTTAGGGTAATACTTGTATGTAGTTTTGTTCTTGGAAATCTTCAAGTACTTGTTAGTGGATTGCCCACAATTAGTAACACCCATATTGTAATATTTAGCTAATTTCTTTATAGTTTGATGGCCATGTGAATCAAGTTTGGGGAAACTTACACTAGTTCGATTTTCATCCTTTAACAACGACTCAAATTCGTATCTTATATCCTTGATACGTAATGCATCAGGGTACTTTATAAGTAAATCATTATTCATGATTGCTTCTTCTTGAAGTTGTTTCTGTTTCTGGTTTAGCTTGTGCTTTTTGTTTTGCTTGTAGTTTGCCAATTGCCGATGCAAGGATTCTTGTAAATCGTCATCAATGTCCAAATTTTCGAAGGTCGATCTATATTTCGCTGGGGTGTTATTTGAGAAATCGCGATCTCCAAAAGCAAGGAATCCCTGACTGCTCGATTTGGAGTATTGAATGAGTGATTCAAGGTCGTCTTCTTGATCGACTTCTTGTTCCTCCTCTTCGTCTTCGTCTTCAGACTCACTATCATCAGAAATGTACACTTCCGGTTCAGACTCTTCCTCCTCCTGGTCAATCATTCCATTAGTAACAAACGACAAGAACTTGTCAAGACGATGTTCCTTGACACCATGGGCCAACGCAAACTCAATAACTTCCTCTTCGTCAATCCAGGCAAAATCCGAGCCAGTCAATTCAAGACATTTGACATAGTATTGATTGTGAATTCCAAACCGGACGTTTTGCACTTCGATTCTTGATACGTCAAATTCGTAATCTTCCGGGAGGAATCCGTACTCTGGTTCTTGCTCTGGTTCGGGTGTGCTTTCTTCAGTATTTTGTACTGGTTCTGGTTTGATTATAGTTGTGGAAGTTGGAGTGTCGATTATAATGTCTAATGATTGAGTTTGGACTGGTGGTTCTTCTGGCTCAGCTTTGTTAGCTTTTTCGGGTTCTTGGGCCGGTTCCTCGAGTTCTTGTTCCATAGGAGAGTCTGATTCAACCTCGTTAAATTCTTCCAAAGAAGAGTCATTTTCTTCAGTAGGAGAGTCAACTTCTTCGGGAGCATGCCCAGATGGTAGCAGTTGAAACAGACGTCCAGCTATGTTATCTGAATGTGGCTGTAACTGTTCACCTAACTCTTCAGGAGTCTCCTGATGTCCTGATGATCTGATAGGTTCAGGAGATTCATGTCTCATATTATTCTGCCATTTTTGCATTGATGCTTCTAGATAATTTTCATCGTTGTGGTCATCCTCTACTATATCCTCGTCGTCTTCAAACTCTACTGCGTCTTCATCGAAGTAGTCATCATTTTCTTGTGAAGACTCTTCGTCATGCTCCAAGTTAATGCTCTCCACTCCTTCCAACAATGTCTTATTTTTCCTGGCCAATTCGTGCAAGATGGAATTAGGATCATAAACTTCCTTAGCCTTGACAAACAAAACCGGCAGCTTTCGCAACTGTTTCAGCATCCGTTCATCATGATGCGAATTAGTGTATTCCACCACTTGCATCATCTTCCTTCTTCCTTGCGAAATGGGTATCATGACACTTTCGGCAAGGTCAAGTAGTTCGGGATACTCATTGAATTGACCTCGTGGGGGCTGCTGCGATGGACGACCACCACCACCACCATGTTTTGACTTTTTCAGTTTGCGTTTACTGCCGCCGATGTATCCTCCTCTTCCGCTGCCGCCACCGCCGCCACGGTTACCGCGTCTATTACCTCGTCTATTCCCACGCGGCATGTGCTGTGTTGTAATGTAATGTGTAGCAAGCAAATAGTGTAATGAGTGTTTTTATGTTTAGTCACCAGAAAAAGGCCAAGTGTAGAATGAGCCGCACACTCATACCGAAAGAGGCAAATGCGATAACAAAATTTAAACGTGTGTATTTAGTTGCTTCCTTAAACTCCTCCCAACTACACCTTACCACTCATGTCCGAAGAAACAGCCCCCGGCGACACTACTACTACCACCAATGATTCCATCGAAGTCGTGCTTCAAACAAATCTAAATCGATTTACTTCGTTTGTGCGAGAATTGTCAGGGACAACCTCCCAGGAGAATACCCCAGACAACACTGAACCATCCCCTCTTGTTGTACTAGGTGAGCAATACACCAGTTTGGAAGATGCGGAACACAGTATACTGAACAAGCTTTGGCTTTCTTATCGTTGTGGATTTGATCCGATAACGAAAGCACCAGATGGTCCTACCCCAATATCATTCTTTCCCTCACTTGTATTCAACAAGAGGCTATTCACGACAGTAAGGAGTTTGTTTGACCTGGAGAATTTCAACTCCGATGTGGGTTGGGGCTGTATGATCAGAACGTCCCAGAGTTTGCTTGCTAATGCGTTGATGAAGTTGCAACCCAGTGCTGAACACGAGGTTATTAACTTGTTTCAAGATAATATCGCGTCTGCGTTCTCGCTTCACAATTTTATTAGAGTTGCCTCTGAACTGCCATTGGAAGTGAAACCAGGACAATGGTTTGGCCCTAATGCTGCGTCATTATCCACCAAGAAGCTTCTTGATGGCATGAAAGGCAAGACTATACAAGGAGTAAAGTATCCACACGTTTTTATAAGTGAGAATTCGGATTTGTACGATGAAGAAATTGAAGAATTGCTAGTCGAGTCAAGTGTGTTGATACTATTCCCTGTTCGCCTTGGTATTGACAATGTCAACTCTTATTATTATGACTCGATTTTCCAGCTATTGGCGTGCCCATTCACAGTAGGCATATCTGGAGGCAAGCCCTCGTCGAGCTTCTACTTTCTAGGTTATCAAGATCAGGATTTACTATACTTTGACCCTCACCTGCCACAACTTTATGAAAACCCAATAAACTACACCACTTACCATACCAACAACTACCAGCGATTGCACATACACATGCTTGATCCATCAATGATGGTTGGGATATTGGTCAAGGATAAGTCAGAATATAAGGAGTTTAAGCGATGTTGCACAGAGAATGCCAACAAGATAGTCCATTTCCACCCCCAACAATCGCCAGTGATATCGGCTGCTAACCAATCGTGGGAAGTTGTTGAGGATGAAGATGATTTTGTTAATTTGAATGTGGGAAAACTGGAGGAGGACGAGGACGAGGGCGAGGATGAGGGCGAGGATGATTTTGTAGATTTGTCGCCTAGAACTAGGTGAGAATGTACATTATGCTATGTCTAGTGAGATCCAATGTGTACAAAGTAGTCTATTCTCTAAGCTTTGCCTGGTGTTTAAAGGCAATAGCTCGTAGTATTACCGGCGCTACCAAGTACACTGCAAGTAAAAAGATTTGGAGAGTTCAAGAGAAAAATGTTAACCACAGTAACTTCTAACATAGGCAACAACAACAATAATAATGCTAGAGGACAGCCTAAAGATATGTACAGTATGTGCATCCAACAATAACAGATCCATGGAAGCCCACAAACAACTACAAGATGCAGGCTTTGACGTTAAATCGTTTGGAACTGGTTCCGCAGTGCGATTACCTGGACCTTCAATAGACAAACCCAATGTATATGATTTCGGCACACCGTACCAAGTAATATACGACGACTTGATGTCACAGAAATGCCGCAAGATGTATGAGCTGACCGGATTGATCCACATGTTGGACCGGAACCGTCAGGTGAAAACCGCCCCGGAAAAGTGGCATTCTAATTCATATGCGGGCAAATTTGATTTGGTGATTACATGTGAAGAAAGGTGTTTTGATAGTGTGTTGGACGATTTGATGTATAGAATGTATGCCAATGATGATGATGATGCCAATGACGTTAAGAAGATTGTGCATGTGATTAATGTAGATATTAAGGATGATAACGAGAATGCCATTATTGGTGGAAGAGGGATCTTGAAGCTTGTTAACATGATTCATGATTTCAAGAGAAAGAAGCAGGAAGAGAAGGATTATGAAGATGAATCCGATGTTATCTTGGAGGATCAGATGATGGCGATATTGGCCGAATGGCAAAAGGATCATACCCATTTGCCAACAATATACGGGGTGTCATATTACTAAGTTAACTGTATTACGGGAAGCATAATAGAGACCAGTTTGCGACCCGGATAGGCCTAGGCTTGGGCCTTATTTCTCACAGGTCACATTTACATCACATAGAGTTAAAAGTTAAGAAGTCTTAGCAAATTTTGACAACTAATCAACAGCTAAAGTAACATTATACTAATTTATCCTAGGAAAACCAATTCCTACCCTGTTATATATACAAAAGTAGCATATATATATATATATATTAATACAAAAGTTGTATACTCTTCATTGTAGTAAAAAGCATAACCGCGTTTTTTTTTTGCACCGAGAAATTATCAGATGAGCTATAGAAACTAACAATAGTCAACAGTATGTCCAACCCAAACATAAACAGAAAGAAGGCCAGACTATACAACAGTCGTAACATCCGGGCTCAATCAACTGATCCATCTCTTGACTCCAAGGAGAAACTATCGGTGCCCACTTTCCTCGCCTCACGCCAATTCGAAATCAAATCATTTGAATTATCCCAATTAAACTCCAAGAATGCATTGAGTACCCGGATCTTTCAGAGCTTGCCCAGATCATTGCGTCGAAGGGCCGCTTCACATAATGTCAAGAGAATACCTAAACGACTTCGAGTCCGGGCCGTGCGTGAAATGAGCGCTACAGGGCCCGTGAAGCGGATGCCCAAGGGCAGACAATTGTACAAGATCCAATCTGCGAAACGATTGTTGCGAGTGGCAGGGCGGTTGAAGTCCATGAAGCAGATTCCTGAGTTTAAACTGGTTAATATTCGTCAACAGTACAAGCTATTAAGTAAGCAATTGAAGGAGTTAGTAGAGAATAAGAAACTTCCACAAGTTAACAATGCTGTTGGTTCAAGAGATGTGGTTGGGATTAACAAGTTGACCAATGCGCCTTCAGGTAACATCAAGTATTTTAAAAGACAGAGGGACTTTGTATGGTTGCCTACTCATATATGGCACGCGAAGCGATTTAAAATGATCAAGAATCACGGATATCAAATTCCCCATACCCCTACTCAAAAGTGTTTCAAGCTGATGAGCAGACAAGGCAAGACCAAGGCAATTGCATTTGATACGAGCTACTACGGAACAATGATTATCAATATACCTGATAAACAGCTGTACAAGAATGTTTTACACGATCTCATTAGAACAAAATCAACCAAAGTTGTCAATGGAGAAAAGTCATATTATGGATGGATATACATGAATTCCCAACAAATATATCAGGGATACGTCTACTCCAGTCTTGCAAACGGACAAATAATCATAAGGGTGTTTCCATCAGTATATAAAAAACTCTTTAAACACTTTAAAGAAAATGTCAATTGCACCATTCAAGATTGCCGATTTGCCTTGGGAAGTATTGAGTTGACTGGTCCAGCTGCATTATCTTCGTTAAGTAAGATGCTACATTTGCATGATTCCAAGACTATAGAAATCTGGAAACAGTTGACAAGTGTGCAGGATACTGATCTTATACCTATTGGAACAACATTTACATTTGACAGTCAAGACCCACGAATCTTCAAAAGTTTCAAGATGTACAAGTCTGACACAACCAACATCTATGACGTGATTATCTCCCTCCAATCAACGCAGTTAGTTGACCCATCCATAGTCAACCAAATATGTCAATCAGAATCAAGAAACAACTCATACAAGGACCAACTCACAAACAAAGACATTGGAAAATTCCACGCAAACTTAACCTCACAACCAAAGGATATCTCAAAAAGCCATATCCCTGCACTTGTGTCCAAGCTAGCACGCCAAAAATGGATGATTATACTCCCCTGGCATTGGATTCTCCCGTTCTGGCTCACACTCGCCAAGATCCGAGATGTTAAACCAGGGGGGATCCAACAAATATACCAACTCAATTTCGAGAATGGGGTTGGTTCATTCCCACAGGACTTTCCATGGTTGGAAGACGGATGGATATATAATGACATCAATGGCCAAGCTAACTTGTTCAAAGCGAGTAAGTTGCCGAAAAGTCAAGTTACATTGGCTGCAGCTGAAAGCAAAGTGTCAGATGTTTTTGATGCCTACAAATGTGATTGGCATTCCTTGAGGAATATCACGTATATACAAAAATTAAAGAACTTGCCGGAAAAGCTCGAGCTGAAGACCAACTATGCTTCCTTTGAAGGGTTAGAACGGAACATCACGTCTACCCATGATTTAATCCAAGTCGTGAGGAGCTTAAAGGAGGAGATTGTTGATTCTGAACCTGTTATCGAATTATATGATGAGACCAATCCTAACCATAAGCAATTTCATGATAATAGCTCTACTATCGAATCTATTCCTGCAATAGTAAGATCTAAATTGCCAGTTAGACAAGTAAGAGTCACACTTATTGGAGAAGGCACAATATCCAACAATGCAAGAGTATACTCCGACAAAGACGCTTGTGACGTCAATGTTATTGGATTTGTCACTAGTGGAGGAATGAACTTGCGTCAAGGGGCATTCACGGGCATTGGTGCAATCGTTGCTCAAGAATTTAGCAGCCAAATTTACATCAGAAATGTCGGACAGACAAAATTGTATTTAGGTAAACTTGAACTTGTATAGTTACCCGGAAATAGACACAAAAAAAATGTTTGCGCACTATAAATTCACCAGCACAGTGACAAAGAAATTTTCAATTTCTTGTTTCTTTCTTTTCCTCTTCATACTTACCTAGAGATATCACAAGAGATCAAGTAGTCTTGTGATCGTGGGGTATCAGAGACATTGCACCGCGTCATGATACCATCTTGCCAACTTTCCGCTTATGGTTCTTATCAGGTGATTCTTTCGGGAATCGCTGGTTTGGACTGGAAAGTGTGGATCTTTTAATTTTTGATTTACACTAATACTTCTTTGAAGTGAAACTACACATTTTTAGTTTTGTCACGTCGGGCGATTTGGTTGAATTAAAAGTGTGTATATATGTGTGTATACATGTGTGTACATGTATATACGTGTAAGTATATATATGTATTTACTGCTCATGCGAGTTGGTCGGCTACTCCTCCGTTTGGCGTTGGCTGTTCTAATCTTGAATTCTTCCAGATTTTAATTAAAGATTGCTTGAATAAATTAACGTTGTAGTCAATAATCGCTAATGATTTGTCTTGATTGGTGTCGGTGCTTCCCTTTCTAACATCATCATTTCGTATCAATGCAACTAAAGCCAATCCTCTAATCATTTGTTTTAAATATAGTATGGACCCGTTGGACAAGTGACTGATTGATTTAAGCTCCTTGTCTCTTCCACTGGCGACGGCTCCCTTCGTTCTTTCATTCTCAACATACAAGTCATCCAAGTCTATAGTTATATCAATGAATTCAGCACATACCTCATAGGTTTGGATATCAACCGGTGACGAGTCTGTAGCAACGTAAATCTTGGAATTGACATCAAACAAGAAAACCTTGTCTATGCTTGAATGCTGGACCAAATTGTCAAGCATGTTCTCAAGTGAAGGCAACTCGGGAATCAACTTCTGGACTATCCGGGAAAACGCTTCGTATATCGAATGGTCGAAAATTGACGTCAAGTAGAATGACACTTGGACACCTTCCAACCCCAAATCCAACAATTCATCCCCAGTCCGCTGCATGATGTCCCTCTGAGCATCTATTCGGTAATCTTCACTTAATCCATCGATCTTGTGGATCAACACTTCGATATTGATTTTGGGGTTCACCTTGTATGCAAACTCAATAATCATCGACAAGTTAGTCAAGGCGTTAAGGTACTCATCCTGCGAGTCGATCACGTACACCAACGCACCGATACTACTAAACAACCGCTCACTGTCGTAATTTGGCTCAAAGTAGTTTAATTGTCCCGGGAGTTCCATCACCGATAAGTCGATAAGTGATGAGAATTGCTCGGTGGTGGGCTTCGACGTGCTTTCCAAGTAGAGCGTATCTAAAGGCTGCATGTTGTGGAAAACGACTTTGCAGATAGAAGATTTCCCACCTCGACGGAGCCCCATGAGGAGGATGGTTGCATTTGTGTTATCCTTGGCTGTTGGTTCCATTGATGGCGGTGATGACTACTACAACAAAGTGTTAAAGTCGCACCAGAAATTGTGGAATTTTATAAACACTGAAATCACGACATTTCCGCACTACTAATTTACTTATATCAATTTAATCTCTATACAAAAAAGACTCAACTATGGGGTCAATCTCTTTGGATCTCTTGGGAATAAGGAAGCTCTACGGATATTCTTCAAGTCCAAGAAGAACATAACAACTCTTTCTAACCCAATACCACCACCGGCATGTGGAGGACACCCGTAGGTAAAGGCATCAACATATTCTCTCAATCCAGGAACATTTGGATCAACGTCATGGGCTTGGATTCTGGTCTTTAACAATTCAGGATCGTGAATACGTTGGGCACCAGACAAGATTTCTTCCCCTCTCATGAAGAAATCGTAGGAGTTGGAGTATCTTGGGTCTTCTGCATCAGGCATGGTGTAGAATGGACGAACAGCCAATGGGAACTTGTCCAAGATGTAGAAATCGGTGTCATACTTGTCACGAACCAACTTACCCAACAACTTTTCGTTTTCGGTGGATAAATCTTCGAAATCGTCAACTTCCTTACCGGCATCTCTCAACATTTGGATACCTTCCTTGAAGTGAAGTTTAACCATCTTACCATCGGCTGGGATCTTGAATTCTTCGACAGGGAATTGGTTTCTGACGGTGGCAATTTCCTTACCGAATCTGGTCTTTAATTCAGTAAAGATGAAAACAAACAATTCTTCCAAGACGGCCAAGACTTCGTCGTAATGTTCTTCAAACGCCATTTCCAAATCTAAACCAGTGAATTCAGTCATGTGACGGTGGGTGTTTGAGTTTTCGGCTCTGAAGACAGGAGCAATTTCAAAAACACGTTCGAAATCACCAGCAATCAATTGCTGCTTGTACAATTGAGGAGATTGGGCAAGGAAAGCAGAGCCTTTAAAGTAGTTGATCTCGAAAACATTGGAACCACCTTCAGAGGCAGCGGCAATGATCTTTGGAGTGTGGATTTCTGTGAATTGCTTCTTGGACAAGAATTCTCTAAATAATTGACAGACACCAGATTGAATCTTGAAAATGGCTTGGTTGGTTGGTGTTCTCAAATCAATGACTCTGGCATCTAATCTGGTATCCAAATTGACAATTGGTAATCCCTTGGCTTCAGCTTCAGCATCAGATCTGGAAGCGTCTTCAAGCAACAATGGCAATTGTTCTGGGGTTTCTTGGATGGTGTAAATCTTTTCAATTTGAATTTCAACATCTTGAACAGTGGCTGACTTGATCAACTCGTCAACTTTGCTGACTTTACCTTCAATCAAGACAATGGATTCCAAGTTGATAGAACCAGCCCATTTGACCATTCTCTTGGAAATGGCCTTGTCGTCAGTTTCTTTGTTAGTTCTGACCAAAGCTTGGATCAAGTCAGTTTGTTGTCTCAAAGTCAAGAAAACCATAGTGGCACCTTGTTGTCTAGTCTTGTGGATTCTGGCTCTAAAGACGACATGTTCACCATCGTTGGCAGCGGACAAATCCTTGAACTGGATTCTGGTAGTGTTGGTCTTGGTAGAAGAGTTGATCAATGGCAATTTTCCGTAGTTGACTCTAGCTGGATCATTGGCGGCTTCAGCTTCCTTGGCGGCTCTTTCGGCAGCTAATTGGGCTTCTCTGGCAGCCTTCTTTTCGGCCTTTTCCTTTTCCTTTTGTAACTTCTTCAAGGCCTTTGCAGATAATGGTTGACCATCTGGACCGAGAACTGGGGCAGCAGCTGGGGCAGCAGCTGGAACAGCAGTTTCAGGAGCACCAGTTTGTGCTTCGCTGATCTTCAAGTTTTCTAATTGTTCGCTAGACATTGCAATTGTATAAGTCTATGAAGTAAGGAGTTAAGAGTGAAGGGTATGAATCACTGAAAAAAAAAATTTTCAATCAAGGGTGAGAATTTTCAGGGTGCAAACACACGATCTATGACTAACTACAACTACTTATAAACTTCTATTCAGTGCGTTCTTCTTCTTCTTGTTGTTGTTGTTGTTGCTGTTTCTGCTTCAACTCCTGTTGTCTTTGAAGGCCCTCTCGTATTTTCCTCTCTCTTCTTTCTTCCTTGGTTTCCTTGTCCTTGACCTTTTGCTGATCACCAGATGACATCATCTTGTCAATGGCATCATACAATTGATTCATCTTTTTGAAATTCTCAGTAAATCTTTCATAAGACAACTTAGTAGCATACTCCAAGTACTCCTTAGACACAAAGCTAACAAGCTCTTCCAGGTCATTCCCATACCCAATAGGTATATCCAACTTGATACTGATTCGAATAGCAACATTATAATTACTTCCAATACCACTTTCTCTAAATCCACAATTCATGGCAACAGTGTACAACTTGCTGGCTTGATTCAAGTCCCTGCATTTCACATGAAGAATCAATGGTTCAAACTTAAATAATATACTTCTGCTCTCCCCACCAGGGAACTGGTCGCACAAGTACTTAAAATCAACACCATCGTACCACTTGGGAAGATCTTCAGGGTTGTGAGTCACAAACAACCACCGTCCTTCATTACCCTTGGCGATAATCTTGTTTTGTCCCTCCTGGTGCTTGCCTTCGAGGAAAACACTTACTCGTCCAGAACACGAAGACGTGGTGACCATGTTGGGGTCTTTGTTGATGAGGTTGATTATAGGGATGCATTTCTCGTCAATGGTTCCCTTGGGTGATGCATCGAGATTGTCGCTGCTATTGGTGCTGATCTCGTCTAGTATCGCTTGTTTCTTTTGATCAAATGGATCTTGCATTCTATACTGTTTCTATATAGTCTACTTTTTGCTAAAAACTCTCGGCTCTGCTCTGCTCTGCTCTGCTCGCAGTTACTTCAAGGCAAACAAAAATTTTTGTTCATCTTCTGGGGTAAAATTAAACAAAGTCTTGACAACAGGCAACAACTGCTCTCTTTGCTCTTTATGTTCAAAGAAACCGAGTAACACATTCTTCAAGTAGGCAACATTGGTATCGTCTTTAGATTCGGTCGGCTTTACAGCTACAATCTCCGGTTCAGACAGTCTCTTGTTGAACTCCTTCATGCTTCTATATTGCTGGGTCAAGAGTTTATAGTTCTTGGACAATCTCTCGAACTTCATATTATTCTCATCATTGAGCTTCTTCAATATGTTATTCATATTTTCCAACTCTTTTACTTTCTTGGTACTTGTTTGAAGAGCATTTCTCAAGGCGTCCACTGTCTGTGAAAGCTCTTGCGACATGCCTGGATCAACGGGATTAGGTGTATTTTCCGACGATGTACGCTTAATATCTTCAATTCTGTGTTCATAGGACTTTACTCTCGACTCGTAATCCTTAATCAACAGATTAAGCTCATCAATCTCCCGTTGTTTCCGATTGATAGAAATATTGTGAAGACGTTCCAATTCCAGCCTTTCATCATTCAATCTGTTCATTTCATTACGTGATTCCATTTCTTTAGCACGGAGTGATTCTTCAGCATCCACTAATAATCGTCTAATGCTTGAAGTCTCCCTGTTTCTTTCCTGCAACAAGCTTCTGGCTTCGGATACCTCATCTTCCAATGCTTCAATTCTAAGCACGTACTCTTTAGTCTTCATCACTAACTCCTCGTGTTGTTTTTTATACAGCAAGATAGTGTTTGACGAGTCAGTCTTGTCCCTGACTAAATGGTCATATTTTGTTTTTGTCTTATCTAATTCTGTAGAAATCTGTTGTTTCTCCCGTTGTAACTTGTTTAATTCCAGATTCAACGACTTACTTTGATCAATCAAGACTTCTTGCTTGGTTAATAGTTCACTCTTTTCTTTGAGCAATTCCATGTTATTGGTTTGGAATTCGCTAGAGCTAATCTGTAATTTACTCATGGAATCCTTTAATTCCATATTCTCCTTAATCAAACTCTCGACTTTGTGTTCATGATCGCGTAATTCCTTATCCTTGTGAGAGATTGATGTTTGCAAAGACGAAATTTCAAGTTTAAGGGAAGTGTCATTGCTCTTAAACTTGGCCAATTCCTCAATTCGCTTTTCCAATGCTTGCTTTTCAGTAGTGAGTACTTGAATTTCTTGCTTTGATTGAGAAAGTTTGGTTTCTGATTCATCGAGTTGTTTTTTGGCGGATGCGATTTCTTTCTTGAGATCCCGTTCTGATTTCCTATGCATGATCTCCTTCTCTTGAATTTCAGCTTCAAGTTGGCTTAACTTAGAACTAACTTGTTCTAATTCGGACGATTTATTCTTGAGTTGTTCTTCCAAGGATTTGATGGTTGGTGTGAGATCTTCCGTTTCAAGTTTGGACTTGAGTGATTTAATTTCATCTTTTGATGCGACGAAATCGTTTCCTAAATCCTTCAACAGATCTCGCAAATCATTGATTTCGTCGTTTTTATCCTGCATTGAATCTTTTATTGATCGGAGTTTCTCAACTAATTCTGTGTTTTCGTTTGTGAGTTGGTCTACTTGGGTTTGTAATTGGGAGATCTCCTTGAGACTTTCTGATGCATCTTCTTTGATTTCCTTGACTGTCTGGATTGACTCTTGTTGGGTTGCGTCTGATTTCTTTGGCACCTCTGCAGGTTGTACTTGTGTTTGATTCTTTTTCAATTGGTCGATTATTTTCTGTTGTACGTTAATCTTTTTGTTTAATTGGTCAACTTGATCGGTGTTTGGTTCGATCGTTTTCTCATGCTGCTTCAATTGCTCAATTTCATCTTGTTGAGTTTCAATCTTTGTCTTTAGTTCTTGAAGTTCTTCGTGCGATGAAACCTTCTTGTCTTCGACTTCCTTGAATTGTTTCTTCAATTGCTCAATCTCTTCTTCTTGTACTTGTATCTTGGTTTTTAAATCTCCAACCTCTTCATCGGATTTTGTTTTTGTTTCTTCTTCCTCGGGTCTAGTTTGTTTCTTCAATTCCTCGATTTCTTCTTCTAGGGCTTGGATCTTATTTTTTAATTCGTGAACTTCTTCATCTGAAACTGTTTCCTTGCTCAGCTCCTCAACTGGCTTGTTATTTTTTAATTCCTCAATTTCTTTATCTTTCTGCTCGTGCTCCTTTTTCAACTCTTCAACTTCTTCCAAGGCAACTTCCAAGGTCCCTTGTTTCTCTTTGATTACTGCCAGAAGATTTTCCACTTCGCTTGACTTGGTCTTTACTTCTTCATTCAACTTTTCATTATCTTTTTGCAAGGTTTGAATAGATTGGTCCTGCTTATCATTGGTTTCTTTGAGTAGCGTTACTTGTTTCAGCAAGTTGTCAATCTTGGCAGTGGTTTCTTTTTCTTTTTTAACTATTTCGGCGTTGCTCTCTTCAAACTTGGCCACTTTGAACGTCAAGACTGAATTTTCCTTCGTCAACTTTCTAATCTCCTGGTTCAAGAGCTTGGTTTTTTCGTTTAGTCCATTAAGGTATTCCACGAGGGCGCTGGCGTCAGAAATGCTAGACACGGGCGTGTTTTCCTTGAGGACCTTTTCGAATATTTCAATCAATCTTGACTTTTCCTTTTCTGTCTTGTATGCATTTAATAAAATTGGATATTTTTCTTCATATTTGGCAAACTTTCGAAGTTTGGCTTGGATGGCAGCGGGGAGGGGTGATTCCGGGGTGTTTGCTTTTGGTGGTTCAACTGAGCCATCTTGTTTTGGTTCCGGCGTAGCTGTTTTGTCAGATTCTGTAGTTTCTGTTTTCGTAATTGGTTCCGGCGTTGGCTCCGGTTCATCTTGTGGTTGGACAAGGTCACTTTCATCAGGTGTCACCTTATGTAATACCTTTGATCCCTTCTGTAATTGGGCGAGATCATTCGATTGGGTGGATTGTGCTGGCGATAGCTCATTGAGGCTCTTGGCCATATCCTCCGAGAATGTCTTGATCTTGGAGAACATGTTGCTTTAGTGGAGGAGGGTGATCGAGATTCGGTGTTGGGTTGTAAATGAATCCACCAGAAAAATCCACCGTGTGTGGGCTGGCCACTCCGCTCCAACTTTCTTTCTTTTTCTTTTTTGGTGGTGCAAATCATTTAAGGATCTTATCCGATCAACGGCAAATACACCACAGCATGTCCACAAAGATAAAAGAAATAAGAACAACACTTGGAAAAGTCGGGATATGCATCCAGGAACTAGAATCAACGATTGAAGAACGAGAAAGCATCTTTCAAATGAAGCTCACCCCGAGCTCAAACGATACATTTGAATTGATAAGCTTATTGCAGCGGATCGTAAAGTATTTCAAGTACTTGCAGGACGACTTACGCAGCGTGGGCAACAAGGCTGAGGGGTTACATGCCGAGTTCTCTCTGTATGTAGTTCAATATTGTGATTTGTATGACAAGTTGTCCGACGATACCACTATAGATGTACGAGAATATAAATTTGAACCAACAGTGGTAAGCACGCCCACCACCACTAAAACAGTACGATTCAGAGACGAACAGGAAACCTTCCAGGAAGATGCTGCCGAACTCATGGGAACACGTCCGTTCAGACCGTACTCTGACCAAGAAAGTGATAACGCTAGTTTAGACGACGTGGACAATCGGCAATTGTTTGCTCAACACCAGCAAACCCTCATGAGACAAGACCAGGATTTGGACGTGCTACATTCATCCATCAAGAATCAACACTCTATGGGATTAACCATAAACCAAGAACTTGATGATCATATCATATTACTCAACGACTTGGAAGCAGGAGTAGACACGGCCCAAGACAGAATGACCCGTGCCAGCGCCAGATTACACAACTTCACTACAAAAGCCCGTGAGAACGGCAGCTTGGTTACGATTTGTATCTTGACGGTGATTTTGATTTTGTTACTAGTGGTACTTAATTAATATACACGTGCTTTGTAGCTCTATACTCTAAAAGTTAAACTCGTCATTCTCTTCTTCTTCGTGACTAAAGAACCATATAAACACAACAATGTCAATATAAACAATCAACCCACCAATAATACTCATAATCAACGCCCCCACTTCAATCAATTTACAGTGGTAAAACATCAAGGGAAGGGCAACACCACTTACAATCAAGAACCCAGTGCTTGATTTGCAGAATTCTTGCAAGGGCGTGACACTGTTTTCATTATCATTGAAAGTTAAAAAGGTATCTCTGGAACTTTCGATTGACAGAGCCATGATGTTTGGCAATGGAGCAATCAAGAATATTAGTATCACCCATAATGGTTTATAATTGTTATATAACGCACATGATAATAAAATGAGCAAGAACCCTGATGCCAAGAATGCCGATAGAAAGATGATCTTGTTTAATGAGTTCATAGTTGCCAGTGTTATGGATAAAATGTTGGTGATAGTGACGGTGGCTAATCAAAGGTAAACAATTTTCTCCTGAACACGAAAAAACATATAGTCACATAAATTATTTAAAAATTATATACAGAAATGTTATAAACAGACTAACAACTACTTCCAGAACCATCCATTCTTGTCCTTATCTTCGTGGGTTTCTTCAACAGTCACCCACTCGTTCGAATCAAATGGTCTCAGCTTGGTCACCTTGGTGGTGGTACATGTCCCATCATTAAAACACTCAACCTTTTCTTCAATCATCTTGGTTTCATTGGTTTCGGAATCACTATACATGTGCGATTTGACACTAGTGGATACTACACGCTTGTCGACAGTCTGTCCTTTAGGAGCAAGTTCAGCCTGCTTCTTCCTTTCCTCTAAAAGCTTCTGCTGCTCGGCAATTCTCCTCTGTTGTTCAACCTGTTTTAAGGAATACTTGACATGCTTCCAGTTCAAATAATCGTCAAACTTGTTAAAGAAAGTTCCTTTTTCTCTCAAGTCAATAGTAGGCTCCTTTTCATTAACCGACAATTCCTTCATGGCATCATAAAAATCTTCCTTGGTCAAAATCTCTCCATACAAATACTTCTTCTTGTAATTCAACATATCTACAGGAATCTCGCCATTAGGAAACAAACATCTCCAGTACCCCTTGTCATCCCAAATCGACTTTCCGTTCTTCTCCAAGCAATTGTGATACTGTCTCATACTAGGTCCCTTGTAAGCATAATATCCAAATGGAGTTCTTCCATCTCTAAAACTGCCAAACCCAGGGATTGCATTCCAAATTTCACCAAAAATAGGATGTTGAGTGACATCCTGAATCACATCTCTAGCTTGGTAAAACGAAGGGAACTCAAACTTACCATTGTCTTCATACTGAATCTTATCAAACTTCTTATCCCCAAAAAACGAATTAAACTTCTCATCATCGTCGTCGTTGTTAAGCCATTTCAATGACCATCTTCTGGCACGCTCATTGAGATCCTTACCAAGATCAGAAGATACATCCAACATGGTATTAGTCAATGATTTCAAGTTATCCTTAACGTTATCAACATGGCGATGGAACCGGTCATGTTCTTCCTCAGTCCAGGGAGCATTCCAACTAGGATTCCAGGGGTGCTTGTTTTTATTGTGACAATCGCATGAACGGTCACAGTCCTTGTCTTTACCGCACATAATTAAGTACTTTGTAAGTTAATGGTGGTGGCGAATAAAAAGATAAGCGATTAAGGGGGTGCAAAGATGTGGTGGCAATCACGGCTTTTATATTTTTCTAAGAATTTCTAAAAGTGCGCAAATTCGGAAATTTAGTCAAACTATGGATGATGCTCTTGGGACGTATTTCCTGGTATTTATCACTGGAAACCTCATACGGACTTCTATTCTTATAGTCTGTAATTTCCAAGAAATACTATGAAAGGATTCTTGGAATCCAAATTTGGTTACCCTGTCTTATAATCTTTATTCGGAGATAATATTCTGGCTTCGCAGGATGTAAACCAAACCAAGTAAACCAAGAATTTGATTATCTAAAATATCATAAGCTACAGATTATTAGCATTGACCGAGTGTATTCAATTATTATTTAGTCACTATTACATATTTCATCCCACACACCCCCATTTTCTTTCTAGACCACTATTGGCTGCAATTTCTGCTACCAGGTGAGGAATAAATTCGGGCTACCAGTTGCTTTATGTTGACACTACCACGCTAAAGATTTTAATGACTTTCTGTTGTCAGATATTTTGGTAATACATCATTTTCTCTATAAACAATTTATTTAATTTACTAGGATATTAACTTTTTGTGTTGAAAATGGAAATCTAAAACTCTTCCTGAAAAGTTCTAGATTCATGAAACAGAATGATAAACAAAATGTTCAACTCTCTATCACATGGGACAACCTCAACTGACGCAGTTGTAATCTGCACATGTATCTGACATGGAATATCATCATTTTTATGTATTACCTAAAGTGTAATGTTACTATTTCTTTAATGATTAACTCTCTAGAGTACTTCCTTTTTGCCTAATCTTTATGTAACATTCTAACCTTTTGTATATCTGTGGAATTTATTCTAGTAAAGCTTGCAAAAATTTTCCCAAATGTTGATGGGTTCAATAACCAAGAAAATACCTTGTTATAACTCATGTTTAAAGTAAAATGTTTTACTACTTCATTTGTTTCTTTTTAGTTAACAAGAAATGAAACCAGGAGTTTTTTTTTCTTTTTCTTTTTTTTTTTTGCAATGTCCGATTGCCGCAAAAAGTGTGGTAAACAGAAATATTCGTAAAAAATACGAAATGAGAAAAATATAGAGAAATTTTTACAACATATGGTATTACATTGGTAATATATATTATAGTAGTGCATCTTTAAACTGAAATGTTGTATTACTATCAGTTTGTAGATAAGAATAATGTTGTTGAGCGTCAACCTGGTGAACAGTTATATTGAAGAAACATTACCCTATTTTGCAACACTTTAAGCTTTTTTTTAAAAATGTGGGATTTACGATTTCTTCATTAAATTTTAAAGCTTAATATGTCAAAGAAGAAATTGGCAACTATTTTAATTTCTTTTTCTGCAAGACGGTGCAATTTATGTAACATATTCTTTACGTAACATTGGTAAAGAACTAGAAAATATTCGGTAACTCATCCGGTGTGTGTAATACACATTTCTTGGCAGTGTCAACGGCTCTCTACCAAAGTATATAAATACCATGAAATATCCTACAAACAGAAATATTAATCTCTTTCAAACAAACTATACTTGTCTCAACCAATGAAATTTATTCAAATCTTAATTGGTGCAACTGGAATTACAGCTGCTATTATCAACAAAGAAAAATATGCACAAAGCAAAGGTCTCATTTTGGATGGTCTTGGTCCTAGAGATGTTAAGGAACCATTAATTGAAGATCACTGCGTCCAAAGTTGTGCCGAGGCTGCCGACCATAAATATCCCACATGCCTTGGCTACCAAGATAATGATTTATTTTTTTCATGTGTTTGTGGAATGGACCCAGGCGCGTATCCATATGATGAAGTTGCTAGAAACTATTGGACCGATTTATTCTATTGCCTTCAATCTTGTGATGTAACACCTAGCTTCCAAAATTTACTCAGTATGGAAGAGGCTAGGGTGCAATTTTGTGCTGGCCAAGGAATCAAAGGAACGAGTCAAACAATGACCATCGAACAAGCTGAAAGCTGCAGCAGGCAATGTGTCGAGGAAGCACAATTTCCGGAATGTGATAAGTACGAAGACTATGATGTTCTTGGTTGTATGTGTGGTTCTGACCAAGAGAACTCCTGGACCAACTATCAAACATGTATTAATAACTGTGGCTTTACCAAGAAGTACGAGGGGATTCTCTGGGATGAAGCCAAAACCCAAAAGTGTAATGGTATTACTCCAATTAAGCGAAAGACTGATCTAGAAGTTATGGAATGTCGTGCTATCTGTGTCAGAAGATTAGAGAGAGATGGGCCAAACTGTTCTGGGTACGCGAAGAATGATGAACAGATGTTAAATTGTGCATGTGGGATTGAAGATGAACACTATTGGAGTGATTTACAACCTTGTTTTGATGATTGTGGAACCACCAAAACCCTTCAAAGCCTCGAGTTGCCTGAAGTCAAGACTGAAACTTGTAAGAATTTTAAAGAGTTTCTTGAGCCAAAATTAGTGGAAGCTAAAGACGACCATTGCTTTTTCTCGGTCGTATATCAAACAGAAAGAAAATTTCCTACTTGTATAGGCTATGAAGATAAAAATGAGATGTTTAGTTGTGTATGTGGGGTCGAAAATTCTGATTATTGGTCTGCTATATGGTCCGAATCCTCATCCTGGGATTGTACATACTATCGGCTGTTTAGGGAACTCAAATGGGAAGATGCAAAACCCCAAATATGTGATGGTATTACAACTCTTCCAGCTAATCCTGTATCATGTTTCGAGGCAAGCATGGACAAGGTGGAATCCATCTATCCAAGTTGCAATGGCTATGACGATATTATTGTAAGGATGGGGTGTATGTGTCATTTGGAAGAAGAGAATTACTGGCCCGTATTTGTTGACTTTCTTTCTACTTGTCGAGACTTTTCCCATAAAGAAATGAATGGCGAAGAATTCAGAAGTTATCTATGTTGGGAATTTCCCAACTATTTTCCTCCAAAAGTTAAAACTACATCTGACCCTGCTGGAAATAATCCTGTCAATGCACCTATTCCACCTCCTGTTAAACCCGTTGATGGTACTGGAAAAACTCCTGACGAAGTTCCTATTCCTCCTCCTGTAGACCCTATTCCACCTCCTGTCGAGCCTGTTGACGTTGTCAAACCTGTTGACATTGTTGAACCTGCTAACGTTGTTGAACCTGCTGCTCCTGTTGACATTTCTGGTAATACTCCTGACGAAGTTCCTATTTCACCTCATATTGACCCTGCTGCTCCTGTTTCTCCTGTTTCTCCTGTCAAACCTGCTGCTCCTGTTTCTCCTGTTGAACTTGTTGTCCCTGCTGGTAATAATCCTGCTGAGATGTCTATTCCACCTCCTGTTAACCCTGTTGCAGCTATTGATAATATTATCTCGGAAGCCTTTGGTCATACTAATGGCAGTGGATGTGTTCATGCATGTGTAAAATATGTGGAAAATGACATATCTATATGTGGTGAAGCAGTGGATATTAATTGTATTTGTGAAGTGGAAAACCCCGACTATTGGGTTCCATTGTGGGATTGCCTCACCAAATGTCCAATGTACCATACTGAGAGCGGTACTTCTTGGGAAATGGGTAAATCAATCTTTTGTAAATTTTCACCCAAACCAACAATAGATAAAGAAGTCCAAGAGGTAAGTGAACCAATTGAACCAACTATTCCTGAAATAGAAGAAAATAAAAATGACAATAAGGAACCAGAAGCTGTTTTACAAACCTTTACAACATCGGAAGCCCAAATATTTACGGAGAAGGAAGTTGAACTGATAACAGAACTTGACGTAGAAATTTCCACTGAGCTGATAACAGAAGTGGATGAAATGGTCACTGAACTGATAAAGGAACTGATAACAGAACTGATTATGGGACTGGTCACTGAACTGATAATGGAAATAGTGACAGAGAAGGTCACTGAACTGATTCCAGAACTGGTTGTGGAACTGGTGTTAGAATCTACATTATCATCAATGGCAGAACAAGTGACAGAGCTGCAAAAGTTGATCAGAAATACAACTTACACTGTAAATGCCACTCAAACAGAATGGTTTACGATAACCAGTTGCAATGATAGAACTGAATGTAGCACATTCACAGTAACTGAAACTAAACTTGCCAACCATTTAACTGGAAAGAACTTCCCTATATCTGCAAATACAGCTCTTCAACCAACACCCTCAACAAAAACATTTAACTCAAATGTTAGACCAATAGTTGCCCAACCAACAAAATCCCAGTCAATAAATAACCAACCAACAAACACCAGATCAATGAATTCTCTTCCAAAAGCTAGTTCTACTGATGGACTTGCTCCTTCACAATTTTCTGCCCCATTTGTGACCCAAAATGAAAACTCTGCCGCTTCTTTTGTCCTTGGCCCATTAGTATATTTGTTAGCTATTATCTTGATTTAGATTATTAACTCTTTTGTATAATTAAAGAATTTATATTATTGTTGGTCTAAAACACTTGTAAAGCTTGGAATATGCTTCTGGTATGGCAAATTAGTTGTTTTATGATTGAATATGCTTTGTATATAAATTGCAAAAAGTAAATGTTATGCTACCATCTGGTCGTTTTGAGCCGCATCAAAATTTTGAAAAATTTCAGAAATTCAAATTAGACCATACATTGATTCTTCTCCAGCAAATCCATATGATATGAAAAGTATAAGAGTCGTATTTGCCAGGAGCTACTCCAAGGCTTCGATAATCAGTCGTAATAAGAAACCCAATCCATTGCTACTGAATTCAACTTTGACATCTGACAGGAAACTGCTGCATCATCCCACAACACCAGCACGGACAAGATTTGCACCTTCACCTACTGGATTCCTCCACTTGGGATCTTTAAGAACAGCTTTGTATAACTACTTACTTGCAAAGAACACTGGTGGTCAGTTTTTGTTACGTATTGAAGATACTGATCGTACTCGGTTGGTTGAAACTGCCGAAGAGAATATTTATAGTACATTGAAATGGTGTGGGTTGATGATTGATGAAGGACCAAATGAAGGTGGACCTTACGGTCCATACCGACAATCTGAAAGAAGAGAGATATATAAGAAGTATGCTGATTTGTTACTTGAAAGGGGGCTAGCCTATAAATGCTACTGTTCAAAAGAAAGATTGTTGGAATTGAGAGAATCAGCAAAGAAATTGAAACCACCTACAAATGTAACTTATGATAGAAAGTGTTTAACCAGTCAACATGAACGTGATGAACATGAATATGTTATTCGATTCAAATCGCCCGAAAAGTATGATCAGTTTGAAGATGTCCTCCACGGAACACTTAACTTACAACCACAATATAACCAACAAGATCGAAGATATGATGATTTTGTCATTGTGAAAGCAGATGGAATGCCCACGTATCATTTTGCTAATGTTGTAGATGATCACCTCATGAAAATTACTCATGTTGTCAGAGGTGAAGAATGGTTACCTTCTACTCCAAAACATATTGCATTATATAAGGCATTTGGATGGAGAGCTCCAAAATTTATACATATCCCTTTATTGACTTCATTGCAAGATAAGAAGTTATCTAAACGAAGTGGAGATTTGAATATTTACTCCCTAAAGGAGAAAGGTGTCTTGCCTGAAGCTTTAGTAAATTTTGTGGCATTATTCGGATGGGCTCCAGTAAGAGAAAATCCTGGCGAAAGTGTAAGCGAAGTGATGGACTTGCAGGAAATTGTCAGCCAGTTCTCCATTGATCATTTGACAAAGGGAAATGCCAAGGTTAGTGATTCCAAATTGAATTATCTTAATAAGGAACATTTCTTGAGAAAGTTAAACCGACCAGAGGAATTTAATAAGTTAGTTGAAAGTTACTATCCTGTATTCACGGAATTCACCCATGGCAAATACAATAAGGAATACTTTACCAAAGTTGTGAAAATTGTTGGACCACACATTGGATCAATGTCTGAAATTGAACAAAATCATATGTATATTTTCCAAGAAGTTGCCTACTCGAAAGATAAAATACCAAGTGAACACACTATAGAGATTATCTCGCAAGTTGTCAATGACGAAGCATTAGAATTCAATTCTTTGTTCAAAAGAATCATGAAAGATTCTGAAATCACTAGAAAAGAAATATTCACAAGTTTAAGATTTGCCATAACTGGTGGTAGCTCTGGATTATCTGTCCACGAATATCTTGAACTTGTTGGAGAACAAGAATTCAGAAACCGACTTCAACAAGCCTTAGATTTTTTAAACTAATATGTACATATAATTTCCTGTATATACAATCTATTCATTACTTATAAAATCCAAAAATCCTTCTCTATCATCGACTTCAATTTGAGGTCCGGTATAAATACAATGAACAACCATGTTTGGATGGTAATATAATCCTGTCAACAATTTGGGTGTTACCAAGAAATATTGGGATTTGTTGTTTTTACATGCAGTATGAACCAAATATCTATGGGCCATCTTCTCGTTATTTGGATCCATACCTTGATTGATTTCATCCACAATTCTAAACGGAGCATCGGTCAATCCTTGCAATGCCATAATGAAGAAAATTGTTGAAACTGAACGCTCGCCTCCAGACTGAGATTGGTTATCCAAAACTTTTAATTCAGACTCTTGTCTGAATTTAACGAGAATTTGCAATTTCCAATCCTTGTATCTGTCCAGTTTAGCCAATTCCACAATCCCATCACTAGCTACATGAGTAAATCTCTTATTGAAAGCTAATGAAATTTGCTTCACAAGATCAGATAATTCAGGCTCCCACAGTGATCTAATATCATCAATACGTTTATCTAATCTTTCCTTCTCGGTTTGAATTCGCGGTAATTCAATTTCTGCAACTTCAATGTCCTTTAATTTCGTCTTTAATGATTCGATAGAACTATGATCACCAGTCGACATAAGAGATCGTTCATCTTCCAACAAGTTAATCTTTTGCATCAACAATGCTTCGGTGAAGGTGTTTTGTTCCATATACGTGTTTGCTAATTCGGATAAGATTGCTCGTTCATCTTCGGTATAATTCTTACTTTGTTCTTGAATTTGTCGAGCAGCATCACCTTTCTTTAACTTATCGTATTCTGCTTTACTGTTGTTGTACTCTTCCATTAATTCCTGCCGTCTAACATCAAGCTCTTCCAACAATGATTCAGCTGATAATTTCCTATTGGCCAAATTTAAATGCTTTAATTTAGTTAGAATATATGCCAGCATTTCTTCGGAAACTTTCAGTGTAAGTTCAGTAGTTTGTTCAGCTATGCTGGAATATTTAGCAAATTTAACGAGGATCTTAGCTTCAATCTGTTTAATCTTGTCGGTATAATCCTTGGTGGAATCAGCTTCCGCTTTTTTTACTAGCTTCTTCTTGCTGGAAATGAGCCCACTTAGACGTGCCTTTTGATTCTTGACTGATTGTAACTTATCTCTGTCGCGCTTGGTCAGTTCTAATTCCTGCTTGATTGCATGCTCTTCCTTCTTGTATGATTCAATCTTTTCCATCAGTTCTTGAATTGCTTGCTTTTTGCCCTCGCCTTCTTTCTTAATTTGTTGAACTTCTTTGCCTAGCTGGTCCTTCATTTCTTGGGACATACCTCGAGAGCTGAAATAATTTGATCGACCAATCTTTTCCGTGATATAAAATAACTGTTTATTTCCATATCTTGATCGTTGAATATTGAAGAGAGTATCACCGGCAATAAATTTCATAAATGGAACTCGACTCGTCTGGGGATCAGGGGTTGTTAATTTCTCAATTACTTTGGCTGGCAACGGCTTCTTGGATATAGGAATATTATGGATTTTTGAAGTATCGTACAACATGCACAATACTTCCTGTGGTCCACGAACAAAATCAGCCAAATATCCATCAAATCCCATTTGTTTAAGTTTTTCATTACTGACGAATGGTTGAGGTCTTTCAGTTACTTTGGTCAATCTTAAGGGGAAGTTCTTTTGGATTTCTGCTGAAAAGTGTTGAATCTTCTTATAGTTCTCTTGTGAGGATGTAGTGACTGAGAATAACGTGTTATTATCAATAATCTTTTCCAATGCGGGTGCGAATTCACGTACGGTCACATCACAACTTATAACTGGTGCTTCGAAATAGCACCCCTTAAGTTGGGAAGTTGTTCGTAATTTTCGATGTCCTTCAAATGATTCATCACGAAGTCTGTTTCTGTATTGAGAATTAGATAATAAATCTAATTTATCAGTGCTTTCAAGCTTCTTTTGCACTTCGGCCAATCTTTTCTTTAATCGGTTGTAGTCATTCATAAGTGCTTCATTGGCATATTTTTCCTGAGTGATTTGATCTTGTAAGTTACGGATATCTTTGGTCTTGTCCTTGGTTACTTCGTTTAACTGGGCAATTTCATTCTCATCCACTTCTTCCATGGTCTGTTCCATCTTGATATGTTCATTGAGATCGCGACGCAACTTTGTTAATTCCGCTTTCTTCTCACTAGCCTTATTCTTTAAGGAATTGCTATTTGCTTGTAACTGATCAATTTCTTCTTTTATTTTTTGTTGTTCTTTTGTATGTTCAGCCATTTGGCCTTGGAGGTCGTTAATGGTAGTTTCATGCCTACCTAATTGCTCTTCAGTCTCTTCAATAGCTTGTTCTGTGGCTGCTTTGTCTTCTTCTAGTCCCTTGACGGTGTTTGCAAACTCTGCAACTTTCCGTTTGGCAGCCTGTTGTTTTTCTTTGAGAGATTTAATTTGGTGTTTCAAATCGGATAATTGAGCATAAGGAATCAACATTTTATGATTATGTATTTCTTCTGTCTTTTTTTCGTATTCTTCAAATTTCTTGGCTTCTTGTTCGAGTTTCTCTTTTTCATCATGTAAATGTTTTAGACGATTGGTTATTTCTTCAACTTTTCTGGCAAGTTCTTGACTGGCATTGTCTTTGCTTATTAAATCTTGATGAATCTCTAATAAATGACCATCACCTAGTGTTCTTTCAGTTTCAAGGAGCAACTTTTCAGGAGATAACGCTGCGAATTCAGCTGCACGTTCCTGAGGCAAGAAATGACAAAGATTGTCTAGTTGAATATTGAGCTTTCTTCGTAAATCTCTGATCATACTCTCGGTAACCCTGGAATCGTTTATATACCACGTTGACTCCTTCTCAGTGAACTCCCTTTTAATAGTAATATCGTCCTTACTTTCCACATTCTGGAGTGTGATCTCTACCGTGGCTCGCTCATGGCCCATTTTAATTATAGATTTCAAATTCTTTCGCTTGATTAAATCAATCTTGCCTCCAAGCCCAATACATATAGAAGCAACAAGTGTACTTTTCCCACTTCCGTTAGGACCAATAATCATGTTTAATCCAGGTGATAAGTTGAATTCACCGTAGGAATAAGTGGTAAAGTTCCATACTCGGACAGTCTTGAGGAATCCTGGTTTAAACTCTTGAGAAGCATCTTTATTTAGCTTTCTTCGCTTCACTTGATGCATGGTATATGCTGGTTCTCTTCGAGATGAGGAGTGCAAAATGCTAGATCATGTCAAAGGTATCCTTTTCTGCAAGATACGCGCGTACTGTAAAATCCAAACAAAATTAGAATTGGTGGTGCTACCAGTTGAGAAAGTAAAATAAGTGTTCGACTTTTCTCTTTCATGGCAATGGTGTGATGATTGTGTAACTGAGTTGGACTATAAGGTTGTGCAAGAGGCATAGTATACCCAAAGGCATTCCAGCATGAACAAGCAGAAATGAAATCAAGGGGACATTAACTTCCAAATGGAACCGAAATGCTCTTGAGATGGACATTTATACTATTAACTATTTCTTTCCCCTCCTTCTTCTCAGTATCAGCTTATTTATATCTATCGGTTACTGCTGTTCAATCAGTAACTTTACTTTGTAGTATGTTCTACGTAGCACATGAGGTATACTGCTGTGTACAGTGTGTGCCTGATTCTAGATTCCATACTATGAAACAGATCCGGGTAACCTCCACTTTTTTTTTGTAGGTTTGTTTACATTTTGTGGGTTGCACGCGCATAACAACTAACGGTTTTTTTGATCCACACAAGAGGAAGTTGTTCATTACGACAAGTAGATCAACAGTAACAACAATGGTATGTATTGACCAAGTGTATATGAACGAGTTGTGGACCCAGACTAACAGAAGTTCTAGTCTCAAAATACTAAAACTTATAAAGATGCCTTTGCCCTCTTCGACAAGAAGGGAACTGGTAAAATCCCCGTTGAACACTTGGGTGATTTATTAAGATCAGTTGGCCAAAACCCTACTTTAGCTGAGATTTCAGAATTGCAAAAGACCGTCAAGGGTGATGAATTTGACTACGATACTTATGAAAGTATAATCAACCGACCAGATGGATTCAAGCCATTGGGTTTACCTGAAGATTACATCAAGGGTTTCCAAGTGTTTGACAAGGATCAAACTGGATACATTGGTGTTGGTGAGTTAAGATACATTTTGACTTCTATTGGGGAAAAGTTGACTGATTCTGAGGTTGACGAATTGTTGAAGGGTGTTAATGTTACTTCTGACGGTAATGTTGACTATGTTGAATTCGTCAAGTCTATTTTAGATCAATAGGTTAGTTGTATTTATTTTTTGGATACCCCCACAGGTTTAGACTATGATATTATACTGTTTAGTAAAACACAAATTAGAATTAATTTGTAGATGGAGCTGCTACCATGATTGCTACTGGAGTTATAGCACTCTTGCTGATTTGTACTCATTGCACTTCTATATAATATATAAGTTAATCTACTATTATGGTACCTGTTTATACGAGTAAGAATACTATCTTTAATAGTGTTCGTTAACTATGGTGTAATTTGGCAACACATTCTCACGAAGAAAAAATTGCACCAAATAAATTTAAAGTACAACATTTCCCCTCCAAACGCAACAAGGTTGATGACCGACACAATAGACGTTTCTGTCCAAGAGACAGAAGTCAAAATAGACTTAAAAAAGGATGAGAGATTTCACATGTATCCTAAAGACAGAATATACGCCTTGGTAGTGACCAGTGCTATAGTCGGGGCAGGGGTTGGCTTTTACGATGGAATAAAACTTGCATCATTACGATATTTAATTGAAAACGGACACAGACTACCAACTACCGTTGGTGGTTGGTACTTTTACCACAAGAAGAAAAACTACGTTATGTTGGTTTCGGGAGTTAAAAGTGGTGCATATCTGAGTTTGAAATATTCTGCCGTTATTGGATGTTTCTTTGGATTGGAATACCTTCTCGATTGGTCAAGAAACAGCATCGATTTTATAAATACTACATGTGCGGCAGCTGTACTAACTTCAACATATGTTGCTACTCACCAATTAAGTGCAAGACAGCTGAAGAAGCTTATATTCAGAGGTACTGCCATGGGTCTTGGTCTTGGATTAATGCAAGATTTCTTAATATCACAAAGGCGAGGAAGAATATGGTATTTGGAAAAACTAGGATTCAACAGCCAACCTAAACTACAAGCATAAGCTAAATCATAAATAATTGTAAATAGTGTATTATAGAAATATTATTCGTCGTTCTCCTCATCGGTATCATCAAGATCTGGTATTGGATACTTCAAAAGAGCAGCAATACCAGTCAATTGATTCAATTGTACTCCTGATTCATGTAAACTGGAAAATATATACACACCAGCACCGTTCCTTTTGGCTTGTTCCGTCAACTCAATGTACTGTCTTCTGGTTTCAATATCATCACTTCTAAATAATTCATCAGTAACCATTAAATATCTCACAGCGTCCATATTAAGTGCTTTGCTAACTTCTTCAAGACCATACCATGCACGGCCATCATCATTGTTTAATGCACGTTGGAAACGCAGTAATGCATCTGATTCCTCGGCGAATTTTGTATCAGCCAATCTCTTTCTGGTGTCTGAATCTGCCAACACTTCTTCTAATCCTTGTAAATACCCAGTAGATGAATGAGCAATCAAGAATTTACCCTTGTTGTCTAATATCTCTTGAAATTGCTTGTTTTCTTTTCCTGAATTTCGTAAATCCAAACATTGTTGTATTAATCTGTCGTATAATGTCTTTGCAAGGAATCCTGGCGATGCCAATACAACAACTTTCAATCTGTTCATATCGAAATGTCTCACCATAGTCTGTATAACCATATTATAAAATGAATTCATGGCTTTGTCCAAATCTCTCGTTCCATATTCGTTATTCTTACGAGGAATTGATTTTTCAACTTTAGCTTGTAATACAGTCATGGTGTCAGTCACATAACAAATATGGGCTACCCCTTCTTGGAATATGACTGCACCAATATCGGCCTTCTTTTCAATGGAACATAAATCATCCAACAATTTCATATCATATTCATCCCAGCTTTCTTTAATGATTGTGATTTCCTTATTCAATTCAACTTCAGCAGTATGGTAACTGTTCAAGGGGACGAATTCTTGCTGTTCCAAGGACTTACCATTGACTCTCATAGTTTGATCAGATGCAATATAATCAATATCTTCTACGAGAAGTTTCAATCTAAGTAACACCTTTTCCATTTTACTTTTTCCCTTTTGAACTTGATTGGCGTTCCCCTTCTTTACATTTCTATGTGTCAATATTTGAACAACATCCCCCACTTTTAACAAGTTGTAGAGATACCATAAATCCTCAGAATCTTCAGGAACCATGGTCAATGCCACATTCTTGTCCTTTAACTTGACCTTATTCTTTACTTGCATTGTGTTATTTGTGTTGTTACGATGTGGTCACTTAAAAGGAAATGACTAATGTATTTACGATGATGAATGATGATATTACTCACAGAAAAAAAACTTATGTCGATTGGCTGTGAAAAAAAAAAATTGCAATATATTAAAAAAGTGTGATATCTACTTAACTTCAGCCTTAACAATTGTAGAGTTCTTACATAATTCACCCTTTTCGTTAACCAATCTCTTTGGTTCCTTACCTTCTTCGGTATAAGTAACTTCAAAGTTTTCATTAGTACTGAATCTTTCTTGACAAGCTTCCCAGATCTTCTTCTTTGGGTTCAATTGCTTTTCAGGAGTACCATTGAATCCTTCAAAGAAAATCTTATCACCAGCCTTAGAACCTGGTGGTGGGTTGACGAATTCAACCTTACCTTCTTCAGAAGCACACAAGACCATGGCGCATGACTTGACCCCTCTCATGGTGACTGGTTTCAAGTTGGCAATAACAATAACGTATCTTTGTTGCATTTCTTCAATTGGAATGTAGTTGACTAAACCGGAACAAACAATTCTTGGTCCATCTTCGTCTCCCATGTCAATGGTGGACATATATAAGGAATCGGCATTTGGATGCTTTTCAGCCTTTTGAATGAAACCAACTCTGAAATCAATCATGGATGGGTTGGCAGGAACATTAGCAGCAGCAGCGGCAGCAGCTTGCTTTTCAGCGTTGGCCTTGGCCTTGGCTGCCTTCTTGGCCTTTTGAGCTTCAGCCCTGGCCTTCTTTTCTTCTTCGGTTAATTCCTTCTTACCGTTTGGAGCTGCGCCAGTAGCGGCGGCAGCGGCGGCGGGAGCGGCAGCGGCAGCTTCCTTAGCTTGACCTTCAGCGGGTTTCTTCTTTTCCTTTTCCTTGATTTCTCTTGGAATTTCAACATTGTAATCAATCTTGATCTTGTCAGCTTCAGGAACATCAACCAAAGTGTTTTGAACTAAATCAACCCATCTAAGAATGTGTCTGTATTTGGCGATATTTTCAACAGCGGTCCATTTACCAGCTAATGGGAAAACTTTTTCAAAAACGACTAAATCAGACTTGCTTGGAACAGTACCAGCAACGTAAGTCTTGGATCTTAAGGAATCGTTTAAAACAGTCAAGGATTCAGCCTCATCGAATCTACCAGATAAGGTCTCGAATTGAGATGCAAGGGCTTGTTCTTCTTGGTTTAAGGTTGGAAACTTGGAAGCATCAACAGAGGAAACTTCTGACAAGCGGACTTTTTGAAATTGAGAAATTAATGAAGACATTGTGGGTGATGTGATAAAGTTGAGGAGATCTTCATGATTGAAACTCGCAGTTTTCTTTGTATGGGTGTCAAAAATTTTCAAAAAAAAGAGATCACGTGATATAATAATTACGGCCAATCTGCAACATACTGCAAATGTAATTAGACATAACGTAAACTGTCATGGTAAGTAAGAGGAATCCAATCGTTGATCTAGGCGATCTTTCTAATGGGGTATTTTACTAGATATTCCGAAATTGAAATCTGGTAATTAGTTAAGTAGTTACTAGTGTTAATAATTTTCCAGAATATTTGGCAAATTTCGATCGATATTCGCAACAAACAAGACACAGTTAAAATTCTATAGGTAAAATCTTGAAACTCAAACCCTATTGTTGCTCTGCACTTAATCAGAACACGTATATACAATGCTTATTACAATTTTTGATAAGTTCTTACACACTGTGGCACGCGATTGCTAACACACATACGTAAAACCTTCCCGATTTGAACTTTTTTTTTTTCCCCTGCCGAAAAAGGCGGCCATCGTTGGGGGAACAAATGTTAAAAACAATACTCAAAATAATATTGGTGGAGAGAGAGAGCTAGTTACATTCGGATTTCCGTATACAATAAATGGATATCATAATATGAGTAGCGAGGAGACGTCGATGACTGCCGTGGAAAATACCCCCGAGACAGTCAATAAACCAGTATGTTATGCTTTATGTTTTGTCCACTTTCAGTTTTTGTTTATTAACACACACACACCAATAGAAACGCAAGAAAACAACGAGAGCATGCAACCATTGTCATAAGGCCCATATGACATGCGACAGTAGTCGTCCCTGTAAACGATGCATACAACGAGGATTAGAACTCACATGCGAAGATGCACCACGAAAGAGAAAGAAGTACTTGGCCGATGTTCCCAATGCCTCGTTAGTGCCGAGTCGTATGGAACTGACAATCTCGGAAATTCAACAACCAACAAATCTGGGACGAATAACTTATGAAGCCACTATGTTTCAACATAGTGCTACCGTGCCCAACATGGTACAAACTGCCGACAGTATGAATTATACTATTCCCTCTAATGATTTCCACACTCAGCCGTTATTCCCGCAACGTCATTTACCCCATCATTTACAACGATCTAATTCACATACCCAACCTCACGTGCAACCTTTATTCCCCCATAGTCAACCACCGTCACAGCATCCACACACACAGCCTCAGGGTATGCCTGCTAAGAGAAGGACAAACTTTTTGTCCTCGGCTGCTGATTTGGAGTACTCTACCTTGTCAAGTATATTACAAGATAGTTTTGGTCATCCAACTACATCCAATGAAGGCACACCCAATTCATCAGGATCTCCCCACAACCAACTACAAAATAATTACTCGCAATCAGGTTCAATAATAAACTCACCCAGTGAAATCCAGACATTACCAAAAATACCAGCAACCCACTCAACCACCCTGTCTCCATTGACACAACCTCATGAACCCGAGTCACGAACTTCCATTTACGACGATCTGAGGTATCCTAAATGCGACGAATCTATTAACCAGTATTTCATTGGCCGAACTGAAGCAGACCATATCCTGTTGTTCCCCGATATAATCACCGCCATCGAGAATATGAAAGCCAATGATCCAGCCGTGTATTACGAACGAAATTCCAAACTGACATTATCGTTCTCCATTGGCATATTACCCGAGGATAACCACTATAACAAGCAGACTAACGGGGCAAGCGCTGAAGATGGATTGTTCAAAGAACCAGAGGAAATTTATGATAAAGTCAAGAAACCGTTTTCTTATACTCCGGGATATCATCGATTAATTGCATATTTAAGAAAGAGATTTTCCAAACCAATGTTGGTGGAAATGGCCGAGTCTATGGCTGCATATAGACCTTCATTTATTGCGTGTACGAACTCGCTAAAGGAAGGCGATTTGATCTTTATGGAGCAATGTTTCCAGCGTACGTTGTTAACATATGATAATTTCATCAGAATTAGTGGTACGCCCACCATTGTCTGGAGAAGAACGGGAGAGATTGCCTATGTTGGAAACGAGTTTTGCATATTGACTGGATGGACGAGACAAGAATTGGTTGGAGGAAAACAAAAGAAGTTTATTGTCGAGCTATTAGACGATAAGTCCGTGTTGGAATATTTCCATATCTTTTCTCATATTGCGTTTGGAGATTTCTTGGGTGCAACCATGACGGAATGTACGTTGTTAACTCCAAATAAGGACGTGAAAATCAGAGCTGGGTGTATGTGGACACTAAAGAGAGATGTGTTTGGTATTCCAATGATGATTGTTGGCAATTTCCTCCCCATAATATAGAAATCTGTAACAATATAGTATTATGTATTTATTTTATATGTGCAATTTTTACACAAAAAATTTGTGAGTGTTATCTTTTTCGGTTTACGCGACCTTGCAACCCCCCTTGCCCCCCTCAAATTGCTCACTCACCAACCAGCATCGCAATACATCAGCAATGCCACCACCATATCAACAGATGTCTTCATTTCAAGGATTGACTTTTGAATTAGTCTTTTCCGTATCGTTAATCTGTCTTGGTTCCCTCCAATTCGGGTACCACATGGCAGAGTTGAATTCACCAGAATTAGTGTTATCATGTCGGAGATCAGTTCCAGGAGACATCCCCTTTGCCGACTCTTGGTTCGGAACTCATGGATTTGTCCAATGTATCCCCATGTCACCTAGTCAAATCGGATTGGCCACTTCAATCTTCACCATTGGCGGATTATTTGGTTCGTTTTACGTGGGTCATTTAGCGGACAAGTTTGGCCGGAAAAACACCAGTCTCTTGCACTGTTTTATATACTTTATTGGCTCGTTCATAAACGGAATGAGTAATTCGTTTGCCTGGTTGTTGATTGGAAGATTCATTGTCGGGTTGGCTGCAGGTTCAGCATTGGTAATTACGTCATTGTACATAAATGAAGTTGCACCTGTGAATGCAAAAGGGTTATTAGGCTCCATGAATCAAGTAAGTATCAATTGTGGGATCTTGTTTACCCAGTTGCTTTCATTAAAATGGGCCAATGATAACCAGTGGAGATACTTGTTGTTTATGGCTTCCGCCTTGGGGTTTGTCAATTTGGTATTACTTTATGTTTATGGATTAGAATCCCCTGTTTGGTTAGCTAACAATGGCAGGTCCACAGAAGCTTTTACCGTTTTGCATAGAATAAGAGGTGGAAGTTATTCAGTCGCCACCGATGAAGTGAATAGTTGGAAGAACAACCATAGAGGAAATATTACTGAAACTGATTCCGGCTTGGAAAATGGACCAGGAAACATGGCAATTGACGATAGTACCAAGAGAATAGTCACTGTCAAGGAATATGTCACTTCACCTGAATTCAAAAACTCAAGAACTGTGGCAACTGGGATTTTGGTTTTGCAGCAATTTGACGGGATTAATTCAATTATCTTCTACGGAGTGTCTGTGTTGGTGTCAATTTTTCCTAATCATGCCATTGTAATCAATTGCCTTATTTCCTTGGTCAATGTGGTTATCACATTTGCCTCGGCTACCGTTGTTGACAGGTTGGGCCGTAAGCCTTTGCTCTTAACATCGGTGTCATTTTTATTCATCCTGACAATATTAATGGGTATAGGTATAATGTCCACCAATTCGGTATTATCCATAGTAGGTACATTCACCTACATCACCTTCTTTGCAATTGGACTCGGTCCTATTCCATTCCTTTTGGTGGGAGAAGTTACACAACCAATTGCAAAAGCTAGTGCTCAAAGTTGGGGAACATCCATGAATTGGGTAGCCACATTCATTGTTGGTTATTCATTCCCGGTGTTGATCCACAAGTTTGGTGGATCCATTTATTTCTTGTTTTCATTCATGTGTTTGGTTAGTTTCTGGTTTATTAAACAATATATTCCTGAAACTAAAGGTAAAGATTCCTATGAACAAGTTTGGGGTGGATTTATTGGTAGCACTAATGGCTACAGTAGTCACGTGGAAACAGAGCATTATTAGGGCTAAGCCCTAGAAAAGTGAAATTTGGAAGAATTTTATTTTATTTTTCGCGCACTACTTGTGTAAAGTAAGTGCTTTTTTTAAGTATAGGGAACATTTTGTTTTTTTTACATAGTTAATAAATTAATCCTGCATACTGTGAGGGAAAATATTCACCTACTGAGAAAAAAAACTTGTGCTAAGCATAGACTTTTTTCAAAGACATTTTAAAAAATCTTTTCTCTTTCTTTTAGTATTGTACTTACAGTCTACACAGTAACAATGCCTACTAGATTAACTAAGACCAGAAAGCACAGAGGACACGTTTCTGGTATGTAACATTCGAAATAGATGGAATAGCCAAGGTCAACATGTAATGATGTATCCAGTTTATGTGATGTCAAGAGTTCAATAAAACCTATGAATAAATTTTCAAGATGAAGCAAAACGACTACCATCATCATATCACACAACTACGAGATCAACCACAATATTAAAACAACAGCTAATAACAACCACGTTTCTAAAGTTATATCATACAATAATCTACTATGTATCCCCTATTTTTCATTCTATTACAAAGCCCATCACTAAAATCATGTGTTGACCTAAATTCACTTTGTTAACAAAAAAAAACTTTTTACTAACATTCTTTTAGCCGGTAAGGGTAGAATTGGTAAGCACAGAAAGCACCCGGGTGGTAGAGGTATGGCCGGTGGTCAACACCACCACAGAACCAACTTGGATAAATACCATCCAGGTTACTTCGGTAAGGTCGGTATGAGATACTTCCACAAGCAAAACGCTCACTTCTGGAGACCAGAAATCAACTTGGACAAATTATGGACTTTAGTTGACGAAGAAAAGAGAGACGAATACTTGAAGTCTGCCTCTGCTTCCGCTGCCCCAGTCATTGACACCTTAGCTCACGGTTACGGTAAGGTTTTAGGTAAGGGTAGATTACCACAAGTTCCAGTCATTGTCAAGGCCAGATTTGTTTCTAAGTTAGCTGAAGAAAAAATTAGAGCTGTTGGTGGTGTTGTTGAATTAGTTGCTTAAACTTTTTAAGAAATAGTCTACATTTCTTTGTATATTTAAAAAATAATCATAATTCAGTTTTAATTGAGGGTTTAAACATAATCATAACATACCAATACATGACTTCATTCACGTTATAAATCAGTTTGTACAGTATTCGAATTTTATGTCAAATCGAGCTTTTGATGTCAATTTTCGGCTCTCTCTATCTCAGACTTGTTTATTCTATTTTGGCTTAGTTTGCTCTCTGTTTTCTTAGTCTTGTAAACTTTTATTTATTTTGCAAAAATGACCAGAACCAAATCACCACATAGGTAATATCACTTTTGGTTCCATTGGAGAAGCAGTTTAATAAGAGCCTTGGTAAATGCAGCCAGATTAGTATTGTTGTTATGTATATCCTGCATACAAATTTTTATTATTATTTTATTGCAAACTCATCATTGCACAGATCCAGATCAAATCAAAACAAGCTTGTGTCCACCACTACAAAAATTTCTCACTTGTGTTCATGATTAGTAGGTTTAGACCATTAACAACACTCCGTCCATTCCATAGATATAATTTACAATATACCTCCTTGCATTCAATCCACTTTTCTACCTCATCTGAACTCATGACCTCAACCAAAGATTTATCTGTCAATGTTTGGCAACCTCAAGATGCTGTTCCACCACACGTCAAAGAGTTGTTAACTCCAGGAGGCAAACCCATCAACTATATCCTTGCATTCATACAAATCCTCAGATTGTTAAAGACCCAAAAGCGTACTGGGTGGATCGCCTGTGGTGTTCCCGCCTTTGACACCGAATCTATTGCTGACCACATGTATCGAATGTCCATCATTTCCATGCTTGTTCCTCATGTCAACACTGACAAATGTGTCAAGATCGCCGTGGTACATGACATCGCTGAGACTCTTGTTGGTGACATCACTCCATTCTGTGGGATTTCCAAAGAGGAAAAACATCGTCGTGAGTTAGCCACTATTGAATTCCTCTCGGAGATAATTAAACCATATAACGAACCATTCTCGTACGAAATCAAGGAATTATGGTTGGATTACGAAGAAATAAGGACCCCTGAAGCTAGATATGTTAAAGACATAGATAAGTATGAAATGATCGAAACTGCCTGGGAATACGAACAACAGTTTGGGTTGACTTATGACTTGAGCCAATTCTATACTGCTCGTGCTGCCATCAAGACTCCGGAAATTCTGGAATTATGTGATGAAGTGATTAGAAGAAGAAATGAACTTGTTAAGAAGCTCGAAAAGGAAAATTAATAGATTAACCCTGTGTATATTAGTAGTGTTTGATTATGTACAATTTCTAATATTCTCCGTACAAAGTCTAGTGTAAGTGGGATAGATTCGATTTGTAATTAGTTCGCACTAATCCGCAGCCCGATTTTCGCAGAGTTTTGAGATTTTCAATATTTTCACAATAATTACTAATCTTAGTGGCAAACCAAAAGATTTAGTCATGTCCACCGTTATAGAGGTAGAAAAGACCAAGACAGAGGTTAATAGTGACGCCAAACCTAATTTCGGAGTAACTGGTCGTAAGATCGTATACGATAAGGATGGTAAACCGTAAGTATTACATTTCTCGCCTATTAATTGAACCCTACTAACACTTTTTCAAGATGTCGTACATGTAACACGCTTCAGGATTTCCAATTTGCTACAGCTGGTGCAAAGAAACAAGTAAAGACACCAGTAGTATCCGGAATGAATCCAGAACAACCAGTTAACACGAAGATTGGTTCATATGCTAAGGAAGATCCACCCGATGTCACCGTTCTTGGAAGATCATCATGGACACTTCTTCATTCAATCGCCGCAACATACCCGGAAGAACCTACAAACAAGCAACAAAAAGATATGAAACAATTCATAAATTTGTTTGCTGGGTTCTACCCATGTTGGTTTTGTGCTGACGATTTCCAAAAATACATCACCACCAATGAACCAAAAGTTGAAACTCAAGATAGTTTAGGCAGATGGTTATGTGATGCTCATAATGACGTCAATAAAAAATTAGGTAAACCAAAATTCAATTGCGATTTATGGAAACAGAGATGGAAAGATGGATGGGATGAACAGTAAACGTTTAGAAGTATTATTTCATGTAAATAGAACAGATAGCAATATATAGAATAAAACTTTTTCTAGAAACGTTGAATGTGAAATTTTCAGAACAAGGGGGGAAGGTTGCAATTGGAGGCAGGTAAAAAAAAAAGGTTATAGTTAAAAACAAACTTTATTCTTTCTTTTCTGGTCTCAAATAAGAGCTATCCTTTTTAATAATGTTTGTTAGAACTAGTCTTGCCAAGTCAATCTACCCAACTCGTTCCTATTCAGTTTGGAACTGGTTCAGAGGCTGGGCTAGAGCTCCTCCAATGCAACACTTAGTGTATCCTCCCCCACATTCTCAATTCACGACTGGAAATAGAATAATAGATACTTGGATCACCGAAACCAGTGAATTGTACCCTTATTTAGCGGTAAAGCAACCATTATTATTAAATTTTACTTATGCTACTGAGAAAGACAACAAAATAACCCAACATCTTTTCGATATCTTGAGTCAACAGGAAAAATATCCTTTGAAAGAAGATGTCTACTTGGTTAATATCTTGTGTGATTCTCAAGGTGGTCGAGAATTGATGATGGAATATTGTGTAGGTTCTCATATTCCTTGCCTTGTTGTGTTGAAGAAACAATTGGTTGTGAAGACATTCCCACTTGATGAAGAAAAACATGGTGAACAAGATATCATTGAGATGCTTAAGCAAATTTAATGCGATATCCGGTAATTCCATATTCGGAAATAGACTAAAAAAGAAAAAAAAAATCGGATGAATATTCCGACGATGAAGTTGGTGCTAATAAGCTGGGGAAAAGAAAGAAATGGAGTTTGATATTATTATCAGAAGAGTCTAAATAGTTTATTTTTATTTTGATAGTAGTTCATGCTTTGCATTTGATATAAAGTTGCATAATTTATGCCTAATTACTATGAATATTTTGTAAAAATTTTAAATTTGACATATGCTTTTAATGATGTTAGCAAGCTCGGTATAGCCAATGTAAAGTATAATTAATCTTGTATACCCAGAAAAGTACGGATATAAAATGCTGTTGTATTGATGTTGGTTGGTATATTCGGTTCAATCATAGCTTACAAATCGATGAAAAATTTTGCAATCGTTTGGTGACAAACTCCACAGTTATTTTTTTACAGGTTGGTGTTTTCTTTTTTACTAATTAATTACATAATAAATTTACTATTTGTCAGATTAGTCATGGTCATGTGCCGAGGCTATAAATAGGAATCAGTTCCCGTCAATTAATTTCTAATTAAATACAAGAACATCTATAACCTATTCACATTCATTTAACAACGATTTAAGGCATATTTAAGACGTGCTAGTGATATAATTTGTCTTGTCATACATCACTTATCACTTCAGTAAAAGACACCAAGAAAGAAAAAAAAAAATCCTAAATCCGGAACGTCAATCGAAGGAATACAATAGAAAAAAGGGAATCCTGCCGACAGTCTATTTTTCAAAATTTTACCCAGATTGCCTCTTTATCAAACATACTTGATTTAGCTTTCAATATAACAATCATCATGCCTATACATTCCGAGAACATTCAGCATCCACAACCATCCAGTCAAATTACGTCATCTTCAATACCCGATGTCCATCAAATCCCGCTTGTGACTCCCAAACCCTCAACGGCCAATGTCCCCACTATTACAGCTCCTAAACCAGCTACCCCTGATTTGTCACCAGAGGAAAGAGAGGCAATAAAGCAACTGATGAATCTTCCTGATACGTTACCTATTGTGAATTGTCTTGCCCGTGCCCGTATTCCCACCACCCAAGGTCCTGAGATTTTCTTGCATTTATACGAAAACAACATTGATAATAAAGAACATTTAGCTATTGTCTTTGGAGAAAACATTCGATCTCGATCGTTATTTAAGCAACGTAAGGGTGAAACTCAACAGGATAGAATGACCAGAGGAGCATATGTCGGTAGATTGACCCCAGGTAGAACCATTGCTGATCGTGATGAGATTTTAAACAAGGAATTACATTTTAATGAAGATGGAACTTTGATAATTGACGAAAAAACTTATAGTGATCCTACTTTGGTGCGTATTCATAGCGAGTGTTATACCGGAGAAACTGCATGGAGTGCTCGTTGTGATTGTGGAGAACAATTTGACGAAGCAGGAAGAATAATGGGTGGAGACGGCCATGGATGTATTGTATACTTGCGTCAAGAGGGTAGAGGTATTGGATTGGGTGAGAAATTGAAGGCCTATAATTTACAAGATTTAGGTGCTGATACCGTTCAAGCCAATATAATGTTGAGACATCCTGCTGACGCCAGAGATTTCTCGTTGGCCACTGCAATCTTATTAGATTTAGGATTAGTGGAGATTAAATTATTGACAAACAATAGAGAAAAGATTGTCGCAGTTGAAGGAAAACACCGCCGTGTTAAGGTTTTGGAAAGACTTCCTATGATTCCTTTAAGTTGGCAACAAAAGGAAAATGGAATCCATAGTAAGGAAATTGAAGGATATTTAAGTACAAAGATTGAACGAATGGGTCATTTATTGGAGAAGCCAATTAAAATCAATTAATATATGTATATAAAAGAATAATACCAGTTAGAAAAAAAGAACTATTAGTGTAGTATTTTCGTGTTTCCAAAACAAGTTGGCCCAGTTAAAGCAAGTTAACGTCATTATTAATTCGGATAAACTTGAGATTTGGATATCTTTCCCTTGGGAAATTATCTCTCCATTTTTTACTATAGGAGCCTGTGTTAACTGCAGCTGCTTTTGTCCGTTGATGTATCCTATTTGATTCCCATGCAGTTGAAGAAAATTCAGCTCCAGCGGTCACAGCCACATAGAGCACTGACTGTTTATGGCCTTCTATAATAGTTTTAATCTCCTGGGCAGTAAAGTTCTTCTTTTCTTCGCTAGTAGTATGTAATTTAATCTGGTATAATTTATGCCCCCAAAACATTTCCATAATTTTCCTAAATGACGCATTGGACCATGTGATTCCAATACTTCGAAGGTTAGTCGCATTCAAAGAGAGCCAATGTAAATCCAGATACGGGGTTATATTATTGTCAAAGATAAGCTCAAGAGAAGTAATATCGCTCAAGATAAACACATCGCCCATTTTCCTAATTGGCAACTGCGGTACATGAAACCCCAAGTGTTTTATTTTCAATTTGGAGATTTTCCGATGCTTGAATTGCAGAAGGACATTCTTGACATTGGAACATATACAAAGTGTATTTAGGGCTTTGAGATGAGGAATGAGACGCAATGGATCGGAATCAATCTTCTCAGAACCTTTAATGTGTAGTTGCTTGATCGTAAAGTTATCCGAGATATTAGTGCTAAATTGGAATTTATTGTGGACTCGAAGTTGTGATATCTTATCAAGTCTGGCAAATTGTTTCTGAAACATGGTTGAATCAAACATTTCCACATCCACCGTTATCCAGGGACACTTCTCAGTCAAGTAAGTATAGACGTAATCAGAATGACTATTTGGATTTTTTATCCGAAGAAGAACATTCTTCACTAAACTCAATTGCGACTTACCCAAGACTTTATTGAAATCATTAAATCCATTAACAATTGTATATTGAGTTTGAAAAGGCAAATATACATTTTTACTCTTGGAAATACCCACTACTGTAATCGAATTATCTTCCGGCAAGTAAACAAAAATCGAATTAAACAATTTGATTGAGCCAAGTCGATAAAGCTCCTTGTTAACTAGTCTAATGTTTATAGTGTCGATTTGATTGATGTAACTAAATATCGATAGGATTATTGATTCAGATATCGAAAGGAAAGTTATTAGTTCTGGCTTCATCTTAGTAAAACCACTGGCACCCTTTTCTTTCTCAGTTGTGGCATTGGTTTCAGGACTTTCCAGACATACAGAAATAACAGGCTCAACTTTCATATCTAGAAGCTCACTCTTGTAGAAAGTTGTTTGTGTCGACAGACTCCTCTCTTCCAGTTTAACTTTTGAATCATCAATATTCAAGGCATTCCTTGTAGAGGAGCGGAGCTTTCGACGCTTTGATGCAGTTTCATCCATTACTTATTAACCTGAGGTCAAAACGTTTTTAAGAAAACAATATGAATGGTTCGAAATACGATTGTAGTAACCATCTTAGCATAACATTTCCTGGAACTCTAGAATTTGTTTGATATGTTTTTGTGTCGAAATTCTAAGAACAAACTTTTTTTTGCAACCACGTCTGGGCGCATCAAAGACTGTAAATATTGACACGCATCAACAAGTAGAAACAACAATGACCTTGCATATCGTCAAATTTATTAGTTCCAGATCAGGTACATTTGTTTCGGATGAAACTATTCAAAGAAGTCGCCCAAAAGAAACGGTATGGGGAGTTGAGTAAAATGCATTGGCGGTATTAATTACTATCAACGGTCCATCGGCTCACTACCAGCTAAATTTTCTCCACATTATTACACTTTACCGCTGGGACGTTCAACTTATGACTATATCTAGTCCACCCCTCTTCATTAGCGAACCAGAAAAAAAGAGGACCGCGAAAGGTACAACCCCCTAAATTAAGCGAGAGAATGGGCCGATGATTCAGATCTAAAAAAAAAAAATTAAGCAGTCATGTTAGAAATATGGGGTTTGCCGGGTATGAGCTCTGACGAAAGTAAGCCACCTTTTTTTATGGGCTAATTCAAAAGTATGCTAGATTGATATATTTTTGTCATTGGTCACATACAGAAGTTGGATGTCTAATTAGTTCCAAATGCAGGGTCTAGTTTGTGTCAAAATTATTTGAAATAAGTAGAACCATCACCCAATCACCTCTATTATGTAATCTACTATTGTAATGTCAACTGGGTGACTGGGAATCAGATCAGATGTAATTTTCAAGGGCGAGGGGGTGCATGACCATTTGATTAGCAAAAAACATAACCTTTTCCAAAAAAATAAAATAAAGAGCTAAATAATATCTTTATTGGTATTACAATGTAAAGTGATAACTTAGAAGACTTGCTACTTGCTCAGTCAATCTACAATTTAACACTTAGTACATATTGGTAAAGCATGGTCTGGTGTGATGGGGAAAAAAAAACACTTTAAGCAATCACATGTACTCTAATTTCGTATTCTTTTTTAGTACAGTGTTACGATATTTCCTAGCCACTACATTTAAAGCATGACGAAGATTCTCCAGGAAACACATGACAGGACATAAGACTGTTTTAGACATGGATCATCGCATTCGATATCATGCGCTTTGCTGTGACTTCTTTTACTTGACACTAATCTCAACCGTGCAACTGGTACAGGGGCTTGTATATGCACTTTAGAAAGTAGTTAAAGGCTTATTCCCTTTGCGGTTTAGTTGGGTCGGCATCAATAATTTAGTGGCTTGTATCCGTAACGAGTCCACATGTCTGTTGTCATGTGAATCACCAATAGTTGCAATATGAACTGACAAATTTGATGCGCGTGTTGTGCATCTCGTTTATTAGTTGGTCTGTGCATTGGCTAAAAAAAACATAAAAGCCTGGAAACGTATCACCGAGATAATGCAGTAATGTGCAAAGAACCCGCCTGAAGATGTTCGGAGTGGAGATTACATATGCAGGAACATGGAAGGAATCCTCTATGAAATCTTTGCTTTTTGTCTGTCTCACCTTTGTCTCAGATGACTATTGAGTCGTATTTTGCAAGATATCGTAACTTAGTTGATTCATGACTTACGATTTGCCTCAATGCAATAGGAGAAAATCCCTCAGGTCAACGCCAAGTTCCCACAAAAAAAAACAAAGAGAACAATTACCAACAAAAACAATTTAAAAACGCCTCAATAAACTTTATCGCAAATTTTATTGGTAAGGATTCTTTACTAGGGTGGAAATCCATTACGTGGTGCACTTTAGTCTTTTTCTTGATACCAGAACTTTCTCAACCTAGCCCCAGAGTATACGCTTGATCTCTTCGGAGTTTTTCTTGGAGGGGTGGGAATTGGTAGAATTAAAATTAATTATTTTATTGTTTAGCTCACTTTGCAGTTATTTTTTTTATATTGTTTTATTTTTTCTTTCTTGTGCAGAAGTAAGGAAGAAAAAAACATGAGCCCGTTTAGTCACTTTTTTTTTTTCTATTAATCCTAATAACTTTTTTGTCCCCCACTAAAATAACTTTGGAATTTTATTTTACCGACTTTACCAATCGAATACAACCTCAGCCAAATCAATCAAGGGGCTTTTACTTAGTTAGCCTCAAACATCAAGATCATATCACGGACTTTAATCCCTACCTTCACTTTTGTCCCTAAAGTCCAAGTTTTTTTTTTGCGCACATTTAGATAGGGCATCCATTTTCTATATGCTTTTAGACGGTTTGTAATCACGACCACATCACATAACCTTTGCACTATGTCCAAACGAGAACTCCCCTTTCCAAACGCAACGGAACTTGTTCCTGATGGATCAACATTCAATTTGAGCAGCAATAGCACTATAAGCAATGTGAGCAATAATAGCAATAACAGCTCGAAAAACACCACCAACCTCAGTAATCTCATCGCCGGTGTACCTGTCAACAGCACTACCCCCACTAGCAACAACAACAACTACACAAACATCTCCACTCCGAAGTCAAACAAACAAGTGTCGGAATCAAAAAGAAGAAGAGTCACTAGAGCCTGTGACAACTGTCGACAGAAAAAGGTGAAATGTGATGGTAAACAACCTTGTATCCACTGTACAGTATATTCATATAAATGTTCCTATGATCAGCCCAACATAAGAAATAAACGTAACTCGGGTATTCCCGCTCCTGCTCAACCCAGTGTGGCTGTATTACAAGCAGCCGCTGCTGCTGCTGCTGCAAATGCGGCCAATGCGAGTATTGAAAATGAGGGAAATGAAGGAGCAGCATTGTACCCTACTTCTAATTTGATTGTATGCCAACAAATCCTCAATATCCTTTTACCAAAGCTTAAATTCAATTGTTTTGACCAGAATGTACAATTTGACGTGGAAAGATTCCAGAAACTTGTAAGTTATGTTGAAACTAGATCACCAGAATTCACCCAGAATATCAACGAAATCTGTGACTACATGCAAGATCCAGAAGTACCGATCCATCATCTTCAAGTTCATCATAATCTTCGAAAGGCTTCCATCAGTTCCAATGATGATACCAATAGTATTACTCCTGGCACCGAAATAAAATTATACTTGCCAAATAAAGAAACAGCCTTGCAGTTGATCTATACCACATGGAACAAAGGGTGTGTATTATTCAGATTCTACCATCGTCCTTCGTTATTAGAAGAAGTAGACTTGCTTTATTCCCTTGACCCAAGCAATTATGGCGATCGACAACAAAGGTTCCTTCCATTCTTGTATTCAATTTTAGCTTGTGGGTGTCTTTTTTCGAGATCTTCAGCTACTGCCCCTGACATTAATGAAAACTCCGAAGATGACGGGTTCAAGTATTTCTTGGAAGCAAGAAAACTAATTGATATCAGTAATGTTGGAGATATCAATTCCATTCAAACAATTGTTATGATGATTATATATTTGCAATGTTCAGCAAGATTATCCACGTGTTATTCATATATTGGTATTGCCATGAGAAGTGCACTTAAAGAGGGGCTCCATCGTAATTTGTCGATATTCCAAAATTCAAGAAGGAAGTTAGATCCCATTGAAATCGATACTCGTAAGCGGTTGTTTTACACAATTTATAAGATGGATATTTATATTAATTCCTTGCTTGGACTCCCTCGTTCGATTAATGAAGATGAATTTGACCAAGAGTTACCCGCAGAATTAGACGATGAAAATATCACCCGAACCGAGTACTTATATGATAAACAACAAGGTAGACTTTCATCCCTGGGGTGCGCTAACCATCACACAAAACTCATGTTGATTCTTTCCCATATAATCAAGCAATTGTATCCGATCAAAGTCAAGAATGCCGATGATGAATTAACCTCATCTGCAAACCATTATAGTCCAGACAGAATCCACAAGAAAGTCACTGATTTAGAGCTTGAATTGAAAAACTGGTTGCATGACTTACCTGCCGAATTGAAACCAACAGATCCAAATGTTCCCGGTAGTAACAAGGCAGGTGAAAAATTCGTGCTTGCTAACTATTACCTTCATTTAGCATTCCTTAACTGCCAAATCATGCTTTATCGTCCATTCATCCACTTCATTAGTGATGGAAATAGCAAAGGAGTCAATCTGGATCCTAGATCTTTAATCAGAGGACGAAACTGTATTAAAGTAGCGCGAATGGTTGTTAAATTGGCCAACAAGATGATTGATCAAAATTTGCTCGTGGGGACATATTGGTTCTCAATATATACTATTTTCTTTAGTATTGCATGTTTGGTTTATTATTTCCATTTTGCAAACTATGCCAGTAACAGAGAACTGGGAGTCAATTATGCCGGGGTGTTATTTGATGATGACTTGAATATCGATATGATTAAACAAGATATAGAGATTGGGAAGAAAGTGTTGGATTGCTTGAAGAATTCCTCAAGAAGCTCCTCAAGAATTTATAACATTTTGAATACTTTGTTTGAGCAATTGAATAGAAGAACTGCCACCACTTCAAGATTACGAGTTGATGGAGAAGTTCCTGGAGATGCCAATGCTGATACAAATCCTGAAACTGTTCCAGGAGCAAGACCTAATGTCAAGAGTGAACATGTTCAAAATACATTCAAGAATTTCGATACTATAAACAACTTTGAATCATCTCCTTCTGAATCATCATATGCGGCATATGCCAAACGAGATCTTGGTCAATTATTTGACGAAACAAACCTTGCACAATATCAGCTGAGTGCAGAAGCCACCCAACTGGATTCTTCAAAACTCGAACCTATCCATGAAACTGCCACCACAAATTCCGAAGACGAAACAAATGCCGACTATTTACCAGGTGTATTTGATAAATTGGATACACAAATCTTCGGTAAGATCTTACCTCCCTATATGTTAGAAAGTAATGCAAATTATGAACAGAACCACCCACAACAACAACAACAACAACAACAGGCCACAGCACAACCAATTCCACCACAATTACCGCCACAAATTCTACAACAACAATTACCTGGACAGGGTCCCATGCAACAAATGATTGATCCAGCCACTAACCCGCAATTACAAATGATGGCAAAAGTAGACGGTGTAATACTGCCCTATGATAATATGGGCGTTAGATCGACGTTAAATCTTGATGATTTTGACTTTTACTCCATTAATAGTGGTGATTCCTCAGGCATGCAATATTTGGATCCATTTGACCCTGTCAATGGAAGGTAATTTATTGACTTTTATTTAAATGTAATATATATAAAGAAATATTTATTTTTGTAAGTATAGTGTAATATGAGTTTCTTGTTAGCGCGCTACCAAAATTGTACAATTGAAAAATTGCGTCTCATCCCGAAAAAGACCAAACCAATGTACCTATAGTATTAACTAACAGGATAAAGCAACAGCACAATGAGTGACAGAAGAAGAATCCTTGGGCCAGCAAATACAGTGACTCCAAACATACCGAATTCCACCGGATCTCGAAAACCAAGCGCAACAAACACACAATCCATTCCCCCCTTCTTTCTCAAACATTCCATCATCGAAAACGCTAATGGTTCAGCTTATTTAGAAATCGGCAACACATTAATCGAAGTTTCGATATTCGGCCCACGTCCAATCCGAGGATCATTTGTTGACCACGCCAGTGTCTCCGTAGAGTGCAAGTTCCATCCATACATTACTCCCCAACCACAAGCATCTACATTTAACTCGGCCAAACAAACTGGTCGTACTGGATTAACCGATGTTGAACATCGTATTTCTAATTATTTAGAAGGCTGTATCTTGCCTTGTTTATTATTGGAGAAGTATCCCAAGTCAAGCATTGACGTTCATGTGTCGATTATTTCTACTGATCGTGATGATTTAAAGAATAATGCCAATTTACTTTGGTTGATGAATTGGATCGTCTGCTGTACTAGTGTCGCGTTTGTTGATTCTGGAATAGAGATGAGGGACGTGATTACTGGTGGTCAAGTGAGATTATGTGGAGATAAAGTAATTATACATCCAGATTTAGAAGATGACGAAACTGACGAGCCATCAGTCGATGGTCTTTTGAATTTTATGAATTTGAAAAACGATGAAATTGTAGGTATTTGGATTGAAGGTAATGAAACTGATTTGTCAACCGAAAAGATGAACCAGCTAGTTGAAGAGTGTAAGAAAATGTCAAAGATAATCCGTGCTAATATTAATTCATACTTGATAAACTCGTTTAAATAGGTTTTATATTTTGTTACTAATTACATGCGTATTAAAAAAAAAAATTGCTTGCATATTTCTATCTACAAATCCTTCTTATCAATTGCGTAATCATCGTTGTTATATGACAATTCTTCTAACACTTGCTTGATATGGATAATCTTACGCGAAACATCCAAAATAGATAAGTCGTCATGATGTAAGAAGATCTTTGGACTAACTTTAACTTGGCAAGCATCAGAGATTACCTTACCCAATAAGCTGTAAACATCCAATATATTGTCATGTTCATTAGCATATGACGAAATAGGAGTCTTGATATCATCAATGCTCCATAATTTCTCAAAGATCTCCGACTTTAAAACTTGAGCAAATGCTTCAGTTTCATTCAAATCAAGTGGCACGCTCAATTGAGCAGGTCTGATCTCAAATGGTTCAGAAATATAAGCAACATCGTGTTTGTCATCTAAATGGTATCTGAATTCATAAACACCTTCTTCCCAGAACAACTTATTCTTTTCAAAAGTAAATGATCCACGGGATTCAGTACACCAGGTCCAACGACCAGAAGAAGAAAGCAAGGTTTTAGTACGGGAATATGAAGTCTGAACAATTTTGTATAATCCAATCCAATCCTTGGTTGAGTGGGCATCTTTTGGTGATTCCCATGACACGGTGATTGGAGAGCCAACAGTGGTATATTTGAGTAAATAATTGTTTTCAGCTGCATCTTTATCTTCTTTCAAACCATCGATTGTTAATTTGTAAGTGGAATTAGCAAATGACAAGTTTTGTGATAATTCCAATACTTTTTGTTTAGGTATTTTCGTAGCTGAGTTAGTTAATTCTTTGATAAAGGTATCCAAGGTATCAGCGATTGAAGTCATATTCTTGATAGATTTCCTACGTGAAACTGTTTCCTCAGGATCATTACTTAATCTTCTTTGGATAGCATCAGGGATCAAATGCTTCTTGACAGTTTTAGTAACTCCGGAGTCCTTCAAAACTTCATTCAATCCATAAAGTTTAATCATATGGAACTTTTCAATAAAGTTAATTCTGATGAAATTGTTAACCACCCAAATAGCACAACATGTAAGGTTCTCCACCGTTGGAAAGATAATAAATACCCCCATAACTCCACAAACACCAAATATTTGTTCTGGGTTGTTCAAATAACGGTATACTCCTGCTTTGGTTAATTGAGAAGTTGTGCGTAAAGATTTAGGAATGAAGAAATCACCATAAAACCATCCAAAATAACCAAGCAGATCAATAATTGACGAATTGATCCAAACTTGAGTCAAGATTAACAATAACCCAACAAACACACGCAAATGGAACCAATCATGGAACAACAAATCTACAGATTGTCCTTGTAAATAAGTTGCAAAGTTCAATCCAAAGAATGATGAATATGTCAAGTTTATCAAGGAATTATACATAATTGCCCAATTATTCAATGACTTTTCAACGGGGATATCATTTGAAAGACACCATTTGGTAAAGTACTTGTAGTGACTTTGTAACATTAACAAAACACTAATGGAAACAGATTCAAACAATTTCATAATTACAGCCAAGGCAAATACCAAACTAATTGACTTGGACACAAAAGGAATAATAACACCATAAGTGATGACCAACACTAAATTGATAACATCACTTGCTCTTAATAAAGTGAAATTATACAATCCAACCAATGGTTTCAAGTTATCAAAATTCTTTAAACTCTTGACTTTTTGAATCTTGGATAAATTGACTTCGTTTTTAGAAGGGCCATAAATTTTATCGATGTGAGGGTTTTCAATAAAATTCAAAAACAACATTTGCAAGAAATGACCGAAAATCGCAATTACCAAGACTGTGTAAGATTTAGCAATCAAGGCAAACCCATAGTATCCGATATAACCAACAGAGTACATTGGATGTGGGAACATTTCAAACACACCATCGAAAATCAAATCTTCATTGTTAATTTGACGGAAAAAGAAGTCTCCCCAATACCATGCATAATCCTTAATAGTATCATGGGCGTTAACTTTAACCCAGTAGTTGAATACAATAAGTACTGATCCTCCAATAATTCGAGAGTATATTAACCACCATGATTGTCCATGAATAAACTGGTAATTGTCATCAATTGCACAAGTATAAACCACAAGAATAAAAGTTGTGAAATCCAGCATCAACACTAAATCAACAAACTTTCTGAATATTAACCAAGTGTTAAATTCAACTGGTAATGAGTTGACATCATAGTCTCTACCTCTTTGGCTCTTGACTTCGTTTTGAACTAAACGAGCCAATAAACCGTTGTTTGATTTATCAAACAATCTTAAATTCTTGGACCAATTAACTAACCTGCTATGTTGAGATTGTTGTTGTAAAAGCCAACCAATTCCAAAGTTATAAGACAATCTCCAGATCACATATAATCCAATATATATCTTTATTCTCAACAAATTATTTGGAATTAAAAACACCAAAAAGTTAAGGACCAAACAAACCAAAATCAAAATTTCTAGATTAGATTTGCGGATTGAGGGATCAAACAACGTTTTCACCATATCATGGGTTGGTGGAACTGAGAATGTTTCTCCAGAGAATGTAATCCCCTGGGGTCCCGCCACATTGCTCTTGGAGCTATTTTCTTTGGTCATTAAGGATTCGGTGGATGATTCTGTTAAGGTGGTCATCTAGATGGAAGTAGTATTAATAATGCAAAATCGCGGAGTAATACGGATAAAATCACAAAGTGAAAAAACAAAAAAAAATGTGGCACTCAATTTTACAAATGCACGGGAAGGCAAGAATATGTGCCAATTATAAAAATTCCTTGACTATGGTAGGAATTTAATCAGATATGGAATAAATAAATGTAAGTGAATGACTTGCAATTGTACTTTCCACTCACTATTTTGTGAATTGTCTTGTGAAATAACTTTTGTAAGGCTAATTTTGATTGTATTATGGGGTAAGGTAATTTTTAGAGCTCACCACTTTTTTTTTCCTGTCGTCTCGTGAGGGTTAGTTTTCTACCAATTAGTTGAATAAAGTAGATTGGGCAAACACCAGTAGTTGAGCCTCAAGTATAAGCAAAGATGAAGAAAAGAAAAATGTAGGAAAATAGGAATAACCAAAAACAGAAGAGTGTGAAAAGGTGCGTATTTATACAAAATCGGCGTACACCGGCTATTGCCAGATTGACGTTATTAGGTGTCAATTAAAATGTCCGGTTATAGAATTTAAAAGAATGTTGAGGCCAAGGCCAACCAAAAAACAATCAGTGAAAAATTTTTCTATTGATCTCTTTCAACAAATAGGGTTGGTTTCTAAATGTGGAAACATGTCGGTTGGGGCAAATTTACGGGAATCTTGCGAACACGCATGTGAATTTTCAACCCTCAACATTTTTTTTGGCACAATAATGTAATCTAACATTCGCATGTGAATTCGTTGATCTAATAGTGAAGGTAATAACGACGTTCTAAAATGCAGGATAACATTTACAATTATATTTGACTAAGTAACTATCGTTATTGAAGAGATAAATAACATTTAAAAAGTGTGGATTAAAGACGTGGTTTACAGAGGTACACAAGCATCAAGACATACAAGTTGATCAAACTATATGGATGAATAGGCTTTGAATGCAAGCTTTGTAATTTTCTTTAAATGGAAATATCATGTATTTTATCTCTGGCATAAGTGCTTATAAATAATCTTATAACCCATATGCAGAAAGTCTAAAATAGACGTTGCGTTTAATCCCTTATTGTATGTAATATATATTCTACTGATGATATATCAATAAAACGAAGGTTACTCTCTTTGATAGAGTAAGGAACTAATGCCTGATCTTAGTGAGCGTAAATTGTTGTTTTGCAATTGTCGGATTTCAGCGCAAGTGAGGTGACTCGTAAATATTACCCTGGGCACCATATTCCCTAAGCGAAAATTCCCTTGGGGTAATATAAGCGAAACGCTATAAGGTAGACCCTAGTTATTTTTCGCAAAAAAAAAGGCCACGATTTATTAACATGATATATAAACAAACCGCCAAGAGATTAAAAAGATATGATTATAATGAATTTTTTTTCATTACATAAATAAGCCTTCTATGGTGATGTAAAAATAGTTAAAGATAAAGTTTATTCTACATTAGTGGAACAATATAGAGATACTTTATATTATTGTGTTACTAACGGATGTAGATTTAATTTCGAATTTGCAGAATTTACTCTTGAAAATTTTGAATTTCTAGATAAGAGATACAAAAAAGCTATTACAGCTATGTATATTCGAAACGGTAAAATTTGATCCTAGGTTGTATTTAGACGATTGTAATTATTCTTTATATAGGAATATCAAGAAAGAAGATGTTGTTGATTTAGTCAAATACACTGAATTGCGCCCTATTTTATATTTTGTCTCTCTTTTAAATTTATTTGACCTTCCCGTCACACCATCTACAATTAAAGGAGTTTATACTTTAGAAGAATACTACGACATTCCAGACAATTCTATTGGTACTGGATTAAATGGTGGATTTAATAATTTTTTACGCCTTATATATACAGTGATGGTGAACTTGATTCTAAAACTTTTGCTAATCCTCCAGGAGATTTTAAAAATATTAATAATTTAGAGGCGGAATTATTACTTTTATATATAATAGAGAGTTATAAAGAATCTGAAAAATTGGGAAAGTTAAATGAAATTAACATTTTTAACGATATTAGATATGCAATTGAATCTTATTCACAAAACAAGAATTTAGATTTATTTTTATCTAAATTTGTTTTAGCAACTCCATATGTTGCGAAAGACTTGATTATTAAACATAAATCATTTTTATGTTTTGGTAATCATCAATATGATATGAAAGAATTGGATAGATAACATGAAAATTAATCCTTTGTATAGACATATTTTCACATATTCTAATATAATGTATTATAGTAATATGGATATGAAGCTTTTGGGTGATACTATAGACTATTGTTATATAGAAGCTTGTATTGTTTCTTGCAATGGATTATATTTAAAGCTTTTAAAGAAAAAGAATTTACCATGCTTTAAATATTTAGATTTAAAGAATAATAAATTTTTCGAAAATCCAGAAAAAGTTGAAGTGGTTTATGGTGTTGAACTCAAATTCGACTTAAGTTATTATAAATATATTTAGGTCCCAAGATAGACTACATACATATTATTATGATCTCAATAAATACGTTGTTTTACTGGCTACATATCCTAGGCTTGCCATGCTAAACCGACTACATCTCTAATAAACTTTAATAAATCATACTATTATTCTATTCTATAAGCAAATAAAAATACAAAGAAAAACCCCAAAAAGAAATCAAGCAATTAAACAAAATTCTCTAGAAACGACGGTTAGATAATGGTGCAGTGTTACTACCAGATTGGAAGTTTCTTTGACCACCATAACCACCACGGCCACCGCGACCACCACGGCCGTATCCACCACGACCACCACGGCCACCACGACCTGGACCGTATCTGATATGAGCACCATATGATCTTCTGTCGTACTTTTGTAATTCAGGAGGAATGGTTTGCTTGGCTTCTCTCATAATCTTGATTAATTCACCACCTAATTTCTTACTGTCTTCAGTGAAGAAGGAAACAGCAGTACCAGTGGCACCACCTCTACCAGTTCTACCAATTCTGTGAACATAATCTTCAATATTACCTGGCATATCGTAGTTGATAACAAATGTAATACCCTTGACATCTAAATTTAACTGTTAGTATTATGTCTTTTTTTCATAATAGACTTGTATTCGAATTGTTTATGCTACAGGTTATAACAGTTAGACCTTCACTGAGCTCAAAGCACAGCAATACTCTTCACTGTTAAACAAAGGGACGTCTCTATTCTTCTTTTATTTATTAACAACAGGTCCTTGGTGTATAATTCACCAAGACGAGAGAGGATAATTAAATAAAAACTAAAAAGATTAAATCTCTATATACACATAGTTCCCATCCATTTTATATTCAAAGAATGACTTCGTATCAACTTCTGCCCCTTGCTTAAAAGAACAGAATCAACTAAACCCATGCACGAGGTGCATCTGTTATCTTCGCTATTTTTGGCTTGTTCTGGTCGACTCTGCTTCACCAGGAAGAACGACGAAACAAAAAAAAATCAATACCACAATTACGTGGTATAAATGTCAAATAAATGACTGCTGCCAAAAAGAACGACTAACATATAGTCATCATTTCCTCTAAAAATGGAAAACACATGTGTATCAAAAACTTATTCTAACAATCTTTCTCGTTTTTTCATTATCTCTAATATACATCTCCCTCATTAATAAACCTCTTGTTAATTTTCATTCTTTTTACAAAAAAAAAAAAAAACTTTCCAGGCATATAGCAGACCAGCTGCTTAATGCACAATTATCCCTTGTCCTAAAACCCACAATCCCAAATCAAGTTAGTAAGAAATAAAAAAAAAATAAAAATACATACCAATACCTCTAGCGGCAACATCAGTAGCCACCATAATTGGAGATTTACCAGTCTTGAATTCTCTTAAAACCCAGTCTCTTTCACTTTGTTGCTTATCACCATGGATAGCCAATGCAGGCCAACCATCAGATCTCAAGTAACTGGTGATTTCATCACAAGCTCTCTTGGTAGAAGCAAAAACTAAAATCTTGGCTTCTTTATCAGCAGTAGCGGTTTCCAAGTGCTTGACTAATCTATCTCTCTTTTCAAATTCACTGACAACTTCAACCAATTGAGTAATGGTGTGAGAAGCAGCTAATTCTAAAGAACCGATAGTGACTTGAATAGGATCATTCAAGTAATCTCTAGCTAAAGCTTGGACTTCCTTTGGCCAAGTAGCAGACCACATCAAAGTTTGACGATCTGGTCTAATTTGTTCAACAATCTTTCTGATGACTGGTTCGAAACCCATATCCAACATTCTATCAGCTTCATCCAAAACCAAGTAAGTAACTCTCTTCAAGTTGGTCTTACCAGATTCTAACATATCAATCAATCTACCTGGAGTGGCAATACAAATTTCAACACCTCTGGCTAAATCTCTGATTTGAGGACCACGAGGAGCACCACCATAGACACAGGTGTTTCTAATTCTAGAAGAACGGCCAAACTTGGAACATTCTTGTTGAATTTGACAAGCCAATTCTCTGGTTGGGGCCAACACAAGAGCAATTGGACCATCACCAGGACTCAACAATGGTTGAGCATTAATGTGAACAATAGCTGGTAAACAGTATGATAAAGTCTTACCAGAACCAGTAGCGGCAATACCAACCATATCTCTACCGCTAGAAGCCATAGGCCAACCTTGACACTGAATAGCAGTTGGGCTTGGGAAACCTTGAGCAATAACTTCCTTCAAAACGTAATCAGGGAAACCAGCTTCTTCGAAAGTAGTGATTGGATGAGGAATATCGTTACCAATAACACTCATTTCATTCTTTCTTCTGAATTCTTCAATTTCTCTGTCAGTTCTAGCAGCAACATTTGGATGTTCAACGTAGAAGTTCTTTTCAAACTTTGGTAAAGTTTCTAAATCCCATTCTGGAGCAACTAATTCAATAGGTTCATCAAACTTCTTTTGGTAACCACCTCTGAAACCACCGTCTCTGTTGCCACCTTGGTAGCCGTGGGATCTGTTTCCATAACCACCATCTCTGTTTCCACCACGGTAACCGTTGTGGTCGTTGTTTCTGTATTCACTACTGTTGTTATTATATGACATCTTGAATATCTAATAGGTTACCAGAGACTATATGTGCTGTTTAACTTAGTACAAGAAAGAAGAAAACGAGATAAAAAAAATTTTTTTAAGGGATGGGTTTTCTTTTTATAACAAAGATGAAAAAAAAAGCAAGTAAAAAAATTTTTATCGTATTTTGTGTAAAATTTCTTTTTTTATTCGATCTAGTCTTCGGGTAGATTTGCATCTAGGGCTTATGTAGTACTAGTCTTGTACTTCTCATTGAGAACTGTGAATTCTCTTTGGGTAGAGGTTCAAGGGTGAATACCGTCGTTTCAATGGCCAATGTATGAATTGATACCAATTCCATATAATATATTTGCAATCTCATGCAACTAAACACTATTCTATTAGGCTAGGTTGACAACATGGAGAGTTGAAAATGTACTTGCATGTCTCAAAAAAAACTTTCTCAACATGCCTGCAGATACTACATATTAAAGCGATCACAATATTAAAGAAATATCTATTATATTTCATGCAAAATAACACCTAATGTACAAGAAAACTACATAACATCAATAACCCCGTTTAAGGTTCAACAGTAGCATACCCACCAGCTTCAATCTTCTCACTAAACTTTTCTTCAATCACAGTACATAATTCACTCAAGTTATCTAATCCTTGGTGCAATGCTTCCACAGCAGAAATGTTACCATATGTTTGAATTCTAATATTTAACTTGTTTTCACTAGGATGTGGGATGGAATAACCGCAAAACTCTACTTCTGGATTCTTCATGATTATATAACGTAACGCATTACCTAAAGTGTGATCCTCATCCACGATTTGAAATGAAGCAGCAGTTCCGTCTTCAGATGCACCAGGCAAAAGCTTGATCTTTTCGAGATCATATTCGTTTTCTTGTGCATCTTGGGCAACTTGAACATCTTCCATTGGTTCGTCGGTAGACATGGTTATATATTTGATTTATAGTTTGAGTATTGGTATGGTTTCCAATTGGTATTTGTCACATTACGAGATGCTCTATAATTTTTTTCCAGAGATGAAAAGAGATGGGACCGGGTCGTGCGAAATGGATAATATCTGATCCTCTGACATAATCAAGATTTACATCAGGTAAATACTTGCCCTGTACCTCCTACAAGCTACTATATTGGCTCAACTTGAATGGAAATTACTAGTTATGCATCCAAATTAGAAAAGGAATAATATCTTGCATTTTCACCTACTATTTAACTATTGTTACACGCGAAAATAGGATGTCCTTTACTAGCAAATTGTACACAATGGCTGTATTGAACACATAAACACCTTCTATATATTTTCAGCTCTTCAATTTGGACCTCTTCCATATAACGAACTCTTGTAGGTTCTCTTGCTTTCCATAAACTCTTGTTGTCTATTCACGTTCCCACTTTTTCAAAAACTAAAAAAAAAAAAGAAAAGGTTGCGCGTTTGTTGCCAATTTTTTTTTGTTTACCTTTTATGGAATCAACTCTTACAACGAACGAGCCACTTATTAACCATACTATGTTCCAAAGTTCAAGCACCTATGGTCATAAAAGGCCAGATATATCCTCTTATCTCCATTATTCGCCTGCTAATAGCGACTCCACGATAGGACATGAGACCTCTCCCAGTGAATTGGTGAATCAATTGGATATGGCGGGATTTTTAGATATCCCCAATGAAACAGAAGCTAGTAGTACTGGGGCATTAAACGGACACGAGTCGTCATTTTCCCTTCAATCAACACCTAGAAGTAAAGATCATGAGTCGCAAGTTTTGTTACCTAGTAACATCCAAACCCCAGCTAAGGTACCAAATAATACCCAAACCCCAGCTAAGGTGCCAAGTAATATCCAAACTCCAGCTAAAGTCAACCCACTGAACCAAAAACTGGAATTTGGAAAAGAAAGGGAAACACGAGCTGAAATTGAAAGAATTGCTAGGGATGTATTTTCAGAATGGAAGGCCAAGGCAAGAGAAGAAATAAGAGCTGAGGTTAGAAAGGAAGTTATGAGTGAATTACAAACAGAATCTCCAAAGACGTCTGCACTAAAGGAATCTGTGGTACCAGAGCAACCTCGTATAGTTTCATATAATACTGAATTGAGTCTCAAGGGTGAATCTAATACAGCCACCACATCTCCAATGAATTCTCCTAAACAAAATCCAGTAGATTTAAAGGAGAAATTAAATTTTGAAAAGTCAAAGATAGATACAGAAAATCTTCATATACCAGCACATGTATTGCAAATGAATGATCCAAACCAGAATAGAATCAATAAACTTGAGAATAATCCACAACAGATTGAAGATTATAGAACCACCATTAGCGATTTGAGTAATGAAGTTTCAAAATGTAAGGATGTGATTTCTGAGTTTAAACGGGAAAACGATTCTTTGAAATTGTTAATACGAGGGTTGTACCTGAAGATAGAGAATTTGGAGAATGCAAAGGAAGCAGAACGCAACATGGATCATGTTAAACTAAGCGGAAATACAAATAAGGCTGACCCCATGTACAGCGGAACTTCTCGCTTCGATTCGGAACTGAAGGAAATGCATGATAGAATTACACAAACAGAAAAACGCATGTATAGTGAAGCAACACAAACACCCCGGATCATCCCACCAGAACACGGTAAACCTGTGACAGATTTTAACTCATATCCATCCGAGGTTCGTAGTCGACTTGCTCATATCAATGCTCACAAACTAGATTCATTATCAGAGGATGAACTTCGCTATATACTACGAAACCTTATGTATGTGCTCATGATTGACTATGATGTTTTAGAGCCTAAATCGATCAAATATGCCAAGTTTATCCTGATGGCGTCCCGGTTTATCGATGGGGTGCATGACCGACTCTACCCCAATGGAGGGATTTTGCGGACTGGTTTGCTATTAAAATGTCAAAGTAATAAGATGTCGGATGATAAAAGCATGGAAAAATTAAACAATTGCTTGCATGACATGCTAGACAATTTAGCCAATTGAGTCAGAATCTTAGCAGTAATTAGTTAATCTTGTCCTTATGCTTCCATAGGCGTAGTAATTCAAACTTAACAATGGCTGAAAATTAATGGTTGCTACGACAATCAATTGGGATGGTGAAAAAAAAGTTCTCTTGATAAAAACAAAAATACACACCACAGCTGTATACGAAACATATAAAAATGACGACAAATATATGCTGATTATTTCACGCTTGTATAGGTAATTCAAATCCAGATTAGCATTCATGAGCCAATGTGCTTTTTGGCAGTATTATTTGTTGCTTATCAGGCGCAGTGCTTCAAATACTAAAAATTCTTCCCCAACTCCAAACTAAAATTCCTGCATGCAGGCGTACATGAATGATCATGATTTATTTTTTTTTTTTCTGAAGTGTTTTGACTTGCGTTAGTAATGGCCCCATTAACCCAACTTTAACGTGAGAATGAAAAAAAAAATTCTAACGAGGCGCTCCAAGAACTTTAGGTACAGAGAAGCAAGAGCCATTGTAACATGGTGTGTGGGTATGTGCAAAATGGAAAGCAATTGTACTTAGAGGATGAATCAGAACTGGGATGTTGCAGCTGTTTGGCAAAGCTAAACACGTCAGAAGAATCTCTGTTACACAAAATTATTAACTATGAGGAGACCGGAAAATGAACTAAAAAAAAATATCGGACATGCATAAAAAATAACAACAAATGAAACATAAAATTTTTAATCATTCTTTTTTTTTTGTTTGTGTCGATGCTGTCATATTAATTTCACGGATTACGTATTTTTTGCTTCCGCCGGTGAATACGTTTGATGTAAATATTGTTGTCATTTATTATGGTCATGTAAAACTTGACGACAGTTGCCATCACCCCCCATAATTAGTAAAGGGTATATATATCCATTGCCAACCGTTCTCATTTGGGAATTCCTTCGATTTAATTTCTTTTTACTCTTATTCTGTCTCTTGTTTCTTAATTTCTTTCTTTTTCTTATCTGAAAAGACTCAAAAACGAAACAGTCCCTTTAAAGTATTAGATCAACCACAATAATATTTCAACTAACTTTGCTATAAAAGTAACAAAAAGGAATTCAATCAGACAACAAATAGGCTCCTACATTGTAAGCTTATTTTACGAGACACACTATTGCATACATATTATTTTTACGAATTGCTTATAGTATAGTGTGGATAGTTACTTTACATTGTCAATTTATTACATTAACAATATCTAGTTAGTCAAATCTGATCAATTTAAATATCAACTAATTTGGTGTTGACTCAGAACTAATTTCAATCCAGTGAGTGGCCCACCCCTACTAATTTCATCTTGCCGTCATCCCCCCACCCACCCCCCCTTCTTTCTAGTGCGAGAAGAAAAAAATAGCTCAACATAAAATGGGGAAATCAGCAGTTTCTTCTTCCGTAAGACCAATATCAACAACAACATCAACGTCAACACCTGCTGCTTCAAACACTACACGAATTTCTGGTTCTCCTTCTACCATTGTTAATAAAAGCAAGCAAGGTACAAACAGGGACCAAACTAATCGTCTTGATCCAAGTGACGATGATAATAGCAGAAACATCCTATTCAATACTGGCAGACAAGACTCAATAACTTCCTTATTGAATACTTACAACACTAATACTAATAATAATTCTCAATCGAACGAGAATAGAAGAACCACTCCTACTTACACTTTGAACAACAAACGAGAATTCCTGCAACCAAGTGTTAGCGGTCCATCTTCCAACTATTCTACCACAACTAGCTCCGGTTATAGCAACCCCCAATTATCAGATATATCACCCACCTACTTAACCAGGAGAGAAACGATACCAACCATGAACGATACACAACAATCAATCAACCCCACTTCTACCACAAATCAACAATACCAACCCTCACAACAACCACCACAATTTTCGCAGCAGTTTTCTCAGCAATCACAACAACAATTTGCCAATCAGCCAATAAGACCTCGAGGTGATTCCATATTCTTGCCTCCACCAATAACCTCCCAAGTACGACTGCAGAATGAACTATACGAACAACAACAACAGGCTCAACAACAACAACAACAATCTCAACAGAATGCGTTCCCATCGCGTTCCAACAGTATATTCAGTTCTTTGATAAACATCCCTGGATCCAATGGCAATTCAATATCAGAACAGTCCGGCAATAACTCCATGAAAACTGGTCCTACTAGCAGTTCGTCAGCCCCCAGTCTTCCACCAACTAGATCGCGTCAAATGTCGTTGATTCCCAATCTGGATTTCTCCGTCGAGGATTTAGAGAATTTACTAAACAAAGAAAGCTTGGGAAACTTGCTATGGCTGCAAGATGGCACTAGATTGTCTTTGAGTGGTGGTAGTTCTAACCCAGGTTCAAGAGGAAAAGGCAATACGTCCCTTGATTTATCCACTTGGGATAATCAAAATAGTATATCGGGAATACCTGGTTTCACTGGTAGTGTCACAGATATTCTTCAAGGTATGATATCGAATGGACTGATTGATCTTAATAGCATGAGTACTGAACGAAGAGATTCAATTTTAAAGATTATTAACGATCAACAGAATACAAGAGCGCAAAGAAGTGAGGATCCCAGAGCAAAAGTTAACTTTGGTAAATTAAGAGAAGACATATTTGACAAGAGGAAACAACAGCAACAACAACAACAACAACTGCAACAGCGCCAACAACAACTGCAACAGCCACAACAAAAGCCACAACAATCCCAATCACAACAACAACAGAAACAAGAACCAAGGCTGCCTAAACGCAAGTTGGACAAGGATAGCAACATCTCTCCTACTTCTTCGGTTGATTCTTCTAGATCCCACAAATATGACGAATCCCATTCACCAAAGACTTCACCAGCACACTTCAACTCCAATATAAACACCATGAGATTGAGTCAACCATTTAATGATCCATATCAACAATCATTACCCCAGCCACCAATGGCACCACAGAGATTGTTTCAGAATTACCCACCTCCCAATCAAATTCCACCACCAGGTCCAAATTCGCAACCAGTACTCTCGCCTCAGAATCAATACCAGTATACCACCACATATCCAAATTATGTAGGGTATCCATACCCAGGAAGTAGAGGCAATAGTATTAGTGGAAACTATGTGTATCCAATGCAATATCAAAACCAACCACAATACCCAGGACAACAACCCCAGCAGCCCACTCAACAACAATTACAACAACAACAACAACAGCAACAACAACAAATGGGAACTGCATATGCTACCATACCGCCTACTGCAACCACTAAACAAAGACCTTCCCGAGGAAGAAAGTCCCAGGAAATGGCCATGGGTTCACCTCCAAAGCCAGTTTCTTCTTCGCCTCGTGATAGAAATCTTGTTCCTGCTCAACAGTTTGCTAAATCTGAAGATGGAAGACCACTCCTTGGAGCCACCAAGATTGATCAATTAATGTTGGTTATTCAGGCCAGAGACAAGGGTGTTACCAAAACAATTCAGCAAGCACCTGATGGTAGTATCTTAGCGCCAGCTCCTGGTGCCGTATTCAAGCAAGAAGCTGATGTTTTACCTGCCCCGGTTAGTCTTGTTGGTGGAGTTGATAAGCCCCATAAGAAAATTGAAGATGAGGTTGACGAAGAAGGGCTTGTTGGTGGAGAAGATGAAGAGCATCATCACAAACATCGCAGGTCAAAGCACAAGAATCAACAGTGTCCTTATTGTTTCAAGTATTTCACTCAAAGTACGCATTTGGAAGTTCATATAAGAAGTCACATTGGATACAAGCCATTTGAATGTACATATTGTCATAAGAAGTTCACTCAGGGAGGTAATCTTCGTACCCATCTTAGATTACATACCGGAGAGAAACCATTTACTTGTGATGTATGCCATCGTTCATTTAGCAGAAAGGGTAATCTTGCCGCACATAAGTTGACGCATGAAAACTTGAAGCCGTTTGAATGTAAATTAGATGGGTGCGATAAGTCATTTACTCAATTGGGTAATTTGAAATCGCATCAGAATAGATTCCATTTGAATACGTTGAATATGTTGACACATAGATTGGCTGAATTAAGCGGTGACGGGTTAAACAATCTCCCGCAAGAGGAACGAGAATTGTTGGATTATTTCAAGGATTTGTACAAGAACTCTAATAAGGGTATTAGAGGACGTGGGAAACAGCACAAGGATGAGCCCAAGACACCAGGTGGGAATGGTGGTATGATGATGATGACAAGTCCTAATTTCCCAGGCGGCCCCCTGCCAGAATATGGAAATCAATTGGGTGGTACGATATCTGGGTACCAAGGTTAAGTGAATGTGAGCTTTTATTTGTTATTTGCATTAGTAATAATTTTAACTTCTATCTAACTGTATTAAGAGAAAAGAAAAAGGGAAAAAAATATATGTATGATTTCTAGTGTTTGGTTATAGTTTTTTAATTTATGAATCTATTTATGATAATGTTGGTATAGTGTATTGCCATTGTAGGAGTTACCGTACTGGTTACCGTACTGGTTACCATACCAGTTACCATACTATTTACCATACTAGTTACCATTCGAGCTACCATACGAGCTACACGTATTTTGTTTTTATTTTTGATCCTCATTTTTTTTCCGTAGTTAAGATCAAGCTAAAAGATATTGCTGTCAAGAACAACAGGTTACTAATTCAAATGAACTTCTTTAAACAGACATTAAGTTCGTTGACAGGTTCATCTATACCTTATACCATCAAAGAAAAGGTTGTTGACCCACAATCATTAAACCCAACTGATGTGGAACGCAACTCTATATGGACAGTATATGACGGTATCAACCCTAAAGATAACAATCCAGTTTCTATATTTGAGTTCAATTTACGTGATCCAGCCAATCAAATTAAAACTGCGTTGGCTAGAAATGCATTTAAGAAGTTGAAGATGATAAAGCATCCTGGTGTGGTTTCTACGGTGGATTTTTTTGATAATGATAGTTCGTTGTATATCGTGACCGAAAAGGTTATCCCCTTGCTAACTTACCTTCAAGAGGAAGTCTCAGATGATGCTAAAGTGAATGGTGTCTATCAAATTGCAAAAACATTATCTTTCATTAACGATAGTTGTCATTCCAGTTATCTTAATTTGAATATTTACAATTCAGTTGTGGTTAATGCTCAAGGAGATTGGAAATTATTTGGGTTTGAATTGGTTAGTGATGCAGATCAAACTGACGTTTTTGCTTATAAGGAATCCATGCCTGGGTTCAGAGAATTTGCTCCTCCAGAAGAAAACAGAACTGTCAAGGCTGATTCATTCCGTTTGGGTAAATTTATCTTTAGTGTCTTTGATAGCTCGGAAAGGAACTTACCTTCAAGATTAGTGCCGATTATTAAACGATTATCAGGAAATAATGCGAACGTTCGTATTACTCCTACACAATACATTAAAGAATTAGAAGGGTGGCATGGTGAAAACCCAATCATTCGCTTCAATGAGGAAATTGCTGAATTGAAGTTTTTCTCCGATGCTGATAAATTGTCATTCTTTAGACAACAATTGCCTAGTTATTTGCAATACGAAACTTCATTCCCTGTGGGATTCTTGAATTATAAATTGTTACCGGAATTGATTTCTCAATATAATCAACTTTCAAAAACTGCTGCTGGAGACTCTCAGAAACAAGAAACATTATGCACTATGATTAATCTTATTATTAAGTTTGGAATTAAGTTACCTCCAGAAGATTTCCACAAGACAATCAAACCAATCATTGTTTCGTGTTTTTGTCTGACTGATAGAGCTGTTCGTTTGATCTTGTTGACTCATTTGCCGGAATACCATTCCTTTTTCAGTGATTCTGAAATCCAATCGCAAATATTCTCGAATTTGATTACAGGATTCCAAGATACAAATTTCATGATTCGAGAAACGACTCTTAAGTCAATCACAATTATCATTGATAAGATTTCTGTGAAACAAGTCAATCAAGATTTACTTCGTATCTTGGCCAAATCGCAAATGGATCCTAAGCCTTCAATTAGAGTAAATACATTGATCCTTATCATCAAGATCTCATCCAAGATTTATTCCAACTCTAGGAATAATGTCTTGATTACAGCATTGGCTAAATCTTTGAGGGATTCATTCACACCTTGCAAGATGGCCGCATTGCACGGATTTGAAACTCTCCGAGGTGAATTCTCCATGGAGGAAATATGTCTGAAAGTGTTAGGTCATTTAGCTATTGCCTTGATGGATAAGAAATCCACCAAAGTGAGAAAGGAAGCAAGGCGGATTTTCCAAGTGTATTTGGAAGCCGTGGAACTGCATGCGGGCGATTTAGACGATTATGAAGAAGATGAAGACGCAGAAGAACGTGAATTCTACAAGAAATTTGGTCCTACTGTGCAACAAGCCGAACCGGAAGCTGCGCCAACAGAAACGACTTCAAATCCTGAAGTACAAAGTTTGTGGGGTGCAGTTAGTAAACTAGCTTCGTTTGGTGGTTCTGGTCAAATGAACAAGGATTTTAATAATTCTACTCCAGATTTGACTAGTAGTGTTCCATCCACTCCAGCTGCACAACCACAACTGCAAGTGCCTATTTTAGAACAACCCGTTAAGGCGGATGCATGGGATACTGGTGACGGCTGGGACGACGGTGATGATGGATGGAATCAAAATGATGAGGTTGAGATTGTGAAGGAGACAAAAAAGATTAGCATTTCTAGAAAACCACAACCTATACCAACTCACAAGAGACCAATTGGTGCTAAGCATTCGGGGTTGAAATTGGGTGCTAAAGTTAATAAACCTAAGCCTAAATTACAATTGAATCTCAAAGCTGATGATGATAAGGAAGTAGAGGATGGTTGGGGTGATGGTTGGTAATCGTGTATACTTTTGTAAAGATAGTGTAATCACAATATGCATTTTCGCAGCAATACATAATTATTTTCTATGCTGTTGTACCAAAATGCATTGTTTAATTTTGGTGTAAAGGAGAAATAATAATAGCTAGAAATCAAAAGTACTCGCAACCATCTGGAAATCTGATCTCCACTTGGTTAATAGAGATGTGAAATGTCGCCCTAAGTTGTAACATTTGGGGGATGGAAAATGTCACAAAAAGCAATTGGAACGGTGGGCTGACACACATACACACACACACTCACTCACTCACTTAGCCAGCCATAATTAACGAGAAAAGCGGATCTATTTCCACATAAACGATGTGAGATGTTCCACGTTACACCGTGCACGTAACTTTTCAGCTTTTATATCTCAATGGTGCAAACTTGTCCGTATGTCGTACATGTGGTGATATTTTGGCAGCAGCATTTAGTCCGGGGTGGGGAGAGAAAAAGGTATTAATTTTTTTTTTTTTTGTTTGTTTTCCCACATTCACTATAATTAAAAGATTCACACATTCATTGTGGGGATTGGACCTTCAATTCCGATATTATTGAAATCTACCACACGTTTCGCCTAAATCAATTGCATCTCAACATTTCTATAAATTGAATTGAATTTCACCAATGCATTTGTAAAATTTATAATTTCTAAATTTCTCATTTGTAATTTCACCTTCCATTGGCACCTAATTTTAAAATTGCGCTACACCTCCAATCGCAACACACACCCCGCCCTCCTCCCTCCGAAATTTTTAATTTATATAAAAAGCCTCACACCATTTCTCCTGATTTAATTCCTATACACTCAATTGCAATTCCCCCAATAAAATGTCAGACTTTACTGTTCAAACAATTGAAACAACTCCATTCCAAGATCAAAAGCCTGGTACTTCTGGTTTAAGAAAGAAAGTTACTGTCTTCAAACAACCTCACTACACTGAAAATTTCATCCAAGCAATTTTGGATGCCATTCCAGAAGGTGCTCAAGATGCCACTTTAGTTGTTGGTGGTGATGGTAGATACTACAACGATGTTGTCATTGACTTGATCATCAAAATTGCCGCTGCTAATGGTGTCAAGAAGTTGATTTTGGGTCAAGGTGGTGTCCTCTCCACTCCTGCCACTTCTCACGTTATCAGAATTAGAAAAGCCACTGGTGGTATCATTTTAACCGCTTCTCACAACCCAGGTGGTCCAACCAACGATTTGGGTATCAAGTACAACTTGGGTAATGGTGGCCCAGCACCAGAATCTGTCACTAACAAGATTTTCGAAATTTCCAAGAAATTGACCAGTTACAAGTTGATTGACTTGCCAAAGGTTGATATTACCAAAATTGGTGAATCTAAAGTTGGTCCAATTGACGTTGAAGTCATCGACTCCACTAAGGATTATGTTGACATGTTGAAGTCCATTTTCGATTTCCCATTGATCAAGTCATTCTTGGACAAGGCCACCAAGGAAGAAAACTTTAAGGTGTTATTCGATGCCTTAAACGGTGTTACTGGTCCATACGGTTACGAAATCTTTGTCAATGAATTGGGATTACCTCTTGAATCCATTCAAAACTATAAGCCATTGCCAGATTTCGGTGGATTGCACCCCGATCCAAACTTGACTTATGCTCATACTTTGGTGTCCCGTGTTGATAAGGAAGGAATTGCATTTGGTGCAGCCTCTGACGGTGATGGTGACAGAAACATGATTTACGGTGCTGGTACTTTTGTTTCTCCAGGTGATTCCGTCGCTATCATTGCTGAATACGCTGATGTCATTCCATATTTCAAAAAGCAAGGTGTTTACGGTTTAGCCAGATCCATGCCTACTTCCGGCGCCATTGACTTGGTTGCCAAGGATAAGGGATTGAATGTTTACGAAGTGCCCACTGGTTGGAAGTTTTTCTGTTCCTTATTCGATTCAGACAAGTTGAGTATTTGTGGTGAAGAATCTTTCGGTACCGGGTCCAACCATATCAGAGAAAAGGATGGTTTATGGGCCATTGTTGCTTGGTTGAATGTTTTGGCTGGATATGCTGCCAAGAACCCTGGTTCCAAGACCTCTATCGAAATTGTTCAAAACTCATTCTGGGAAAAATATGGAAGAACTTTCTTTACCAGATATGATTATGAAAATGTTTCTTCTGAAGGTGCCAATGACTTGGTTAAGCTTTTAGAAGGTATTGTCAACTCCAGTAAGCCAGGTGATGAATTAAAACCAGGTTTCGTTGTCAAGGAAGCTGCTAACTTCTCCTACACTGACTTGGACGGAAGTGTTTCTTCTAACCAAGGTTTATTCATCAAATTCGAAAACGGATTAAGATTTATCGTTAGATTGTCCGGTACCGGTTCCTCGGGTGCTACTGTCAGATTATACTTGGAAAAGCATAGTAACGACAAGTCTACTTACCAATTAAAGGTTGACCAATACTTGTCCAAGGAGGTTGAATTTGTATTGGACTTGTTGAAATTCAAAGAATTTTTGGGTAAGGAAGAACCAGATGTTCGTACTTAGGTCTATTTACGTTTGCATTGACATTATGTTTATCTCTTATTTAGAAAAAATATATACGATATTATTAAAATTAAAATTATATTCTATAAAAAAAAAGGCTATTTATAAGGCAGAAAACATAATCATAAATACCATAAGTCAAACTAGAATTACATGTTTGAATTGAATCTCAATTCAATTTTGATTTTTTATTAGCGTCATCAATCTCATCTTCATTCTCTCTCTTTAATGAAGGTAACAATACCGGTGGTGGGGGTGGAGCTTGTGACTCACTTCTAATAGATGGCAACACTGGTGGTTGTTGTGGAGCATTCAATTTGCTGATTGGTGGAATGCTGGAAATATCAGGAACATTCATGGAAGGAAGGACAGTAGGGGTTGAGTTGGAAGTTGCCACGACAGTGGAAGATGCACTTGGTTCTTGCTGTTGTGGTGGCTGTGGTGGCTGTGATGGCTGTTGTGATTGTTGTTGCTGTTGCTGCTGCTGCTGCTGCTGCTGACCTAAAGTAGCATTTTGTAAACTCAAAACTTCGTCAAATCTCTTTCTCATGGAATTTTCTCTCAATCTGGCTGCTTGTTCCATAGCTTCCAATTCCATGATTCTAGTTCTGTACAAATCATTAACTAACTCCAACTCGGAAATTCTCGTCTTCAATAATGTTATCTCATGAGCGTTGCCACTATTATTGTTGTTATTATTGTTGTTGTTATTGCTGTTGTTTCCATCATTTGATTGACCATTAGGTGGGGCTTGATTTTGTTGTGGTGGTTGGTTTGACTGTTGTTGTTGATGATTTTCTTGTTGTTGGTTGTATCCCCCAAAGTTATTGAAAGGAGGCAATGATGATTCTCCAGCAACTTTATGAATAGGTGGCAATGACCCAGAGTCTGAAGCTTGGAAATGTGGAATTGGAGTAGTTGAACGGGAGAGAGGTTGGAAAGCAGGTGAAGAAATCTTGCTTCCCAAGGCTGGCAACTTTGGTGGTTGAACTTGTGAAGTATTGGTTGTTCTGCTATTCATAGCACTTGAGAAGATAGATGAAGATGAAACCGAACTTGTAGCTGGTGGTTGTACTTCTCTCTTGTACTTGTTCATCAAAGAAACTCCAACCAAAGAAGCTCCTCGTTCTTGTGAAGCCTTGAATGAAGCATTTGGTCCTAATTCATGAGCCATCGTTTCCAATGCACCAGCAGCAGCTTGAATTGGTGTCAATTTACCTTGATCAGAGTCAGCTCTTGATGAAGAGGTTGACAATAATAATGGAGAAGTGATTCTTTGTAAACCAGGGGCGAATTGAGTAGGAGTAGATGAAGGGTAGTGTAAAGGAACTTGTTGGTGACCTCCTTGCTGCAAGTGAGATAAATGGTTTGGTAAGTGATGATGGTGATGATGGTGGTGGTAGGAATTTATAGCTTGGGGAAAATTGCCTGAACTATTTGTTTTGAAGATTGCTGGGGTATTTGATGTTGAGCTAGCGGTTGCTGGTAACAATGGAGTCAAGTTTGGATTTGGACTGTTTCCATCCAAACTTGTATTGCTGCTGCCACTATTTTTAGATTTCTTTGATTTAGGTGACTTTCTTCCACTCTTACCATCCTTGGATTTCAATTCTGGAGTGTTTGGACTTGAAGATTTATTAAGATTGTTGTGATGGTTCAGACTCAGCTGCTTGATTCTGTTTCTAGATTTGATAGTATCGGTCTTCAAACTAATTGGTCTTGGACGTCCATGTAATTTTAAAAACAACCCACAAGCATTACACAACACTTGACCAGTTTCATCTCTTCTCCACAAAGGAGTGGTTTGGGTCTTACAGTTACGACAAACAGGACTGGAAATGTTGGTTTTGGTTGTAGTGGTTCCATTATTTACATGAGTAGTGGTTTTGGCATTTGGTTGACCAGGATTTACAGTGTTGTCACCTTCACTTTTAACTTGAGGGGTTTTTGAAGGTGGCGTGGATAATTGTTGTGGTGGAACTTGGCCAGTTTGGTAGTTTGGAGATTCGGTTGGCTTGTTATTTAAAGGTGTGCCACTGTTTGAATCAGACAAAGGTGGAGAAGCAGTGGAAGACTCCGAAGCTGAACTGCTTACAGGTTTGAGTTCTTGTGGAGTACTGAGTATAGTCTTTGAAGGTACGGTAGGTGATACTGCTGTTACTCCTGAAGGTCCTACAACAGGAGGAATACGTTGTTGAACCTCACCGATGGCCATTATTTGATTTATTAGTATGTTGTTCGAGTAGGATCTGATAAAGTTAAACTTGGATTAATGTGGTGCCTTTTTGTAAGGTTGAAAATCTTAAGAGGCACAACAAAAAATTTTTTTTTCGAGTGAGTTGGATGATTCGCTGATAAGATTAAACTGTGACTATTCCAGATAATGTACGGCCAAGTTAAGATAAGACTGGGGTAGAAGGAAATGGAAAAGTAGTTTGGTCTAATAGATGAAATTCAGTTTCTAGAATGTCGATTCTTTTCTCGTCTATTTGATTGTGGTTGTAATTGAAAATTGTGTTGACAATTTTTGAAAAATCTTTATCGTTGTGACTTTTATATACACACACACGCACACACACAACTTAGGTAGTAACCGCTAAACCAATAGACTCTATGAAAGGATTAATTAATTTAAATTAAGTAGTTTGAACAAGTGTAAAGATTATTCAAAACTATTTGGTAAATCCGGATTCAGTACGGGGTTGCCGATTGATAAACTTTTAAATAAACAGCGAAGCAGACTGAAAATTTTTATCTGAAAAATAGAAACAAGAAGATTCGAGATAAAAAAAAAAAAAAACGAAGATAAAAAAAAAACTTTTATCGCGATATTATATGCAGTACTTTAAGTGTCCGTACCATATTTTCTAAGATTTAAAGTCCGTAAGGAGCAGAAATTGGAAAAGAAATTCTGAAGTTGGGCGTTTTATCTGAAAAATCTCTATCCAAAATGAGCAACTTGCTCTTCGCATAAGACTAGTCAATAATAGTACAATTCGTGTGACTCTAAAAGATGACATCCCAAAATTCTCGCTATCAATTATAGACCATGCAAGATCGATTCTAGTCTTCGGATATAGTCCTTTGCGCTTTTGTTGCCGTTTTTTTCTTTTTCATGGGGCAATCGAAATTATTTTTAAGGTACTTTCGGCTTGAATTTTTTTTTTTATATTTTTGGAAGGAACGGCAACAATTTGTTAACTGTGGGAAATTGCCTTGGGTTCGTTTAGTTTTTCCTTTTTCTAAAACAAGGAGGCTCTTCGTTCGGGGATTTCTCGTCCCATGAAATTCTATTGCCGCATGACCCGAGGTTACATTTATCTCTCTTTGTTCGGTGTTTGGGGTTCTAGAATAATGGTGGTGCCTTGGAAAAAAGCATGTTGGTTAAAAAATAATCATTGGTACATTGAGCCCGATAAGATAAGATATGGGGGGAGAAGGAGATGAGCCTAGCAACTATTTCTTTTTCAATTGTTTAATTTCTCTTGAATGTTCAATTGTGGTTACATATCGCGTATGAAATTACTACTTGAAACTAATTGCTCGTCTTGAACGCGACAATTCCAGTATTAATGCTGTGCCTTTATGCCTCATCAGGACGATAAAAAAATTTTTCAGAAAGTAAATATGTTAGAATTTTCGCGGAAATATACCAAATTTCAATTACCAATGTCATAGTGGTGTGACCTGAAACTGTCCCTTAAAAGATCTACCTTTGACAAAGTTGCAACGCAGTTATATCTTGAAAACCCCAGATCTGGGTGGAATTTATCGACTTTCTCTACAATTTAATTTGTGTGGATTATTTTGCGGCTATTGCGAAAACGAAAATTCATTATTTGCAGTATTTATCAAGAGCTTACAAAAAACGATTTTCCAAGAATCCATCCTAATTTCTGTTATTGCAAAATATGATTTGACATAAAGGTGACACCGTATGGATTGTTTCGAATGCAATTCTACCTATATTTCCGATTGTTTAATATAACGAATCAATGTTGAAAAGCGCAGTTAGTTAGAAGAAGCGAGATATTAATTATTGACAGGTCTAGTGTAAGAAAAACAATAGGTTTGTGTTAAAACAGTAAATCGCTCACATAAATTATGAGTACAAGTTTGACAAATGAGTATTTCTTACCATATTAGTCTGAATTTTGTTTTGTACTTTTGGAAGAATTAAGTCTACTCTAAAAATAACTTTCTGATTTAACGAAGGATTTCTGGATTAGAGCCATCCCATTGTAATATATTTGCTCAAATTATCTCCGCGTTGTCACATGGTAGAATGAACAGAGACGGCTTCGCCAAGAGTATTTCAAATAACAGTAAACTACCTAATCTCTACTGATTTTGTGACCGTTAAGGAACAAAGGCACACTGTATGCAGTACACAAATAATGATCCGAAGAAAGATCCCCTTACTAACGAAAAAGATTTTTATTTACAACACTTTTTTCCAACTATTGTTCTTTCCATCTGTTTTTAGTTTGGTAAACATCAATCACATTTGAATCGTATGTATAATATACTTCTGGAGCTAGATAAGATGTAAGGAACCTACTTAAAATGAAGCAATCTATAATAAATCCTTGGGACAGGATCAGGAGTAGACACGTCCCCTATGAAATACAAAATGGTGAATGCCTCCAGGATAGATAAGAAAATCATCCAAATTAAGTAATGAACTAATATATTCGTATAAGCCATCGAACTGCGATTGATTAATGACATTCCGTTTTAGGTGGCAAATATATGTCAATCCCCATACTCCTGATATAGGGGGATCAATTTAAGATTTATTATTTTACCTGATTAGGACATTTTTCGGTTCTTGACACACGACCCCAATTAATTTACACGAGTGTGAGGAATTTTGTAAGCCACAAGGCGGTGCTAAATTGACAACTAATGTACAACAGACGATTAATTACTAAGCATTCGGGCAGTGCTATAGATCCGGCACAACACTACATCTTCATCAATTGCATGACCGGTGTTTTTGATCGTGTTTTTTGATCTATTTTTGTCACGTCTACATACAAAAATAAATTAGTGCAATTATTTTTTTTCTCCCTCATGTTTCAGAATTGTTTGCATTTACGCTTACCTTGTGCCCCTTTCGAGCTTGAGATAAACAAAATCGGTTACGACAAAATTAAACTAAGAGAATCAAAACAATTGCGTAATGGATATTTGGCCACAATATTTTCGCCACTAAATGAATTTTCTTTGCGGTGAACTAATTCAAGTCAAAAAGTTGCCTATACGACATTAGTAAAAAAAAAAAAGGATTGCTAAATTAAGCAAACAAAAAAAAAGAAAAGCATGTCGTAATTTGAGGTTGCTCCCTTGAAATACGGTTTGAATTTGCATGTCGAACTGACGAATGAGAATGGTAATGGCAGACAGAAGGAGGCGCAAGAATGTAGTGACAAATGATCAAGGTGCGAAAGATCAAAAGATAATACCAAAAAAAGTTTACCACGAGAAATTCAGGTCAGAATTAAGTTTCGATTGTTTGTGGTTCAAACAACATTTTTTTTTTTTTTCGTGTGTTGTGTTAAAATTTGAAATCAAAGTGGAAAAGTTTTTCCTTTTTGTTCGAGAAAAACAGTCACTGATAAAGTCATACCTATCCTTTTGTTGTTTTCAATAGTTGTGGTTACTTAGCATCTTCCTTAGCTCCTATATTACAAGGTACTTTTACTAACTTCTTTACAAGAAATTGATTATTTTAAATTGATTTAACGGTTTAACCTCATATTAAAGAAAAAACCGCCCCTCCCCCTTTGTTTATTGTAACATATACCTATTTGATTATTCATATATTCCACATTTTTAAAACAGCATAAATTATAGCATAATGGTTAACGGTCCTGCTGAACTTCGTAGAAAATTGGTCATTGTCGGTGATGGTGCTTGTGGTAAGACTTGTTTATTAATTGTATTTTCCAAAGGTACTTTCCCAGAAGTTTATGTTCCAACTGTTTTTGAAAACTACGTTGCTGATGTCGAAGTTGATGGTAGAAAGGTTGAATTAGCATTATGGGATACTGCTGGTCAAGAAGATTACGATAGATTGAGACCATTATCATACCCAGACTCAAATGTTATTTTGATTTGTTTCTCAGTTGATTCCCCTGATTCCTTGGATAACGTTTTAGAAAAGTGGATTTCTGAAGTTTTACATTTCTGTCAAGGTGTTCCAATCATTTTGGTTGGCTGTAAGTCTGATTTAAGAGATGACCCTCATACTATTGAAGCTTTAGCTGCTCAACAACAACGACCAGTTACTTCCCAAGAAGGACAAGAAGTTGCCGACAGAATTGGTGCATTCCAATACTTGGAATGTTCTGCCAAGACTGGTAGAGGTGTTAGAGAAGTATTTGAAGCTGCTACCAGAGCTTCCTTGAGAGTTAAGGAAAAGAAGGAAAAGAAGAAGAAGTGTGTTGTTTTGTAATCGATTTTTTTTTCCTAGAAATTGATTTGAATTAATAAATGAAAACTTTTGTTATAATGTTATCAACACCAACCACCTCCACCCCACCCCACCCCCCACGCCGCCTCACCCCACCTCTACTTCTCTTTTTTGTTTCTATGGTTTAAATTTTCAAGATCTTGTTGACACTTTTTGATAGATGGGTTTTGGATTATTTTTAACTAGTTTTTGTTTCTTGAATATGATTAGATTAATGCTATACGAGCTTTACACTGTAGTATTTATTATAATATAACTTTTTTAGTTCTTTATAAGGAAGTTGTAACGTTGCGTTGGCACTGAATTGTCGTCGCCAACAATTTTGTGTTTTGCACACCGTGTGTTTTCCAAACAAACTTCTGAAAAAAAACTGACAAGATAATATTAATATAGATTTCCCAAACACCACAACGGAATCACTCAGAACTCAGATAGCTGACACGTCGTGATGGGTTCCTTAAGAACGTTCATTAAGTCTGTTAGAAAGGCGAAAACAATTGCCGATGAAAGAGCCGTGATTCAAAAGGAATCCGCGGCAATTCGTACTTCGTTTAGAGATGTTAGTCTTGACCAAACCACCAGAAGAATCAACATTTCCAAACTTGTTTACTTATACATCATGGGAGAAAAGACCCATTTTGGACAAGTTGAATGTCTTAAATTATTGGCCTCACCAAGATTTGCCGATAAGAGATTAGGCTATTTAGCCTGTATGTTGATCTTGGACGAGAATCAAGAAGTGTTGACTTTGTTGACCAATTCTCTTGATAATGACATGCAACACCCTAATGCATTTGTTGTTGGTTTGGCATTGACGTGTCTTGGAAATATTGCATCTCCTGAATTAGCCAGAGATTTACATGCCGACGTGGAAAAGATTCTTCACTCTAAGAATTTTTACTTGAAGAAAAAGGCTTGCTTTGTTGCTGCTAAGTTAGTCGAGAAAGATCCTGATTTAGCAGAATATTTTGCTGATAAAATCAATGATTTGATTAACGAGAAACAGCCTGCAGTTTTGTTGGGTACTTTAAGATTAATTGAGTCATTATATTTGTCGTCCGAACCAGAACAACGCATGGCTTTATTGAAGACTATACCTAAGATCGTCGGACATTTGAAGAGAGTAACTACTAGCGGGTATCAACCAGATTACGATGTTATGGGTACTTCAGATCCATTCCTTCAAGTTGCTTTGTTGTCTACTTTGAGAACCTTGGCCACGGACGAAAGTTGTCCTGCTCAATATTTGGAGGAAATCAATGATATATTAACCCAAGTGGCTTCTAATATAGATAGTGGTAAGAATGCCGCTCATGCTATATTATACGAATGTGTCAAGACGATTTTCTCCATTCAATCAGACCAATCATTGAAAATCCTAGGAGTTAATTTATTAGGGAAGTTCTTATCTACCAAGGATAACAATACCAGATACGTAGCATTGGATACGTTGTTGGCAGTTATCAATATCGAGCCTTTAGCCGTGCAAAGACACAGATCCACCATCGTTGATTGTTTGTCAGACGGTGATATTTCAATTAGAAGAAGAGCGTTGGAATTATCATTTGGGATTTTGAACGAACAAAATATTCGAGTTTTAGTTCGTGAAATCTTGACATTTTTGGAAAATTGTCATGATCAAGAATTGAAACCATACATTACTTCCCAATTAACTATCGCCGCTAATAAATATTCTCCTAATGAGAAGTGGCATTTTGATACCTTAATGCGAATGTTGAAGGTGTCGGGAAATTCTTTAACTTCCGATATCGTGTCTAATATCTTGGCATTGATCTTACAATGTAACGATGGGGAATTAAAGAAACATATCGTCTCTAAATTATTCTCTTTGTGTTTGGAAGATCCAGAACAATATTGTCTTGCATTAATCACTGTTTGGACTTTGGGCGAGTATGGTGATTTAATATTGGGATCAACTGTTGAAGTCAATCTGAAGAATGTTCAAGTCACTGAAGCTGCAATTGTCCAACTCATAGAGGATCTCATTAACAAGTCTACTTATTCTGAATCAGAAACTGTCCAGTTGGTATCTTACGTTTTAACTGCTGTCATTAAGTTATCAATTAAATTTAGAGACGCTCAAATTATCGAAAGATTAAGATTGATAATCAACTCAAGAACCCGTGATAATAACTTGGAAATCCAAGTTAGAGCCGTGGAGTATCAAGAAATTTTTGCTCAAGATGCAACTTTAAAGAAAGGGTTATTAGCAAGAATGCCCGCACCACCAATAAAACAACGTGAATCGTTAACTTTGAATAAGACCACAGGGGCAAAACCAAAGAGAGCTGGAGGAGTTGCTTCTGCGCTTGGAGGCACTGACGACTTGTTGCTTGACTTAATGGACGATAATAATGATACAAATACTGCTCACGCAGCCGAACCACAGCAGGATGTCTTGATGGATATATTCGGAGGCAGTGGTGCTGGCCAAGCTCAATCTACTACAACTGCAACCAACAGTAACGCTGCTATACTAGACCTTTTCAATGCTCCACCTGCATCCGCTGTTGGCATTGGTTCTTCTCCATCAGTTAGTGAAATTGAAGCATTTACTAATAGTTATATCCATGTAAGCTTCACCCCAAAATCATTCCCTAAGGATGGTCATGCTATAATGGAAGCAGTGATTAGATCGAATACAAACGAAACAATCAGCCAATTCCAATTATTAATCGCTGTTCCAAAGACCCAAAAGTTGAGTATTTCTTCGACTTCTGGAGGTGATCTGTTAACACCTGGTGGAACTCCAATTAGACAAGTGTTGAAAATTGTCGGTAAGGCTGGAGCTAAGATAAAGTTGAGAGTTAAGGTTAAATACAGTGTCAGTGGTAATTCCGTCGAAGAACAATTTGATTTTGCTGGATTCCCTGAAACTTTATAGATTAAACATAAATGATATAATCGTAAGAGGAATCTGAATTTCATGTAGAACTAATCCGCCTTGAAGTGATAATATTACCAAGACTAATCACCTGATATTCTAGCAGAGCCCGGTCAGTATATAATACGACCTCGCTTATAACGGGGTTTGTGGTTTTTACGCAGTTCTTCTATTGCAAAATAAATCTGGTCAAAATGCATCTCGGGTAAATGGGTTTTACTTGCGTCATGCTGTACAGCAAATTACCCAATAACACTGCGTCTAAAGAAAAGATCTAGCCTTGTACAGTACGCAGGAAAGACTTTTAAGTTGCCCGCAATTGCGGTTACATGAGCTAGGCACTAGCCGTTGTATCCACTTCGCCACAGATACCATGTCAAAAATCAATCAGATCCACCAGATCCGAAAAATCTTGGCTGCATTGGGTGTAATATCTATAATCAGGCCATTTGGTTATTGTGCACAAAACCGTGATCAGATGATCGTCTATTGTTTTTTTGGGAACTAAAAAATACGATTAATTGTAAGTTTGGATGCTTCTTTTTTAAGCTGCGAAAATTCTCCGCACAGTCATGGGGGGGGGGGGACGTCATCAAATAAGGGCTGGATTAAATTTCATTATATGACAACACCCCCCCCCCCCCCCCCTAATAAATTGCTGGTATTTAAATATGGTTTAATTTCCGTATTTTTCGTTCATCTTTCTCTTCTTGTTTTCTTTCTATATCCATCAACAAAACAAAAATGTTCAGATTCAAACCAGTTCAAATCTTATCGCGCTCCTTCTCTTCTACTGCAAGAAGACAAATTGCAACTGATATCAACAACGGAGCCCTGGGCCAAAAGATGTGGCCCCTGACCAAGTACGTGGTTCAAAACTATAGTCGAGAATTGGTTAAGTCCGCACAATGGATTGTTATATTGGGTTCAATTATGATTGCTTGGCCGGTTGCTATTCGTAAATACTTTGACATTTCTCACAATGTCCCCAAGGACAAAGGTGCTCAAGTTAAATTGGTATACAAGGGATTGAAGTCGACCCCGGTGGTTGAAATTGCTCATACTAATGCTGAGTTCAAGGGCGGGAGATCTGCCGAGTAGGTTCATTCAGGATTATGTTTTACTATATCCCTTTTGAACTTACTCGTTGTTGTCAAATGTATACGGATATTGGTATACACAAAATTGAATAAATAATTCATATATATATTTAAATACACACACTTTCTTATAATGAGAAAATGTCATAGAGGGTTTTTATTCTATTAAATTTACCAATGTTGTTAATCTCCCTGTTTTGCAAACCAAGCAAGGTTTTTAATTCTGATTCTAACAACAATTCTTCTTCGTGTCCTTGAACATCTTCACGCTCACATTTTTCCAACAAGATTTTGTGATCGGCTTTAAAATCTTGAACATTGTTAATGATTTCCGCCATGGAGTAAATCAACGAATTCAAAAGAAATTTATTGCTAGGCCATTCTTTAAACCTGAATAAAAAGAATGTTTTTGATGCAGCTCTATCAGCGCTTCTTGGTACTTCTTGGATTTCCACGAAATTGGCTTTAACTAATTGATATATTTCATTACGAACAGTCTTTTCTTTTAATAAAACCGCATTGGAAATAGTCTTCTCATCAGAAAGTTTCATTGATTTCAAGCATCTCAAGATTCTGAATGCATCTTGACCAAGTGTGGTTTTGATCAATGATTCAAAGTTGTATTGTTTGATTTGCTTGGTTAAATATGCATATGGTACACTGAAAGTACCGGGTGAGATTTCATTAAGAAATTGAATGGCTGTACCCGAGGTTAATAACTTAAGATGATGTTGAATTAATGTCAATGAATGAGGGTCTGAATTGTCAGTGAATGCATTGCCATTACCAACATCTGAACTTTCCCCTTCATTCTTGATAGTGACTGATTGGTCATTTTCAAGCTTGACTTTTTTAGTAGCTTCCTCTTCAGAATCTTCCAAAGGTCTTTTCTTGAGTTGTGGTTTTAAGAAATTATGAGTTAATATGGAATTTCTCAAGTCAATATCATCAGATAGAGTTCTCATGACATCGCGAATATTAAACACAATCTTTCTTTCATCAACCAACTTATTCTCAATCGAGTTTATGAAAAACTTTTCTTCTTCAGGATCATTAATTAATCCTGAAATTTCCAAAAATGGATGTCGTAATTCAGGACTATTTTGTTCCACCACTTTTAAGGCTGCTTCATAAACTTTTGCAGTCAACAATCCAATTCTTGATTTTGCAAAATTAACCAACGAATTTGTTCTTAAATGTTTTTGAAATCGGGAGACATTGAACGTAACTATGATATGAGGTTGTAGTTTTTTGATCCCATCTTTTGAATCATACAAGTCTTGTGGTGATTGTCCTGATTCTAACAATGTAGTCAACTTAGCCTTTGCTTTTTCTTTAGCTTCCGCAACCCGTTTGATTTCTGAAGTAGTAGTGGTTCTAGGGGTGTTTGTCAAGCACTCTTGAAATACCTCCTGCCAAATGTCGTCAATAGGGCTGAAATTGAATGGCTGTAACCTCACAAGCCATCTTTCGGAGAACAACTTGAAAAACAACGTTTGCTTCTCCATACGAACTTCAAGATCTTCATATTGTCCAAGATAGTCTTCAACCTTAACATGGCCATTTATCAACACGTTCTGGATAATTTCCGCGGCATCATCGCCGTACCTTTCCTTAATATGCTGGATAATATCACCTGAGTGGATGAATGCCAACAATCCCGACTCATTAAGCGAGTAATGCACGGTTTTAGCCGAGTCCTTACTAGTCCAATAGTATACGCAGTTCAATTGCACAAGTGAAACCAAGGCAGATTTGATTGATTTCAACGGGATCTTGGTTCGTTGACTCAACTCCTTACTGGTTAATCGACCATTAGAAATAAGACAGGATATAATACATGATGCAACTTCACCTAAATGAGTTTGCGCTATTGAAGTATATAGAAAGGAATATGTGGACTGTGTCTTAGCCGCTTCTGTGATGGTTTCATCCATGTTTCTTCAAACTAATACTTCTATACTGACTTGTTTGGTTGTAAGAATAGTGTGAAATTTTTTTTAAGGCGATCTCTTCTTACAGGGGCACATATGCAGGACATAAGAAGAGAATTGTATCACGTGATCAGAGTTCTTTTGCAGATTGCAAGATAACCGATTGCTGGCAGAAGGACAAATGTCATCGTTGGGAATGGTGATGATGTAATCCAAGACAAGTGAGGAGTACATGTACTTCCAGAACAAGATTTCTTTTGTTTTATAAAAGTCGTGTTTACTGGGCTTCGAATGCGATGCGACGGCAATGCAGCAACCGTTGTCAAGTGCAACTATCACCCAAAGGATGACATCGATGGGGGAAGAAAGCAAGAAATGTTATAGGAGAGAACCCCACCATCCCCACACGATTGCAGTGAAATTCGAAAGTTGTGTCATTTTTCTCGTATAGAAACGGGAGGAAACAAAAGAGGAGGGGATGTGTCATCCTAAAGTATGATTTTCGCATACGCCATCCTCCCCTCATTGCGTAAAGAGAATGTTGCAATTGGATAAATTGAAAGTTAGCTTTTTAGAGATTTCGATTTGATTGGTGGGCTTTGGGAATAGTTTCACCTTACTGGTTTCGTGACGTTATATGCACGTTTTCTTGTTCATTCTTACTCCGATTACGGAAAGTTGCTTTGAGACGTGCTTGATAATGTGGGACGTGTAAGAAAAGAACCAAAGAAAAAAAAAAATAAAAAAATAAAAAAATAAAAAAATCTACGCATTTAGAAAACCGCCACTAAAAAGTACTTTTTTATTTTTTTGCTTAGTTTGGGTTTTCGCTATCGAGCTGCGCCCAAAAAATAACTCATCCACAGTAATCCTTATCAACCGAAACCGGAAGGGTTGTATTTACCGCATAATCGGGCGTTACACTTACCAACTTTCTAAACTACCTATACAACCAGCTGAAATTAAGGAGAGGGGATAAGCTAAAAGGGGGAATGATACACGGCTAACCCCCATTGTATATTTAAGGTTTTTATGACAAGTTTTAGGTGTTTTTATGGTTATATCCCATCACAGCTTTCCAAACTTACAAAACAAAAAGCCGAACAAAAAAATAAAATAAAAATAAAATTCCTTGATGCAATAGCAGCTTATTGATCGCCCCCTCATAGTTTACTTGGCTAGTGGTTAAATATTGCCTTGTAATAAAAAATATAATCACGTACTTCTCATCATTCGATAATTAAAGAATGACTCATTCTCTTCGGCTCTGGATACTGTGGGTTGCCACCGTTGAAACTATGTCATGCTAGTGGCTCGATTATGGGTGGGGGGATATATGCGCATTACAAAAATGGTGGCTGCCCCCACATAAACAAAAAAAAAAAGAAATAGAAATTAAAAAAAAAACCCTTGCACTATCTCTGGTTTCACCCCTCCGGAGCAAGAGATACAAAGCATGGAAAGGATAAGTGTAATGGTTCAAGATAATTAACCACAAAACCAAAAGGGAAAGAAGGTTTAGTGGCTGCATATAGACTTGCTTGGAGGGGTTTGTAATTACATACATTAACTACGTGCGATTGCCAGATCTGCTAGAACTGGATGGTACGATAGATAAAAAAAAAGTTGTAATGCACGATTATAATCGTTCAATTTTGCGGTAGTGGCAATTTCACGGTTTACATGACAAACTTAAATCTCAAGCATGACCCAACAATAAGATAAAAGAAAAGCGCACCCTATTGTAGTTTTACTGATTTGTCTGTATCTACTGAGTCATTTTTGTCATTTGTATTGTTTTATTTTTTTTTTTTAGTTTATACTTTAAAAATTGATCTTCCCTCTAATCTCAAACTACCACCTACCACGATTTCCTTACCACTTTTCTCCTGGTGCTTCCTCGTTACATACCAACGCATTTTGTACCTCCTTTTAGATATCGTGGAATTGTTTGAACCTACTTATACAATCTAAGGCGTTATTGCATCATATTTTGGACTTTAATCCAAAACAATCACAACATTCTCGTGCTTGGTGTTAATCTGATACACGCACTACTACACGAATACCCAAGCTATATATCCACATAGTTACCCTCCCCTTACCCCTTTACTTGTTATCCGAGGCTATATACCCCACAAGCATACACGTAGGTGATTGTTGCCAACATACAAAGAACAGGTTTTGACAGTCATCCTTTAATCGATTGACAACAGTTTTCAGAAATCTCGCAATCAGCTCACACTTGTTGTTATTTATATAAACACCGACTGATTATGATAACCATTTGAGTTATAAACAACCCTTGTTTAATTCAAATTACTTTTGCATTACAGTTTAAAACATCCACCATGCCTACTGACAGCAAATCCTCTACCCATTCTGAACCTTTAGCTTCTCATACCAAAAAGCAGAATGCCAAGTTAGCCCAAGTTATACAGAACTTCTTTACCAAATCAGCGCAAATCATATTACAAGCAAGATCATATCTGGAGCCTTCACATCCATCAACAAATCTATTTTACCAAAACCAACAAGATGACGACACGTCTAATCAGAAGCTAAACAAATGGTTCAATATCCTCATGTATAGCGCCCCTGACTTTTTACGCGAAGAACTACGATTATGGACTTCTGATTTACTGCAGCTGCAACTGCTACTGCTGCTGCCGCTGCTGCTTCCACCTATGATTATTGAAACTTTCCTTGATTTACGTCAATTGCCTTCCAATCAAACGGTAGTGATACTCGATGAGAATAACAACCCTTGGACAGTTGCCAGATCTGGTGGGAAAAAGTACGAAGTTGTATTAGAAAGATGGTTGATCGAGTTTGATCAAAAGACTAACCCTGGCTCTATAGTTGATGAATTACCCTTGATTTACAAACAGGCCATCATTTTGTTTAGAAGCATCTATGGATTTTCTCGATTGATGCCTGCTTATAAGTTAAAGAAGAAGTTGCAACTGTCGGGGAACAAATTGACTTTAGGCAATAGAATTTTAGATGGTACTCAACCAATTAGTTCAAAGGGAAGAATTGGATTATCCAAATCAATCATACCTCAACAAATGTTAACCACAGAGTCTCATATGACTCAGAAGATGTTTCAGCCTATTAATACCAGTTTAGGAAGTTTGAAGATTTCAATTGCTTACAGAAATCATTACGAATTTTGCTTACATGAGAACGAAGAAATGCTTTCGACTCATTTCATATCAATTGACAACCAACGTCAACAGCGCCAAGAACAGCAAGTGCTGTTTCACGAAGAGCACTATGATATTGACGATCATCATAACCATCACCATGTGAGTCATCTTGAAGGTACTGAAGAAGAACAAGAAGAAGATATAGAACAAGAAAAACCCAAGACAAACTCAACTTCACTATCACCATGCTCGTCCTCAATCAAGGAATCATCATCTCCACAGAGAGTTCCCACCCGACCAACTATTCAACCTTTTAGAGTTGGTTCCATTAGCACATCACCACCAACAACCAATGCACCATCTTCGTCATTAGAACGAAGAATATCTATAACCAGTAACAAATCAACATCCAATGCATCATTGGCTGCATTCTTGAGGAATCCAAGAAGCAGCACTAGCACCCCAGCAACAGCAAATATCCCCATTGTCAATCCCAACAATAGTAGTGGTGGTAACATATATGGAATCTACAATTCGTCATTTCCTAAATCTATTGGATCTTCTGTTGGCCATGAAGATTCGATCTTTGCCAATCCAGACAGCGCCAACAATACTCCTCGGTTTTCCTCATCATTTGGATCAAGAGCAAGTAGGCGTTTTAGTAATACTAGCACCAAGCAACAAACACCAGATGTGCTGAACACTTCCAATCTTGATCCAACATTTAGTGGTGGTGGTATTGATGGTGATGATGATATCAGTGATTTTGTGAGAATGATTGACAGTAAATCCGATTTAAGATTTTCAACATCATCATTCACCGTGAATGAAATCAATGATATCACCTCTAATGATTCATTAAACAAATTCCAATTGTTGAAAAGTCACCATCAACAATTGGGCGATAGCGTAAGTGCTAGTATTATCTTGCGCCATCCATCGCCGCATGGTCAAGTTGGGTACACAATTGGCGGTGGGTCAAGACATTCCAGTCGGAAAAGTTCATTGAATTCACCTCCTGCTTCAATTAGCTCATATGAACAACAACAACGTCTTTCTTCTTTCCACGCGAGAATTAAAGAGGCTTCACCTAAAGTAAGATCTGAAAGTCCTAACAAGACTACTCCTACACCAAGTGTTGCATCAGATCACAAGACAAAAACGACGACAGTTAGCCCTGCTGTAGCTAGTAGTCCTACACTACATGGTGGTGCTCGTCCAACAGTTAAGAGTCCACCAACTACGGTGATTAGTGGATTGGCAACCAGTCCTTCGATCTACTACGGAAGAACATCCATTCGATATGAAGATGTGTTTGATGACGAAGAAGACCACGATGTGAGCCGCCACCACCACCATCCTCAACAACAACAACTGCTGCTGCTGCTGCTGCTTACTCCACAGCCCAAGGCTAAAGAAGTGTCCCAGAAGAAATTGACCCATGACGAGGATGATGATGATTTGTTGTTTACTATGAGTGATATGAACTCTAAATAGAATAAAGGCACCTGTATATAGGGTAATTATATAAAGAATGGAATAAATAAGTTTGTATATTTTTTTTTTTATTTTGCTAAATATTTCTTGGTATAGCGTCATCCTTTTTTTTTCTGGGTGTAAGGCTAATTAATATAGCAAATTTCACAGGTTAAAGTTAATCGCATTGAAGTGTATTGTTTTGTCATGTTGCATGACTTAAACATGTGTTGCATCGACAATTAGCACATGTTGCGTGGACCATCGATACGACGGCAAGGTCCCCGATCGATATGCACGGCGGTCTTTTCATTGTTTATATATTTCCAGATCTGAAAGACTTTTCCGGTAGTACAAAAATTAAAACATAAATATTAATTATTAATTAAGGGTGTGAAGAAGTATGGAAAGAAAAAGTAAATAAACTAAAACAAGTGAAAAACGTGAATGAAGAAACTTGCTATTCAATTGACTCTTTCTTCATAGAACGTCTTTTTTTTTTCATATGCGGCATCAAATTTATTCAGAAGCATCTTGACCTGGGTTACAGGTTTCGTAGTTCAAGAACTTGAAAAGTCTGTAGATGGCAGCAGCGACAACGGCACCAATGAATGGACCGACCCAGTAAATCCAGTGGTAGTTAGGGAAAGATCTGGCGGCAACACATGGACCGAAAGTTCTGGCTGGGTTTAAACCAGCACCAGTGTAGTAAATACAGATCATGTGTCCCAAGAATAAAGCAATACCAATGACAAATGGAGCCATGAAGGTGGCCTTAGACTTTTCAACGGCCAAGAATAAAACAGTCAAACACAAGATACCGGTACCGAAAGCTTCCAAGAAAAGACCTCTGGTTCTGGAGGAGTTACCACCTAAACCGTTAGTAAAAGCAATTGGACCTGGGGTCATAGCAGAAGCGGCACCAGCAGCAGCCATACCACCAATCATTTGAGCAACAAACATAATAGCTGCTCTAAGTGGTGGAACAGCACCACCTAAAACCAAAGACAAGGTAACAGCAGGGTTCAAGTTAGCACCGGAAATTCTGAAGAAAATGAAAACACTCATCATAACACCAAAACCGAAACCGAAAGAAATCATAATCAATTGCATTGGATCAGAACCTTCACCTGGTGGTGGAATGGTTGGATCTTGGTTAGCAATTTGGGCAATGACAAAGGCAACCCATAAGAAAATAAAGGTACCAAAGAATTCACCCAAGAACGCAATTAAATGATTCTTCATTGGAGAGGCGGTAACAGCAGAGTCGTACTTTGGGCTGTAGGTTTCAACCTTTTGTTCTGGTTGTTGAGCTTCGATATCACTAGCAGTCATTTTTGTTGTAAATATGTAGAATTGAGACTAAAGAGTAAGTGAAGAAGAAGAAAAAGAGAAGAAACAAAACAAGGGGTGAAAATGGGAAAGGATTTGGCATCACTTATATACATTTTTCCATTTTTTTATTTTTATATATCGCAGTAATTTATTTTACATCAAATCATCTAAAATTCATTTCCATACTTCTACAAATCAGAAAAAATAAACAATGCAATCTGCAAGGTTAAAAAAATAATTGTTCGATGGATGTGTGACACACTGTGAGGGTACTTTATTATGATGAAAAAAAAATATCTTTGGAATTCTATTATTAGAATTGGATTTATGACAATAGTTAATTTCAGGTCTGTGTAATACATGCGTGAAACGCATCCAAAGCAGAAGCTTGTTTTTTATTCCCAATTAGGTAATACCTTAGCCAAAGACCCGAACGAGATCCCACGGTTATAAATCGAAAGTAAGTAAAGACGTGTCGTTTCACGTCGTTAATTGCTATATACTAACAGTTACCGCATCTTCAATGGCATAACAACCGCTATAATTTGTGTATTTGCCGAATTCCTGGGTGTCAATACAACTATACAGCAAGCAACTAAATTAAGACGAAAGCTACTTCAACCTCGTCGTTTAGACTACACCCCATGTGCTATGTAATTCAACATTTTAACTTTCACATATAATTAATGTCACTACAATTTGTTTTGACAAAGTGGTACTATCAAACTTAATCCACTGATCACGTCAAACTTTATTTTCGAATTTCCAATCTGATGATTTATTACATTTGAACTAGGTACGCTAAACGAAGAAAGAGTGACGTATTGTGGTTAGTATGATGGGACCAGGGTTGCAAATAAATTTTCTTGTAAATATTGGCGTAAATGTTAATTACTAGGGCTTATTTTTTTTTTTTATTTCTTAATTTCCATCCGGGTATCTTGGATATGACGTTGTGCATTTTTCCAACCAGATCTAGTCCCTCCTGGACATACGGCGGAACCTCCAAACGCCTCGAAGTCATCCAGATGAGGTAGTATTTTTCACATTTGTATGGCTATGGGCGGTCCGCGCGGGTTCATAGTTCCAGATCTGTTATTGTAATAACGTTCCCTAGGTTGGCCGTACAATGGATCCACTTTGTGCCACCAATTTAAAAAAATTTGATAGTTATAAAATAAAAAATTATTTGAAGAAAAAAACAAATTTCTTGTTCCGCTTTTGTGATAGCTGACATGTCCTGGCTCAAAACAGATCCGTACATTGTTTTCGAATATTGCATAAGCCAAAGGATTTCCAGAGTTAATAATTTAACAATGGCATGCTCTTTGCATGGAAGCTGCTGTGGTAACTGATTCACAAAGATGATTGCGGAAATTATCTTTTCTTTTTTTTATTCAACACAAAGCTTAAGGTCAGTTTTCCGAACATTATATGCATGAGGTACATTAATGACCAAAAATTTTGTAACATGATAATAAAAGAAAAGAGGTAGGTAGATGCCGAGGACAGCGCAAGGCTTATTCAGGCGGTCAGCAACCATGACTTTCTGGCATGACAGTTCTAGACTATTTTTAACCCCTTTGACCAAGAGCGCAATTGAACAAACAAAAAAAAAAGGTTTTCTTTTTCCATGCTTCTCTCACCAGTCATCCGTTCCACTTTCACCATACCCCCACACAATTTTGCGCGAAAGAATCAAGGAAAACTACAAACTACAAACTGCGTTTCTATATGATGATTTTAAATAGCATCGGGGGTGTATGCCATGTCATTACATTTTCCTTCATTCGTAAACATCATCTTCTCTATCTCATCAATTTACGAAAATTTTTATATCGTCCATCGTTTAAATGTCATCTCGTATGCACATATTTCCTTGTTGTATTTCGCACTAATTACAAACATGAAATTTGGTCATCGATACAATTTGATCTGGCGCAGCCCCCTTCATGATTTATTTTCTTCATTGTTAGGGCTGATTCGGATAATTGTATTGGGGGCTGCCTCAAGCATTAGATCTAGCTTGTCTCTAAGGTACGTTCACTAGTTTTGCAGCCAAAATTCCATTATATGACAGACTAAACTTGAAATTTCCATGCAAGGGAAGAATATTTCATCTAAATTTTGCATGAAAGGGTGCATCACCTGCTATAAATAGAATCTTGGTATGAGGTCTCTCCTTGTTCTTCTTCTTCTCCACATCTTCCGAATTTCATTGATTTCTTTTGCAACGTCGTAACACAAAGTTATGTAGCAATCAAAAATGACAGCCAATGCAACCAATTAGCCGAAACAACCCATTTCTCGACTAGTTGTCGCTTCCTAAACCTAAGTGTTGATGCCGTTTCAAGTTCTAATTGGGAAGACCATTGCACGTGACAAACACACATGACTCTGGCACGTGATATATTGATCATGTGATGTGTAATCATGTGACTATTTTTCATTTCCGGTTTTTTGTTTTGAATGTACAAAAAGAAAACATAGAATAACCATAAACCACCATTTGTAAATAGCAATAATAGACATTGAATCATGGGAGATTCTCGGTTCCCATCACCATTCAAGGTGAAGCCTATATATATGGATGCTCCATCCAATCTGTCTAACCAGGAAACTCCGATCAAACTGAATAATCAATTGAATGGAGCATCAACCATCAATGCAACCATTGACAGCAATAATGTATCTACTAGCGATGGGGCTCATGAAATCATTGATTGGATAGATAGTTTGCAGAATAGATTCAAGACTTTGCTTCGGAGTCAACAGGAGCAGTTGGAAGACTTGAATGAGACTAAGGAAGACGAATTGAAACGGAAGTACGAATCTGTTCATTTCGATGAGGATTTTCAACGATTGGGGAAGATAATAGAACTGCAACAACACGATCAAGATATATCGCAACTGACCCAATATGTTCCTCGAGAACACGATGCTGTGGAATCTGATCAAGAACCAGTTCAACAGGAGGTTGAATATCTGCTGGAAGAAGACGAGCAGCTGGAGCAAGAAGAAGAGGAGGAAGATGACCAGGATGATATAGTTGAAATTTTATCATCTGAAGAGGAGGGACAAGATGAAGATGAACATGAACATGAACATGAACATTCCATACATAGCGCTTGGGAACAGAACAGAAAGTACCCTTATGATGAATACCAGCAATTACAATACCAACTGTCTCAACATTCTCGACAGGAAGCTTTCGGCGAAAAAGGTTCCTATGACGAAGAAGTTGGATTGGAATATGAAGAAGAAGAAGAAGAAGATGCAGAAGAAGGCGAATTAGAAGAAGATGAATATGATGAAGACGAAGAAGTAGAAGAAGACGAGGAAGACGAAGAAGAAGATGACGAGGAAGAGGAAGATCCATATCCACAAGAGCAACATTCTATGCAGTTGAGTTATCAGCAACCACATGATCAACTACAATATAACCAAATGACAAGTTCTAACCATGGAAGACCACGATTATCTGATCATCCGTCCCAACTTTCTTCATTGTATCAATCCGAATACTACGGTCAAGATGTCTTTGGCGAAGAAGCAGATGACGACGACGCCGAAGAAGAGCACGAGGTGGAGATGGAAGAAGAACAGGAAGATCAAGATGCCAATAACTTCTTTGCACAAAAACATGAAGAAATAGTAGTGTTGGATTCCGAAGAGGATGAACTTGAACCCGACGAGGATGAAGTAGAAATTGGACAAGGATTATACGGTAGCACATATAAAGAAGATGAAGGGTATGATTATCAAGTAGAAGATGATGAAAATGAAGTGGATGAAGAGGAAGAAGACGATGACGATGAGGAAGACGAAGAAGAAGAAGAAGAAGAAGAAGGTGAAGACGAGGAAGAAGACGAAGACCAAGATGAAGAGCGAGGCCAAGATGAATTGGAAAACTACGAAGAAGAAGAAACCCAAACATACCCCGAAGATCTTCTCACCAGTACGACAAATCAAACCAATGAATTCTCCAATGACCAGCTATTAAACTTGGCAACATCAGCTCTACGTCATCATCCTACTCATAATCATAAACAATTACATTTAGCTTCGGGATATGTTGCCGATTCTGAACTCACAAATACATTCACGAGCCCAATTATTGCTACATATAGTGAGGATGCCAGTGTTGGTATCAAAGCAGCCGACGTTGCTCCTGTGCCTAACCCATTTTTTGCCGAGGAACTTGAAAAGAAACCATCATCTGAACGTATAAATGTAGTTGACGCAGATGAAAATAGATCTGAAGGATCGTTAGCTGATGAAAGTCAGGTAGAACACATCTTACCACCTCATCAACAACATCACGAAGTGGATCATAAAGAATTACATGATGAAGAGGTGGAACCATCCAGTGATTCCGATCAAGGTCCACTATTGCCAGTGTTCAAAACTGTGAAAGAAGAAACTCCAGAGATGACATTAGAGAAATTGAAAGAGACTGAAGTGAAATATCACATTAAATTGAATGCCGTAGCAGCTTTAGAGTCCCAATTAAACGAACAAATTCCAACTCAAGAACTTGGTCAAGCAGATCAACCCTACTACGAGGTTCATACAGTTAATAAAGTCCAATCTGAACAAGGTGATGAAGAACATACAACACAATCAGAACAAGAATTGATAGAACCCGAAGTAGAGGTCAAACATCAAGATTCTGTACCAGAAAATAGCGTAGAACCAGAACAAGAAGAAAGAGAGGAAGAAGATAAACATATAGAAGAAATAAGTTTACAACCAGTGGATAATGATGGAGAACAGGAAGTCGAAGATGAAATTGAAGACATAGAAATGTCTGAAGTTGATGACCACCCAGGGAGTAGCCTAGGCAATGAAAGTTTTGAACATGAACAAGTTCAAGAACTGGAAGTAGATAAAAAAGAGAATGAGACGGAAGACATTCAGCAAGAAATTCCAGAAATCCAAATAGATAAGCCGGAAATTCGGGAAGCAGAAGTAGAGGAAGAAATTGAACATGCTCCTACAGAAGAACATGTTTCTAAGAATACATCAGAAGTACCACAAAACCTAGCCTACAATATTACAGTACCAGATTTAGAAGAAATCGACGAGGAAGGTACAACAATAATAGTGGATGATTCGGATATTACAAATGTTGAAAATCAAACTGTTTTTGAAGATGACTATGTTTCTCCTGCGGACGAAGAGTCTGAAGAACTAGAGGACTTTGAAACTGCAAACACACCAGAGGATAGGGAAAAGGAAAAAGAAAAAGTAGAAATTGATCAAATCCAATCCGAGAATATTCCAGAAGAAAGTGAATACCCCGAGACACTTGACACCGTTGAAGCTTCTATATTGGAAGAAGAAATGGCTGAGCCTGTTGGCGACGAACCAACTGAATCACAGGATGCTCAAGTCGAAGTGCCTGAATTAGAAAAAGTAGTGCAGCCTATAGAGGAAGAAGCAACACTATCACAAAATACTGAAATTGATGTACCAGAACTAGAAATGGTTCCTGAAGATGTGACATCCATGTCTCAAATTTCTCCTATTGATGAAACCGCCGAGTTTGTATTAGAAAATGAAATCGAAAAGCCCGAATTAGAACCCATTGAAGGAAGCATTTATGGTGATTTCACTCAAGCTGAGGATCTGACTGTGGCTAGAGTAGATGAAAGCATACATTATCCTACAATTATTCTGGTTGTTGAAGAGACTGGAAATACAGAAGATGTTTCTGAAGTTGAAACCCAGGAAGGTACAAATGCTGAACTGAAGCAATTGATTCCAGAAGCAGAAAATGTTGAATCTGAGGATGTGAAATTGGATGAAGGTGTGGATGAAGAGAATGGCAATGTTGAGCCTGATATTGGACAATTTGCAAAAGATGAAACTCCAATTGTTCAAATAGCCGAACCTCAAGAATCCTCAACTCCGCTAATGATAGTCAACAAAACAATTGAAGAAGGTAAGATCTCGGAGGAAGAAGCTGACAAATCGAATGATAACCAAAACGAAAATGACCTGCCTAATGATTTCGCAGCTACTGAAGAAGAGCAAGAGATAAAGTATCCTCTACAAGCTATTCCAAAGCCAGAGCTTATTCCGGTTGAAGAATCAGAGGAGGACTTTGAAATTTCAATAGGTGATAATTCTGAAGTTGCTGAAAAAGGAGAATCTGAGAGTGAAGATGTTACTATTACAGAAAGTGAGGATATTGTGGATGATGCTCAACCAAAGCAAGAAGAAATATCTGATGAAGCCGCTCCAAATAATGCAAATGAGTCTGATTCGATTGAATTGCAAAAGGAGGAGCCCGTTGGTACATTAGCCCGAGAGTACTATGAAGACGGCTCTTTCGATTATGTAATTCAACCAATAGCAGATTCAACCACCTCTATCCCTGTGGAGACCGAGCAGACCGAAAGGACTGAACAGATTGAAACAGAGTCTGTTCAGGACAACGAGAAAGTCAAGGTGCAACCGGTATTTCTTGTTAAGCCAGAGCCTGTGGCAGATGTTGTTGCTCGTAGAACTCGTGCTCATGACAAGATGACAAAGGTTGAAACTGGTGATGACGAATCTGAAGAAGTTCCAAAGGAAGAAAATGTTCACACTGACAAAGAAATTGAAAACGATAAAAACGTTCAGACGACCGAGAAAGAAATTGACAAGGATGAAGTTGTTGCAATTGATGAGAAAGAAATAGAAGAGAGTGAAAATGCTCAAACTGTCGAGCAAGAAATTAAGAATGATGAAAAGGTTGAAGCTACTGAACAGGGTACCGACTTCAAAGAGTCAGCCGAAGAATCGACTGAAGGAACAGTTCATAATGAACGGAAGAGAAAACATGAACAAGATGAAGAACCTAAACTTAAGAAAATCAAAACGGCAGTTTCCAAAGTGTTCAATCGATTGGCTAGATCGATAGCTTTTCATAGAATTCTGTCCACCCACATTCAAGAACCAGTCTTGGAAGAGATTCCAGGAGAGGATTCTGACGCTTTAGAATCAGAATCTGAAGAGAAAAAGTGGAAGGAATCTGAAGCAGTCAACACTTCACAAGAACTAGGTGATAAACCTCGAGTGAGTTCCAAGCATAAACCCCATAGAATAGTTCTTGGTTTAGATCTTGATGAAATTGAAGTTCCTTTAGAACCACGTAGGTCATTGAGAAGCGGCCATGTTTTGGGAGAAGAACAGCCTGCTCCTTACAATGTTCCGAAATTACTGGAAGAGCTGGATGGGGATACCAAAGTTAAACCTAGTGACTTTAAAGAAGAAATTATTGCTAGTGTGACAACTGAAGAACCCGACGTGTCTACAAATGAACTGCTCCTGGAACGACTTCCTGGCTCTTTTGCTCATCATAGTCAAGATAAAGAAGAATCAAATGAAGTTGATGAAGTTGCTGAACATTCTGTGACAGCAGCTGAAATTCTGGAACTGCTTCCTGGAGCTTTTGAGCTCATTCAAGAAGAACCAATAGAAGATGAAAAGAAAGAAGAAATAATAGAAGATAAAAGGAAGGAAGATGTTTTCCCCGAAGATATCAATCTGGAATTATATGATAAGTCATACCTAGTCACACTTAAAGTTCCAGGTGTGAAAGATAAAGTTGTCGAGGACAAGTCAGTCTCATCAAATCCAGAAGTGACTGATCTTCCTCTTGCTCGTCGACTTAGGCCTAGAAAAGCAAAGGCGGAGGTCGAACATGAGCCAGATGGTACTGATGATCCGGTCAACGCTGAATTACCTGTCGAATCTGAACCTAATAAAGTCGAAGAACAATCTAAAGCTCGTGGTAGTCCCGACTCAGCAAAAAATAAAGTAGACCCTGGATCACCTCCATCTACTCTGGACCTTCCCGATTTAGGATATGGCAAAGTTCGAGGAAGAAGAAAGGAGCGTGATGCTGCTGACTCTTTCTTAAGTTCTATTCCAGCGTTGTTACCTACAAAAGATGATGACAAGAAACCTCGAGTCAGAAGCAGAAGATCGTCGAGAATCTCCAGAAAAGATAGTGAGGAAGTTTCCCACCCTCAACCTGATACTCTTTCCTCAAAGTCTCCAGAGTTTATCGGGGTGCCATTTGACACTCCAGCGGCACGAACAAGATCTCGATCACCATTGAAAAGACCAATTGAAGAGTTGCAAAAAGAGTTTGAACATGAAGTGGTTAAGAAAAGACGAAGTAGTGGCAGGCGAATTCAATCTGATAATCACCCAAAGAGTGGTGATGGTGATAGGGGGCGCAAATCAAGTCATTAGATATATTCAATTCTATAAATTAATCCCTGTATAAAATGTAATATTTAGAATGTAAATTCTAGGCAAGGTATACCATTGCCGCTTCATATGCACTGAAAAACACCATGTTTACCAAAAATGATCTCGTTATAGATATGGCTAATCCTCGATACGATCTCTTTTCGAATTTCTGTAACTTTCTATGCTTGGGAGGAAGTGGGGCCAACCCTTGATCCCGTCGGAGGATGTTTGTAACTGCATCCTTTTGAACTAGCGATTTGGTGGTGTCTACGGGGAAAATCAAGACCCAACTTAATACGCCCGAGAACCCACCGGCTATCAATACTGAAAAGGGTGAGGACTTGGTAGGGTCCGCATTTATTACATTGTTGCTGGCCCATTTCATGGATTCGTAGATCGAGTAGTAGAATCCAGTGGACACTGCATCACGCAATAAATGATACTTGTAACCGGAGTACAATCCAATGAAACCGTCGTGTTTTAATATTTGTTTAACGATTGCTAATGTTGATGTTCGAGGGACTTCCTGGTGGGATGTCTGCATGTGGGCCGGTAGTTCCTTTAAGGATTTGTTTCTTACGAGTTTCTCGAGTTGAGCGTAGATCTTGGTGTATTCGAATGGACATGCGAATAATGACACTCCGGCACCGGCAATTAGCCCTGAGACGAAACACACTGGTATATTTCGTAGAAAAGGGTGTAGTTCCTTGGTATCTTTGTTGAAGCGAGTCTCATAGAATAAACTATAGCACTCCGGTTTCACTGCGGTGAATATGGAAACACTGAATGATTTTGAAAACGAGGTGGAGACAATTGGCGCCCATATGCCTCGAAAGAACCCCTTGATCCCCTCTTTAGAGTATGTTTTCAATATGCAATCCCAATAGCTGGTGAAGTTCTTGTGGGTTTGCATTCTTGTTTTCACGGTGTCAAGGGGGAACCCTATGAGTGTGGACAAGAATGACGATGAATACGCGAGTATACTGCTTCTGAATGGTTTGAGTGTTTCTGGAAATATGTGGAATGCATTAGTGTAGTCAATTTCACCAGTGATGGCCGGTATTCCTCCCCTGACTTTCAAATCCGATGACATGATTGAGGTGGGGAAGCAGAGTGGTGTGTATATATATGTGTGTGTTTTGTAAACTGTTAAAGCCAAATTGCGTAGTAAAAGTGTGTAAATGTGTGTGGGTCTGCCTACCAGGTGTGATATTGGTGCAATTAGTAGAAGACTAGTGTTTGTAGAGGAGCAAATGTGGGTATTACTCCGGATCGAAGCAAATGAATGTGATACCGTTGATAACGATGGTTGTACGATGAGGAGGTGGGCTGCGCGGGCCCGGAGAAAAAACGACCAATGATAATTTCGGCGTACATAAGATCCTGGGAAATCCGGGATGCACCTTTCATTACAAGTGGATGGTATATTTACAAGTACATTAAATATAGAGAACTGGGGGATGGGGTGGCCAGCTGGTATACACAACTGACTGTCTAATGCTATACACGGCAACGCAACCAGAAAGTGCTTAGTAACCTCTTCTCTTGGCATTGTTGATCTTTTGCATCAAGGTGTGGAAATCTCCAGCAAACTTCCTTCTCCACCATTCTCTCTTCTTGAGCTTTCTCAATAATGCTGGTCTAATGTGTCTCTTTTGTCTTCTGGCCAAATAAAAGATCTTATTGTTAGACATGATTCCGGAAAGCTGCTGCAACCCTCTGCCAACGTTTCCGTATCGCACATCAACGCTTCTACCGGCACTCATGCTGAATTCACGGAAAGTCTTTGCGATGTCACGGGGGGTTTGTTCGATGTTATTGTCAAATCTTGATCCATAGCTATTCTGGAATATGTCGGTGGTGTCCGATTCGATAGTTCTGTTTAACAAAGCATCAATTTCAAAGCTGGGGGTGGAAGCCTTGGATTCGGCTGCCGAGCTGGCTAATGGGTCGGTCAGTTTAAGTTGGTCAAGACTGGACTTTATTTGTTCAGCCTTGGCTTTATTTTGGGTTGAGTTGAATCTGACAAACTTGAAGCCGTTGTTTGTGAGGCTGATGGGATATGTCGCTACCCTGATACCACAAGGTATATTTTTTGCCACTATACTTCTGAACATGCTTGCTGTACTCTGCTATGTTCTTCTTGCTATTGCCAACCCTTGCGTTGCTTGGCTGCCTTTGAAAGAAAGGAGAAAAAAAAAACTGGAAAATTTTTGATACTGCGCGGGCACATACAAAAAAAATTGTGCCAGCTCACGACCTCAACTGTATAGCTCCTTTACTACAACAGGTTATGAAGCTCAATGGTAATTGACTGCTTTAAACCTCGATAATCAAACCTTAGACTCCCTGGATACATATATTCACACCAAGGAGATATAATTTGCAATTGATTGTACATAATGGCGGTACATTCCCCTCATTATGTAACCAGACAACTATTCCAATGTGGCGGTGTATCCCTCTACAAGATCTCCCCAGGGGCCACATCCAACATCAATAGTTGGGACCTCACAGACTCAAATCAGGTGTGGCTGGGTTTCATGAGGTTCTGCGAACAAGAAGCCCAGGAAGAATACTCCACCGGCGACACCCAACTCGCAGGGTTGACAGTAGAGTCATCGTCGTCGTCGTCAGGGGAGTACAAGAAATACATGGTGGAACCTTTCCAAAACTTACGTGCCAAAATTGAATTCTACAACCGACTGCCTGACTCCGGTGTAGAGGAAATATGGGCCGAGACTTGGTATAACCCCTTAGTCAGCATTGAGTATGACAACACCATGAAGTTAAGCGACTTGGCCCATTTGGAGATGAAACGATTACACACTATAGCCCACGATAATAAAGACACAATATTAGAAGTCGACAATTCAGACCGACATTTTCGCGTAGTGGTACAACTCCCAGGCACAGGGTACCATCCATACTTGGAAGAAGACGAGCATGACAGCGACCTTATTCAAGTGGCGCTTGGATTGCAAATAAAAGATTTAAAGCAGGCGTATAGGTTTGCTGAATGTCTCGAAGTGTACAACTCTCGATATGGGTATGCCCAACATCTGTACTATTACGACCGAATGCTTTATGCTATGAATAGCGTTTCATTCACCAGTGACGTGGGCAACACCAACGACTCAAGTGATAGTGTCAGTGAGGAGAGCGTTTCCGTAAGCGGATCGGACAGTGATTCCGAGACTGATCTACAAGGGAGTCGCCACGAAGAAGAAGACGACGAAGACGATGAGTTTGGGGATTTCGTAACTAGTTAGTGTATTAATATATATGGTTTAGACTAAATACTTTACTTCTTGCCTTGTTTAGGATAATACATTTTTTGAATCAATGGATGGTGTTGATCTCGTAACTCCTTATTCTTATTCTTGCTGTATTCGATATATGCCATATCTTCTCCACCCGCCAACCCAGCAAGGGATCCAGCGGTACGGGTTGCGCCTGAACCTTGTTGTCTCTCCAACTTCATTCTCTTTTCCTTGGAGATGAAATTGGTATCGACATCATCACCAACTTCCAACCCAGCAGCATCCTCATTCTTCAACAACACCTGCTGTAAAAGCTCTCTCCGTTCACGGGGTGATGCATATGCCAAATCTGGCAATTGTTCCATCCCACTTAAATGAGTGATAACCTTAAATGCATACCCTTGGTCAACCAAAAACGCTTGTCTTTTGGTGGAATAATACATTTCTTGTGTATCTTTCGACACCAATGAATAAAAGAATGCATTGAACCCCTCGTCGTTTCTTCTTTTGGCTCGCAAAATTCTGCCCAATCTCTGTGCTTCTTGTCTTCTTGATCCATAATGGGAAGAAATCTGAATCAAACAAGTGGCTTCCGGTAAATCAATAGAAGTGTCACCAACCTTGGACAAGAAAATTGTATTGATCTGATCGTTATGTTGGAAATTCTGTAAAATCTTCATCCGTTCTTGTTGTGGTGTACTTCCGTAAATAAATGGCTTCCCCAATTTCAAAGCATACTCTTGCAAGGCGTACACATTATCACTAAACACAATAATTTTATCCCCTCTCTTTTCATGATAATGAATCAAAAACTGACATGCCTGGAACTTGGTTGGGTTCATAATATACAAAAGCATTCTCTTTCTTGCTGATTCTCGCAAGTATTCCTGGTAAAATTCCGACGTCATGGGACACCACACTTCCGCACACTGAACATTGGCAATATGGCCCTTTTGTGCCAAATCCATCCAATTGGCTTCGTACAATTTAGGACCAATCAAGAAATTCAAATCGTCAATCTTGTCATCTTCACGAACTAATGTTGCCGTCAATCCAAGCTTGGCGTGTGCAGCAATGGTGGTGACGACTCGTCTAAACATGGCGGCGGGAACAACATGGACTTCATCCAAGATAATAAACCCCCATTCTCGCGATCTCAAGAAATCCATCACTTTTTGAGAATCATGAGACCTGTTTCTGGTGTTGGCTACCATAGAATATGTAGACACAACCAACCCGGAATCACTGGTAAACATTTCTTTATTTTCCGATGTGAAAACAGCAACATTCTCTGGTTGGATAGTACACCATTGTAAAAACTGCTGTCTCCATTGCATAACCGACACCGACGAAGTACACAATACAATCACAGATTTTCGAATGGTACAGGCGGCAGTAATACCAACTAAAGTCTTCCCAGCCCCACATGGCAAAACAATAATCCCCGATCTGGCACGACCATTACCAAACATCTTGGACAAGGATTTCTCCTGGTAAGGTCTGATTTGCGTCGATGGTTTTAAGTCAATTTCCAAATCGGCATTTCGAGCATCATTACGAAAATCGTACTCTTCCAACACGGGGTATTCGATTTCTTGACATCGTTTCTTGACTATTTCCACCGAGTCATTGGATATTTCAAAGGAATGGACCGTATCTAAATCGTCGTCGTCATTGTCTTCTTCGCCTTTATTTCCAACCACCGAAGCGAAAATATCTTCAGCTTCGGTATTGTTATTCTTGTCCTGTTCTGGCTTCTTGGTTCCGGGAATAACAATATCATTAGAAGGTGCTGCGGACTGTACAAGACCATTGCTGGTAACGGTATTCTCGGAGGATTGTATTCTTAAAGGTCCAATAACTGGATCTTTTAACAACATTTGTAAAATGTCTGCTTGGGTACTTTCCACGAAATACCTATTATGTTTCAAGACCAACTTGACTTTACCATAAGACACGGTTGCTCCCTTGATGAAATTTATAATTGATTCGGCCACGGGCACTTTCGATAATCGGTTCAAAACCAGGATAATATCGTCAGTTTCCAACCCCACAGACACGGCGGCATACAAAGAGTAAGCTGTGATTCTATATTCATGAATGTGTGAAGGTCTCGATATTGGCTCAGCAATGGTGATAAGAAAGTCCTGGGCTTGTTCAGCCAAGGGTGAGAATGATTCCAAGATAATTCTCCCGTCGTTTGGCGATATCCATATTGGTCTTGAAAAATGGTCTGGTTTTAATTTTAAATATGAGAAATCGGCCTTGCCAAACGCCTTAGACACGGCATCTGGGACATAATCGGCCGGGATGTCTGGAGTCAACTCGATTAGTTCTTCATCGGAGAAGTTGGTGTCATCGACCTCATTCCGAATGTAGTCCACTGTGGATTGGGCTTGCTTCCTCTTGGCCTGGCTGTCTACTGTGGAACTCTTGTTCTTTCTCTTTCTGGGTTTGGCTCCGTATTCATCTTCGTCTGATATCTTGTCGTCTGATAAGAAATCATCGTCATAATCTCCATTGTTCAATTCGGCATAGTTTACTTCTCCGGTTCTGCGACTGCTGGACATGGATGTACGATTTATATGTTGCTTTCAGAAGGAAAGTGTGGTTGATTTATAAGCAAGAAAAGGAAAAAAGGGATTCAGCTTTATACACTTTGATGATGGTAGAAAGAAAAAGGTCGTGCGCTTGGGCGAATATCACAATCATAAAATTATACTCTATACATTTCTATTAAAAAGTCTTTCACCTAGTTTAATCGGTAAATTTGTAGGAACCGGAATGAAGAGTGATGGAACCGCCTTTGTAGGCACCTCTCTTCATTTTGTTTTTGTTCTTGGTGAAATCTTTACCTCTCACTTGGGTTAATTTTTCATTGGCTAATTCACCCCAAGTACCAGCAGCACCTTTGTAAGTGTTGTCTTGCAAGGCGTGGTGTTCAAAAGAGACTTTGGTTCTGTCTATTCTCGAGAAATGTTTTCTTTGGCCTGGTTTTAATTCTGGTTCTGGGGTGGCAGAGATTCCTCGGGAAGATGGTGGGGATGAGATTGATGCAGTTGACGAAGATGGTTCTTCGGTTTTAGGTTTCTTTGATGCTGGTTCTTCTGACGATTCTTGTTTTCTCTTTTTGGATGGTTTTTCTGATTCTGATTCTGAGTCTGAGTCTGATTCGCTTTCAGAGCTTGAGTCTGAGGACGAGCTGTCGGACGAGCTGTCGGAGGAGCTTTCAGAATCTGAGCTGTCGGAGGAGCTTTCAGAATCTGAACTGTCGGAGTCTGAGGAATCATCGGAGTCAGATGAGCTGTCGGAATCTGAGGAGCTATCTGAGGAGCTGGAACTGGAGCTGTCTGAGTCAGATGAACTGTCTGAAGAGCTGGAGCTGTCTGAGTCAGATGAACTGTCTGATTCAGAAGAGCTCGAGTCGGATTCTGAACTGGACGAACTCGAATCTTCCTTGGTTTCAGCTACTTCTTCCTTCTTTTCTTCCTTTTCTTCTTCGGATTCGGAGTCTGAATCTGAGTCTGAGCTGGAACTTTCGCTATCAGAACTTTCATCATCGCTGTCATTGTCGCTTTCAGATGATGAAGATTCGTCAGAAGAAGAATCATCACTGTCTGAGTCTTCTTTTACTTCTTCTTCCTTGGTCTTGCCAATGATATCTTCTAACTTCTCAGCGACCTCAGGCAAGTCTTCACCTTCGAGAGCTTTCTGCAAAGCCTTTTCAACCTTGGCCAATGATGGGTCTCTGCTCAAGTATTCCTTGATGTGAGCTAATACAACTGATTTAGATGCACTCATGTTTGATCCTTTGACTAGTTACTGGTATACCAAACGATAGCAAGAAGGTGAAAAAAAAAATTGGTTTAAAAAATATTGCAAAAAAAGAAACTCAGAGATGATGACATTGTATGCAGGAATATTGTAGGTTCCTTCGTGTGCTACTTAAAGCTATACAACTAACCCAAATGTCTACAACTTCAGAGCTGCACCTTCACGGGGATCTCTTTGCTCAATGAAATACCCATAGACCTCTTCAAACTTCATATCAAGTAATTTTTGAAATTGATCTTCGGCAATTTGATCCCTGGTTGATCCAGAACTAGCAGGAATCCTCTTGGCTTCAGCTGGGAATTTCTCCGCTCTTGTCTCGAGCACTTTTGCTATAATAGAAATAACTTCATCTGGTCGCTCTCCGTTGACTAAATGTTCTCCTTGTGGAATATCAAAGGATTCACCCAAGAATTCAGGATTAATAGTTGATCTAATCCATGGAATACTATTAGGAGGATTCCACACGGCCTTTTTACCAATTACATGGAAAATTGGAACTCGGATTAAACTTAAAATGTGCATCCCTATAGCAATGGACATGAATGCCCCGAGATAGGCCGACATTTGATTGTTGATTTTACATTTGAGTCTATACTTTTTTTCCTTAGTGACTGGATCAACTTCAGCTACAATTTCATCTTCCATGAAATCCTGCAATACCTGAGGATGGAAATTCTTATAGAATGAGAATTCTTTAAAAAAGAATTCAACTTCTTGCATATCTTCAAATTTGTCAATCATAATCTTTGCGATTTTCCCAAAGATTTTCTTGAACTTGTCCAACCCACCAGCTTCTCCATAGATAACGGGTTCAATAGGAACACATGCATCTATTAATGTTGGTTCGTAGAAGCTGGCATAAAGTGCATTGAATCCACCCATGGAATGGCCAATGACAACATTACGCGAATTGACATCATTAGTGAAATCGCCAGTAGTGGCAATTTCATGTTTGATAACTTCAATCACATCTTTACCACCTTCATCCCATCTTACAATAGGACCCAACTTCCCTTCGTTTTCAAGACTCGAATCCCCATGGCCAATTTGATCAATTGAAATTACTGAGTCAATGGCCCAGCTGGTCGAACCCGTTTGACAGAGCGAATATAATTTGTTTACATAGTAAGTCCACACAGATTTATTGAACCCCGTACCATGGCAAAATATTAAATTGAACTTTAATTTGCCAGCCACAGGTATTTTTGTCTTGTACTTGAAATAAACAAGTTTTAAGTCTTTGGCATCTTCAGGCAAAACTGTGCTTCCAGGTGCACGAAATTGATGTGCTGACGAAATCTTCTTTTCGGTAGTGTACGACATATTGGTTAGGGTATAATGATGTAATTGGAAAAACACCGAAATGGCTGCTATTTAAGTATCAATTTCCCGTTTTTGGTCCGAGGTAAATTCTTCTATCAACCCCGCCAAAAATCCTTGCGTCCTCCCCACCCCACACAATCAGCATCTGAAAAAAAAAAATAAGAACGGTGATTACAGCCAGGAGTGTTCACCAGAGACTATTTCAGATATAGGTAGCTCAATCCCTGGAATGTCGTATCCGGAACAAAAGGATGTGCGTCATTGTGGGGTCGAAACAATTGTAACGATTTAGACTTTTGTCACATGGATTAAAGTTTATTCAAGGGTATTGATTGTGGCTGTTCACGGCGTTAAGCTGGTGTGAATTATCTCCGGTGCAGTTTGAATGTTTACGTTTACAAGGTTGCTTGGGTAACCAGGGGTGTTTGGTGGCAGCAATTACTATAAAGGGGAATGCTGCCTCTTGCACAATTGATTTTCTAACTCTGATCTTTCTTTACTTCCCTCCGTTGGTTGTTTGAAGCTCCAGTGTTGTCAGTAGATCCGGCACAATTGAACCTGAGAAAACAGATAATATAAGTTCATCAGGTTCTCGGTTTATTAGTTTTCGAAGTTTTCGAAGTTTCAAAGCTTTCGATATTCAGGATCTTCTGGAAACACTGACTGGAATTATTCTAGAATTATTGCACTATTGGTCTTATCCTGCCAAAACCAGTCAAAAGTCATAGCTCGAGGGGTAAGTTTGCTTTTCAGAGAGTATAGTTATTGGGTTGTCACAACAGGATAAGTAATACCTTTTACAACGGCCTTACTACATTGAAACAAATAACTACATTGATTCCCCCTATGTAGTCCAATCAGTGTCGTTGGCTTTGTTGTTTTCTTTGTGATAGTATCATCTAGTGTTCACGGCACTTTCAGTTGGATCTTTTGATTTTGCTAAAGTGTCTGATCCAAATAACAGGTTGTGTTGCAGTTAATTGTTATATTTTAGAGTGATTCACGTGTATTTAATATAGACTCATAGAAATATTTGACCATTTGCTTCTTCGTTAACATAAAACAATTAACTGCAATACAAAGGCTCTATTAACTGTAGGCTTCCGATTGTCGAGTGAGTACTGAATATTCTGTCGATGTTTGGTTGAAAAAAAAAAAAAATTGCAACCAACCAAATTTATCAAACATTGTATTAACTATTTCAGATCTTAAAAGTTCCTTATTCGGTTAGTGGCAGTTGAATGTTCTTGCGTCATAGGTGCATAGCCTTATATGAGAACTTCCATGGAGTTAAACCACGCCATGTTATTGCCGGATTGCTAATGCTTATTTCCGAGGATAAATTGCCGGGGATAGCTTTTTATTTTTGGGTTTTCACAAACGTGCTCAAGGAAATTTTCAATTGCTTCTGAATGATATAATTTAAGCGATTGTCTACGACATACCCATGACACTCCTACGTCATTACTACGTCAGGTTGTGTGAATAACGGACACTGGTTATTTCCGTCGCGGCTTCTGATCTGACAAAGATGCCCGAGGAAAAGAAATTATTTTTTTTTTTCTTTTTCTTTTTTTTTCACTTATATATTTAGTTAGTACTCCATACGAGACGACCATAATTACAAACTTCATACCAGTAAAGATGACAGTCTCAGGTAGCATGCAAATTTTCCGTACCGTGAAACAAGTAAGACAGTGGAGATTACAATGTTTGCTTAATCAGGAATCCGTCGGGTTCATCCCCACCATGGGAGCCTTACATGCCGGTCATATATCATTAATCAACCAATCGTTAGAAGACAATGACAAGACCATAGTTTCCATATTCGTCAACCCCTCCCAGTTTGCTCCTCATGAAGATTTAGACTCGTATCCAAGAACAATCGACCATGATTTGGAATTATTGGAAGAGAGCAACGGCAAGAAAGTTGATGCTGTTTTTATCCCAAAGGTGACGGAGATGTACCCTTCCGGTATAACTCTTGATGTTGAAAAGCAACGTGGTGCGTTTGTTACTGTTCAAGGATGTTCCGAACAATTGGAAGGTAAAAGCAGACCTAAGTTTTTCCGAGGAGTTGCTACCGTGGTGACAAAATTAATCAACATCGTCACCCCAAGCCAAATCTACTTTGGTCAAAAAGATGCTCAACAATGTGTGGTTATTAAGAACTTGGTCAAGGATTTAATTATGGACACCACTGTTAGGGTATTGCCTACCTTGAGGGAAGCTAACGGATTAGCCATGTCCTCCAGAAACCAATACTTGTCGCAGGAAATGAAAAACAGAAGTTCAATTATATACAAAGCTTTGCATTCAGGTGAAGCTTTCTACAACGACAAGAAAGCCCCTGTTCCAGCCAAGGAAATCATGAATGTCATTGAACCAGTCATCAAGGCCGATCCAGAATTTGAAGTTGAATATATTGCAATCAGTCATCCGGAAACCTTGGATGATCTTGAGGTTGTGGAACCTGGTGTTGGTGCAATCATTTCTACCGCTGTAAAAGTACCAAAAGAAAATAGCGACGAAAAGGCTCGTTTAATAGATAATGTTATTCTTCATTAAAATATCTCCTGTTTATAATAGATACCTAATATACTAATTACCTTTACGATAATGTCTTTACTAGGACAATGCCCCGAAGAACCACTTGGCACGAAAGTTGTGTACATGGTAGCGTTGGTGGCTTGCTCCAAACAATATACGATACCTAGAAAGCTCTTCTCTTTTTAAACAACATTTTTGAATTGTCTTGCTTGGTAACTCTTCTAGTTTGTTGTTGTTGCAACTTTTCTTGATACAACTTGGCATCCTCAGCAAGCTGTTGTTCAAACTTTTTCTTAGTAATTGGAAGATTGATTTTATCCTTGTATGAATCAGCAACAGTATAAAACTTGTATCCAAATTGCAATAACCACATAGGATCAACAACAGTAATATAATTCATATATTCTTTAGTCGTAAGCACTAATTCATGATAAATGACAAAATTCGTGGATAAGTTACTATCCAACAATGAACTTGTTGGGTGCAAGTACATCTTCATATAATTATGACGTAAGCTTACAAACTCTGGGTTCCCACTCAAGTTCATCTTCGTTAGTTTTGCTGCTTGATGGTAAAATGAAGCTGCGAGGCATTTTCTTATATCATCGTCAGATCGAGATTTCAATAATGGTAACTTGCTGCTATTCATGATTAAAAGTAATTGCTTCCTAATATCCTTCACACGAAGTAATGATTTCAACTGGAGGAAATTCTTGTTACACCAAGCACTTATATTTATCCGTTTACCCATGTTTATATTCCACTGAGTGTAAACATTCAACAAGGTCAAGTGGTCGGATTCAGCAATGACAAATTTATCCCGGGCCATATCTGCCTCTTTTGCTCTTTCTTTGGGTCTGCTAAAAATATTTGGCACCGATAACATAGCCACAATGGTTATCATCTCTTCAGAACAGTGGAACTCGGGGCGACTAGCTAATAAAATCAATTTTGCTAATGTTGGCTCGATTGGGAATTTAGTCATTGATTTACCCAATTGTGTCAATGCTCCAAGATTATCCAATGCTCCAATGGCCCATAAGTCATATAATGAACAATTCAACAAGTCCTTTGGTGGCGAATCCAAAAATGGGAACCTGTTTATGTCTTCGATGTGTAATGATTTTAGTAATAACATACTATTGCAGAGATTAGTTCTTTGGATTTCCGGTATTGGTTGGATGTACATTGAATCAATTGCTCGTTCAGTATATAATCTGTACGTTATTCCGGGCCCAACTCTACCTGCTCTACCACTTCTTTGGTCAGCATTGGCTAATGATATAGGGACAACTTGTAATGTATCCATTGATAACTTGGGGTTGTATAATTTCACCTTGACTAATCCACAATCAATGACATATTTGATTCCATCCACAGTCAAGGAAGTTTCGGCAATATTGGTAGCCACAACAACTTTCCTACGACGCAAATTCTTCTTGGTGAATATCTTTCGCTGTAAATCACTAGGCATGGTAGAATAAATAGGGTAAATATCCAACGGTGGAGGATTTTCAAGAAGATCAAGTTTTTCTCGAAGTAAATCACACGTTATTTCAATGTCTTCTTGACCAGTCATAAATACAAGAATATCACCATCGTTGACATACTCGCCTGAGCTCATGCTGCTGTTTCGTAAATGTACAGTAAGTATTTGCTTAACTGCAGCTTCGACATAATCTGAACATGTATTCTTATTGAAAAATACTTCAACCGGGTATGTTCTACCTGGAATGGTAAATTGTGGTGCTGTTCCAAAGAATCGAGTAAATTTATCTGCATTCATGGTTGCACTTGTGACTATTAATTTAAGGTCCCGTCTTTTCATTAGCAAATTGCGGAAAAGCCCTAGTAAAATATCAGTGTTTAGTGATCTCTCGTGAGCTTCATCGATTATAATACAACTGTAGTTAGTCAACATTGGATCAACAAGTATCTCTCTAAGTAGAATACCTTCAGTCATGTACTTTATAATTGTCTTATTTGGATCAGTCTTGTCTTCAAATCTAATAGTAAACCCCACCTCTTGTCCTAATTTACAATTCATTTCTTCACTTACACGTTTGGCAACCGACATTGCAGCCACTCTTCTTGGTTGTGTACATGCAATTACTTGTTTCACTCCGTTAAGATTAGTGAATCCTTCTTCATACAAATATTGAGTCAATTGGGTAGTTTTACCGGACCCAGTTTCCCCGATGATGATTGTTACTTGATTATCTCTGATGGTAGTGATAAGATCATGTTTGACTGCAAATGCGGGAAGATTTCTTCTTTGTTCGAGAATTGTTTCTCTATTTGTATCATCTTCTGGTTTCTTTTCTTGTTTATCTGGATTGGCATCAGTGGTAGACTCGTGCGAAACGCCCGTTCTTTCTTTAGCTTGTAACGCGCGTTCCTTTTGGGTTCTTCTCGTTTGTACAGTCATGGATCCAGTTCGTGCCATAATTGCCAATTCTGAAGTGGAGTCCTTTATGGGATTGACAGTAGGACCAATACCTCTGATACTGCCACCAGTGATCTGGAGTTGTAAATACTCTTGAGAAGCTTGCAAGAAAGGAGGTATGAAAACGTGGTTTATTATAGGAATTCGAGAAAAGTCGTGGTCGGCGGTATGATCTGTGTCTATATATTCTCCTGTGAGTGGATCATATCCCGTACTTGCAACCTTAGTTCTCTTGTACTGTCTAGATGAGGTGAAATTTTCCGAAAACTCGTCGTCTCTGGCGTATGTTCCTTCTTCGTCTATGGTGTACCATTCTCGTTCTGTTTCAATGTTTGTTTCTAGTTCATCTAGAGATTCTTCTGAACTTGGGGTTATAGGGGCGTATTCCTCTTTATTGGATGCATGGATTGTCTTTTTTACTGAATCTCGTGGATTGGCACTTGGGGAAGCCGGAGAAGCTGGAGAAGCTGGAGAAGCGGCCGGGCTAGGCGTTGGTGTTTCCTGTTTTATGCGTAATGCATCTTGTTTCTTCATTCGTTTAAATTTTGGCGCTGCCGGCTTGGCAAGCTCAAGATCTAGCTCGTCTTCAAGTGAAGCACGTCGCATTTTCGGCTTTGGCTTTGCTATTATTCCATGCAATTCAGAATCAAGGTCATCTAGTTCGTCAAACGAGAGCTTTAATCTGGATCTGGGCTTGTCTTTTGTTGTTGATGCAAGTGGGCCAGTCGTGGTGCTCTTTGACTGTAAGCTCTTTTCAATTATGCTGTAGTTGTCCCTAATGTAACGAAACAACTCATTGGCATGGTCCTGTGATATCCCCAAGACTTTCACAAATTGGGCAAAGGGATCAAACGAGTTGTTCTTTTCGAATTGCGATATGATTGACTTTGTTAGATTGACATGGATGGGTTTGTTCAAGTATGTAGATAGCTTGTTTGTTATCTTTGTGACTATATCATCTTGGTCCATGGTTGTTTGCCAAGTGCTTTAAAGGAAGTGCAAAAAAAAAGTCTGCGGAAATATTTTGACGTGCAAATCCTTCCGTGGTAACATTTGTATCCAGACGACTGGTGAAGATGAGCACGTTGCTGCATTTGACGAACAAGCAAGTTCGAAATTACTTTAAGAACCATGTCGCAGCGATCATATCCTTGTCCCCACCACCTAAAACAGCTACAGAGTTGGAATATTTGATGCGACATTTCAAGACATTGTCTTCACTAGAGACTGCCACAGCCACTCCATTAGCATACCAATCCTACAACAAATCCGGCTTCTATCTCAAGTTATTGTACAGTGTCAACCCCAGGTTGCATCACATGGGTCCAGTAGACTCAAAAACGGGAGATTTATTCGATAAGGATGCTTCGATACCTCAAGACCCTACGATAGATATCCAACAGGAAAAGCAAAAGTTGGTTAATAAGATAAACAATTTGGTGGCTATTCCTCGACACTCCTTGACTGTAGATGATCAACAGTTCCAATCCGGCGAGAGCAAACTACAGTACCTACACACATTAAGTGACAACACGCAAGATATGTCAAAGTATACACTTACTGATGCAACTGTTGATAATCCATTCATATCATTTGAATCTTGCGATTTAGACAAGGACATGGTCCGCGCTAAAATGAGACACAACTATCGAACATTCCATAAATTTAGATCCATTGTCACATATGACCATCCTACATTCATACTAAAACGGTTTTTGTCTTAATTTACATTGCTTGTATATAGTACCTAGTTCTTTTCTAATTTATTCAACTGTTCCAAGTCTTTTTCTAAAACATCATTCAAATAATTCAATCCCATTTGTTGTTTCAACAACACTTTGGAAATTTTGTTGATAGTTTCATCGGTGTTACCAGAATCCTTGGCTTTCTGTTCAGGCTCACTACTTCCTGAAGCTAACCCACTATTCAATACATTGATTGAGTTATCAAATCTATAATTCAAATCCTCGGCTCTTTCTTTTAATATAGTCAATCTAGCGAAAATATCACTTAATTTCCCAATCGAGCTACTTGGGTCATTTAATTTTGAAATTAGTAAATCAAATTGTTTAGAAATCTCTTCTTCTTCGGGCAATAAAGGATATCCTTTCAATTTCAAAATAGCCAACACGGTAGCTAATCTCAATAATCTTCTTGATAATTTAGTATGTCTAGCTTTAGCCTTTAATATTCTTGTGGTGTTTTCCAAATCATGTTTTGTAGAAACTAAATTCAATTTTTCATTCATGGAATTAAGTAAAACCCTAGATTTAGCAACATGGTCCAATTGAGTTTCAATTCTTTGAGCAATATCATTAAATGAAGTGACTTTTATAGGATAATAGTTAGCTCCGGGACGCTTATCCATGGCATTGTCCCAATCCTCGGGTGTTTCATTGGCAGGTCTTTGTTGTTGAAGTAATATAGAAATTTCTTGGTCAGAAAATTTATTATACAAATGGGTTTTCAACGCACACTTGGCAGAGTTTGGATCCCATTGCTCCCAGATTTTGATTAATTGGTCATTAATTGCTGGTGTGTAGGTATTAATATTGGTGTTTGCTTGAGTGAATGTGGTGGTGACTGTATTTGTGTTCTGTAATGGTTGAGTTTGTTGTGGTTGACTCCAAGTGAATGAAGGTTGTTGCGTATTAGTTGTGTTGTTGGAAAATAATCCACTTTGCTGAGCTTGTTGTTGAGGTTGCTGTTGTTGTTGTTGTTGTTGTCCTCCAAAGAGACCGCCAGTGGCAGGTTTATTTCCAAATAACCCACCCGAGGTTCCTGTAGTGGTTGAAGCAGGTGCAGTTGATCCAAAGAGACCTCCAGGTTGAGTAGTTGTAGCAGGTTTATTACCAAAAAGACCGCCTGAAGAAGATGGAGCAGTTGTAGAACTACCTCCAAACAATCCACCAGCGGCAGGAGCAGCAGTATTATTTGCTTGTCCGAACAATGGCTGTGTAGAGGTACTGGTTTGAGTATTTCCAGAACCAAACAAACCGCCAGTAGTACCAGCTGGCTTTCCAAAAGTAGAACCAGTTGCAGCATTAGATGTATTTCCAAATAATCCACTAGATTGTTGGGTATTGGTATTACTTTGTCCAAACAATCCTGTTCCTGTAGTACCTGAAGATCCAAACCCGGTACCAGTACTTGGCTGTTGCTGTTGTTGTTGTTGCCCAAACAACCCACCAGTTGTCCCAGTATTTGATCCAAATGCATTGGTTGTACCACCAGTAGTGGCTGATCCAAATGTAGAACCTGGTTGTTGTTGTTGTTGCCCAAAACCAGTCGTTGTCCCTGTCGTTTGTCCAAAAGCAGGTGCAGCTGACCCTGAGTTCTGACCGAATAAATTACCCGAAGTTGCGGTGTTTGACGATCCAAACAACCCACCACCACTTGTATTGCTATTAGATGCACCAAACATATTAATTGGCAGTGATTACTTACTGGTCTACAAAGTTGGTTGTAAATGAAATCTTCTGTAAACAAAAAAAAATTGGTGGAATTGAGATGTTGTAAGTTTACATACAGGAATAACAACCATACAAAGAAATGGAAATGCCATCTTTATCACAATTGACAAATAAAAGTAGATCAAAGCTGTTAGAAAGAGGTAAGGCGGTTAAACTAGTGTTAAGCTTTCAATTGGAGATTTATTCACTTGTAAGATAAGTTTACAGGGTAAGTTTATACTAATAAATAAATTGAATAAGGCTAACAATCACAGGAACTTCTAATGTACATAAAAACTCATACAAGCAAGGCTAATCAAACCCATATCCTTTTGCGACAACTGTCTTACGAATCATTAACTTATATTTATGGAAATGAAATGAAATGCAATATAAAAACATACCACCAGTAAATACAGACTATTGAGGTAATTCCCTTATAGGTATCACAGCTACTCCGTTTAATCGGTTTGGGCAGCAGCAACTTCCTTTGTCTTTAAGAATTCAGCAACGTTTCTTGCATCCTTTGAACTAGATGCGTAGATTGGGTTTTTCTTTTCGTGAATTTGTGCTTCAACACCAGGAATTTGCTTCTTTAATTTCAAATTGTCAAAAATACATTTGCTTAACACACCTTCCGATGCACGACATCTACCTAAGCTTTGGTTATTTTGTTCCAAACATTCGTAGTTCAACTTGAATTCGTCAAAACAATATTTATTTATATCTTTTAATACAGAAATGGCACATCTTGTGACTCTTCTGCCTTCCTTCAAACAATCCAAGGTACCCCCATTGAATTCTTGCTTACACAACATAAAGTCGTCATTGTATGGCTTACACTTTTCACCAATGTAGAATGATGCTGCTAATAATGGAGCAGATGTGGCACCAACTTCGTCGACTTCAGGGATATCCTTTGGCAAGGGTGTGCTTTCAACGTTTTCCCATTTATGTCTTGTTGCGTGGACTTGTCCTAATACCATTTTGTTTTAATGTTGTGTAATTGCAATTGGTATTGTTAACCCTTTAGCCTTCCAATGAACCTGAAAAAAAAATAGGCAGAGTAAGATTGATTTGTCGCGGTGTGGTTGGTGCTGAAATTTACACTGAGATTTTGCTAAGTGCAAATAGTACTCTACATACAAATTTCAACTGACTGTGTAAATGTCAGCACTAGCTGATATAGTACTAATATGAATCTCTATTATACATAAGCGCTAACAGCTTCTACTTATGGAGTATATTTAAAATGTCAGATTCTTGTCCAATCATCTTATGAATGTTTAGCAACTCCAATACTAATGCTGGGTTCTTATCTTTCTTTCTGTGAATCTCCCGTTGTGTAACTTGATCCAAATAACTCTTGTATTCAAATTTCAAGGAAGAAATCTTGTTGGCTAAATATGAATTTTGAAATTGATTTGGTAACTCTCGTTTCTCTAGAAACTGGGATATATTTATAATTGACAAATACAAACTGGTTAACTTTTTTAATTGAGTGCTTAAATCGCTATTCTTTTCTTCAATACAGTTGTCAAATTCAATTGCTTGATCATGTAACAACAAACATAGCTTCCCACTAGTTTTCAATTCAATGAGCTTCTGTCGCTTGACAAGCAAATTATTTATTGATTTATATCCCGTATTGAACTTATTCTTATAACTAATTAACTCCAATTTAAACCCTTTTAAATCCCCAGATATGATATTAATTAGGTCAAGACCTCCGTTGATTGACTTACCCAACTTGATGAAATCATGATAATCATTATTGACCAAATCTAATAATGTCTGGTTTAGATTCTTGGATAAATCAGATAATTCTTTAATCAATACATCCATGGATGTAAATCGATGATTCTTGTACAAAAATTCGTCAATTTCTTCATCATCGAAATTTTTAAAATCAGTTCGTACTATAGATGTAGGATATGGAAATTCATCTGTTCCATTTAATATGTCAAATTCATTTTCCATTGTAATTGATTCTTACATGTCTTGATTCAGTTGGATTTTGTTGGCTGTGTGTGTTCTTTTTTTGGGGGGGTGGTGATTTTGTGCAAGTGCACTACTACTAAAAAGGGTAGTTGCAAATTTAAATTATTTGCAGGTTGTGGTTCGTCCATGAGTAGTAAATTGGGAGGTTCAATCGGCTAATCTGCCTTGCACCTTTGTCAAAGTTAGCGAAAGGGGCGGTGGTATTATATTTTCCTCGTAATGAAGAATCTAAATGATGTTTCTTTGTTGTAAAGAATCTTATTGATGATCTCATGTTCGGACATGCATAGACGTTAAGGATATTAGTAAACGAGAAGGTTCATAAAGCCCGTTGACTTCACAAACCTGCCAAGCCTCAAACTAACGGTTTTAGTAGTCAGTTAAAACATACGATATTGTCTATCACTCATCATTCTGTAAGTTGCTCGTTTAGCTGCGCATTGCATGAACTAACTGGGTGCAGCATTTTGCTTGGTCAACACGGCGATTTTTAAATCAAACAGAAATCCCTCCTTTTTGCAAGGTATAACGGATAAGTGGAGGAAACTCCGATAAGGTTATTTTCCGAATAATGCTGCGATATCACACCATTGATTATCCCCAATAAAATCTAGGGATATCTTGGCAATTCGATATCATGATAAGAAAATTCTCTTGATCAGGATCATAGTTGCAAAAATAATAGCAATGATGTGTTTCTATGTGTTAGCTGTATGCTGTAGGTTGATCCGATCAAATCTAATCTAATCTCTGCCATACCCCGCTCCCAGTACGCTGTCTTGTTTTTGAAAGCAGAAAATACAAACAGAAAACAGAAATTGACATTAAAACTAAACGACAGGATTACAGGACAGCTGCAAGCATATAGCAATGGTATGTACTTCTATGCGTTGAATGATGGTCTAGATATTGACAAGACAATTTAATTCGAAATATTTTTGCAACTATTTTAGAAAAATTTCTGTCAAACCTAGAAATATTTTATTTACGACATCAACACGCTTGAACAATGTCCACATTTCCGCTGACTTTTACTATCCTTCTAATATATCATCACGAAAACCTCCACGTGGTTAAGGCACAACTTAATGCATTATCGTGTTAAGTAATACAACGTGTGATCGAATAAAATAGGCTTCAAGATTAGATCTTGCCAACGGACACAAAGTGGTGAAAGGCCGATCCTGATTAGAGAGGGGATGCGCGCACACCCTTAACAAACAACTCAAAGCTTTGTACTGACAACAGAAAAAAATATTTTTAATATTATTACTTCAATTGTTTCCAACAACAATTCACCAAGAAAGGGGTTGTCAAAAAGATGGGGGAGGCATAATGGATACAATCTGATCCATATGAAATCACTAAACCATGTGACAATTGGAAACGATTGGAAATTTGACATACATTGTCCTGGTTTACTAATCAACAATAAGTTCCAGATCTTACTTGGCTTACAAGAAAAATTTACCAACCACATCTCAAACGCGTGTCCATCATGCAAGTGGGTGGCTTATATAATGTAAGGGCAAATGCAAAGGAAGGTTCATAAAGTTATTACTCCTTGACACACCGGGGAATTGACTCCGTCAGAGTATTTTTAACGTTGTATACATATCTCTATGCCCCGGGTTGTTTAATTAACTCGGGATACTGCTTTGCGCATAATGAATTTATTATTACCGAGAGATGGAGAGAGAGAGAGAGAGAGTGATCAAGAATGCTGCAGTCAGGAATAATTAATGAAACATGTCATCTATGAGTAGCAACCTCAACACCACTACACAACCATCCACAGTTCGGTCAGCCTTATTAAAAACAGAATAAACAAAATACTCGAGCTTATCTATTATACCTCGGCTACCAAACAATAGTGGATGACACATTCATATGAAATGCCTTGCTAATTTTATTTTACCCCAAATTTTTAATTCACCGTTTAGTATTATTTACCACACCAGTTGGGTGTTGTCCTTTTCGTACTTAAGAGGTACTAAAAATACACTATACAAGTCTGGGATCGATCCCGCATCCGGATGGCATCTTGTTTCTTTTTCTACTATTGGTTCACATGGAAACCAATTAACTTGTAAAATACTTGCAATATTTGCCCCACTTCTATCCTCAAATACAACTAGGTTGCTTTATTAACTAAATCAGCCGCCACCTTTTTTTGAATCACCGATTCCGCAAATAGGTGCGGCAAATCGGTATTGCCACTGCCGTAAAAAAAAGCCTTAACATTACCCAAATCTTATCTTTTGTGAGGAAATGTACCTAAAATGCAAATTTTAGGTGTAAACTGCAAGCGGGTAATATACTAAAACCTGCAAAATTCCGAATGGACCCTTTTCTTTTAATGGTGAGCTGCTTAAAAAATATTCTTATGCACAAGCAAACAAAAGTTTAAATTAGGAACAACATGAAATTGATCTTTTAGTGTGGTGCACTGTAGGGAAAGAGCTGCATACAAACAGGATAAAAAATAATATCTTGGGTATGAAATATTTTTTTTTGAAAATCCTGATTAATAAGGGTGTGATAAGGGAAATGCAGAATCGCCAACTTTAATTTAAATTGGGAGGAGTATTTTTTTGACACCACATTACGGAAGGTTAATGCTGATTCTTTAGGAGAACTACAATGTACATAATGGCGTGAAACAGGCGACCGTGCGGTGATTTATAGCATAATTAAATTTATAGCTTGAGTTGTAGACTAAAATATGCCTGTTGCCAGTTGTATATAAATAGTCCCCTCAGGAGAAGATAAGTGGGAACAATTGACGAAGAAATTATAATTTCATTGTTTGCAGGGTTGAATCTTTTTCCGGGAACAATTTTAAATAATTTTTATCACAATCTCAAAAGCTGATTAAAAAATAGTATATCTTAAAAAGCACAAAAACAAACTCATTTTTACACAAAACGTTGACGGGCAACAATATATTTTTTACACATAAAATTTATTCACTTTTTTTTTTAAAATAAGAAAAAATAAAATATTTTTTGTGTACTATTCTGTTTATTCCAAATTTATTCAGACTTGCATAGACAATTAATTATCTGTGTTTTTGTAATAATAATATAATAAAAAAAGAACTTCGATCAAAAACTCAGACTCTAAAAATTATTTATATATACTTAGACATATATCCTGTCTTTCGAAAGATCTTTTGTATAAAATTCTTCCTTTTACAATATAACAAAAGAAGAAGAAGAAAAAAGGGCTGTTGCTTATTGAATCTTTTTGTACATTTTTTGCAATCAACAACATCTTGGAAAAACTTTGAAAGTCCATTCTTTAATCCCCTCCCAATCAAAACAGGTTTTCCATACTATTCTTCTTTCATATATCACATTATATATCCTATTGAATAATGTCTACTGCTGTTTACTATTCAACCCACAATATTCCCGTTGAAGACTTGCCATCAAAACAACATACCTTACCTTCATTATCCCAAATCATGCCTCCAGTTCAAGGTCAACCTCAATCCGGTCCTGGTCAGTATACTCATGAAAACACCAACTCTCCAAATCCAAACAATGGATCTCCAAGTTTGAACTATAATTCAGGCTACCAACAACAAAACCATCCTCAATTACCACCCCAACCTACCCCAGATTCATATTCCCAAGGATCTTCTTCCACCAACCAATCAACTCCTGCTTCTTCTACTTACAGCTACCCACAATCCCAACAACCAACTGATGGTAACATGATAGGTGCTATTCCTCGTGACAAATGTATCTGTAAGTCAAATGCCAATAGAATTCCAAGACCAAGAAATGCATTCATTTTGTTCAGACAAAAGTATCACCAAACTGTCTTGGATGAAGGTAGTGTTATTCGTACTAATCCTGAAGTTTCTCGTGAATTAGGTAGAAGATGGAGAGCGTTGTCACCAGAAGAAAAGGAACACTGGAATAATTTGGCTGAAGAAGAAAAGAAAAACCATGCTGCTAAATATCCAGGTTACAGATACACTCCAAGAAGAAATGGTAAGAACAAGAACTGTATTGTTTGTCGTGAAAAGGCTTTGAGACAACAACAACAGCAACAAGCTCAACAAGTTAAGCAAGCTCAATTGGTCCAAATGCAAAATCAACAAATTATCCAAATGCACCAAGACCAATACCAACAATATATGCATTTACAACAACAACAACAAATGCAACAAGCTCAATCCCAACAAGTACCATTGAATGGTTACCACCAACAATCTTACATTATATCATCCAACCCATACCAACCAGGGTTAATGAGCACTTCTAGTTCTACTGCCTTACCACTCCCTCAACAAACTGGTCAAATTCCCCAAAATCAACCTCCTCCTCCACCAACTCATTCAGTTTCCAGTAATGGTCAATTACAATACTATGATTCTGAAAAGTTGTCACCATTGTCCGCCCAAGCACAACAAAATGGTGGTCAACCACAATCTCAAAACCCACCTCTGATAGGATCTAACGGTGGAAACTATTCTACGCTTCCACCAGCTACTTCCCAATCAGCTAATGGTATTTTACAACATCCTGCTGGATCAGGTAATGAATATATTCCCGGTTATGAACAACAAAGATATGTTCAAACTCATCATCATCAACCAGGAGGAGCACCAACTGGTAACGGTCCAGCCTATCCATTTGATGCTTTTGCTATTCAACAACCTCCACAATAAAGGAGCTTTCCATTCTTTTTTTGGTTGTATTTTTTTTTGGTTGTCAAAACAGTAACTTTCTACAGTTTTTTACTTTTACATTCTTACAATTCACAAACATATACATGAATGTTGTTTCTATATAAATTTGCCTTTTCCATTCAGTTGTTTTCTTTTTTAGTTTTATATTAATTTTTAACTAGTTGTTGTATAATACATTTTTTTGTTTATTTCTACAATAAATGTAAAAGTATGTTAAATCATGTAAGATTAACCTGATGTTTATCAGGATCTTATTGTTTGTCTCACAATATGTTATTGTGTGGGGGATCGTAATTTTCTATTGTCCTACGTGTACCTTGGCAGAAGGGCTGAAATACCAATTCACAGAGGCAACAGACGCAACAGAACAAAGGACATAGAGAATTGGTAGTTGTACGAGATTGCTTTTTTTTGCCATCAACAATATCTTGGAAATAAAGAGGGAGATGAAAGTATACGACGGGGGGTTTGTATGGAAAATGTGAAACGACGGCTGTATTTACCCACCGGAATTTTAAAATTTTTTATTTTTTTGCCAATTGTTACGATGCAAGATTTCTTAAAACCAACAAACATACAAAAATAACTAGTTGCTGTCGCTAGACCGGGGCCCCATTGCGCGGAACAAACAAGAAATACTAATCAGGCGGTTGTTTTTGACTAACGGGGATTCATGTAATTCATGAGATACTAGTCGATGAGAAAATGTGTAGTTTATAGCAACCAGATGCACGTCGGTTATAATTGAGTTATTCCGAGCAAAATTGAGTTTAGAGTGAACGATTATTGCTAATTTTAAAGAACCTATGTAATTTAACAGTTTAGTTAGACCGAGGAAGTTGGATTAAGTAGGCTAAGAGCACCTGGTTCACTAATTTGCGAACTATTACTTGGCTATTACGGCAAAAATTGAATTAAGTTTTTCTTTACCCATTAGCCCAGAAATTTTACTTGTGGCTAAGCGCGATATTAGATTCAATGACGTTATGTATGCGCGGGATTCCATTCTTCGTCATTGTCGAGTGATTTCAAAGATTCTTTTGCATGACACCATAGAAGCCACCAATATGGAAATGAAACATGGAGAGACTATTACTAATCATAAGAAACTGTAAGAATCATAGGGTGTTTTTTTCTTTCTTTTTAAGAAACTTTGCATAAGTGGGGGATTTTTTTTTTTCTTTTCGTGCCGTTGGTTATTAATAGAATAATTGACAGATTCCAGCGCAATCTAAATCTTGCCTTATACTGCTGACACATGCTGTACAAATGCGTTGCAATGCCAAGTCAAGCCCCGCGGTAAAGTGGAGCTGGCCAAGGACTGAATGGCATTGATGTCAAGATGGAAAGGGTGCATTGGTAGATGAATCTTAACCCATAAGGCATATTTCCTCTTTGTCCTCATAAAAGCGTTTTTTTTTCGTACGGACTAAAATTATTATGTTATATTATTTTATTTTTTTCCGATTTCAGAAAACAATTTCACTTTGATTGCGCTAAAACTCAAAGCACCTTTGTTATCACGGTTTCCATATAATATGTTCAACTCAAAGACGTGGTTTCTGGAAGAATATCGCCATTGATATACTATCCATGTATATCTAAGTAAGATCTTGCTGGGGAAAAAAAAGATGCCGTACGTACCAAGAACTCTTCAAGTAAGCGGGGTTGCAATTGAGTATCTCGCAATAATTAATTTGCGCAAAATGATCTCTTTTCCATTTATTAAATTGGCTCCATAGATAAAATCGGCCCAGTCGTAGCCCAAAAAAAAAGCCTTATAGCCGTGAGCCGGGTATAATTCGGATCTCCTAGATAGGAGTAGCAAATCCATTTTGAATAGTAAAAAATATTCAAGTTAATCTCCCCGAACTTTCCTTGTTGATTCTATTTTCCATTCATGGTTAACAAAGGAAATAGCGCACCTGTTCACTAAAAACATCACCTTCATTGCATTAAATAATATTCTAATACCCTACGTATATTTCAAGTTGATATTATTTGTAATTTTAAAATAAAACCTCCACACCTGTCATATCAGGACTACATAATGTAAATCTGTCAAAAATAATTTATTTATTTTACACATTTTATTTTGAAACTTTTTTTTTTCTAATATTTTCATGAGGAAATTGTAATTTAAAAAATAGCCACACACTGGAGAGGAAAAAGAAAAAAGCAGGCGATTTATCATTGATCAGGTTACTTTTGGATATCCATTTATAATTAGCAAACCATTCGATTGAGTGTTTTGTTAGCAAAAAGTACCCTCGCCCTAAATGGGTACCTAAAATATTAACTCATAAACAAAGGAACTTGGCAACAACAGCACGATTGTTGAAGTTAGTACGAGGCGTAATAATATTTTTTTTTCTTGTTGTGTTTACCACAGAACCATGGTTTGGCCTCTTCTACTTTCCAACTGTAGTAAAATGCCCAAAATAGCAATAAGCTACCTCAGGGCGGTTAATGCGAAGTTACAAAAGCCAAGAAACAATAAGATTCCAATCAATATTGATCCGTATTCTTTCAGGGACTATTGTATTGGAGCTATTGTCTTTTTTGATGACAACAGATTAATCGGGAAAGGGCTGAAGACTAGGAGGGGATAATCATAGGAGATTTACATCCATGTGAAAACAGTTGCCAGCAAGGCCATTATAGGAGAAAAATTTCCTCGGAATAACATGTAATTGTATCCCATCACTCCCCCGACTTTCAAAGGGATAGAAAGCGATGGCCTATTTTTTACCCGCACTACATTGAGTTACGTTAAGTCCATCTATGTAAGATCGGTTCTTTCTTTTGTTTTTTTTTTTAAACCATTTAATTATGTCAAACGGTACCTTTTCACTTGTCCAATTTCGTCATCCTTGTTATCGCATAATCCAACTAAGCTAAAACAAGATTCAAAATGGATTGTAAGGTAGGACTATGCATACATCATAAAGCATTACGTTTTTTGCAGGTTAGAGAATAATTAAAAAATAATTATCATAACCATGCATAAAAAATAATTTCGACTAGGTAAATAATTGTGTGCAATCACGGCATTTCTCACTAATAGATTAGAGTGCGGAACAGAGAGGGGGAAATAGCGGAATTGACTAAATAGCCCGATTGCTATTCTAGGTAAAGTTGTACGTAACAACGATATATAATATTTTTACTCTATTAACTTTCTTTGTCTTGCTTAAAAATACATTGTGGTGTTTGGTGGTGGGACTATCTCGTCAAGCTTTCTTTGCAATGGTGGAGGGAGCTAATGTCAGAGTATGCAAAGCAATACCTGGTTAAACCTTCCATTCATTTCATCCGAGGAGTATTACACCTTCGAATGTGTTCCTCTGGGGAAACAATATGCAAAGTTTGCATCGGACCGACAACAATTGGATCTTAACAATTGAGTGGATCCGGTGACTCAATTGGGCATTATAAATTACACATGAGAATAATGTCCATTTTTAAGTATGTATTGTCATAATGAATAAGATCCACAATTTAATTTTCGCTAGTAAATGCTATAAATTAACTATAATATGCCGGAGATTAAGATCCTAAGCACCGTCAAAACAACTTAATAATACAAAATAACTTAAATATCCTCACCAAACGCATCAATGGTGATCCTTTCACCTGGTTTAAATGGTGGTAATCCTAAATATGGACATCCATCACATCTGAATGCATCTCCCAAAGCACATGAACCACAACCACCAGTTTTACCTTTAACAGTGAAGTCGATCTCAGACAAATCTTCTTCCTTGAATTGAATCTTGGCTTTTATTCTTTCTTCAATCTTAATTGCTTCGAGGGTGGCTGATTGGGCCATTTTGCCTAGTATCCTATCCTGCAATGACCTTTGTTCAGCTTCTTCTTGTTCTTCTAATTCCTTTAATCCACAAGTACAATCCTTGCATGCCTTTCTTCTCTTCTTACCATTGGGTAACACACATTTCTTGGGAATAATTAAGCCATCAGTTTTAATGTCCTTGATCAAGTCATTCTCGTCAATAAGGTCATCATTGGCAAGGCTATCATCATCATCATCGTCGTCATCATCACTGAAATAGCTCAATTTCATGTCCGCCAATTTTCTCTTCATTATAGATTCACTTTCTTCATCTGTATTGGAACCACTCAGGTCAGTTAAACCAGGAGAAGTAGGAGGTTTATCCAACTTTTTAAACAAAAGGCCCAACTTCTTCTTTCCATCGGTTGAGTTTGAACTCTTTATCTTCGTTCTAAGACTAACGGTCTCAATTGGTTTAGGTTTAACCCATTCGTTATTTTCAATTATAAATCCAGTCAGCAACACGTCTAAATTTTGATCTTTAGGTAAATCGCCACAGAATCTACCATCATAAGCCAATGAATCGAAAATTAATTTCATCAACAGCAATGGCATTTCTAAATATTCACCTTGGTTAGGGTTAATGTATCGTATTTCGTTATATGAATCCCGGAGTAATCCTACGTGTCCCTTGGTGACACGGTCTATCACCTGTTGCTCCAACGTGAAGTCTGTGTGTTTGTTCTTGATATCAGCCTTTATGCTTTCCACTAGATGCTGGTCAGTGACCACAGTAGGGTGCAATAACAAGAGTATTCTTGACATATTCGCGTAGTGAATGTGAGGTTGTAAATTAGTAAGCAATAACGTGTTTGCACAGTATTAAGCGTGTGAGCGGTATTAAAATGAATGATTACGATGGAAAGCGGACGTTAAATGACTTTCCTTATGTTTCCTCTATAAATATCAGTCGATCTTCTGTCAAAATGTAACCAAGTGATCCACAGGTGTACTAAAAAATGGTGCTGCCTAAGAGTTTTATATGCTGTAAAAAAAAAAGAAAAAAAACCTTCTTTGAAATTCCAACCCCTCTAGAAAAAAGAAAGAAAAAAAATTAATTTCTTTATCGTTTGTTAACTGATCGTCTATGTGCAGTCTACAGATGGCTGTAGCTCACGTGACAAATTTGCTCATAGTTTTTTCAAATTCCGCAATTATGTAAGACAATTTTACATTTCACCCATTGGCTGCGAAAGGCAAGGAGATAACAATAATGGACGCAAAAACAACGCACTGCTGACAAATCAGTGCGCTTGCAAGTTTATTTAGTAATTATTTGCTAATCTTGATTGGAATTTTTTTTTTTGGCTAAGTCCGATACTTTCAATGTATGCAACTGCATGGTCTAGTTTGATATATTTTTCCGAAAGTCGTAAACACTAGGTTAATCAGCACTACAATTACCCTTACACATCAATGTAATTTCAAACATCTATTGAAATGAAGAAAACTTATAAACTGTCCTTGTGATTAATCAAAGTTATATGAAACGTAATCAAAAAAACATTGTTAGTTATTGCATCCAAGGCAATCACATCTGCCCACTAAACCGTCCGTACTAATTCAACATTAAGAAATAAAACAAAAGCAAAAAGCAAAATTAAAGCTAAATTAAAACAAAAAAAAAAATCAAAACAATTAATGTCTATTCATCATCTGTAAGATCTCCAATCTCAACATCGGTTGCATCGCTGTCTTCGTTACCAGCTTCCCTGGGTGATCTCTTCTCACGATTAGCTGCTAGTCTTGTAAAAGGAGGTAACGCAGGAGGGATCGGTTGTTGGCCATAGGAAGGACTGCGAATATGCACCAGCGACGAACGTGATGATATTGGCGAACTGACAGTATTATTATTAGTTAAGCTTTGTGTACGACTATGGGAAAACTTAATTGATTGTGGTGAAGACAAAGACATCAATGACAACACTGCATCTTGCTCATTTGTCTTTTCATCGTTCGCTTGTTGGGGGCCTCCGCCGAATTTAAATCCAGTAGGTTGGAAATCATCATGGGAATGTAAAGCAACTTTTAAAGGTGGAAGTTGAACATCGGACAGGACTGTTCTCCTGTGACTAGGTGTAAAGCTTGGCATGTCCTCCGAGAACCCACCACTTGTGCTTGGTTGTCGTCTTGGATGGCGTGTAGTTGAACCTATTGATTTCCTTCTCGTTTGCCGGGAAAGTGCTGCTAATAATGCTCTATGAGCGCTCAACTCTTCATCAGGAGATGGCATGTCAACGAGTGGTGGATGGTCATTAGAAAATCTCGGCGATTGCTTTAACGGAGAATTAACATCTTGTCCAAATTGTGCCACGCTTTTGGGTATGGGTGAACTTTGTAATGTTTGTAAATTTAAATTGGCCCGTTGGAATGATGAGCCAGGAGAAAATGAATTAGTTGATTGTTTTGTAGGAGATTTGGAAGGATCAAATGATAATTCAGTAAAAGAAATCTTATTACTTAAACCCGCATTGGAATTGTTGTCTTCTTTTTGTATTTTTCCCAAGGCTGAGCTCAATTTATGTTTTAATTGAGAGCTAATCTCGGTCAAATCTTCGCGTTTAGGACTTGCATCGTCATTGTCAAAAAGCTTTTTTGCTGTTCCAAAATACTGGGGGGTTTTTTGTAATTTCAATCTTCTCTTGTCTTCATTATCATCTGAATCATAGCCCGAGTGTCTTGGTGTCTTTAATGCGTTGGCGGCACTATATGGTGAAGCAACGTTGTGGTAGTTTAGTTTGTAATCCGGCGATTTCAATGTACCTGAATTACTCCTCTTGACTGATGGTGTGAACGGTAGGTGAGTATTATGTGCATTTTGTTCTGGAGTACGAAGAAAGTTAGCAGACCCCATTCTACTGCTTCTTTTCTCTCCTCTGCCTGAACTAGAATCTGATCCAGGGGGAGACGGCGTTGATGGTTTGAATGCCGAGTTTCTTTTTGGTGAAGACACCGGTGTCTTTGGTTTGCTTGCACTCATATTGAAATGGTAATGTCTCTGTACTAGCTATTTGTTTGTTGCTGTCGTTTTCCGGGGAAGTTCAGGTTGTCTTTTCCGCTGTTTACGGTTTCTTAAAATAGATTCGTGGTTAGGACACAAGTACGCAAGATAACACTAAATTAATATAGTACAAATAACCTCCCTCTATTTTGTGTTGCTGTCCACTGTTGCCAGTCTAGATCTGTTGCAAACGGCTATTTATACAACAAACGAACTCGTAAAACTCTGACTTAATAAACCAATAACTTTTTGTATTGCTGGTTGGTCAAGTAAAAATCTCCCGCGCCTCTGCTGGTTGTAGTGTTGTTGTCACGTAATTGGTTTTTTTTGCTGCGCGGGCGTGTTGGGACTTGTACGTGATGAAATGATGTCCTGATGTCAAATGAATGTAACTTCTTCGAGTGGGCTAACCGAATATAGAAAATCTCGTTTTCTCGTATAGCTAATTTCAACTGTATTTAAGTTTAGTTAAACGTGTGGTATATTCCCTGGCATCATGAAATTCTAGTGCGTGTATATTGCTTTTCTGCAAGGGAAAAAAAAACAAAAATATCAACAAGTCGTGTACCGTACCCGAAAAAAGAACACTTCCAGCTGCCTGAATGAGAAAATCAAAACAAACAAAAAAATGCCAGAGGAAAAGGTTACAACCTGTTGCAAGTTGATACAGTTAACCGTGGAAGACGAACCAAAAACATTTCTGTTGTAAACAAGTTTCGTATATCATTTAGGTTAGCAATACAGGCAAATTTTTTTAACTATTGCGTGAAGAGCAGTTAAGCCAGCCCGTGACAAAAAGAAAAGTAAAGCATATCTCCGCGAGCATCAGATCCAAAAAAGTGCAGCCTTGCATACACAGAAATACATCACACATATTAGCCAACTATACCTTTCATCATATCAAGTTTTAGTGTGAAAGGAAACAATTCACTGTACTGACAACAATTCAACAATTCAGTTTGTTGCAACTACAGAAACAAAACTGTTTATATCAAAACAAGGTAGCCGGGAGCTCCATCAGCAACATAACCACATCATAGAATATCCTCAAATGGCTCCCCCCAGGTTATTCCAGAATGACCCCATAGACAGCTCTGGAACTAAACTAGCATCCATACTTAGAACAGTAGAAAGCTCGTCAAGAAGAACAAACCTGTTGACACCAGTAACAAAACGAGGAGTGAAAAGACGAAGTTTGATAGCCCTGCACACACATGAGCGTGGATCTATAGAGAATGATAGACGAGAATCGGTATTTTTCAGTACACCAGCTCGAGTCAACAAGAAACGTCCAAGCCCTGGACCTTCCTTCATCAAGGCTCGTCCCCAATTGCATACCCATACTGCAGCATTAACCAATACATCGTCTTCTTTTATGCCATCATCTTCATCCGTGGCCGGACCACAACAACAATCGTTGAGATCTACCCCTGCATTGTCATCAAGGGCAAGTGCAGCACAAGCGCCCTTAGGAGGAGGGTCATCCTTGGTCACGCCATCGTCACAACAATCTCTTGCCCAACGTGACCCGCGACCTTTGCGAGATCGGAAATACCAGGAATTAATCCAGGCTGAAATACATTCATTCTTGACTGAAAATAGATTTGAACTTGAACCAAGCATTAAATTAACCGAATCAACATTGAAAACTCCAACTCAAAAGGAATTTACCGGGATTTTTTCATTTTTGGTAAAAATGCAGAATCCTAGTTTTAAATTGGGCAAAGCACCCGATACAGAAATATACACTGCATTGAAAGTAATGAATTATCCTTATTTAGATTCAATCAGCCGATCCCAGATTGGGGCAGTTGGTGGACAAAATTGGCCCACGTTTCTCGGAGTTTTATATTGGCTTGTCACTGTGAATTTGAAATTGTTGAGAATAACTGAAGAAGACGAAACTCCTGAAGATGAAGATCGTCTTCATGACGAATACCATGCTTATATTTCTAGTAAATATGCCCGATATTTAGCTGGGCGAGACAATGAGAATGATGAAATAGAGTTGCAAGAGAAATTGGATCGAATGAAAGTATCTGCTGAAGAACAATTGCAAGAATATAGTCACAACAAAAATGCAATCGAAGAAGCAGTTGTCCATTTGGAAGCAGATGGAAAAATAATCGAAACTGCAGTAAAGAAAAGCGAGGACTTGTATCAGGATTTTGATGCCTTGAAAAATTATATTGAATCTCGGAAAAATTCCAAACCTAAATACGACGAAATCTTGGCTAATCTTAAACAAGCAGCTGAAAACGAAAGTAGATTACTTGAAGAAGCACGGGTGAAAGTTGTTGAATTACAAGCACAATTGGAGCAGTTGGGAATTTCACAAGAATTTATCCAGGGGCTTCGAGATAATAGAGATCAAGCAGATAAGGAATTTGCTGATGCCGAAGAACAATATATGAAACTCAGGGAAGATCTGATTACAGCCCATGAACACTTTGCTCGTGATATTGACCGATTGAAACAAAGTGTTCGTGATTTGAACAGTTTATCTCAATTATTTAATCCTGATTTCCAACTTGAATTGAATAAGGATATAAAAACGTCCAACACCTTTACACGAGCTCTTAAACCGGACGAAATATTAACCCGTAAAACAAGTGAAGTCAAGATCGAGTTTGTTCTGCTTAAGTCCAGATTAACTTCTTTGCATGGAGAATATAGAGATACACTGGATCAGTTAAAAACAGAAAGAGATAAGATTACCGATGTTATAAGCTTGTTGGAGAGTAAACGTGATGAAGCTCGACGTAAAGTTGACGCCTTGCAACGTGAATATGATAGAGAATATGCGTCAATGCAGCAGAAACAGGCTGAAAACAAGGTTGAAATAGCCAGACTAGAAACAGATTTAGTAACCAGACAAAGCGATGCCAGAAATTCATTATTAAACTTGGAGAAGGCTAACAAAGATGCTCGAGAAAAACACAATAAAATTGTTGCTGATATTTCAAGCAAAAGATCAATTTTGAATTCAGTACGGTCAGAAGCGGGAGCAATTGCATTGAAAGTTCAAACAAATACCCAAGAAAACTTGTTGCGGTTGGACGATAAAGTCCAGGAAGAACTGATAGTTGAGCTGGATCTTCGCAACGAACTCAACTGATAAAAAGATTTCTCAATTTTGTATTTGTATGTAAATATTTATTTGTAATATTACTGTTAATTTTTTTTGTGATGTTTAGTTGCTGTTTTTTTTTTCGCGTAACCCTTTATGAAAAAGGTCAACACGATTCATTCCCTCAACCAGGTTAGTAAGATTAAGCTATGAGTGATATCAACTTATTTGTAACTTCAAACTTGACTTCTTCTGAGAGAAGAATATCTCCACAATGGACATTGGGGTTTCTTAAGCAGAAACTAGAATTGATAACTGGGATCAAACCTGAGAATCAAACCCTTCATTATTATCCAAACCAACAATCAAACGAATATACTCAACTTTGCACTTCTGAAACATTTGATCCGCAACGTGACGAACAAGAATTTGTCGGTTCGTTGGATCTAAAGCCATATAGTCGAATCCACGTCATTGATGCCGACCCTGAATCTGCCGTTAATGAATTGTCTAATCAAGATACCGCCGATGTAGAAATGGCTGCCGGGGCTGAATTTAAATTGTCTGAAGCCGACTATGCTAAAAGACAAGATAGTGTGTTGCAGTGGAAACAAGCAAACAGATTAGGAAGATTCGATCCTAATTACGAGGTTTTGCAACAAAAGGAACAACGTGAGAATGCGGAAAAGATTGGTAAAATGAAAGTTGGTGATAGATGTAGAGTAATTAATATTGAGGGAGAAAGAAGAGGAGTTGTTAAGTTTATTGGAAAGGTTGATATTATTGATGAAGGAAAGAGTGATTGGATAGGGATTGAATTTGACGAACCTGTAGGGAGGAACAACGGATCTATCAACGGGGTTAAGATCTTTGAATGCAGAAACAAACATGGTAGTTTTGTTAAACCAAAACAAGTTGAGGTTGGTGATTTCCCAGAATTAGATCCGTTTGCTGATGATCTGGATGAAGAATTGTAAGGAAAACACAAGATGTGTAGTGTAAATAACGTCAAATACAGTATAGGTAACTTAATGAGCGATTTTATTTTTTTGTTTTGTTTTAATATATCTCCGTAGAGCCAACCCAACGCGGGAGAAATTTCCACCACGGTGAGAGTTTGGCCGGCGATCTAAAAAAACTCTCCGACTAAACAAACAAAAAGAAATACTGGTCAGATCTTTTCTACAAAGTCAAATTCTAATACCTCAAAAGAATCCCCGTCGCTTCCAATGTTTGAAGAAATCTTTGAATTCGTTGATAAAGAAACGTTCACCAAGTACTTCCGGTTAACAATCGTGGTATGTGCATACCTCATTTTCCGTAAATACTATTCCCAATGGGCTGCCAAGAAACAAACAGAGAGACAAATGGCTGACGATGAAAAGGAAAAGGCAGAAAAGCCAGAACGTGAAAGAAAAGCAAGAGAAGAACAAGCACAGCAACTTGAAGCTGAAGCAAAACAATTTGGTTGGGGTAAGAAAACTAGAAGAACTGTTAAGACCACCGAAGCGGCTTTGGACCAAATTATCCAAGAACAAAGACAAAGAAACCAAACCTCTTATGATGCACAAGAAGATGCTGATATTGAAGATTTGTTAGAAGAGTAGCCGTTTGTTGTATAGAAAACTTTACCAAATAGCATGTATCATAATTAGTAAGCTTTATAACTTTCGTAGTTTGTCTCAGTGATGAAGTCACGTGACACTAAATCGATGGGGGCATCGCAGTTAGAAAACTCTTGAAAAAAAATTACTGTATGTTCAAGTTGGTTGCCAAAGCCATAAAGAACCTTCTAGAATAACCAAACATATAGATTTAATACGTTATGGCAGGAGATTCGTTTTTATCCGACCCTTCAAAGAAAAGAAAGCGTCTGTCAAAAGTAACCAGTACATCGAAGAGATCTAAAGGAGGTCGATCTACTCCAGTGCCATCTTCCACAACACCAGAGTACGATGAAGAAATATCCGACGTCAGTGATTCCGACGAAGAAGAAACAAGAGGCCAAGATGAAGAAGGCTATAATGAAGATGAATTATCATCTGATGAAGAATTCGCTGATGAAAATGCAGCTGATAAAAGAAGACGATTGGCTAAACAATATTTGGAAAACTTAAAAGCAACGGAATTAAATGAAGTCGAAGGCCATGACTTCGATGCCCAAGATCTTGATGATGATATTTTGTCCAGAAGATTACAAAGAGACGTGGCTGAGACTAAAGGGTATGTTTACAAGTTCTTAGGTGAAAAAATATCCCACCAATTTGACGATCACATAGAATCTATATCCACCAGAATTGGTTCCAAGAACTTAACAAGCATGACCAGCCATTATCCATATTTATACACAGTATCCAAAGATGCAGAATTAATTAAATGGGATATATCTGGAAGAAAACCTCAAAGAATAAAGCATGTTAAAGGGGGTAGCAAATTTTTCAAATTAAACACTGCCAATGTTAATGCTAATCATCATTGGGAACAAATCAACTGTGTTGCTGCTTCTCCTGATGGGAAATACGTTGTAACCGGTGGATCAGATTCTCGTTTAATCATTTGGTCAAGTGAAAATCTTTCCTGTTTAAAAGTTTTGGAAACCAGATCAGCAGTCAACTCGATTGCCTTTAGAAGAAACTCGGACCAATTATTTGCAGCATGTGCTGATTTAAGAATAAGGACATACTCCATCAACCAATTCACCCAGTTGGAAATTCTTTATGGACATCAAGATGATATCACTGATATTTCTGCATTGGCAAGAGAAACTTGTGTTTCTGTTGGTTCTAGAGACAAAACTGTGATGTTTTGGAAAATTGCTGAAGAATCTAGATTAACCTTTAGAGGAGGTGATTCTGTTGAAAAGAAGAGGAAAAAGAAAAAGACCAAACCAGAAGAAGAAACTGTCGAGGAACAAGAAGAATTGCCATTCCATCATGAAGGATCTATAGAAGTTGTAAGCATGAATGATGAATCTCATTTTGTTACTGGTTCAGATAATGGTAATATTGCATTATGGTCATTAGCCAAAAAGAAGGCATTATTCACTGAAAGATTGGCACATGGATTACAACCAAGGTTGTTACCTCAAGAAGCAAGTGCCGAAACTTCTCTAGAAATTGCTGGCCAACAAGTTCCAGAACCTCAACCTTATTCCATAACTGCCATTCATGCCCTTCCTTACAGTGACATCTTTGTTAGTGGTTCATTCGATGGTTCCGTGAAAATCTGGAGATTAGACCAAGAAGGATTACGTTCATTTAAGTTGATTGGTGAAGTTAGCAATTTGAAAGGTTGTGTCGTTAAGCTTGATGTTGTTGAAGTACCAGACAAGAAGCAAATTAAGGTATTTGTCTTGTTAAGTAAGGAACACAAATTTGGAAGATGGTTAGACAAAATTCCTGGAGGGAGAAATGCATTAGTTAATTTCACATTCGATATATAGACAGAGAAATAGCAATAATGGCATACAAAAGCATAGAATTAGAAGCTGGTGTATTTACTATGTAGATTGTTTTATTCTCTATTGTACAAAAGGTATGAAAATGAGTTGGATATTTTGAAATATCATGCAAAAGGTTTTGTTGTTTTTTAATTTTGAACTAACAAGAGTAGCTAGTTGATTCTAGAACGCTGCTTCGTCGTCTCCACCGGCATCCATTCCATCGTCATCTCCATCATCGAAATACTTTTCAGCGTTATAGTCATCGTCGTCATCTTCGTCAAATTCATCATCCATTTCTTCTTCTTGGTCCTCGTCGTCTTCCTCTTTATTCTCATCGCCATTGTCCAACTCCTCGGCCATATTCTTCAACTTTTCCAATAATGAATTTGCTTGGTCGTTTTCTGCATTTGCATCATCAACTTTAAAATCTCGTAATCCACCATTTGACTTAAAAGTGGATAATGATAGTAACTTCTTCTTATGCTTATTACTGATTCCCATAACTGAGTAAAGCTCCTCTGGGAAAAATTCCAACTGGTAAGGGTGTTCTTCAATAGTTCTACCTATCTTCTTAACCTTCTTATATCGATCAGAATATCGTTCAATGCCGTCAGCAGCAGTGTTCCCCCTTTTGATATCCAACTTACGTTGTTCTTGTTGTGATAGGTCCTTAAAGTCTAGATTCCCGGTGTAAAAGGGTCCATCCGACATTAATTTCGCAAACATGATTGATTGTTTAGCGGCGGCGGTCTCTTGTTCGCTTAATTCACCATTCACAGGAAGAACAAGCTGTGGTTTATCTGTCCCTGAAGTGGTGGTGAGAACATCACTATAATCTAGACCAAAGGGCAATAGCGCCTTTCCTGAATTTTTGGATCTGAAGGACATTTATAACGCTGTTGAGACAGAGTTTCAGTTTCTTTCCTTAGCTGCCAGCTCTCAACTTCACATTTTCTTCAGGCAGCTCAAAAGAAAATTTTAAGAGATGTGGACTGCATATAATATCATACCAGAATAAGACGGCTGTTTTGGATGCAAATTTGCAAAAGGGTTCTAGATGTCGGGATTTCTGTAGAAAATTAGGCACAATGTCTGGCGCGGTCTTTGTTGTTGTGTCCTGATGCCGTTGTTGGTGAAACAAATGTGATAATTAAGAAGGATCTAAGCTATTGACTAGCTGGGTCTGTTGTGTAACAAGGCGCCCGTTTCTAGGAGCCTCCTCCTACACTCTGGCAGTTAATAAGCTAGCTCGTATTATTAACAAATATTACTCAATCGGTATATATATCCTGTTGGTAAACATTGCTTATGTTGTAAGTAGCTAATTTGCAAACTGACAACAGATCTGTTTCAACTCTTTTCAGAAAAGATTTACTTCTAGCTAAGGATACTAAATGACTTTTTAGTAGCAAATATTAGGACCCTGTATCAATTTCCAATACGTCGCATATGGATATCAAATGGAGAATTCATTATTTATCCTATGTTTGGCGCCCCCCAAGACTCTGGTAATGACTTCAGATGACATGAAAAGCGAAGACGAAAAATGACAAAAATAGAACCGTGCGTCAAACCAAAGCCTTGGCCTAATCGGGCAATTCAGATCAAAACAAGATCACGTGATTTGTTTATTTACGATTTCACTGCCTACTTTAATGTTCACTTCAATGACCACAATGAAAACACTTTCTTCTAGAGGATTTAGTATATTTAGAGAAAAATATCCGGACTATAGTTTTTTCTTCAAACGTACATCATGAATTCACTATCTATGAATTCAATTCCTAGTCTACGGAATGATTCCCCTACTATTTATCCTGAATCTGCCGATGGTACCCTTGTAATAATGGTTGTTCGTGCCAAACATTTACCAAACCGAAGGAAGTTAGATAAACAATCTCCCTATGTTACGGTCAGATTAGGAACCACGGCTAAGAAAACACCAGCTGCTTTTCGAGGAGGGCAAGTACCTGAATGGACCCATGAAATACGATTCCCCTTGACGCGAGATCGGAAACCGATCTTGAAGTTGGATGTATTAGATGAGACCAAGGGGGACCCTACACCTATAGGAAATGCCGAGATTGACTGCTCAGTATTGTTTACACGAGAGGAGGAGAATGGGAAATATATATATGATAACTGGTTTGAATTGTCTCAGGGTGGAAAAAGGGCAGGCATGGTTTACCTTGAAATGACATTTTACCCAAGTGCTCCAGTATTACCCTCCAAGATCCCCATTTACCCCCATGACCAAGTTGTAACACAAGAAGAAAATTACGACGTCCATGATAGCTACCATGAACAACCAGTTTATCACCGTCCTCAAGTTCCTCACAAAGAGGATGTGTTTGTAAATCTGGAAAGCTCCACTTCGAGCAAGGGATCATCGACTTTTCTGCACAATACTGGAAAGCATTACAATGAAAGTACAGGGACAGTAAACTCGGCTTCAGCAGTATTTGTGAACGAGCAACAATATCAAGAAAATCTAAAGGGTGCAAAGAAATACGCATTGAAATTTGCTAAATTGAAAAGCAAATTCAACACAAGAGAACCATTAAATACACTTTGGGGTGGAAATGAAAGCTCCACACTTAGTAACCATTTGAGTTCATCCCCTTCCAAGAGAGTGGTGTCTCCACTAAGTGAATACGGATCTGATGACAATAGCCCGTATTCGCATCATGAAGAAGATATACAATTCATATCCCCACCTGAACCACCTAGACGAGATTTCAAAATCGTACCACCACCCCGATCCCCTACACCACCGCCAAAATCTCCCTCTAAATCCCCTTTGCTGGAGTCAAGACGATCTCCGAGAAGAAAGCCACCTGCAGATATTCCCTTTGAAGTAGGTAAGCTTAAGGATAGCACATCGATACCTTTTTCTGCAGATACTATTGGTTTGGAAGATAGTGAGGGTTTACCCACTAAGGTTTACTTACTTGATCAACCCGTCAAATCGCTTAGTTATTCCGCGGACAATATTATTTCACCAGTTAAATTAAAAGGCGATGAGATTGACCCTCGTTACTATGCACCTACTCCATCGGAACATTTCAACCGTAATCTGAGGTTAACGGCCGGTAGTGCAACCAAGGACGATTTAAAGGTGGATTTAAATACTAGCGAAACTGGATATATTGGAAATGGAAAATTTTCACCTAGTGTATTTCAGAGAATAGGCAGAAACTATTGGAGTAGTGAATCAGAGCTTGACCAACAAGATAAACCAAAGGTTCCACCAAAGATTCCAGAAGGTTTGACTGAAGCCGAATACTATGTTTTAGAAAAGGAAAAATTCTTGCGGGATTTGAATGGTAACAGAATATGAATGTAATAATTAATACTACAAACCTTTTTTTGGAGAAAGCTCTTCTTACTTTTGTATAAATACATAAATTAATAAAACTAATACACACATGAGAATAAATACGAAACGAAAGTAAAAGCGGAAACCTTAACAAAACAGTTATTAATAAAACCATATCAAACAAGATATAAATATAGAATTGGAGAACAATGGGGGAAGAATGGGATCATCTGCTTGATTGTATGGTTGTTTTGCTTCTGAATTTATTCTCCTTAAAAAAAAAATTCATGCAGCTACTCTTATAATAAAGCAGCTACAATGGCAAGTAAACCAGCGGCACCAACACCCACAGAATTACTGAAGGCACCACCAGTAGAAGTTACCTTATTGGTGGTAGCAGCAGGAGGAGGGGTTGAAGTGGTATGGTTGGTGTAAGCAGTAGTGTGGATTGGAACAGTTGAGGCAGAAGTGGTTATGGTAGTATTGGTCTTGTTGCTGACATTGGAACCAACGGCAACAATACCGTTGTAACGGGCCAATGCAGTTTGCTTAGCAGCCTTGGCTGAAGCAACTGATGCGGCGGAGGCAGCAGAAGCTACTGAAGCTAATGAACTAGAAGCAGCAGCAGCAGCGGATGCAGCAGAAGCAGATGAAGCAGAAGCAACTGATGCAACAGAAGCAACAGAAGAAACAGATGCGGCAGATGCGGCAGATGCAACTGAGGCTTCAGAAGCTGCGGAGGCAGCAGCCATACTAGATGATTCTTCTGGGGTATAAACGGTTTGGGTGACAGTAACAGTGGTAATAATGGTGGTATCTCCATCATCAGCCATGACGGCAGAAGCTAATAAAGCGGTGGATAAAGCGATATTCTTGAACAACATTTTTAAATTCGTTTAAAAGTCGGTGATGTTTCGGTTTGTTTTGATTTTAATATGTGGTAGCGATTTGTTTATTTTTGCAAAGAAGGAAAACAAGTTGGTTGAGGTTAAAGTAGTAGTTGGTTATAAAGGAAGGACTAGGGTAAGTAGTAGAAAGCTGGGTTGTGATGTTTGAATAAACTTGGAAAAGGTCAAAAATCGATAAAAAAATCTAATGGATGTTAAAAATAACGAGCGACTTGTGGTAGTTAAATATCTCGATTAGGTCAAGGTAAACATACGAACACCAGACGAGCGAGGTAGAAAAAAAATTTTTTTTGTGCTCGGTTTTTGCCCAATTAACAATTAGTTTAAAAAGTTTATTTTTTTGTATACGCTGCATAAGGTTAATTTAGGTACAAAATCATTTCAAATACACTTTTGGGGCAGGTTCATAATCTTGGCTCTGGACCATTTACTACTTTCTGGTCCGAGATGTGGTTACAGTACGGATTTCAGGCGCAGAATGGAGTATTTCCGATGCAGTCTGATTTAGAAGCACGAGCTGAGGCGGGTTGTCATTACATAAGGTATACAGGTCTTGATCTAGTAAAGTAAAGGTAGAGAATTTTGCACTGTGGTACGATTTCAGTGGTATAGCATTAACAATTTGTAGCGACGACTAGGTTAATAGACGCGCGCACTAAACACGCACGATCACGATATTTGATCTTGTGGAAAAATATCTAGTTGCATCGTACAAAAATAACATTGTGTATTAGTGGTCTAAGTCCAGGCGAGATGAAAATTTCCTTGACGCGCTGCAACCTTTCCTAATTAGGTAGCCATGCTTCCTGATTGGGATTCAACTGTAAACAAACGCCCACTGGAAAAAAGAAATTTTTAAAAAATAAACTATTTTTTTTGTTACTTTGAGCAGTTTGGAAATTAAATTCGCATTATAAGTCAGCTCATGTGACATTGGCAAGTATTAACTAATTATACACGAGCAGTATTAAATGGTTGTTACTTTTCATCACGAAATCACAGGATTTCAGGTTCATGTGAAAAGTGTGGGATCTAGAATTAGGAGTAATCACAACCGTACTGATCTGAACTACGGCCCTCTGTTTCTACAAAATTTTGTGAAAAATCTTGGTATTTCATGGTCGTCAACTACGCATGACCCTTGAACAATATAATCTCAAGATACAAGTGGAGTTTGTTTCATTTTAATCGTAGTTGTGATGGCAACAATTTAGTGCTTACATGATTGTGAAGTTATAAGATTACAATGACAAAGATACTTTTTTATCAATGGTGATAATTCGCTATATAAATCTCGCTTGTGGGGACAGATGATCACATCTCTTTTCTTTTTTAGTAATTTTAAAACCCAAACACTATCTGGTGGTGGTGGTGGTGGTGGTGGTGGAGCTTGTTGATTGATTACCTTATGTGGCGTGTAGACTATGCCATTCACAACATTTATTCAATTTGCAACTATGAGCCAATACCACTTGGAACATTGTTATACTGATGCAAATAATATTTTTTCGGCTCAAAATATTTTGTACTTCAAGATATTGTGAATTAAGTAAAGGTCAAGAATGTACACAACCACCCCTTGGCTGAAGTAATTGTATTGTTTCATGATCCAGATCACTCGTAAGTTTCTTTTAAATTAGTTACCGAATAGGGGGTACTTCTCAGATCTGAAAACACATGCTTGGAATCTACAGAGCTGCTAGCAACTACAAAGATTTCTTTTTGTTTCAAAGTTTAGTATCTGCGCCAGTGGTCTAGAACATTTTCTGATACCCTTTGATCAAATCAGGAAAGACGTAGCCCTGTTCCAGATATCTAATTGTGTTAAATCAAATTAATTAAAAGCATATGCCAAAAAAAATTAATTACCTTTCCCAAAACGGTAAAGGTCTTGCATATAATATATGAAAAATTTTCCACTATGCAACCCAAATAATAATTTTGTATAATATCCGTTCTCGATCTCGGTTAAGAAGCCATAATGAAACAATAAAACAAAGCCAAAACGTAAAAAAAAAAGTCAATGACTTTGTTGGGCTTGAAAGTCTAGACCAAAATCAAGAGATTTGTGGCATTAAAACAGATAAAATATTCTCATTTGGGAAATGAAATCTTCTTGGATAATACATCTAGCCCCCTTATACAGCATACCTAGAATAAAGATTAGACTTCACTGGGAGGCTTGGTATTCTACAAATAAAAGAACCTATTAGTTTTCTCTACCGCATCCGAGGACCGCCTTGGCCTGCATTCCTGAAATGGTCTTTGCCAGACCCTATTTGTTTTGTTGCGGTTTAGAAGTTGCAACAAAACAAATCTCATTTCGCTTTCACTGTGTTGAACCTTCTAGATTTGGTTCCTGAATTACTTTACTACTAGGTTAAAGAATAAGTACATTTAGTTTACATGCAATAAAGCTAAGGGGTGCTTATAAGTAAGGTTGCAAACTCATACTGATTATTCAAGATCAGACAATTTGCTTATTTAACTCTTCAATCTCTGCCTTTTCACTTTCTGATAAACTGTAACCGTTAGAAATATTAGTTGCACCAAACTCCTTTTCATCAGCATCATAAAATTCTCCTTCTGCCTCTACTAGTTTATCTCTCGCACGCTGCGAACCTCCTTTAGTATCAAGCAGCTCGGGCAAATCTTCCTCCAAGTCTTCATCTAGATCCATACCCACAGGTACCTCATTCATTTGAACTGAAGGAGCATGCTTGGTATGGTCAAGATTTGAGATCACCTGGGTCAATATCTTATCCAAATATTCTCTCGAATTGGCATTGTTCATATTGGATGATCTCACATCCAACTCGTACAAAGGAGCATAATATTCATAGTATCCATTATAGGGCAATTCTTTGGGTAATATAGCCCCATTGCAGATCCCAGTTTCAAATGCCCATGTTCTAGCCACATTTCTAATTGTGTATCCTCCTCCACCAACTACCATCATTGGTATTCCAAGTGATCTTACAAAATTAACACAATTGGCATGACCTCTCATCGATAAATTGAATGGTCCCAATCTATCACCACTTAGAGAATCACCACCACATTGTAATACAATAGCTGAAGGTTGGTACCAATCTACTATTGCTGCTATTATTGGTTCAAAAATCGACTTGTATGATGCATCATCTATCCCATCCCTAAGTGGTACATTAACGGCATAGTATTTCCCCTTGCCTATTCCAATATCATTCAAGTTACCTGTCCCGGGGAAAAACTCACCAAATTTATGGAAAGAACATGTCATTACTCTATCATTGGTGTAAAATGCTTCTTCGACCCCATCACCGTGATGAACATCGGTATCTATGTACAAAACTCGAGGATGAACTCTTAATAATTCAATTATCCCTAATACAATATCATTCAAATAACAAAATCCACTAGCTTCTGACTTTTTGGCATGATGCAATCCCCCAGCATAATTAATGGCAATATCAGCCAGTCCATTATTTAATCGGGCTGCCCCTTCCATGGACCCACCACATGAAATTTTACAAAATTCTCCAAGACCATCAAACACAGGACAATCATCACCGACATTAAAGATGATTTGTTCTCGTTCAAACAATTGTAAATTGTCAGGGGTGACCCTATCAATGAAATCTATGTATTCGTCGGTGTGGAATTGGGTTAATTCTAAATTGGTTGCTGGCTTGGCTCTATAAATTTCCATCTTCTTGTACAATTCATAATTCATAATTAAGGAATGGGTCATTCTTATTCGATGTGGTTTCATACAATGACCAGTTCCATAGAAGTAGTTTCCAACATCCTGGTCATAGAAATAGGCTACTCGTCTTTTCCGAGTGTCGGGTTTTAACTCCTCAAAGGGTAATTCAACATACATTGTATAATTGGATATGCAAGTCGAAACGGTTGAATTGTTGGTGTTTCAGTAACTAATACAGGGTAAAGAAGTTCTTTGGTTGATTGATTCTTGTAGGTGAACACCAAATGCGGCTAATGTGCGTTGTGAAGAAAGGTGGAATTTAGATGTCTCTTCTCTAAGCCTATCTGGTGGATTTTAATGGTTTGTTTTGTGTCTATTTTTTTTTTTTTTTGCTTAGCTCTTTTGAGATGTTCCGGGGGTATTTTAAACTACGAACTAAAAACTACAAATCAGGAGATATGCATAACGTACGAAGAACTTATATCATATACACGTGCTATAACGAATAGAAAAGTAAAGAATCATAGGAATTTAATATGTTGCCTTTTAACTTACACTTGAGTAATTTTTCCTGTTTTGACATCATAGATATATCCAGTAACAGGAACATCCAAAACTAAAGGATTCTTCTTGAAAAACTCAACGTCATCTTTAACACTCTTTTCTAAGTCATTGAACGGTAAAAAGGCAAAATGGTCTACATTTTGTCCAGTTTCGTCTTCGACAATCTTTCGTAATCCCTCATCTGTGAATGTCAACATACCACAATCAGTGTGGTGAATAACAACGATTTCACGGGTTCCTAACAATCTTTGAGAAATAATAACACTACGAAGCGCGTCGGTGGCTCTTCCTCCAGCATTTCTTATAACGTGGGCATCACCTTCAGTAAGGCCCAAGGCAGCAGCGGGGTCAATACGAGCATCCATACATACAACCACGGCAACTTTTCTTGCTGGTGGAAGGGGTAAACTGCCCTTGGTGAATTGATCAACGTAAGATTTGTTAGCTTGTTCGAATTCTGATGCAACAGTCATGATTGAAATTGGTTGTAAAATAGGGGTTAACTTTAGAATTAATTCGATTCAATTTACCTTTGGATCTTGAAGGTTTAAGTAACGTTAGTTGGAATTTCCAAGGAAGCTCGTATCCTTGAAGGGGATTATGCCATAGCAGCATGCTTATCGCAAAATTCGGATAAGGGGGGGAGAATACAGCCACAGTTTTCTAGGGCACGCAACTTTCCCCCACATTTAATCTGGCTTGACAAAAATCTCTTCGTCGCTGTCACTAATTCTTTCTGGAATAATTAAACAGTTTGACATATTTGCCTATAAAGATGAAGGTACGAAGGTATCAGAATGATAGCAGATGTCACATTTTAATTTGAAATCAATGATTTTTGAGTGCAGCGGAAATATGTTTCCATGTCGCCCCAGGAAATTTATTATCAATAATCATAGATACATGTATTATGGTTGAAAGAGCCAGCTTTTATGCTTGGAAACATTCCCAATGAAGCTCAAACTGTTTCTTTTGCAATGAAGTATTGCTGGTTCAAATTTTCCCAAGGAATCACTTTTAACTTTTTGATGAATCATGTCGGTTATATAACACACATTATACCCCACCTAAGTTACACAATTTCACTCCTTTTTACTTTAAACTTCGCAAACAAGATGTTTTAATATAAAGAATCGCGTATAATTGAATTGAATGTTTCTTACTTGGGCGAAATTAGACCGCCTTGGAGGGTCAAAATATTGCTCGTTTTCTTTGTCAGGAAAGATATATTGCTCATTCTTTCTTGGCATGACTCGGAAATCGCACTTTTTACGGTTGGTCATACCAAATTGAACACATAGTGTAATCAAACAGAGATCATGCACATCATATTAATAATATCGCCCAAAGTATAAATAGCCATGATTATTTTCACTCCCAGTATATTTTGGAAAATTGTTTGTCGATTAAGTCTACAATAGTTCTAATGAGAGTTATTTTATTTATGCCTATTCTTGCAGCCATCGCTGCTGCTCATCATGGAGATCACGGCAGTGCTAGTAGTTCCATGCCTAGCGACCATCACGATATGGCTTCTATGTCCAGTGGTCACCATACGGGATCCACCACGGTAACATCCAAGCCATCTGCTGGTACTGCTGCTGCTACAAGTAGTACTAATGGTTCTCAGTCTACTAAGAAAACTACACAAGCTTCCGGTTCAACAACAAAAACAACACAATCCGGAAATGGTGCTGGTCAAGCCCTGGCTGGAAGTGCAGCCCTCTTCCTTTTAGTATGGTCATTAATCTAGGTTTATAGTCTACTGTGTATTTCGGCTCCTATACCAGCCTGGTTTATGTATATGTCTAATATAAACGTTCTATCAAAAATTCTTTAACTATTGTACTTTTTTACTCAATTTTCCACATTCGTCCAACTTGTAAACTCCCAATAAATAGGCTAAACGCGTAACAACCAAATCTATAGCCATAGCAATAGAGTCTCTGGCTAAATCAACCTTAGACCCATCAACTTCATGCCAATTAACGGCTTGTTCTTTAAGTTTCATTTTTTGAATTTCAGCAAGCAATAACACTTCAACATCAAAAATCCACCTTTCGGTATGCATATGGGGGTAGATTCTCTTCACTGCTTCAAAGTTAAATATCTTGAATCCACACTGAGTATCTTTAACATCTCTGATACCAAAGACAAAAACAAGCGTGTGAAGTCCATACATCAAGAAATTACGAATAACCGAACGTTTAATAACCGCGTCAGTATTAACCATATGGGCACGGGAACCAATAGCTAATGCTGGTTCATTGGTAGATGCAACAAATTCAACAAGCTTGGAAATATCAGAAAATTTAGTGGCTCCATCAGCATCAGCAAAGAGGGAATACTTTCCACGACTATGCAATAATCCGTGAGTTACACCACCTCCCTTACCTCTATTTTCTGCCAAATGAACCACTCTCATGATGTGAGGGGTTAACTTGTATTCTCTGGCTTTCTCAATGGCAAACTCGTCCGTTCCATCAGTTGATCCGTCATCTATAATGAGTATTTCATACTTGTTCTTGTGATTTTCCTCAAGGTACTTAATAGCCTCGTCCAACATTTTCCCTAATCTTTTAGTTTCATTATAACAGGGAATAACGATACTTAAATCGATCCCGGAATCTTTGAATTCGCTAGTGCTATCTATTCTTGGTGGTAAATCATATCGAACTCCAGTTTCGTCGTTGGTTTTGTATTTAAACTCAGAAGTATATGGAAGTCTCGGTTTATGACTAAGGAGAACCACAATGCTGTAAACGGCAACAAAGCCTAGGACTATAACCAGGATTCCCACGTATATTGGATTCATGGTGGGCATCGCTAGTTTGGCAAAAGAAAGGTACAATTAATATTAAGGTTAGAAAATAATCTTAACCGATCAATTTTAAAGTGACAACAAGATCGAACTAACTGTCACGTGGCCAATAAATTTTTCAAAATTTATCGCAACTTGAGGCGGGGGGGAATACAAACAATAGCGCTTATGCAAGCAAAAATATTTAGTATTTATGCTTACTATATACCATAGAAAATAATATACATATACTGTATGAAACTAAGGCACCGCAAGCTTTGTCACTCTGTTGTTTATAACACGAGCATTGTTAACAAACACTTCAACCAACTCTTCAAGTCTAAAATTATCAGTACCTTGAGTGATCTTGTCAATAGCATTAAACACTTCCAATGTATCTATTTCTAATTCAATCTCATAGGTTATATCGTGGGTTATAATCTTCTTACCTTGTTTATTCTTGGATTCTAAAGGAACCAATACTCGAGTCAAATCAAATTGAGTAATGGTGGGTGCATGAGTCCATGATGTTCTCTTCTTTTCCCGAACCAAGCTTGGCTTATTCTTGGTGATTATTGGCTCAATACTGTTTTCGGGAACTGGAATTTCCAAAGAAAGAGATAACCGAAGATCATACATCGAAGAGGGGTTGTGAATGTACAAATCCGATATTCTTTCCTTTTGGATAGCAACATATCTAGGAGGGTTTATTTCGTTGTCTTTCGAAACTCTCACCTTCTTAATATGTTCACCCTTGCCTCCAATCTGATAGAAAGAATCAGTTTGATCTGATTCCAACATATTGAACTTTCTTCTTGGTCCTGATTGTTTATGTCCCTTGTGTTCTTCTTGGTAATTTCTTTCCAATTCTTCAAAGAATTTCCGTACCTCTTGCCATGCGATTTCTTCAACTTGCATATCATAACGGATATTTGAATGATCGGTGAAAATACACTCAGTGACCACGTTAACATTTAGTCTATTACCAGTTCGTTTATCTATTATTTTCCCAAACTTTAATTCCAATTCAACGTATTTACGATTACGATCTTCAATGTTGGAGAAATTGGCATAAATCCATTCAGCAATTGTCCGAGTTACGGAAGCAGGTGGAATCACACCAGTGATACTACATTGCAAATCGACACTTCTTGTAGTTGTGTAATCAAACACATGTTTATCGGAAAGTTTGGTATGCTGTACATTTCCATTAGTAGGTTCATTTGTTTCCAATTGGATTTCAGCGCCTTGTTGATTTGGTGGGATCCATTGCTGAGCCCATATAGGAGGCGTCTCATATCGTTTTGGTTTCATTGAGCTTAGTTTCTTTTTGATTTTAGTCAAGTCATCCTCTTCCTCAATAATAGTATCTTGAACCTTGGCCTTTTCTACATCCTGTTCAGTTACCTGAACTGGTTGTTCTTCTTCTTTAACTTCTTCGCTTTCACTGGGGATTCCTTTGGGTTTACTCTCTAGTATTTCACCAGTAGTAATATCAATATCATTTTCATTGGTGATATCAGCAATTGAATTTCTCTTAATAAAAGGGGATGTTACAGGAGGTGGCTTATGCAGCAAAGTAGGGGTAGTGAACAATCCTATATCTGGCTTTTTGATCTCAAAAGACTCTTCTTGTTTAACAGGAGGTTCAGCAGGTGTATCATTCAACATATTTGTGATTGAATGACGTTGGTGAACTGAAGCCATTGAAGGTCTTCCAGTGCTGGAAACTGATGACCTTGCTGAAGTGGATTGGGGAGGTAGAGGTTGTCTCATTGGGAGTGGGGCTGTGGGTGATGCTTCTCGTTCGTGATCACTTGGAGGTGAATCATTATTCAAGATTGATCCAACATTCATGGTTGTTTGTATAACGGGCTGTATCAAGGCGAAGTATGGGCTATGTCAACCTTTTTTAGGCGCAAATCAATTTTTGTATGTTGTTGTTTTTTTTTTTTTTCCCTGGTTGAAGAATTTTTGGTTCGTCATGGATTTGCAGTAAAAGAGAAATAAGGGAACTACAAGTGTGAACGATTTTTCCTAGTAAACTAGAGTACACGGTAATACATAATATCAGATAACCAGTTTTTATTTTACATTTTATATATAGACTATTTCTAAATGTTCAAGTTCTTGTTTAATCTGGCAGCAACAGCATCAATGAACTCTTCAGTGGTAACATAAGAAGATCTATCAGTCTTACCTTGAGTCAATGCCAAATCCTTAGTCATGATATTATCCTTGGCAACAGTATCGATAACTGCAGCTTCTAAATCATTGGCAAATTTGGTAACTTCGGGAGTGTTATCTAACTTACCTCTTTGAATCAAACCTCTGGTCCAGGCATAGATGGAAGCAATAGAGTTGGTGGAAGTTTCCTTACCTTGTTGATGTTGTCTATAATGTCTAGTAACAGTACCATGTGCAGCTTCAGCTTCAAAAGCCTTTCCATCAGGAGTCATCAATACTGAGGTCATTAAACCAAGAGAACCAAATCCTTGAGCAACAATATCAGATTGCACATCACCATCGTAATTCTTCATAGCAATGATATAACCACCTTTAGACTTCAACATTTGAGCAACCATATCATCAATTAATCTATGTTCGTACCAAATTCCTAATTCGTCCATCTTAGCCTTGTATTTGGTAGCGTACAAGTCTTCAAAAATATCTTTGAATCTACCATCGTATTTCTTCAAGATGGTGTTTTTGGTGGAAGAAAACAAATTCAACTTACGGTCAATGGCTAAAGCAAAAGAACTTTCAGCAAAGTCAGTAATTGATTTGTCGGTATTGTACATGGCTAAACCAACACCTGGAGCGTCAAAGTTGTAAACTGGATATTCAACTATTTCACCACCGTCCTTTGGCTTGAAAACTAATTTTAATTCTCCAGCACCTGGAACTACAATATCAGTAGCCTTGTATTGATCACCAAAGGCGTGTCTTCCAATGATGATTGGTTTTTCCCAAGCTGGGACAATTCTTGGAATGTTTTCAATAACGATTGGTTCCCTGAAGACAGTACCACCAAGAATGTTTCTAATGGTACCGTTTGGAGAAAGCCACATCTTCTTAAGACCAAATTCCTTGACACGAGCTTCGTCTGGAGTAATAGTAGCACACTTGACACCAACTTGGTATTTCAAGATGGCTTCAGCAGCGTCAACAGTGACTTGATCGTTGGTTTGATCTCTGTACTCAATACCTAAATCGTAATATTTCAAGTCGATATCCAAATAAGGCAAGATCAACTTGTCCTTAATGAATTGCCAGATAATTCTGGTTTGTTCGTCACCATCCATTTCAACAACGGGGTTCTTAACGTGGATCTTCTTGAATTCAGTCATGTTTTAGTCGATTACTTTGATATATAAAAAAAAGGAAAAAAGACGAGTTGATTAGCTAACTTGAAAAAAAGACGAATTAGTCCCCAAAGGTTAGAAATTGCTGATATTTATAACCCCAATTTTTGAACATGTTGGAAATTTAAAAATTTATCACCATAAAGCGTCGTTTCCGAAACCTTATTATTTCGCGGAGTTTATGTATGTATTTACTATTGTAGTATGGATGTTTTCTTAGCTATCGGTAATTGACCCCGAAATATTTTTTAGCAGCGTTTCCCCGGGAATTTCTTGAAAATTTATTGTTATACACACGTCGCAAATATCAGACAGATCGGAGGATTCTCATTGGTCTTGCTATTTTAGACAATCATGCAACTTTTTCTACTGGCTATGATACGTGTTTGGTACATTACGTTGATAGGACTATCTTTAGGTTTCAGATTCGACTCTTTTTGGTAAAAATTTAAGTTTTAAACTTCCCTCTGATTGATATTTGGCTCTATATAGCGTATGCGCCATGTCTATTCAACGGGATAATAATTCTAATCCCGCACTCCATTATTTTCTACTACATTCGACAAATTGTACACAAAAAATATAACAGTGACAATAGTGGCTGCAGTTTCAGAACGGCCCAGAAATGGACCCATTTTCTCTTGCCTCAGTTGTACACAGCTTTTGCTTTGAACAATTTTCGAAAGGGGTCAAGCTTGTCCCTCTTATTAGAAGATTCCAAGCTACTATTTGAGGAGAAGCATAAATCTATAAAACACTACAGATATAGGGGAAATACCAATTTCATTTTCGCCGTGTAGACATAAGTGGTGGGGTATATTCTTTTCCGCTTACTTTTTCCGCATTTTTATTTGGTTTCTTGTTCCGTATTTTTCCTCAGACCATTTCCTGCTCCGGACCCGAAGAATTTTTTCTATGCACTACTGATCTAACTCGCCAACGATAACCACGCGTCAAGGCGGATGCATGTCAACGGATTACTCATATCATTGCTGTGGAGTCTATTGTAAAATTGAAATACAATGTAATGGATTTATTTCCCGCAATCGTGGGGACGATTGGTAGCCGTAGATATGAAACTTTATTATGCATGTCATGTAATGGTCTGTTTCATACGAAAAGTTTAATAGGTAAGCCTTGTAGAACACAAGATTCAAGATCTATGACAGGATTACCTCCATACTTTGCACAGAATGTGGAACCTGGTAAGTTTTGGAAATCGCTAACATGACGGTAAAAAAAGTTCAACTTTTAGTCAAAGTAAGCAGACCTATAGTTCAACCCTTTGCTTGCATAAGCTGGAGACGTGTAAGAAGCATTTCCATTAATACCTAGAAGCGCTAGATCCAAGTCTTAAAAAATTGCTGATCAAAATGCAGATAGTGTTAAATTTGCTTTCACTTGCGTCTTATCCTAGTTTTAGGAATTGCGATTTTTGCAACTACACTCAAACTACCTATAACACTGAAGTTGAAGCAAGTCATCAAAAGCTTAAAGACAAAGTCCAGCATCACTTCTGGTCCTGGTTATCCATTGGTCATACATAGATAATTTAGGTGTAAGAAACATGATTAGAGCCTAATTAAAGAGATTTAAGCTGGTAAGTTCAGCATTATTCGCCAGATACCGGTTATGAAACATCTTCAAGTACTGAATTCAGTTCATACGATTTGAGGTACATAAAACTATGTCAGTTTGCTCAAATCGCGATAAGTTCTTTTAGTGACGTCACGCGAAATTCACGCGAAATTCACGTAGAAATTTCAATTTCAATTTCAAACACGAGCTATTTGCATCACTTAGTTACGAACTCTTTGAACATATCCGCATTCAAACTGAAATTCTCTATTTCACCTTCATTTCTGGAGATAAGTCCAAAACTTTAATGCCTTGGGCATCCAACAGACTTTGCAGAATCATAAGCCCCATCCTAACACCTTTGTCCCTGACATTGACAGAAGATTTACGATTCGCGTGCGGCTTAGTTTCCAAATTTAACCTTTCGGGTTTCGATCTTGGAGTAGCAATATATCACTTTGTTGACAATATTGTTCTATTATTAGAACAGAAATATAATTAATGCAAGAGACAATAATTCTGGTCAAACTTTATAGAAACAATTCTATCATTTTGAATATGTTCTCTTTGGCGTAATGCGTTGCCGAGTGTAGTCATCGACTGATAAGGTAAATTTTATTTTTTTTTCTTCTTTGTTTTCTTTGAATCGTTCGTAACAATTTCTTAACATAAATACGTGTTTAGTTCCTGTGCAATACTACTTCACCTCCCCCTTTTTTTCTTTAATGGCAACTGAACATGCCTTCAAGTAATCACAAGAGACGTCATCCTAAAAGGATCAGGTCTGAAGCACATGTCACCCAGGAGTTGCGAGGTAATGCCTCCAGACAACACCTTCATCCACAATCTGCAACCACATCCACTCAGCCACAACTGCAACCACATGATCGGTCACCATTAGTAAGAACGGTCCCAAGTACACCCAGGTTAGAAGGGTCCGGTGATATGTCTCCTCTATTGAAAATCAAATCATTAAACAAGATCGATATCCGTTCACCAATTGATCCAGACTTTTCAGTGTTGTTGACCCCGGGAGTAAATACCATTGCCAACACTATCAATAACGAACTCGGAGATTCCACTCCTGATTTACTATCATTACGTACAATTAAAACAAATGCATCTAGGATTTTCAGTATAGTTCCAAACACATTTTATTCCATACAGAATTTTTATAATGACTTTACGACCATAGATTGGGGTGATGCTTATATCCTTGCCAATAAATTTAACTACGAGTTAGAGACAAACCGGTGGATCGGAGAAGATGGGAGTCTGCTTTCTAGTCAAAGTTCTGATTTTGTTCAAGACCAAAGAATCCCCTTTTACAAGAAGGCCTATTTCATCTTAGGTAAATGGATCCTAATAGTAGCTATTGGGTTTATTTTTTCATTAATTGCATTTTCAATCGACAAGTTTGAAATATTGTTGGTTGGTTTCAAACGAGGCTACTGTAAAACCAATTGGTTTGCCAGTCAAGTAGCTTGTTGTTCTGATAGCGTAGGTCCCAATAAAATTGCATTCAATGTTTTCAAATCTGGGGTTGTTCCACGAGGAGAGAGCCAGTGTTCCGATTGGATCAGCTGGTCTAATTTAATCGATGAGCCTTGGTTTTCTCATGTCAGACTTGATTTCACAATCTACGTTGTTTTGAGTGTGATCTTAGCTGTTGCTGCTTGTATAATTACATTAACTACCAAGATTTCTGGTGGAACAATACCTCGTCAGGCAATTGAAAGTGATACCACACAAAAGGAAAACACTAATGACCAGCATGATGATGAGAACCATGCATCAGTGACTAAACAAAGAATCATGTATACTGCCCATGGGTCAGGTGTTCCAGAAGTGAAAACGATATTATCAGGGTTTGTCATCCGTAGATTCTTGGGTACATATACTCTTATTGCCAAAACATCTGCATTAATATTTGCAATTGCCTCGGGAATGGCTTTAGGTAAAGAAGGTCCTTATGTTCATCTAGCAACTTGTGTTGGTAATATCATGTCAAGATATTTCCCATTCATTTATGACAACGAGTTACTCAAAAAACAAATTCTTTCAGCAAGTGCATCTGCTGGAGTTGCTTTAGCATTTGGATCACCATTAGGTGGAGTTTTATTCATTTTGGAAGAAATTAACAACTATTTGCCATCACATACTTTGTTTCAGATTTTCTTCTGTGCAATTATCTCCACGTTATTCTTGAAGTTTCTTAATCCATATGGAACAGGAAATACAGTCCTATTCGAATTACGGTACTTTTCAGATTGGAAACCAGTTGAGTTGATCTTGTTCATTATTGTTGGAATTGCTGGTGGGTTATTTGGAGCTGGGTTTGTCAAGTTTGTAAGATGGTGGCCCAAGAAGTTCCGTACTTTGAAACCAATTCAAAACCATCCTGTGTTTGAAGTATTTTGCATTTCCTTAGTTACAGGATTAGTTACATTTTGGAATCCCTATACTAAACAAGCATCAACTGAGTTAGTGTTAGACCTAGCAACTCCATGTAGTGCTCATGAATTAGACCGAAGCTTATGTCCAACCACAGAAGACCAATACGTTCGCGAAATGGGATCATTGTTATTCGCATTTATTGTTAAAGTGATTCTTACCTTCATTACATTTGGGTTAAGAGTTCCTTGTGGTATTTATGTACCTTCGATGGTTGCTGGTGCTTTATATGGACGTTTATTTTCCATGTCTATTCAGTGGGCGAGTCTCGTCTTTAATCGCAATGAAGGGGAACAAAACGCTTTGGGATCAACATTCAAGGCCATGGGTTTGATTTGTTCTCCAAATTCCCCAGAATGCGTAGATATGGGGATATATGCCATGATATCTGCAGGAGCATTCATGGCTGGAGTGACAAGGATGAATATTACCATTGTGACAATCTTGTTTGAATTAACTTCGTCATATACTTATGTTCTTCCTATTTCCATAGCTATCGCAGTGGCTAATTGGTCTGGTGGACTATTTGAGAAAAATTCACTTTACGAAGCCATGTTGATTAGTAATGATTATCCATTTATGTCTCCTGAAACTGAAGCTATAGATCCATTTGTTACTGCCGGTGAAATTATTGAGAAAAATATAGAGCCCAAGCGTGAAGTTGATGTTAGAGGCAATATTGTATCGGAGCATGTTCAAGAAGACAAGAAGCTATATCTTGATGTATCTAAATCTTGCTATGTTTCTGTGAATGAATTGCAGTCAAAGCTTATCTTGTTGGCGGATCAATGTCTTAACGATGGTTGTTTACCGTTGCTTAAGAAAGATGTTTGTGTTGGTATGCTATATTTTCCAGAATTGGAAGCACGTTTGGATAAGATTAAGGAATTTTGTGTTAGGTACGAGATCAAAGATGAAATCTACTGTAAAGTAATGAATGATGATGACTACGATGATGGTGATGATGATGACGAATATAATACTAGCAGACCAAATCACCATATTTGTCACAATGATAATGTTATTAGGAATGTTTTCCAATATCAAGATGATTATTTCAACTACGGGTCAATTATGGTTGACGAATATATGGATGCCATGTTGACATTAGAAGAATTGACTAATCTTACAAGATACGTTGATTGGCATCCCCTTTTTATTGACTACGATTGTGAATTAAGCTTTGCCCATTTGATATTTGATAGAATTGGTATTAGAGTAATTGTTTTGTTGAAGGAAGGGAAGTACTACGGAATATTGCACAAGAAAGTGCTTGTTGATTATTTACGAAGATAAAATTGTTTTATTATGACATTGAATGACAAGTTGTTTTTATGACATTGCATGATCGATATTCTTAAACTTGACGTTAATATACAAGTCAGCTAAATATGATTTGAATAATTGTAAGTTTTCTTTTAAATGCTGGAAATTGATTAGCTCTTCACTGATTTGATAACTCTCAAACTGCAATTGTTGTAACAAGTGGAGGCTAGGTGTGAAATATTGGTTTAATCTTAACTTGGCAATCTCGAAAGAATCGAATCTATGTTTCTCATGATGCTTCAACAACTCAAGATATCTAGTATATGATTCATATAGATACTCTATTATAAGTAGGAATTTTTGGTTTCCAAGCACGTTCACTTTGAGAAAGATTATTGAAGATAACTCGTTTAGTACTATATTTAATTTGGGTGGATTTTTGAAATAGTCAAGATACATTGAAAGGTACAATTGTGGTAATACCATGTCGGAATTAAACCAATACATTCTCATGGACTGTCCATGGAATTTGGAAAAGTTTACCATCATTTTGTGAATCTCTATCATCGGATCTGTAAATATTGCCATGATTTTTTTTTCAATATTGTAGACTGTCTCTGATGGGAAGCTTGAAATTTGGTGTTCTTGAGCAAAGTCTCCACTAATAAGTTTTTTAAGGGTTGATTCATGTGATCGAAATAAACAATTCATAATTGCTAACAAACTAGTTAGATCGTAATTTATCTCAACTATTCTTTCCAAGAAGCTGGTAAGATGTTTATTTGAGATTATTCTCTCTAGCAATATTGAGCTGGTGCCGTTATTTGATAACGTTTTGAGTATAATAAACATAAACGATACCATAGTAGAATTCAAAACCCCCTCTAACATGATATTGAGAAAGTTTTCTTCAAAGTACTGACAATAAATCTCACTTAATTGAGAAGAGCTGACTTCAACAATCTCATTGAACATTTCAAGATACTTGATAAAAGTTTCTTTTATGCCAGGATTAACTCTTTGCTCTTGCAGTAATTCTTCATCATACAAGGAAGTGAACTCTAATTCAAACAATTCTTGCAAAGTCTCGTGAGTATAAAACCAGTTACTTAAACTTGAAGAATCATTAGTTAGTTTCATTAATTTGATAAGGTTTCCACATTGATCGTATTCCTTGTTGTATTTAAGAAAATTACAAATTATTCTGAATAGTGGTAAATGATTAGTGCTAGGGAATGACGTAACTGTTCCATTGGGATTATCAAGGGCTAGCCAGTAATCGAATATTAATGGATGCTTGGAACAAATCTTTAATGTATTAATGACCAAGCGATTCAAATAAGTTATTTGGTAGTCAAGCAAGTTACTGTGGTTGACAAAACTGAACAAGTAAACTCCTAAAATTCCTGCTATTTTGGTTGAATATTGTAGGAAACGAGAATCATCATTTAAAACAAAAGAAATTAATTTCTTGAACAATATTGTTTGAGGATCAAATAACTGGGTGTTTATTTCACTGACTTGAAGCAATGCCAAACTTGAATAGAAGTTATTTTCAATCAAATGAGGTATTAGGCTCTCAAAATTGTTTGAGGATTGAAGTTCTTGACAGATTCGTTGTAGTTCTCTGGAAAGGTCTTCTGAAACTTGTCCAAAAGCAAGTAATGGTAGAGTCGAATTGCACCTCTGTTTGAATGTTAGTATTAAGATCACCAAAGATTCACTTATGTACTAGTACTCGCCTTCTTCTCGAATTCAATAATAGACTTTTTTACCCGCTGTACCAAATAATCAAGATTGGTAGTACTTGGTTGTTCCGGCTGCAATATGTGCGTTCGATTTCTGGAAAGCATTTTTTTTCTAATATCAAGTAATTTACGATAATATCGTAGTTATTTGTTTTTCTTGGGATATTTGGCTGTGTAGCTATTGTTTTAGAGTTATCAATATTTGTTTCATCTTTTTTGTCTGTTCTCAAACTTTCTTGCAGCCACAGGAAGATCTCGGAAAAGAACCTCCGAGCAAAGATTAAACTTGCAGCCAAAAAAATTAAATTAGAAACAGAGATTGTTTCAAGATCCCCAATCTGTAACATAATTGACACATCTTATATAAAAACCAGATTCCTTTAATTTTTTGTACTTTTTTACCCCATCTACACGTTCGACATTTATAGAATACAAGTGTGAACATATAAAATAGTTGTTACACTTTTATTAATTTTCTGAACTAATTAATTAAAAACCTAATTTAAACCGTCTCAGACAACAATGTACACCTATAATAAGTTTGGATCTCGTAACTCGAGCAGCTCCAATTCAAACTCAACAAAATCTTCAACTTTACAATCTGTCCAGTCCAACCATAGAATAGAAAAATCTTCCGGCAAAAATACAACTCAAGTTGAATTGGATTATTGTAACAACTATGTGCATAGCGGTATTCCATCTACTAAGTACATTAGAAATGTTAGTAATCCAGTTGAAGGATACCCCAAATTAGCTAAACTCCACCAATTGAAGCGTCAACAGATTAAGAAACATGCCCTCAAGCCATATGGTTACAGAGTTTCTACTGATAGAATTGTTCCCACTTTGAATAAGTGGATTGAAGTGTACGGATTGAAATTTGATGTCATAATGATTGGAGCATTAATTGAAAATCAATTCATTTTACCAATTTTAAACAGTATTCCGATCTACAAATTATGCTCAAAGCCAGGATTTCTTTTTATTTGGTCAACAACCCAAAAGATTCAAGAATTAACCAAGTTATTGAACAATGACAATTTCAACAAGAAATTCAGAAGATCTGAAGAGTTGATTTTCTTGCCAATTGACCGAAATTCTCCTTACTATCCAGGAGATTATGGTAGTGGAGATCTTGAATCCTTACCTCTTTTCGAGAGGCAACAATGGCATTGTTGGATGTGTATCACTGGTACCGTCAGAAGATCTACTGATAACCACTTGATTCATTGTAATGTTGATACTGATTTGCAGATTGAAACTCCAACCAGTAAGAAAAACGCAAATGCAGTCCCAGAGGCAATTTATAGAGTTGCAGAGAATTTCTCCAATTCAAATCGGAGATTACATTTAATCCCTTCGAAATTAGGATATGATACACCAATTAAATTACGTCCTGGCTGGGTAATCATGGGCCCTGACGTTTTAATTAATAATTTTGACCCAGTTACTTACAACGAAGAGTTGTATTCCAAGTCAATGATTAAGTATAAGCAGACGGGTACAGGAGGTCAAGCAAGTGGTGGCTACAATAATGTAACCACTCAATTCTTGGTACCCCAAACTACTGAGATCGAGGATTTAAGACCAAAAAGTCCAACGATTCCTGCAAAGTAAAAATTTTCACTTAAATATTGCTATTGTATTTGCTGTTAGTAACTAGCTTCGTTTAATTTTCTCAATATATAGATAAAATATATTCACAATTTGTAGAAATCAGAATTTGATGAGTTGGAAATAGGAAGTTTATCAGCATAGTTCAGAGAACTCTGAGTGAGCTGAGTTAGGTTATCATCATAACAAATTGTAATCTATCTTAGAATGAACTAATTTGAACATACTGTAATAGTTTGTATTATTGGTTCAGAAAGAGAACATCTTGAAGAAAGCGATGAAGAAAAAAAAAATCTTTCAACTGAATATTTGTAGTCTTTTTATATCCGGGTAACAGTAATGAAAAAAAAATACTTAGACCTAGAAACTGGCACAAGAATTTTGCAGTCAGTTTACATTTCACAAAGTATTATTCTTAATACCAAAACATTATACCAACTAAGTTATAGTGAATATTATTTGGAAGTATTAGTTAAACTGATAATATTCTAGAACAATCTCATATTGTGCCATTGTTCTATTTAAAACTCAATATTCTTTGTCAAGGATGAGAATTGTTTTCTTCAAGTAAAAGTTGAATAAAGTCTGTTGGTGCTAATTATATCATCGGTATGGATTGACCTTTTATTTACTATTTATAAAGCAGTAAAAGCTTTCTTGACGTCCTTGGAAATCTTTTCCTGCTGTTGTGCCGATATTTTCCATCGTCAATAAAGCTTCACTAATGGTTCTCTTGGTATTATTTCAGAAGTAGATATTATACTAGACTATCAGAAAGAGATTTGTGACAACTGTATCTAGATTCAAAGAATTCAATGAAAAAGCTAGGTTGTATTGTAAAATTAAAAAAAATTCAATATCATGAGTATGTTAAACTATGTAATTTTTTCGGCATATTCAACTGGTTCCGTGGTCTAGTTGGTTATGGCATCTGCTTAACACGCAGAACGTCCCCAGTTCGATCCTGGGCGGAATCATTTTTTTTAGTCATTGATTATTCGGAAAACACTAAAAACATTGGCACTTATAGTAAATTAAATCAATTGAAGCCTGTAAGGCAAAAAATGCTATTCTATGCTTGGATGCGTAACCCGATAACATTCAAAGTTTAAAAAGAAGAAAAAAAAAGTAGGTTAAATTTGAATTTGCAGATTCATAACCGTAATTTGGCTTTTTGCAGTTTGATTAAAAGGGATCGGAATTACATTTTTGCCGGAATGCATGGATGCCATATGGGGTTAGTCTATAATACCAGGAATGTAATGATATTATCTGAAATTGGGCGCCATTACCGATGTTTATGCTGTGTATCACCTATTGTTAGTTCTAAGGCTTTAGTACATGCTATTATAAGATACAGCCTAGGAAATGGAATTGCTAATGCTTTTCATAATTTTAAATTGCTTTTCAATATTTACCGACATCAACCGGAGGAGAAAACTTGTTTAGTAATCATTTATTGGAAACTTAACTTTATCCCTTTTATTTGAGAGGTTTTCTTTTTGATTTGTAGTTCAATAAGGAGTTGTCAAACGCAAACCATCCCTTTAATTAGCTCCTGTATATAATTTACCTGAGTATAAAACCAAAAAGAAAGTGTGTTTCCATTGTTAATCGGCAAAAGCCCAAACTAAATCAACTAAAATTAAATACCGTGACGGTATCACATCTCCCCTACCACAAAACACAAAATAATCCCTCTTGATATTAGAAAGTATCAGATTCTTAGCCAGATCTATTTCATCCACATTTTAGCTCCTGAAGGAAAGAAAAAGAGAGTTTAGCACAATTGCATAACAAAAAGTTTCTTGACAAGCCTCCCCCTTACGAAAAAAAAAAAAGCACACGTCTTATAGCTTTCACTCCCCACTTCAACCCTAATTTAAGTACAGGATTTTCCTTTCTGCTAGGTCATCAAATTTATCAAGCGTCGTATCGCCTAATTCCCCATTCCCACGACCATCTTGCGGTTTCACATAGGCGTATTTAACACTGCTTGATTTTCTACTTGCAACAGGACAACGGAGCTTTGTCAGCACCAACACGTTCTGATTAATCCTGGCATAGATCTATACACATATTACAACGTGATGCTGTCACCGTATAAACTACTTCTGGTTCTCCATGAGGAAGTTAAAGCTAATTTAACCCTTCATCCACAAATATCATCATTAATCCAGTTATTCCTAAAATATTTAAAGGAACCACGGTATCAGTCACCCTTGACAGTTGCTGAGTTATCACACTTATTTCATAAATTTTATCAAGATTTAAATGTACTAACCATAGGAATATTCACTCAGTCGAATTCTACTAAGAAACAGCTAATTTCAAATTGTCAGTTTTTCAACAGCTACCCTAAGAATTTTGATTACCTTTTAGCAATTGCTAACTATAGCACTTCCTCCATAAAGTTATTGAAACGTTCAGATGATGATGCCCTTTATCAATTACGAGTTTTTAATTACTACAAATTTTTGATCATTTTTGAATCGTTAAACTTGGCTCAGTTAGAACTTTTTAACTCAATTAATATTGGGGACGAAGTTACATTATATGATAAGATATTCAAATTCGACGAAAAGGATACTGTGTATCAAGAATTTTTTGATGACAAATTGTCAAATCTAAAGAAATTGAATTTGTCATTTAAGTTATTTATAGATCATGATGTTGGAGATCAGGACCATTTGATTGAAGTTATGGACAATATCGACAAAGAGGATTTACTGGTATTACAAGAGAATTTAATAGATTTAGAAAAGACTGAAAGGAACCCATTTTCGAAATTAATATCGATTGTTAAGTTGCACAAGAATTTGATAAAATTGTTTATTAATAAAGGGTTTGAAAATAAAAATATCAATAACGATTTGTTATTGCCTTCATTGATATATCTTTTGATCTATAAACTTGATAATGAGGAACTTTATTTGAATTTCTTATTCATAAAGAACTTTTTAAATGTTTTAGATACCAATCCAGTTGAGTTGTACAATTTTAATTTAAATTCATCATACAATCCAACTCAAGAAAGACTTGCATCTGCTCTGGGTACTGCTAAAGTTAAACGGGGTAACATCTTTGAACTTTTGAATTTATTTGAAATTCAGGATCAAGCTCAGAGCCAAGAATTTGTAATTGATGATGATTTCAGGTTTTTCAATAATGACAAAGACTTAATTACTTATCTTTCTCATGGATTTTTAAATACGGGTGAACTTTATTTCTATTTAACCAATTTTGAGGCTATTATTGAATATTTAGCTAATTGTACAGTGTCCGAATTGTTATCCAAAGAAGAAGAACATTTGAATATTGATCCAGATTTAAGAAGATTGAATGTCTTAAACATTCCAATTTCAAAATTAGTCGAGGAGGAATTATTAACCCATTTCCAGTTCCCGGATGGTGCTTTACAAGAGGAAATTAAGCTAAAGCAAGAAGAAGAGCAGCTGCAACAACTGCAACGAGATAAGTCTAGATCAAGATCATCATCGCTTATTAATACCATCACTAATAGAATTAACGATACACGTACGAGATCAAACAGCTCTTTGAAGCAAGAAATATTTCCTAGTTTAGCTTCAGCTGAAGAATCCATTGAAGGTACTGGGCTTTCAATGATGAGAAATATTATTGGAAGATTCAGCAGTGCTAGTTCAAGTTCAGTCCCTCAGATTAGTGACAACAACAACAACAACAACAACAACAACAACAACAACAACAACAACAACAACAACAACAACAACAACAACAACAACAACAACAACAACAACAACAACAACAACAACAACAATCAAGAACAGCAACAACCGATTATTTCTCCCGATAAAAGGTCCAATTCGTTATTAAACCGAGTCGCACCAACTCATTCAAGAACTCGATCATCCTCCTTAGAAGCATCAATTAGTAATCCTTTCACCCATTCAAAAAGAAATTCAATTACTTCGAAATTTGCAACCGGAGTTACTGAATTCATGACCAAATTGAACCAACAACAACCGCAACAATTACTGCTGGTTCCAAATTTACAAAATACTGTCTCCGAAAGTAACAACATTTCAAATAGTTCTTTGCAATCATTGGATAATGGGTATAGTAATGGCAGTAATACCGTGGATGCAGCTAGCTGTTCTTCTACGGTGGTTCCAAAACCTGAAGCTGGTCGCAGCAGAACCACCAGTCTTCAAATATTAGACAAATGGTTTAATAATATCAGTGCTAATGCCCCTCAACAACTGCAAAATACGATATCACAATATTCACCAATTTCACCTGCACACCCAAGAGTGAAGTCTTATCCCTTGCCAACAAATCATGAAGAACCAGTAAATGCAATTGACGATGTTGAGCAATTGACCAAATATCACAATGTTGATTTTGAAAGTCTTTCGATTAAGCAACTTAGAGAATTGAAGCAATTTTATGATCATTTTTGTTTTGGGTTGTTGTCCAACAATTATGATAAAGGGAGTGGTGTAGTTACTGATAAACTGCCAAGTCGGAATAATTCACTTGATAACGATAAGCTGCCAAGTCGTAACAATTCCCTTGACAAGTTAATGGCAAAATTTGATACTACCGATCTTAATAGTAAAGCCGAATCTATTGATTCTAACGAGAAGATTACTAATGGAAATATAAGTACCAGTTTATAGAGTGTTATGTCTGGTATAGATATAAATATACTGGTGGCATTTCTTGGTCCCCATTAAATACATGTATAGACGTTGTAAATCGTATATTTTATAGCGTTTCTATATAGTTTATTAAAACTCAACCCTTTTTGGTAGCGCAATTCATTTCATATCCATAGAAAAATCTAGAAAGAGCCGCATTGAGATTCACATTATATAAAAGCAAACTTATGTTGCAACGCATATTCACGATATCAGCTACAATCAATAGAAGTATGGCCCACATATGAACCGATCCAATTACAAGCGAAAATCAACAGAAGCTGAACTTGAAGAAGAAGGCGATCTAACTAAAAGAACTAGGTTAGATTCTCTTTTTGACGAGTTGTCTATATCAGATGAAGGATCTTCCAATTCTACCCGTTCGTTCATACAACGAAAAGACAAATATCCCAAATCTCAAATCAGCTATGTGATTAATCCAGGTGTTAAGGGGGTGCCTTATGGTGGCATTGCTAAGAAACCCGCCAATGGACAACAAACAGGGCTGTCGATCCATAATCTAGATACATTCCTTAGTGAACGCTTAAACGAGCATCTACGAGTCATGATTTCTTCCCAACTAGCGGTGATTGCATGGTATGATTATAGATTTTTGATAGTTTATCAATTTCACAAATGGGTTGTTAGAATGTTTAATAAATTTGTTAAGGAATACAACCAAAGAAATGGAACAAGGGTAGCTCGGTTCAAAAATTTTGAACTGATTTTAAAATTGGTTCACGATAATGTCCTCACTCTTCCACAGGTGTTTGACATTGTTTTACAAGAGAATCGATTAGAATTAATGAGGTTACGTGCGAAATTAGACAAGTTTCAGTTGCGACGAGAATCAAGAGAAAGAGAAGAAGAGGTTGACGCAACTAAAGAAGTAAAGTACAATTATTGGGATAATTTGAAGTTCGACAGTAACAACGACTTTGAAATGGCTGATATCAGCGATAGCAGTGATCGAAAGTTGTTTGAATTGGATCCAGCCTATGAAACTGATATTGATATGGCTTCAGAAGGAAGTAGCGACTCTATTAAATTTAACGGATCTAGTTATAACCCATTCTATGGCAATTATAGTTCACGTCCTGTATAGAAATTTTCAAGCGTATTTTTATCAGATCCGAAATGCGGATAATTTGGAGGGGGAAAAAAAAAAAGTTGGGGGATTCACACGATAAGGAGAACTAACTTCTTTGCCAAATACCACTATGATTCTCCTTCCAGATGAAATTATCGTGAATATATTCAAATACCTTTCATCTAAAGAAACTATAAAATTGATAAAGAAGCTTGAATGGGATCCACGCTTCACGGCAATAGTAGATTTGCTATATCAAAGATTGTATCATGGAAGACTATTGATTATAAATGAAGATCCAAAGCAGAAATTTGAAAGCGATTATGAGCTTACTGTTGATTCTTTTGAAGATATGTTTACATCTACGACTCATGAGCACTCACTTTTCCGCACTATACGACCTAACTATGTGGAATTCAAATTTTCAAGAAATGCCAGTGATTACAGGACTTTTATAAACACCTTATACAAGTTTCACACTTTATTAACCAGAGGGAGTCTCGAAGTTCAAGATTATTTCGAAAATTTGATCTTGCAGGTAAACTTCTACATTGATGCCAATCTAGTGCTAATTGAAAACCCAAATACCCTTACCACTATCATTATCAAGATCTTGTTAGAATTAAGTGACAATATCCATTTGGTTAGTAAAATTAAAGAATTTACAATCAAATGCACTGATATAGGAGCATTTTATCAATCCAAATGGTCAAATTATTTGTCACGATTTACATCTTTGGAATATTTGGATTTACTGCAAAATTTATTACAATCTAGTAATTACCAAGAACAAGAATTTGATATTTGGGGCAAGGAAAAGAAATTCCCCGATGGTCTAAAAGAATTAAAGTTAGATTTTAATATGTTTACTGAAATAACCAAGGAATTCATAACCAAGTTACCAAATCTGTTACAATCATTGCTGTTGAATTATAATACAATAGAGATGATTGAACCATGTTCAATTGGTGTTTTGTTACCTAATCTTAAATGCCTTGATTTGAATTACAATAATTTAACTGCATTGGAACCTAGTATATTTAAAGATTGTGCCCGTGGATTTGATTTGCGATTAAAGGCAAGTCATTTGGATGATACTACAGTAGATCAATTGAAAATACTTGCTAAAAAAAACGGATATAAAGTGACCTTTTAGAAGTTGAAGCACATATAATAGCGTAGTGCTTATCTGGTTGAATATTATATAGAGTTAGGTTATTATTGAAACTTTACTTAAGCAAGAAAGTCTGTAAAACGGCGTAGCGTTATATGTCACTCTTCTTTTTTTTTACAATTGAACCAGGATAGAATAAACATATTGATGATATGTTTCTTCTTATGTAAATCAAGCAACTTTTTTTTCATAATACTCAGAGGATAAGCACACTTTATCTGATACTTTTAGAAGAAACTAAACCGCATAAACATGATTGTAAAAAAAAAAAGCTAACCCAAAATAGGAAGTTGATTTTACGACTAGCATATTTTCTTAATCTTGTATTTGAGTGGGAATGAGTACGATTGAGTCTCTTCCAAATGAAATACTTAGTATAGTGTTTTCCAACTTATCTTGGGTGGAATTGAATGGTATTATAAAAGCGCTACAATCGTATCCAAGATGTAACAGGATGGTTATCTTATTGTATCAACAATTCTTTTCGAAGATGTTCATGGTAATAACGGGTGATGAAAAAAAGCAATCGGAGATGGAACCTTCGATTATTCTGTTAGATGAAGCTTTTAGACACTCTAGTGGACAAGCTTCATTATTTCAAAGAATACGACCAAAGTATATCCAAGTAGAATTTAATAGAAATGGTGAGGAAATTGAAACGTTTTTAAATTATTTAAGAACATTTAGAGATATATTAAGGCTATATAATTCAGAATCTCTGAATAGCTTTGACGGTGTTTCCGTTATGAGGTTCTTAGTTTGTATCTATCCAGAATATGGTCTTATTAGCTGTGATGAAGCATTGATTATCGTACTGGATACCTTGCAAGAACTTAGCAGCAGTAAGAATTTAGTTTCTAAAGTGCAGAATATAAAAATTTCGGGTATTGATATTGGATCCGTTTATAAATCCCACTTTTTGCCTCACCTCAGCAAGTTTAATAGGTTAAATTATTTGGATTTGCTGCATACTATGCTTCAAAGCAACGATTTGATGGGATTTGATGCATTCAACCAAGGGATAACGATTTCAGAACGATTAATGGTTCTAAACTTAGACGATAACAATTTGACTATTATTACGAGTGAATTCCTTAAATATCTCCCCAGACTGCTTGAAGTCCTACTGTTGAATAATAATAGAATCCGAGAAATTGAACCTTGCATCTTAGTTTTGGTATTGCCCAATCTTCTCACTTTAAAGTTGAATTATAATCCTCTCTCTAGATTATTCCCATCAATGTTTGGTTCCTGCCGTTCGTTTCTCCTGTTGGAATTAGAAATGACATTTTTGAGTCTGGAAACTATCGATGATATTAAAAATATAGCGAACAGTAGAGGTTTCAGGGTAAAGTTTTAGTAGTTAAGAGGGAAGTGATTTTCTCAAGTGACAACTTTCCCCTCAACATAATAATTTGCAACCAAGTGGAACTCAGACGATGTCCCCTTGATTGAATAGACTATGTCAAAAATATTGATTTAATTAGTATATGGGCATCCCTTATCTTTGGTTGAAACTTGCTGTTTGGATATATATGATGGGATAAAAGAGGAAAGGGTGTAACCAAGATAAATCCACCAATGTTTTTCATTCATTCCCGATGTAGGTTTCTTATTTTCTGGCGCGCGGATCTCGGACGATCATTCGCCCGAACCAGAGCAAATGGCTCAGATTTTTTTTCAAATTGAAGGGATCCACAATTTCACTCGTTGTAGGATAAATCAGATCGCAAATATACTTCAGCTATGATAGGAATAAACAAATTGGCAGTTCTACGAATATTGAATCCAGTTGTCAAACCCAATATCATCGGCATAGCTACAAAAAGAGGTATAATCAGTTCATTTGGAAGATCTCATTGTATAAATGGACTCCGAACTACTCAGCATCAGGTTTTGAATCATATTAGATTTAATTCCACCACTTCCTCAACTTCATCTCCTGTGCCTGTCAATGACACTATAAGCCCTACTGAACCAGAGGTGAAAAAGAAACAATCAATTGGTAAAGATGTGGTCAAGCTACTAAAATTGGCAAAGCCCGAATATAAGCTAATGATTTTTGCTTTAATCTGTCTATGTATAACTTCAGCAACAACTATGTCATTACCTTTATTCATAGGAAAAATTATTGATACAGCAAAGACACCTAGTGAGGATGATACTGAAGTAAAACAAGAGGTTTCTGATCCCGATAACGAAAAAGTCAAAATTCTTGGTCTCCCACCATATCAATTTTACACAGCATTGGGAGTTTTATTCGTGATTGGAGCATGTGCAAATTTTGGAAGATTATATTTATTACGTTCTGTGGGTGAAAGGTTGGTTGCACGATTAAGATCAAGAATGTTTCTGAAGATTTTAGCCCAGGATGCATATTTCTTTGACATTGGTCCTACAAAGACTGGTATGAAGACTGGAGATTTAATATCGAGAATAGCGAGTGATACCCAGATAATTTCAAAGAGTCTTTCTCTGAATATTAGTGATGGGATGAGGGCAGTTATCAGTGGGTTTGTTGGTTTATCTATGATGTGCTTTGTATCTTGGAAATTAACCCTTTGCATGAGTTTAATGTTCCCTCCTTTGATTGTAATGTCATGGTTTTATGGTCGTAAGATCAAAGCGTTATCAAAGCTAATTCAAGAGAATATAGGTGCCATGACTAAAGTTACTGAAGAGAAATTAAATGGGGTGAAAACTATTCAAGCATTTTCTCAACAAAGTCTCATGCTCCATAATTATAATACCGAAATTAAAAAGATTTTCAGTAGTTCAATGAGAGAAGCTAAATTAGCCGGGTTCTTTTATTCCATTAACGGGTTTATTGGGAATACCAGTATGATTGCATTGTTAGTTATTGGAACAAAGTTAATTGGCTACGGCGAATTATCAATTGGGGATTTATCCAGTTTTATGATGTATGCTGTGTATACAGGTTCTTCTGTATTTGGGTTAGGTAATTTCTATACCGAATTAATGAAAGGTATAGGAGCTGCGGAAAGAATTTTTGAAGTTGCTGAGAGTAACCCAAGAATTCCTAACCAATTAGGACTGAAGATTGATAATCTAAATGGGGATATTGTATTTAAAGATATTCAATTCCGCTATCCTTCTCGTCCAGATTCAGTTGTATTTAAGAATTTCAATGTTACTATTAAACAAGGGGAGAATGTTTGTTTTGTCGGTCCCTCAGGTAGTGGGAAGTCCACTGTTAGTCAGTTGTTGTTAAGATTCTATGATCCGGATTCAGGTGAAATAACTGTTGGTGGCCACAAAATCCTGAGTTTGAATTTGAATCATTATCGTAATCAATTAGGTTATGTTCAACAAGAACCACTCTTATTCAGTGGGTCTATTAAGGAAAATGTCTTATTTGGGAAAGAAAATGCCAGTGAAGAACAAATTACCCACGCATTAGAATTAAGTAACTCTTCCCATTTCATTGATAAATTACCTGATGGTGTTGAAACATTAATTGGTTCATCCAACTCTACCCAATTGAGTGGGGGACAAAGACAAAGAGTATCATTGGCAAGAACTCTTATTCGTGACCCAAAAATCTTAATTTTGGATGAAGCAACTGCTGCCTTGGATTCAATTAGTGAAGAGATTGTTATGAAGAATTTAATGACTTTGAATCGTGAATATGGAACTACAATTATCTCTATTGCTCATAGATTATCCACGATTCGCAACAGTGACAGGATTATTGTATTCAATAACCATGGAGAAATTATAGAAGATGGAGCATTTGATGACTTGTATAATGATCCTGATAGTGCATTCAACAAGTTATTACAGAACCATAATTTAGAGTAGCGTATTGTGTTGTATATAGTAATAATGAGGTTAAATATTTAACTATTCGGGTTGGTAATTATAATTTATGAATGAAATTGTTCCGATGGTTTATTATTTTTTATGTGTCGTTTGATGGGTTCTTCGCCTATTTCGCGTAGATTGCATGTGACTATGTCAAGTTTCTGTCAATACAAAGCCACTAGGACTAACAGGTAGCAGATCCTGAATATAAAAAAAAGCATCTTTCAAATGCTAATACTTGTTCAGAGCCCAAACTTGTCCTAAAGTAGATTTGCATAGAAGGGCTGCTAGCCGCATCATTATAACCGAACATACCGCGGCTTCCAGGATTGATCCAAGCAAGTGCTCGGAACTTCAGGATCGACATACGGGTTGTCGCAACTGCAATCATGTGCAAGGTTTTAAAAAAATTAGTCACGGATCTGGATTTTTGTTTCTGCCTAAATTAATTAGTAATTTGCCCCTAGAATATACTTTCTTAACTCCGGCGGCGCCGGTGTCAAAGCAAAGTATAGGCTTATAAAAAAATATCCTATGCTGCTCTTGAAATATTTTGGTGTGACGCGGCTATTTCTTGGAAGCATAAAATTAGCAATTCAGATGCAAATCCCAACACTACGTAAACATATGGTGAATTGCTCTGAAATTCCTCTATTATTTAAACTTGCCAAGTTCTCTTTTTGTTGGCCACAAAGATCTTCTTCTGTAATATATATTTGGAACTTTTAGCTACTTCGCTATTACCAAAAAGAGTAATTTTTGCACCTCGCAGTCCCCACAAACTCCGAGGTATATATCCCCAGATCAAATAAAATAAATTTACCACAAAAAATTAAGAATTGAAAACAGGCGTCTCAAAATCTATTCAAAGATTAAGGTAAGATGAAGTTCTATAACAAGGTAACGCTGGCGCTAGCTTCCACTATAGAATTGAATGATTCGCTCGTTGATGAAGCCAGCGATAAATTCCATCAGCTATTAAATGAGAAAGACCATGTCAAAACAGAATATCGAGAGGAACCAAAAATTTCCACCACAGAAAGAAAATACAATTCCACAGAAGATGAAGATGAAGACATCGCCAGGCCATATCTGAGCACGAATGGGGGAAATTTTTTTGGCGACTTGTTGAAACTTGCCTACGTTAATTCAGGTGTAGGTTCACTTTCACACTTGACAAGATTCGGATTGGATGATTTGTTTAATAGAGGTGGAGACAAAAAGAATAAGGTGGATGAGAATAATAAGGAAGTTAATTATCAAGTAGATACCAAAGAGAATGATAATTTACACCACAGTCCTAGTCATACACCACCTCCAAAAGTAACTATTGATGAAACATTGCATGATCATTTGGAGAGCTTGAACGAAGCTTATGAGGAAGTCACAGAAATACATCCCAGCCCTGATCATTCATTGCTATCCCCTAAGGACTCAAATGAAATTCAAGACTACAATCCTGATGAAATAGAGAGTTTTAACTCTGACGAACAGATCCATGCTGTTGAACTGAAAGACTTTGAAATAGGAGAACCATTAAGTTCACCTCTATCTAGAAAAAAGCTTACTACTTTGCAGGCTTCTGTGATTGAAAACCTTGATCCCCATTCAATAAGGGAAGGGGTACTCACTAAACTAAAGGAAGGTATGCGGGACAACCTTCCGATGGAAAGTCCTCAACAAAAGCAATATTTAAGAGTTCAAATAGCGAACAAGCTTCAACGACTGTTTCACTTAAGTGAACATGAATATTTCCTTGGAAACTACAATTCGTGGCTAATCAAAGATGTGCTACTTCAAGGACATGTGTATCTTACTAGCGATTCGTTATTGTTTTTTGCATTTTTACAAAACAAGGATATGCAAAATGAGGAGTCTACCAATGTGGCGATCAATGATGATTCCTTAAGTATCATACAAAGTGGAACTTTGGGATTAAAAACGATGCGTTATGGGGATACTTTAGTCAGTGGAATGCTAACCCATAGGTATTGGGCAGTTTTGCGACAAGACACAATGAGTATATACAGTAGTTCTACTGAGTTGTATTTTCCATTAATTGTAATTGATATCAAGTCGTGTCTTTATGTTGAGGTTTCAAATAAGCAAAAATACGAAAAAGAGGCTGTATCTCCTGTTGGAAGAGGTTATGCAGGTTATGGTATTTCAAGACAGAATTCTGGTACTTCAACCCCAAGGGACCTGGACGATGTATCATCTGATCTTAGAGATCTTCTTCAGCAAGAAGCATCAGAAGAAACTGTTGAATCGTCGAGTTCACATGTTTGGATAAAGTTGGTAACTAGAAAAAAGACATATAGGTTTCAATGTGATAGTTTATTTGTTGCTCGCAAGTGGTGTAATAACTTGACGAAATTGATATTCCACCACAATAATACCAATTCCAATAGTGAAGTTTTGATAAAAATCCCTCATTCCAACATAATAGAGTATAATCAATTTGCTATATTTTCAGAAGATCAAGATGAAGAAGACAAAATTGAAGACGAAGAAAATGATATTCCCTTCGGTTGGAATGTGAAGTATTATAGTAATAACGAATCTAGGTCAACCAGACTAAAGAAGAAATTTACTGGAGAAGACGAATCATTAGAAACTGAATCTATATACTTTCTATTTCCTAAGAGTGGTAGTAACTTCTTCAATGAGTTTGAAAAAATTGTTCAGAACAATCAACAACAAGTCAAGAAGGAATCTTCTAGTGAACTAGTAAGAACGCTTTCAGAAACGTTTAAAAGAAGTAAACAAGATGACTCTCGCAAACAATTGGGTAAATCAATTTCAACATTGACTCCTTCCTTAAATAATTTGGTTCAAAGCGTATTAAATGCAAATGGAATGGATTCGGATTCGATACTCAGTCAGCAAAGTTCGGAAAAATCAACTGCCAAAAAATTCGGATCCACTTTAGTCAACGCTACCAAGATTTTTGCACCCAAGAAATCTCCACTGGTGATCATCAATGAATCTTCGGACGACAATAATGACATACCTGAACCTAAAAATGAACAAAACAATTTCTGCTTGCCGAAGAATTTGTCCGTGGGTGGGTTGAGAAGTTTGGATATACTACTTGAAACAAGTATTAAGCAAATGGGAGAAGCAATTACAAGGTATGATACTAGTAACAGTGCTAAGAGCCAAGAAGAATTATTTTCAACAATTTCAAGAGATTCTTCTCAAACAAAAGGAGGAGGATATGGACCCAGTGCAATTACCAAGGCACTCACTGTTTTTGGAAGCAAATTGCGTCCGATACCAAGTCATTATCAAAGTTTTTCTGATAATGATTCATATTATATCAAGCAGTTAAAAGTACGTGAACGTGACCAGAATAATTATCGTGAAACCTTTGCGTTGGGAGAAGATTGCAAATTGATTTCATCTTACAATTGTTATTTGCAACGGTCATTTCCTGTTTACGGGGAGTTTTTCATTGGAGAAACAGAAATCTGTTTTAAGAGTTCATTACCAGGTCTTTCTACGAAGATGATTGTTCCAATTTTTGATATTGAAGCAGTAAAGAAGGAACATGGAATCCGATTGGCTTACTCTGGTATAAAGATTATTTGTAAAGGTCGTGAAGAAATGACTCTTGAATTTAACTTGGGAAGCTCTAGAACTGATTGTTATCGGGTTCTTTGCCAACAATTGAATTACACTAACGATGAGACAAATGATTCAATTGATCGACATATAGATGATACTGAAGCAAGCTCGATGAACGGTGATAACTATCATATTCCTAGCTCGTTGGAAATAGCAAGAAAAAGAATTGAAATGGCAAGAATTAAGATGTTTGAAGATCGGCTAACTACTGCATCGGGACTAGATATCCCAATTATGCTAGAAGATTCCCCATTTCTCAAGACAGAAATGAAGCCATCAGCTTCATACAAAATCACACTTTTGACTATTGGTTCACGAGGAGATGTTCAACCTTACATAGCTTTAGGTAAGGGATTAATTAAGGAAGGTCATAAAGTCAGAATTGCTACCCATGGAGAGTTTGGACCTTGGATTAAGAAGCATGGATTAGAATTTAAAGAAATCGCTGGTGATCCTGGAGAGCTAATGTCATTTATGGTTAATCATAGTTCGATGTCTGTTTCCTTTTTAAAGGATGCTCAAGCTAAGTTTGGAGCTTGGATTACTAAATTATTAACTACCAGTTGGGAAGCGTGTCAAGGAAGTGACATTTTAATTGAGAGTCCTTCTGCAATGGCTGGGATCCATATTGCTGAAGCGTTGGTTATTCCATATTTTAGAGCTTTCACCATGCCATGGACAAAGACAAGAGCATATCCTAATCCATTTTTTGTTCCCGATCAAAAGAAAGGAGGATCATATAATTATCTTACACATGTGTTGTTTGAAACGGTATTTTGGAAAGGAATATCCAGCCAGGTAAATAAATGGAGGGAAGAAGAATTACATTTACCAAGGACTAATTTGTATAGATTACAACAATCACGGGTTCCATTTTTATACAATGTATCTCCCTGTATACTACCACCGGCTGTTGATTTTCCTGATTGGGTCAAAGTTACAGGTTATTGGTTTTTAAATGAAGGATATGGTGACTATCAGCCACCTTCTGACTTGGTTGGATTCATGAGAAAAGCAAGTGAAGATAAGAAAAAGGTTATTTATGTTGGATTCGGGTCAATTGTGGTTAAAGATGCTAAATCATTGACTAAAGCTGTTGTGGATGCTGTTGTAAAGGCAGATGTTAGATGTATATTAAATAAAGGCTGGTCTGATCGGTTGTCAAAGGATAAGAATGAAATTGAAATTGAGTTGCCCAAAGAAATATTCAATTCTGGCAATATTCCTCATGATTGGTTATTCCCACGAATTGATGCTGCTATTCACCATGGTGGTTCTGGAACTACTGGAGCAACGGTACGAGCCGGGTGTCCGTCCGTTATAAAACCGTTTTTTGGTGACCAGTTCTTTTATGCCACTCAAATTGAAGACTTGGGAGTTGGATTATCATTAAAGAAGTTGACTGCCAAATCTTTGACTAAAGCAATAGTTTCCGTCACAACTGATAGTGCAATTATTGACAAATGCAAGAAATTAGCTAGCAAAATGTCAAAGGAACATGGAGTGCTAAGTGCCATTGAAGCAATATATAGTGAATTGGAATACTCGAGAAATTTGAGTCTTATCAAGGACAATCATAATATCAATTATAAGAAGCATAATCCTGATTTTCCAGCTCGAGTTGGTAGTCCAAAGTCGGATAGTAGTGGTGAATCTGTGCTAACCAGTGATGTAAAGAATAGTTCTTTTCTTTCTTTTGCTGTATAAATGGTGATTGTATATATTTTAATGATTGCAAAATTATTTTCTTTACTGATACCCGTAAAAAACTCGGACCATTACCCAAAATCGGATATTTGTGTCCCAATTTCTAATCGTGGTCACGTGAGTTTTTGCAATCGATAATTTGTCATTTATTTTTTTTTTCTTTTCTTTTCCACTATAATGTCTGGGGGTTCATTTAGTCATATCATCTGATAAAAAAATCCACAGTTCAACTCATTGCTCCTTTTTCTTGCTATCCTTACATACTTTAACGAAGTGACTTTAATAAATTTTATTTATCTTCAACAGATTACAACCACTGATAATTGTGTCTGAACCAAAAGTCTAGAAGCGCGAACTAAAAAGAGTCACAATTCACCAAACAATAAAAGGAGATCCACAGTTTAGATCAAGTCAATTTTTAATTTCACATTAGTGTTATTTTTTTTTTTACGGAACAGGTTGAACAATTTTCCCCCTTTTCATTCATTCATCTTGAGACTTGTTTCAACAATAACAATCAAGAAGGTGAATAATCCAGCAGCCACATTTGCATCATTTTCCTGATAAATTCTGAAAAATCTTTTTCCACAATAACTCGAGCATACAATAATACTATGGTTCCTTGTAAATATAAGGACGTAACCGAAGAACAACGACAAACCAATTCGTTTGCCCGATTAGTTCCTGGACAAACAATTGTTGAGATTCCTGAATATACCTTAGAATGTGGTGAAACATTGTATAATTTTCCAGTTGCATACAAAACATGGGGTCGTTTGAATAAAGAACGTGATAATGTCTTACTTATATGTCATGCCCTTACCGGTTCCTCGGATGTCCAGGACTGGTGGGGTCCTTTATTAGGTAATGGTAAAACTTTTGACCCTAGTCGATTCTTTATTATTTGTATAAATTTTATGGGCTCACCTTATGGATCTTGTTCCCCAGTTTCTATTGATAAGAGAACTGGTAAACCCTATGGGCCTTCATTCCCCTTAGTTACCGTTAAGGATGATATTGGAATTCAAAAATTGATTTTAGATTCCTTAGATGTTAATGGTATTTCTTGTGTGATTGGTGGTTCTATGGGTGGTATGTTAGCATTGGAATACCTGGCCACATATAATGATAGCAATTATGTCAAGACTGTCATTGCATTAGCCACATCTGCAAGAGCATCTGCATGGTGTATTTCTTGGAATGAAACTCAAAGACAATGTATATTTAGTGATCCTTACTATGATGATGGTTATTATTATGAGAATGGTAGTGGAGTTAAGCCAGATTCAGGTTTGAGTGCTGCTAGAATGGCTGCTTTATTAACTTATAGATCCCGTAATTCTTTTGAAACTAGATTCGGAAGAACCGTCGGAACAAAGAAAGCTGCTAAACCAGAACCTTCAAACTTATCCGAGGAAGAAAGATTGAAAAGGGAAGAAGCAGAAAAGGGTATAAGATATCCAAAGACCAAGGATGAAGAGAATTGGTTGTTGCATAATGAAGGATCAAGATCTTCTTTAAATATCCCTGCCTTGGCAAACGGAAGCAGTAAGCCTAATAACAAGAAACCACCTACTTATTTCACGGCACAATCCTATTTAAGATATCAAGGAAACAAGTTCATTAGTAGATTTGATGCCAATTGTTATATTTCAATTTCAAGAAAGTTGGATACCCATGATATCACAAGAGGTAGAATCGAACCAGCTGATCATTATGCTAGGGATCAAGATCCATTACCAGACTATCTCCAAACATTGAGAAAACCTCATTTGGTCATTGGTATTCAATCTGATGGATTATTTACATTTGGTGAACAACAATTGTTAGGTGATAACATTCCAGGAGCCATTTTGAAGAAATTGGATTCTCCTGAAGGTCATGATGCATTTTTATTAGAATTCGAATTGATTAATGGATATTGTCTTGATTTCTTGCAAAAGAGCTTACCTGAGTTTTATGATGAGAAATCTGGTAAGTTTGAATTGTTCAACAATTGGCAAGATTTTGTGGAAGATATTGACAATGGAGGTAATTCCGTATTTGGTGAAGCTGAAAAGAATATTACCAACTGGTGAATAGTGGGACAATATCAGATCTGTAGTTCTATAGTTTTCATAAAATTTTCTTTAAAAATAAATTATTATACGGACGTTCAAAGGTATTCTTGTAGTGTTGGTTGGATGCGCACTATCTAAAGACTTCTGAAGTGAAAGTTGGGTTGCTTTCTGGCCTTGCTAAACTGGAAAGTCGGATTCTGTAGGAATTCAAAAAAGCAGATGTCATTGTTCACAGTTACTTCACCATTGTATATAAGACTGTCGATACAGCTTTTGAGCAAAAAGTATGCCATAACAGTGTTGTGATGTCACCGCGATTATCTGTTGCCAAAAGGAACTAATAATTTATCTTCAATTCACAATAATTTCGTAAAGGTCCACTTTATGTTGAATTTTATAGTATGATATATTTCGTACCACAGCAGTATCAACTGGGTTGTATAAATAATGTTTAAATCTGTGTATATGTGTAACGTACAGGTTAGTTTATGGTGGTTGCAAAAAGAACCATGTTAGATTTTTATATTTTTCAGGAATTTTGTTTAAAACTTGTCAAAATTAAAAATTATACAATTTAACAAAATCAACATATTTACTTAATTAAAAGCTTTAGAAAGTCATTGGATACCATTTTATCACTAATTGAAGAATGATATGGAAATATCAATTTAAAATAAGCCATATTTAGGCATACCATAAAAAGCTCTCACGTGACATTAACAAATTGGGATTCCCCAAAAATGTGAAAACTTGTAAAGCGATATTGTCTTTTCATTCAATAATTCAAATATAATACAATATAAGTTCCAATTAGGATGTTTAAACCAGTTAAATTAGCTCAGAAAGGTCTTCAAAGGATTTTTCATTCCACTTTTTAAAAGCCCAAGCTGAAAATTTTTTTTCAGGAATTGGGTACTCTGGCCGAGCTGGTCTAAGGCGCCAGGGTAAGGTCCTGGTCTCTTCGGAGGCGCGAGTTCGAATCTCGCGGGTATCAATATTGATCTTAACACACCAGCAATTCCTATCTTGCCAAATTTTTTTTTTTAATTTTTATTTGCATACACTTTAAATACAACTGTGCATTATCAAGGAAAGGGAGACAATGTGTGATTTCCTAATAAACCAGTGTATTTCAGATATAAGTATTTAATAAAATTGGAAATATATAAAGAACTAAAAGTAGTTATTAAAAGAGAAAAAAAACAGTTGGGAAACTTTATAATCAGTATAATTGCGTTTAGTTCACATGTATAGACCCGATAACCAATTGGGGTGATTATGAATAAATTAAGAGTGAAAAAGTAATGGCCTGCTTACATTATTGTGCAACATTTACTTTGAGACTTTGGCTTTGCTGGATCAATTGCTGATTGCTTGGCCCTTGGAGTCTTGGTTGTGGCCTCAGAAACTTTCTCCTTATTTATATCACCATTAATTTCAATTGGCGATTTAGTGTTTTCTTGTAACTTTTTTTGCTGTTCCTTTTGTTGTTTCTTTTCGGCACTAATGGCTGCCTCCTTTCTCATAATTTGTCGAACAACATCAATAAATGCTTCATCAACATTAGTCTTGTACATGGCACTAGTTTCATAAAATGGAACCAATCCCCAATCTTGACTAACTTTAACCCCATCTTCTATACTTAAAACTCTGTCCTCTTCCAAATCACACTTGTTACCCAAAAGAACCATAGGGACATTGTCAGTATCCTTGATTCTTAAAACTTGTTCTCGTAATGCCAATAATTCCTTAAGCGAGTTTTCATCAGTAACGGAATAGACCAACAAAAACCCCTTCCCACTCTTGATATATAATTCTCTCATAGCCGTAAATTGTGCTACCCCAGCCGTATCCAAGATTTCTAAATCACAGGCCCTTCCATCGATTTCAATCTGCTTTCTATATGAATCTTCTATGGTGGGATCGTAACTTTCTACATATACCCCTTGTACAAACTGTACCGTGACGGAGGATTTACCTACCCCACCGGCACCTAATACCACAATTTTATAATCTAGAAAATTGATCAGTTAGTATTCATACACTTGGGATAGTCATATTCGCTTCGGAGCACATACCTCTCATGGTTTTATTCTATGTGTAGTTGTGTTAATAACTGTGGTTGTAAAAAATTATCGTTTGATAAAAAAAAAAATGTTTTGTTGATTCTTTAAGAAAAAGAATTTGAATATTTTTTTTCCTGGCAGGTGTTTTTTTGTCGGTTAAGTTTTTTGGCGGCCAAGCTATTGTTCTCAAGATTGTATTGTTTGCATGAAGGATCTGAGAATTCCAGACGGCACCACCATTGCTGTCTTTGCAACTACGATTGTAACAAAGTGGTATTAGAACTGAAATTGATTAATTTTTTTTTTATGTAAACAGAGGTAGAAACACGTAAAGTCAAAACACAATCCAAGCAATTAGAAAAACAAGACGCGTGTTAGAAGAAACATAACCAAATTACTTCTCTAATGGTAAAATGTTTGGAATTGGACCAAGAGGAGTAATTCCATGGGGGTTAATGGCAATATGAGACTTTGTATAATGGAATTTAATATGATCAAAGTCGGTGGTTTGTTGGAATCCAGGAATTTTCCAATACAATAATCTCAACCATTCATGAATATGAGGGTAATCGTGTCTAATTGTTCCAATGTTACACTTGAAATGTTGAACATAAACTGGATCAAATCTGACGATAGTTGTGTACAATCTAACATCAGCTTCAGTTAATTGGTTACCTAGCAAGAACTTTTCATTTTGTTCATGCTTGGCCTTTAATATAGCCTCCACTTTATCTAAATGAACAAAAAGATTCTTACATTCCTTTTCATAAACCTCTTGCTTAGTGGCAAAACCAGCTTTATAAACCGCATTGTTGACGTTATCATAAACCCAAGAATTGATTTCGTCAATTTGAGCTTCTAACTCAGAAGGAACAAGGTTGACATCAGCATATTCGCTAGGCAATAAGGAGTTAAACTCAGTGTTTAACATTCTGATAATTTCAGACGATTCATTGTTAACAATGGTTTGTTCCTTTTTGTCCCACAACACAGGAACAGTGAATCTTCCATTATAATCAGGTTCAGCCTTGAAGTACAATTGTCTGATTCTTTCAAAGTTATATAAATGGTCAACAGTGCCTAAAGAAACATCATCCTTTTGTTTCAACAGAGCCAATTCCTCTTTGTTGATAAACCTCCATCCTTGACTATCCATGTGCCAATGAACAATGGACAACCCAATAATGGAAGTCAATCCCTTAAGATATCTAGTAATTAACGTACGATGAGCCCATGGACAGGCCAAGGAAACGTAAAGGTGATATCTACCAGCTTCAGCAGGGAACCTTGCACCAGGCTTAGAACTAATAAATTCTCTGAATGAAGAAGGACGTCTCTTGTATGCTCCATCCTTATCGTCAGCAAACTTTAAAATTTCAATAGGTTTATTATCCTGAATATGTTTCAGTTAGTAGGCGATGTCAAGTGACCAGCAAAAGCGTTATAATACATACGGTAGACATGGTTTTTGTTACAATTCAAATGTTGAATATGAAAATAGATAAGCAATTGAGAACCAAACTGGTGAAAAAAAAATCAATTGCTTTTTATACTCGCAATTGTGGGGAGTTTAACTTGCCAGAATCAATGCAGTTACGGTTATATCTAAGTCCTTAGTAATGACATGTCACTATATGCAGGTGTTAGCAATCTTTATTAGTAAACTTTTGTCAGATTTGTTATTGGTCGTGTACCCAGTGCCAAATACGTATTTCCAGATCTGGGCGAAGCTACTTCCGTATTTATTGGCATTTCCGAGTATTCCCGCGCTCGCACGTCACAACAAAATTCACACACACTTGTCCACAAAAATTTTGCCCTTATTACAGATAACCTCACTACAAGCGGCTCATCTGGTATCCTTTACAACCAGAGCTGTAATATTTACAAAGTGCAAAAAAATATGACAAAGCCCAATTCGAAAGCTAAGCCAACAGAAGCTAAGGATGCTCACGATGACGGTATCAATGATAGTTTAAACGAGAAAACATCTCGCCCAAAGAAAGAAGAAACATCAGCTAAGGAGCAAACTAAAGGTGGTTCTGGTGAATCATCCACAGACGCTAGTAGTCCTTCAATTCCGCCGTTGAGTAACCCCACAGTAGCTAGCAATACTCACATGTTACCTCCAATTACAGTCAAGAAGAACGCCGGGAGCACCATCCCTACAAACACCCAATCCGAGTTCAACCCTTATGTGACTTTTTCCTCAAAATATCCAGGGGGTCAACAGCAACCACCACCACCATTACAAATCATACAAGATACAACCCATCAGGTGAACTCCAATGAGACAAATTATTTTTTCAAATCAGGTAGGCCTAAAGTTCGTGTTGACGATTACAACATAAAGAAATTCTCCGTTGCTAAATCTCCATTAACTTCACAATCCACTCCAGGTTCAGCGCCAGCCACCCGCCCTCATACATGTACATTCGAAGGATGTACTTGGTCTTTTGAACGGAAATCAGACTTGAAAAGACATCTCAAGTCCCACGCACCTCCGATCTATCAATGTCCTTACTATAGAAACGATCCAACCTGCCACCGTAACGGTGGTGCCTTCAACCGATTGGACGTTCTCAAGAGACATTTGCGGTTAGTACATTATGTCAAGGATAAACACCAGATGGTACCACCTGCTCCTGGGCCAATGGTTGGAAGCACAGGCGGTGCTATGGTTTTGCCTACCAAGAAGGAAGACCCTGGCTGGTGTCGTGCTTGTCAGAAAATGTTTCCTAATTCCAAGATATTCATTGATCACTGTTGGGATTGTGCCCAGCATATAACTCCAGCAGAATGGAAAAAGGCAGGAGATACTGGTGACACCGGCAGAGACCAGGAATCAGACAGAACGACGCAACAACAGGCTTACCAGGCGCTTGCAGCTCGCTCCAACAACTTATATGAATTGTCAAGAATAAGCACCGAGGAAAAGGAAGCCGCCAGTGCCTTTTTCACAAGCCAATCAGAGTCGACTGAAGGTGAATCTAAACGGAAAACCAGTGCAGAAGAACCAACAATGAAAGTGGAGCCTGCGCATAAACGTACAAGAAAAAGTTGAAATTATATATATAAACAATTCTAAAACAATATAGTAATACATAAACTTGAAGAAAATTACCCAGACAAGAGGACTTAATCTTCTTGCATACTAGAGTCATCTTGCTGTTGTATAGCAGCCCCAGTTTGATCAAAGAAATCCAAAATGGCACAGTTGGGGTGAATGATGTAAACAGTCTTGACGTTGCTTGGATCAGATTCATCTTCATTATGAGATACAGTCATCAAAATTCTATCCTTCACCAAACGCTTCAATACCTTATATGCCAACTTTCTTTCTTGCAAGTATTCTTGTTCACTTTCTATATCATGTTCTCGTTGAAGCAAGTACCATTCAATTAAGTCGTCGGCTGTAATTCCTTCGTCTTGACCATTATTTTCATCCTCGGAAATCTTCTTGACTAATAAATTCATCATGGCCACATATTTATCATAGGTGATGGAGACAGTTTCTCTTGGATGAGAAGGAGCTTCTGGTTCCGATTGCGTTTGAGATGGTTGAGGTTGTTGAGATGCCTCAGCATCAACATCGACATCTTGCTCTTCATCATCGTCTTCAACTTCAATATCGTCCATTTCTACTCTGATGATAGATTGCTTCAACAAATCATAGGCTTCTGCAACAAAACTAGGAGTGATTTCTTCTGTACAGTTGGCTCTAGCAATAGCTTCCGACAATCTAATCATAGATTCCAATTGTCTAACTGTGATTCTGTAAGAAGATCTTCCCAAGCCTTGGGCATCATCTTCTCTTAATTCCTTATACCTTGTAACCAAGAAATCACGAGCTTCTTTAGTCATCTTAGGTTTGAATGTCTTGGCATATTTGATATATCTTGATAATTGTTCGGCGGAATATGGTGGATCTATAGCTTCATCTCTAAGCATATGCAAATCAACAATGTGGGAGGCCAACTGAGTATCAATTCTTTCATTACAATCATCCAAAATGACAAAAAATAAATCAAATCTGGACATGATAGGAGCAGTCATGTTCAAGTTTGAACGAAGACCAATCTTTCTATTATATCTACCTCCAATTGGATTAGCAGCAGCCAAAATCGAGGTTCTAGCATTTAAAGTAGCATGAATACCGGCCTTGGCAATGGAAATAGTTTGTTGTTCCATAGCTTCATGAATGGCAACTTGATCGGCAATATCCATCTTGTCGAATTCATCAATGGCACAAATACCATTATCAGCCAACATCAAGGCCCCAGCTTCAATGGTATACTCACCACTCTCTTCATCTCTAACCACAGCCGCAGTCAAACCAGCAGCCGAGGAAGCCTTACCAGAAGTGTAAACTGCACGAGGAGAGAATCCACATACATATTTCAAAAATTGAGATTTAGAAGTGGATGGATCACCCACAATACAAATATTGATATCCCCACGCAAGTTAATTCCATCAATGGTTTTCTTGTGAACACCACCTAATAATTGTAAAAGGATACCCTTCTTGATAACTTCGTGCCCAAATACTGCAGGTGCAACGGATTGAACCAACTTGTCGTAAATATGCTCATCTTTGACCATTTCTTTCAATTGAGAAACCTCAGAGTCACTTAAAGAGGTTAAAAAGACTTCTTGGTCATTGTTTTCTACCTCAGTGGTGGAATTAGGATTGCTATCATCTTGACCAACCTTGTTGACCAAAGATGTCACATGGGAAGCATGGAACGCTAATTTGTAAGTCAAATCACGGACACCCAAAGATTTCAATCCAGAAACACCTGAATTCAATTCCGAGGAACCAGAACGAGACTCTTTAACTGATTGAGGCTTGACCCCAGGTAATCCTAATTGGGAGACATCAGGAATGACTATTTCACAACCGGTGAATTTACACTTATCACCAGGTTTGGCTCTTTCGACAATTTCACCTCTTAAAATAACATCCAAGGTTCTTGGCATGGATCCGGATGGGATTTCATTGGAGTTTTCTTGAATTCTTACTCTTTGCCAATCAATAAATTGAGATTTGGAAATGTTCAATGTGAAATAGGATTGGTTTTCACAAGAAGGACAAGATGTAGGCTCGGTATATTTGAATATTTGTTCAATACCTTCGATGAACGCAGAACACATGTCACACGTGAAACAAGCACGGTATAATTCAGGTCTGACTTCAGAAGTACGAGTGACCGTACCCAGAATAGAGATCAAAGATCCAATCTTGGAAGTTCTAATATCTCTGATTCTTTCCACTGTTGGTAAGTTAAAGAACGAAATTTGGAAAACTCGTTCACTGGCTTGAGTAGAAGATGTAGTTGTAGAGTTGTCGTTATAGCCTTGAGATTCTTCGTTGTCATTTCCTTCTTGTTGCTGGCCAATCAAACTGGTTTGTAACAAACTTGGTGCATATTTCTTTAATATTCTTGTTAAACCTTTTACCAAGAAAGGGTAGAAACGGTAATATTGTTCCAGGATAGCAGTAGCTAAAACACCATTTTCTCTCATTAACAAGTGTTGATAGTTGATGTAAAGAGTGCTGTATTCGTAATTCTTCATGGCTTGAATTTGGGCCAAGTAAATCTTACCATCCCAGCCATTTTCGTCATCTTCTCTGACGCTTGATTCGTCAACGAATTCTTCAATAAAAGTTTCGAAACTTTCACGGACTTTTTCTCCAGTGACATCAACAACTTTAGGTACAGCGATCTGTCTCCGTCTTCCGCTCACGGTGTTACGCTGTTGAGATATACCTTGTGGACCATTGGCACCAACACCGGTTGCACTCAATTGGGAGTCGGAAAAAGGTTGGGCCGCAAACGATTGTGGAGTAGAAGTTTCTCGACCGTAGCTGGACGAAACTTGAGAATGTAATAATTGGGCAGCATCAGAAGGGATCTGACCTGGCGATGAAACAAAGTTGGACATGATGCTTTCTACGGTGAAAGAAGAAGAAGAAGAAGAGGAAGGAAAGAGAAAGGGCGTTGGCGGGAAAAAAAATGGTAAATATAAATTTGTGCTTTGACGCGTTTAATTAAAACGAATCAAAATTTTCCCAATTGGGAAATATTATTAGATCACGTGGATATAATCAGATGACTCGAGCCACGTGACCAAGTGGTGGGTTTTTTGCAAATTCTTCCAACTCCGTGGAGTGTTCATCAAGAAAACCTACAGCCAATACCATATGATTAGAAGCATCTTAACAAAACGAGCATACTCCGTTGCTCCCAATACCTGTATGTTTAGTCCAATTAAGTTTCGCACGAAGTTTTTCTAACATTGCATCTAAGTCCATCCTCAATACCTTAAACTTCAAGTGGGACAGATCCAATCCTGTAAACGTCATGAAGCTAGTGATAAATTGTACATTTCCCAAATTGCAATCGGTGAAAATAACGGCGAAAAGAGTACTCTTCAAGTTTGCTCAGGGTTAGTGCCATTTCTCCCAATCGAACAAATGTATAACAAAAAGGTCGTAGTGGTCACCAACATGAAACCCAGAAAATTACGAGGCGAAGCCTCAATGGGGATGATTTTAGCAGCAGAGGCCGAAGTGAATGAAAAACTACAAGTTGAAGTCGTCGAACCGCCTACTGGCTCGGCAATTGGGGAGAGGTTGTATTTTGGACTGGAAAATCACGAATTCCAACCACCAAAGTTAAAAGATAAAGTTTGGGAATATATTCAACCTAGATTACGTACAAACGACCAAAAACAAATCGTGTTCATCGATGAAGATAACGTTCATCACATATTGAGGGGCCAAGATCCCAACGAGTCGGCCACAGTGCCGACCTTGACAAACTCGTTAGTTCATTAGACCTTGGCGTATCTTAAATATGGCTTAACCTTTCTGAATTCACCGAATTTTTCCTTGGCAGCTTCGTCCGAGACGGTTGGAGGAATGATAACTTCATCACCCTTTTTCCAATCAACTGGAGTAGCAATACCCTTGGAGTCTGCCAATTGTAAAGCATCAACAACTCTCAAGATTTCACTGGTGTTTCTACCGGTACTGGCTGGATAAGTCAAAGTCAATCTAATCTTCTTGTTTGGATCGATGATAAAGACAGATCTAACGGTAGCAACCATTCCGCTTTCCAAGTTCTTGAAATCGTCTTCAGTAACCATGTCATACTTGAAAGCAACTTCCTTCTTACCATCAGCAATGATTGGAAAACCAAACTTTTCACCTTGAGTCTCAACTTCTTCGATATCCTTGACCCATTCGTTATGACTGTCAACACCTTCAGTAGACAAACCAATCAACTTGACCCCACGTTTGTCGAATTCAGGCTTCAATCTTGAGAAAGCACCCAATTCAGTGGTACAAACAGGAGTGAAGTCAGCAGGGTGGGAGAAGAGAATGACCCACTCGTTGCCGATGTATTCGTGGAAGTCAATCTTACCCTTGGTGGTGTCAACTTGGAAGTTTGGGGCAGTAGAACCAATTCTGATTCTTGGTTGATCTTCTTGTTTAAAGGAAATAAATCTCAATTGAGGTCTGGCACAGGATAACATACCAACACGAGCGATGGAGGCATTACGGATTAAGTGTCTGGACAACATTTTCAAGGGTATATTCTAGTCAATTAGGTATGCAAATACAAAACAAGGAGTTCTGGAAGATTAACCAAAGAAAAAAATTTGGAGCAATGAAAAATTACAAATCTCAATTGCAGTATCACACGTGACTCGGAGATATACATCCTGCAAATTATAAACCCTTTTTATATTTAACTTATACAAGACTTGAAATAAAACATACATAATTCAATAAAAAAGCAAAAAAAGAACATGTCTATATACAAACATTATGGCTCAGCCAACAGGTTTACATCAAACCAACCTAAGAAGTCGTCATTATCTTGGTAGTTGTCGTTATTCAACCATCCATTGGACTGCTGTTGGAAAAAGTTGTCAAATTGGTCAAGTGGTGTGTCTGCACCCATGGCATGGGGTGGTACATCATTAGTAGGATTATTGTTCATAAACATCGTATGGTTGATATCGTCAATTGAACCCATAAAGTGTTGTTGTTGCTGACTAACAGTCAACCCTGGTGCTGGTGATTGGGAAAGGAATTGTGAATTAACAGGTGTTGCTGATTTAGAGGCAAGTGGCATCAACATACCGTGAGACTCAAGCTTGGGCTGTCTGAGTTGTTGTTGGTGTGGTTGTGGCGCAGGAACAGGTAGTGGAAGTTGTTGTTGTTGCTGTTGCTGTTGCTGTTGTTGTTGTGGCTGGTCTGACTTTTGTGGTGCATTTCTGTCCTCTATTTCTTGCTCAGGTCTTACAAATGCCGTATCTCTACTAGACCCAGTAGCTTCTAACATTGATAACGGTATACCGTTAATTTCAATGGGTTTATTCATCAGAGCAGCCTGTTCTCTTGCTTGGGCCATGGCCGTATCCGTTGGAACCAACGTAGTTATGGTTGTTCCATTAGGCGATGTGGTTTTCTTGGTTGTGAAATCATCCTTACTGATTTGATTGTAGAATGGCAATGGTAATGGCAAGTATTTACGATCAGTAGTAGCCTTGGGTGTAGCAGGAACCGTTCCTCCACTGCTCTTGTCCAACAAAGTTCGCCTTCTTCCTTCATGAACACACCAAACTAAATCATAAAACAACGACGCAGTCAAATGCGACCTCATTCTCGTAATTATACTCGAATCATCTTCATTCTCGTTAATAAAAACATCAGGATACTTGTACAACACAATATTCAAGTTCTCCAACACCTTTGCCGTTCTGGTCATATCATTTTGTAAATCCTTCCAAGAACTAAGAGTGTTTCTCAATAATCTATGGACAGTAACAATGGATTGTCTTGAGCTATCAAGATACTTATCAATCAAATATCTTGACAAATGTAACTTGAATAACAACAATACACTATAATTCATAGCTTGTCTTACATATATAGGCAACTCAATCAACGAGCTTTCATTAGTCATGTTGGAAACAATGGTGATAATTCTCGTACTAGCCAAGTATGCCGAGCCCACATATTTAACTTGATCTTCAATGGGTGTTCCTGGTAAAAATGCAAAACAACAAATCATAAGTTTAATATACAAGTAGTAAACTTCAATAGCCGACCCTTCAGCAAATTGCAACTTGAACCTCAATCTTTCCAATTCACGATCCAACATATTCAAAGAACCAGCTCTATTCAGCGGTTCTAATAACCCATCAGGTCTAGTTACACTAATACCCATAACATTCACCAATTTACATTGGAAAATCGACAAGGAAATCAAGAATCGGAAGTTCTTGGGCAATGATTTGTCAACTCGGGCATTTTCCAATAAATAATCAGTAGTATTGATCGAAGGAGGCAATCCTAACAAACTCGACCAAAATTGTTCACAAAAGAATACCGCTAACCATGATCTTGTTCGCCATTTTTCGGCATCGGGACCTAAACTTACTTGATTTCTACTGAATTCCTGAATAAACTCTCCACCTCTATGTAATCCCAATTGCAAGGAAAGGTTTTTGGCCAATCCAATGAATCTATACGAGCAATCATCCAACACTTTCTCATTAGGTAAGGGCCATATTGAAAGAAGAATGAGTGCTTGAATAACATGAGTAGATCTTGGCGTTTTGATCCAACATGTCTCAATAGCCAATTGCTTGATTAAAGACGCAAGAGACATGTACAAGGTAGAATCAGGTTCTCCTAAACTGGAAATCAAAATCACGGTCCAGAAAAGCAACTGAGATTTATGATATAATTCTGTAGCTGAACGGGAAGTAATCACAGGCATGAATTGCAAGTATCGAGATACAAAACGGTCGTGTAACTCATTAGCTTTGGCTAATGGTAATTTAACATCTCCCAAGATAAATTCCAGGATTGGTTTATAATCAGGGTAGTTAATGGTATTGGCAGAATCAGATGCAGGAAGATTGTAGTGGTCCACCGGTGAATTTGTATGGACTGTTGATGGAGAGTAATTGTCGGTATTCTCGGGAGCTAATGGCCGTTGTGGTTGCAGTATTGTTGTTATGGATGGAAGGGAAAACACCACGTTGCCTTGATACATTGTTTGTGGGGACCCACTGGAATCAGTAATTGGTGTAGCATTTACCAGTTGAACACCCGACTGTTGCTGCAGTTGTTGTTGTTGCATATAATTCAAGTTATGTTGCGTTAAAGCTTGGGTGAGCAAGCTTTCATTCTTAGTTAACATTTCAATCTTGGCCTTCAACTCATCAACATCCAGTTTCAATGATTGAATTTGGGATCCCTTTTTGGGTCTAAATTGTGGATCAATTTCGCACTTCAACCCCATACGTTGACACCTTTGACACGGGTTTGGATAGTTATCAGAAGCATTACATTTGATTTTATGTTGACGGCAGAAGGTACACGATGTAACTGGACGATGGCCAGTTTGTTTTGAAGATTTTGATTTTGATGACGTATCTTCTGAATCACTAAGTTGGTCGTGGCTGTTGTCACCAGGATTATTTCCATACGTATACAACTCAGACTGGCCACTGACACTGTGGGGACGACTAGTGGGGATATTTGGTGTATTCAATCCACCAGGCGAGATAGATGATCCTCTGACTTTTGTAGTGGGTTGACCGGCGGCAGACGTGGTTGTGGGGATTGACGGTGCTGATTTTCTTTGTTTCTTGCGTTCGGCCGCGGTAGACAGGGACTTTCTCTTGTTAGTGGTCGTTCCTGACGCGCTTGCTAGAGGTAACAATGGTGGTGGGGTCAGTGTGGAGACCAACGGTGATGGTTTGGGCAATATTGATTTGACCTTTGCTTTCTCCATTTTAGCTTTCATTTAACTATGGTATTGGCCGGAAATAGGAGAAACAAAAGAGAATTTCGGGGAACGAATCAGTCAGTTAAACGTAGTAGACTTGAATCTTTCGAACTATATCGACTAAAGTGGATTTTAAAGGATTTTATCACCAGCTGAACACTTTAAGGGATTGAAATGTATAAAAACAAAACTCAAAAGGAAAAATATGAGTAAGGTTTGACCTGCTTTGACTAAGACCAAATTTCCTTTTTTTTTTTTTTCTTGTTTCCCCTTCTTAGCTTATTATTGAGGGTATTTTTGAATCACGTGAATACAACCTTTTCCGGGATTCTGAATCTCTACTAAACGAGATGAATGAACGAGTATGGTTTGACTGGTGGTAGAAACAGTAGATGTAGTGATAGAATGTTAAAAAAAAGAAACTTAACAAGTTTCTATACTATTTCAGATCAACAATGGGAATGTAGTAATGGGCAAAATAAAAGTGTCAATGAAAAAATTTTCGTTATTTATTGTGTTTATGGTGAGAGAAAAGGTCGTGGGAATGCGTCCAATCTACTGATGGAAAAGATAAAAATTTTCTTTTGATCTTTTTTGCGCTTACGGCGCTGACGGCGCATACAAATTTTCAGATGACCCATTACACCGAGGGCTTTTTCCTGTATGAAGATCGTTTAGATAATTTTTAATTAATAATTTAAAACCTCATTATTTTCGTTCCAGACAATAATGCCACAAAACTTTGTTTCCCAAATGGACCAATGAGGAATTTTTCTCAACAATGCAAATTTATTGTGAGTGAACTGTAGTCATGGTACTAATACTGGCTTGCTTTCTTGGCATAGGCTATTTTTTGTGTTTTGCCTTGAACGTGTTAAAGGTTACACTTTTTAAGAGGATATACCTATCAGAATGAGGTTGTAAATTTCATAGTCAGCTCGGAGATGGTTATGCGAGTTTTCTGACCAGTGTTACAACACCGTCAAACAATTCTCACCAGGTCAACTTTATTTTTTGTTTGCTTTTTCTATTTTCTTTTTCCTAATTTCTTGTTCCATGCTTAAAATCTATTATAGTGTTGTCTTTTTTTTTTTTAAAAAAAATATTTTCAATTTAAAGCGAACTGTAGTACAAACTGCAGTCCACAAACTATATAAAATAACCTAAACAGAAAGGACAGAAAAAAGGTATAATATGCCGAGATGAGAGAAAAGAAAGTAATTTTTTTGACAGGAAATTTGTATATCTAACTGTCATCGTCTTCAACCTTTGGATCACCAATACCGTCTTCATAAATAGCAAACACACATTCACTCTCAGGTAAGCAAGGACTATCATAAATCTTACAAATTCTTGTTTCAGCCCTACCTTTCCTCAACGACAATCTCGTAGTAGAAGCATGGGCAATGATATTCCCACCAATAGGTTTCTTTGGATCAGGATTATACATATTTGACATACCATCAACCTGAGCTACCACTTGATTAGTAATAACCACAGCAATCCCGTATTCATCAGCCAATCTTTGCAACGTTCTCATGAATTTAGCTACCAGGGTTTGTCTAGCACTTAATTCTCCTCTTCCAGCATAATCAGTACGATACAATGACATGATACTGTCTACAATCAACAATGAGAATCTTGATTCCGCCATCATTTGGGCCGAAACTGACAAAAGTTGAAGTTGATGTTCGGCATTATATGCTCTGGCATAAGCAACATTATCCAAACAATCACTAGGGTTTAATCCATATCTTTCAGCAATGGAAACCAATCTGTTTGGTCTGAAAGTACCTTCGGTGTCGATATAAAGACATTTGCCTTCTCCTCCACCCATATCAATTGGTAATTGACACGTAACTGCCAATGTATGGCACAACTGGGACTTACCGGTTCTAAACTCACCAAATACTTCAGTGATACTTCCAGTTTCGATACCTCCTCCTAACAAAGTATCCAATTGTTTAGAGCCAGTAGTTAAACAAATCAATTCACTACGACGCGAATGGAATTCACTAGCCGTGGTAAATCCAAGAGGAACTAACTTGGCTGCTTCACTGGAAATTTTCTCAGCTTTAGCTTCACTGATACCTTTAACATTCATTAAGATTCTCTTGGGAGTGTAAGCTATACTTTCGATGGTATAGTATCCATCAGATTTTAATTTTTTAATATCAGAAGACGTGATCCCATTCCCTTCAAGTTGTTCAATCAAAAGTGGTCCATTAAGGGCATCTTCTTCTTCAGCATCGATATCAGTGGTTGGTGGTTGTTCGATATATTCTACTTCAGCTTCTGTCATGTTAGTGTGTTGATGTAGATCAAGACTTGTTGTAAGAATATAAAAGTCACGTTAAATAAGACGCGCCTGCGAGACTTGCCAGAGAGCAGACTGCCAAATCTTTTGATCCCAGGTCGTGCAGATCCAATTTGGCAACAAAGAAAAAGAAAAAAAAAATAGTGCTCATCTGACATAATGTCGCAAGGGATTGGCGACATTTTGGCTAAATTTACGACAGAAGAATTGTGAACTTTAAAATATATAAGCTCTGCAACTCGACCGAACTTGAAAAAGGGGCATTTAATTGCATACATTACATCGATCTGTATAATCCAATCTATGCATGGGTCGTGAATTTGATTGCTCTGTTACAGCTAATTACGGCTCAAGAAAGCACGACAATTGTGTCATACAGACTGTATATTGATACCAATGATGTCATGATTTCATTGTACAAACTAGTTTCTCGTCGTTGTTGACAACTTACCGCTCTAGTAATGTAATAACAAGTTCTAATTAGGAAATAGTTAAAGTATGTATTTAGTCACGCAGTATGCACAATTTCAAATGTAAACATGTCAACACAAAACAGTATTTTTAGATCTAAGACAATACGATAACAAAATTTCAGCATGAAATTTCCGCATTATCAAAATCCCTTCCAACCTTTGTTTGTTAGAAAATAGAACAAACAGTTGTGGAAAGCCATTCTTTAGCCACGCCCTCGATGTCAGGTCAAAGGGGGTCAAGGCGGATTACCCTACACCCCTTTCTTATCTCTATAATATTATTTTTGTGGAGAAATTTGATCACCAACTGGATCCAAAAAAAAAGACAATGGAAATCAACCTCAATACCTATCGGGGAAATTTCTTTTCATCAACAGGGGGTGGTACTATAATTAAACCAGCAGCACTTAGTAATCAACGCCTTAATTTTCCACGGGGTCGTACGAGAAAAAGAAATACACCATGAGGCTTAAGCGGGGGGGGTTTGACCACTCTGGCCAGATCCCAGGTTAGTCTTACATTTGACGGGTATTTGAAAACGATTTCACCGCACAGCGGCCGTTTCTCCACAATATTTATTGGTCATGTATTTAATACTATTGTTTTGGTTTATTTTCAATAAGGAAATAGAATAATATTTTAAAACCTTAAATTGTAATTTCTCGTAAATAAAGCAGAAAAATATTTTTTTTTGCAATCACGATCCAACTCCGAATAGTTAAATGACTTGCGTACACTATCATAAGTCAGCCGCCGTTATAGGGTTTTAAATTTTCATGTGGTGCTTGGAAGCGAAGTTTAGACATAAGCAAGATGGTTGTAGGTTAGACGATCTACAACGGTCAGAAAATAACCACCTACCTTGTCTTGCATGAAGCCACACTGAGATCTACCAAAACGAGTAATCAACAGATTAGTTCGTGGTTTCAAATGTTAATATCGTATACCCCTCTTGCCAACTGATATGTAGCCTCTTCATTGTAAGCAAGTTCCAACTCTCAGGATACCGTGGCAACTTCGGAATGATTTACAGGACACCGTGGTGATTTTTTTTTTCTCTGGGCGGGTCCACTGATACGAGAGAAAAGAAACGTGATTTCCTCAAACTTCGTATTAATGATATTCAGAGATCACAATCTTGTCTAAAAAAAAGACTATCACCTTCGAAATAGCAACATAACAATACACTTGGTATTTGTGAGAATTACCCTCTAGTAAGAGCACAATGTTTTAGGTCATCGAATTTCACAAAAAGCTTGTTTTACTGCGTGATGGAAAATAATTTACACGAGAACGGGGTTCGAGACGGAAATGTAAGCAAATTATGGGGCAATCATAAACAAAATATTGACTATTATTGAAGGGAGAAATTACCCGATTAGGAAGGCTGAACTATAATTAAAAAATTATTTTAGTGCGTGTATGAGGCGAATATGTAAACAATCTTCTAAGTGTTTCTGTGCAACCGAATTAATGACATTTTTTTTTCCAATGGTTTTACAACCACTGCACAAATTAAAGAAGCGTATTGTTTCTCTCTCTTTTTTACTTCTCTTTTATTGAAGATACTTTATACCAATCAGGTACTCTAGACCATACTGCATCAATTAAGGTGTAATACCTAAACTAAACTCACAGCTCAAATCACCAGTTATTTATAGCAGGTGCAACCAATAAGAAATAGGAGACACGTTTTAAAGAACAATTCTATTTTCACAATAGTAAGGGAATTACACAACCACCATTAAGAGCACCAACCACCCACCCCACTTCTATTGCAACAATAGGTCATCAAATTCTCGGCCCATTGACACTATCTGATTCGAACCCATCAACAAAGAGATCTAATTGGGTGAACACCACGATCTAAGAAAAATATTGAACATTTCACTCCTCAGAATTGTCCATTTATTTTCTCATCCATAGTTACTACTTGACAACACATACCAAGAATCACGCTGAGTTTGACATCTCCCAAAAAAAATAATAGGAAATAGCAACTTAGAATACTACCACATCCTAAACCACAACAATCTACCGACCTTTATAAAAAAGAATCAGTAGTCTAAGTATTCTGAAATTGTCAGTTGCAACAAAAGTGAACAAATACAAGCAAAGAGTTCTAGATTTCACAAAGTGCCCCGTCATTGCTAAAAGAACAAAGTTTAACTTTATTATATAAGCATTACATTTGCAGTTTACTTTGTCCATTTACAACATTCCAACATTCATTTAAATTCTATACAAGGTTTCAATAATTCATTACCGCAAACAATACAGTGCAACCGTGCCGTATCACCAAATATAGATTTATTTGAATATTAACACGACACCCTACTACCTCCCCCTTCCCCAACACTTATCGGAGACAGTTTGTGATCATTTAAGTCGTTACTTTCTATAAAACGGTTACTTTAAATTCTTTATTTTTTTTTGAGTTTATTTTTAACGTTTTATTTATTTTTTTTTGATTCGGTTCTGGTACCTCAAAATTTTTAGCCGCCAACGTCAAAAAAAAAAACAAAACCAAAATCAAAACAAATTTACAACCAAATTTATTAGCGTGTCTGTTCCCATAACAACAAATTGTTCTGTATCTAATCACCTCATTTACAAGGAGAACATGACATCGAACGTCCTTATACAACCCCAAGGTTTAAAACCTGAGGGATTTAATGCAGTAATGGACTCAACAACATTATCGTTACCACCAACGGCTACAACCACAATTCAACAATCTCGTATCGATCTGCACAGTAACAGTTCAGCCACACCTAGAGTTTCAGTCGACGTATACTCCGCATTGTCCCAACAAGAAAAACATCGTTCCCAATCACAGCAATCATTATCCAGCCATATGACCAAACGAGTACATCGAGAAATAAGGTTTGGGAATTATATCCTTGGATCTACTCTCGGTGAAGGAGAGTTTGGAAAGGTCAAACTAGGGTGGAGAAAAGATGGGAAAGTGCCTAGTCAAGTGGCTATCAAGTTAATCAAAAGAAGTACAATTGTCAAGGATTCTGACTCCGAGATTAAAATTAACCGGGAAATCAACTCGTTGAAATTATTAAATCATCCAAACATTGTAAATTTAGTCGAAGTTATGAAAAGTGGGAAGTATATCGGGATAGTTTTGGAATATGCATCAGGAGGAGAATTGTTTGATTATATTTTGCATCATAAATACTTGAAAGAAACCATGGCCAAAAAGCTATTTGCGCAATTAGTAAGTGGTGTTGATTATATGCATTCAAAGGGGTTAATTCATCGAGATTTAAAATTGGAAAATTTATTATTGGATAAACATCAAAATGTTATCATTAGTGATTTCGGATTTGTTAATTCCTATAATAGAGATAAAAATGATTTGATGAAGACTAGTTGTGGATCTCCATGTTATGCTGCCCCAGAATTAGTTTTAACCCAAGCCCATTATGAAGGAAGAAAAGTAGATATCTGGTCCCTAGGTGTTATATTATATGCCATGTTGGCTGGATATTTGCCGTTTGATGATGATCCTGAAAATGAAGATGGATCTGATATTGTCAAATTATACCACTACATATGCAAAACACCATTGACATTCCCGGAATACATTTCACCATTGGCCAGAGATTTGTTAAGAAAGATTATTGTTCCAGACCCCAAGAAAAGAATTTCTATGAATGAAATCAAGAATCATCCATGGCTAATTGCTCATTCCAAGTTATTATCCGTAAAACAAACCGAATGGGATAGAATACACAAGGAAAACGATGCAAAGAGAGAACACAAGTTACCACAAGAAGACACGCAACAATCATCATACGACAAGAGATACTCCATGATTGTCGAAAAGACCAATTCATCATCATTATTATTATCACAAAACGCTACCACTAATAAACTTGTACAACCTACACCAACACACACAAGATCATACTCATCTAATAGCATCAGTCTTTTATATTCTCCACCTTCTACTTCGTCATCATTAGCCAATGCTATAGCCATGCCACCTAAACAATCCAACTCAGTTATACCCCCAGATTCATCTAGTACTTTGTCTACATCAACAAATACCATGTTCCAAACCCCATCACCAAAGAGATCACGCACAAATTCATCTCCAACCAGAGGCCATCAAAAATCTGCATCGATTTCAAATTCGTATTCGTCGGCAAGTTTTGCTTTGAAAGCGGTATATAATGATTCCAGCGATAGTCTTTCGACCAACAATTATCAACACCATCATGGTCATGTTTTCTCTTCTAGTCTGATACCAAGATCAACCACATACACAGGCACACCTATATCAACTATTGTGGAAAGTCCTACCAAGGTCAGAGAAGGGAACGATGTTGTTAAAGCACCTACTCTTACCCCAATAACATTTTCTGCTCATAGTGCATCTAAATTACCTCATGCAACCAAGAAGCCAAGACCAACCAGTTACCATCCCGCCTCGATGTCATCCACATTCAACAACAACAGCAGCAGCAGCAACAACAGTAGTAATAATGAATACATTAAAATGCCCAAACCTACCAATGTTCCAATTGCTCAATACATATCCACTTCACCTCCAAAGTCTGAACATTCACCTACCAAGGAAGCTCCTTCAAGACGCAACTCGGTGGTTACACATGTAAACGTTAATGGCGTTTTAAGCAACCAGAGTAGCACTATCTTGAGTAATAGTCCAAACACTAAGAGAAACCTGATGGTGTTGAGTTATTTGGAGGACAAGATTGACACCTTGGAGTTGACCGAGAGTCATTCACCTACAAAGGATATTGTTCCTGCGGCTAATGATAACATTGAGTATGTGAAGGATGACAGCAAGGACGAGACTCAAACTTCGTGTGTGGAAAAGTCTAATGAAACCGTTGATGTGATTGTTGATAATGAAGCTAGACTGAGTCGTGAGTCTACGCCGCAACTGAATCCACCTTCCCCTCCAACTGATGACGAAATGACTGTCCCTATTGTCCCAATTGAAGAATACATTGAAAAGCCTCAAGTAGTGGAAAGGCCAGCCAAAGCCGAACAGGATTTCCCAAGTGCCAAATCGTTGGAGAGAAGAAACACTACATCATCACGTAGGGACAAGTATAATGAAGATAAAGAAAATCGGGAACAAAAGAAGAGGAACAGATTTAGTCTCTTGTCGTTCTATTCATACCAGTCTTCCAACGCATCCGTACATCTGAAAGAGACACGGAAGGTATTAGAACCACTGAACGACATGAACACTTCTTCCTCGTCATCAATACTGAAGCGGATCAGTTCCAATTCCTCCCATGGGTCCTCCAAACGCACAAGTATTAGCACTAGCTCCACTAGTAATGGCAAGGAAGCCAGTGCCGCTCGAAAGGTTATGGATTTTTTCAAGAGAAGGAGTATTAGAGCATGATTAGGTTTTTATAATCATTCACATTTTATTTAAAGTTGTTTTTTAGTTTTAGTTATTTTGTTAATAGTAAAATTTAAATTAGTCATTTTTGTTTACCTTTATTGGTATCCTGCATGTAAACCCCATACAAATTAAATACAAAGCTCATCTGTGCCCGCCCAAAAATGCAGCAGTTTTCCTTATGTTCAATGAATAAAAATGGAAGAATTGGAAAAAGAACATGATCCAGGGCTAACTGCTGATGAATCAGAAGAAGATGAAGTTTACACCTCCAGTGATGAAGAGTATGTCGATGAATCACTCGGATCAGCGATAATCCGGGAAATCATCCAAGGTACATACACCTGTTTGGTGTGTACTAGTGACATCTCCCCTGAGTCCAAGATATGGAGCTGTCTGCATTGTTATCGAGTCTACGATCTCGACTGTATCAAGGACTGGGCCACGAGAGGGTCGTCTACGGTAAATAGATCATGGAGATGCCCTTCATGCAATGTACTTACTCAGAAGATCCCATCCCGGTTCACCTGTTGGTGTGGCAAAGTTACCAATCCCACTAACGACGGTGTTAACGAAGTAATCCCGTTTAGCTGTGGTGATACATGTGGTGCCAAGTACCCAGGATGTGTCCATTCGTGTGTTCAGCAATGTCACCCGGGGAAGCACCCAGTATGTGGTGCCATGGGTCCCATGATGAGGTGTGATTGTGGCAAAGAGACTCGTCAATTACCCTGTTTGATCACCCCATATGAGGATGGGTGGAGATGCAAGTCTGAATGTGGTGTCAAGTTGTGTGATATGGGCCATGAATGTCAACGAGGATGTCATGATGGGTTCTGTGGTTTGTGTGAGCAAACTATCGAGATGAAGTGTTATTGTGGCGACAAGGTCCTTTCCATGAAATGTTTTGAGAAGGATTTGAGACTATGCGAGGATGGAAGAATTGGAATTGGTAGTTGTGGAAATACCAAGCAAGTCTTTTATGATTGTGATGTGCATTACGAAACGGTCGAGTGTCAACCAAATGTATCCGCCAAGCTCAAGTGTAAGTTCTCGCCAGACTTGATCACTACTTGTTATTGTGGGAAGACCAGGGTTGATGCCGGGAATAAAAGAACGAAATGTACTGACCCAGTTCCTGAATGTTCTAATGTCTGTGGGAAACTCTTGCCATGTGGTTGCACCTGTCGATTCAAGTGTCATAGTGGAGAGTGTGAATGCACCACCATCAAAGAAATCAAATGTCGATGCGGTCATGAATCTTACCTTGCCCCATGTAAGTTTATCCAACTGGGAACCCAACCAGAGTGTGATCACAAGTGTTCAGTATTGTTAAACTGCAGAAAGCATTACCATAGGGAGAAATGTTGTACCTATGAACAAGCTGGACTTGAACGTGAACGAAGCAAACGAAAGGCTATTAGGAACAACCTCCGAACAAACTTTCAGGATGATATCATGTCCATTGAAGCAGTGCATATTTGTACTCGTCCATGTAATCGTTTCAAGGCTTGCGGCAAACATGAATGTCAAGCATTGTGTCACAGTGGACCCTGTGATGTATGTTTAGAGTCAACCAATGATGATTTGGTTTGTAATTGTGGGAAAACAGTTATTCCTGCCCCAGTTAGATGTGGAACCAAATTGATCTGTCATGAACAATGTGTTAGAGAGACCAGTTGTGGCCATAGACCAGAACGTCACGAGTGTCACCCTGATGATGTGTCGTGTCCTAAATGTACTGTTTTAGTGAAGAAGATGTGTGATTGTGGAGCTAAAGAAATACCCGGTGTTTTATGTTCTCAAGAGAGAGTATCCTGTGGAAAAATCTGTACTGTTCCAAAAGACTGTGGACACCCATGTACTAGAACGTGTTCGCCAAAGTGTACTAAAGAAGATGTCCATCTTGATTCTTCTAGTTGTCAATCTTATTGTAAGAAGGTTAGAACCAATTGTCCTCATTTGTGTAAATTAAGGTGTCATTTGAACAAACCAGGCAGGAGCCCCAACTGTGATGTGGTTAAATGTACTGAAAATGTCGCTGTTCGTTGCGAGTGTGGTCATTTGGAAAGAACTGTCAAATGTGGAGCAACTGTTGATGAACCCTCCATTATTGGTACAATTTTGGATTGTGATGACACATGTGCAGCTGCCAAGCGAGATGCTGCTTTGAGATCTGCATTTGATGTTAGCGAGTCTCCCGAACCAGACGTGATTATTCCTTATTCGGATATAGTTACTAAAACATTCAACAGGCAAAGAACATGGTGCAGCCGTATTGAGAAAATTGTACGCAGTTTTGTTCAAGATTATAAAACGCAATTAGAGAATGGCGAATCACCAAGGAGAACTTATCACTTTGATCCGATGTCTTCTCCTCAACGTCAATTTATCCACGAACTAGCCAGCGCTTACAAACTCTACTCTGAATCACAGGATCAAGAACCGAAACGTTCAGTGTATCTTGTGATAACCAGGTTGTCACTCGTTCCTGAAAAGACCATCGAACAAGCTATCATTTATCAAGAAGCAATCGAGGCGGAAAGGCTCAGAGAAGCAGAGTTGAAACAGAATGATATCAATGAGGCATTATTCAATGCGATAGTCATACAAGATGTGTTCTTTGGTGTGGTAAAAGAAGACTTGGAATCTCAGTTGATGGAGCTAGTGCAAAAGTACAAGATTGAGAGTCCTGTATTCCAATGGATTAAGGATTCTACATTTGTATTCTACTCGACTGATTGGGTTAAGAATATGGATGTGGATCAGGAAAACAAATTGTATTTATTGCTGAAGGGGTTTAAGAAATTGGTACGTGAAAGGTCATTAGCATTTGATTGTAAGCTATGCCTTATTGACGATAGTACCAATTATATTTTAAAAGTTGAAACAAAAGAGGCATCCGAGCCAAGAGAAGAACTTGCTCCCAAGAGTAGTAATCCTAAGAATGGATTTGAGGTGCTACAAAATGATGAATTATCTATACAGGTGTAAGTAGTGTCTAATAATATGCATATATTATCTATGAAGATTCATTTTCAGCTGAAAGTTCAACAGGTTCGTTTGGTTTTTCAGCTTCTTCATTGGTTGCTTTAGCTTCCAGATCTTCCTCTTTTGCTGAATTAGCTTCAGATTCTGTAGTCGACTTGTGCTTTCTTCTTCTATTTGGTTTCTTTTTTGCCAGTTCAGTGGTTGGTTGTGGTTCGGTTTTCTTTTTCTTTTTTATACTTAATGGGTTTGGCTCCTTTGGACCCTTTCTCTTTTTCTTTGCTGATTCTTCTTCAGAAGCACCTTTTTCTTCTTCAGCTTTTCTCCTGGACTCTATTGAGTTCAATCCTGCAGTCAATTTCTTTTCTTCGAATTCTCGGGAATACTTTGCAGACACATCACTTAAAGGTTCCATAACCATGACGGAACGGTTCATAAAAATCAAGGGAACACCCGGGATCTTTCTCAATTTCTTCCTCAATGCTAAGTTTTGACAAGCGACAACATATCTATGCTTATTAACTCCATCAATGTCAACCACACTTTCAATGCATTCTGCTGGATCAATGGCATCACGATGATTACATCTTCTTCTTTCAAACGTCTTGGCCAAGTCTATAGCTGTTTGGTTCTTTGTGTCGTAGAGCGCTTGCATACAGCATTGTGTGATCATGGGTTTGATTTCACCTTGGATGGTCTTGGTGAGCCCGTTCATGAGATTATAGGATGCTTGAGTGATGTTGAGTACAAGCTCGTTGTCAAGAAGGACTTGGTAGGGTGAACGAAACTTGAATGTGTGATGGTAGATTGTCATCTGTTTCTTGTATGATTTAGCTCGTTTCTGACGCATTTTTGGATGGTTTCTATTAGTGTATGATGAGTAAATTATGTAGATGAAGATGTTTATACTCGATGAGATGTTCTGGTTTTTTCTTAACCAAGGAGGTCGTGTCTAGAGGACAGGATTTTTTTTTTGCACCCAAAGAATAGTAGAGACCTAGTGCCAGGCTTGTTATTTGATAAAATACTATATTAAGAACTCGTCAAATGTAGCGAATGACAGTTTCCAATCTACAAGATTCTATTTAAGGATAAAAGCAATCATTTTTAATCATGGTGTAGTGTCTCAAAGAACGAATCTATAGTTTCTATTTCATAAAATACAATATATTGTAAGGATTCCTATTACAATATACTCTCAGATGAAGATCAGTGCTGCTGTTTCTTCAAGTGAAAACTTGATCGAGTAGTAGCAAGAGAATAAACAGGCTATAAAGTATTTTCCTAGCTAAAATATGTTGAACAAAGACAATCTCAAAAATGAATCCAATTAAATATCTATAAAATATCTATAATAATACTATTGCTTCACTCCTTTTACAACAATAGGTATCATCCCCCCTGTAGGAATAGTGAATTTCCGATGTCCAATCACAGTAATAAACGACCTAATTGTTCCGGCATGAGAAGTAATGGAAATTACCAGATCATCATCGTCAAATAAATCCAGCAATACCCCATGTATCCTTAGAAATTGTTGATGCAATTCCTCTCTGATACTCAGGAACACTTTGTCGAATAGTACATCTTCTTCGGCAAATCCAGGTTCAAATTCAACATTAGGAAACATTTCCAGTATTTCTGTTTTAGTGCTTCGTTTATGACACAAGTGAACTCCGATTGTTTCTCTCAACTTGTCGATAACTACTGGGTTAGTATCGGGCCAAGTAATATTATGGGTATTTATTGACCTCGAAAGAGGCGAAACATAAAACTTGTCAGGCATAGGACAACCTTTACTCAACTGTAATTTCCATGCTTGGTGATTCTCCCTAGCTTGGTCAATGCCAAGTTGAGTTAATTTGGCATCGGGACCCCAAACGAGGTCTCCGTCAGTGCCTAAGTATCTCCACTTGGAAAACCAATCAGCCTTGGAGTACTTTTTAGTCACCACATTATGCCACCCTTGACCATGGCGGGCAAGGAACAATAACTTGTACCTTACACCAGATTCAGACTGCAGATTAAGTTCATCTAACCTTTTTATGAGATGAGACCACGGTTGCGCTGCCCCAAAGTCCTGGAGGGTATATCTGAACTCCATGTCATCGGTTTCAGCCGCTGACTGAAGGAAAAATCCATCCACAGGTTCAAAAAGCCACTTGGGCGTGGTTTGCGAGAGGTGGAAGTGATATTTTTTGTCTTGATCAAGATCTGCATGGGCATCTTGGTGATCACGCTTGTCGGGGACTAATAGAGACATGGGGGGTTGTTAAAGAGAAAGTCATAGAGAGATATATATCGGTGACTAATTTGGTATATAGTTCCGCGCGTCGTCTTTGTCGACGGAATTCCAGGTATAATTACAGGCAATAACACAAGCATAATTCCGTTACACTTTTTTTATTACCACTGTGATGATACAGTGAATGGGTTATAATTGAAGGGAAATGCATTGTTATTGGTTTAGTAGTATAAACCCACATTAACCGGCAATCAACTAGTTAAGGTTTCAAGATCTGTGTCGTAAATTTGCGACATTTGTGACAATGACGGAAAAACCGTGAAGAGAAAAAACCCAAATAGAAAATTTCGTTCTTTATCTCCAGCAACAAGATTACTTATTGCCGTAAATACAGACTAAAGCAATAGATATGTCCGAGCCAGATTCGTTGAAGGATGACGTTGTACCACAAGCCAATGAGAAAAAGGTGGATGGTGATTTAAACGTTGGAAGCGGAGAGACAACGCTGGCTGCTGAAGTCTCTACAGAAAGCCAGCAAGAACAAGACAAAGTTGCCGGAAAAGCATCAGACAAGCAATTAATCGAACCAGAAGAGAAATCCAAAGAGAAAGAGAAGGAGAAGCAAACCACAGAATCTTTGCACGATGGCGCTATTCCAGAAAATGAGGATGTTGAAGAAAAGCAAGTTGACGACATTGTAGAGGTAGTCAAACAAGAAGACGAAGAAACAAACTTAGAAAAGCAAGATAAAATCAAACAAGAAGAACCTGAACCAATGGAAATAGATGAAGTTGAAGCAAAGGACGAAAATTTAGAACTGGTAAGTTCAGAAATTGCCAAAGACGAAACAACCTCCGGAGAACCCAAGAAGCATGAAGTTTCTAATGGTGAAGAAGTCGAACCTCCACATAAGAAAATAAAACTAGAAGAACAATCCAATGGAATCAATGGTATTGAAAAGCTATCCACCCCATCATCAGAAAACAAGATTGTCGTTGTTCCACCCACAAAGCCACACTTATTCTATACACCTTTGAAAACAGGTTTAGTCTACGACGTTCGTATGAGATATCATGCCAAGATCTTTACTTCATACTTTGAATACATCGACCCACATCCAGAAGATCCTCGACGTATCTACAGAATCTACAAGAAACTTGCTGAAGCAGGACTTATTCAAGATTCGTCTCTTTCAGGCGTAAATGACATTGGACCCCTTATGCTCAAGATCCCCATCAGAGAAGCTACAGCTGAGGAAATCTTGGAAGTACATTCTGAATCTCATCTCAAGTTTATTGAATCTACTGAAACTATGACTCGCGATCAATTGATGGAAGAAACCGAAAAAGGTGACTCGATATATGTGAATAATGATTCTTACTTCTCCGCAAGATTGTCGTGTGGAGGAACAATTGAAGCCTGTAAAGCAGTTATTGAAGGAAGAGTTAAGAACTCTTTGGCAGTAGTTAGACCTCCAGGTCATCATGCTGAGCCCGACAGCCCTGGTGGATTTTGTTTGTTTAGTAATGTTGCAGTTGCTGCTAAAAACTTGTTGAAAACGTACCCGGAATCCGTCAGAAAGATTGTGATTATTGATTGGGATATCCATCATGGTAACGGTACTCAGAAATCCTTCTACAACGATCCTCGAGTTCTTTATATCTCAATGCATCGTTATGAAAATGGCCGTTTTTACCCTGGAACCAAATATGGAAACAGTGACCAAGTCGGTGAAGAAGAAGGTGAAGGGTTCAATATAAATATCCCATGGCGTAGTTCTGGTATGCATGATGGTGATTATGTCTATGCTTTCAACAAGGTTATTCTCCCCACAATCATCGAATTCGATCCTGATTTAATCATTGTCAGCTCGGGGTTTGATGCCGCTGATGGGGATATCATTGGTGGTTGTCATGTGACCCCTGCTGGTTATGGATACATGACTCACATGTTGAAAGGAATTGCCAAGGGGAAGTTGGCGGTTATTTTGGAAGGTGGGTATAATTTAGATTCCATCAGTAAGAGTGCTTTGGCCGTGGCTAAAGTGTTAGTGGGTGAACCTCCTGAGAACACTATCTCTATGCAACCGCATTTGGACGCCGTTGAAGTTGTGGATGAAGTTATCAAAATTCAAGCCAAATATTGGAAGTGCTTGAGACACGGTATTCCAAGCACGAGTTTTGACGATGTTTTTGATTTACCAGACGATACCAATTACAAGTTGGTTAATATTTCTGATACAATCAGATCACATCAAAATAATGAATTATTCAACAAATATTCGTTTATTAATATTCCCATCATTGGCACACTGGGCTCTCCATCTGATGACAAGGGGGCGTTCACGGTTGATTTACCGGCCCAACTTGAAGACATAATCATTGCTAGTCCCGATATTCATAACTGTACCACAATCATACTCCTGATTCACGATCCTCCTGATATTTGGGCTAACATTCACCCAGTAAGTGGGACAATTGAGGCTGGATCATCTGTGATTCTCGAACATCCACTCACGAAAATAATCGACCGCGTAGCTAAAGAAGAATCAGCGTCGTCAGAGAGAATTGGTTATATCGACATCAATATCCCATCATTCCCGCTCCCTATTCCTAGTTTCACCAAGTCGCCAAGTTCCAGCTACAATCCTACTATATTCGCGCAAGAGTTGTTGTTATACATTTGGGACAATTACCTTGCATATTTCTCAGTCAAGAAGCTTGTGTTTGTAGGGTTTGGGGATGCATACCAGGCGATAGTACATCTCTTTGGTAAGCGACCACTGAGTGATATTAAAGAGTTGGTCAAGGGAACAATTGCTTTTGTTAATAGGACGACCTTGAAGCCATTAGTCCCCGTGATGGACGAGAGCATGGTGGATTGGTACTATCAGAACTCAGTCGTGTTCACTAGTTGTTTGAACCCATGTTGGAGTGGTGTCAATGGGAACGGTAAGGATATGGACGAGACCAAGAGACCAAGAAGGAAATTCGGGCGAGTTTTGAAAGCTAGTGGCGATGGGTTGTATGATGTTATTCAAGAGCGATTCGATGAAGGGGTGGATTTTATTTTGGATTCGATTGAAGATTATTCATCGGAGGAGAGTAACAATTAGATAACTATGTAAATTTTATGTACTATTAATACGAAAATATGAAGTCTATTTAAACATAGCTAGGAAACCTTTTGGCAAATTGCTGTTCTAAAACTTCAATGTCTTCGTCATACTCGTCACTATCTTCTTTACTCCCTTGTAAATAAGCCGGCTTCCTAGGCTTGGGTGGTTTCTTCTTTTTCGTTTTGTTAAGACGATGTGAACTTAACGCTAACGGTATTTCAGGAGGTGTAAGCGATTTCTTGGACGATGATTGTGCAATCTTGACAGAATCAGAACTTACATTGATTGCATCAATGTCCTCGCCGACATTACCGCCTGTGAATCTGTCATATCCACCAGCCAGTTTCGTGGTCTTTTGTGAGTCACTAAATAACATTTGTATTCGTTTTTGGATGGATATTTTCTGGAGTGGTTCTTGAGTTTGGACTGATTCCAAAGATTTTCTTGATTCCTTTTGTTTGCCTCCAGTATGTTCACCAGTGAGTGTACTTTTGACTATTTCTATAGCTTCACTTCCAAGAGTACCAAAAGTTCCCAAGACATTCTCACCTGCTCTTCGTACATTATCAAAGGGTGTATCTGCTTTTCTTTCTCTTGATTTCAAAAACTCAAGTGTTCCATTGGTATCATTTTCAAATTCAAATGTATGCTGTTTGGGAAGTTCTGCCTTGACATGATCGTGGACAGACGGTGAAGACTTGTTTCCATGTGTGTACACTCTCGAGGTACTTTCTTCCGAATAGAATGCGGAAAGGGGACGTGCTGGTGGTCGTGGTGGATTAGAAGTGATCTTTTGACGAGTGAGTTTGTCAAGCATGACTGATTTATCAAGCATAAATGGATCAGTAGGTTGGTTGCCATTGGGTGCCTCAATTTTCTTGGCTGCAATTTCCAGTTTGCTTGAGTTGGTAGGCGCAAGAACGGGTTTTATAGGACCACGAGGTGGTTGCTTAACATTTGCAGCAGATTCAGCTTTGATTTGTTCCCGGACACTGTATGGGATAACATCTGGGATGGGAACGCCCTTCATGGCACAGATCTCACCTAGTAACTGGATGGCATTTGGTCTTCGTCTTGGATCACCACGGAGACACACTTTAATGACGTTCTTCATTCTATGAGAAAACATCAGTCCTGGGGCATCACGGAATCTCAAAGTTTCTCCACAGTTTAGAATCGTATCTTCCAATTCCGATAAACTTGTCTGGCTTGGGTGTTCAAATGGAGTTGTATAGTAACATAATTTGTACAAAAAGATCCCCAAAGCCCATATATCCAGCTTATCGTCGATGGGGAACCCCTTAGTCAAGTCAATCATTTCCGGAGCACGATATTGCGGGGTTGTATGTTGTTGTAATTCATCTCTTAGAAGTTGCAATTCTTGTGGGGATTTAGGTGGTGGCTGGTAAGGTACAGAACTTCCAAAATCACATAGTTTGAATGTTCCCTTGCCGTCAATCAAGACGTTTTCAATCTTGATATCTCGATGGATCAACGGAGGACGAAGGTTATGACACATGGCAACCCCGATAGTTACTTGATACATGATATCGACAATTTCTGGCTCGGTCAACTTGTTAACCAATCTGGTATTCATAAAATCGATCAATCCCTTACGTTCACAGTACTCCATAAGCAAGAACACTTCGTACTTCTGGGTAGAGTCATTGTCCAGTTTGGGTAACCTGGCAGCATGCGAATCGATATATGAAACTATGTGCTTGTTACCACGTAACCGTCTCATAGCATCTACTTCTTGTCTCAAAAGTGACAATTGCCATTTGCTAGGAACAACTACTCGTTTCAAACATGCAATGGAAGACCCGTGGAACGGTGGATCAACGGTACAGGTATACACATGAGCAAACCCACCTTCAGAGATGTATTTGATTATGGAGATTTGGTGGATCCCTACTTCAAGGTTAGTCCCTGGGGTAAGGGCATTTGGTGGTGGGGTAGGCATAGTTAATGAATTATAGCTATTAAATGCTAGATGAAAGCTTGGGGGGTTTAAGCTGGATTGGATGGTTGTATGGTTATGTGTAGGAGAAGTCAACGTTGGGCAGTGTCCTTTTTTCAAGGGTTGATGTTTTGATGTGAGACATTCCATACTGCATATAGCGACAAAGAAGGCTGGGGGAGCATCAATTGATTACAGAAATAGCCGAGGATTAATGAATCACAGAAAAGCTTGTAATGCTACAAACCATGTTTAGCCCTATAAGTGAAGAGATGCATCGAACGATTAAATATTTAAACATGCAAAGTTGAAATTGGAATGCAGGGTTGATAGAATATCTGAAGAATCATGGAGAAATATAGCTGAAATACCCAACCCTTTTGAAACGGTACTATTCACTTTTCTGAGAACATGTACCAATAGGACCAATCGAAGAAACCGTCAAAGATTGGGTTTGAGTCTGTTGAGTTATCTCTTTTAGCAACAACTTTCTGGTTGCAAAAATGCTTGACTACATTCTGCTTTAGTTTCGCGCGCATTAAACTGAAAATCAAAAAAAAAAAAAAATATTTACGGTATAGTCTGTATACTCATCTCATCACACTACATCACCAATGAGACTATACTTTGACTCCGAACCCTATCTCAAACCATCAACAACCCAAAAGGGTTCACTCCAATCGAGGATCTTCTCTGATCTGTTGAAATCGTCGCCAAAACAAGTCTATGCCTTAGTCTACTCAACACTCAAATACCGTCCATACATCCAACAAGTGATCAAGAAATCAAAGATTGAAACTTCTCCAAGCATAAAGAAACTCCGTATTTCCCGCGAATTGCTCGAGATGCTTGTTCATGATTTATGTTTCAGTGCTCGTGGGAGAATAAACAGCGGTAACCATCCAATTAAAACCGCATTCTTGGAACACAAGACAAGATTAGTTGCAGAATTCACAAAATTGAAATTAAAGTATAAAGTCAAGGATGTGTCTGAATTGGCAGTCGAAGAAGAGAACGACGAAACACCAGTGCGTTGGTTTAGAATCAATACTATCAAGTGTAATTCCGAAGACTTCTTTGACAAGCATACCTGGTTTGCCAAATTACAACCTGTAAACTCCATCAAAGATATTACAGATTGCGGAATGATATACAAAGACGATTACATCCCCAATCTTTACGGTATTCATCCAAAGGAGAAACTAACTTCAACTGATGCATACAAACTGGGAGAAGTTATTATTCAAGACCGTGCCAGTTGTTTCCCGGCCCATATCTTGAACGAAATCAACGACTATCATGATCAAGTAATTGATGCCTGTGCAGCACCAGGGAACAAAACTACACATGCAGCATCATATCTTGTCAAACCTGGCTCAATAGTATATGCATTTGAAAGAGACGCCAAACGTGCACAAATTCTTAAAAAGATGTGCGCTATCGCAACAGGTGACAAAGACTTGATTCACATTACCCATTGTGATTTCACCAGTACTACTCCATCAGATTTCCCCGAAGTTACAGGATTGGTGGTCGATCCATCCTGTAGTGGCTCGGGTATTTTCGGACGTGCATTACAGGATTCTCTTAATGATAATGCGGGCGAGGATGAAGTTGACCTTGAAAGACTTAATAAACTTGCTGGGTTCCAGTTCAAAATTGTCAAGCATGCCATGTCGTTTCCTAAAGCTAGGAAAGTTGTTTATTCAACATGTTCGATCCATGCCACTGAAAACGAGCAAGTTGTGGTTGATCTACTTAGAGACGGTGAAATCAAAAAAATGGGATGGAAATTGGCACCAAGAAGTATGGTGCTTTCTAATTGGGAGCGTCGTGGATGGGAACAAGAATTCACGTCGATTGCTGCTACCAATGAAGAATGTGTTAAATTGGCAGGCGGTTGTGTGAGGGCTAACCCTAAAGAAGATGGAGGCATTGGGTTTTTTGCTGCATGTTTCATCAGAGGCAAGAATTATGATGAGACACAAAATCAAGATATGGAATACGAAGATGTAAAGGAAGAACTAGAGGAAGAAGAAGAAGAATGGACGGGGTTCGACTAAGGCATTTTTCAGTACACCGGCAACAAAAAAGCCACATTTAGCGGCCCGAAAAGGAAGGTTTGTGTTTGATTCATGGCGTACCTTAGATAATCTATTGTCTCATTGAAACCAGTTTTATTTTCTGGCGGTAATTAACTCGCGCGTTCGCCCGGATTTATTAGGGGGGAGGGATAATACCAAAAAAAAAGCCAAACAATCGGGTGAATGCTTGCGGTTTCCGGAAGGTGTAATATAAGCAATAAATCGTGCATGAGGCAAGCCGTGGAATTTAATGCATGTGTGCCGACGCTATCTATTAATCCGACATTAGTTATGTAGTAGATCTTAGATATAGAATATAATAATGATAGACTATTTTCAAAGATAGAAAAAAAATCGGATCGTTATATCCACGGATTGCTGATTATCTCTTTTATAGATACCGTATCTTTCCTACTCCACAACTCCGCGGCTCCAAATGATTACATCACAAAATTTTAACCCACACTAGCCTTGCTACTGTTACTCCTTTCTAAAGTGAAATTGTGCCATAGAAACTCGGTTATTTCTTGTAATTTTACCGGTTCTTTTTTTTTTTTTGGTGCCGTACGAGCAAACGGAAATTGCAATTAAAATCAAAACAAGGTAATTTATGCAGTTATCTACATGCATCATTCAATTCCAAATCGCAAGAATAAGAGATTCAATTATGTCAAAGTGGCTGACCCCTCCATAAACGCATAATCCTTATAGTCATTTACTATTTCTCCATTAACTAGCAAATTGTTAATTTAATGCTGCAATATTATCCATCTTCTAAACCGGCTTACAAAAAAAAATACAATTACCCCAAACGGAATATTTTCCGCTGTCAAAAAAAAAGCAACTAATAATAAATTCCATGCTAAAAAATAAATCAACAAAATATTCTTTCTCTCTGTTTTTTTTTTTGCAATTACTTTTGGAGCCTTGAAACGAGTGGCTAAATGATAAGAAAAGATACCGGGGAAGATCGCGAATTGCAGCACAAGATGTAATTATCAATAGATCCAAATGCCTTTTTGAGCCACCGTAGAGAATCCACCACTGTTTTTTATTTGCATTTTTTGTTCCAAACATTTAAACGGCTTCTCAATGAAACCACACTATGATTCATAACCCGCGGGCAATCGGGCTAAGTTATTGTGACAAAATTCATAGTTAATTTCTCTTTAACCTTAATACGAAAACAATGGAGATTTTCAAATCACGAAATTATTTGTGGCCGTATGTCTCCTCTTGATATAAAATAAACGAAGCGAAATTGTTCTTATCAATTAGTCAAACCCCAACTGTATGCCACACCCTAATTAATTATCTCTCCTCTTTCCCCCACTGGCTAAATTTCTTTGAATTATAAATATTTCCCGTTTCCACCACTTTCCCAATCTTTCGATTTATACTCTTTTCTCTATTCTAAGCTAACTCTAATTAATAATGGATAGAATCAGGTCAGTCCTTAGTAGTAAGGATCCTAAAGATACTTCCATCGTGGAAGAAAAAGTCCTCAATGATGATTTCGAAGCTGATAAGAAAATCGATCTTGAACTTGTTGTTTCCAAGTCCCAAGAATTCGATCCAGTCACATCCCACTTAATCAATGATATTATGAGCGATGATTACGCTCAAGTGACTGTCGAAGATGATTCTCCATATCCTGAAGTTAGAGCTGCTGTTCCTTCTACTGATGATTTTACCATGCCTCAAAACACCATCAGAGCTTGGACTATTGGTCTTATCTTGACCACTATTGGTTGTGGTATGAATATGTTGTTCAGTTTCCACTCTCCTTCTTTCGTGGTTACCACTTTTGTTACTTCCATTTTAGCTTGGCCTATTGGTAGATTCTGGGCTTGGGTTGTTCCTGATGTCAAAATCTTTGGTGTTTCTCTTAACCCTGGTCCATTCAACATCAAAGAACATACCATTATTACCATTATGGCTAATGTTTCCTTTGGTGGTGGTGCTGCTTATGCTACTGATATTCTTTTAGCTCAAAACAGATTCTACAACTCTGATTTCGGTTGGGGTTTTGATCTTTTAGCTATTTGGTCTACTCAATGTATTGGTTTTGCTTTAGGTGGTGTTGCTAGAAGAGTTGTTGTCTACCCAGCTGGTGCTATTTGGCCATCAAACTTGGTTACTGCTACTTTCTTAACCAACATGCACATCAACGAAAACCACCCTGCTAATGGCTGGAAGATCTCTAGATTGATGTTTTTCTGTGTTGTGTTCACTTGTTCTTTTGTTTGGTACTGGTTCCCAGGTTTCATTTTCCAAGCCTTGTCCTACTTTTCCTGGATTACTTGGATTAAGCCAAACAATGTTATCATTAACCAAATTTTCGGTTCTAGTTCCGGTTTAGGTATGTTCCCAAACAACATTGCTTTAGATTGGAATCAAATTGCTGGTTATATTGGTTCTCCATTGATTCCACCCGCAGGTACTATTGCCACCATTTTCCTTTCTATTGTTGTTATTTTCTGGGTCATTGTTCCAGCCCTCCACTACTCCAACGTTTGGTACGCTCAATACTTGCCAATCTCATCTTCTGGTTCTTATGACAGATTCCAACAATCTTATAACGTCAGTCGTATTATTGATCCAAAGACCTTGACTTTTGACTTAAAGGCATACCAAAACTATTCGCCATTATTCTTATCCACCACCTTTGCCATTTCTTATGGTTTATCCTTTGCATCCATCTTGGCTACTTTGTCCCACACTGCTTTATTCCATGGCCGTGAAATTTGGCAACAAATTAAATTAAAGGAAAAGCCAGATGTTCACATGAGATTGATGAAGAAGTATAAGGAAGTCCCAGATTGGTGGTTTATGATTGTTTTCTTGGTCTTCTTTGGTTTATCCATTGCTACTGTCCGTGCCTGGCCAACTGAAATGCCAATTTGGTGTTTGATTGTTGCATTATTAATTGCTATTGTTTTCTTATTACCAGTTGCCATCATCTTCGCCAGAACCAATATTGCCGTTGGTTTGAATGTTGTTACCGAATTCATCATTGGTTACATGTTGCCAGGTAAGCCACTTGCTATGATGTTCTTCAAGACCTTTGGTTATATTACTAATAATCAAGCTGTTACTTTTGCTCAAGATATGAAGTTAGGTCACTACATGAAGATTGCCCCTCGTATTTTGTTCTGGGCCCAATTAGTTGCTACAATTTGGGGTTCCTTAGTTCAAATTGCTGTTTTGAGATGGTCTTATGGTAACATTGACAACTTGTGTGCTGCAGATAACGCTCAACACTACACCTGTCCAAACGGTAGAGTCTTCTTCAATGCCAGTATCATTTGGGGTGTCATTGGTCCACAACGTCAATTCTCCCAAGGTCAAATCTACTACGGTTTACTTTTCTTCTTCATTATTGGTTTATTCACTCCAGTTATTAACTGGTTGGTTCTTAAGAAGTGGCCAAACTCCCCAATCAAGTACTTGCACTGGCCAGTCTTCTTCAGTGGTACTGGTTACATTCCACCAGCCACTCCATACAACTATACCAGTTTCTGTGCCGTTGGTCTTACCTTCGGTTGGTGGATTAAGAAGAAGTGGTTCCACTGGTGGACCAAATACAACTACTCCCTTTCAGCCGGGTTAGATATCGGGTTGGCTTGGTGTACTTTGTTCATCTTCTTGTGTTTGAGTTTAACAAACACCAATGCTCCAAGTTGGTGGGGTAACAATGTTATCAACACTTTGGATTTCAATGTTGATACTAATGTCAGAGTTATCTTACCTGAAGGACAAGCTTTTGGACCAACTAGTTGGTAAAGAGTTTTATTTTTATAGTTTATGTAATAATTTAATGTATTGAATAATAAGACGTGTACATAGTGTATGACTGAAAGTTTGTTAGAATCATGGATGCTTAAGTTAATAGGAGTGTAAATTTATAAGTGAAATGGGTTCATCATTTATAGCTTACGTTATGTCATTGCCATGTATCTGATTGGTCTTTAGGAGTATTCAATTAATTTGCAGACATTTTGCCACATCCTGCACACTAGTCATCGTATACTGGTGATAGGGGCTCGCTCAGAATACGAGCTGTGCCTTAATGCAAGTTAAAAGTTTTGACAGCAATCAAAAGGAACAATATGTACAGAAGATAACAGATAAGAAGATATGGCTTATTTTACGTGTTTGTTTTTCTTTACAGCCAATGATGTAATCTAATAGAACTCCAGTGTAAATGGAAGAGCAACTACTTCTATGCATCTCGTTCCCATCGTTTAACCTGGTTCGCGCACGTATGCTAAACGATCTTCGTTTTATTTCTTTTTTCTTTTTTTTTTTTTTTTCTTTTATTTTTTAATTTCCAATTTTTCTTTCTTGCGCGTATAAATAAAAAACAATCTAAGATCTTCCAACAAGAAAATTTAGACATCTTTCTAACACATACAAATATCCGTCATGTCTAGTGTATATCACGACTATTCGACATTTTCAAATGTCACTAGTTTTGCCGACTCATTCGCTAACTTTCGTCAACTTGACAACTTGAATTGGTTCGAACAAATATGGGGAGCTTACTATTATTATATTGGTAATGATTTATTCGCTACTGGATTATTATTCTTTTCCGTCCATGAATTATTTTACTTTGGAAGATGTCTTCCATGGGCTATTATTGACCGTATTCCTTACTTCAACAAGTACAAGATTCAAGATGAAAAGATTCCTTCCAATAAAGAACAATGGGAATGTCTCAAGTCAGTCTTGACCTCTCACTTCCTCGTTGAAGCCTTCCCAATCTGGTTCTTCCACCCATTATGTCAAACTATTGGTATCAGCTACCAAGTTCCATTCCCAAGCATCACTGAAATGCTTATTCAATGGGCCGTTTTTTTTGTTTTGGAAGATGCTTGGCATTATTGGTTCCACCGTGGTCTTCACTATGGTGTTTTCTACAAGTACATTCACAAGCAACATCACAGATATGCTGCTCCATTCGGATTAGCTGCTGAATATGCCCATCCTGTTGAAGTTGCTCTTTTGGGTCTTGGTACCGTAGGTATTCCAATTGTTTGGTGTATGATTACAGGTAAGCTTCACTTGTTCACTGTTTGTATTTGGATTGTAATGAGATTATTCCAAGCTGTCGATGCTCATTCCGGTTATGAATTCCCATGGAGTTTACATCATTTCCTTCCATTCTGGGCTGGTGCTGACCATCATGACGAGCATCACCATTACTTCATTGGTGGTTATGCCAGTAGTTTCAGATGGTGGGATTACGTGTTGGGAACTGAGGCCGGTCCTAAGGGGAAGAAGCAAAGAGAAGAAAAGATGAACAAGAAGAATCTTTAAACATTGGGAACTCTGTTCCGCAAAAAAAAAGGTTGCTATAATATATTATAACTTAATTCATAAATATACAAAGACATAGACAGTAACAATTGCATATATATACAGATAACTAATTATTCTTGCTCTTTTATCCATTCAGCATACTCCCGTCTTTTGGCAATAACATCAACAAATTCAATTCGGTTGTCAAATCTATCATACTCACTCACACCAACAATTTGATCCAATTGCAGCGCATCAGTCGCCCTGATCGGCTTGAGATATTGGGAATCCATGGTGACGACTTCATTATCTAAAGTTAATGCTGGCGAGTTTTTGATTGATGTTATGCTGCCGAATACAATTATCACCGTGGCAACTATGGTTTCAACAATTATATCCAAAGGTAGAGCGGAATGGATTGTGTGACTGGCAAGCTTGTGATGCTCGAAGGCAGAGTAACCTGCATGAGTAAGGAGAAGTATTCCTATGGCGTAGAAGAGCATCGTGTGATAGTGGTAAAGAGTATGTTAGTTTAAGTGGTTGTCAGCTATTTTTTTTTTTAGTGAGATTTGCAGGTGGTTGAAATGACAAAGACTTTGCCTAGTTGTGGCGGGAATGATGACTACATTGGTACAACCGAAAAGAAACGCGTTCTATATGGAGTAGCTAGTTGTAAATATGTCATATACTCGTACGTTGTAAATGAAGAACGTCATAGCAAGTGTTTGATAGGTTGCTGCAACAGCAACAATTGATATGGCACGGGCTACAACTATAAAACAGGAGTAATTTGGGACCACAAAAAGTGGAGTCATTAAGTAGAAGTAGATAGCTACTATTACTACTAGTAGTTACATAGTGTTATCTAGAATAACACGTAAACTGTATCACATTTGTCACGTTAAAAACGGACGGTTTTTAGTAAAAAGGTTATGAAATCCATTTTTCCGGTGATGCTTGAAATTACGCCCCAAAAACTTATCATTTCAAATTTCGATACAATTGCTTATTTGGAAGCAACATACATCAGAATGACAATGTCCGACGAGAATTCAAACGCAAACCAGTCTAATGGTGTAAATGCACCTACCTCCATTACATCGTTAGATTGCAAGATTCTTCAATACCAATATGCTATAATGAAACTTGAAACGCTACTCAAACTCACAAAGCACATTATCGACAATCAACAATTTCCGCTCATGCATTATATCACCCTTTTACCAGCCAATATATTTTCCATAAACGATAAGGCTTTTGATGCTAAGATCGAGCTTTTGTCAAACTTCGAGTTATTTAAGAATACTCCGATTACTATCAGTGCCCTCACGTCTCATATTCCCTATGATACCGCGGACACCGCCGTTGTGCCATTGGAAACATTACCTGAGTTAACAACCGCGATTAAATGTGTACGTGCATTTGAATCTTTGTGTACCACGTGCTTACAGGGTTATCGTAAGCGGTTGGCAGCTGCCCAGACGGAAAAGCCTAATACATATGGTGGTGAATTAGAGAGAATTATCAACGAAGATATATTAGCTATGGAATTGAAAAGTGAAGATTTCACATTCCCCAAACCCGAAGATTGTGACTTCAGTGATCCGGATTTCCTCGATGCAACCTTGATAGACATCGATATCAAACAAGTGTTCACGGTATGCAGCCATCTTGAGACTATATTGGATAAGCTCAAGCCCCAAATTGACGAATTAAAGAAGTGCAATCTTGATACTATGTCATACCATCTCCATAGAATATTCTTAATTACTTTGCATATGAATGAAACATACACCAGTTTCCGCCGGTACGGACGCAAAATTTATTTATCCAATTATGACCATCTTACTGATTCGAAATTCGTGATACAAGCGAAAAACCAAACACATTTCAGAGGTTTATTGAGTAATATGGATGAATTGTTCAATTCAGGAAAGAAAAATGGGATTTTAATTGCTAATTTAACAAGACTTCTTCGACAAAGTGCCGAATTTGAAGTCAATGCTAAGAACATTCAATTGTTAATTAACTTTGTTAATCAAGGTTATCTCATGCTTGAGAATTCAATGACCAAATTGAAGCAGTTTGGACTTAGTTGGGTACTCACGGAATTGAAGTTTAGACGAGCTTACAATTTACCCAAGAAGAATTTGTTTGAATTGTTTCAAACCATTCCGGAATTTAAACAACAGCCTAAAGAACAGCCCAAGCCTACATTAGTTTTACCCAATAGTAACATTAGCAACAACAAATTAGAGGCATTTCCATCAATATCCAATGATAACAATAATAGACTTCGGGCACCATTATCACCACTTAGAAGATCACGTTCATCGTCGAATTCCAGTATATCTAGTATTCCAAGTATTAATGGCCAATTATCAGTTCCATCGAGTAATACTCGAAGATCGGTATCTCCTAAACCAGTTTACACTCAAGAGAATGCATCCACTTCAGTTATTCCTAGTGGTTCGCCTACCCGAACAGTTGGTACCAGAAGAAGATCTAATTCTCAACCTATTGGGAATTCTGGTGCGGCGACGAGTGGTGCAGCAGCAGCAATTACTCGAACAGGAAGTATTTCGTCCTCGCTTCAGAATGAATTATCTCGTCGAAGATCTAATGGAAGTATCAGTTCACCATTACGTAACAAACCGGCAGTTATTGCTGAAGAGGAGAAATCAGAAACGAAAAAGACAAGTAGTGCTGCTGCTGCTGCCACAGCCGGTGCTGCTCTGGCTGTTGCTGCAAATACTGCCAAGGCATCAGCATCACAAAGGTTCCAACAACATCTTAAACAGGGTGCTAAAAATGGTGCTAAAAATGGTGCATTGATGACACAAACGGCGGCCAAATTAACCACGATGACTTTTGATCCTAACAATCCTTCAAAAGTGCCTCTTAGAAAGTACATTGACCCTCCAGCACCTCCACCAGCGCCAGCTCCTATTTCATCATCGCCTCCTAAGGTGTCACCTATTAAAAAGGAAACTGTGACTCAAAGAAATACCCGAGCTAACTCGGTGGTTATGTCAGAATCAGAACTCCTGGACATAACCTCTGAATCTATTACTAGTAGTTCCAGTTCAGTTAATGGTACCGGAAAGAAGGTGAGGTTTACTGGTGTACCTAAATGGACGGAGGCTGAGGATGCACCTACAAAATATTCCCATACTATATTGAGGAACTTTGGTGTGTTTAGAAAACCAGTCAGATTAGCCAAGAGTGACCAACTATTGAAGGAGGAGAGTATGAGTTTTAGACATAGCAAAGTGTGATAGTTCTATATTTCTATTTAATGAGTAATGTTTAGAATATGTATTTCTTTTGCAACAAACAATCTGAGTTTCGGGAGTTGATTTTTTTTATTTAGCAACCACCAAAATTTTTTTTCACTCATCTCTTCTCAAAAAATCGGAAAGTGAACATATTCATCAGAACTATACCCGTCCATCCCATAACACATACGATGTCAGTAGAAGTAAGAAAAAGACCAAGGGATGATTCCACTCCTATTCGTTCTAAGTTAGAACCACCCAAGTCAACCAATCCAATTGATGAAACCACCCAACTTTCACAACCATTCAAGAAGATCACCACATCACTCTATGTTTCATTAGCACCCATGTATATAACCGACCCCATCACCGGAATAAAATCACAACACTTGGACCAGTTGCTCATGACTTATTTCCCCAAGGCACAAGGTGTTGTTATTGGATACTCCAACATAAAGTTGGAAGAAGACGATGGAGTAGCCAAGATTGAAGGTAGTTCTCCATTCACATTCTTATGGATTACCGTTGATTTCCTTGTCTGGAGTCCACAAGTGGGAGATGTACTTGAGGGAGATATCTACATGAGCACAGCATCTCACTTGGGGTTGTTGATTGGTGATACTTTTAACTGTTCTGTTAGAAAACACGGAATTCCTCGAGATTGGAGATTTGTTCCTATTCAACAAGACGAAGTTGAAGAAGAAGGTGAAAGTAAAGGACGTGTAAAGAGTTTCGGATACTGGGTTGATGAAAATGAAGTCAAAGTTGAAGGAAAATTGAAGTTTACTGTCAAGGCATTGCATACTACCGGTAGAGTTGTTTCTATTGAAGGTACTTTAATTCAACCTGGTCAAGAAATAAGTGCTCAACCAGTTAAATCTGCCGAAAAGTCAGGTAAACATATGAAATTCGATGAAGAAGATGTCACCACTGTTGATATCGCTGTTGACGAAGAGGATGAACAATTACCAGGATATATAATTAACAGTGACGACGAGCAAGATGAAGATGCAGCAGTAGTGGTGAATCATGAAGAAGAAGATTCTGAAGCAGTAGAGTCAGATTAGTCAATGTGTATTCTATAAATTAAACTATTATTTACAAGATTTTATCTCATTTTTTCATCATTAATCATTCTCCAAATAACATCCTTCTCTCTACTGGTAGGACGATCAAACTTCCGTCGACCACGATTTTGACGTCCTGGTCCAAACCAAAATCTTTGTAGTAGTGTCATTTTAGGTTTGAGAGGAGGAGGAGGGGGAGGGGGTGTAGGTATATGAACATGGGGTTGGGGTAATGGTTTAGAAGCTCCTCTTGTTCCCATCATGGTTAACTTTTGAACTTTATGCAACTTGTTGAAATTCATCCATGTTATTAAAAGACCCTGGATAAGAGAGATAACAATCACTGCCCCAAATCCAAAGTTTGATTCTTCAATATAGTTCTTCAAATTCATACCATAAAACGCTGGAACTAAAGTAGCAACTGTGAATCCCAAAGTGTATACTGTAATTTTCAATTCGAATAACATAAGCGAGTTACGATTTGCATCCAAGATAATATTGACAATTTCTTCGGTAGCTTTAATGTCATTCAATAAACTTCCAGCATGTTGGACAAATTCATCGCATTGTCGGTAGTAACTTTCCAACAACATTTCCAAATCATCATAATCTTCAAACTCAGGATTGAAATGTTTCTGTTCGCTCAAATACATCCCGGCCAAATCTTCATCGTTTTCTAATAATTCCTCGAGAACATCTCTAATTAACACTGCCTTTTGATAGAAACTTGACAATTTCTTCAGTCGAATCAACAAATCTTGCAACTTGTGTCTATCGACTTGATCTTCCAATTCACTAAGGATCACCCCACAACTAGACTCGTGCAATTTAATCTCGGTCTCCAAATAGCTCATTACATTAACCAAAATACTTTCCAATGCTCGAAATTCAAACGGTAACCCGTGGCCATGGACACCGGGCAGCTTCAACTTTAATTCGAGATCATACATAAACACTCCTAACTTGGTAGCTGCTTCCGAGGCACTAGTATCGAAAATCATAACACAGTCTCGTTTAATAATGGCTTTTATATGGAGCAAGTTTACTAATATCGCGTCCAGAGGTCTGATCATGATTGTAGGGGCAACATCAATTGAAGAAGTATCGATTTTTCGCAAATCTCTCGGGTAGAGATGATTATCCTTGAGGAAGGTTGTTTTGGGGTATTTCTTGGATATGGCAGTAATGGTTCCATGTTTGTCAAAAGTGGTGCATGATACATAAAGGTCGTTGGGTGTTACTGGTTTGATTGGCAATGCTTCATTGGGTCGAGTGGTTGTAGTGTTTGATCTGGTTATGCGAATAGGAGAAAAAGGAAATGCAAGAGGAAGTTTTCTAGGTCGTAGCGTAGGTATTAGTCGTGAAAATAAGGACATGATGAAAGTTATAAAGTATAAACTGGTTGTATTAGAATGTCAACATATGTTTTATGTAGCAAGGTGTAATTACTAAAGGGATGTTGCTAATTATTTCATAATGGCAAAAATGCGATACGGAAAATTTTTTTTTTTTTAGGCGGTGGAATTAAGGGCTCTGCGAGATAAACCCGAATGGGTGAAACTAACAAACATTTATTACGATATATAAACAAATAAACTAATCGAAAAACTTTCTTGTGGCAGAAGGACCAAACAATTCTAATCTAAGAGCAGGCAATGCTTCTTCTGACAATATCTTTAATCTTTCTTCTAAGGTATTATTGACTTCAATCTTACCAGTACCATTGACCACAACAACACCACCAGCAATATCTTTACTCAAGAAATCGGTTTCATTGACGACAATTTCCACTGGAAACTTGGCCTTGGCTTCAAAATTAGCAGCAGCTTCAACAATAGCTTCTTGGGCAACTGCTACATCTTGTTCTCTAACTTTAATGCTAACTTTTCCTTCCATTAATGCTAATAACCCTTCTTCAATTAATCCAGTTAATACAGGTAAATATTTTTCCTTTGAAGTAGTCAACTTCTTCAAGTCGGCTTCAGCAGCTTCAAAGATTTCAGTCAATACTTGGTCTTTGGCAGAAAGAATTCTTAATCTGGTCTTGTTGGAGATGGTGGATTTAGTGATTTGTTGAGCTAAAGATGCCTTCTTTAACTTGGCTTCGTAGTTGGCATCAATTGCAGAAGTTTCTGATCTAACAATTGAGGCCTTTTCAATTTCATATTCTTCATCGGCCTTCAATTTAATTTCCTTGGCCTTTTCTTTAGCTTCCTTTTCAATGAAAGCTTGCATTTTGGTAAGCTCAGATTTTACCTGGAATTTGTTAGTATAAATTGAACAATCAAAGCATATCTTAACTAAAACATACTTGTTCATCGGATAATGTCATCTTGGATTCTTAATTGATGTTCTATAATAAGGATGTGAGGTTTAATTCCTGCCTACTCCTTATAAGACTATTTATTATCGACAGTGGGAAGAGAAAGGAAAAATAGCGACCAATGTCTTAGCCACGATTTTTGCCAAAGTACACGACCTACTAAATTTCACATAGTATTTTGTTAGTGTGTACACAGTTAGGGTCACCACAGTAAATGACAAACATAATAAATAAATATATACTTAAATAATTTTATCCAAAAAGTTTCTTGCTAATTCGACACCCAAGAAAGTGGCAGCGTTAGCTGGGAAAGATCTGGCCAAAGCAGGTCCCACCCCAGGGAAGAATGCCTTTATACCACCCTTGGCATAAATATTCTTTGTGGTTTGTACAATTGAAATTGGGACATTCGAGGATTGTTGGGTTGATTTGATGGTATCAATTGGGAAAACACCCAACCACATAGAAACACCAGCAAATCCACCTGCAGTCATAATAGCCACCAATGACAATTCTTGATCATCTTTACTCAACTTCTTCTTCAAGATTTCATAAGTTGCAAAATATAACGCTGATCCAGGACCATCTCTGCATAACGTGGCAACTGAACCCTTAAAGATGGATCTAATACCACCAGTACGGTACATTTCTGCAACAACACCACCCATACCCTTGGATTTGTTACCTTCTTGAATTTGCATCATGACCTTGACTCTTTCAAAAGGAGCAGCCACAAGAGTTGTTGGAATAGCACTAATGAAACCAGCAGTAGAAATTTCCTTAACATCAAATTGACTAATATCCTTACCAGTGTAAGAAGAAACAATTTTCTTACCAACATCATAACCCCAAAAGGAAACAGCAAACATAGGAGTAACACCCAACAATGGAGGTAACACCCCACGGTATAACCCTAATAACCCATCCTTGGCCACGGTTTGTTTAACACATTGTACCGATGAATTGTATAACCCTGTTTGCAATCTAACTTTGACCAAATCAAACGGATGACCGGTTAAAACGGCACAAATACCACCAAACCCACCGGAAGCAAATGATTTGACGTTGTCAACCAAGACGTTGGTCTTTTGGTGTTCGGTTTCTAATACTGAATCAACTTCGTCCATTGTGAATGAGTTATAACCTGAAGAACTAAAGAGATATCTATGATAAAGTCAAACGAAAACTTGTTGAATGAAAAGAAACAAAACTAGAAATGAGAAAAATTTTGGAAAATCTGGGGATTATTTATCTTCACGGGCAAATGAAAAATTAGAACAAAAGAAACCTCGGAGTTTTTTTTTTTTTCGTCTTATTTTTTTAAAAGAAATTGTTTTTTTTTTTTGGCTTGGCTGTTTCCTGTCTTTGCCCCACCCCCACTTTCTGCATAATTCCAACAGTAGTAGGACATACGGAATAGATTTACATTTGACGTATAAATGCTTATATTGAATTGGAATATCATTGTTTATATTGTAATAGAAAATATCCCAAGGAATGACTGGGTACTGCCCTCCCCCTTCCGTAAAGATAAACATCCTGCCTGGGCGCACACCCTATTTTTGATTTTCCCGTCAATGTGGGGCGATGTCATCCTCGGATGTTAGAGCGTTCCCACTTTGATTTCACAATGACAAATCAGGCTTTCTATTGTTCAATGATACCGATCACAATGGTAACGAATTAGATAGCATGAAAGTCAGATAAAGCATTTTCACCTTGTGCTTTAGTTTGAAAATAATTTTCAATTTCAAAAAGTCTTGGTTATTATTTCAACTTTTTTTTTATGCAAGGTGATAGGATCTAATATTTCAGAAACCTCCAGAGAAAATAAAAAGGTTATCTGATTATTTTACTCTAAAATATACCCCAGAAATTTACATTACTCTCGTTTTACGGGGCCTCCTTGCGCCACTATTTCCAAGATTTACAAATTCTATTTGGAAACACTCCTTTGTACCTCAGAGTATTCTCTTCAACTAATGTTTATTATTACATAAACGTAAAACTTAGATCCTTCAATTCAAAATCCAGCTTTAAATCATTTATAAAATTATCACGATACTGTTGAAATCTGTGATAAATCTCATTATAAATCTTCAACTTGACGGTTCTAATCTTGTCTTCAATGTCATCATAATCATCATCCAATTCAATTTCAACCGAGTACTGATACATCAATTCATGCAATTCAGTCGAAGTATTTATAAAATCATAAATTGTTTGCAAGATTTGATAAATTTGATGAATAAAACTATGGCCTGTTTGTTTACCCTTAACTTCTTCATTTATGATTTTATTATTTATAATATTGTTTAGATAATTATCATGCATGGTAATTATTTCATCAATTGTCAACAAATTGATGTTGAATGGCGGAGTGGTATACTCCTGATTCATAAACTGTTTATTCAACAATAATTCTTCATTATTTTTATTATTAAACAATTTATCAATTATCCCCAGTTGAAACAGCTGTTCAATCACATAATTTGACAAGTAATCAATTAGCCCATTCAAAAATTGAATCAATTTGTTTCTAATAGAATTAATACGTACAGCCCTCACCCTCATCTTTGCCAATTGACTATAACTTCGATTATTCTCATATAACATGTTCAATAAGTGACGTAATTTCCACAAGAAATTGAATAATTTGAGATATTGTCCATGGTGATCACCAATCAAGAAATTTATAGGCAAGTCATTAATTCGATACTCAATCGTGAATACTTCCCATCCAATCTTCTCATGACTAACACTCAAAATTCGTGCATCTAATCTATTATTATTAATCTTTGACAAATTCATGGCTTCATATAACAAATTACTCAAATGTGTTGAACTTATATTGGTAGAAGATTCATTGAGCAAGTCACTTCCTTTCAATATTAAAGAATCAATAAATTCATTATCTTCCATAAAGTAAAATTTCTTGAAATTCTTTAAATGTTCAAACATGGAACAATTGCCCTGTATAATTTCCGTCAAATAAGCTAAACATTCATTATATTGTTGATTGATGAGCTCGATTTGTTGAGATTCGGTCATACTTGCTAATCCCAGGTTATTGGTAAATATAATGGTAGAATATTTAGTATTGAACAAATTAATCCACTTTAACTCACGACAATATTTGTTTAAAAAGATCAAGGTTTTACCAATTTGAAATATCTTGTCAGTCTCAACTAGAAAATTCGGTACTTTGTCTTTATTAAACCTGATTATACTGTTAAATTCCTGTTGCTCAATGTCAAAGTCAATGAAAAATTCTTGACAATTATCAATTAATTCCCCTTTTATTATCCAGTGTTCAACAATATTATAGTATGGTTTAATCATTTCATTAAATATTCGTTGTGATAACTGCTTCACATTTAAATCTCCATATTTAGTAAACTCATAAACATAAACAAGAAACTCGTATCCATCGTCACATTGGTTCATTTTAAGTTTGAAATTGTGTATGATTCGAAATCGATAAATCCAGGAATATATACTGTGGTAGACAGATAATATTGAACTGACATTGCCTGATGTTGTGCTAGTTGTACCCCTATTAAAAATTCGATTTATTGCATTAACATATTCACTTAATTCTCCTTCAACAACACTAACAAATGCTGTCTTTATTCCTGATTGTAATTTCCCCTTGGTAGTATCAACAAACTCATTTAGATTCTTGTATATCAACGCATATTCTAATATATCTCGTAATAAATCACTAAAACTGTTATTAATAGTGGGAGGGATTTCAATGGAATTACCAGAAAACTTGAATAAATTGGAATCATGACCTAAAAGTGTATATGGAAGATATGTAAGTATGGTCTCTTCGTCCAAGGTCTCATAATATGGTGTAATTAGTTGCGCGAGTGGGGTTTGGCCAGCAGCCACCGTGGCAGCAGCACCCGCACCGTTAAGTGAGCCAATAACACTCCCCGCTTCTCTGAATGGTGAGCTTAAATTTCGTACTGATCTGGAACTGTTCTGCCTCTTGTTGCCTTCACTACTCTGGCGTAACGTGTCTAAAAACACAAGGTAGTTATAAATCTGATCCAAAGATTTATACTTGGCTAAGGAATTGACAAGCTCTTGAACTTTAATCCATTCTGTTTGAAGCCCATTGCTTAGGAAATGGACTTTTAAATCTTGTATAATTGAGCTTAAATCTTGTTGTTGGTATGATTGTTGTGGTTGTAAATTTTGATTTATGGCAACATTAACATCATTCGTTATACTTTGAATAAACTCGTCGCCAAACTCTGCAGGAACTAAAGATTTCACTAAACGGTGTACGTAGAGCTTTATTAATTGTGACTTATTAAGCATGGAGATATATACTGGCAACGATGTAGAAGATGTGTTTATTTAGTGCTGCCAAATTTTTTTGTTTACAAGATCGCGTTTTTTTTTCCACCACCAAAAGAAACAAAACAAAACTTTAATATGCGAGTTAGTGCCAACCAATCGTGTTGCCAGCGTAAATTACAACTTATCAAAAGATTTTCATAACTACATCAAACTAAAGCATTTAAATCAATATACAATATGAAGTTAAATATGTAATACATTCATATAAACAAGAAAATAACTATTCATAGGTAATAATATATAGTGATTGACTCAGTAAAGTAATATAAGTACAAAAAAAATATTAAAAGTAAATAAAGCATTGTTTTTTTTGGGGAGTTTTAAGTTAAAGTCAAATCTGTCAGTCACTGTAAGAATTTAAAAAAAATTGGTGGGCAAGCATGCCTCGCTTAGTAGATTGGAGACACGGATGGAACACCAGAAGAAACACCAATAGGTGAGATTTCTGGGTTGAAAACATTTGGATTCAAATCAGCATCAGTCAAAGATAATTGTTCATCGGTCCAAATGTGTTCGTCCATGTCATGTTCTTGACCAACACCACATAACCCACCAATCTTAGCCCAATCATTAATTCTCTTCAAGTTTAATTCCTTGAATACTGAGTCAACAGATTCAATTAAATGGTTACATAATTCAGGTCCGTGACCTGGGGTAGGAGTAATTCTCAATCTTTCTTCACCAATTGGAACAGTTGGGAAGTTGATAGCTTGAACGTAGATATCGTACTTGTTCAATAATAAATCAGAAGCACGCTTGGCATCACCAGCGTTACCAATTAATACTGGAACAATATGAGAAGGATTTGGCATAACTGGTAATCCCAAAGCATTCATGTTGTTCTTAACATATCTAGTATTCTTCTGTTGAGCAATACGATCAGCTAAAGTAGAACGTTGGTATCTAATTGAGGTAGCGGAACCAGCCATAATAGCAGGTGGCAAGGAAGTGGTGAAGATAAAACCAGGAGCATAAGATCTAAACCAATCAATCATGTTGGCTTTACCAGTAATGTAACCACCAACAGTACCAAAGGCCTTACCTAAAGTACCAGTAACCATATCAACTCTACTCATAACAGTAGTAATATCAGGGTGGTTAATACCCAGTTTCAAATGAGCTTCGAAATCCAAGTGTTCAGCAACACCGGCACCATGAGGACCATACATACCAACAGCATGAACTTCATCCAAGAAAGTCAAGGCACCATACTTTTCAGCTAAATCACAAATGGCTTCAATTGGAGCAATGGAACCACACATGGAGTAAACGGATTCAAAAGCAATCAACTTTGGAGTTGATTTTGGATATTGAGCCAATTTCTCTTCCAAATCTTGTAAATTATTGTGCTTGAAAATATGCTTACGAGCACGAGAGTTACGAATACCTTGAATCATAGAAGCATGGTTTAATTCATCACTGAAGATAACCAAATCTTTAATCTTTTGACCAAACAAAGACAAAACAGCATCGTTACAAACAAAACATGAACTGAAAACTAACGCAGCTTCATGCTTGTGTAAAGCAGCTAATTCAGATTCCAACCTAATAGCATGGGTGTTGTGACCGGCAATGTTACGAGTACCACCCGCACCGGAACCATACTTGTCCAAAACTCGCTTCATTTCATCCAAAGTTTGTTGGTTCTTACCCATACCAAGGTAATCATTGGAACACCAAACAGTGACACGATCTTGTTCATCAGCACGATGGGCCTTTGGAAATTCATGGGCTAAACGATTGATGTTGTTGAAGAATCTATAAGATTTGTCCAATCTTTTCTTGTTTAAATCATCGTTCAAGTATCCGTTGAAATCAAATGCAAGTTCATGATTAGAAAGATCAACTTGGGCATTAGATAATTCTGGGGTAGCAAGTTTGTAACTAGAGCTACTAGTAGTACCTGTTGCAACCTTAGCAGAAGTAGTAGCAGAACGCTTGACCAGCTTAGTGGAGTAAAGTCTAGCTTGTTCCTTAGCTGTCAAAGCGGCACCCATAAATGGACAGTGACGAGCTTGGGAAGTCAAACCACCAGTGTTACTTAACTGACGTAAAGCTTGAGTTGAACTTGATTTGATAAATGGACAAACTGCCATTGAAGCTTTAGTGAGGGTTTCCATGATTGAATAATTTTCCTGTAAATAAAATAAAGAAAGATTACGGTTCTTGTTGCAGTATAAGGATACTTTCAAAGATGTAGTTCTTCTTCAATGGAGATGTTACAAAAAGAATGGTAGGGCTATAGAAATCTAAAAAAAAACTAGTGAAATTTGTATACTTTTATATCGTTTGAAATATTGCACCAGAAAAAAAAATTGCGACGGTTCTTTTTTTTTCATGGGCTTTGGGATGGTATTTTCTTTTTTTTTGTGGTGGTCAACCCAACTTATTGGCGCGGAAAAAGACATATTATTACTACTGTTTAAACTATAATTGGCTTACTTAGTTCCCCTCTTCATCAACTTAAAATGTGGAGAACATTTATTTACAGCATTCAGATGCTTCTTTGATTAATTGTTATTAATCACTGCTGATCCATTCTAGATCAGTTTCTCTGGCATTTCTTTTTTGTATACTCTAGCCAATAGAACTAGTTTCTTTGTTTTGTGATATTATTTAAACCCCGAATGTGACATTGGGTGCAAATGCAAATATCACATGAGTCACTCAAAATCTCGTTTAATTGTTTCATCCCTATATACAAGTTGGGACGGAATAGATTGAAATTCCAACCTTATATCAGGGGTAATAAAACAAGACATGAATTCAGCCCTTTTATTATCTCGTGCGTTTATTTGACTATATTAGGTTATGAATTTCGATGATTTATATTTTATTGTCAACCGTATTTTCCGGGTTTTTTTAGCCGGATTAGGGAATTACTTACTATTGATTGGCCAATGATTGGCCTGGGTAGAAAAAATAATAAAATCGTATAGAGATAAAAATAACTTTGTACATGTCACATGATTTTGGCGTGACCAGAAAATAGTATGTCAAGATGTTTCTAACTTTTTTTTTTGACACAATAAGGGGGTTTGACTTTTTCAAACTCCTGGAGTTCGACTTTCAAACAGAAGGTGGTTGCATCGGATTATTAGATTATTGTTTTGGTATTTGTAGCTGCTTTTCGTCTTTCCTTATCCAGCAAATCCGGAAACGCTACTTCCAATGTTGCTCATGACTACTTCCGTGGATATGATAGACGAGTTTCGATTACTAGTTGATATTAGCTTATGCCTTTAAAAGGAACCTTATTATAGTTACATTCTAGGTTGGCACATTCTTCGGACTTGTTTCATCTTTGATACACAGCTTGCTAGATAAATTTGTAAAATTTTTGGGAAAATTTCTTCACTTAATTGTTCCACTGATCTTTTCATTTTCAAAATTGAAAAGAAAACTGATAACACCTAACTCATATTCGAACTTAGATATGCTTGATAAAACCATGTGATTTTGACTTTCTAGAGATTTTTGCAACCAAGAAAGTTCCAATATTTGGTAGCGCAAAGTTTATACGACAATGCTATTTTACAAAGCCACAGAGTTAAATAATAATTGGAATAAACCCAGTGACTGTAGTGGAAATGGTTAGACCTATAAAAGTGATGGATTAAATCATTTACATTTAGGTAATGCATCATGGGGACATACTATGTCTATTTTTACTGTGGTTAGGTTTGAAGAATGCTGTGGTTAGGGGTCAAAATTCAGATACATTTAGTGTAAATAATTTCAGGGTAAGAGAAGACCCCTTTAATTGAAGGACTGGTAAACCTAAGCAATCGTTTGGGGACAGAGGAATAATGGATTTTCTAGCATTGAATTCAGTATGTAGCAGATTGTTGCGTATACTTGCAGTATTTTACCTTTAACAAAGCAGATAAGCCTTTCTACGTGGTCAAGTTCGGCGCATTCGGAATCTCTCCGACTGAAATTTTACGGATACTGATGGTCCGGTAACAATTGCCCAAAGGTAAAAATAGTCGATTTATTCTTTTAGACAATTCCCCGTTTGGAGAATTGTTTACTTTTTTTTTGTGAATTACAATTAAAGGAGAATCTCCAGAGATCCAGTTTTGAAGATTAATATACAACAAGATTTAGACAGAGCCCTGGCAGAAGCCAAGACATAACAGATACGCTTTTCTAAAATATTTCATTTAAAGATTTTAATTGACTTCAATACGAATTTCTCTGCATTCTTTGGCTTATTTGACGTAATTAATAACACCTGGTTCCAATAAAATGAATAGGTGACCTTTTAAATTATGGAGTTTTTCAGGGGTGAACACAAAAATATTCTCACGTGTTTTCATAGTTTTGAGCGTTTACGCCCCTCATTCGAAATACGCACGACCTTCTTCCCTTGCAAGTATTGAGCTCAATAATCTCGAGAAAACTGCTAGAAAAAAAGGCATTCAGTTGACTAGATCATTTATGTGGAGTTGAGAGTTTCACAGAGGTATTTATGTTTGTAATTGCTACAACTTATTGTATTCTAGGGGTAGTATAAAAATTTTAAAGTTAAAAAAAAAGTGCTGCAGAATCGATGACCCCATCCCCACAAAAATTCCCTTTTTTTCATTGTCTTTCACCCAACAGGAATGAATCCCGTTATAACAATATGCATCCAGTCACGCTCCAACAATGCCCAGAACTCGAATAATAATAATAATTCAATAATCCCAAGAATAAATTAATTTACTAGCCCCCTAAAACAGGAAACATAATGTAATCAATTCCTGCGGCTCCGAAGTTCTTTCTTTACACCCCCTAATACTTTGAGTTTTCCTATAAAAAAAACATGATCTCCTCTTTAGATGGTTTCCGATTTCTATATCTTCTTCTTCTTTTGTTACTTCAATTCACATATATCAATTAATAATACTATTCAAGAATGTCAATTCCAGATAAACAATACGGTTTCTTTTATACCAAGGCCGACGGTCTTAAGCTTAAAGAGGATTTACCAGTCGGTAAACCAGGTCCAGGCCAACTTTTATTAAAAGTTGATGCTGTTGGATTGTGTCATTCGGATTTACACATCATTTATGAAGGGTTAGATTGTGGTGACAATTACGTTATGGGCCATGAAATTGCTGGTTCAGTTGCCGCTCTCGGCCCAGAAACAGTAGGATTTAAAATTGGTGAAAGAGTTGCTTGTGTTGGCCCTAATGGTTGTGGTATCTGTAGAGAATGCCGTGCTGGGTTAGACAATGTATGTAAGAATGCATTTTTAGATTGGTTTGGTTTAGGTTATAACGGAGGTTATGAACAATATTTATTGGTCAAGAGACCTCGTAATTTGGTTAGAATTCCCGATAACGTCACATCCGACCAAGCAGCAGCCATAACAGACGCGGTATTAACTCCATACCACGCAGTTAAATTGGCTGGTATTAATCCAACTTCCAATGTTTTAATTATCGGTGCCGGTGGGTTAGGTATCAATGGTATTCAAATTGCCAAGGCATTTGGTGCAAAGATTACCGTTTTGGATAAAAAAGAAGAAGCAAGAAAGATTGTCAAGGAACTTGGTGTTTCTGTTTACGAATCTTTACCTTCAGATGTTCAGCCTGGTTCATTCGATGTTTGTCTTGATTTCGTTGTTGTTCAACCAACATTTGACTTGTGTCAAAAGTATACTAAACCAAAGGGAATCATTATTCCAGTTGGTTTAGGAGCTCCAAAAGTTTCTTTTGATTTGGGAGATTTGGCTCTTCGTGAAATCAACATTTTGGGTAGTTTCTGGGGTACATCTAATGATTTAGAAGAAGCATTTGAATTGGTCAGTAAAGGATTGGTCACTCCAAAGGTGGCCAAAGCTCCTTTAAAAGAATTGCCAACATATATCAAGAAATTGAAGAATAATGAATACGAAGGTAGAGTTGTTTTCAATCCTTAGGTTTAAATTTCTAGATTAAAAGATTTTGGAGGGTTATAGTTGGAGAATTTTGTCTCGAAAGCACTGCGGTTATTTTTTATTTCCGTATTCGGACGTCTTTTTTTTTCTCTTAAAAAATATTTTTGCAGCAATTTTGTTATAGTTTACTAGCAATCAAATAAAAAAAAGTCAATCAATCTATTATTTTTTTTTTCTAAATACTATACAATTCTTCTAAACTTAGAAATCCCCTAATGGAGCATCATAGGTAACAGTGTTGTAGTCCCAGTAAAAACTTACTGAAGCTGGGTTAGATGAGTTCATGTTACATTGTTCAACAAAGTCAAGATTACCAATTCTGCTTTGAATGTATTCTTCGTAATCTTCGAGCTTACAAGAGAAACCTGGACCATCAGCACAAGTTGGAATTGGAATAACAGAGTCATTAATAATGAATCTAACATAGTAGTCATCACCACACTTTAACTTTTCAGTTTCAATTCTAGCACCTTGTGGAACAATAGAAGAGTGAACGTATGGGTTAGGGAATGGAATGTGATCAACTGGTAAATCATCCTTTGGCTCAACAAGACCTAAGGCACTGTGGTAGAATTCTAAATCAGTATCATGGGTGAAAGATAACCAAATCTTGTTTTCGTTGTCATTGTCTTTCAAAAGAGCTAAAGTAGCGTTAACTAAAGTAGAACCAATAACTCTACTGTCGTTGTGACCAGGACCAATAGAGTAGTAATCGCTAAGATCAGTGTGGTAGGAGTTCTTAATGAATTCTTCGTTGGTGAATAAGTCACAGAATGGAGAAGCACCTCTAACATTGATTTCATAAGCACACCATGAGAACAAGTAACTGACATCAGTGGCGGTCAAGTTTAATCCTGGGTTTGGCTTGACTAATCTGTCAGCAATTGGTTGCAAATAACTACTAGTGTTATATTTAGCGACAAGACCAGTGTTAGCAGTACTGTTGTAGTTAGGACAACTGTTTCTTGGAGTCAAACTGTTGACACCAGAGCTGGCATCTTCAGAAATGACGTGGTACTTAACAGTTTCATCTTCTTCGTAAGCATCACCTAAGAAACCACGAGCAAAGTAGTTTGAAGTTTGGTAACATCTACCAGAGTTAGATGAAAAGACCTGTAAAGTGGAGTTTTCCTTGTACAAGGAGTTGTATTTAGCTCTGAAAGCAGCACCATGTCTGAAGGCATTAGAGGTACCGGAGAAAGTACCTTGAGAGTTCAGTGGGGAAGTTTCCTTTTCATAATTGTTCTTGTTTGGGACAAAGTATTCATAGTCATTCAAGAATTCTAATTGACCACTAAAGGTACCGTTGTAGTTAACAAACTTTTGGTAGATAGGTTCAAAGTTGGCACCGTCACTTTTAGCTGGGTATCTTTCACCGTGACGGGATAATAATTGAACTTGTTCAATGGTACATTGTTCTGGGAAATCAACAGAAATACCGAAACCATCACGTTGGAGATAAGGAGCAGAACCACCGAGGAAACGAATGATGTTGTATTGTTGAACAGAAGATTGTTCTGGAGTAGCCAAGTCTTGGTAGACTGCTTGGCCAGCTAAGAGCAAACCGTTGTTGATTAATTTGGAGATAGCAACCATTGATGATCGAGTATATTTGTTGATGATAAGAATGATTGAGACTGAAAATAAAAGGATACTTTGTAGTCTTTATATACTTGAGATAGGGATTGAAAAATAGGCATAAGAGATGGGCATCCCCATTCCGTTTTCCCCACGAGCTCAAAGTTGACAATAGTGGTTGTTATTGCAAATTACAATGGTGACTCTGTTTTCCTTACCATATTAGGTATGGCATTTATCGAAAATAGATATTTCTATTTCGCATCCACGTGGGTGTGCCTTTCGTATACTTTTGAATCGACTTTCCGAAATAGAAATTCTGGAAGAGACGTTTGTCGTGAAATTAATTTTTAGGTCATAGGCGCATTGTCTATGTTGCAAATGTACCTTAAAAAATATTTTTTTATGTATAAACGATGACAAACAATGAGAAAAAAAAAGAAATATTATGCCAATTAGTTAATATAATAAAAATAAAAAACTGTGGCGGGCCCTTATTAATTTGATCATTCAATGACCTGATCGTACCGGCCCGCCCAAAAGGCATCTTTGTTTTTGTACTAAAAACTTCAGGCACAGTACCCCGTGGGAAGATCGGCTAATAAGTTTTCTTGGCCTGTCAGACAGTACAATTTCTTTCTATTATTATCCGTAGCAATCTCAATTCAGATTTCGGTCAAATGTAAATAAACCTTAACATGCAACGGGCGGTTTCAAATGCATGTATTTGCAGATAATTATTGGCTGTTAATCTCCTTCAAGCTCCCTACACGTGTACTGTTTAATTAACCACTATTAGAATTATGTCTTTAGAGATGAACGTCAGTCCACCAAGTATCAACTTATCCGTGGGTATGATTAAAGGGGGTAAATACAATTGTTGAGCAGTCTAGCTAGTCAAAAAGAAATAACGGTAAGCGAATCCGCCTTTTTTGTAACATCAAGTTGTGAAATTTTATTACTAGATTCTAAATATGCTAAATCTATAGATTTCTTCTTTTTTTTTATATATGTCGCAAACGCTTTTATATCTAAATCTCAATTGGAGCAGTGTAGTTCTTGGTAGTGTAATCCCAGTAGAAAGTCAAAGACTGACTGACATTTTGAGCAACTCCACATTGTTCAACATAGTTAATGCCGTCCAATCTTTGTTGAATAAATTTCTTGAAATCGTCAAACTTACAAGAGAACCCAGGACCAGAAGAACACGATTCAATAGGAATAACGGAATCATTAATTACATATCTGACATAAGAGTCATCTCCACATTTGAGCTTTTCAGTATAAATTCTAGCACCTTGAGGAACAAGGTTACCATGGATAAATTGTCTGTCAAATACAATTTTATCAGTTGGTAAAGGTTCTTTAGGAGTAAAGATACCTAAGGCACTCAAGTAATGATCAATATCAGTATCATGGATGAAGTTTAGCCAGATCTTGTTCTCAGCCTTATCATCTTCCAATAATTCTAACGAAGCATTTAAAAGAACTGATCCAATGACAGAGGTAATATTGTTACCAGGACCTGTGGAATAGTATTTGTTAAGATCATTGTAGTAGGAGTAATGAACAAAATCTTCATTCGTGAAAAGATCACATACTGGGGATGATCCCGAAACGTTAATTTCATAAGCACACCATTCAAACAAATTAGCAACATCACTTTTCTTTAAGTTGATATCGTCGTTGTCCTTGGTAATTCTCTTGGCAATATCGTTCAAAAAGGAATCATCAAATTTAGCTACTAAATCATCATTGATTGTATCATTATAGGCGGAACAAGCATACCTGGTAGTTAAAGAATTAGCACCAAGGGATCCATCTTCAGCAAAAATGTTGAATTGAACGTTTTCATTAGTGAAATCATCACCCATGAAACCACGAGCAAAGTACTCAGAAGTTTGGTGGACTCTGTTGGAGTTGGTAGTGAATATAGGTAAAGTAGTATTTGGGTTGTATAATGAGTTATATCTTGCTCTGAAGGCAGTACCATGTCTCATAGCATTGGAAGTACCAGCATAAGTACCTTGAGAGTTCTTGTTGGTAGTTTCCAATCCATATTGACTATCATCCTTAACAAAATAGTCGTAATCATTCAAGAAAGCTAAAACGCCTTTGAAGGTACCCTTGTGTTCTTCAAATTTCTTCAAGATAGATTTGAAACTCTTTCCTTTACTTTCAGTAGGAAAACGTTCACCATGTCTTGAGATCAACTGAACTTGTTCAATCTCACACAGTTCAGGGAAATCAGTAGAAATACCAAAACCTGGATGTTGAACGTACGGGGCTGAACCACCTAAGAACCTGATAATATTGAATTGTTCCAGGGAGGCTTGTTGAGGTTGAGCCACGTCTTGGTAAATAGCTTGAGAGGCTAATACCAAGCCCCCATTAATTAACTTTGAAATAGCAACCATTACTTCGATTTTTGTTGGGATTCTTGTATTACAGACAACAAGTTTCTTTGAATATGGATGGTTTACTAGGGATACTTATACCTCGGCAAACTAACCTCATAGGCAGCTACTCCCACAAGAAGCTCCCACGTTGGAGGACAATATATCAGAATGGAGATTGCAGATCTTGCGATAATGATGTAGCCAATGGAAGGTCAAGAGGTTTGTAATTTTGAACAATGGAGCAATAACCGACTGACTCCGTCTAATTCGCCTCTTACTGTTGCTAAACCAGGTAGCATTCCAAAAATGCCATTGTAAAAAGACTTAGTATATTGACCCCTGCCACAAAAACGGCGCCAACGTGGGGCTTGGCAATTATTGCCCTGAAAAAAATTATCTTAATTAAGCGCAAATTACCATTTAAGATTTGGCACTATCTATATAATATCTACAGATACGCAAAATCACTATGCCGTTTGACGTGGGACCGATGCATTGTAGTTAACGGTTTTGTAATCCCAATAAAAGCTCAAGAAATTAGGCACATTGTCCGGAACTTTACAATCTCTTGCAATATCATATTTGCCAATTCTGTCCAAAACATAAGCTTCATATTTGTCAAGTTTGCATGAGAATCCAGGTCCGTCAGAGCATCCTGGAACTGGAATAACTGCATCATTAACAACAAACCTTACATAAAATGTATCTCCACACTTAAGCTTTTCTGTGATAAATCTGCCTCCCATAGGTATTACATCCACATGATGATATGAATCATAAAACCTTACTTGATCAACAGGCAACGGAGTCACAGGATCAAATAATCCAAGAGCCGAAGAAAATAACTCAATATCGGTATCATGAGTAAACGTGAGCCAAATTTTATTTTCTGGATTGTCCTCTTTCAAAAGATTCAAGGTTGCATTTAATTGCACACTGCCTGCCAATTTGCTATTGACTCCTCCTGGGCCAGACTGATAATAGAAAAATACATCTTGGTTATACCCATACGTTACATATTCGTCCTCAGTAAACAAATCACAAAATGGAGAGTATCCCCTGCTATTCATCTCGTATGCACAAATTTGAAATAATTGGCTGACATCGTCTGTAGTTATGTTTAATCCTGGATTAGATTTTTGAAACCTGGTTACAATTTTCTCTAAATATTGAGTTGGGAATTTTGATACTAAATCTTTATTTCCATTTGGCTTGTAAGCGGGACATCCCCATCTAGGCACCAAAGAATTCAAACCCATAGTTGCATTTTCACTAATAATCACTTTGTTAAGTTTGTCCTGAGAATATTTTTCACCTAAAAACGAAGTAGCAAAATTCAAGGCAGTTTCATATACTCGGTAAGAGGCAGCGATAAATATAGGCAATTTCTTACTATCATCATAAAGATGCCCGTATTTAGCTCTGAATGCTGCTCCAGCACGAATAGCTGTCTCATATCCAGTATAAGGACCAGGTGAATTCTGTGGTGTAGTTTCATATTCGTAAAGATCTTCCGTTGCATAATATTTATAATAATTAAGAAATGCCAAGTCTCCCATTAAAGTATCAGGATAGCTTTGTAATTTGTCCACGATTTGCTTGTGATGTATACCGGCATCAAGACCAGGAAATCGTTCACCATGTCTCATATACAATTGAACTTGTTCAATTGTGCATTGGTCAGGGGTATCAGTAGATATTCCAAATCCTGGATTTTGAATGTACGGACCAGCAGCTGCTAGGTATTTCACAATGTTATATTGGGATTCTGCAGCTAACTCAGGTGCAGCTACACCTCTGAACTGGTCTTGGGATACAAGTAGTAAACCGGGAGATAATATACGAGAAATGGCAACCATGTTGTAGTGCTAACGAATGTTTATTATTGATTGATGTTTGGTCAGGTTGTAGTTGATCTTCTATTTGAACTTTATGCCAACATTAGTGCATGAAACGGGTTAGAGAGGGGGGGTAGAGATATGCTGTTGTGTTACCACAAACAAACACAAAGCGTGAAATTATCCCCCACTCACCAATTTTTCCATTGTTGTTGGAACTACAAAACGCTACCAGAATTTTATAGAATCTATTATTAACCACGGATATTTACATGTCTAGTCTACTTCTTCTTTCCACCTTTCTTCTTATTGTTGTCAGATCCTCCTGGCAATACCAACTTAACCTTTGAAACTGTAAACACCCCTACTAAATCATTAGTTTTTAATCCCTTAACCAAATCACGCTCTTGGGGCCAATCTAAATCTGTATCGGTACTAGAAGGATCCATTTTTCTAGTGGTAAAATAATTTAATGAATCTCCAATACATTTTCCCTTCTTACCACTACCTGGTTGAATCTTTACCTTGTATTTGAACTTTTGCAATGAAATCCAAGGAGCAAAAACAGGAACCATACTGATTATTTCATCCTTGGTGGATGGTTTGGGTGCAAAAGAATCCAATATTTCCAAATAATTCGTGACATGGGATTCATCACTATCAACTTCATTACTAAGATACTTCTGATATTCCTTTTCGTCTTGTTTCTTTCTTCTTTCTCTAACTGCTTGCATTTCTTGCATACGCTTGGTAGCTTCCATCTTTTCCAAAACTTCTCTCTTGGTTTGCTGCTCCTTTTGTTCAATTTGTTTAAGAGTACCCAAAGCATCCATTCTTAATCTTCTTTCTTCTTCATCTTGATCTGCATACTTGGCTGCTATTTTCTTGAGCTTAGATCTCTTTCCTCGAGATAATGGTTTATTTTTCTTGGATGCAGTTGCTTCGGATGCAGTTACTGACTCCAAGTCAGATTCGGTGATTTCAGATGCATCTTCGCTAGGGACTGTTTCTCCTTCTGATTCTTTTTCAAATGCACTACCAGCTTGATCTAAAGTAGCGTCCTTGTTAGACTTGTCAGCTTCACCAACAGGAGTAGCTTCCTTGCTACCCTTAAGCATATCAAGTTCCCGCTTCTTATTATCCATAACAATGTTAAAACCATGCTCCTTTTCTCTTGAAGTTCTAGCATCCGCATACCTCTTTGTCGATTCTTCATCAACTAAACTGTAAAGACCAAATCCCATAACTAACTGGGCAGGAGGTAAATATACTTTCTTGCCAGTATATCTAAACTCACCCGAAGCAATCAAAGAGCCATCAAAGTCACGTTTTGAAATCTCATCACCATGAAGTACCCATGCTGATGTTGTAACTTTACCATTCCAACCACTAGATGCTGACATGGCAAAAATACCTGCTTGCATAATAGACGAAGGTGGCACAGTTTCACCTTTCAAAGGATTCTTAACAAAGACCTTCAATGATCCTTCAAGGTCAGAACTGACAAAACAATCGTTATCACTGAAATGCCTATAATAGATCATATCAACCTGGGCATTATCCCTTCCTGCCAAACATAAGTATCCTTCATTGGTAACAAACCAGAAGAACTTTTCAAACCAATACTTTGGTCTCATTTGTTTTAAAGAATCATTTTCTTGTTTAAGGTTCTTGGTCAAGTCATGGGTGATTTTCCTTTCTGCATTCTTGAGAGCGATCTTGGTGCTCTTTTCCACTTTTTCTTGCTTAGTAGCTGCAGTCTTTTTAGTGTCGAAGTATGCTCTAGCATTAGCAAATGAAGTTAATGATAGATCAATCCAAGTTGGTACAACATTTGATTTCTTTTCCTTTTTATTGGCGGGTTTCTTAGAAACTCTCTTGGGGAAATTATCTTCATCTTCAGATTCTGAACCACTTTCACTTTCAGAATCAGTTTCAGAATCTGAATCTGAATCAGAGTTTTCCTCAGACTCAGGATCTTCAAATTCAGGAAGTAAAACCTTGATCTTGTTGTCTTTCAAATTTAATGGCAATCCAATTGCTTTAGCTAATTTATTATTCTTTTTCTTTTCAAGTTCAAGAACTGTTTCAATATTAGTCCAGTCCATCAGCTGGTCCAAGAACAGTTGGATATATGCACGACAATCATCCACTAAATCAGCATGATATTGAATTAATTCACCCTTCTTGGCATTAAGATCTTGTTGCTCCAATAAACTTTGAATCTGCTTGTCTCGTTCACTTTTAGCTTTATCCAATCTTTTTGCTGCGGTTTGCTTGAGTTGTTCAACCTTTAATTCAAACTTGCTTGACTCAAGGGTTGAGAAAAATCTATCCAAGGTTTTGTTATAACCAGAAACTTCGGTGTATTGATAATCTTCTTGATTAGCTTTATATGGTTTGAAAGGATGAAATTCGTCGTATATAAATTCAAACGAGGAATTGGTATCAGAAGCTTTGTTTCTTTTAGCCACAATAAACCCAGTGTTTTCATTCTTGGAATCCACTAACGACAAGTATGCATCTTCACAAGCTCCTAACGCATTTGCAACAGATTGCAATCCTTCTTTGTCCTGCTCAAACCTCAAACAACTTTGAGCAGGGTCAATATCGTTTTCATGCAACACTTTTTGGATTAGTTCACTGGATAAATGACTAGCATTAAGAAATGCAAGCTTGTGAATTGAATAAACTTTGCCCTTCTTGCTGTCTGAAGATTCACTAATCTTTGATTTGTGAGTTTCTATCCACTTTGCTATGTCATCAGGAGAATACTCCCTTTTCGCATATTGGAATTGTTCAGAAAATAAGGATTCATCAAACATTTTATACTCTTCCCTGACAGCATACCTATCAACATCTTCCTTTGCTGACACTAATCTTTGTAATGACAAGATCTTTCTGTTTTCATCAAGCAAAAGAATGTTTCCTGCACTGAAAAATTCCATAACCAAGTAGAATAACCCATTACTGAATTGAAATACTAAAATCCTATCATTGGAGATTTGTTTGATACCAGTAAGTCTTTTTTCCTTAATATGTTTTCTCAATTTTGAAACAAAGTCCGATGGTTGTTGAGTAGTAGGTCTTTCGAATTCAGTCAAATGGATCCTGTTACCATATTCAAGAACTACTACTTTTTTGGAATCGGGGATTGAGAACTTGAACAAGTACTGACGGGCATTGCTGGACGCATTGTAGATATTCTGCAATCTATAGTTCAATAGTTCATTGGATAACTCAGCAGTAAGAATCTGAAGATCCAACCCAGTAATACGTTGCTACAGAAAATAAAGTTAGTATGTTTCACTCTAATGTTAGATGAATCTAGCATAACTTTGCTATCATACCTTCATTTTGTATTATTTGTTACTCCACTTCTATTCAAAGCAATCTGATGTTGGTAACGAAAAATTGCAAATATGTTGGTTGACAAGTCGTGTGCGAGAACAAATTAAATTAGTAAGCTATCACCATTAAGTAAGGTACAACACAACGAAGGTAAACGAGATGTCTGTCAGCCGTATTCCTTGAATTAGACAAACATAACCTCCCCCCTCTCCCCCCGAATTATATAAAATTGGGTGATTTTTTACAATCTTCTTTTCTCAAAAGGGTAACCAACCAAAGCAATTATGTAAAGAATTCTATTTTATTTTTAACCCCTGTTGCTGTCACGTAACCATGCAGCAATCTTAAAGTGGTATATCGTTCAATTGCAATTGTCCCCGGCATCCCCTCTTAGGTAAATTAAGTGATATATAAATAGGGACATGAGCTCCACGTTTTGGTGAAGTTGTCAACTCTTGTTTACTATTACAGTACAACAAATCAAGATGTCTGCTACTGCTTCTACCACAGCTAACACTGCTGCTACCGGGACTAATGCTACCGTGTTTGTCGCCGGAGCCACTGGTTTCATCGGAAAACATGTTGTTAAGCAATTGCTCGAACAAAACTACTATGTCGTTGGGTCCGTTCGTAGTAAAGAAAAAGGTGATGCTCTTACGGTTTTGCTTGCTAATCCAAATTTTAACTACGAAATTGTTGAAGAGATTGAGGAGAAAGGCGCCTTTGACTTGGCCTTGAAGAAGTTTCCAAATGTCTCTGTGTTTATTGATGCTGCTACACCATTACCAATTGGAGTCAATTATGATAAACAGTTGATTAAGCGTTCATCCAAAGGAATTGAACATATTCTCCACTCTATTAAAGAATATGGTGTTAACGTTAGGAGAGTTGTAATGACAAGTTCAATTGCTGCTTGTATGAATTTCGAACAAGCTAACAACCCTGCGTATGTAGTCGACCCCACGAAATGGAATCCCGATAGCCACCATGCAGGTAAGGATACTCCTGTTACTGCGTACTTTTATGCCAAAGCTGCTGCTGAAAAGGCAGCTTGGGATTTTGTGCAAAAGAAGAAGTGCAACTTTACTCTTACCACGATTCTTCCAGGTTACACATTTGGACCCCACGCATTTGATACTAATGTTTCGGATGTTCTCAACACTTCAACTGAGATTATTAACAAAATAGCTGGCTTGCTGCCAAATGATTATATCCCTAACTTTGGAGGATTATTTGTTGATGTCAGAGATGTTGCTCGTGCACATATCCTTGCATTCGAGAAACCTCCTGCTGCTGAAAAGCGGTTAATTTTAGTTTCCGAGGAATTCTCAGCACAAACAATTGTGAATATTTTACACAAATTCTACCCTGCGTTGCAATTGCCTGTTGGTGAACCCAATAAGCCACTTCTTGGGCTTAAGTTCAATAATGAGGAAACCCGCAAGATATTAGCTTTTGAATTGGTTCCATTGGAAACCAGTATTAAAGATACCTTTGACCAAATCTTCAGAGCCAGAGGTATTCTCTAAATAGCCTATGTATGACTTTTATGCGTAATAAACAAAAAAAGATGTTGGTATATGTAGAGAAAAATATATCGTCAAGACAAAACTGATTTAAGTAGATATTTTTAACAAACTAATCTCTCCCCACTTTTTTCCAATCAACCACTACATAATATATCGCACACTAATGTCACAGTTAGAGAAGAAGTTGAAACCAATAGTTGACGCAATTAACAAGGGTAAAAAGGTTACCTTTTTTAATGGAGCAGGGATCTCAACTGGTGCTGGTATACCAGATTTTAGAAGCCCTGAAACTGGGTTATATGCCAATCTTGCCAAATTAAACTTACCATTTGCCGAAGCAGTATTTGACATTGACTTTTTCGAGGACAATCCCAAACCTTTCTATACATTAGCAGAAGAATTATATCCTGGAAAGTATGCTCCAACTAAATTCCATTACCTCATCAAATTGCTTCAGGATCAAGATTCTTTACTACGAGTCTACACTCAGAATATAGATACATTGGAAAGATTAGCCGGAGTGGAAGATGATTATATCGTTGAAGCACATGGCTCATTTGCCAGGAACCATTGTATTAAATGTCATCGAGAAATGGACAATGAAACATTAAAGAAACATATGCATGACGAGACCAAAGATGGGATACCAACATGTGAAACGTGTCAAGGGTATGTCAAGCCAGATATTGTATTCTTCGGTGAAGGACTTCCTGGCAGGTTTTTCCAACAATGGGATGAAGATTGTGACGATGTTGAAATTGCCTTGGTGGCAGGAACTTCATTAACTGTATACCCATTTGCAAGTTTACCAGCAAGTCTTGGTAAAAAGAGTTTACGAGTTTTAATTAATAAGGAAAAGGTTGGTGATTTTTCAGATAATTATAGGAAATCTGATATTGTAATTTTGGAAGACTGTGAACTTTTCGCTGAACAATTATCTTCAATGCTTGGACTTAGGGATGAATTGGAAGCTCTAGTTGAACAATCTAAAAGCAAGTTTGGCACTGGTAAACATATATCTCCTGAAACTACTGTGGATGAAATTGAAGAGAAGTTGAAGGTGGAAGCCCACCTTCATGAAAAGAAAGAAGACGATGATATCACTGAGTTGACTGAAAAGACCGAGAAGATTGGTTTAACCGAAGAAACGTCATTTAATAATAAGGAGAAGGAAGAAAAGGCTAAAGCAAGAGCTGAAGCGAAGGAAAAGGCAAAAATTGAAAAGTTGGAGGAAATAGCAAACACATATTTGTAGAAAATTGAAGTGTTGCCAAAACAAAAAAAAAAAGATGCTGCGAAAGTTTGTACAACTTATTTTGCAAATAATTCCCACAACAATAAGTTCCCGTATCAATTTATTTTATGGATTTGTCGCAGAATCTTCACTGTCCTCTGCCAAGAGAAGCAAGCTACCACAACATTATGACAAGCACGATATTGTAATGTCAATATACAAGCTGAAATCAGATTCCTTGGATAAGAGCTTGGTAATTCTCAATTGTGAAAACTTTCAATTGAATTTAGTATTCTTCTGTGATTCCTTTATTCGTAGCATTAATCAAATAAAAGTGTATGTTCCTACCGTCAATCTTTTGCTCGTGGTTCCAATGAACTCTCAAATAGACAAGTTAAAATATATAGTTAATTCAAATATTAATGATAAAACCAAAATAAAACATCAGAAATTAAAGCATTTCAATCTGGAAACTGGATTAACTAATATTAATATCTTCCGTGATTGTGATGAATTAACATTCTAGGAAGCTTCAACTGGTGCAGAACTATCCCTTGCTACTATAATTCTTGCCTTGAGTATTGTTTGAGGACTTAGTTGCTTTACCCAGAAAAAAGTATGACACTTAAATGAAAGTACTATGTTTATGCATGTTCTATTAAGGGTTTGAACTTGGTAGATAGTGTGTGCGATAAGGGAATCTCCTTGTTGACATTCTTTAATAAATGTGTCACAAAAATAGAACTGAGAATGTTGCATTCGAGTATTTTGCAACCACCAACACATGCAGAAAGTATTACTATTGATAGGCTCTTACTGGCTTTTACAAAATGAAAAGGAGAATAATTATTAAATGTACAAGTATAGCATTGATGAAGTAAATTTTGAGATTCAAGGATTTTATTTTGGAAATCCACATATTAAAAAACAATATAATCGAAGAAATATATGCAACCATTTCTTCCTATGTTCCTATTTTCTTCATGGTCTGTGAAGTCATAGATATCCGATTTTGGAAGCATGCATTTTAAATGGAGCTGTCGTATTTACTTCTATTCATTTTGGAGAAATTGCTACAAACTTAGGAAACAAGTCATGCATAGTAACAAGTCATATAAAGACCAGTGAAAATAACGGAAAAATCGAAATGAAGTATAATCCACTTAAGGAAAAGGTTGAAACTGCAAGCTATGGAATTAGACTTGCTAAATATTCAAGATTATCACCAAGCTGGTTGATCGATAATGCTAAAGATATAGCCACCCAGTTGAAATAACTTCGGACAATTGAAGGAAATGATCAAGTGAAAAAGGTAATCAAGAAGAACGAAAATGATTTTAGAATTTTACTTTGCTTTTAATAATATTCGTGAATAAGAACGAAATGCTAATTATAAAGTACAAATATTGAAAACTCTTTGAGATAAATAGAATTCCCAAATGAAATTGACTACTTTTTCCTGTAAAGTCTATAAAAGAATCTCATATTTTCCAACTTCATAGGGTAATCAACTTGTTTTGATTCTATTCTATACCAACAACTTTCACTTTTTTGAATAGTTTCCCATGCTCCATTGTCTTCTCCTGATTTACCTACTAAGATTGTATCGATTAAAAATTGAATTGGGAACCTTCTTTCTCCAATGGTAATATGTGAATAAGAACCTGCACTTTCGGCTATTAAAAGCAAACAACCTGGTTTACAGTATTTATTCAAATTTTGAAGAAACCTAATAGTTTCCTTCCTCTTTTCAGCAAACAATTCATTGGTTGTGAATAAAAGAGTGACCAAATCCAATGTCTCAAGAGTAAGTGACTCTTTTGAAACTGTTAGCACATCATCACATATGAAATTGGCAGTAAGTTTCTCGGGACGATAGATCCAATTCTCCTTCATATATGAAGTTAGTGATTCCACCACGGTTTTCCAATTGGCAATATCAATTAATTGTATATTTAATTCAGATGCGGATCCTGAACAATATTCTTTGAGTCTACAATAAACAGCACCCAATGCAACTAATTCTGATGAAGCGCCACCACCAACACATAGCACTGATTTTTTGCTCTCTGGATCTTTCAACAAATCACGTACTGGATCCAAAGATGCAAAAAGCGAGGTATATGCTAAAGCTCTGGCTGGAGTCCATCGTGCGGCATATGCAAACCTTTTATTGTCATCATCAAAGGCAGCTAAATAATCTCGATTGTAGAGATGCCCCTTTACAACTTGAATATGTTCTAGTAACTCAGGAGAATCTAAAATCAGTTGAAAACGAACCTCAAAAAGGTCAATTATCTTTCGGGGTTCCATGCAGTCATTGGTTGTGAATGGAATAGAGTCAACTGTGCCAGAGCTTGAATCGCCAGAGGCACCATTGCCTTTATTTTTAGAACTTCTTGCTCTGCTCATACTGCATGCAGTAGTAGTAGTAGTAGTAGTAGTAGTAGTAGTAGTAGTAGCAGTATGTAAACTAAATACAAGAGATCTGCCCTACTGATGTAAAAGTAAAATACTTTCTGCGGCGGGTAAGATAATGCGAAGAGGTGACAGGTTGTGAGCCGCACGCGCGCGAAAGGCATCGATCACCAGTATAAATTTACAACAAGTAAAAAAATTTTTTTTCTTCTTCTGTTTTCCTTTTCTTTTTCTCTTCTTTAACTAATTATCATCAATCTGTGTTAAGGTGGGCTCTCAGATGGAGCTGAAGGTTAACCTTCGCGGTTCTTTCTTTTCCTCTGTAGATGTTTTCCTTAGCAGATCGGCGCTCGAGAAGCAAGCTTGATGTGCATTGTATTTTGTGGATTTACTCAGTTTTGTTGGTTTCTCGGAATCAACAAGTTCAATTCGGCTGTTTTAACGTTACAGACATATATGGTTGGTCCTCCTTCCGGGGAGTTTGAGCGATTGTGTGGTTTGTCACTAGGTTGTTTTGGATTTTGGGTTCATTCACAGAAATGTTTGCCGTAACCTTTATTGGCCTTAAGCAGGGTAGTTCCGTCGACAGATTGTAGACTAAGCGGGTTGGCCTTGAGCTCTCTGGATAGAGAAGTTGCCCTCGGGTGATTTTCTCTTCTTTTGTTGCTCGGCCGGATAATTCGTGGCAACATATTCCTGAACTTTGCGTATGGTCATCTTGGCCATTGACGATTAGAGTAAAACCATGTTGCAAACATTTTAAACATTCTCTGTAAATATTTTTGCTGTAAGTTGTACGTGATTTACTGAATATTGCAAATATTCTTCAAACTAACTATGGAATGCGTTCTTTCTTTACCACGTGAATGATAAGCAGATCTGTTTTGTGGTCTAAAAAGGTTTAGCCCTTCGATTACAACATTGCCCACGCGAAAATCATAGTGTCAAAATTTAAACTTTTATTAAACTTTAATTTATCTCGGATCAATTAAGCCCCTCATAAACACACCAAAACAATGTCGAATCGAGACTCACCAATGCCGGATTCAAGGGGAAGTTTCAGTCCGCGATTGATGGCATCTCGAGAACTGTTCTCTATGTCTAAATTTCACAATAAAACTATTGCAAGTGAGTTGCCTAGTCTTCCGCATACTCCACCAATACTTGCACTGGCATCACATTTAAGCAATGGCGTCACCCAAGAGACCGAGACCAATACAGACGATACTACATATGTTGAGTTCCAACTATCACCACCAATAAGCACAAACAGTCCTAGAATAAGTGAGTCTGTACGAGAGCGAGTGTTTTCAAGCTCTAATATTAATCTTAATGAGATTGACGAAATCACGCAACCACAAGAACCAGAAATCAAAATTGTAGAAGAAGAGGAGGATTTCTTTAATTCAGACTCGACAAACTGGAAGGAAATGAAAGCAATTTCGAGCATGGATTACTATAATGATAAAGGTGGTTTAGAATTCACTTCGAAGTCGGGAAAGGAATTCCTTCATGGTGATAAGGATATATTTGGGTATACTAAAATTGACACGGAAGAACAAGTCAATAAATATGCCTCGCTAGACAAGAAAACCGACTTTTTATTCCGAGCCACCCATTCGCACAGGACCGCTTTGGCCAAGTACGAAGAGGGCGAAGATGAAAAGACATATGACAATGATTCAGAATACGAAGACGAAGATAATCTAGATCTGCAGGAGGCCTTAGACGATACCAAGAACATGTTGACTGATTCACAAAAATTTGCATATATAGGAATAACCAAGTTATTGACAGTAGATATGGCTACTGATTTAGCCAAACTTCATATTACTGGTTCTGGATCCATAGCCAAGATACTAAGTGCTGGGCAAAAGAATTTTTCCAATTGGACATTGTATGTCATGAGTAAGCTATATTCTCATTTGAATATAAGTGACGACGAGCAGAAGATGATTGAGAATTTAAGTAAACACGGATTGGAAGTTAATGATTTGTCCAATAGTTTACTTGAAGTTGGGATGAATGCCAGTGTACAAGCTAATAAACAGTGCTTGGAGGAAGATTTCGATTTAAGATGGGTTATTATTTGTGATTTGTTCTTGTTGCTTCTTAGTGATGGATACTATGATGCAAGGTCACGATCATTACTAATTAAATTCGGTAAAACCATCGACATTCCTTATTTGGAAATATACCAATTTGAAAGACGTCTAATTGAATGTTTGGAAATTGAAACCAAAGATAGGACAATTGAGAATAAGGAAGAATTACTAAATGATCAACTGTTGATTGAAAAACAAATCAAAAAGAATCGAAATAAACGATTAGCATATATTGGATTAGCTACACTTGGTGGATCATTGGCCATTGGGTTATCAGCTGGGTTATTGGCTCCTGTTATAGGTGCAGGTTTGGCAGCCGGGTTGACCACAGTAGGTATAACAGGTACCAGTGGGTTCCTTGCTGGGATTGGTGGAAGTGCAATAATTACAACCGGTGGTATTGCCATTGGTGCAAAGGTGGGTTCTAAAGCAGGTGCTAGAAGAATCGGGGATGTTCATACATTTGAATTTAAACCTTTGCATAATAATAAACGAACAAATTTAATAATTACCGTTAGTGGCTGGATGAATGGTAAGATGGATGATGTGAGACTTCCATTTTCTACCGTTGATCCCGTAATGGGAGATATGTTTTCTTTACTTTGGGAACCAGAAATGTTGCAATCTATGGGACAAACAATTGGTATTTTGGCTAGTGAAGCATTGAGTACTTCAATTCAACAGATTTTGGGTGCTACTGTATTGACTGCATTGATGTCAGCAATTCAAATTCCTATGATCTTATCTAAGTTGTCTTATTTATTAGATAACCCTTGGAACGTCTCGTTGGATCGTGCATGGAAAGCAGGGAAAATATTGGCGGAAACACTTATTGCTGGAAATGTAGGTGTTAGACCAATAACCCTAGTTGGGTTCTCCCTTGGTGCTCGTGTGATTTACTCGTGTTTGATTGAACTTGCAAGAAGAGGTGGGTATGGATTAGTTGAGAATGTAATCATTCTAGGATCGCCAATTTCCATCAAGACTGATCAATTAATCATGGCAAAATCGATAGTGAGTGGAAGATTCGTTAATGGATATTCCAAAAAGGACTGGATTCTTGGATATCTTTTTAGAGCCACCGGTGGGGGTGTGGGTAAAGTCGCGGGATTATCTGCATTAACACATGTGTATGGAGTTGAGAATATTGATTGCACGAGTTTGGTTGAGGGACATATGTCTTACAGAAAAGCTATTCCAAAGATTTTGAAACTTGTTAATTGGGAAGTGTTGAGTGAAGAGTTTGCGGAAATCGAAGAACCTGATCCAGAGCAAGGGGAACGTCAGCGTCAATTGATTCATGAGTTCGATGAAGCTAGAGCCAAGATGGAAAAAGAGAAGCAAGAAGCCGTTGAGCCTAAGGGGTGGAAAAAATGGTTTAAGCCAAAGAATAAAGATTGGTGGGAGATATATGGACAGAATTCGGCTAACAACAGTAAAGAAGATGTAAATAACCTGAATCCTAATGATGAATACCAAGTTGAGGAAGATGTTGTGTTCAATGTTGATGCATTGGCTCAGGAAGTAAATGAGATAGAAAACTTGGCTCAAAAGGATAAACAGTCTATTGAAGAATTACGCAAAAATGTTGAATCAGTGCCGTCTAAAATCGTCCTTAATGAAGACATGGAATAGGTAATATAGTGATAGCACAGTTATACTGTAATTTACGCACTCTGGTAAATCCGTGTAAATTTGGGTCTGATGTTGACGGTTTTTTTTCCTCTGACTAAATTTTTCTAGTACAAAATTTTTCACATAGTGTTGCAAGCTTAAGTGTAAATCAATACAATGCCTACTATTCCAGTTGATAAAGAAGACCTCTACAAGTTATTAGGTAGGAGTTATACCACTGAGGAATTTGATGAATTATGTTTCGATTTCGGTCTTGAATTAGACGAAGACACCACTGATGACTGTCAAGGTGACGAAAGACCACAATTGAAGATTGAAGTTCCTGCCAACAGATACGATATGTTGTGTATCGAAGGTATTGCTCAAGCTTTAAACGAATTTTTGGGTAATGTTGAACCACCAAAGTATACTTTGAACCCAGCCAAGCCAGTTACTTCTTTGACCATTAAAGAGTCAACTTTACCAATCCGTCAATATGCTGCTTCTGCCATCTTAAGAAATGTTACTTTTGATGAAAGAACTTACGATTCTTTTATTGCTTTCCAAGATAAGTTACACACTAACTTGTGTCGTAATAGAACTTTAGTTGCTATTGGTACTCACGATTTGGATACCTTAACCCCACCATTCACGTATGAAGCCTTGGCACCAGAAGACATCAAATTTAAACCATTGAACCAAGATAAGGAAATGAATGGACATGAATTAATGGAATTCTATGAAAAGGACAAGAATCTTGGTAAATATTTGCATATTATTAGAGATTCTCCTGTCTATCCAGTTATGCTTGATGCTAACAGAACTGTCGCATCCATGCCACCAATTATCAACTCTGATCACTCCAAGATTACTTTAAACACCAAGAATGTTTGGATTGATGTCACTGGTACCGATAAGACCAAGACTGAAGTTGTTATTGAACAAATTGTTGCTATGTTTTCTCGTTATTGTAAGACTCCATTTGAAATTGAACCACTTGACATCATTTCTGAACATAATAATGAATCTAGAATAACACCAAACATTGCTCCTAGAGTTGCCCAAGCTGAAATCAGTTATATTAACTCCTGTTTAGGTTTGGATTACTCTGGTGAAGAAATTTCCAAGTTATTAAAGAAGATGGCATTAGAAGCTAGTCAATCCAAGGAAGATAAGGATTTGATTGATGTTAAGGTTCCAATAACAAGATCTGATGTTTTACATCAATGTGACATTATGGAAGATGCCGCTATTGCCTATGGTTACAACAACTTAACCAAGACTAAGCCAAAGGGTGAAAGTTTGGTTGCTGCTCCATTACCAATTAATAAGGTTGCTGATATCTTGAGATTAGCTTCCGCTCAAGCTGGGTACTTGGAAGTTATGCCATTAACTTTATGTTCTCATGATGAAAACTTTAAGTTCTTGAGACAATCTGACGATGGTACCAAGGCTGTGAAATTAGCTAACCCAAAGACCATCGAATACCAAGTTGTTAGAACTACTTTGTTACCAGGTATCTTAAAGACCATTAAAGAAAACAGAAAACATTCCTTGCCAATCAAGGTTTTCGAAAGCGGTGATATCGTATTGAAGAACCCTAAATTGGAAAGAAAAGCATTTAACCAACGTAATTGGTGTGCTATTTATGCTGGTAAGACTTCTGGTTTCGAATATGTTCAAGGGTTATTAGGTAAGATTATGCAAACCATGAGAACTGAATGGTTAGAAAATCCAAAGGAAAACAAAGGTAGAGGTTACTGGATTGAAGAAGACAAGGACAATGCTACTTTCTTCCCAGGTAGAGGAGCCAAGATCTTTTTCAGAGCCCATGAAGGTGGTGAAGACCAACATATTGGTGCCTTGGGTGTTTTACATCCTGAAGTCATGACCAGTTTTGAAATTCCATATGCTGCTTCTTCCGTAGAAATTAATGCTGAAGTGTTCTTGTAGACACACACACACACACTGGCAGTCTCTTCTTGATTATAGAACTATAAATATACACCCTATTGTGTTAAAGTGTTACCTGATGGCGAATAATGGGTAATTGGTAAAAGTACACTACCTAAACGAGGAGGGAGGAAATAAATTTTATATCCGACATGTGTATGTGTCACCACACATAAAGTTACCTTACTCGGAACAATTCGGTTTTTAGATTAATTGCTTTGATTGACGTTACTCTTCTTTATATACCCATTTACCAATAGTGTTTTAACTTTGTTCAGCACAAGTATAAACAACCATTGTTAGAATACCAAACATTTGTTTTTTTTTGCCTACGCCAAACTGGTTGCCTTTTTTTCCGTGTAAATCACACATTTTCAAAACATAATAATCCAGCCACCACCAAATATAAAAGAACTACATCAGTATTATTCGACCGTAATGAGCGCAAAAACTGGTGCTCCCTCTAGAGCTTATGATATGATTATGAAATTGTTGTTGGTGGGTGATTCCGGTGTTGGTAAATCATGTATATTATTACGATTTGTTGAGGATAAGTTCAATCCTTCCTTTATTACAACCATTGGTATCGATTTCAAAATTAGAACAATTGAAAGCAAAGGCAAGAGAATCAAATTGCAAGTTTGGGATACTGCCGGTCAAGAAAGATTTAGAACCATCACCACTGCCTACTATCGTGGTGCCATGGGTATTATTATCATATATGATGTCACCGATTCCAGATCTTTTGAAAATGTCGAAAACTGGTACCAAACTGTGACCCAACATGCAAACGAAGACGCCCAGATCTTTTTAGTTGGTAACAAGTGTGATGACGAAGTTAATAGACAAGTTAGCAGAGAGCAAGGCCAAGAATTGGCTGCAAGATTGAACATTCCTTTCTTGGAATCCTCCGCAAAGACCAATGAAAACGTCGATTCTATTTTCTTGGAATTGGCCGGAATAATTCAAGATAAACATATTGATGATAACGTCGGTAATACTGGTTCTGGTTCTAATGGAATAGATGTATCACAAGGTAATACTGGTTTCAAGAGCAACTGTTGTTAATTGTGTTGTTAAGTGTTGCTTGCGTGGTTAGAGTGGGGAAGTGTATTGTACTTGGTTTGTAACTGCTAGTTAGGTGGTGCATTTGTCTACTTGTGTATGTTTGTAATTTATCTAACTTACAAGTGTGTTATGGATTTATCTTGTAGAATGCTATTTTACTACTATAAATATACAAATAAACTAGGTTAAACTAAGTTAAACCAAGCTAAATCTTCTTACCAAAGTATACCCATTGGTCTTCCAAAGGCTTTTCTTCTAAAGGTTCCCAACATTTCAAAGTGGCCATTTCTTGAGCTAATTTCAATTCATCATCAGCTTGAACAAGGACTTCTTCAATTAAACCATCACCAATTCTCTTTTCAATGTTTTCAACAATTTCTTCTTCTTCCACAATTTTCAATCTGTTCTTAGTCAAGGCTTCTACTGATTGTCGATAAACGGATTCCTTAGGATATCTGTTGTTTAAAACATCTAATGTGTATTTATATAATGAGATTAATGCTGGTCTTGGGTTTGGATGTTGATATAATCCAGTTATACCGGTAGGATTACCAGTGGCTGATCTAACCAATACTGATTGGACTTGTCTCAATGCAGAAGTGAATCTCATGTTGGGTACCTATTTGCTAAGTTCTATCTTCTTCTTTACGCTCTTTGAAAATATTTTACAAATTAAAAATCGTCTCTATTTGGTTGGTGGAAAAAAAAAATTATATGCGTCACGTGCTTTATTTAACCTAGAATAATCTACACTATATAACAATTTAATGGATATACAAGTTAACAAGGGAACTAGTTTATATTCTACGAGAAAATGCTTAAAAATCACCCCCTCCGAAATCTCCTCCTCCGAAATCCCCATAATCATCACCATCTTGGAATCCATCCTGGTATCCATCTTGGTAAGCTTCATATTGTTGATGATCTTCAAAGTTGTTGATAGCTGAACCTAAAAGCATTCCACCTAATAAACCACCACCAACACCAAGGGCCATACCACCTGCACCACCAAACCTACTACCACTTTGTTGTGGACGTTGTGCTTGTTGAGGTGGGTATTGTGGTTGAGGTGGGTATCCATACCCCGGTTGTGGTGGATATCCACCGTACCCTGGTTGAGGAGGATAACCGCCAAATCCTTGCTGAGGAGGGTAACCACCATACCCTGGCTGAGGAGGGTACCCTCCTTGTGGAGGATATTGTTGATAACCATGGCCACCTGGTGCAGGTCCACCCTGTTGAGAGTAACTTTGTTGTGGTGGAGGTGCAGCAGTTCTATTGATCAGACTGGATTGTGATACAGGGGTAGCTTTTGGAGCATCTTGGGGACTATAAGCAGGAGGAGGGATATCGTCAGTGCTAGGGGCGCCCCATGTTGTTCCTGGTGGCGCCTCCCATTGCGACTTCTTAGTATTCAAATCAACATAAAACCAAGTCTTGTAGTTGTTATCAAACTTAGCAATCCACCCTTTAGGAACATTGGGAGGATTATTTGGATCGGCTTTTGACATGTGTGTAGTGTTAGTTGTTTTAAGAAAGTGAATAAGTAATTTCTAGAATCAGATCAAAACTCCCCTTTAAATGGGTGGACAAAGCACAGCCAGAAAAAAATAGGCGAACGCAAAAAAATAAGTGGCTTATCACCGGTCACGTAGACAATTTTATAGGGTGCGAATCGGGTTTATCCAAACGGCATTTTTCTGATAACATTCGTACGACCGTTTAAATAGCTATGAAGATGAGAGTAAACTTGCTTAGATTATAGCAAATAGAACTCCCCCTCCCCGAGGAGACAGACCAACAACAACCAAATCTTGTTATTGAGTTTATTGTCGGGACTCTTCTGAATTTTGTTACAAAAATTTAGTGTGTATATTACTTCACTAAATTCTAGTTATGTTTATCATGCACGCTACACAATGATTTATTGGGCCCATAAGTGTATTCGTTTGAGATGTCCTAAACCCTCGCAGTCGTAAATTTCCCATTTCATGCAACAGCGCTTAAACTTGAACCCTTACTTGAAAGTTAGAGGGGGTGAGACTTCAACTATTAGCCACCTCGGGAAATATCTCATTGAACAACTCATCAAATATTTCAAACACCAAATGCTTATTCAAATAATCATTTTGAATCATTCGGAATAAAGCATTAGAAGCAAATGTAGTATTTGAAGTACCAAATATCGTAGAACATGTTTCATACATAAATACCAGCCATAGTCCCTTTGCTTCTTGTCTTGTATTTGATTGCTGATAAAGAGTTCGAAGCACTGGAGGGTCCTTGAATTTACCATTGGGGAATATAGTGTTCTTTAATAAAAGAACAAGTTCAAGCAAATTTTGCTCTGTTTTAAATTGTGCTTCAGTTTGGTACACTTTCTTTTCAATAGTTGTCCCAAATAATTGTTGCAATATAACAACCAATGCTCTTCCCCTTAGCCAACTTTTTGAATTCGAAAGTCTAAATACCGTGATTAACAAATCACATATTGGCTTGACAAACACAGTAGTTTTTGTATTTGTTCCTTCGTCAAACTGTTTCAATTCTTTTTCCATATCTCTGATATTTTCTACTATTTGTGATTCAGCTTCGATTGGATTGTTAGGTATATCATGACTACCAGATATTGGCATAAACTTGTCATATATTCCTCGATACCATTTATTAGCAAGAAATTCAGCATCTCCAAATGGTTGATTCTTATGTAAGCTAAAATTCTCCGATGATAAGAAAGATCTGAATGCTTTGTTTGAACAAATCTCGGGGATTTTAATTAATTCCTGTAAATATCTTTCTAATGCCTTTTGTCTGATTTCAATCAATTGTTGATGTTGAAATTTTAGCATTGAACGTTTAGGAAATTTGATATGGGCCACTGATGGATACTTCAACTTCAAGTATTCGTGTAATCGATAAAATTGACTGAATCGTCTGGCAACTACCCATCCTGCAGTAGTGATATTTGGATCATCATTGGAGTATTTCTGGACTTCAATAATATAAAGTGTAAATTCTTTGTTGTTTTCATTACTACTGATATATGACTGGATGCACACGCGTGATTTCCCATATAAACTATTATCATTTTCTTGAACAATATATTGTTGTTTTTGTAGTTCTTTAAAATTAATCTCTCGAATTAATGCTTGTTTGGATCGTTGTAAGACTTTCAATTCACTGAGATTATTGGTCAATTCAGCCTTAATGATTAATGGTTCCAAAACAGCCATTTGTCGGTGTAAATTGTCAGATTCATCGTTGAGTTTCCTGATTTCTTCAGCTAGGTTTAAATTACCAGGTGCGGCCAATTGCAATTCCAGGTCAGTAAGTGATGGGGCCGGGGTATCGGAATCAAAGTTTAATGAATCGCTATCTGATTCTTCGTCACTGTCAAATAACTTCCGGTTAGATTGGTTATCATCGTCATCTTCCTCATCAAATAGACTAGATGATGATTCAAATAATTCCTTCTTTGACATCATTTGTTCATCTTGAATTTCTTGCTTGCTCATAATTTGGGAGAATGCACTTTCAACAGCATGAACAATTTCAGGATTAACTGGTACTGGTTGGGATGATTCATTATTCCCTGTTATCAAATTTTCGAAAAACTCAGATTCTTTAAATAGCGGTAAATATTCATTGTCGATAATGGAATATACTTCTTGTTGTAGCTGCAATAAATAAGTTCTAGCCTCGTGGTAAAGATTAAGTTTGTCTTCCTCTTTCAGATTAAACAAATCAACAAATATCTCTTTATTGTTAGCTCTAATAATACCTGGTTCAATGTATCTGCTATAAATATCATGGATATCATTGATATCGGTATACTCCAACAAAAGTGTGGTTTCCTCTTCCAAAGGAGATTTTATTGCTTCAACAGAGGACCAGAAGTCAACAAAACTTTCTTTTACTTTCTTAGTTAAGAATTCTCTGAATATGATCAACTTAGATGGATTGCTTAAAATATCTCGAAGTGTTATAGAACCTTTTAAGTTGGAAAGTGTAAGCTGTTGTTTCTTACTATTCAATAATCCAGTTAATTCAAGCCTTGAGTTAGAATCAGGAATTTTGCTTATGGAGTGTTCAATATCTGCTAACCTGGTGATATCGGTGGTTGTTTCTATGGAGGTAGACAAACTGTCTATATCAACATCAAAATTTGGCACCTCTTTTAATGGTCGTTTCAACTGTGTGTGTTCTTCCAACGCAGCTCTTAATTGTTTAACTTGATCACGACGTCTTAAATTATCCCCAATTAATTTAACAATTATAACATTGTAGAAATCTGCTTCGGTTACTAAATTGACTATATTTGATAATACTGTGCATGCTATGATTTCAGTGACTAATGATACCCCAACTTCATTATCCCTTTCATTATCAGACAAGATAAAAGGAAGACAAGCACCGATTTTTCCACGTAAGTATTTCTTTTGGTTAATATCTAATGGTTGTGCCAGCGCAACTGTAACTGCTCGATGAAGCTTTCCTCTTTTGTATTGTTGTGCAACTGCCAATTGGAAATCACGAGAATCAAATTTTGAAAAGTTTCCTTTAGCTTTGACATAATTTTCAGCCTGTGATGATGCTTGGAAATGGTCTTGAATTATTGGTAATATTCGTGATACTAGTAATTTGGTAAAGTCGATTTTCTCCAAACGGTCAATTATGTTGCGTATAACTTGTTTGATTTCAATAGCTATCGAGTCAGTAACTAAGGATGATTGTGTGATTTCTTTATACCATGATTGTATGAATTCTTTGATTATCAATTGGATTAATTCGTCTAATACGGTTGATATTATTAGTGAATCAGTAGTTGGTTTGTGTAATTCCTGTTTGTCAGTTTCAAATGATTTAAGTTCGATTTGCCATTGTTCGGGTAACGTAAATTTGAATCTGTTGTGTTTTGAGGGGGCTTGTGTGAGTCGTCGTCTTGGTTTGAATGTGAGGATCAAGTAACCAATTGAAGTTATGGCAGTTAGTGATCCCAATATGAATACACCAAAGGACACTTTATAGGACATTATATACCAGAGGATTATGATGGTGCCAATTTTCACACTTAGGAACGACATTTGCCTCTAATTGTCCTGTGGTAAATGAGGTATTTGTTTGTTTACAGGAGATTAAATAGGGGTTGTTGTTTATATATTAAAAGTTGTCTATTATTTACGAATTCATATTTTTGATTTTCGCTTCTTAATGCTGTTTGAATTATCTTCGCTGTCTCTACTTCGTTTCTTTGATTTGGTTTCTATACTCTTCTTTTTCTCTCTCTTTTCCTTTTCCTTTTTGTCTTTCTTCTCTTTCTTGTCCTTCTTTTCCTTCTTTTCCTTCTTGTCTTTTTTCTGTTTCTTCTCCTTCAGCTTTTCCTTGTCTTTGCTTTTCTTTTTGGCTGCCACTTTTTTATCCTTCTTATCCTTCTTCTCCTTCTTCTCCTTCTTTTCTTCCTTGCTGCCTTTATCACCACTTGCCTTTTCTATAAGTATTTCCATTTCCCTTAATGCTTGACTAGAAGTTACTTCCATCTGCTTAGCGGTGAAATCGGTCTTTCCCACAGTTCCAGCCAATCCTTCACCCTTGACGAACATCCTATATAACGGAGACATTGATCTTTTAACTGTCCCTATAACATTGTCAGCATTCTGTTCAAACAGAACAGATCCGTTGTTATCCTTATTGACATCTAAATTTTTTAACTGCCCATCAAATAATCGCTCCCACCATACATCCCCATCCCTATTATAATCATGGCCCAACCCTTTAGTATCCTTTTTATGCTTGACCAATATTGGTTTCTTGAGTCCTCCCTTTTGCAACGCTTCTCCTTCCTTCCATCCAAAGGACTGCAAATATACACTGGCGTTCATGTGTGTGGTGTTCTCTGTTTATCTAGTGGTTGTAAAAAAAATTTAGCAGGAGATGATTTAGGTTTTTTTTTTCTTTTATTCTGTCTGTTTATTTTCTACCTTGTTTTAGCGAGATAACCATTAACCATATACAACACATTACTTCAGAATGAGTGACTCGGTTGAAGTGACAATTGAGTCCAAAATTACAGAATGTGAAGCATTTATTGATGAGAATCCATATGTTGCAGAAAACTACGATAATCTTCTAGATTTGCTCCAGGTATCATCTAATCCAACAAAGCTTCATGATGTTTACAAACAGAAACTTACATATTTCCGATTGAAGCAAAAGGAATTACTTAACTGGTATGAAATCTTGCTCAAAATTGACGATGATTTACAGCGTGCAAGCTTACAGGTGGAATATTTCGAATTAATCTTGTTGGATTATCCTGATGTACCTACTTGGAAACGATATCTTGACCAGTGTGAAACTTTGATTAAGATGGAAATTATTGATGATGATGACTATAGATTGATATTACAACGTGCCATGAAGGATTGCTTTCATGATTTTGAAAATTGTCACGAAATTTGGAACATAATGTTACTGTATTTCTATGACAGATACCTCAAGACCAAGAATCAAGACCATTGGGATCATTTGGTGCAATTACATTTGCTGAGATTGGGACAATCTCATGCCCAATTGGATGATTCATTTAGTGAGTTTTCTTCGTTAATTAGCAAGCATGACGCCGAACATTATGATCAGCAAATGACAAATGCAAATAAAATTTACTCTGATACTAAAAGAAACCAACACTATTATGAACACTACGAAATTAAAATCAAGTCAGATCCCTCAAATCCTCAAGTGTACATTGACTATATCGAGAATGTGGCAAAATACGAATCACGATCAATGATTGCTATTTTCAACCGAGCCATACTGGCAGAATATTCCTGGTCACCTGAATGGCAACCAGTATGGATGACAGTGATTTATCAATTATATGCGCATGATGAAATGAACCTACTTGAACTGCTTTTAAAGAAATTTGTGAGAACTTTTGCCGAGTCTTGTCGACCATATGCTGAGTTAATTCGAAATTGTATAGAGTTTGATGATGGCGAGACCTTGTTTAATGAAACTAAAGAACGAATAGATAATCTTGATTTAATGACTAAATCAGATTATTCTGAATGGAAATTATTAGCTCTGGCAATAATTCAATACAGATTTAACGCCAAGGACAATGAAAACCTTTACGTTGATGCCTTGAAATATGTTGAGTTTGCCATTGATTACAATAATGACATGCTTCATTCGGTTGAGAAATTGGCGTGTTCCATTTTCCAAAAATTGGGTGATTTAGAAGAAGCATCAAAGATTGTCGATTTGATGGTGGATAGATTTAACGAACAGGCTGATGTTTGGTTATATATGATAAATTACTTGACTGTCAATTCCGAATCACAGGAAACTCTTCGTCAGACGTTCCAAAACGCGCTTTTGTTTGCCGCTGCCATGGATGCTCCCGAAAAGATTATTGAAGAATGGTTAATTTTCGAACAAGCAAATGGGGATATTAGCTCTTATAGAGATGCTGTACTTGAATGTAATGCTGCATTGAAGTTCAACTTGATGAACAAAGTGGAACAATTCGAAACTAAGAAGGCGGATGAAGTTGCAAAAGTTGAAAAGGCTGAGAAAAAGAAAAAGTCGGGACAAAAGAGAAAACTTTCTGAAACACAGGAACCAGTACGTTCAAGAGAAGAATTTACAGTCAAAGTTACAAATATTGACAATGTTAGCAAAGAAGATTTGATTGCCATGTTTCAAGATTGTGGCGAAATTAGAGAAATCTCAGTACTTGAAAACAGTGCCTTAATCGAGTTTACTACTGACCAATCGGTGCTATCTGCCTTGACTAAAGACCATAAACGGATCAACGATCATGAAATCACAGTGACCAAACTTGGTAATTCAACATTATATGTCAACAACTTCCCATCTACGTACACACAATCACAAATTCAAGATAAATTTTCAACAGTTGGTCCTATTGTATCCATTCGGTTCCCCCATCAGAACAATCCAAATAAAACAAAAAGATTTTGCTATGTCCAATATGTTAACCCAGATGACGCTAAACGAGCAATTGTTCTCTATAATGGAGAAATGCTTCATGACGATCAATTCAATACTGATTTTAAGCTACAGGTTATGATTTCCCGGCCCCAAGAAAGGAAACAAAGAAGTAGTCCAATATCTGAACGGAAGATTCGAGTATCTAACTTGTCTTTTGAACTTGGCGAGGATCAGATTAAAGACATATTTGTTAAATGTGGTGAAATCGACCTGATTGTTATTCCGAGAAAGAATAAGAAATATTCCAATGAAGGGGTTGCAATTATTGTATTTGAAGGTATTGAAAGTGTTGACCGGGCACTTGAATTGAATGAGACCGAAATCAGTGGAAGAAAGCTACATGTCGAAAGACCAAGACATCATCATCAGAAAGAGGTGACAGTTAAAGATTTCAATAAGCTTAGCACTATAGGGTTGATCAATGTTGATACTACTTTGAAACCCTATGATATAAAAGCATATTTTGAAAAGTTTGGTGCAGTTGAGAAACTGATGGTGCTTCCTGACTCGGCTAGCGCACTTGTAGAATTTGCGTCACCAACAACGGCTGGTACGGTATCTATGTCAGGTGACAAGATCATATTGGGACAAACTGAAGCTACTATAACTGAGATGAGCACTGCTATAGCTGCTACAGCCCCTGCTACAGCCCCTGCCACAGCCCCTACTCCTGTCCAGTCGGTCAAGCTGACTCGGATAATGATTCCTGCTTCCGTTAAACGGCGCAAGAAGAATTGAGGCTGGTGGGACCGGGCCTGAGCCGCACCACATGCAACTCTGGTGTTGCTTTTTCGAGTGAAAAATTTTTTTTATTTAGTCACTAGTAATAAAATCAGTGATTTCCCCCCTGCTAGATCAGTAGAACTTGACAATGAGCGCTCCTATCAAGTTAGAAAATACGGTGCGTAGAGATACGTTGATCGAGATTGAAAAGAAGTATCAAAAGATCTGGGCTGACGATAAAGTATTTGAAGTTGATGCCCCCACCATTGAAGAAGTCCCAATTGAAGATGTTGAAGAAGTCCAAGAGAAGTTTCCTAAATACTTTGGAACCATGGCTTATCCTTACATGAACGGTGTCTTGCATGCCGGTCACGCTTTCACTTTGTCCAAGGTTGAATTCGCCACCGGGTTCGAACGTATGAATGGTAAGCGTGCCTTGTTCCCACTTGGGTTCCACTGTACCGGTATGCCAATCAAGGCTGCTGCCGATAAAATCAAGAGAGAAATTGAATTGTTCGGTGCTGACTTTGCCGGTGCTCCAGCTGACGACGAAGAAGAAGAACCAGCTGAACAAAAGCCAAAGGCTGCAAGAGAAGATGTTACCAAGTTCACCTCCAAGAAGTCCAAGGCTGCTGCTAAGCAAGGTAGAGGTAAGTTCCAATTCGAAATCATGTTACAATTGGGTATTTCAAAGGAAGACGTGGCCAAATTTGCTGAAACTGACCACTGGCTTGAATATTTCCCACCATTATGTCAAAGTGATGTCACTAAATTCGGGGCTAGAGTCGATTGGAGAAGATCCATGGTTACCACCGATGCCAATCCATACTATGATGCCTTTGTTAGATGGCAAATCAACAGATTAAGAGATTGTGGTAAGATCAAGTTTGGTGAAAGATACACCATTTATTCCGAAAAGGATGGTCAAGCTTGTTTGGATCACGATAGACAAACTGGTGAAGGTGTTGGGCCACAAGAATACACCGGTATTAAGATTCACGTTACTGATTTTGCCCCAGCTGCTAAGGAAACTTTTACCAAGGAGAACTTCTCCTTTGAAGGTAAGAAGATTTACTTGGTTGCTGCTACTTTAAGACCAGAAACCATGTATGGTCAATCCTGTTGTTTTGTTTCTCCAAAGATTGACTATGGTGTCTTTGATGCTGGTAATGATGAATATTTCATTACTACTAAGCGTGCTTTCAAGAACATGTCTTTCCAAAACTTGACTCCAAAGAGAGGTTACTATGAACCATTGGTTACTATTAACGGTAGCGATTTGGTTGGTTCTCATATTGATGCACCATTAGCTGTTCTCAAGGAATTGAGAGTCTTGCCTATGGAAACTGTCTTAGCTACCAAGGGTACCGGTGTTGTCACTTGTGTTCCATCCGATTCCCCAGATGATTTCGTTACTACTAGAGATTTAGCCAACAAGCCAGAGTATTACAAGATTGAAAAAGACTGGGTCAAGACTGATATTGTTCCAATTGTTCAAACTGAAAAGTATGGTGACAAGTGTGCTGAATTCTTGGTTAACGAGTTAAAGATTCAATCTCCAAAGGATGCTGTTCAATTAGCCCAAGCTAAGGAATTGGCCTACAAGGAAGGTTTCTATAACGGTACCATGATCATTGGTAAATATGCCGGTGAAAAGGTTGAAGCTGCCAAGCCAAAGGTTAAGGCTGATTTAATTGCTTCTGGTGAAGCCTTTGTTTATAATGAACCAGAAGGACCAGTTATGTCTAGATCTGGAGATGATTGTGTTGTTTCCTTGGAAGATCAATGGTATATCGATTACGGTGAAGATGTTTGGATGGGACAAGCTTTGGAATGTCTCAAGGATATGGAAACTTTCTGTAAGGAAACCAGACACGGGTTTGAAGGTGTCTTGGCCTGGATGAAGAACTGGGCTGTTGTTAGAAAGTTTGGTTTAGGTACCAAGTTACCATGGGATCATGAATTCTTGGTTGAATCCTTGTCTGACTCTACAGTTTACATGGCATATTATACTATTTCTAGATTCTTACATTCTGACTACTATGGTAAGGTTCAAGGTAAGTTTGACATTAAGCCAGAACAATTAACGGATGAAGTGTTTGATTACATCTTTACTCGTCGTGATGATGTTGACACTGACATTCCAAAGGACCAATTAAAGGCCATGAGAAGAGAGTTTGAATACTTCTATCCATTAGATGTTAGAATTTCTGGTAAGGATTTGATTCCAAACCATTTGACCTTCTTTATCTACACCCACGTTGCATTGTTCCCTAAGAAGTTCTGGCCTCGTGGTGTTAGAGCCAATGGGCACTTAATGTTAAACAATGCCAAGATGTCCAAGTCCACTGGTAATTTCATGACCTTGGAACAAATTGTCGAAAAGTTTGGTGCTGATGCTTCCAGAATTGCCATGGCTGATGCTGGTGATACTGTCGAAGACGCCAACTTTGACGAATCCAATGCTAACGCTGCCATTTTAAGATTGACTACTTTGAAAGAATGGTGTGAAGAAGCTGTTGCCAACAAGGACAAATTGAGAACTGGCGCTCAAGACAACTTCTTCGATCAAGCATTTGAACATGAAATGAACCAATTGGTTGAAGCTACTTACAAGCAATACAGTTTAACCAACTACAAGGCTGCTTTAAAGACTGGGTTGTTTGATTTCCAAACTGCTAGAGATTATTATAGAGATTCAGTTTCTTCTACTATTGGTATGCACCACGACTTGGTTTTGAAGTATATTGAAACCCAAGCATTGATGTTAGCACCAATTGCTCCACATTTTGCTGAATACATCTACAAGGAAGTTTTGGGTAACTCTGGAAGTGTACAAACTGCTTCATTCCCAAGAGCGTCTAAGCCAGTTGACAAGGCTGTGATTGATGCCTTGCAATATGTCAAGGATGTTTCCAGATCTATTCGTGAATCTGAAGCCAATGTGTTGAAGAAGAAGAAGGGTGGTAAGCCATCGGATGTTGATGTCACCAAGCCTGGTAAGTTGACGTTGTTTATCTCCAATACATTCCCCGAATGGCAAGACAAGTACATTGATCTTGTTAAGGAGTTATTTGAACAACAAACTTTGGACGACAAGAAGGTTATTGCTACCAAGGTTGGTAAGGATATGAAGAGAGCTATGCCTTTTATTACTCTTATCAAGCAAAGATTAACCAAGGAAGATCCAGCTACTGTGTTTAACCGTAAGTTGACTTTCAACGAGGTTGATGTTCTTAAGGCTGTTATCAATAACATTAAGAAGGCGCCATACTCGATCCAAGTTGCTGAAGTTGACCTCATTGCCTTTGACAATGGTGCCAAGACTGGAGTTAACATTCTTAGTGGAGAAGAAGTTGAAATTACCATTACTGGTAAGATTGTTGACTCTGCTGTCCCTGGTGAGCCGGGTATTATGATCACCAATATTTAGTGTTGTTCTGTACGTATTATAAATAGAATTTTGAAACGTGAAATTTGAAATTTAATAAGATATATTGATAAGTCGTCTAGCGAACAAGTAAACTGTTTCACATTGTAGAAGGTGTTCGTCTAAAGTACTTTCGTATTCTTTTTTGCAGTTATTGTGCGCTACCGGTTACGGGGTTTCATTTTTGTTTTTTTTGCGTCAATAAAAAAAGCTGGCTGTGCTACCATGTGCAGAGGGGGTTGCATTGGAAATGAAATTTTTTTTTCTCTTTCCTGCTTGTGCCTTTCAGGTGAAACCCAAATAACCGACAGGAGAGTTAATTTCATATATCTTTTACAACTATATACTTATACCACCATACAAAACGCGATAATACAACTATATCAAGTCAAGTTCTACTAAGTCAACCTAAACCCAAGTTCAGTACATAATCTTAATACCCCCTGAAATCACCAAGCATACCAAGAACAAAAGCAAGAACTTGTGTTTAGACTTTTTCGCTTACCATGAACAATAACAACAACAACTTCACGTTCCCCTTACGTGACTATGAAGCCAAGTACGACTACAAGCTTACAAATCCCAACGGTAAGCTTTCCGATGTTTGGTTGCATAAAGAATACCAGAAGCTATCCCTACAAGCCAACCTGTCTAGAGAGAGAAGAAAGAGGAATGTAGGGGAAGTCGGTGGCACCGATGACGACAACGAAATGGTTCCATGTGAAGACATCATACTTTCCGACAGTGATAGTGTTGGAACAGTCTCTGGTGGAGGAGGAGGAGGAGTTGGTGGCGGTGCTGTTGGCGTTGGCGTTGGCGTTGGCGTTGGCGGTGGTGTTGGCGGTGATGTTACTATGTTTGCCAGTGCTGCCGCTGCTGCTGCTGCTGCTGCTGCCAGGCAAGGTACAGCTCATCCTCCAAAGAGAAGATTGACTGCACTCACTGTGAATGAGAATATGAATTCAAATAAAATGATGTCGTTTCAAATAGATTCTCCAGGCTGTGTTCAACCCCTGCTGCCGTTTTCTAACCGTCTGTCCACGTCAAACAGCGCTCTCGCTACAGCTACTACTCCCGCGTGTGCACCCACTATACCAGATCCACATCAACAACCAGTCCGTCGACCTAGAACCCCAAATGCTATAAATTCTCCCACACATACACCTGTGTCTGACGAAGATGATCCGATCCAACAGTTGCCCCTTCCATCCCCAAGTGCATCTCCTATTGACCTGGAACAGTCTCATGCATCAAAATTGAGCTTTGAATCAATAGAGCGACTGTTGACAACTATACCCACCACCCAAGGTGAATTAATGGATTTAATGACCAACTTGTTTGGATACTTTAACGAACGCAACCAAAATCATTTCATTTTCAGATTGTTGCAAAATGTTAATCGTGCTTCCTTGAGTACTTTTAACGGATTAATTCACAACTCGTTGAAGAGAGATCTTTTAACCAACTTACCTGTGGAGATAACCATGAAGATATTGAAATACTTGGATTATCAAACATTACTTACGCTTTCCCTTGTGTGTAAATCATGGTATGACAAGATAAATAACCCCGATCTTTGGATTAATTTACTCATGAAGGACAAGTTAATAACCGATCCGGAAATAATCAAACAAGAATTGCATGATCCGCAACAATTACTAGAACAGTGGTGCCGATTACCCAATGTGAATCCTGCTCAAGCATTATACAAAAAGAGAAGCATAATTGTCAATCGATGGATGGATCCAAATTATGAACCTAAACGTATCAGTGTCACTGGTCATGGAAATAAAGTGGTTACTTGTTTACAACATGACGATGAAAAAATCGTTACTGGTGTTGATGACAAGTGTATTTTAATATATAGTACCAAGACCGGGAAATTAATGAGGGTATTGGAAGGACACGAAGGTGGTGTGTGGGCTTTAAAGTATACTGGTAATACTTTGGTCACTGGGTCTACCGATAGAACTGTCCGGGTATGGAATATGAAGACAGGAATATGTACCCATGTTTTCCGAGGTCATACCTCCACCATTAGATGTTTGGATATCATTCATCCTACTGTGGTGGGTAAAGATGCCAATGGCAATGATTTAATCTTTCCCCAATTCCCCCTCTTAGTCACTGGATCGCGTGATCATAATATCCATGTGTGGAAATTACCCCTTTGTGATGATGGTGATGATGTTGATGATGACACGGTTGTCGCTGATGAAAATGCCAGAACCGGTAATACCTTTGATAGCAGTGAAATTGATAATCCATATTTGATTGCCGTGCTATCCGGACATACACAATCAGTACGATCCATATCGGGGTTTGGGAACATTATAATTTCGGGATCATATGATTCCACGGTACGAGTGTGGGATTTATTGGATAATGGCAATTGTAAACATATTTTAACCGGACATCAAGACCGAGTCTATTCCACTGCTATGGATTTCCATGCCAAGACATGTTTCTCGGGATCCATGGATTCTACCATTAACATGTGGAACTTTGAGACAGGGAAACTAATCAAGACCCTTGAAGGGCATTCGTCGTTGGTTGGTCTTTTATCGCTTGTTGACGGTGTCTTGGTGTCGGCTGCTGCTGATGCGACATTACGGATCTGGGATCCTGCCACGGGGGAAATCCTGAGTAAATTAAAGGGACATGGGGCAGCAATCACATGTTTTGAGCATGATGGGCTTCGTGTCGTTAGTGGTAGTGAGAAGATGCTTAAATTGTGGGACGTTAAGCGTGGTTGTTTTGCTCGTGATTTATTGGCCGATGTGACTGGCGGCATTTGGCAGGTTAGAATTGATTACAAGAGATGTGTTGCTGCTGTACAAAGATTTAACGAAGAAGAAGAAGGGGAAACGTTTATTGAAATTTTAGATTTCAGTGAACCACCTAAATAGCACTAATCTTCTATTAAATATAATTTACGCAATTTATTTAGACGTTCGAGTCCGTCATTCATTGTAAAGCTCTTTTTCCTCTTTGTCGTTGTGGGTCTGTCTATTATCGTCAGGTCATTATTGATGTATTCTCCATTGATGCCGATATTGTTAATCGATCCAAGTATCAAGCTAAAGAAGTAGTCATGCAAGTGAGGATCGTGCACATGGGAACAGAATGGTTTGTGATCATGGACGGGATCAAACTGAGGACCCAAAGGTTGGTCGAATTCTGTGAGTTCATCATGTGGTTCGTGATGAAGAGGATATTTAACTGGGGTCAATGCTTGTAAAGTGTTCAAGTTCAGGGCTGGTGTGACCGTATTTAAAAACACTCTCAGATTACACATGCCACAACTCATGACTAAAATCACGTCATTAGCATATCTCTGCGCATTCAAACTCCACCCTTGTGCTGCTATTTCGTAGAACCATACTGGAATATGTTGGAGGCACGCGCTGACATTTTCCTTGTCAAGTTTGTAATATCTTGCTAGTAGCCATTGGTTGGATATGTTAATAAACTCGGGCGATTGTAATGACGAAGATTTGAATATTTGATCATAATGTTCTTGTAAAATTAAGGAATTATCGACTAAGCTCTTTAAATTTTTGAGGTATTGGGTAATAAGAAAGGTGTTTGTAGCGCTAAGGTAATGTCGAGGGTAGTACACTCCATCCAAGGGAGTTTCAAAATTCCTCCAGCTGCATTCCGTAGAATGTCCTGTGGTTTCAATCTGAACCATGTACTTTTCAATCAATTTACTATTCAATTCATCATCATACTCCTTGCCACTTAAGAAGTCAATGTCAAATGGAGATGTATCGTTGGATATGTTGTTATTACTGAATCGCAAGATTAGTTGTTGGTGGCAGTTTGTACATATCAAATGATTTTTAATATTCCTTGCGAATGAAGCACATTTCCATCCGTTTCTCGCACATTTAAGTTCATTCAACTGGGGACTATTTGGAACTTGCCAGTTCAAACTATTGAAACTGCGTAGCCTTCCGAGTAACATATTCAAATCGTAAGGGTCAAACACGGTCAGCTTCGACTGAATCTTTTCGATACTCTTTTGCAGCTGTACCTTGGACTTGTGATACGTGAAATGATTCTTTTGCTTGACTTTTTGGAAATATTGAATGTCTGGATGCTGGTTAAATGACGTATTACCTAAATAGACTGTATTCTTGTGATTATATGATTCATGGGCTGGTGATTGAAATATATCGAGACAATCTTCTAGCACTTGTGATGTATTATGGGACACCTCATCTAGACTGAATATAGGGTCCATCTTTGACGAAGTCTTGCTTAGTTGTGGCTGTAAAAACGTAGCAATCCAATTGTGAAAAAAAAGGAAGTCAAATTCCGCAAAATTTTTGTGATCGCCGAGTCATGTGCTTTGAGTCCACGTGATCGATTCTTGTGGAGAATTTTTTTTTAATTGCCGTTCTTCAATTTTCAAAATGTGACGGTAAAACCAACGAGACAACCAGGAACACACATATATGCAGACACAATGTCATCACGAAGACCAATATTAGAAGAAATCGATGACGATGACATCGATAATATGGACATGGGCATTGCTGAGTTCGATCCAAGTTTAAAGACACCTATTGCTCCAAAGCGACCAGAACCTTCAATCGTTCGTTCTCAAGACGCACACGCTAATGAACCACCATTATTCCCACCAATTCCAACACAACAATCTCAACCACGTCAAGCTGTTGACCAAAAGAATATTGTTGATCCAAATTCTTTCAGTCAAGAAGAACGTGAGCAATTACTGAAATTCCAAATCATATATCCATGTTACTTTGATATTAATCGATCTCACAAACAAGGTAGACGAGTCAGTATTGATCGTGCTGTGGAAAATCCGCTTGCAAAGACTATATCTGATGCATGTCGTTCTTTGAATTTACCTGTTCTTTTGGAATTGGAAAAATCTCATCCTCAAGATTTTGGTAACCCAGGGAGAGTAAGGGTATTGTTAAAAGATGTGTTACATGGAGGCAAAATTGTTGATTCTAGATTTAAAACTAAACGAGAATTGTTCAACAAGATTGCTGACTATTTGGCCGAGCATCCTACCACTTTAGACAGTGTTATCAGTGGTGGAATTGCCCTTCCGCAAGAATTCCAAACCGGTGGATTCAAGCCAGAGGAAATACCAGTAGTCAAGGGCTTCAAGATGAACACTATTGTTCCTGTGCATTCCAGCTATACTTTGAAACATCCAATGACCAAAGCCATATACGATGCTGAACCTGATGTTCCTGCTGCTCCTAAGCCAATTGCTCCAAAACAACCAAAGAAAAAGGTTATGAAGATAAGGGGATAAGAAATATATAATTTGTGTGTATATTATAAAATGCTAATAACGTCTAGTTCTTTTTAGAACCGTACTTGTTTCTATATTCTTGAATAGAGGCTAAATCAGAGTCGCTGATTTTACCAGATAAAATGTCAATAACTTCAGCCAAACTGACGATGGAAAGAACTGGGATTCCGTATCTTTCAGAAACAGACTGAGTAGCAGAAATTGTAGCAGTATCAGTAGGCAATTCTTGTCTGTCCAAGGCAATGATACATCCAACAACATGACCCTTTTCATTACCAATGATTTCAAAGGCTTCGTTGATGGCAGTACCAGCAGTGATAACGTCATCGATAATCAAGATCTTCTTGTCTTTCAAAGCACAACCAACAATGGAACCACCTTCACCATGATCCTTCTTTTCCTTACGGTTGAAAGCATATCCTATGCTTCCGTAATTTTCAGGGTCTAATTCGGCTAACTTGGCAACAGTAATCGCAGCTAATGGGATACCTTTGTAAGCTGGGCCGAAAAGGATGTCGAATTGTAAACCAGAAGCGATAATGGCTTGGGCATAAGATGTGGCTAAATTAGATAATAATTTACCAGTGTTGAAATGTCCCAAGTTGAAGAAATATGGGGATTGACGTCCGGATTTCAAGGTAAAACTACCGAATTTCAATGCTTCGGATTCAAGAGCAGTTTCTAAAAAGGTTGATTTGTATGACATTGCGTGGTCTTAGAGTTCTTCGTGATGATGTGCAAGCCTCACCCTTGCAATTTGAAATAAAATTTGGCTAACTAGAGAAGAGGTCGTGTGAGGATCAAAAGAGTTTTTTTTTGGCTAGAACTAGCAAGAGGATCTGATCTCGCAGGGTCCATCAAGATCAGATATACCAACTATGACATGTTTGTAGGATGAGATATATCATGGGAGTAGAACTGACCATCTCTTCAATTGATAACATCAATTGATCGTGTAAAAGAAATTGACAAGATTAACTGGCTGTTGATTTTCCATGTATCGTGCTTAATGTTCTATAGTTCAGTCCAGCTGCTAATAATAGGAAAATTTTCCCATTAGCGTGGCATCGGACTCGAGTTGACTGATTGTGTGCTTCTTTATGTAATCTTAGAGGTGATTAATGTTATGGTGCTAGTCCATTTGATTTCACTAAGATTTGTCTTTTTGCAACTTTTCGCCGAAATTTTTTTCAAAATTTGCTCATCCTGCCGTATTTGTAATTAATCCTTGTATGACTTAAGAAATTGTGGAGATGAACCCTTCAAAGTCGTAAGCACCAGGCAAAAATGCTAAAAAACGAACCATTTGTCAAAATCTAGAAATAAGCTTACCTGCAGATCATCGCAAGTTAAATAAAATTAGACCATCTCATCTAGAGCCAAGTCAAGAAAAATACCAATTTACTAGCTAATAAAGCTTAACTGTATCCAAGCCCACTCATACCGTTAACGGACATATTGTGTCGTTCATATCGTATAGAAAACAAAGGAGTTACAAAAAACTTTACCGGAGTCAACACGTGACATTTCATAATTGGTTAGGAAAAAGTTTTTCACTTTTTGTTGAGTTTAAAGTGCCATGTGAATTTCAAATGACTCTTTAACGTAAACTGCAAAATCACGTAAGTTTGAGATTTACATGTAAATCAAAAAGGAATGGCGGCCCTTATTGACTCCACCACAGAATTAGTCAATTGTTAGTTATAGCAACCACAGTAGACACGCGTTGACTTCGATTTATTCAATATCTTATTGATTAACTTGTCCTTTTGGTTTGGCCAATATCAATTCGCTCATTCTTTGTGTTAGTTCCACCCACGCTTGATAACCAAGTGCCCGCTCTGTGGTCAACGTTTTGTGCTAAATTTTCACTTTGTTTTTTTTATTTTTTTTTTTTTTTTTGGTTCGTTTCGTATAATATTAATTCTGGCCACGGTGAGATCCCAAAATTTTTCACCCTCCTCCAATTACTTCGCCAATCATCAACTTTTTGAACTATAAAAGTCAATTGAAATTTCCAACGTTTCAATTTTTGAATTTTTTTCCTTCTTTTTCTTTTCTCTTTTCTCTTTCTTTTCTTCAGCTTATTATAACTCAATTATATATAATAAACCATGGTTCAATCATCCGTCTTAGGTTTCCCACGTATCGGTGGTCAAAGAGAATTAAAGAAAATTACCGAAGCTTACTGGCAAGGTAAAGCTACTGTTGAAGAATTGTTAGCAAAGGGTAAGGAATTAAGAGCCCACAACTGGAAGTTGCAAAAGGAAGCTGGTGTCGATATCATTGCTTCTAACGATTTCTCCTACTACGATCAAGTTTTGGATTTATCTCTTTTATTCAATGCTATCCCAGAACGTTACACCAAGTATGACTTGGCCCCAATTGACGTTTTATTCGCTATGGGTAGAGGTTTACAAAGAAAGGCCACTGAAACCACCCAAGCTGTTGATGTTACCGCTTTGGAAATGGTTAAATGGTTTGACTCTAACTACCATTACGTCAGACCAACTTTCTCCCACTCTACTGAATTCAAGTTGAACACTGCTGCCGGTGTTAAGCCAGTTGATGAATATTTAGAAGCTAAGGCTTTAGGTGTTGAAACTAGACCAGTTGTTTTAGGTCCAATCTCCTACCTTTACTTGGGTAAGGCTGACAAGGACTCTTTAGACTTGGAACCAATTTCTTTATTGGAAAAGGTTTTGCCAGTTTACAAGCAATTATTGGCTCAATTAAAGGCTGCCGGTGCTAACCAAGTTCAAATTGATGAACCAGTCTTGGTTTTGGATTTACCAGAAGAAGTTCAAGCTAAGTACCAAGCTGCTTACGAAGCTTTAGTTGGTGATGACTTGCCAGAATTAGTTTTGACCACCTACTTCGGTGATGTCAGACCAAACTTGAAGGCCATTGCTAACTTGCCAGTTGCTGGTTACCATTTCGATTTCGTCAGAGCTGCTGAACAATTTGATGAAGTTGTTGCCATTGTTGGTGAAAAGCAAACCTTATCTGTCGGTATTGTTGACGGTAGAAACATTTGGAAGACTGACTTTGCCAAGGCTGCTGCTTTTGTCGAAAAGGCTATTGCCAAGTTGGGCGCTGACCGTGTTGTCACTGCCACTTCTTCTTCCTTGTTACACACTCCAGTCGACTTAGAATCTGAATCCAAGTTGGACCCAGTTATCAAGGATTGGTTCTCCTTTGCCACCCAAAAGTTGGCTGAAGTTGTTGCTATTGCCAAGAAGGTTTCCGGTGACGATGTTTCTGCTGCTTTTGCTGCTAACGCTGCTTCTATCAAGGCTAGATCTGAATCTTCCATCACTAACAATCCAAAGGTTCAAGAAAGATTAACCACCATTAACGAAGCTTTATCCACCAGAAAGGCTGCTTTCCCAGAAAGATTAGCTGAACAAAAGACCAAGTACAACTTGCCATTGTTCCCAACCACCACCATTGGTTCTTTCCCACAAACCAAGGATATCAGAATCAACAGAAACAAGTTTGCCAAGGGTCAAATTACTGCTGAAGAATACGAAGCTTTCATTAACAAGGAAATGGAAACCGTTATCAGATTCCAAGAAGAAATTGGTTTGGATGTCTTGGTCCACGGTGAACCAGAAAGAAACGATATGGTTCAATACTTTGGTGAACAATTAGATGGTTTTGCCTTCACCACCAACGGTTGGGTTCAATCTTATGGTTCCAGATATGTTAGACCACCTATTATTGTTGGTGATGTCTCTAGACCAAAGGCCATGACTGTTAAGGAATCTGTTTACGCCCAATCTTTAACCAAGTCTCCAATGAAGGGTATGTTGACTGGTCCAGTCACTATCTTAAGATGGTCTTTCCCAAGAGATGATGTCTCTGGTAAGGTTCAAGCTTTACAATTAGGTTTAGCTTTACGTGATGAAGTTCAAGACTTAGAAGCTGCCGGTATCACTGTTATCCAAGTTGATGAACCAGCTATCAGAGAAGGTTTACCATTGAGAGCTGGTAAGGAAAGATCCGACTACTTGAACTGGGCTGCTCAATCTTTCAGAGTTGCTACTTCTGGTGTCGAAAACTCCACTCAAATCCACTCCCATTTCTGTTACTCTGATTTGGATCCAAACCATATCAAGGCTCTTGATGCTGATGTTGTCTCTATTGAATTCTCCAAGAAGGATGACCCTAACTACATTCAAGAATTTGCCGAATATCCAAACCACATTGGTTTAGGTTTATTCGATATCCACTCTCCAAGAATTCCATCCAAGCAAGAATTTGTTTCTAGAATTGAAGAAATCTTGAAGGTTTACCCAGCCAACAAATTCTGGGTCAACCCAGATTGTGGTTTAAAGACTAGAGGTTGGACCGAAGTCAGAGAATCTTTGACCAACATGGTTGAAGCTGCTAAGGAATTCCGTGCCAAGTACTAATCTTTTTTAGCTTAGTCTAGAAAAGATGTTTTGCATTATTCAATTCTATTTGTTGATGCTGTATCTGAAGATCTTTTTTGATTACATTTATTCAACATTAATGTAATTTTATTACTAATTTACCAATTTTTATTATTCCTTTTACTTTTGTGATGATATTGATATGGGGAAATGAAAACTTTTTTGTATTTAACCTTTTTGTATTTGTTTATTATGTTTTGGGATTTCAACATCGGTTTATATATATATATAATTTAAATATTATATTGATATTTAAAAGTTAATTGTAGTATATAAGAGTAGCTGTGTGCAAGTCATAATCCATGTTTGAATAGTTATAGTCAAAGTTTCATGAAAGAAAACAAATTGACCGTAATATCTATATATGTATGTGGATATTATTAGGTATGTTGTACTTTATATAAGCTTTGGTGACAAATGTCATTGTGTATCACCACGTTATGCATCATTTGCTTCCGCCTTAACGATTGTTTTTGCAATCGCATTCATCACTATTGTTCTTTCAAAAAGTATTTCCGAAAATCTTAGCGTTTTTCAATGAATATATACTAAACAATACAATCAATACGAATTAAAACATTCTTTTCGGCATAGAAATGACCCGGTTCATATTGTTATAGAGTATTTCAAAAAAAAAAAAATAATTGTTTGATCTTGCCGGATGATTTCCCATTTCCCCCCCCCTCCCACTCTTTCCCCATATTCTGCCCTCCACCCAACCTCCACCTTCCACCGAATACCTCCACCACGCATTAATTGTAAATCAATTCACGGGTTGTTTACTTTACAACAATGGATTCCTTTCTAAATATTTGAGTTGTGCCTTGGTGCCCTTCTCCGCTTTTCTCGAGTAATGGGGTCACTTTCGGGGGGTATATAAGGGGGTAACTTGGATTCCTTTCTAGCTTGAATTTTATTCTTTCCTTAGCTATTACTCCAAAAATGGTTGCTAATCCCTCTTTAGTGCTTAAGAAAATTGACGAAATCGTCTTTGAAAATCAAGAAGCCCCAACAATCACCGAACCCACCGATGTGATTGTCCAAGTCAAGAAAACTGGGATCTGCGGTTCCGACATTCATTTCTACCAGCATGGTAAAATCGGAAACTACATCCTTACCAAACCAATGGTATTAGGTCATGAATCTGCTGGTGTTGTTACTGAAGTCGGTCCTGGAGTGAAATACCTCCGTGTGGGTGATAACGTTGCCATTGAACCTGGTGTGCCTTCAAGATTCTCAGATGCGTACAAGAGTGGGAGGTATAATTTATGTCCTCACATGCGATTCGCTGCTACCCCTAGTACAAAAGATGAACCTAATCCACCAGGAACTTTGTGTAAATATTTCAAATCTCCTGAAGATTTCTTGGTGAAATTACCTGATCATGTATCGCTTGAATTGGGTGCGATGGTTGAGCCATTATCTGTTGGTGTCCATGCATGTAAGATAGGTAAGGTTAAATTTGGAGATACAGTTGCTGTCTTCGGAGCTGGTCCAGTTGGACTCCTTACTGCTGCTACTGCCAAGACATTTGGAGCTGCAAAAGTTATCATCATCGACGTGTTTGATAACAAGTTGCAAATGGCTAAAGATATCGGTGTGGTTACGCATACTTTTAACTCCAAAACCGATGGTGATTACAATGACTTGATTAAACACTTTGGTGGTCAGCCAAACGTAGTTTTGGAATGTACTGGTGCTGATCCATGTGTAGGCATGGGTGTTAATATTTGTGCTCCAGGTGGAACATTTATTCAAGTTGGGAATGCAGCTGCACCAGTCAAGTTCCCAATCACGCAATTTGCCATGAAGGAATTAACCTTGTATGGGTCATTTAGATATGGATTTGGTGATTATCAAGATGCAGTTAATATATTTGATGCCAATTACAAGAATGGTAAGGATAAGGCTCCTATTGATTTTGAACGGTTGATTACTCATAGATTTAAGTTTGATGATGCCATTAAGGCCTATGATTTGGTCAGATCTGGGTGTGGTGCTGTCAAGTGTTTAATTGATGGACCAGAGTAGATATTATTTAGAGTTAATACATGTTCAAGCTATTGTGTCAGAGTAAACTTGAAACATGAGCCGAATGTAATGCTGATATTTGCAGCCTTGATTGGTAGCACGTGGAAGCGACTTTGGCCATATACCACCAGTAATGAAAAGTAAAGGAGGCTTACAAAGAGTCACCCATTTACATTCAAAGATATTCACGACTCTAAACACCAACGATATTCAGTCTACCACAATTGGTTATGCCAAGCATGCAATGTACATTACACGACATGAGACGAAGTGTCGCGCTGATTCCAAAAAATGTCGTCTGATTCCGAAAAAGTCAGAAATCCTTTTCCGCCACCAAAATAGTTCTTGTCCATATCAACCACAACGAACCAACTGACAGAGCAAACAAGGACAATGTCTGACCAATTGATTAGCGAGTTCGTGTCAATCACCAATTCTTCAAAATATTTGGCTGAACAGTATTTACTGAGAAACAACAATGACTTGATGGAAGCCGTGGAGGATTATTATGCTAATGATGGCAACAGTGCCTCCACACCTACATCTAACCAATTCCAGAATGCGTATGTATATAGAAATTGTGACTTAGCTTTGAGATATCAATTACTAACTTGTTTTTGTAGTGATAATGCTAGTGGTTCTGGTCGACTTCGTACTTTAAGAGATTTGAATGATGACGGTGGGGATGACTCGGCGGACGAAAAGGATATGAACTACTTTACTGGAGGTGAGAAATCTGGATTACAAGTTGAAAACCCTAATAAGGATAGAAGGAAAGGCGGAAACTCTCAGAATGACCAGCTGATTATTGATCAAATTTTCCAAAGAGCAAAAGAACAAACAAATCAACCAGATGACCGTCCAAGTGCTGGTGATGAACCTCAACAGCCTAAATTCTCTGGTCGTGGGTTCAAATTAGGTGATGGCAATGAGCCAAGTCAAGAAATTGCTGATCCAAATGCTAATATATTCAGACCTACTAAAGTCAATCGAGAAATCACCTTTTGGAAACAAGGGTTTACCGTGGGTGAAACTGGTGAGTTACATAGATATGATGATCCAAGAAATGCTAGTATTTTACAAGAATTGAATCAAGGTAGAGTTCCAATGTCTATTTTGGATGTTGAGTTTGGTCAAGATGTCGATGTCTCGGTATTTAAAAAGACTGACGAAGAATGGAAACCTCCTAGCTTAAGTAGAAAAGCTGCTGGTTATTTCGGAAAGGGACAAAGATTAGGGTCACCTGTACCGGGTGAACCAATAGTAACGGAGAGCTCTAGTCCTCAGAAGGAAGTTGTCAGCTCTGCTCCATCTGAACCACAAGGCGAAGGTGATTCATTAGTTCAGATTAGATTTGCCAATGGTAAGAAAACAGCCCATAAGTTTAATTCAAGCGATGCTGTAACTAAAGTGTATGACTTTGTTAGAAACCATGAGTATAATGATCCATCAAAGGAGTTCAATTTGAGCCATGCCTTCCCTGTCAAGCCAATTGAGGATACTAGCGATATAACTGTAGCTGATGCTAAGTTGAAGAATGCTGTTATTGTGCAAAGATGGAAGATCTAACGAGTGTATAAGTTAATAGTGTCGTAAATAGCTTGAATATGTCGCGACAATGAACATCAAATTAAAAAGTGAAATAAAAAAAAATATATTCAGAGAATCTTGTTTGCAAAATTTCTTACAACCAAATCTTCTTTATAGACCACATTGACATGATAGCGAAGGTGTTGAGGGTGACACAAGTGATAGGAAAACGTCGAATACGACCGAATGTTTATATTCGTTTTATATCCACCAGATCAGATGAACGGCTGCCGTTTCTTTTCACCCCGAATGTAGATCAACATCCAGGTATCAATGGATCCAAGCTACAAGAACAGTACTCTCAGTACTATAGAAATGCATTGACGTTCAAGAATCCTAATTATTACTACAGAGATTTAGAATTTGAAGATATGGATGATGTGGAAATAAACAGTACGCCGGCTGAAGATTTTGGGGTGATTCTTGATCGGAATTTGAATTCTGTTCCTGTGCCTGGATCAGTTGTTGAATTCATACACCCTACCACATTGGAAGTAAAGTTCGGTGTCGTAATACGAGAATCTCAGGCTCGATTTGATGAAAGTTTGAATAGACTTGTTGTGCTTATGCCCGATAATGAAGTGGTTCAAATATCGCCCATGGATGTCAATTTCCATTGTCATAGTTTGATCTATGGTGATTTTGAAACAATATACGAGAACATAATGCATACTGATATAGATGATCGACTTTATGTTATACTGGCAATGCACAAGTTCATCCATGACAGTCACATAATGAAGAAATTGTTTGAAGACAAGTTGGATAGGTTATTCTTTCAATTTGCAACTAGCCGGATCCGTGCTTTGTCGTTTGCACATTTGATCGACGCTACTCAGTTTCCAGAACATATGATTGACGTGATTAAGGAATCCCGGTGGAATCAGTGTGCCTTGTTTATGGGCCTTCATTTGAACTTGGTGAATTCTTGTCGATGGATAGTACCAAAGTATATTCCTGCTAATAAAGGATCAAACATTTTCAATGAAGAGCATTCAAATAATTATGTTTCCAGACCAATTTATTTGGTTAATACTGAAGATAACTGGATTGCCATATCGAAATTTCTTGACGATATGAAAACTGAAAATGGATTTCATAATTTAAACCACGAATTTAGCTCCTTTTATAAGCATCAAACGAGCAAATTGGCAGTCGAGGGAGATAAGTTAAATGCTGCATTGTCAACCTCTACCCATCGTCATTTTGCGCATGTTATTGAAATGTTAAAGTTCATGGTGATATACCCTCATGATACGCTTCTTACAGAAATAAAGAAATTGGATCTATTCAAAAACGTGGAAACTGCTAGTGATATCTATAATATACTTGAAGAATTGAAAATATTTAAACATGGTCAAGCATCTGATGTTTTAGTCGAACTGGGTATACTAGGTGAAGTTAACAAAAGCAAAGAAGTGCATGAAGTGCTTGGATCTGACAATTTCAGACATTTACGTGGGAAGGGATTTAGCCGAGATCTAGTTGTCTATGGACTCAATCTTAATTATCCTTCCAATTCTCAAACTCCTACAATTGGTGTATCCCTTGAGAAAATCCTACGAGACGAGCATATCCTCCGGATTCACATTCCTGATCCGATCACGTTTCATTCACCTACAAGTAAACCCATGCGGAAAGCTTTTCATCCTGAATATGGTTTTGTTTCCGGGATGGATCATTTAATTAACAATCAGCACTGGTTCCCACTTTTTCCCAACAAGGGATTTCCTAGTTGGCACGATAAAACGGCAAAAAATGTTGAAACTAGTAATTTTTCTACATGTATGACGGTGTCATTCAAGTATAACCCCTTGGCAGATGACCCATTTCAGGATTTACAACTGTTGGTTTCTGTTAGAATGGATAATATTCTATCTTGCAATATCAAGAAATTGGATGATAAAGAATTGGAGAAATGTTTGGCAGGGGTGAGGATTGCTCCTGATGTGGTTAGTTGGCTTGAAGGAACTTCAGAACGGACGAGTAACTTGACTTTAAATGATCAAGAGACTATTCGAGGGATTTACAGCATCATGCAAAGATTCTTTAAGCGAAGAAGTATTCATAATGCATCACCTCCTGATCCATTGCAAACTCCGTCAAGCATAGATTCTTCCAATTTGTCACATGGATTAGTGACTACTGTGAAGAATGATTTCAGCTTTATGTTAGAGGAAGAATCTGCGGAGCAAGTAAAGAAAGATACTTCAGTTACCGCATATAAAGTCACTAACCACTGGCCCAATACACATGAATCGCATTTTCTCATCAATGAGCTACGCGTATTGGTAGGTACACTTGTTTCCGAGTATTGCATTGACAAGAACATCCCAATTTTACGTCGGGCTCAACATCTCAACACTGGCGACTTTCCTGAAGACAAAGTGATTGTTCCTCATCGTACTGTTCTTCAAAAATCGTACGACGCAACTTCGTATTCGTACATGCTTTATTCCAAGAACTCCAAGGGATACATGACTCCACAGAACGTGTTGGTCAGTAAATCATTCCTTGCTCCTGAGAGTATCACATTTAGAGATGTGGAAGATAAAGAGAATATTGTGCTTGGACTAGACAACGGATGGGCTAATATTGTCGATGTGTATAGCAAGGGAGAAGCCGTTGTGAATCAACTTCAAATATTGATGTCATTACAGTATACGTTCCAAAGAGCAGCGATACGTCGAGGTGCATCGCTTATTGCTGTCAATGAGAAGTTTTCTAATCTTAGAAGACTAGGGTACGAGACTAACGGTGCATTTCCGGAAAGGGTACTTGCTGGGCAAATTGAGAATATTATCAATGGAGATAATGATTCCAAGTATGTCATGCAGACTATTAAAAAGTATTGGACTTTGAGATGTCTACAGCAGGATGTGAGAAAAGTGCAAGAGTTTGAATGTATGATTACCAAAGTAGGTGTGAGTATGATGCCAGGGGTGATATTGTCGAAGGGATATTGCGTAGAATTGGATATTGAAGTGGATGTATTGACGGATGTGCCTAACCAATATGTAGGTATGCCAATACTGTGTAACCAAGTAGTATGGATGGACCCAGTAGGAGGTGCTTGTTTGCTTAAAGACAAGAAGTTGGTTATTGATGATAAGTTATGAATTTGTACATAGAAATTTACATTTTATTTATTTTAGTTTTTTTTTTTTTTTGTCAGTCGCAGCTTTTTTTCAATCAGGAAAATAAATTTCTAAAAATTTTCACTGACTCATACCAGTAACAAGAAGCAGCAACTAGCTATTAGACACCAACAACAATGGTAAGTACATTCAAATAGCTATCCATAGTATATAATAAGCGTATACTAACACATATGGCAGCCCGCTCAAGTGCAACCTTCAATTGAAGCATTGACCAAAATCATTGCTTCCAATACCGAAACTCCTGCTCCAAATCTTTACCCAATCTACAAATATGTCGCATATAACGACATCAGTACCCATCAGGCTTACTTGAAATTAGCTAAGTTGAACGATCCAAAGCGTTCACCTTCTTTCCTTTTTGAATCATCAATTAAAGGTGACACCGTCGACAGATATACTTTTATTGGGATCAACCCAACCAAGATCATCAAGACTGGTGATGACGCTAGTAAGTATTCTAGTGAGTTCTGCAATGTTGATCCTATAACTGTATTAGAAAAAGAGTTGGATGGATTCAGACAAGCTAGTTTACCAGGATTACCTAAATTCAGTGGTGGTGCAACTGGTTACATTTCCTATGACTGTATCAAATATTTCGAACCAAAGACAAGAAGACCATTAGAAGATGTATTACAATTGCCAGAAGCTGTATTGATGTTGTGTGATTTGGTTATTGCTTTCGACCACGTTTTCCAAAGATTCCAAATCATATATAACGTTAGGGTGGATGGTGACTCTAACTTGGAAGAAAATTATAAACAAGCCGTAGCACAAATTGAACAAGTTGAACAAACATTATTGGCTGATGTTTCTCCAGAACAATACAACCCAGTTCAAGGACCTATCAAAATGAACCAAAATTTCACATCCAACATTGGTCAACAAGGTTACGAACAACACGTTACTACTCTAAAGGACCATATCTTAAAGGGAGACATTATTCAAGCCGTTCCATCGCAAAGAATTGCACGTCCTACTTCCTTACACCCATTCAACATCTACCGTCATTTGCGTACCGTCAACCCATCCCCATACTTGTTCTACATTGATTTAGTTGATTTCCAAATCATTGGTGCCTCGCCAGAATTATTAGTCCAGTCAGATAGTCACGGTAGAGTAGTGACCCATCCAATTGCTGGTACCATGCCAAGAGGTAAGACTAACGAAGAAGACGAAGCTAACGCCGAAATCTTGCGTGCCAGTTTGAAGGATCGTGCCGAACACATTATGCTTGTTGATCTTGCTCGTAACGATATTAACCGTGTATGTACACCCACCAGTAACAAAGTTGACAAGCTTTTAACCATTCAGAGATTCTCCCATGTCATGCACTTGGTTTCTGAAGTTAGTGGGACCTTGAGAGACGATCAAACTAGATTTGATGCATTTAGATCGATTTTCCCTGCTGGGACCACAAGTGGTGCTCCAAAGGTTAAAGCTATGGAGTTAATTGCTGAATTAGAGAAGGAAAAGCGTGGTGTTTACGCCGGTGCTGTTGGTCATTGGGGGTATGATGGTAAGACCATGGACACTTGTATTGCCTTAAGAACTATGGTGTACAAAGACGGTGTAGCATATTTACAAGCTGGTGGTGGTATTGTTTTCGATAGTAACGAATATGACGAATACATGGAAACCATGAACAAAATGAGGGCCAACAACAATACAATTGTTGAAGCTGAAAACATTTGGGCAGAAAAAGTTGGTCAAATAGAGTAAACAGTGTGTAAATATTACTAGAATATATATATATATATAATGCTACCAGGCGGTTTGATATTGTGATATTAATAGCGAATATTTGCCCATTTTAGTGTGGTGCCGTAAAAGATAAGACAAGAGGCATTACTGTGTTACAACTAATAGGTAACATACACCGTCCCTATTGTTTCGAAAATGTGGTGGTTGACAGAAATTGTTGGTCACGTGCACGGCCTCAAAAACTAAATTGGCTAATAACCAGTAATATTTTGACAGACTGCTTATAAATCAAATCTGGCGCTGACATATCTTCTCATTTTCAAATCTGCTGATTGGACGTACAGGGTTACAACATTTGGTTACATCTAAAAGTTACGTCTTTGTCAAACCATAAATTATAAGCGTAAATTTAACCTTGCAATATAAATCGAACGACACAAAATTTAATTAACTGGCACATAAAAAATAAAAAAATTAATGTCGAGTATTTTTTCTTTTCTGGCTGAATTTATTTTAACTAATTTGGGTTATCCCGCAATTTCTTGGTGAGAAAGTGAGAGAGAGGGAATTAATTTTGATGATCATCTTGACAAAAAAACGACAGACAGACAGACACTGGAGGTTTTTTTTTGATCTCACAGTAAAAAGCTACACTAAATTAATATTTTTTATTAGTATCCATTTTATTTTGTAATTTATATTACGGACAGTTTATATGAAAGGTGTGAAGGTGTCTAATTGAATAAAGCGATTGATAGATATTACTACAACACTGTATACTACTGAATTACTACTACTGCTACTACTTACTACCACCAGAGCCAGCAACTACTACTTGTAACCACCACCACCAAATGAATTCAGAAAACAACCCTCACGAGTCAACGTCGACATCCACTTCTCCAACAACAGGGTCTTTACCGCTTCCAATAGCAGCAATGGAACAGCAAGATAATCTAACATCACCAAAACAATCCACTGCCCAGGCAGCAACGTCAGCATCACCGCCCAAGAATTATTCCCGGACACCGACATCGTGGGACGCCGAAGATGACATTCTACTTATGCATCTCAAAGACACCCAGAAACTAGGATGGAAAGAGATTGCCAGTCATTTCACCAATCGTACCCCTAACGCTTGTCAATTTCGATGGAGACGATTAAAGTCTGGGAACTTGAAAAACCCTCCCAAGTCAGCTGCTGCTTTGGGTAATCAAATCAACACCAAAGCAATGATTGCTGCTGCTGCTACTGCTGCTGCCAACAAAAAGAAGAAACAGCCAACAACAAACCCTAAGGTTAAGGTGGAATCCACCTCGACATTCACTTCAGCATACTCGCCACTTCCTCAACCGACATTCCAGGGGTTTGATAATAATATATCCAATGCATTAGCTGGATTAAATGCATTGTCCAATTCTCCTTCATACATCTCAAGTCCAATGGTCAATACCAATCCTTCAACTCCAAGAGGTTTGAGTATTACGTCACCCAACATAAATGGAGGTCTTCCACCAACACCACAACAACAACAACAGCAGCAGCAGCAACATCAACATCAACAACATCAGCAGCAACAACCACAATCTCCTAATTCAGACACATCTTCATCTACCCCATTGGAAAACCAAACAGGTGGATACTATCCAGATAGTGTTGATCCAACCATGAATCTTCCGCAAGGTACACCTTCATCTCTCACGCCAAGAAATTCTATATCTCAGGGCTCGCCCCTTGTGCAACCCCATCCTCCAAGAACAAGTATTTCCAGCACGGCTAGTCTATCACGTTCAGGCTCAATCTCAGGCATCCCACCCATCCTGGTCCCCAGTAATTCCACGGGTTTACCCACCATGTCATTCCGAAACAACTCCATCATTCAAACAATAAGAGATGATCGGACTTCAATATCTTCCTTAGCTCGTGTTTCCGTCAGTTCGCTTCCTTCTAAATCCATGAATATCCCTCATCATCAAACTACAAACAATGCCTTGGCGCATATGCCGGTGTTGTTTGGTAGTACTGGTGGCAGTATAAGTGGTCCATTGTCGAGAAACCCCAGTTTGAGTGCACCTTCGGGGGCTCCTGGAGCAAACTCTGGCATTCAACAGAACAATGTTTCCAGTTTGCGCAACAGCAGCATTGTTAGTGCCAATCTGGGATACTATTCTCGTTCTGGATCAGTGGTGATACCGTATAATGCTGACAAGGAGGAGCCATTGAAGATTGACAAGGACAAGTTGGATGACCATAATAAGAAATTGAACAAGAAAAAGATAAAGACTATCCACCATAACCATCGTACAACGACAAAGACTAGCGGCGACTCCAAGGGTAAATCGGCTACACCTAACCCACCACCGTTAGAGATTCCCTGGACCATGGAAGAGGATGAATTGTTAATCAATAGAAGAAACAGAGAATTGTCATTTGCAGAATTACTGATCTTATTACCGCAAAGAACTGAAGGTGAAATATGGGCTCGAATTGATCATTTGGAAAAATTAAGAAATGGAGCACATAGATCAGCCACATCCAGTGATCCAAGAAGAGCTGGCATTGATTTCTATGATGATGATGACGATGATGTTATTGGTGGTCTCAGTGACGATGAAGATGATGACGACGATGACGATGATAATAATGACGTTTTGAGTGTAAGAAAGAGGAAGCGTAGAGCTAGCTCGGCGGTCAACCCACTTTCGGTTAGAGAAACAATCAGAAAACGTTTGTAAAAAAAAATGAAGTGTGTATATATTAAAATCTATAATTTTTTAATACAATTTCAATTCCAGAGTAATTTGATCTATAATCAGTTTTGGTGCAGGTCCCAACCCTAATACCGTAGCACTTCCGGCAGCAATTTGTGTTCTCCCGGCATCGTGAACAATATAAGCATTGATACCGAGGCTTATAGCTTGAGCATACAACATATCCATTCCTTCTTGGTCAGGAACTTGCAATGTGATTTTAGCCTGTCCATTGCCATATTCCCATCGTCTAACCATTTCTGGGTTATATGCTGGAGAATTTGGATTTGTGATTTTCTTGTAAAGCGCAAGAGTGGCATGCAGACATTGGGCAGCAGCTTTACCTTTACCCATTTTAAGATCTTGACGGACTATGAGAGTCATGCGGACTTCGCCTGGGACAGTGTTTAAATCAGTGGAATCCACGTCGATTCCGTCGTCTGACTCATCGGAATCAGATTCGTAAGATGACTCAGTGGAGGCGTCTGATGAGGATGATCCTGGAGCAATCGGTGGTTTCTTCTGTTTGAGTTTGCGTCTATTAGAGCATTTCAAGTATTGGCTTACATAGTAACCGGTAAGAAATGAGACAATACCCACGGACAAGATTTGCAAGTTTGAATTGGAAGTCATTGGGGGAGTTACATGATCGTTGTATACAAAATTTTCAGTATTGATTTTTTTTTCTAGTGGTTGTCAGACAAAATGTAATCAGACATAATTGTTAAATGTCTGTCATACGAGAACCTTTGGCTTTCCAGTCTTTTTCTTTTTCTTCTTGTCGATCTTGAACGAGTAGTCTCTCCAGTTCTTGACACGAACGTCACGTTCGTCTTCCCATTTGCTTTCCAATTGTTTCTTCAATTCCCGTTCTTGTCTTAATTTCTGCTCCTGTTCATGTTTTCTTTGCTTTGCAGTTTGTTGATATAATACTTGCAACTCCTGTTCGTTGATTTCATCCTGCAAGATCTCCGCCACTTGTTTCTTGACTTTGTCTAAATCATAGTCTTTTCCTTCGCTAGTCACACTGTGATAGATTGCAATCAATCGATTCTTTTCCTTGAACTCCTCCTCTTGTTCATTAGCACAAGAAAGCACCTTCTCTGCTTTTTTTAATCTATCAAATGCATCAGATGCACGAGGATGATCAGTCTTATCTGGATGTATAAGCAATGATTTCTTACGATAGACTCGCTTGATAATCAGACCAAGATCATCAGCTGTACTCAACGGGTTCAACTGAAGAATATCAAAGTAGTCGAATTCATTACAATTGAGGACACGTTCTATCTCAGCAGTTCTATTAAGTGCAGACTCTTCTAAGGAAAGAATCCGTTCCAATTCGTCGTTGTTCATACTGTTGCAATTAAAAGGAATAGTAAAGAAGAAAAAAAAAGTGAATGTAAATTTTTCAGTTAACGGACTCTCTGTATGTTCAAACGAGGTTTAGCGTTCTGTAGAAAAATGTCAACATGGAGACCAAGATATTACGACATCGGTGTCAATTTCTCTGATGGGATGTTCCAAGGGACGTACAATGGCCATTCAAAACATCCATGTGATATAAATCAAGTGATTGATCGAGCACATTTGTTCAATGTGGATAAAATGTTGATCACAGCTTCCAATATCCAAGAAAGTCAAAACCATTTCACCTTGTGCGAGAAATATGCCAACAATTTTGACTCTACTGCCGGTGTGCACCCATGTACTGTTGCTGAGGAATTCTACATCAAGGATAATGACGAATATACAAACACTTTACGTGATGATGTGGATGAAAAATTAACAAGGTTGAAAAATATAGCAGAAGAAGGACACAAGTTAGGACATGTCAAGGCGTTTGGAGAAATTGGATTAGATTACGACAGATTGCACTATTCTAACAAAGTTCAACAATGTGAGATGTTCAAGAAGCAACTTGAAGTTCATGCACAATTGAAACATTTGGATTTACCCTTGTTTCTCCACATGCGTGATGCCTGTGATGATTTTGTGTCTATAATCAAGCCATTCATAGAGGCTGGTTCGATAAGAAAAGGTAACGGTGTTGTGCATTCATTTACAGGTACTGAAGAAGAATTAAATAAGCTCTTAGGTTTGGGATTCTATATTGGAATAAATGGATGTTCATTAAAGACAGAAGAGAATGTTCAAGTTGCATCCAAGATCCCAATTGATAGATTGCTCATTGAAACAGATGCTCCGTGGTGTGAAATTAGAAAGAGCCATGCTTCATATAAGTACATCTCATCATATCCAAACAAGTTCTATCCAGATATCAAAACCACGGTACCAGAAGAACCACAAGAAGTTCAAGATTCTAAAAAGTCCAAAAAGAATGGTGGCCCAATGTTTAAACTTGCGGAAAACTTACCCTTCCCAGCCATAAAGAAAGAGCATTATGCTAAACACAGACAGTTTGTGCAAAGTTCATTAGAAAACTTACCTAATGCTGACATAGATACTAAAGTAGGCATGTATGCTCATCCAATGATTGTATCCCGTAATGAACCAGTTAATGTTGGACATGTTGCTGAGATTCTTTGTACTATCCACGGTATCAAACAAGAGAAGGAGATTGAAAGCTTTATAGATTTAATCTTTGAAAATTCTTGTAAATTGTTTAAAACGGGGTAATATTACAATATAATACATAATTACATAGACTTTTTCTATATATTCTAGTGCCTGTGTCTTGTTGATCTTCTGGGAGGTGATGAATTGTCAACGTCTGGCGTTGCCACTCTTCTCAATCTCCGTTCAGGTAATTCCAGTTCCAGCGATGGTTGCTTTACTGGTGGTGGTGGCTTGGAGATTTTGAACGTTCCTCTAGGTCTACCTCTTTTTCTTTGTCCTGGAGGTGGTAATAGAACACTGACTGTCTTTCTCTTTCTAGGAGGTAGGCGATATTTAAGCTCACTAAACCCGTCAGATTCTGAATCAAATTCATCTTCATATTCATCTTCTGGTTCCTCTGTTACTTTGATAAGTCTGCTTGGTCTAGAACTTGGCCGTGGCTTATTTATGACTACATCCTCATCCTCCTCCTCCTCCTCCTCCTCTACCTCTGCTTCTACCTCTTCTTCTACCTCTTCTTCCTCTTCATCCTCGTCATACTCTTCGAAATCAGGCTCTTCGTCATCTACTGACTCAGCATCGATATCAGCAAACAATTCCTCATAATTTTCCTCAGCCACTTCTTCACCACCTTCCCTTACTTCATTAAGTTTGGAAATTACATTCTTCCGCTTATGTACAATACCAGGATAACAAACAACGTACTCATCAAGAGAATCCTCAGTTTTATCCCTATTATCCTTGTTCATGTCCTGGTAAAGTTCAATCTCCTTATATCCTTCCTCTTCAAACGTGTATGGATTATTTATATCATCTTTCAAAAAGTTCGAAAGTAATGAAATGCTATTATGTGTCACCACCTGATTAGGCTTTGGTGATGTTGAAGAAGGTGGAGGTAATAATGCCGGTGCCGAGTTTATACCACCACTTGGGCCGAAAAGCATAGGTTTCCATAATAATTTATCATAATCTAGTTTGGTATACCCTTTCGCTTCCCATTTATTTATTTCATAGTTGATTCGATTAAGGTTTAATACAATAGCATACTTGTTAGTGGTTGGGTTCTTGTACAATGAATTTAACTGCTCGAGACCGACAATCACGTCTGATGGGGTCATTCCAGTGAGTTTACAAAGTGTTTCAATTGTTATCGAAACATCAGTTGGGTTGTTCTTCGTCCTTGCTTCAGTGCTGTTGGCTTCCCCCTCAATTTGGGTATTCTCAGTCTGTGCCGCAAGATATTTCATATACAATTCCTTCAACTTTTGAGCAGTTGTAATTCTCCAATAATTTCTGTAACTCAATAATCCTAAATCACTCAATGGTTTCTCGGGAGTACCATACTTAAACTCATTCCTACTTAATAGATAACTGAAATCGATAAGCAAATTCCCATACCCTTTTCTTTGATAAATGGGTAGCGTCAAAATACAAGAAACGTTATAATCAGAATTATTCAATTTTTCCTTTGAGAAATACCCCACAAAATGATATTTACTAGGATTCACCTCGTCGATTTCCGTAAGGACGTAGAAATTGAATGGCTCCACATCATAATACAACGTCTTCGAATTAAGAAATAACTTAGCTAACAAACATAAATTTTGGCAATAGTTGATATTTTTCCGTCCGTCGACTTCCCAAATTGCAATGTTTGTGCTTAGGTCTCGATATATTTCCAACCCTGGTGGATGATGGTTTGAAAAGTTGCAGTTTTTCAATTGGTGTCTAGAATAAGACATAGGTGAATTCATATACTTCAAACAGTATTCGCAGATGTAAAGCACTTCCGATTGGGAAAACTCCTCTGGGTATGGCGCAGTATACCACGTATCTATTTCATAATCACGAAACATGATTCGGTTGATCTTGGATCGGAAAGTCACGGCAGATACCGGTGCAGGTGTTGATTCTTCGTTGCTTTCTATTTCTGATGGCGCTCTTGTGGTGACTTTTGTTCGGAGTATGGTTCCTTCTTCTAGATACCTCTCAAACTTAACCCGGTCTTCTCGAGTTGGGTCAGTACCGTTTATAATACAATCAGGATATCGTAGTATACCTTGGTACGGCAACTGGATTTCTTCCATTCCGTTAAGTTCTTGTTCTTGCGTCTGTTTCTCCTGTGATCGTGGTCTAGCTTGTTTCTTCTTTCTACTTTTCAACTTAATAGTAACCCAAAAGTGGTTTGCATCCTGAATCTGCCGCACTGGGCTCCTGGAAGAATGTCGTACTCTATGATTACTATTGTCGCTGCCATTATATTGCCGAGTGGCGTCTATCATATGCTTTAACGAATAGTCATTGACTGCTCGTTCACGATAACTCCGTTTATCCAAGTCCACTGGAGTTATATTGGAGTAGACATGATTGTTGGTAATTTTGAGCAGACTCAATAGATGCAGCACCATGTCGTGTGTCTATTTTCACTGCTCTATAATGTCTGTGCGTGCAACTCGCAAAGTTTTTTTGCGGATGGTTGAATTGATGGTAGTAATTTGTTGCTGTTTTGATTATGAGTCTGTTGATTCACATACAATCGAAAAAATTTATCACGCTTTTGTGACATGTCAAATTTCAATGTCGCGACATGCACGCTAAAAAAAACTACAATAAGCTAAATTTAGAATCTCGAGTATATTTACTATAATATGAATAACAAAAAAAAATGGGAAACGAAAGCTTACAAAGAAAAATCATTAAAACCTAACAAGAATTAACATTCAACGGGTATGCAAAGAAAAGTTGTGGATGGAAATGGTTTGTTCAACAGTCGTGGTATCTACAAGTGATAACCATCTAGAAACCGACAGACCCATGCAAAACAGTTGACTCATTTATTTACACAAGCTATTGGAAAACTCATCAACATTGGTAAACGGGAGGGGGGAGGGCGAGTGGAAATCTTTGATGAATTTGCAACGAAATGAACTGAAAATCTAAAAGTATATTTTGAACAACAAAAAGGAACTTTGGTAAGAAAAATCTAATTTAATCTTGAGTTAAACCTTTACTCTTCATCCGTTTTGATCTCCTCAATCTTTTCATGCTTTTCTTCCTCTATGTCCTCTTCTTCGGTATGCCTTTCATGAACATCATCTTCTTCTTCTTCTTCGTCAACATTTTCTTCAAGATCTTGTTCTGGTTCAGTGACTCCGAAATGGGCTAATAAAGATTGTGCTGAAGAAGTGTCCAAATATATCACACCATTCTCATTCGTTATGGTGTTGGATGCCAATAATCTTTGCAAGGAAATAGCACCAGTGTTCAAATCAGCACCGGCTGAACTTCCACTGGTTTCTTCGTCATCTTTATCATCTTCATCATATCCACCTCTTCCGAAAATGGAATTTCCATTGGCCATACCAGCCAATCCTCCACCACGGCCACCACCAACATTTTGAGCTTGTTGTCCAATATTGTAGAATTCTCCATACATTTCCTTGTACAAATCGTTGTAAGGAGGAGAAATTGAACCGTATTTGTTAACTAAACTTGCATCTTTTTCAACAGCTTCAATTCTACTTATAATCTTGTCGTACCATTGGTCCAAGGTTTCCTGCTTAGTGTAATCTAATAAAGCAACAATAACAATCGACATGTTGTCACATCCAATACCAGAACCATCCGAAGTTGGAGCACAACATAATTCCATAATTTCTTCAGAAATGGTGGTTAAACTCTTGCGTTCATAAATACCTCTCCTTACACATTCAACACACTTTTGAGAACTTAAACAATCCCAAATACCATCACATGCCAAAACAATGAACTCATCTTGATCCAAATTGATTTGGTGTTGTATAACATCAGGATAACAAGTGACAATTTGTTCCTCTGCAGGTAAATCAACATTGCGCTTGAAATCAAAATCACCAATTCCTCTGGACAATGCTAAATTTCCGTTAACTCTACCCATATCGACATATCCACCAGCAGCACAAATACGGGCCTTTTCGCCTTCATTGGAAGGTTTATGATCATAAGATAATGCTTTGGCAAACCCATTAATGGACATAATAGTTCTAGAATCACCAGCATTACCACAAATGATCGATTCGGGGGTTATAATAGCGGAAGTGGCGGCACATCCACTTTCATCATCTCTCATTTGATAATCGTGTAAAATGGCTTGATCACAACCCAAGAAACCTTGCTTCAAGGCATTGGCATAATCTCCTTGCTTATATGCTTCTGTATCTTTGATAATGTGATGCAAATGTTCTCCGGTGAAAATAGCAGCCTTTTCACCACCATGACCGTCGTATACCCCGAAAAACGCAATTTGAGGAGAATCATCGTTTGATTCTTGTTGCCTTTCTGCAGAATCATCATCTGGCTTAGGACTGGAAGTAGGTGATTTGGCGGATAAGGCGGATAAATTCAAAATGGTGGCGTGAGCATCTTCCATATTGATTCTCCAACCTTGCATACAGGATAAACCGTAGGCTAAATATTTATCTTGGCCCTCTTCAGAGTGCTTTTCCGTGACTGGTTGAGAAAGAATCTGACCCATCTTTAATATGTGAATTTATTGGAAGCTTTTTATACAGGTTGCAGGTGCGAATATATCAAGAACGCGTGAGTGAAACTGGGCTTGGATATAAAGGAAATAAAACTGGATTGAGATATGTAAATTACTGTGTTTTCTAAACTGCGTTTAAGACAACAAGGTAAAAGTACTGTGGAGGAAATATAGGTTGGGTAAAATGTGTCCTAGTATTCCTTGAGATGACCAGTTGAGTGATGTTTTCGTTGTTTGTAAATTCGACGGTTGAGATGGATGATTGACGTCGACTGGATTCCTTTGTACTAATGTATAGTGTTGGTTCTTTCGATGATAGTTTCACGTTCTTCCTTAACTATGGGCCCAATTTTTTTTTTTTTGTTTTTTCCTCGTTCACTGTGTTGTTTGTGGTGGTGGTAAGTTAAAATTTGATATTTTGCCAGAGAAAAAATTTTTTTTGGCTTGTTGGGGCGCACTGGACAAGAAATTTATGTCACGTGAATTAAATTAAGCCCAGGGTTATGACTCTTTACTCCTCAACTCTATATACTAACAAGTGCTCGACCTTCTAATTGGGTCATTCAACTAAGTCAATTTGTAAATCTTAGTTTTAATTAGAGTGGTTTCCATGGCAATGGCAAGAGGGCTACCCATTATATATAAGACGTTATTTGTGACTATGTTGTGATCGCGAAATTCTATTTTGAGATGTTCCTTTCGTAAGTAAATACGGGAGTTGTTGTTAGGAGAAGAGCAAGCGAAAACAGAACAACTCAGACAATGGTCTCGCATTGTTTATTTATATTGGCGGGAATGTACGATGAGCAAGTCTAGATGGATAAACATCGTTCGAATTCATTTTTGAAACAAAGTAATTAATTCTTTCGTGTTGATTTTGTACTCTATGAGATACATGCAACATTTGTTTGTAAATTTGTTGAATCGTTCCATTCTGATCACTTCACTGACAGGTTTTTGCATTCCCCAATTCCTATTTGGGAACTAACTCCGCTGTTTGAAGATTCTATTATCATACCCTAGTGCTACGTTTTGAGCTGCATAGGTAAACCTCCTTACTTTGACTTATTCACAGCTTCGGATAATCTCATTGGGTCTTCATTGAAATATGCATTTACCGACTAAACTTATTGGAGATTGAGCTTACATTTAGATAATTAGGAGAATTGCTACAGGTTTAGATGTGCCAAAAGATATTCACTATGCTGTTCAAATGGTTTATCATTTAGTCATATATTAGACAAGTTCAACCTAGCCACGTTCACTGATATTTGGACTGATTAACCTATTTTCTGTTAAAATTTTTCAACCATTAGGAGCCCTGGTGATAAATCATGATGGCGACATGATGAAAGCTAAAATTCAGTTTTGCTTCTTTTGGAGAAGACATATTACTTGCATGATATCTATTGTAGACTTAAAAATTAAGTTGCCATAATTAACTGAAAATAGGTTAATTAGTTGTCGCGGTAGAAGACTGATTAGGCTATCTCTAGATAGCAGCTATGCATCACGGCAGAGTGGATCACTCGGGGTTTCCTCCACCCACCAATATCCTCTCCACTACATCGAGAGTTAGGACCCCAATCGGAAACGTGGTTCCGATTGTTGAGTGTTTGACCTCAATTGAAACAATGTAATCTAATCGCAAGCATAGATATGCACTTATGCGATCTGCAATCGTTATCTCGTTTTTTTCTTGACAATTATAAACAGTTGTAAATGCTCGAGCATTCGTATTAGTAATCCAAACCACAGGAACCCTTGTCCATATATGTAGAGTGCATCCATGTCACTACTGTGTTATACTACATCCGTAAAAATATTTCGAGGCGACCCCTGGAAAACGACTCGGTAAATGCAAATAATAATTCTAAGTTGATTATTGCGCTTATCTCCGGTTTTCAGATAAACCGCACATTTTCTTGGCATTTTAGTTTTGACTTCGGATAGGTTTTGAGGGCTCCCAATCTTTAGAGTCTTGTTCTTTTTGCGTTGTAATCTATGGTCTGGTATCTGCACAGAGTCTCCACTTTTTATTTCCTGATAAGGAGGTGGGCGGCGGTTGTTTTGGACCCTTAATTACACCCCTCACGCCTCCTTATATCCAACCCATATATAAAAGGAGGACCTGTTGGCTCTTCATTTTAACTTTTAAAGTTTGCCAATTTTCTTCCTCTAGTAAAGAAATAAACATGACTAAGTCTCAATTATTTGAAAGCTTTCTCGTCAATGACCCCCTCACTACTTAAGAAGATTCAGAAAAGTTTAAGGAATGGGTACCAAAAATTGAAAAATACAGACAAGATTTAGAAGCATCGATCCCAGCCGATTTGAAAATTGAATTGCCCAAGCCAATTGACCAATTGATTGATGAGCAATTTAATGCTGTTAAATATCTTTATGATGCAAAATTGTTAACTTCAGAAGAACTTGCCATTACTGATTCTAGTGCTGTTGATTTGGTCAATAAGATTGCCAAGGGTAAGTTGTCCTCGGTGGAAGTATTCAAAGCTTTTGCTAAACGTGCTGTTATTGCTCACCAATTCACCAATTGTGCCACCGAGTTTTTCACTGAAGAAGGATTGAAGCGTGCTCAAGAACTCGATGCCTATTTGAAAGAAAATGGCAAGACAGTCGGTCCTTTGCATGGGTTGCCTGTTTCTCTCAAGGAACATTTGTGCTATAAGGGGAAAGTAACTCATGCGGGATATGTTTCTGGATTGGACTATGTAGCTACTGAAGACTCAGTAACCACGCAAATCTTGGCTAAATTAGGGGCTGTGTTTTATGTTAGAACTAATCAACCACAAACCTTGATGCATTTGGATTCAGGTAATAATATTACTGGATTCTGTAAGAATCCATATAACTTGCTATTATCTAGTGGAGGCTCTTCAAGTGGTGAAGGTGCTCTCACTGCATTTGGTGGTAGTACCATGGGTGTAGGCACTGATATTGGTGGGTCGATTAGATCACCGGCTGCTTTCTCAGGTGGTATTGGATTAAGACCATCTTCCAATAGAATCTCTTGGTTGGGTTCTCTTAGTTGTTTTGCTGGTCAAGAATCTGTTCCTGGTGTGATGGGTCCATTGGCACGTTCAGTTGACGACATTGAATTATTTATGGAAAGCTACATTAATGAAGGTAAACCATGGGAATATGATGCTTGTATCTTGCCTATGGCATGGAGGAAACTTGAAAAGCCCAATCCATCAGATTTAACTCTTGCTGTTATTAGAGATGATGGTTTGGTAAGAGTGACTCCTCCCGTGAGACGGGCTTTGAATGCAACAGTTGAGAAATTGAAGGCTGCTGGAGTTAAGATTGTGGAATTCAATCCTCCCAATACTAAGTTAGCTTATGAAACTGTCCATCAGATGTATACTTGTGATGGTAACCATATGCACCGCAAATTCTTGTCTGCTTCGGGTGAACCATTGGTTAAATTAACCAAATGGAATTTGAACTATGGACAAGGCGCTCGTGACATTCCAGCATCGGAAAACAGACAATTGAATTATATTAGAGATGGGTTGAGACAAGAATATACTGAATTTTTGGTTAAGAACCGGATTGATTTTATTTTGAGTCCAACTAATCAAAATGTTGCACCTCATTCAGGTGAAATATTCAATTGGTCGTACACTTCCCTATTCAATATCCTTGACTTCCCAACTTTAGTTTTCCAAACTGGTATTTTCCAAGATCCAACCATTGATAAATGGACTGAAGAAGACTTGAGCTACAAATATAGAAGTCCATTGGAACAAATGGAAAATGAAAACTATAACCCAGAAGAATTTGTTGGTGCCCCTGTGGGATTACAGTTGTCAGGAAGAAGACATTTGGATGAACTAGTTGTTGCTGCTGGTAAAACAATTGTGGATGTTTTAGGTGTAGATTTGTTTAAACATTAGAACATTGTCAAGTTTCGATATTATATAGTTGTATATGCCAATTGAATTGTGTTAAGTTTGTAAAAAAAAAAATAACTTTGCAGCCAACGGTACAAACTAATTGACCCATAACTACATATAATTTACCTATGCATATTCTTATTTCACGATCTATAAACACTAATCATGATATACTATGTACTTCATGCTCATGCAAACATTTTCTAACATCTAAAAACAAACAAATTTAAACAATTAAATCATACATTCAAGTAACCACAAAAACCAATCGGATTAATTAAACATTAAAGCGTCCTGATGGTTTTTAAAAATATAAAAATAAAGACAATAAGAACTGGTTCTCTATAAGTACTCACTATGTCTCTTCTCTCTCCTCTTCGTCTTCTCTCATTAACTTTTTTCGTAGCATTCATAAATGCAATTAGAACGGGAACATTAAAATTCATTCATAAATATAAAAACATAAATTAACTTCATAATCATTTAGGTCCCCAAATACCACCACTGTTTAAGTTCTCAACCCCCGGATTACCACCCAATGCTAAAGTATTGAACTTGGAAGTTAAGTCATTCCCATATTCATCCAACTGTCCACTAGCATTGGCATTGGCTCCACTAATACCTTGAAGAGATGTACTTTGCAGTAACGATGTGAAACTACCAGTCAAGTGAGTATGTTGGCCAAATGGTTGAAATCTTGATCCAAGATCAGCTCCCCCTTGTTGTTGTTGATGATGTTGCTGTTGAGCATTTGTTCCTTGGTAATATGGCGGTTGTTGTTGTTGTTGTTGATGAGAATGTTGGTACTGAACTTGGTTATGAAGAGTATTTGGCGAGTTGGTCACTGAAGATGATGGTTGCTGATGAATAAAGTTGTTATTTAAAGGTGGAGTTGCTCTCACATCAACATATGATCTATTACTACTTGATCTTAATAATGCAGCAGCACTGCTTGAACCAACGGTTGGAGTGACAACCTGTGCTTGGGGAACTTGTTGCTGGTATTGAACTTGTTGGGGTTGTTGTTGGTGATAAATATTGAATGGTTGATTTTGAGCGTATGGTCTTTGTTGTTGAGGTTGCTGTTGTTGATGTTGCTGCTGCTGCTGCTGTTGCTGTTGCTGTTGTGGGGGTAATGGCTGTTGTTGTTGCTGTTGTTGTTGAGAACCATATTGGGGGAAAGTTTGTTGAACTGGAGTTGATGCCTGTTGTCTCAAACGAGGGAGTTGCAATGCAGATTGAGATTGAGATCTCAATAATTCTGGGTGGGAAGGTGTTGCCATTGTTGCTGCTAATTGGCTCAAATTCATCATAGAGGAAGAATGTGGTGGTACAGCTGGTGGTTGTTGGGCACCTAACGAAGCTTGCTGAATGATTGATTGGGCAATATAACCTGGTTTTCTTCTAATTATGATCAACCCATTATCAAACAATTCTAATAAATTCAAATAATTGGAAATCAAAGATAAGTTTTTTCTTTGGTTAATATTCAAAGTGGCGGGAGAAATAGCCAATTCATAAATTGATTTTGTAACGTCATCACGGTATAATACTAATTGAGTGTATAATTCCAAGATCTCGGGGTCATTAAAGTTAAGGTCCATTGGTGGTGCAGCCAGGATAGTGGCGAATGGTAAATTAACAAAGAGTCTTTCGGTGGTACCGCTTGGAGTAGCACCATTAATGCTTAAATTCTTGGTGGCAGCAGTGGTTGAAGCTGCAGACATTAAAGAAGCTAAAGAAGCATTGGAAGTGGATCTATGTTGTTCTTCTAATTGTCCTCTTTTTTCTCTCTTTTCCCGTTCGATTCTTTCTCTTTCTTGTAATGGTAACATTTTCTTATATTCCACTCTTAATTTACGACCACCAATTTCTCTACCATTAAGTTGATTAACAACCAAAGACGTTTCATCAGTAGAGGTGAAGTTAGCAAATGCTAATCCTCGGAAAACTCCATTATCAAAGTGATAATTAAAGGCATATGGTAAGGGTAAGTTTAATTTGGTCATAACATCTAATAACTGTTCCTTTTTAATTGCAAATGGGATATTCTTTATAACAATTGCAGTAGGAATTAAATCGTCATCGGCTCCATCATGTTCATTAGTCATGGAAATATTAGCATTCAAGTTGTCATTGACTGGTTCGTTATTAGGTGAATGTACATTGTTGATCATATTAGGACTACTAATTGTGTTGTGTTCGTCATTCTTGGTAGAGCTAGCTGAAGAAAGGGAACGGTTGCCTAATCCCTTTGGTGGAATTCCCAAAACAGCTTGGGCACTACCTTCCAACAGTTCTAAAGTTGATTGTTGTTGTTGCTGTTGTTGTTCAACCCATGGTCCGACATTAGTAGGAGTCACCGTGGAGGTACTAATGGATTGGTTGAGCCAAGAAGAATGCAAGTTATTGCCATTTCTTGAATTGGGAGGATTTGAGACGGTGGCTAATCTTTGGTTTGTTAACAATGGAGTGTTTGTAGCATGGGTATTATTGTTGCTGTTACTTCCATTGCCTCCTGATCCCGGTGGTACGGCAACGCCAGTACCAACGCCACCAGTTCCCCCACCTCCATAGGTGGACGAACCATACCCGGAAGTCGAAGATAATGAAGATAAAGATGGACGACGTTGCATCACGCTATCCATTTGGTTTGGTGCAGGTGATAAGTTTCTGAAATCCATGGTGTGGTTTTAGTTTCTTTGATTTTCCAATTGTTTGAAAACGTGATAAAAAAAAAATTCTAATAATGAATAAATAATATTTTTAAGACAAAGTGTGTGGGAATACTTTGGGGTTGAATTGAATGGAAAATTTTCTATTAAAAGTTTAATTCGTAAGAATCGTAATCTCTTTTTTGAGTGTGTCTATTTGGTTAGCGTTTAATATCGTAACTTCGTCTGGTAGTATTTGAAATAACTCAGTTGGCAGGATTTGTCGACAATAAAGTATGGGCCAATGGTATTTCTGTGGATTATTCGGCTGATGCGAGTGAAAAGAACTATGATACTTTGGTTTGTAGGTTTTCTGGTATTAGTTCTAATGTACTTGAGTATACGGTAGTATGTGGTCGAGGTGTTTTGAATTATGATAATGTAACGAGAAACTGTGATTTTCAATTTGATCTGGAATCCAGTTTAAGTCTCGGATAAATCTATCGTGGTAATTGCACTGGGAGTTTGATTGGTGTGGTTATGGATTGCAGTTCGGAAAGGGTGATTTCTCGACCTAGTTCTCGGTTGTGAAGTGTGATAGATTGCAATTAGTCCAATCCAAGTGTGTGGATTTCTTTCCCTTTTTCTCTGGTTCGTAAAAACAGAACAACAGAAAAAAAAATTTTCTATGGACGGGCAAAACTTTTTGTGTCGCATTTTTTCAACCGGTGTCGCAAAGTGAAACTTGTGTCGCAAGAGGAATTTGCGACAACGTTTGATCTGCCGCACGTACGAAAATTTGCAGGTCCAAAAATCAACGACCAAAAAAAAAGAACAACGAACTAATTTCCAATTTAACGAAAACTATTGAGGATATAGAAATCATACATTAAAGGGTAACCTCTTAATTTTCATATATAATAACAATGGTATGTACAATTGAACATTACTATACTGGCGGACCATAAGTTTCTTTTACTAACATTGTTTAGTCTACATCACAATCTAATCCAGCTCCAGGAGGTTTAAGAAGTGCAGTCAAGAGGAAGACAACTGCTGACAAGAAGGCACAATCCACTAATGCTATGCCATTATCCACCAGATCAGCTGGTGCCGGTGGATCTTCTTCTACCATGATGAAATTGTTTACTGATGAAGCCCAAGGTCTTAGAGTTGATCCTTTGGTTGTCTTGTTTTTGGCTGTTGGTTTCATCTTTTCCGTTATTATCTTACATGTTTTCGCCAAGATTACTGGTAAATTCACTTCTTCATAAATCCATCCCAATTGAGTTTTAACAATCATAAACATTAACAACTCAGCCTACAAATGTCATTGAAAACAAATGCACCACAATGAATAGAAACTAATAAATGAGGGTTCTTGGAAAGAATAATTCAACACTACAAGATATAAAGTCTTGCTTTTATTTGTGTGTTTTGTGTGTCTCTCTTTTTTTTCTGGTTAATTTACATACTTCATTTTGGTAGCATTTAGTTTTCTTTATTTTTGTTATTGCTTTCTTTACTATTTGTATATTTAATATAAAAGGTGTTTTATAAATCCTTCAACAAACTATTTACAACTGTAATCAATTCCTGTCTATGTACATAATGCTTGACATCCTTACCGCTTGAATCATAATCCACTGTCCAGGAAAACTCGTCCTTCTTGTTATCATACAACTCCTTCCAACTATCACCAAATTTGTTACCTCTTATTTCAATTTCAACAATTGGGAATTGTTTTCCTACGATAATTGACAATGGAATACCAACCATGTTAGATTCTTTTAATTTCTTACCCATGGAGACAGAAGCCCGTCCATCACGACGGTAATCAATTTCAGAATCATTCAACATTTGGTAAAATTCAGTCACTTCGGAGCTATCCAGGTCAATTCCGGGTGCTTCAACAACAGTAACTTGCCATGGAGCAATTGAACTTGGCCATTTCAACCCGATGGAATCACGATACACTTCAGCAATAGTCGCAATAATTCTACTTACCCCAATACCGTAGCATCCCATCATGACATCATTTCTGGTGAGTTTACCTTCATTATTAGGAGTGTCAATTTTGAAACCCAATGGTTTGGAATATTTATCACCCAAGTAAAAAGTATGACCTAATTCAATGGCTCTGGTAGCGGAAAGAGTTCCATCTCCACAGCGTTCGCATACTTCTCCATCTTCAGCAAGGACAATTGGTATATCTGTTATCATTGATATTAATGATCTACTGACGAATGGAACTGGAAAATCTGGGAAATTGGAACGTGAATCTAATCTGGAGTCCATAAGTCTAATGATGGATTTCGAAATCAAGGTATCTGGATTTGAAAACTCGGCAAGTATTTCCTCTTGATTTGTGAATTTCAAGTCGATCTCTGGGATTTCTTGTTTGACAAATTTAGGTTCAAGAGTCCTTTTTGTTGGGTAGTATGCACATACTAAGGTTTGTTTATCTTCCGTCATGAAGTATCTCACTGATACCTTATCCACAGAAGTTACTTCTTGAGGGTACGACAATGTCTTTTCTGAATTAGAAACGTGCTTACATGAATCACAAGAGAAAACTGTATCTTCACCAGTTTCATGGAAACAATGCCATTCATGACTTAAAGATCCTCCAATTTCCCCCGAATCAGCAGCAGCTTTGACATAGTCTACTCTCAAATCTTGGAAAATCTTGGTATAAGCTCCAACAACATTATCATACGTCACCATAGCTTGTTCTTCACTGTAATCAAAAGAATAAGCATCTTTCATGATAAACTCTTTACCACGAAGCAAACCACCACGAGGACGTTTCTCATTTCTAAATTTTGGAGTTATTTGATACATTAACACTGGGAATTGCTTATAACTAGTGACATTTTTCATCACGAAATCGGTGATTTCTTCTTCAGCAGTTGGTGCAAGTAAGAATTCATCATTTCCTTGTATTTTGAAAAGTTCAGTATTATTCCATCTTCCAGTTCGGTCCCACAATGCCCTGTGGGAAAGAGTAGAAAGAGCAGCCTCTTCAAAGTTGACTTCCTCCATTCGTTTCCGTATGATTTCATTGATCTTTCTTTGAATTGTAAGGCCCATAATTGGCCAATTGACTAGCCCAGCTCGGGGATATTGAATTATCCCTAGTTTAGAAAGCACCTCGTGAGTAGGTATATTTTGATCATATTTGAATTTGGATAGTTGAACCCCATAAAATTTAGGGATCGACTTGATCGTAAGGAATCGTTTTATTATCATTGGTTACGAGGGGTCCAATGTCTGATTTGTGTGGAGTGAAAAATCTTCGGATAAATATATATATATTTTTTTTTCAAGTTGAGTAATAACATAATCGCGAAAATAACTGGTCAGGTAGGTAAGCAACTTGAATGAACAGTCATGTTAGATTCTTTCAACAAACTTTCAAACTTTTATTCTATTATTTAGATTGGAATCTTAGGATTGAATTTGGTGGATATCTCAGTAGTAATTTTAACTTGTTAGACTGTGCTATAGTTCAAATACTATTGGCTGCTAAAAAAGAGAATACTTCTAGGTGTTTTCTTTGAACGGGATACTTCGTTACTATAGGCTACATGTAAATAGATAAGTCTAATTCTGGAACGTTTAATTTAAAAAGATACCAACAGGGGATAATAAAGAGAGTTGCAAATGGCAGAAAAGCTTTCTAATAGAACGATTGATTATAACGAAAATTCGGATCATTAACCAGTCTTGAATCACATTTACAGCATATTGGAAATTTCTGAATACATAGTAAATAACTTAAATTTAAGCTAGTTGTTTTCTGGAAGATCAACTTCAGCTATCTGGTTTTTCTGCAATCAATGTTTTAACATATCAAAGTACTTTTTTTAATTAAAAAGCGAATTATGTATTTTTTTTCAATATAACGTAAAAAAAAGTGATCCAAATGATATTTTCATTCGATATAAACTAACACATCTATGTCATATAATGATCTCAAGACTTTGTATTAAAAAATAAAGAGAAATACAAGTTTAATGTTGGCATCAACTTGGCGAAAAGGTTGGTTTTTAAAGAAATTTTGCAGCTATTTGATTTACATGATGTTCTTCTCTCTACTGGGTTGCTTATAAGTAAAACAAGATTTATCTTTCTGGAATTATCCCATTTAGTCACTAATAAATTTAGTAAATTGACAAAAGGATTGCTTAAAGAAAACCATATTTTATACAAATTGTTTACAAAAATTGATGAAATTTTCCAAAAATAAAAGACAACCAAAAAACCACCATGAAATTAGTATAGATCTATCAAACAATATTTGAACTATCTTGAAAGCATAAATAAGCAATTTAACTAACATAAAATCATTATTATAGAATAAAACAGCAATTTCTTTACGATTTTACATTTCGATCACGTGATAAAGGATCTACTAGAGTCAGAAAAAAATGGAAAAAAAGTGAAATAAAAATTGGAGGGTTGGCCGAGTGGTCTAAGGCGGTAGACTTAAGATCTACTGGACAGTGTCCGCGCGAGTTCGAACCTCGCATCCTTCACTATTTTTTTTGTTTTTTGCACAATTTTTTTTTTTGCTGGGTTGACCCATAGTTATGGATATCATTAAAAAGGTAATCATTTATGGGTATCGTTTATTACTTTTCTCTTTACTAGTACCGGGACGTAAACCGAACTCCGAGAGGTATTTCTTTAACAAGGTTTGATTGGAACGATATGGCAAGAAATGCAAAAACACAATTTTCTGAATCAAGGTTTATTATCATCACGCCTTTTCTTTTTTATTTTTCTGTGCCCGTGATGACTTAAGGCATTTATTTTTTCAAGGATTAAAATCTTCTCGGCTGCAAATGGTGATGACATGACCCGTTAAATACAAATCTTGACTCGTAACTATTAACGAAAAAACACGTTTCCATCCATTGACCCGATGGTCTAAAAAAAGAAAAAAAAGTAACCAAGGCGACAAATCTTGCATTGGCATGTTTACAACTGATGTGTAAAGTGAACATCCCTAGTTCGTACTAACGACACGTAATGCGCAAGTGGTTCGAACGGGTAAAAAGAAATAAGACCCGTATGAGACACAAAGCCAGCAGAAGCTGGAAGCGAAGGGATAGACGAAGGAGGATATGGATCTGTTCGGAAGGAACAGGAGATAAGATTGAAAAATGAGGATGCATCCGGATGTGTGAAAGGGTCATCGAAATCACGATACCTATGAGCCATTTAAAGGCGGCATGGTGCCTATCCTTGGCTCATGGCTGAGTCTCAAGATGCTAGGGATAAAATATTTTTCCAGAGGAGGGGGGTGGAAATCTCATGAAAATAGTTGTGAAAAAAAGAAAACTGGTGATGCGTCCTGACTCCTTATTGTTGATTATTTCTAATTTAGGATAACACGGATTAATTAATTTGCGTCAAAAACTTTAAGGCGCAGAAAAACACCACTAGTGAAAAGAAACATGTTTGCATTAAAAATAATATATTTTTCTTGTGGGTTTTGGCGCTGAAATGTAACCATGTTTGTCATCACCAGACTTTTCTTTTTGTAAATTTTATTTTATTTTATTTTTTTAGGTTGGATGGAAAAATGAATCATCATTGCATGATTCAGAAATTGAAAATTTCGCAATATAAATACCGATAAGAAGCTCAACCAATGGATCTCAATTCGAATTCCAATTCATCATCAGACACACATCCAAGGATTAGTCACCACACAATTATATTTTACAAATGTTGCTTACAGAACAAATATTGAGACCTGCAACCATGGCTGCAAGTTTGCGTTACTTCGTTAGATCTCAACACGCTCACAAGGTATTTGCTGGTGTCGCTTTTTACACAGTCGCCAGTTTTGGTGTTGCTAGTATGGCTGAAAGAAAGAATTTTGGTTATGTCTTTAGACAACTAGGTTCTTCTTAGAAAACTTTTTACTACTACATACTGTATAATATGCCACACACACACACACACACGAAATTTTTTTTACTGTATTTTTGTTACAACTGGTTTGGGTACAACTTTTTAGTCATTTATAGTTTAGCTTGATTTCTATAACCGTTATATGATAGAACATATACTTATAGAATAGAAATTTTACAAAACACACTGCATTTCATTATTATTACTATTATTTTTTTGTATTATGCTAAATTTTCTCTATGAAAGTACTTGCTTTAACCCTTGGCCTGGAACTCTTCTCCAGTATCTATTTGGACTGCCAAATAACAATTCTCGACTTAATTTCCAAACTTTTAATAAGATATCCCTTCTAGGAAGGAATTCTGGGAATATAACCTTGATGATGTTACTGTCGTCATTCCCAGATTGGTCGTTTGAACGAGTCAATACACAAAGATAAAATATAACTTGTCCATACTTGTGAAACCCTTCATGTATCACCAAATCAATCATATCTTTAATCGGAATGAAGGATTGGGAAGAGTTTTGAAACCTCCATTTCTTCTTGGTAACTAATTGTACTCCAATACCTTTCATGACTATCATCGTGTCTTCCGGTTGTTGTCGAAGTGAAACCAAGGCGATCATGGTAACTAGGGCCAAGATGAACCCATATTGAACTTTGCTTAGATGCAGGATATCAACGTGTTCTAGATTTACGTTGAAGATGATATTCAGAATGTATGCAATTAAAGTTCCAGTTAATATAAATAGTATTACTGGCCTGTTCTTGAGTATTATATCGTTTTTCTTGTCTTTAACTGTGAATTTTAAAAGGTTTAACGATTCCACGTTGGCAGTATCAATAGGAGGAGTGACCTCCAATGAAAAATCTTTCGGAGAGGACATGGCTGTATGTGTGTTCTTTTTTTCTTTAGCTTATGATGTGGGGGGTATGCACAGATTGGGGGGTTTTTTTTTGTATTAGGTAAGGTCAAGCTATATTACATATAGATCATGATGAAAGGATACGTGAATATGTGAATATATGAAAAAAGAAGAATGAAAACTGGTGACAGATCTAGAAGAACAATGTATTATGAATAAACTCTATTTTTTTGAAGAAAATTATATTACAAAAAGCTGTGTCATAATTCACGTGACATGACTCAATCTACAAATCGGGAAATCTGGTGCGAAGACAATGAGAGCTTACACAAGCGAGGTTTTTACTGGTTCCAAACTATGGTCTAAAAGGCGATGCCTTATAGTTCTTAGTCCGATCTCCAATTATCTGATCAAAAGCACGGCACATTCACTCAGTTCACTACAAGTGTGGCATCAACAAAAAAGGTCAAGAAAGTTTGGTTTTGTGTAGGGTTAAGACAATTACTGCAAAAAAAGCTTGATAAAAATATAAAATACACTATAAATTATTCTATTTCGATACTTCTTCTCCTTCTCTTTGTTTCTTGACATCATCAATAGACCCAACAACCATTTCATTCTTACGTAACTCCTTAAGCTTTTCAGCTCTAGTCATTGGCTTGGCCCCAGTTCTAATTTCAATCTCTCTACGTCTACTGGCTTCGGCATCCTCTCTCAATGCACGGTCTCTTTCCACAGCAATAGCATTCAAACTTTGTTCATGTTCATGTCTCACCTTCTTCAATTCTTCATTATAATAATCCAATGTTTCAATCTTGGTATTGATATTTTGACAATACTTCTCGAAATCAACAGGGAGTTTCCTCTTGAGTGCCACAGACACAACTTCGGGATGTTTCCTTTCTTCAAGGGTGAACTTCAGCTTAACTTGTTTCCTAGTTCTGTAGGGGAACAATTGTGCGATAAGTGAGAAATCAGTACCAAACATGCTCAATGCTTGGTAAAATGTAATCACTTCACTCGCTTCCCATTTATCAGTGACAACTCGTTTACTATAAGTTGTTGAGGTGATTGGGGTAGCAAAAGGGTTTGAATGCTCGATTGAACGACCAGCAATATCAGCACGAGGTTTGACAATAATTGCAGATTCTTCATCAAAGACAATTTTGCCATCAGTTAATTGTAATTGCAAGTTTGAACTAACTTTAGGAGCGTCTTCATCAAACAACGATTTCTTCTCAAGCTCTTTTTTGCTATCTGATTCTGCTACGTCTTCAATTGTTTCACCTCGTTTCTCGGCTTCTTCTTTTCGAGCTTTAATATTCATCTTTTTTGCTTCTTCAACAGGCACACGACGTATCTTGGCCAATTCACGGTCTTTTCTACGCAAATCTCGCTTCTCCCGAAGAGTAGCTTTAGCTTCTTTGACTAGCTGGAAGTTTCCACTCACTTTACCAATAGGTAATGTAGGTTTACATAAATCAGCCATGGTCATTTCTTCAGCATTAAATTCAACTTCTCCATAAAGCTCAACATCTTCATCAACTGCTTTTCTAGGAAGCTGGTGAATGTTACTTATAGTGGTGATCAAATCATCAGGTTCTTCGGGGATTTCCTCTTCTTTTATGTTGATCACATCTTCTGTTTCTTCCACTTTTGGAGTAGTTCCCTTTCTTCTGAATTTACGCAAGCGATTAGTCTTGGGGTCTAACCCAACCACAAATTCAGCACTAACCACTTTTTTATTCTTTTCTGCCTTGTCAGCATCCGTTTCTTCTTCAATCATGGGAGTTTGTTCCTTAGTTGACACAGTACTGCTTACCAAAGACGCTATGGATATTCTCTTTAAACCAGCACCGGACCGACTGGCGGCCAGTGAACGTCTTCTCTTTATTGGCTTCCCTACAGGGATGCCTATTCTAGCAGGTATGTGTTCTTCAACATCGGTCTTCACTACCGAAAATGACCCAGAACGAGAACGCAAACCCGGCTCTTTGATGCCGGAAAGTCTTCTTTGGTTGAATGTGGAAGAACGACGACGTGTTCTTGATGCTGTTGGTAGTGGTAACTTTAGAGATTCGTCCTGAGCAGAGGTATCTACCTTGATGGTATCTTCATGTGGTGTATTTTCCAATTTCTTTGTGGCATCTTTAGGATCAACCACTTCTTCTTCAGGTTCTTTCTCAGATGGCGTGCTTGTTGAGTCTAATGTTATTCTAAACGCAGGTTTCTTGGTAACATCTTGTGTGTTCTGAGGAGTAGGTTGATGATCTTGTTCCAGTTGTTCCTGGGTATCAATTATTGGAGTTGCTGACTGTTGCTGAAATAACTCTTCATTGGATATGTCTGGCTTTTGTTCAGGTGCAGTTTGGGTAGCAGGTGGGGTCAAAGGAGAGCCAGATTTGGCAGGAGTGATTTTCCTTTTTATTACCTTCTTTAATTTTGGCGTGAAATGCGTTCCTTTCTTAACGACACTACTCATTTTGGCTTTGTTATCTAAGACTATCTGCTTTGTAGAGAGATTTGTTTTTCTTTTTTTTTTTAAGTTTGGTTACTCCTCAACTTGCATCGCATCAATTGCAAAATTTCAACTATAGCAAACACTACTAAGGAGTAAACAACACATCATCATGAGAGCACAGTGTTTATTCAGCTGGTCCTCTCTTGCTTCAAACGACAATTGGATCTTGAAGCTACAAAATTTACCACAAACAAACTCATTTGTCTGTTCCAGCAGTAATGGAACCATCGCAACTTATAATCTTGACCAGCCATCCCAAACACCAACATTCCAAGTGAAAGCACACGAATCAAGCATCAACAGTCTTATCAAGTTAAACGATAATGACAACTACTCCATAGCGACTTGTTCAACTGATGGAATCAAGTTGTGGGATTTACGCTCCTCTACTCCCATAGCCCAGCTTTCCCAAGGCAGAAACTCAAGTTTCTTGTCTTTAGGCTTTAATGGAGACAATCTACTTGCTGCAGGTACTGAACTTATGGGAGTCGATGCAGAGCTACACATCTGGGATCTTAGAAACACCAAAGACGTTGTTCGCTCATTTATCGATTCTCATCATGACGACATCACGGCGCTTGAATTCCACCCTACCATCAGCAATTACTTGATGTCAGGATCCACGGATGGATATGTGAATATTTACGATTTGAACCAGCCAGATGAAGACGAAGCGCTTCATCAAGTGATAAACTACTCTTCAGTGCACTCATGCCATTTCATTACTCCGTCAAGAATCTCAGTGTTATCTCATATGGAGTCATTATTGTTCCACGATTTAAACGACACCAACTATGAAGAGTTGAAAGAGCCAGAATTCGTCGACCTAGGTGACGTCAGACAACTTTGGCCCGATAACGAGTACGTGATTGAAGTAGATCCTTCTGGATTTGTTGCTTATGGTGCCAATTCTCAGCGGAAATTAACAGTGTTTCCATTCAACCCAACTAAAGAGACTTTTGATACTACCAAGCCAATTTGGTTCCCTGATGCCCACGGAGAAGAAGTTGTTAGAGATGTTTGCACGATTCCTAATTCCAAGAATGCGTTGACTTGTGGTGAAGATGGCCAAATCAGACTATGGGAGTTGCCATATCAATTGGAAACATACTCTATTAACGCATCCGAGACCGTCGATATTGACATGGACAAAGAAGAGTCCGAGAAGAAGAAGAAGAAGGATAAGAAAGACAAGAAGGAGAAGAAAGACAAGAAAGAAAAGAAAGACAAAAAGGATAAAAAGGACAAAAAGAAAAAAGACAAGAAGAAGGGCGATGTTAGATTCAAGCCTTACTAAGTATATACATATCTAGATTAGAAACGTCTAATAATATCGTCAATAACTTCTTGGGTAGTAGAAGAACCTCCTAAATCTGGAGTCTTGATTTGGTCTTCAGACAAGTTAGCATCAACAGCTTCGTAAATCTTGGCTGCTGGCTCAGGGTAACCCATGAATTCCAACATCAAAGCAGTGGATCTGATGGTAGCAATAGGGTTAGAAATACCCTTACCTTCAATATCTGGAGCAGAACCGTGACATGGTTCACCAATAGCGAAGTTGTCACCAACATTGGCGGATGGAACAACACCCAAGGACCCGACTAAGGCAGCAGCACCATCACTCAAGATATCACCGTACAAGTTTGGAGCAACTACAACATCAAAGATTTCTGGTTCTCTGAACATACGGTAAACCATAGAGTCAACAATTTGTTCCTTGTAATCAATACCACTGTAGACATTAGCATTGGCGTCGTAGACAGCACGACAAGTTTCTCTGAATAAACCGTCAGATTGAGACAAGACATTAGACTTATGGGTAACAGTGACAGATGGCTTGTCGTGGAGTTGATGACCAGTAGAAGCTTCTCTGATGGCTTGTCTAGTCAAGGCAATGTCATAAGCCATCTTGGCAATATTGGTGGTGGCAGTTTGAGTAATTCTCTTGATGGCTTCAGCAACCTTGGTTCCATCTGGTTTCTTGTAGGTTCTTTCTTCCTTAATGTATAAATCTTCGGTATTTTCACGGACAATAACCATATCAACTGGTCTACCGATACCTTCGACAGACTTGACAGGACGGACGTTGGCATACAATCCCATCTTCTTTCTCAATGCGACAATTGGAGAAGAGTAACCTTCAACTTTGGTGGTTGGAGAAGAAACAGCCCCGAATAAAGCACCGTCACATTCAGTCTTTAATACTTCAACAGTCTTATCTGGTAAGGCAGTACCAGTTTGTTGGAAAACTTCCCAACCAGCTTCCAATTGGACGAATTCGAATTGCAAGTCGAACTTACTTGGTAAGTTTTCCAACACAGCTTTACCGGCAGGAATGACTTCTTTTCCGATCCCATCTCCTGGAATTAAACCAATCTTTAACGTCTTGAAAACTGGGGAAGAAGTGGAGAAACAACGACGAATAGTAGTTCTAGCGGCTAACATATTGTGATTCAGATCAAAGAGATATTGCAATTGACTTTTAAACGGAATAAAAGGTGACGCTGAAAGCTGAAATTGAACTTTTGTTAAAAGGGACAGCAAAAAGGATACGACAATTTGAAAAATATGGAAAATCGGTTGTTGGTGCCTGATTGGCATTTGGTCGATTTGAGGACGCCGAATTAATTAACCCGTATATGCAGGAAAGAAATCTGGGTGAGTCATATCACGTGACTGGAACCGTAGTTGGCGCCATCTGATAAGCAGCCAATGCCGTTGCTCGGCATCCCATCAGTCGATACGGACTTGACACATTGCCCCAGCCAGCCAGCCCACTCCGTTGACGCGAGCTGGTGTTGTAGAGAATATGCAAAATACCACATAACATACATCGCGCAAACATCATACAAACTTACATAACAAAACATCATGGTCTATGTATAAGTACAATACAGTGAAAAAGTGGGAAATAACCGAAAGATATTATATACAAGAATCACCTTTTACTTTTCTTTGTTTCTGGACATTAAAAAATCATTAAACCAATGGACCGAGCTTTTAGTTATCTTCACCCTTGACAACACCAACCTTGGCTGGTCTCAACACTCTGGAGTTAAGAGTGTAACCATCTTGTTGAATATGGAAAACAGTGTTTGGTTCCTTACCTGGTTGAGGGACTTGGAAAGTAGCTTCGTGCATGTTTGGATCAAATGGCTTGTCCATAGCATCAATCTTTTCAATACCGTGTCTATTCAAGGTTCTTAAGAAGATATTTCTAGTCATGTCAACCCCATCGTACAAGTTCTTGACTTCAGCATTGCTAGCTAAAGTTTCTTCCTTGACGTGACCTAAAGCCAAAGCGAAATTGTCAAGAGATTCCAATAAGTCCTTTGCAAACTTTTGCAATGCGAAGTCCTTAGCCTTTTGAACTTCAGTCTTGGTAGTTTCTTGTAAATGACGGAAGTCAGCAATGGCTCTAGCGTAATGGTTCTTCATTTCAGCCAATTGTTTGTCCTTCAAGTCCAACTTTTCCTTTAATTCAGCAACTGGGTCAACTTCCTGAGCCTCTTCTTTAGCTTCTTCCTTGGCTTCTTCAGCTGCTGGCTTAGCTTCAGCTTCAGCTTCGGCACCAGCTTGGTTCTCCTTGGCAGCGTCTTTACCAGTGGAGTTGAAACGAACGCCAAAGGATCCTGGGTAGGTGATAGAAGTGGCAACTGGTCTAAACACTCTGGCGGAGTTGCATGCCACGGAACGAGCAGTAATAGTTCTCGACAATGGAGCTAAAAATGATCTATGCATTATGTATAAGTTGCGTCTGGGCGGATTGTATTGTTGTCGTTCCAAGTCTTCCGACGGCGGATTTGAACCAGAAAATTTTTTTTTTCACCACCACCACCACCCACCATCACAAGGTGCTGCTCTTCGTCCCCAAGCAAAAAAAAGGTACGGTTGTCACACTACGTTTGCGGCAATTCAAATAAACACCAAGTGCCAATAGCCAAGGAGATTTAAGAAATATTACTCATGCTACAGTTTCCAGAGGAGTATATTTGCTCTGTTATAAGCACGAAAGCTAAAACTAAATGCACCACACAGTTCAAACTAACTTAATCCAGGAAATGCTGCAAAATTGTCTATGATATTTCGATTTATTCTAAACTACGAACCATCTTCTCAAGCTGCGATATACCTTTTAACTTATGCTCTTGCCCTTTTAAGGACCTTTCCTGTTTAGCACCAAACGTTTCACCCTTAACAATACATAAATCGTTTCCTGGGCCAAGTCTGGTATTTTGAAGAAGCTTTGAATCTCTCTGGAGAACAGAGCTAACAAAATAATTGCCTTGCTTTCCCGAAAAATCGACTTCAGTATATCCCTCATCAGAAAACATGGAAATAATTGAATAGCTGACTCGGACATAATCATGCTCTCCTGATTTATTATAAAGGATTTCAGGTGTTCCTAACTTTTTCTTCAAATCTGGCTTTGAGGATACCACTTCTCCAATTAATATTTCCATCCGCCTGCAAGATACCCAAATAAGTATAGACTCAGGAGGATATCCAAGCAACCTCATATAGAAATATAATAATACACAGTACTCTGCCTCTTCTACTTGACTCTTTACCGACAATAACTGATTTTTGAAAACAAAGCCAGGATTGAACGAATCAGTGTTTACTTTGGATGCCAGCAAGTAAGTGATATTTTTGGATGGAAAATAATCCAATAACTCACCATTCACCACAATAACCTTCATTGCACTTGGTTGCTTCCTGAGGATTAATGGCAAAGTAGAACTATCACAATTCCAGAATATAACTACATCAAATGGAGCACATTCAGCGCCTTGCATGACCGCGAAAAAGTCTTCCGAAGAAACCATCGCACTAAATCTATTGACAAGATACTGCCAAGTAGATTGAGTTACGCTTTTATTCCGAACTGGAAGGACATCTGCAATAAATCTTAGTTTGGTTTTAACATCATCATGCCAGCTGGGAGAATCCACATGGTTATCGCTAGTTTGAAACGGTTTAGACCATTTCTGTTTCAACGAAATTAAATCAAATTCAGTTACCTTGTCAAATGGCTTTTCCAAACTTTCCATCAGTTTCGTCAAGTCATGATAATACTCTTTAGCGAGTTGAATGAGCTCATGTATAGATTCCTCACTCCCAAACCTAATCAATGGCAGAGCAGTGGAATAATGTCTCACTGCAGACTGCGAAGCAGTTAGCACAAGTGTCCTTTGGTTTTGATATTTGGCAAGGATCTGATCAATATTAGAGAATTTTGAGGTTCTCACATATTCTATGCTACTACCTCTTGAATTCTCTATTTTTTGCTTCTTAGCTGCTGGCTCAACATCTTCTTGATTATTTGATCTAAAACTATAGCTAGGGATGTTTGCATTTCTTCTTTCAATCTCTTGCAAACGATCAAGATATTTTATGTTCTTCAAGTCAGGCAATACGATAAAGTTCTTGTACACATCTTGATAATCAAGATTCTCACACTGAATAACCATGCTTGATTTGGAACTCTTCTCGGTCTTGCATATTCTCAAACTTCTCAATCCCAATTTCCTGAGGTTGCTTCCTCTTGAATCGGGTTTAATCAATTCAACAAGAAGTATATAGTTCCCATCTGGAACAGCATTTGATACCATTTGATATTTAGTACCAGATATAGGTGTTATCGATTTGATTCCCATAAAGTACTTGCTAGTACCTTTAAAGGACGATGCCAGGTCAACTTTGATCCTAGACATTACTGTCGAGATATGCTTGAATATTTCCGCCTTAGCAGATTCAAGTTGTCGATATGTGATTTCAGTTTCAAGGTCGATATAAGAGTTGAAATGACTGGGAAATTCCAGTTTTAGATAGAAGTCAGTGTCAATGTCTGTTTCCGAGAATATGTTCCAAAAGTTAAACGCCATAGCAAAGGAATTCAACTGCACGGGAAAGAAGTGTGATAGTATGACATCTATGAAGAATGATGTATTCATCTCTGGTGTTAATCCCAAACATGCATAGTTAGAAATTACCTCATCTTTATTAAAGTATTGCAATAGCTTGTTGGCGTCTTCCAATGTGAAATGGCTTTCGAACAATTCATGCATTTCTTGCCTTGTACAGCTATACCTTGATGCAAAACCAATAACCTTCTCAGTTAGCTCTTTCTTGTCAATAAATATCTCCTGAACTTTCTGTTGTAATAGGACAAATTCCAACACTTCTTGTTGGATTAATATCGAATCCATGATGCTTACCAAATCCTGAATTCCTTTGTCATTTCTAATCCTGAAAAGAGAAGCCACACCCAAAGAAATGAAAAATGGTGATACAGAGTCCCTATACCTTTGAAGCTTTATAATTGATATAAAAAACTTTATCACAGCTTCCTTCCATTGATTGGATCCATTTGAGTATCCGTTCACTATATGCAATAACCATCGAGATTTTAAGTTATAACTTCCTTTAGTTGTTTTCAATGATTCCTGCATCTCTGATACTTTCAATTTATACTTTTCTTCAATCTGGGTTGTTTTTAGTAAAGGTGTTTGAGTGATTAGACAACTCCAGATATTAAGATCAAACAATGGTCCAACCAACCCATCAGCTAATTTTGTTCCACTGACAGCAATCCATGAAATGAATACTAAAGCAGAAATTCTAAACCTTGTGTTTTGAAATGAAGAATCTTGTGTTATTCCCAATAATCTATCAAATACCACCATCACATCTTTATGATTGAGGAACAGATCAACTAGACCCAGGTTACTCCTCCTTGAATCATATACTGCCAAAGTAACGAGTAATTCTAAGTGCTTGTCGGTTACATCGCCGTTAAATTGTTTCCAGACGACATCCTTTACAAACCCAGTATTGAATAAGAGCTCTAGCAATTGGTTTCTGGCTGCCTCATCGGGTTTGGAGAGAACAATTGAAACGACATCATTCAACGATTTCTGGTTAAACTTGTGCTTGCATTTTCGTATCAATGAATCTAATTCCACTATATCATCAACATCATCATGCTTGCCCATTGCTTTGATTTGTAAGTGGTTGTAAATGCTACTACTAATGTTTTCTTGCAATCAAAACACTTCAAGTTATGAAAAAGGTCGTGTGAATTTTTCAAATTCTACCAAGCAAAAAATTTTCAATTTTTTTTTGTTCGTTATAGAACAAGGCAACCATATACTACAATCAGTAGACCTAAAGATGAATGTTTTCAGGATAGGATGCAGATTCTTGTCCAGTACAAGACCAGTGTGGAATGCTGAAATTCCAGGATTCAACGGAGCAGTAGGTGGGATGTCATACCTCAAGAGATTTGGATCTAAAAAGGAAATCCCTCCAAACTCTCCAAAGACTATTGTAAAACGTATCAGAAGAAAAGAAAGCAGATTAAAGAAGCAAATTGTCAGAGATGTCAACAATCTCAAACAACACGAAGTTAAAAACGTCCAATTGTCAGTCGATCCAGTTTTAGGTGATCCAAAGTGTGCCTTTATCCAAAGAATTTTCGATGAAGTCGCTGACCACGAAAATCACTTGGCTTACGGTGTTGATAAAGTTGAATTTGAGAAGTTGATGTATGGGGTTGAAAAGGCAAATTTGGAAAAACTCGCCGGTACCAACGTTATCTCCTCCGAACAAGCTCGTGCCATGGAAGAAAAGAAAAAGAGGGCTTTATTAACCATTCTTAACTTGAGAAACTCGAATTCGTTCGACAAGAGAAAATTGGCTATCAGATTAGCCCGTGAAGAGTTCCAAAGATTTGATGGTGATACTGGATCCCCAGAAGTTCAGGCTGCTGTCTTGACCGTTAAGATTCATTTTGCTATGAAGCATGTTAAGGAAAACAGAAAAGATTTTGAATATATTCAACAAACCAGAGAAATGGTACAATACAGACAACGTCTTTTGAAATATTTAAAAAAGGACAACCCAGAACGTTACTTTTATACCATTCATAAGTTAGGTTTGGCTGATGATGTGGTACACTGTGAATTCAATATGGGTAGACAATACTTTCAAGATTATAAAGTGTGGGGTGATAGACAATTGGTTAAACTTTCTGAAAAACAACAGAAGAAGATTCAAAAGGTTCACGATCTTAAGAGAAGAGTTGAAGAATATCAAACTATTGCTAAGAAGAATTACGAACTTGCAAAACAAGCTACCACCAAAGGTTCAAATTAGGTTAGACCATCCGATTAATTCATGTATATATTAATAGTACAAATAGTATAATGTAAATGCGTTTTATTATTAACAAGATCCTTACAAATACTTTTCAGCAAAAGTCCTGGCTAGAGCAGCTAAGTGTTCATTTTCGTCATCGCAGATTTCAATAGTTTTAGCCAACAGCGCCAGCGCTAGAGCCGATTTTGTTTCTTCTGCCAATTGATTGCTCTCCTTGACCAACTCTTGCAACTGCTTATAGGTGTCCAAGTTCTCCGCCCGTAACAGATCATGTATCAATTGCAATTTCTCCAATGCCACTGTTCCTTTACTTACAATGTTACTATCTATTATTTCTTTGGCCAGAAGGAGATCGACATTTTCTGGTTTGGAAGTCCTGGATCGTTTCCTTTCTTCTGCTGCTTGAACTATTTCATCCAATTCATCGAGCTTGGTCTCGATATCCCTTTCTTCGTATATATGATCTATTTCGTTGAGGGTCTCCAGTTGCCAGAACTCAATGAATTGCTTGGAAGCCTCCCGTAGGATCTCCGATCCCTGTGCCGTACTTGCTATGGTAGGGAAACAGGATTCCACTTTACCACTGGAAAAGGATTTTTTAATCAGAGCCTCCGTTGCCCTTCGACCGACTTCTTTCAACTTCTCATACCTGATTTTTTTCACGTTATGCTTCTGAATTCGTTTGCTTTCCATGTTGTTGCAAGTGTTGCAAGTTTGTAAACCAAAACAAACAAACACGCAAAGAACCAAAAATCTTTTTCTATGGCAGCAAGATGTTGGTAGGCGCACGACTAGACTTTGCAATAACCAGTCTGTATTACCAATCGAAGCGGTTTTGATCACATCCTTTGAGTTTATTAATCTTTCAAAGTCGTTAAATTACCAATTGCGATATCGAGTCATCTCTTACCAAGATTTACTGATATATAGTCTAGCCATGAATTCAAACACTAGTTGATTCCGCCTCAGGGTGCAACTAGCTATATGCACTCCTGGATTGATTGTCCCCCAACCCCAACAGAAAAAACACCAACACAACAGGGGTGGCAATCTAAACCTCCAATTGAACTAGAATTCATTAGCACAGCTTAGATTGAATCCAATCGCCATATAGACCATACCAAGCATGTCAAATCCACGTACATTAATAGATGATGCCGAGAAATTGCTCAAGCCTCAGCTGGGATTCTTTCTGTTCTTATCGGGCTCTTCAGACTCTATGAGAAAGGAGGAAGCCACCGATCTCTTGATCACGGCGGCCAATCAATACCGATTAGCCAAAGATTTCAATAATGCTGGTGCCCAATTTGTAAGAGCTGCCGGAATTCAAGAGTCCTTATCCAACCATAACGATGCAGCAAATCATTTGGTTGAAGCCTACAAATGTTTCAAAGGCGTTTCCCCAACTGACGCCATTGATGCGTTATCTAAAGCCATTCACATATTTTTAACTCAAAATGGTCAATTCAGAAGAGCTGCCAACTTCACAATGGACTTAGGGGAGCTCTATGAATCAGTCAATGATACTGCCAATGCCATCAAGAGTTATGAACAAGCAGGTGATTATTTCACTACTGATCACGCCGAAGCATTAGCCAACAAATCCTTTTTAAAATGTGCTGATTTGAGTGCCCTTTCTGGTGACTACAAAAAGGCTATTGAATTATATGATACAATTATTAAGCAACTGGTGGGAAACAATTTGACAAGATGGAGTTTGAAGGATTATTTCTTGAAGGTTATTTTATGTGTATTGTGTACTGATGATATTATTGAAGCCCAAAAAAGAAATCAAAACTTTTTAACAGAAGATCCAAACTGGAATCAAACAAGGGAATACAAGTTAGTGGAAGGAATCCTTGAGAGTATAGATAAAGGTGATATTGATGGTTATTCAGACAAAGTTTTCGAATACGACCAGTTCGCCAAGCTTGACAAGTTGAAAACCCAATTGTTGTTGAAGATCAAGAATTCCGTGGTTGATAAAGACGACGATGACTTATTATAAGTAAAGGGTGTTAATATACGAAATATATTTAAAACAACAAAGACATAATTCATAAACTATTTACTACTCTTTCTTTCAAACAATTCTCCAAATGTAGGATTAGAAAATTTGGCATAACTGGGAGCAGTCCATTTCCGGAATGTCTTCCCCCATTTAATAAGAACAAGGAAGCTTCCATTGATAAGAAGAGATAACATAAACATCAACCAAGCAGTTACAGCTAACCCGCATCCTTCCAACCATGGCCGGAACACAAAGCAAAAGATCATACCAACCATATTTCTAATGAACAAGATAAGCACAATACATTCACTGGCTAACTTGTGATAACTGTCAACAGCATAAGTTAAACAAATTGAACCTGAAGAGCCCATGGCAAAACCCAAACATCCTTGACCAATAACACAGGGAATTGCCCAATGGATTCCATTATTCAATCCTAAGCCATAGGCCAAAATTCCAGCAGCATTGACTATAGTAGGCACAACCATACTGTATAATCTGAATTCAGGTTCCAAGATTCCATGATTACGTTCTGCCAACTTGATGGTGCTCCAATCAACAAAATATCCTCCATATAACATCCCAATACAACTTCCACCAAATGCACCCAAATTTGTTAATCCAATGACATTGGGCAGGAAATTATAGGGTGGAGCACCATAGAGTTGACTTTGAGTGTTACTCATCAAGGAAATCCACATCATTTGCGAGCCATAAACCAACCCACTCCAAATCACAGCTGGGAAAATAATCAAAAAGAAGGGTCTGTAGTAAATACATAACCATGACCTGGTATCATTGTACTCAGTATGAACTACACTCATACGTTGTTTGTAGGTACGTCTTGGAATCGTCTCATCAATATCATTGATATTAACTTCAACTTCCTTGCTTTCTGTTTTGTCTTTTAATGTAGGTGATTTAGTTGCGTGTAAGATTTCTTCTTCAAATTCATCTTCTTCCTCTAGGTCTCTTCTAAACGAAGTCTCTTCCAAAGTAAAGAAAAAGAATATGAAAATCATGGCATACAAGATAACCTGTAGCCAGAAACACCATCTCCAACCAAGACCCTGAGTCACAAACCCACTAGCCACTGGTCCCAAAAAACTCCCGGCATAAAGTGCAAGAATTACCATTCCAAATGCGGTAGATCTTTGATGTTGAAAGTAAAGATCTGTTCCTGTAATTTCAGCTAACGAGTCAACGGGAGCAGCACCAAGGCCACCAAAGATCAAAAACACATATATGTGACCAATGTTGGTTGCTTTTGCACCCACGACACAACCTACTATCGCAAGAATGGTGCAAAATAAGTATGTGAATCTTTTCCCGATCTTCAAGGCAGTAGGTTGAACAAAGGTAACACCTACTCCAAGGAATAAGAACAAAATGGCAACCCCGTTACTTAATTGTTGCAAGGTGCAGTTCAATTCTTCAGTCCACAAGACGAATAAAGGACTGTAGAAAATAACCGTAAGGGCAAGCATAAAACACCAGAAAAACACTAAAAAGAACTGAAAGTGTTTCTTTTTGTTTGACCACCGTAACGGGTCATTGATGTTGGATGAAGGTTGTGGTTGAAGAATGATATTTTCATTTCCAGCATTCTTTTTCACGTTTAAAGTTCCAAGGACATCAATGAGTCTAATTGTTCCGGGAACAATTTCTGACTCAGCAATACTATATTGTTCTTCAGACATTGTTAATGGATATATCTTTGTAGACAATTAGCAAAGAGACCAAAAGAATTCCATTTTTATTAATATTTATAGAGAGTCCTTGTGGGGTAGAAGACAGATATCGAATCCTTATGCTTATGTGATAGTTCAATAATAGCCGCGCGGCAGCACCAGATAAGCTACCAATAGCTTGCAGACCACAAAGTTCATATCATTTGTAGGAAAACCCCGCTAACATTTTGCAATTACAGTATCTAAGCTGGTTCTGCAGGTTCATAACATCCGCTCATTGATAAGTTACATTTGACTCTGGGTATTGGTCAAACATTTAAGATTATCTTGCAGACATTCATATTTTAATTATTGATCTGAAAAGTGACGATTTATTAATTGGTTAGTGAGACTAATGTCTATTATTTGTTAATTATTCTGTTTCACTATACAAGTTGTTCATAATTATCAACTAATATCTAGTTCTAAAGTCTGCTTACATAAAATGAACTTAAGAAACATGCTACATTCAAGATTCTAGATTCACATATCTAGATGTGACAGCAGTTAAATTTGAGGAAACATACCAGAGTCATGATACCACATTTGCTGTTGAGATGACTCTGCGAGACTTCATCTAGATAAGAGATACTCCACAAAGATTATGCAAAATACAATCCAAACTCCGAAACTACAAGATCAACTTTACTCCCATCGCATGGCACAAATTTAGAAATCCCAAAATAGATTAAGTCAAATATAGTATACGAAGATTCCCATATGATAGTGATAAGTCATTACTTCGAGGTTAATATCCATGGATAATAAAGCCACCCAAAACTGGAAAAAAGTTCCACAGTGTTTAAATTTTTTTGGTAAAATTAACTGGTCTTAACATGTCAATTACTATTGTTCCTACTATTTTGATAATGACCTTCAACGGATGAAAGGCGTGAAACCTGGATAAATGGTTAAATAGTAATGTACGGCTGAATGGCTGCAAACTATCGGATAATTGGAGGATTATTCATTGACGATTGAAAGATTAAGAAACAGTCAATATGATGATGTAATTAAAGATTTACATCTATCTCCTAGTTTGGACGATATAAATCTATTATAGACACCTGAAAGCAATCAATAGTATTAAAACCTTAATTTTTGCAATTGAGTAATTTTTTTTGGGGAGAAGGGGTTTACAAATAGTGGGGTATAGAATAGTGCACGGAACAGAGTATCCGATACAAAAGTAGGTTATATGATTGCTTTATACAAATGCGCATCGGGAGAATCAAAGATTGTAATAACATCATAGCAATAGTGTCCAGAAGTATTTTTGCAGCAGCTGCAGGGTGGTCATATCTACTGTAATAGTATATTCTGGAACGGCTAGTCCCTACAAGGTGATCATTGTTTTAAAATCTTCTTATCTATTATTTATTTAAATTATACAACTATCATCGCTTAAACTGGCTTTCCACCAATAAATTCACTCCATCTCTTAACAGAATCAGGAACAACAACTTTGTGAGGAACCTCAGTAAATGGCAACATGTGAGCCACGTTCTTCTTTAAACACTCAGCAAACAACAACAGGGTGTTTGGTTCATTGAATAATGGAATGGCGAAATCAATAGCATTTCTTCTCATGACATAATCTTCATCGAGTAAATGTTCGGCTCTAGCTCTGGCCAAGTTGAAAACACCACCAATTTGCTTATCTTGGAAAATCTCTCTTAATGCTCTCTTATCAGTCTTTGGGAATTCAATGACTTCAATGTCCTCGTTGACAAAGTTACTCAAGTACTTGGCGACGTCTTCGCTGGCAGTGTAGAACTTGTAGCCCAATCCAGACACGGTGGCGGCAACATTACCCAACTTTTCGTTGGTCAAGTCACCTCCAAACAATAACCCTTGGCCAGGTTGTGGGACTTGGAAGTTCATGATAGATTGAATAGTGGTCCAGTAAGCTTCATGGATGTCGCGACCAAAACAGGCAACTTCACCAGTAGAGGCCATTTCAACACCAAGGAAAGGATCAGCACCGGCCAATCTAGTGAATGAGAATTGTGGAACCTTGATAGCAACACGATCATATTGTTCCTTCATAAGATCAACCGGAGCAGGAACATTTTCCTTAAGAAGAGCCTTGGCAGCGACTTCGATGAAGTTGACACCAAGAACCTTGGAAACAAATGGGAAGGAACGAGAAGCTCTAATGTTACATTCAATAACCTTTAATTCACATTCAGATTCGTCTAAAGTTCCGTTATGATCATTCATAATGATTTGCATGTTGAATGGACCAGTAATATTCCAGGCACTAGCAACCTTATCAGCAATGGCCTTTAATCTGCCTAAAATAACTGGGGACAAGTTTTGTGGAGGAAGAACCAAAGTGGCATCACCAGAATGGACACCAGCGTTTTCAACGTGTTCACTGACAGCGTGGACTAAAACTTCACCTTCACTGGCAACAGCATCGATATCGATTTCCTTAGCACCTTGAATGAACTTGGAAATGACAACTGGGTGGTCACGAGAGACTTTAGCAGCATTGGATAACTTGGAATCAAGTTCGGTTTGGTTGTTAATAACACTCATGGCAGCACCTGAAAGGACATAGGAGGGACGGACCAAGACTGGGTATCCAACTTCGTTAGCAAATTGTTCAGCATCAGCAACAGAGGTAAGTTCCTTCCATTGTGGTTGATCAATACCAATGGAGTCCAAGATTTGTGAGAACTTGTGACGATCTTCAGCCTTGTCGATATCTTCAGGGTTGGTACCCAACACTTTACAACCTTCATTTTGTAATGGCAAGGCAATGTTTTGTGGAAGCTGACCACCGACAGAAACAACAACACCTTGGGAGTTTTCCAATTCATAAATATCCAATACTCTTTCCAAAGATAATTCTTCGAAATACAATCTGTCGACTTCATCGAAATCAGTAGACACAGTTTCTGGGTTATAGTTGATCATGATAGTCTTGTGGCCAGTTTCACGCAAAGCTCTAGCAGTGGAAACAGCACACCAATCGAATTCAACAGAAGAACCAATTCTGTAAACACCAGAACCCAAGACCATAGTACCATTTTCATTAAATTCAACATCAGAGCTAGTAGCATTGTAAGTAGTGTACAAGTAGTTGGTGTTGGCAGGGAATTCAGCAGCCAAGGTATCAATCTTCTTAACGAATGGAATAATACCAAATTCTTTTCTGACTTTACGAACTTCTAATTCTTCAGCATTAACGCATAAACCAATTTGTTTATCAGAGAAACCTAACTTCTTAGCACGACTCATTAAATCGTGGTTGATTGCTTCCAAAGTGCCAGCAGCTTCCAATTCACGATACATGTTAACAATATTCATCAACTTGTGCAAAAACCACTTGTCGATCTTGGTCAATTCCCAAACTTGATCAACGGTATAGTTTTCATGTAACAAAGCTTGTCCAACAGCTAACCATCTACGGTCAGTTGGGTTGGCCAAGGATTCATCCAAGTTTTCGAAATGGTCACCTTGGAAACCAATGTAACTTGGGTCGATTTGACGAATAGCCTTTTGGAAAGATTCTTCAAAGTTACGACCAATGGCCATGACTTCACCGACAGACTTCATAGCTGATCCAATGTCACGCTTAACGTGTTGGAACTTGGACAAGTCCCAACGAGGGATCTTGGTAACCATGTAATCTAATGAAGGTTCGAAGTTGGCAGAGGTGGTCTTTGTGACTGGGTTAGGTAATTCAGGAAGGGTGTGACCAAGGGCAATCTTGGCAGCAGTGTAAGCTAATGGATAACCGGTGGCCTTAGATGCAAGAGCGGAGGATCTGGATAATCTGGCATTGACTTCAATGACACGGAAGTCTAATCCATCTGGTTGTAAAGCGTATTGGACGTTACATTCACCGACGACACCTAAATGTCTAATGATCTTAATAGCGGCACTTCTCAACATGTGATATTCTTCGTCAGATAAAGTTTGGGATGGAGCAACAACAATGGAGTCACCAGTGTGGATACCCAATGGGTCGAAATTTTCCATATTACAAACAGTAATACAGTTACCGACTCTGTCTCTAACAACTTCATATTCAACTTCCTTCCAACCTTTCAAGGACTTTTCAACAAGAATTTGTGGAGCTAATGACAAGGATTGGGAAGCCAAGTTCTTTAATTCGGTTTCATCATTAGCGAAACCAGAACCCAACCCACCAAGAGAATATGCAGATCTAACAATGATTGGATAGCCAATTTCCTTAGCAGCAGCAAGGGCATCATCGACGGTTTCAACGGCAATGGATTCAGCAATTGGGATATTAATTTCTTTAAGAGCAGTAGCGAACAAATCACGATCTTCGGATGTTTCAAGGGTGGAGATTGGGGTACCCAAGACCTTGACTCCATATCTATCGAAAACCCCCATCTTGTCCAACTTGACCCCGACATTCAACCCGGTTTGACCACCAAAAGTCAACAATATCCCATCAGGACGTTCCCTTTCAATGATGTAGGTGATGTATTCTGGAGTGACTGGTAAATAGTAGATTTCGTCGGCTAAATTGTGTGATGTTTGGTTGGTAGCAATATTAGGGTTAATCAAGATGGATTTCTTGTCAGCTTCACGAAGAGCCTTGATGGCTTGGGAACCAGAGTAGTCGAACTCCCCAGCTTGACCAATGGAAAGACCACCAGACCCAATAACAAGGACTTTATTGACGTCAACCAATTTATGGGCGTTATCATCAGTGAATTTCTTTAACAAGTCTGCCCCAGCATAGTTTAATTGGCGAAGGGTGGATGAGTTTGTGAAGGCTCTTCTAAGGAAGTTAGAAGAGGATAAACGAGATATCGCCTTTATGTTCATCGATATCATTATGAATTATTAGCAATATGACTAGAGAAGAGAAAGAGAAAGAAAGAGGAAAGCAAAGAAATTGGGCTGATGAAAAATTTTATGACCTGAACCCAATTAGGCAATGACTCAGAAATTAACCGCGTTGTGAAATCAGTAACTTTTGGTTATTACCCGGATAGGATCAGACAAAAAATTTTTCATTGGATGGAATTGTTCTTGGCAATCAGACACGACCTTTGAGATCTTTCTATGCAGATGGCCAAGCAACGATGCACAAACATGATGTTGGTTATATCATTACAAACCGCTTCCGCACACAAAATCAATGTAACAGCAGAGTGGCTTCTGACATATATGCAGTCAAAATAGAATAATCTGGTGACGAACATCATCTCGGCACGATGATGCCGGCATGAAATAACCCCTTGCAATTTTTGACGAAAAGTTGCGAAAAATGTAAAATTGTCAACATCTTGCAAAACAGCACGGTTTTTAATTTCCACAGACTGGCAGTATAAACGTCGTCGTGGCTATTGTAGCAGGATTTATAGAGAATATCGGGGATAGCAGACTCGGCAGGTGAAGATTTTCAACACAATAGACCCGAAGTCAACAATACTAAATTGCAAAAAAAAAAACAAACAATTATTGCGAATAATTAGAAGGCCGCCTGGCTGAAAAAAAAATGCCGACTTTCTAGATGAGAGATAGCGGTACAAGACTTGTACCAAATGGGCTAGATGAAATACGACTATAGTAGAGGAGGCACGCGCATCTCAGTTCCAAGCTTATGCAGATCATCCAAAACTGAAGCCTGTTCAGCAAAAAGAAACAGCCAAGCTGGTGGGTGGTGGTTAGCACAGCTTGCATATTTTTTATTCTCTTATCAAGAAAAAACAAAAATTAAATTAGTCAATTGTTCTTGAACATAATAGAAACAAGCCCAGGTGATTAATCCGAGCAAGCTTCTTATTGGACACGACATGAGGGGTCGTCAGTAAATACAATAAGCCTTTATTGTATTGGAATCACCGTAACTCTCATAACCACATGGTATTCGTAGGTAAACATCTCTTGTAAAAGCCGTTCACGTGATCCAATGCAATTCCATCATAATTAACCAAAATTGCCTGATAGGCAAAAGGAAAAATAAAAAAAATCAATTTTGTGGCACTTCGCTGTTTCCTTCCAAATAAAATTCTTAGGTCAACAATATATATATAACCAGCCCGATCTGCCTTAATCAACACTATAATTAAGCTATATCCACTATACTTACCATCCAGATGTCATTCAGTAGTCGAGGTACGCCCATTGGTGACTTCCGCGAGTCATCATCCTACAAATCATCTTCACTTGCTATACCGCGACCCGTTCCAAATGCAAGCAACACAGATGAACCACAGCAACCACCACCTCTGTCATTTGACTCACCACGTAAATTCTCAATCAATGAAGCATTGAACTCCAATCCATTTGACTTTGGAGGAAGAAGCTATGTCAGTATGAGCCATAGATCTCCATATCTTCAAAACAGCCCGTTTGTGAACACCGGTGATGATGTGCATGAACAAAGTGCCAATTTGGCTAATATAGCCGTGCTTGGAAATAGCGACGATGATGAAAATGCATTGGATATAGAAGAAGAGTATATCCCTCATTCTACAAGCAAACCCACGCCAATCGGGAAACAATTTCAGCAACCGTCCAGTTCAAGTATACTATCGTCAGAATCTATGCCTTTGATAACCACCACATCGAAATACACAGATGAACCTTCTCCACCAGATCTTGAAATGCATCCAAATATACTTGATAAACTTCACCATTCCGAGAAACCACCAGTGCCAAGCAAACTCCATCAATACTTGGTAAAACCAGCGGGATTCATTCCAGCCGTGTTTCTCGGAACATTGCTTAACATCTTGGACGGTCTCTCCTATGGGATGATCATGTTCCCCATTGGTGAAGCCATCTTTTCTCATTTGGCACCTACTGGGTTATCCATGTTTTACATGTCATGTATCGTGTCCCAATTAATTTATTCACTTGGTGGATCAGCATTCAAGACAGGGATAGGTTCGGAAATGATTGAAGTCACCCCGTTCTTCCACACAATGGCACTTAGCATCGCCAGTGAAATGAAAGGAGAATCAGACGAGGCAATCATTGCTACTACAATAACCACCTACGCCATCAGCTCATTAGTCACAGGGGCAGTATTTTATCTTTTGGGAAAATGTAATTTGGGTGCACTCGTTGGATTTTTCCCCCGGCATATATTGGTGGGGTGTATTGGAGGTGTCGGATACTTCTTAGTGGTAACTGGAATAGAAGTATCTTCCAGATTAGAAGGAGGATTACAATATAACTGGGAGACATTTGAATTTTTGTTTCAGACTTCCTTGCTTCAATGGGTCACACCATTACTCCTTGCGGTATTACTAATACTACTTCAACATAAATATCACAACACCATGCTTGTACCAGCATACTTCATATTAGTGTTCATAATCTTCCATCTTGTCGTGCTTATTGTTCCATCATGGAATTTGGGCATAGCTAGAGATAACGGATGGGTGTTCCATTTAGTTGAGGGTCACGAACCATGGTATCAGTTTTACACCCTTTATAAATTCCCCATAGTTGACTGGTATTGCATTATCCGCCAAATACCCACCATGCTTGCCCTTACATTCTTTGGAATCCTTCACGTGCCTATCAACGTCCCTGCTTTAGCTGTAACTGTGGGCATGGATACTGTTGATGTCAATCGTGAATTGGTCGCGCATGGGTATTCCAATTTCATTTCAGGTTTAGTAGGATCAATCCAGAATTACTTGGTTTATACTAATTCCGTATTATTTATTCGTGCCGGTGCCGGTACCGAAGATAGACTTGCAGGTGTTATGCTCGCCATTGCCACCATAGGAGTGATGGTTACTGGTCCCGTAGTGATTGGTTATATCCCCGTGTGCGTTGTCGGTGCATTGATTTTCTTATTGGGATATGAATTATTAAAGGAAGCAGTGTATGATACCTATGGAAGACTTCGTGTTATTGAGTACACAACGATTCTTATCATTGTCATAACCATGGGTGCAGTTGATTTCGTCGCTGGTATCCTTGTTGGTATTCTACTCGCTTGTCTTCTGTTTGTCGTTGAAGCAGGTAGGTCACCAGTGGTGTCGAGTGTCCATTCAGGAATTGTGGCTAGATCGACGGTTTTGAGACACCCCAAGCAACAAGAATTCTTGAAGGATGTCGGTAATCAAATCTGTATTGTCAAACTTCAAGGATCAATCTTTTTCGGATCTATTGGTGGGGTTGAGACGGTGATTAGAACGAAATTCACGGCTGATCAATTCCTGAATAATCCATTAAAGTATCTTATTCTAGATATGAAGGATGTTCTTTCCATAGATTTCAGTGCCGCGGAAGGATTCAGAAGGGTGTTGAACCTAGTTGACCAATTTGGAACCAGATTGATTATTAGTTCGGTTGAAGAGGATGGTGATATGGTTAGAGGATTGCGCGATGCTGGGTTGTTTGATGGCGAGGCCGTGGTTTTGTTTAGTTCATTGAATAATGCCTTGGAATGGTGTGAAAATTGTTTCTTGAAAACATATAGGCGAATCAAGACTAGTGCCAGTGCTGTACCGGCAGCATCATCACCCACCTGTACTTCTGCCGCTACTAGCAGGCTCATTCCATATAAACCAAATGTACCAAAGTATATTGTCGGAACACCAAGGACAACACAAGTTTATCAAGCAGCTACAAAGACATTAAGTGAATATGATCCTAATAACAAATTAGCATTTAAAAAACAACAGCCACTTACATTGTTGATGATTACATTCCATTTGTTATCGGAAAAACCCGAGGAATTCTGGGCTCCACTTGCATCATGTTTCGTTAAGGAAACCATTCCCAAAGATTATGCATTCTACGATACATCTACTTCCCTGCCCCAGTTTTTCCTTGTTGAAAGCGGATTAATTCGTTCGGTGATTATGTTTGAAAATGAAGGTAGGAGCTTACACAGTAGTATATTGCCCCTTGTTGCATTTGGAGATATGACTGATGTGAAAAAGTTTAGACGGTGCGTTTATACGACCGTATCTGATTCCGTGGTGTGGAGATTAGATATGTCCAAGTTGCCATCGGTTGATCAAGATATTCTAAACGAGTTACTCAGAATTGAAGGGATGTTGGTGAGAGAAAGATTCGATAGCATGACTGCAAATTTGCTTATATCGGGGTAGCATACACAAATATATATATATATAGACGATATAGTAAATAAGTTAAAAGTTCTAGCCAAGAAGATGTTCCGAGGTTATTCCGTAGTTCGCAATTGTGTGGATTACGCGTTATCTAATGTGCGCAATGGATGACACAATTAGGCAAATCCTGCATACAACCCGTAAGCAACAACTGCGGTTTCATCTTGGACTCCTCCTCAATGATAGACAACTCAAACAAGAATAAACGAAAGGCAAATTTAACATTCTCCACCTAATTTATTTGCTTTTCTATAGAATCAGTTAATTTACTATGGTTTCATTCAAACATCTTGCATTACTTACACTCGTTGGCTCCGCTAATTGTTTATCCGTCCATGCCACCACTGGTTACTTCAACCAAGCCGCGCAACTCTTCAAATCCAACCCTGATCAATCAGTCCTCAATCTCCCACCACCACATCACGACACTGAGCCTATTCCAGGTGACTCACCCTTGGAAAAGTGCGACATTACCGAAGTGCAATTGTTGACTCTTGAAGAAATAAACTTGCTTCCTAATCCACCTAAAGCTGGCGCTAACTTGACTTTCACCGCTACTGGATTTGTCGGCAAGACCATCGAACCAGGGGCATATGTTGATGTGGATGTGCGTTATGGATTCATTAAGTTGATTCATCAAACTTTTGACTTGTGTGACGAAGTCGAAAAGGTGGACTTACAATGTCCTATCAACAAGGGCAACCAAGTCATTAGCAAGATTGTTGCAATCCCAGAAGAAGTTCCTCCAGGAAGATACTTTGTTACTGCTAGAGCTTATACTAAGGATGACGAGTATATTACTTGTTTGAGTGCAGTTATCGACTTCCCTGTCGTTAGAAACTAATCTGCTAGGGGTGCTTATAGAAGGAGCGGGGGGTTTCGCTTGCCAGAGCATTTGCTAATTGCTAATAGCTAATACTACAACTATCTAGATTTCTCTATTTGAAATGGTTTCCCATTGATTTTGTGTTTTCTCTTTTAATAAATGCATGTTTTACTATTCTCTTCTCTCTATACACTCTGGGGAAAAATTTGATTTGGGTTTTTCGAAGTAGCCAATAAGCCTCTTCTTCAACAACAACTGCAAAAGATGATCGAATTTGAACAGTACTTTTCAATTCAGATCTTCTTTATCATCTTGAGAGAGACATTGGAGACCGCTATCATCATCTCGGTTCTCTTGTCGTTCATAAACCAACGTTCCCACAAACAACCAGAACTCACCGAGGACTCATCGCCCGAACAGCATGCTGCCCATACCCATTTGCAAAAAGTGCAACGCAAGTTGAAACTCCAAGTATGGATCGGTGCTATTCTTGGACTAGTCGTTTGTTTCATCATTGGGTTAATTTTCATTATTAGTTTCTACTTTATCGGTAAGGACTACTGGTCATATACCGAACGAGTATGGGAAGGTGTATTTTCCCTCTTGTCTAGTATAATTATTACCATCATGGGGATTAGTTTACTCCGGATTAACAAAGTCATGAAGATCAAGTGGTGGATCAAATTAGGTGATGCATACAATAATGATATCAGTGAAGAAGGCGAAGAGGAGATTGCCAAGTTGGGTGATGACGATATTGAAGAAGATAGCATAGCTGAAAACGTCAATTATGGAGGAACTAGATCAAGCACAGAATCCGAAGAGGTTCCATTAACAGGTACCAGCAGAGCCTTAGAACAGGCTAGCACCAGATCCCACACCCACAGACAATCATTCACAAAACGTTACTTTCTTGCCATACTTCCATTAGTCACCACGCTTCGTGAAGGTCTTGAAGCCGTGGTTTTCGTAGGGGGAATCGGTATGTCGCAACCACCAACATCTCTTCCACTTGCCATCATATCGGGAATCACACTCGGTCTGATCATCGGGTACACTCTCTATCGAGGCGGGAACAAACTCTCCCTTCAATATTTCCTTATCTTCCTGACATGCTTCCTTTACACCGTGTCGGCCGGATTAATGTCACGAGGCGTCTGGTTCTTGGAATTGGAAAAGTATGTACGTGCTTGTGGTGGATTGGACGTTAGTGAAACTGGAAGTGGTCCTGGTAGTTATGATGTCGCCACTAGTGTATGGCATGTCAATTGTTGTAATGGGTTGAAAGACGGGTGGTGGATGGTGGCTAATGCTCTTGTTGGTTGGACTAATTCTGCCACCTACGGTAGTGTCATTAGCTATTGCTTGTATTGGTTGTTTGTTATTGTATGGTTGGAAGTCAAGTTGTATGAAGAAAGACACGGTGTTGTTCCTCTTGTTCCTGTCAAATGGCAGATCAAGAGAATCAAGAAGAAGATTAGACTATATGAAATGAGAAACCAACAAGAACAGCAGCACGAGCATGAACTTGAGAGCCAACCAAATAACAACGGAGGTGGAAATGGAGATGGAGATGAAGCCGAAGCTTTGTTAGGTTCATCGTAAAATAGTTTATAAAATTACGTATTTATTCCAAAAGTTTACATAAATCTAATTAATCTTCGTTATTTTGACGTTCTTCGTGATTTTGACTTTGTTCTTCATGTGCTTCTTCAACCGGTTCATCCTTCACAATCTGTGATTTGTGTTGAGCAAAGTATCTAGGCTCATCAAACACATGGTATCTATGTCCTCTAACCCCTTCACCTCTAAACATGCGAGGCATTCTTAAGTTTTCATCAACTTGCTCCTCGTTGATGTAATTATTACCATAGTAGAACCCGAGATCATCATCTCGCTTCTCTTCATCAGTCATCAACTTAAACTTAGCAACTTGCAATTCGGTATCGGTGATTGTACTTCTGGAAATTCTCGCATAGGCCACTTTTTTAACCCCTCTAAACAAAATGTACTCACACCATCTGTCCCAATCGGTATTATCGATATCATACATCCGACTTTGTTCACTGACATACGTATTGTAATTGCCCTTGAGCGGCTCAGTTACCAAATAACTCAACAACACCAATGGCCGGGTGGAATTGCCCATTAATTCAGTGACTCCCTGAGTCTGCAATCTTCTATCCTCTACGTCTTCTTCTTGTCCCAGATGGAACACAATGACATCAACCAATTCACCATATATGTCCAAAGTGGCAAAAATGGCAGGTGCCAATTCACCCACAGGAGAAGGCATCAAATGGTGTCTGCTTTCAATAATAGGGAACTTTGACAAAAGGGCAGCTCCCCAAGTATGCTTGTTGGGTCCAGGACCATAATCGACATACATTCCCAAATCCTCAGCAATCTTCTGGGTGAAATCCCGATTTCCACCAATAAGTCTCTGGGTGTCACTTTCAAGAAGTCCAATAATGTCGAGCTCGGCATCACGAATCAAATCTCTCATTCTAGTTTCCAGCGACCACATGTCGTTATCTAACCCGAAATGAACACACCAGATCCCTGCATTGAAGCTCTGGGCATCGGCATGGTATGGAACAGGTGCCGAGGTAGGATATCTCTTGATAAATGCAGCAAGAACAATTGCAGTGCACACTGTTAAAATTGTGGCTGTTTGTTTCAAGAAAGTACCGCTGATAAACGTAGTCTTGATAATTGTGCCCTTGCGTAAATTGAAATTGGCCACACCAGCTAAAATCAGGACAAACGAGCTAAACAAGATAATATCAGTACGTTCACGTAACAACGGACCTCCAGGAACAAAGGCATAGGCGACAATCCACACACTTCCCAATGAGATTATTATATCCACGAAAAACGCAAGGAAAAACGCGCCAGCAATATTATACCCTACAATGCCTTGCCAGATTATAGGTCCTATTGAGACCAAGTAGAATGAATACACAAGCGATCCAGCATACCCCAACCACCCTTCAAACAAATACAATACAACGGCACTACCCCCTCCGACAACTAAGTTGTAGCCTAATCCGCTAAATACATTAGGGTGATACTTAGCCGTGATGAATAAGGCAATTATAATTGTGGCAAATTGTAAAGGTCCACCTGTGATTGGGGTAGGTCCAGTAATGGGGAACCCATTCCAACTCCATGTAGCCAATGTCCCTGAATCAGAAAGATATGATTGAATAGCAAAGAAATACCCACCAAATCCTAATGAAGCAAGGAGAATAGATCCACCGGTTCTAGCCACTGGTTTCTTCTTTTCGCTGTCCTCAGTTTTAAACGAGGGTCCAGGAGTAAAGAAAGCCGCGAGCAAGCCTAGGAAGAGTCCAATGTTGTTATACCCGCCATTCTCATTATGCATGATTGGCCAGATTGGATTATTTGAAAAATTCAAGTATTTGGAAATGGAAGTGGCTAATAATCCTAATAAAACAGTAATAATATAAGAATGCAATTTCTTAGGTTGATCAGCCAAGATACCTAGTTCAATAATAAGCGAAATTACCGCGAATGATGTCCCTGCAGTAATCACCAATAATCTTTGTTCAGGATCAGGGACTTTAAATGCACCCACGCCTAAAACAACCGTCAAAACACGAGTGATATATGTAAACTTTGTAAAAAAACGTCTAACAAATGGTAAAATCAATAACAATGGTGATAAAAAGTAACAAGTAATAACAGCTTCATAACCTGAGAGTCCCATGTGCCATAATGGGAAATACCAGACACATAAAAAGATCGAGGTCGAGACTGACCAAAAAACAAACGAATTCCCAAGATTAGCCAAGAGTTCAAAAACAGTAAACTCATCGCCAATCGACTTGGTTTTGACTACTGGCTTTTCAATAGGCTTTTTTTTTGCTGGGGTAACAATTCCACACCCAGACCACTAAGAACAATGTCGACTTTGCTGAAGTCAATTGCCGACCATGAGTCAAAGAGAATATCCAAAAAGATTAGCCCCCATTCAAAGTACGCGTAGACTGAATATGCGCCAGCAACAATATGGACCTTGTGTTGGATAAACCAGTAAATCAAGGGAACAATAGTCAGGAAGAATGCCGTGGCGCTGTAGAATCTGGCTTTACGTTGGAAGGAGTTGCGTTCCGACAATAAAGTGATGCATACGGTCCAGGGAATAGTCAACACCATGTAACTAATCATAAACACGTCATGGGCATCATGATCATCGGTGGATGTAATATACATCCATCCACCAGCAGTGAATGTTCTCAAGGTCCCACTAAGTAAACCCACATAAGGCAAATAAGAATTCTGTTTGAAAAGACAAAGGAAATTGAAAAACAACAATAAGAATCTTGGTCCGGCTGTCAATGCAATCAAGATTTGGAAAATTGACCGTTCTGGATATCGATCACCAATAGTTGCAGAAACACTAGGGAACCATTCATCGGGGTATCCATACGAGGCATTCTGGACAATTTTGTAGTAATGCAAGTAACAGCCTACACCAACCGCCACGACAAATGCGGAATAGGCGAATGTAGTGTGTAAATAGGAGATAATGCTGGCATTGAATCGGAATATTTCCGACTTTTCATTGGCAACCGACACCGGTTGATTTTGTTCTGTGTCCGACATGATCCATCAATTGATGTCAATAGGTTTTTGTAGTTGACAATTGACTGGTAAAAAAAAATCAAACTTCAAAAGTTCCTAACCGCTAATGAAAACTAAACAAATCAAACAGCAGGAGATGGTAAAGTTTTAAATGGTTAAGGAGGTGGGGAGGAGGTTGGAGGGGCATTTTTGTTGTTTGGTTTGGGCTTTCCCAAATGGGAAATAAAACAAATCATGTGATGGGTGTCACATGATTGTGAATATGTCATGTGCCGTACATCACATGATCAGATTCAGTCCAGTAAAAATTCTTCTTTTAATAAGTGAAAAAAAACTTCATTATGATAAGTTGGACTTGGACCTGGACCAGATCAATTCAAGATATACAAAGATAGCAAGTCAGGATGGGTATGTTAGAGATGGAACTGACGTATGATTAGAATGATTACTAACAATTTTGTTCAGCTCGTTTAGACAATTATGATAACCACAAGAGACCTGAGTTAGTCTCATTCGATGATATCGATTACGACAACTTCCCCGATGTTGTCAAGGCCAGAAAATCAATGATGAGGGAAAACATGATCAGAACCGAAGAATTAAAAATAGCACATGAAGCTTTACGTAAATGCGCCGATTATCATAAACAAGATGGTGACAGAAACTGTAGAGCTTTGGCGTTGAAATATATGAAGATGCTTGATGATTTCAGACCTCAAGGTTACTTGGGCTACCAAAGAAACGATCCTTCCAAGTAAGTTGTTGGCGGTGGTACTATTTCCATATAATTTATCACACTCAACCATTGTGCTCATACAGAGATAACATTGCCATATTTAAAATTGCATCTTTTGGGAAAAGCAACATATATATCACGGAAAGCTCTCCTTTTACAAACGTGTTTTATTTTACAAACATATGTTACTTTCTCCCTGAATCCACCACTTTACCCCCCCCTTGGTTGTTATGCCGAAACACACATAATGACTCTCACACCAAAAACCTTTCTTTCTAGTCATGTTAGTTTATTATAATACATCAATTACCGTTAACATCCGATTGTATCTCAAATCCCCACGTATTCGTTCAGTGTATACATAAGATATATACAGTAGGTGTTCAACTTATAAACAAGGGGTTCACGTGACAGGGTCGTGCACCTTGTCGCAAAATCTTCTGCCCAATGAAAGTTTGTCGTTCGGGTGGTCGCTGCAAAAGCACAACGCCGACATTGGCAACAATTGTGCACAGGCGCACGACCAGCCAAAAATGTCCAACCAACCAACAGGGAATCCAACCACCACTTTGGAAAAAAAAACTTCAAAGCAACAGCAGCTAGTTCGACCTTGCTAATTGTATACAACCACTTAGAGAAAATGTTTCGTTTAGGTGCTCGTCAAGTTGCCCGTTCTACCGGTGCTAGGTATGTACATAACCAACGACGAAAGAGGAGGCTAATTTTGAGTGCTGAATGTGCAATGTGGATTCACCACTGAAATATTTTACGCATTGAAGAACGTGAGAGAGATTGAGTGTAGATATCTTGGAATTGCACCGCTAGTGAAACACCGGAATTGATTGAGAAGGAAAGGAAAGAAAAGAAGAGAGTTGGATCTGTTTCAATATACCTTAATTGGAGCACTATTCACAATTTTTTACTATGGGTACCATTTTGCAACACATTTAGGCTAATTCACAACAACAGTCGTACTAACACACTTTAGAAACTATGCCACTTTACGTGAAATTGAAATGCGTCTTAAGTCCATTAAGAACATTGAAAAGATCACCAACACCATGAAGGTTGTTGCTTCCACCAGATTAAACAAGGCCCAAAGAGCCATGACCGCTTCTCGTGTGTTCCACAAGTCTGAAGCTGAATTCTTGGAAAACACCGAACCAGAAAAGAACGCAGAAGAAAAGACCTTACTTGTTGTTGTCTCCTCCGATAAGGGTTTGTGTGGTTCCATCCATTCCCAAATCTCCAAGTACGCCAGAAAGAGAATTGCCGAATTAAACGGTAATGCTGACGTTGTTGCCATTGGTGACAAGGTTAGACAACAATTAACCAGAACCCACGCCGACAGTGTCAAGTTGGCCTTCAACGGTATCGGTAAGGAAGCTCCTAACTTTTACGAAGTTGCTTTAATGGTTGACGAAATCAAGAAGTTGGGTGAATACGCCAACATTGAAGTCTTATACAACAAGTTCACCTCCGGTGTTTCTTTCGAACCATCCACCTTCAACGCCTACACTGCTGCTGCCATTGAAGCCGCTCAAGGTTTAAGCAAGTACGACTTGGAATCTGAAGACATTTCCTCCACCGCTTCCGAATTCGGATTGGCCAACTCATTATTATCCGCCATGGCTGAAGGTTACGCCTCTGAAATCTCCGCCAGAAGAAACGCTATGGATAACGCTTCTAAGAACGCTGGTGATATGATCAACAAGTACACCATCTTGTATAACAGATCCAGACAAGCTGTCATTACCAACGAATTGGTTGATATTATTACCGGTGCTTCTTCCTTGGATTAAGCGTTTTTATATACAACATTATATATATATTAAAAGAGGTTTCTCTCAATACAAATCATACATCGTGCCTATGTCTTTTCCTTTTTGTTTTATTGTTTTTTGATTTATTTTTTTACCTATGTAGATCTTCTATATATGTTTAGTCTACTTTAATAGCCCCGTATACTCTTTTTACAAATGCCAACCCTGTTAATACACCTATACTCCCACAGGTCACACCCATAATCAAACATGCACAAGCCATGTACCCAAAGTACAACACCCCACTGACAAAATCACCCACATTCAACACTGTGAAATAATAGTATATCGAGTACGCGAAAACGTACCATCCGATACTACTCCCCACTTGGAAACTAAGCCAGGTCCAGTTGGAATCCTGGTAAATCATAAGCAGGATGTAATGCGCTATGATTGTCGATTCCACGATTATGATGATTAGCATGATGATGGTGACGAGAAGGAAGCCGTACATGTAGTAAAAAGTCGTCTTTTCCAACCACACCGATTGGAAAATGAACAGAAGTTCAACAAACACAATGCCAAAGGGGATAAGACCGTAGGTTAATGTGCGCGTTATGTATGCTGGTATCCAAGAAAATGCAGGCAGCACAGTATGGATCTTTTCCGGCGATACAGGTCTGTCCAAGGGTGTGGTTGAAAGGGAGGAGTTTTTGGAAGTGTTGAATTTGCGCTTGTTTCCGTATATGGCCCCTATTATGCCAAGTGGACATTGAATGAGGGTAAATAACAATATGAGGATCATGATTGTTCCGAAGGGAAGTGCCGTGGAGGATTCTTTGGCCCAGACGAAGAAGTTCAATAGGAGAACAACAATAAATATGAACATAGGCAACATGCCGCTGAAAAGGAGGGATAGTTTGATTGTTCTTCCTCGAGGATACTGTTGGTTCAAGGGATCACCGTTGAACACCTTATACAAGATTATCCCCGAGTATGAGGATACCAATGCCGAACCAATAAAACAGAATATCATAAGCGAGAAAGTTTGACCGCGGTGATTGGTGAATATGGTGAATCTGGTCCCACCAAAGGAATCAAACACGAATATAGAGACTACACCAACACTAGCAATCAACATTTGAATACCACCAGATACTAATACCGTCAACAAGAGTGTAGCTGGAGGAACACGATGAACGTCATCGAACAAACGCCTCCAGGTACTATCCGGGGCACTAGTGTCAAATTCGTGCATTGGCAATGGTGATTTAGTACCCGCGGGCGGGATATCCTTTTTCAAAACCTTGACTAAGACAATCATGACAATCAATGAGCCTAAAAAGATCAAGATGATGGAATTGATAAAGGAGATCCAATGGATGTGCACGTGTGCTCCATTAGTTTCATTTTCATAGTACAAATCCCAACGGGAATCGTAATCCACCGAGTTGTCTTCTCTCCAGTATACTGCGTAAGTATATGGAATAAGGGTCTTTTGGTGAATCAAGTTGCCATCCTTGTCTGCACTATACTTTATGGCAAAGTTTTTGTAATTCTTGGACGAACCAGGACATTGTTCATTCAGGACACTTTTGGGATACACTTCAAAACCGACAATAGTATATTTACCGTTTGTCTCACGATGATACCTTATAACCAACATGAAGTGATTATAGATATAACTGACATCGTCCTTGACAAACCCCAAGGGGAACCCTGCGGCATAGTATTTCCTGTTTCGGTTTGAGCTTTCAAAAGTAGTAGCACCAGGCAACCCGTCAATCAACCACTGGACGACATACCCACTCTTGATCAACACATCGGCCCGCTTAAGTCCCGTTTCGCTGGTCCGCAAATCGCAAAGACGACTACAGGGGGCATCGATTCCGAACTTCAAGTCGTACGAACTCAGCCAGATGCGATCGCCTCGTAGTATTTCCCCAAGGGACAAGTGCACTGGGTGGGCATCGCCCATGGGTGGACAGACAAACGGGAGGGAGTAGTAACTGTATGGAAGTTGTGTTGAATCTGATTCGACTTTATTGACTAGTAAGTCGACTTTATCACCGGGTTTGTAGTAGTTGGGCAGGAAAGATACGTCAAAGGCATGGCCGTAGATGAATCCTGGTAGCAATAGTAGACATAGTAGCCACATCATCATGATGTAGTTTTATAGATTAATGATTATATGTTTATGCAAACTGATTTTCTGTGGATGCAACACCTTGATTACTCTGGGAGGGAGAGGGATGTATCACTTTGAACGGGTGTACTGCAATGTAAACAAAGAAATGAATGTGGTGGTGAAAATTGGGTTTAAAAAAAAATGGAACCATGCGGCCTTATGATCCCCCAACGCGCCAAAAATAGCACAGACCTTACACCGTCACATCTATAACGGTTACATAAAAATCTCTATTAACATACACATACTCTATTCCTTCAACGACTCCATGGCTTCTCGGATCAAGTAGTTCCCCTTGGGATCCAAGTTTAGTGCTATGGTAAACTCTTTGATTGCCAGAAACTTGTCATTCTGGATCTTGTACAATTGTCCAAGCAAGAAATGCACGCTTGCTTCATCAGGTGCCAACTCTTTCAAGATCTCAAAACTCTTTAATGCAGCGGGGTACTGCTGCAAACTAAACAACAACTGTGCCTTCTTAAACAAGGGAAGCGGGTTCAACGGTTGTAGCTGATTGGCAAGCTCATACTGTCTCAATGCTAAGTTCTTCTTGTTGAGCTTTTCTAAAACCATCCCAACACAACATATGAGGATGATGTTGATGGGGTTTATTGACACCGCTTTCCGGAAATGATAGTCCGCCTTTTGATAATCACCTAAATTGATGTACACCATCCCAATACCATACAAGGCATTATAATGTCTAGGGTTTAATAACAAACTAACCCGGAAAGACTCCAACGCCATTTCATAATTGTCATTACCAAAATATTCATGCCCTTTCAAAGTGTACGCATATGCAAACTTGCTATCCAATTTGATCGCCTTATTGAAGCACTTGATGGCTTCATCAGGCTCATGGGTAAGGGAAAACAAGTTACCAATGGTACACCACGTTATTGGAGAATTGGCGTCCAAATCATGCAATTCGTTAGCCAAATATGTCAATTCGACTTTCTGATGGAGATGCCAGAGCAACGTCAGGAAATATTCCATATCTTGCAATCGAGTCCGATCTAATTTCCGCAACTTGCTGAAATAATATTCTGATTGCTTATAATTGACAATTTCATAATGTAACCTTCCAAGCTTGCTCAATACCCATGGAGTTTGTTTTTCGTTCTCATTCAACGACTCCAATAGTCTGATGGCTTTGTAACAGTCGTATTTCGTCATGCACTTGTAGCCCTTGGCGAGTATGGTGTAGAGACTGAGCAAGTACTTTTCACCCTTTTCGATTTCTTTAGATACCATGATTGACGAAGTGGAGCTGGACGAAGAAGTTGATGTTTGATGGTGGAGTCCTGACTCTAATGTAGCTGAATTGTTTCGTTTTAATGCTCGCACTGGTCGTTTCGCCGGTGCTGCAGCATGGTCAGGGTTGGAGCTGGTTGCTGGCTGCGATATCAATCTCGATGTGATTTTGGAATACGTACTGTCTCGTTTCTTGTCTGTGTCCACGGGGAAACTGGGTTTGGTGAATTCAAACGTGTCGTTGTGTGTGTTGTGATTACTGTTTAGATTTGACTTCCGCAACGGAGCATCAGGAACCAGAGGATGTTTAATACGTGGCGTGGAAAACGTATTCGAAAAAGAATCATCATGATGTATAACTTTTTTTGTATCTGATGCAAATGGGTTAGTTAGACTGGGGCCAACGGTACTCTCAATAAAACTATCATCGGTAAACACAACTTTGGAACCCATGGGTTTGTACATTGCCTTGACTCGGACATTGACTCCCAACTTGCACAACTCCTGAAACGCCTCAAAGTCAAACTGATTGTACTTTATAGCTTGGGTATAATTCAACGCACTGTTCTTGACATCATTAATTCCACGATACAAGTCTCCCAAAACATGGTAAATCAGGGATGTGTCTGGGTATATGCTTCTATTATTCTCATAATCAAACCGTTGACTAGACGTGCTGAAGTAGTTGCTGGCTGCCTTTTCATTGCTGTACATATAACTCACTTTCTGTAGTTGGTAGATCCCTTCTTTGAACTTGTCTAATTGTAAACAGCATTTTGCAAACAACCACAAACATCCCAAATGGTTCAACCCGGAAACGCCAGCCAACTTGTGATAGCACGACTTGTACTTGTTCTGTCGGTAGAGTGTCAAACAGTACAAGTATAATGAGTCCATATTGTTGTCGTCAATAGCTAGTAATCGCTCACAGGTGAATTCAGCATTGCCATAGTTGAAAGTGTCTAGCGAGTGGATGATTATGGAACGGAGATGTTGTTGGATGTATTGCTGGTTGGGCGTGGGTGTAGGTGTAGATATAGAGTCACTCGAAATGCCTACATTAGCATCAGGCTCTGCTGTCTGCATGGCTGACCACAGTTTTATTGTTGGTGTTGATGTTTGTGTAGTCTAATTTCAAAGTGTTGTGATTTTTACTTTGTGCGAACATAAACACCAACAAAGATCACTAGACTGCAACATCAACATAACACTATACAGACATAGTATAACTACAATAAAGCTAATTATTACATATATTAATACTATACATCTCAGTCGTTTTATTTTACCAAAAAAAGCAAATCGTCCTAGCAAACTATTTTACACTACTTCTTATTCTTAATCACAAAAGTATGGTTTCCCAGCATGTCACTGGAATACGCCAACAACTTCTCCTTCTTGCCGCTTCCTGGTCTCTTTATTGGAAGCGACAGTTTACTTCCATCTGTTGAAGTCACAACCGACTCTGGCGACTTATCCATATTTCCAAATCCCAAGGGGGACGTCGTCATCATGGGCCCATTCCCCAATGGTGGTGTAGAATTAGCTTGTGGCCCGCCGTGAACTGGCGTGTGTGGTTTAGACAGCGATATCACTCCACCAGCCAACATGTATGGGGAACTGAACCCGGTTCCACTGGTGGCACGAGGGGTAGTTGGTGTAGTCATTGATCGATTCATGTCCAGAGAATGCTTTTGTTGTCGCTTGATGGTGCCGGTAGTACCGTTAATACTACTGCTGGTGCTATCAACAGAATCCTCAAAATCATCATGAACTCGAATATACCCCTGTGCTCGTAACTCTTCATCCTTTAATTTGGTTTCTTCTCTCGCTTTAGCAAGCAATTCTTGGGCCTTGCCTAAACTGACTGTTGGTGTCAGACATGAACTAACAACAGGAACCGAGTCATCAATATCAATGGTGGCCGTCATCAACGCCTTCATCCAGCCACGCATCTCTTCTTCGGTATTCACAGCAAAATAATGTGTTTTAGGTTGTGTAAAAGTTAATCCCTTCTTGAACCCAGGTGCTGGGGGCACAACCTTGAAACAGTAACTACCAGCGAGGGTGGAACTGGCAATCAACGCTTTATACTTGTCTGAATCAGAATCAGTACTTATCGGCAACACTTTATGGGCCGTTATGTCAATTAACCCCTTCTCCTTATTATCCTTCAATGACGTAAAGTACGATAATCGCGTGCCATGAAGGGTGAAAAACCTCAGTCTCCAAGCAAGCGTATTACCACTACGTTTCGACATCCATCCACTGAAATTGGCAGTCTTGATTGCTTCCTCAGGGTTAATCTCACGAATTCCTTCCTGGAACGCACTGGTCTTCAGTTTCTTACTTGTGGTTAAGTTACGGAAATTTTGCGTAGAACTGCTTCTAAAACTCTTAAGACGGGACGTGCTAGGCATGGCATTCGATAATGAAGTCGGGTCTGATTTTGGTTCGTCGCTGGAATCAGTATTGTTGCCGTTATTGCTAAACAAATCCTTGGTTTTGATTCGAGGAAGTACCTTTTTACGTTTAGGTGAAAGCGAAGCGTCATCTATATCCACTGGTGATGATGATGATTTATCAGTGGCATCAGTACCGGCGGTGCCGGCAGTGCCTCCAGTGGCAGGAGTAGCTGCTCGCTTATCTTCAACATTCAATGGAGGAATATTGGCAAGGTCATCCTTCTTCTTGCCAACGTCATCACTAGATAAAAATGAAAACAAACTCGAATGCCTCTTGTGTGGCGATGTAGTTCTCTTTACCGAATCATTACGCTTGTGGTAGGCACTCCCACTGTCATACAATGACGAGCTAGGTCTTTCACTAGCAGCAGTTCTAGTCATATAGCTTCCCGAGGGTGATCGAAGATCCTCACTTCCTGCGCCAAATCTAAACGTGGAACCCATGGGCGAGTTGCCATTACTTGTAGGTGGTTCAGGGGCTTTCCTAGGAGACATAAAAGAGTCTGGCCTTGGGGTATAAGCCGGGGTAGGTGGTTTGGTGAGATCATCCAAGGATTGGGATTTTGACTTTTTGTGGCTTTTGAATGTTGTTTCCAGAGGTGATAACATGACTGATGGCATAAGTTGTTCTTGGTGTTGGTTTTGCTGTTGTTCAATGATCGGTTTAGGCTTGGCAAACTCATCTGCGCGTTCTTCGGTAATCAAGGTAGTGGCGGCCGATGGTGGTGAATAGAATGAATTGGTATCCTTATGCGTAGATGATGTCAGTTGGGAATTAGTTCTAGACTCCAACTTAGGCTTCTTGATTAACCCCTTCAATCGTTCAATTTCCTTATTGACTTCGAATCTGGTACCAAATGAATTGATATCCAATTCTTTCAAATGGGCCAATTCAAGTTGAAACAAAATGTCACCGGTAATTTTATGTTGCACAAACTTGTTGGAAATGTCACTGTCAAATCCTCTGCGCATGAAATGAACGGCAACCTCCTTGGGACTCCAAGATATAGCCTGGGATGGGTCAAGAATACCTACATCGTCATGGTTGCTTGTCGAAGTGCTAAATGTGATTGACTCCTTACTGAGGATGGTATTGTCAGGAGATGGATGGCCATCTTTAATTTCCTTCAAGGCCTTGTCTATTTCACTATTGAGGTTATTATGCGAGGTATTGGCATTCATCTTGGCATTTATGTTGAGTTTGTCAAAGGCATCAACCATGATTGGTTCGTGGTCGTCATGTTCAGCTATCGTAGGGGTGGTGTTTGCTCCGATTATTCCAAGGCCGGTTGGAGGTGGACCAGATGCGGCGGCAGCGGCGGTTGCAGTACTAGCACCGACATGTCTGCTACGACTTCTACTCCTCAACAACTCGCCTTCGGATTCTTCTGGAACTAGCAATTGTGTGAATGAGTTGGGATACAAACCGACTTCGTTGGTCAACAAGTTTTTACCCATATACCACCCGTCATTGTACTCGCTGTCATCGGCAATGACTTCGACTTTATCGCCCACTTTTAGGGATAATTCGTCGCCTAGACGGGCATTGAATTGTTTTATACAAATGTAGATGGCGCCAGTCATGGTGCTAATGTATGATTATGTTGGGTGGGGGGAAGGGGACAAGGAGGATGGGAGGATGGATATGGAAGGTAGTTGGTATATAGGTTATGGAAATTCTAAGATGCGCGTGGCGTTGCTTACGTGTCTTTCCAGTTCAGTGAGGTGTTGTTTCCTTTAGAGGGCAGTTTTCGTCTGGATTGTGTCTGTGTTGGTATACAGCGGGGAAATATATTTGTATTAGAGTTTCCTAGATGTGAAACTTTTGGTAAAGGCTATAGTTGCTGTTTTTTGTAGTGTGGTATGGGTCAGTTGTTATTTCTTTAGGTTGAGTGTACCAGCATTTGTTTTTATTAATCGTGAGCAAGGAAAAAAAAAAAAAAAGTAACGAAACAAAAAAAAAAAAAAAACAACAAAAAAAAAAATTAATTAAAAATTCATTAGTAAAAAAAAAAAAAGAAACGATTAAAAATTTTTTTTAATTTTTGTGTAACAAAGTGCAATGGGTTACACAGCGATCGTGCGGCAGGTCACTTCCCAGTTAACTTACCCGAATAGGGTTTTAGGTGCAGTTGGGAAGTTATTCTAGACCGTACATTTGTAGGTCACCTGTAAACCATCTCTATTGTTCAGCATAAATACGCCGCGGAGGTCTAAATAGCACTAGCATCACCTTGTGATTTCTCATACTCTCGTGAAACCGAGGCACCACCCAGTTGCAAATACAACCGTGGGGCTGATTTTGACGAGACGACTTCGTTAGCTGCGTCGGTTCCCACGGACAAGGAAATTTTCCAAGGCTCATGAACAATGTTCCCTCCCCCCCTCTCCCTCCATCCCCCCCCGAACTATAACAACAATGCTTGTTCTTTCTTTTCACTCTATTGGGCAATTTAATTCGAGGGGGTGACATGCACCGAAATATTCCCCCTAATCCCAATGCAAGGAGTACAATTAATTGTGAGTGTTACCTACATCAAAGAATCTTTGACTAATCTCGATTAAACTTTTTCTGTTTTTTTTTATTTTTTTTATATATATTTATATATACATATTTGGTACTTCTGGCCTTGATTGGATAAGCTCCAACACGCGCTACCACGTTGTAACCAGGTGTATACAGGTCTCTCACCACATGACAATTGTGATCACTACTGAATACATGCGAGTGATTTGGATATTATGTGGCGATGTGCGGTTGGTGACTTGATTTCTTGCATTGTCGAAAACCTTAACGGGAGGTTTAACCTTCGCTAAAGTTCACGTGCAATCACGGTAAACCATTAGTAGACTGTTTACTGGTCAACGTACACATCTAATCTGCTACTTCTTTGTAATGGGGGTGGGGTAGTTAGTCTTAAACTGTCAACTGGCTGACTCCCAGTGTCTCTCCTTGTAAGTTCATTGTCGCAATCCGGGGCACGCCCTAGTTAATTTCCGTGATTCCGCGACATCACTTTCCAACTGTCGCGACACACACTCTCACACACACACCCTCATTTGCGTTGCGCCTTTGTGGCTCATACTAAAATGAGTTAAGGAAATTCTTACCCATCTGGCTGTTTTACTGGTTAAGTAATTATTCTTATAATTATTTACTAGTTATTTGATTCGATCATAGTACACGACTGCTGGTTATCCCATTCACTAACCTTGTTATTCACTTTGTTGCCGCCTCCAAAATTTCATTGCCATTGCAAAGGTCACTCCTTAAATCACTCCCCACATTATAAATGCAACCATGCCTCCTCCACCAACCCCGAATATAACCAACGATACACCAGACGAACCTCCACCGGAACTAACCATGTCCGAGTTCCCACCACAGCCACCACTACCACCCCCACCTTCACAATACCCACCAAGTAGAATACTGGCCATGCGTCATTTAGCAAGAACAAATCCCACCGCCTCGTCTAACCCAAGACTATTGACGTATATAGATCACACACAACGGTTCGCCAATGCATCCGAAGGAATCCAGCCTAGCGAAGGGACGTCTGCTGGTTCTACATTAACAGGTTCCACACCTGCTGACGATCCTGCAGGCACAGCCGACTTGAATAATGGCTTGAATAGCATAAATGTCATTTCCGACTATTTGTACCGGAACTTGCCACCCACTTCGTCTTCTGCCGATGATGCCAACTTTCGCTCACGAATCCTCCATCATTTTTCCGACATCCATCGACTTCAGAATCAAGTGCATGAATTGATGAACTCGGAAACGAATCGAAGAAACAATATGGAATCGAGTAATTTACCGGTGAATAATATACCACTCCAACTCCGAAACCTATCACGAGAACTCACTGATCCAAGCAATCGAGTGACGCGTGAAGCTAGTGCTGGCAACATTTCAGGAAATAGAGAAGCATATTATGTTGAGTCCACCGATGAGGACGACCAAAGCTTCCAATACAACGATGAAGAAGACGCCGAGTTGTTTTACTATTCCGATGACAACAACAACAACAATGAAGACGACGACGATGATGATGATGATGCCATGGACACATCAGAAGATTCGGGCGAAGATGCAAGCATACCTAGCGAAGAAGAAGTGGCATACTTGCGTTCCGACATTGAGCTGAATGAACGACTTCTATTATCTAGTGCTCGACAGAATCCTCTCAATGTCAATACCCTTATCCTCCCACCGTACCCATTGCCTACCACAACACCGAGCCATAATCGATATAGTCGGGCGCGAACTAGTTCACGACCATTACCTTGGCTAGCTCTGGTTCTGGGTATCCCCTTGAGACGACAGAATGCCATAAGAGGCGGAGTAGGAAGACATCATTATCGCAGGTATAATCCCCAAACGGAAACTAGTTCTACTCAACCTGAAATTGCAGAGGGTGAAGATAAATATCTCAAAGAACTTCTGGCACTCGGAGAAGACAACAATTCTCGATTGAAGAAATTATTGAGTTTGGAGGCTGAGGAATTACACAAGGATATCGTGGAAGTGTACAAAGCGATAAAGCTGATTTCTACTTTCCAAGGTGAATCGCCATTGTTTTTCAAAAACAATTACGAATACTCGAAGAAGTTCCGGATCTTGTTTTTTGCCAAATTGAATCGGGCTAAATTCCAATCTGATCAGCCCGGGTTACCCAACTTGGAATTCGCCATGGACTCATACTTGAAGAAACGAAGAAACAAACTGTTGTTTTTGAATGTCAAACCTACAATTGCTCCACCTCCAAAATCGAAATTGTTCAAGAAGCCACTCAAGAAAAAGAGAAGGATCCATAGGTACCAGGACACCAGTGTAAAGCGGCAAAAGATCGCAGCAGGACTGAAACCGCAGGAAACACATCTCCTATTCAACTCAAAACTATCGCTATCCAAACTGGAAAAGGAGACAATCTTGTCATGCTTGCCTAGCTCATACATGCAATCTGGATCCAGTTTTGCAATCTCAATGACACTGCAACCTACACCTTTACAACAGGGCAATTTGGTGTTTACAAATGTCACTGGTCCTGAACTCAACGGGGTGTTTAACTTTGAATCACTGAAACAGCCAGGGATGACGGATTTGCATTGCATGCTCTTGAAACTCCATTCATTTATAAAGTATTTCTGTGGATTCACAGACAATAGCTTACCCAGGAATAAGATACTTGTGCGAAAGTTGAATGTGCTTGATCGAATAAGTGTGGATCCGAAGATTAAGTATGTTTCTCAGTTGAAGTATCCCGAGGTCAATGTCCCGTTTCTGGGTCATTTAATCGATTTCAACAAATATGATTTGCGGTTTATGGAAAGTGGGCGGTTTGGCGCCCGGGAACGGTCGAATCGAGTCAGATTACAGCTTGGTGAATGGATGAAGATGCTGCCGTTTATCCAATTCAAGGAAAATTATTTTATTAGTTTTTTGCATGAATTAGAAGATAATCTTAAACACTTTAGGACCATCCGAGCCAAGAAGGAACAGAAGAGCGAAGCATTACATTTGACGAAACAGTTTAAGGCGAACTTGTTCCAATTGACCAAAGACTTTGGTTTTATCAACAGTCGCAACAATTCCCTGATTCCATTTTTGGATGAACAGCTGCTGAGAAAACAGGGCAAGTACCGCGATGGGTTTCTTGAAGATTGGGATAGAAGTTTGGCTCATAGGTTATGTGAAGTGATTACCAGTAATGATTCAAGCACGTTGTTGAATGTGCAATTAAACTATGTGTTGTTTGTGATTAAAGTCGACTTGTCGAAGTTGTTGGATGAATACATCTTGTTTATATTTGACCATGTTGATGTATCGCTGGAAGATCGTGTTGAGTATATCAACAAGTACAAGAATGTCTACAATTCCATCTTTCGCGATGAACACCAACGACAAATGAAAGAGCGAGATACAACACCGCCACCGGTAGCGACTTTGCTTGGATCGATTGACCGGAAAATGGGCCAGATTGAAGTTCATAATACTGTGCCTAACATGTACTACCGCGAACCTGGGGCCAAATATATGACGAATATAATAATGACGCGGCACTCGCCCGTGACGCTTACGGATTACGGAAGCAGGAACACGTACGTGTATGATGATTTCGAGGTATTTAATAGCGAAGAGCTGACATTGCCTGTTCCGGCGAACTCACGGTCGTTTAATACCAGACTGGGATATGTTGAGAATGACGACCTGATTGAAACCAAGTTGGTGGGAAGTAGCAAGTTTGTAAACAAGGGGAATCCTGTGTGTGGAATGGTATAGTATTTAGTCTGGTTTTGGTATATACTTTGTCTACAGCAAGTAAAACACGCATTAAGTAAACTCTTGAATAAATACATACGTGTATTGGTTATTTATATATATATACAGAAACATCGTATACTCCCGCTGGGGCCACGGCTAATCCCAAAATCCCCAGCCGTGTTTCCCCTGCAATCTGTCTTTTTTCTTCTTGGCAAAGAAATCCTTCTTGCACTCACGATAAGCGTCAAAGAACTCCTGACAGGCATACTTGTCATCCTGATTCCGCCATAAACAGTTCATACTGGCCATACGACTTTCTTCGCAAGGATCATAGAATTTGCTGGGCTCCTTCATGCTCCATTTGTATTTATGTCTATGCGATTCGGGGTTGTCAGGGTAGAATTTGAATTGGTCACCTTTGGTGAAGTTAATGGCGGACTTGTCTTTTTCTACGGTGTCATCGCTGAAGTCGTTGGCTATGGCTTGTTGACGTTTTAATGTTTTGTCTAGATTTTCTGGCGTAGAATCTGCAGGAGCAGATTTTGACTCCGTAGGAGCATGTGAAGGTTCTACCATGTATTAGATTAATAGGTATTGATTTGGTGAGCTATGTGAATTAGTGTATTGGTGGAGAGCAGCAGGAGATTTTGGTCGTGCGTGGGGGAAGACTGGGCCGGTATGTGGTAGCGCGCCGTTCAGTCCCCGAGCGTGAGCATGAGCGTGAACATGAGCATGGGTGTGAACATGAGCAGGAACGTGCACGCCGTCTGGTCACCGCCCTGGATCGACGCCGCGCTCTACCTCACAGACGTCTTTCAGCTACTGGCTCACGTCTCTGGGTGCTCCTGTTAGGTGGCAGCTACCACTTGCTCGTACAAATCAGAATTGGTAACCACACGCACATTCTTTTTCTTTTTTTTTTTTTTTTCCAGCGACTTCTCCAACTTACAATCGACTGACTCTCTCAATTACTGGACAACCTCTACCAATAACGTATTATCTACTAATATACAATGGTATTAGCAGATTTAGGAGCACGATTGAGAGGCGCGCTCTCTCTGGTCGAATCAGGATCAGATGACGAGATCCAGCAAATGATCAAAGACATTTGTGGAGCCTTACTTGAATCAGATGTCAATATCAAGTTAGTGGCCAAATTAAGAGACAACATCAGATCACAGATTGCCAGTTCCAATATCGCCCAGGAGGCATCACCCATGAACAAGAGAAAGAAATTGCAAAAAGTGATTTATGATGAATTGTGTGGATTGGTTGACTCCCATGTCGAACCACCAAAACCAAAGAAAATCAACGCCAGCACCAAAACAATCAAGGGGAAAAAAGTGAAGTTACTGAAGGAGTCCAGTCACGTCATCATGTTTGTTGGGCTACAAGGTGCCGGTAAAACCACTTCGTGTACTAAGCTTGCCGTATACTACAAAAAGCGAGGATTCACCGTGGGGTTAGTCTGTGCCGACACCTTCAGAGCCGGTGCGTTCGATCAATTGAAACAAAATGCCATCAAGGCCAACATTCCGTACTATGGTTCATACTTGGAACCTGATCCAGTCAAGATCGCATTTGAAGGTGTATCCAAATTCAAACAAGAGAAATTTGATATTATTATCGTCGATACCTCCGGTAGACACAGACAAGAACAGCAGTTGTTTACGGAAATGGTGCAAATTGGTGATGCCATCCAACCTACACAAACCATCATGGTTATGGACGGTAGCATCGGTCAAGCGGCCGAATCACAAGCTCGTGCGTTCAAGGAAAGTTCTAATTTCGGGTCGATTATCTTGACCAAGATGGACGGCCATGCCAAAGGTGGGGGTGCCATTTCTGCCGTGGCCGCCACCAAGACCCCCATTGTATTTATCGGTACTGGGGAACACATTGGTGATTTGGAAGTGTTTAAGCCAACCACTTTTATCTCCAAATTGTTGGGCATTGGCGACATTCAGTCATTGATTGAACATGTGCAATCGTTGAACTTGCAAAATGACGAAGGTCACAAACAAACGATTGAAAATATCAAAGAAGGGAAATTCACCCTTAAGGATTTCCAAACTCAAATGAACAATTTCTTGAAGATGGGCCCACTTACAAACATTGCCTCGATGATCCCGGGGTTGGGTAACATCATGTCACAAGTCGGCGAAGAAGAAACATCAAAGAAGATCAAGAACATGATATACATCATGGACTCCATGACCCAGAAGGAACTTGAATCTGATGGAAGGATATTCATTGACCAACCTAGTCGTATAATCCGTCTTGCCAAAGGGTCAGGGTGTTCTGCCATAGAAGTTGAAATGATTTTGCAACAGCATAGAATGATGTCCACCATGGCCAAATCAGCCATGGCCGCCCAAGGAGCCCCTGGTGCTGGTGGTGCACCAGGTATGAACCCACAAATGGCAAGAATGATGCAACAAGCACAATCCAATCCTAACTTCATGGAACAAGCCATGAAGATGATGGGTGGTGCCGGTGCCGGTGCCGGAGGTGCTGGAGGGCCAGGCGGATTAGCTGGAATGATGAATAACCCCCAAATGATGCAACAGGCACAAGAGATGATGAGACTGAACCCACAAATGATGCAACAAGCTCAACAGATGATGAAGAACCCCGGTATGATGCAAAGAATGATGCAACAGTTTGGTGGCATGGGTGGCATGGGGATGTAGGAATACATATAATTAGTTAGAATTTATCTACGAGTAATTCGAAACGTAACAAATATTAATTTTACACACAAATCTATCGGTAGAAGTCAGGCCTAGAAGTGTTCATTCCATATTCACTCAAGGCACTGCTTAAATCTTCCATAGTCAAGACAATTTTTCCTTGTTGGTTACCAGCGTTAGAATGAGAACCACCCAGTTGTTGAGCACCGCCGGCCGCTTGCTCGCCGCCTTCTGGTCCACCAGCAGCACCTCCAGCACCAGCCAAACTTTGTTGGTTGGCGTATTGCTGTCCTTGTAATAATTGTTTAGCTCTAACCTGCGGATTCAGAGAGTTGTACACCGCACTCGAGTTCCTTATTCTGCTGTATTCATAAGCGTCTTGGGCGATATCGCTAATGAACTTCTGAGTTGCTAACGCGAGCAACCTCTTGATTTTAACGTCTGATGTTTCAAACCCGTTCTTGGCCATATAGTAATCGGTGACTACATCAGGTATGATTGGAGCAAAGTCGTCATCCATCAAGTCCAATACTTCCTTGAGGGTTTTATCCTTACGTGTCAAGTTGGGGAGATCAGGAGCAGCCTGCAGAGCGGCGGCTGCTGCTGCCAGTGCTGCAGCTGAAAGTGATTGTTGACGTTGTTTCAGTTTTTCAGCTTTGGAAAGATGTGCCTGTTGTTGGTTAGGTTGTTGTTGTTGTTGATGCTGTTGGTTGACCTGCTGTTCCTGGTGTTGGTCGACATTATCAATTATAACGTCGTCAACATCGTTGAACTCTTCGTTGACTTCGTCTATCTGCATATTGTCGTTGCTCATACTGTAAAGTTTCTTCCTGTCGGTGGTGAGTTGCCATTTGCTTTGTTGATTTTTCTTCACTATAAAATTTACCCCAGTGCGAGCGACACTAAACGAAGAAGCATTCACTAGTCTACACCATACATATCAACAGTAACGTAACAATGGTGGTCACTAACCCTCATGACTCACCCACATTTGGCAACTCGCTCCTGTTGAAAGTAGACGGTGCCATCGGTGCCATGACACTCCTGCCCAATGGCCGTGATTGTGTTCTTGCCGGCCGGCGAGGCCTCTTCATCATCGACCTAGATGACCCCTTCACACCACCACGATGGCTACACCACATCACATCATGGGAAGTAGCAGACGTGCAATGGTCACCTCATCACACCCTAAAACCATCCTGGTGTATCCTGACATCCAACCAGAAGGCATTGTTATGGGACTTGCAACGACCTTCAGACAATGCCATTGCAAACATTCTCCACCGTCATACTCGTGCAATATCCGATATCAACTTCCATCCATTCGACTGTGAAATGTTGGCCACTTGTTCTATCGACACGTTTGTGTATAGTTGGGACATGAGAACGCCGAGGAAACCCGTGGCGCAATGGGCCGAATGGCGGGCGGGCTCCAGCCAAGTGAAATGGAATCACGAGAACCCGTTCGAGATCGCCCTGTGTCACGACCACTCATTCTATATCTGGGACACCAGAAACGGGGCATTGCCGATCCTCAAAGTGGACAAGGCCCACCAGGGCAAAATCAACGGTTTGGATTTCAACCAAGGTTTGAAGAATGTCATTACTTGCTCCAACGATAATACCGTCAAGTTTTGGGATTTACAGAGTGGACAAGCCAAGGAGTATATTTCGCATTACAACTATTTTGAGCGACTGAAGGAAGAACTCCAGCCTAGCGTTGTGATCAAGATGGACTTCCCCATCGCAAGAGCGAGACAACTACCATTTGGGAAAGACATGGCATGCGGGATCATGCCGTTGCGTGGCGGTGATGATTCCGTACATATAGTAAACTATGATACCGCATACCATGACTACTTGTCGACTGGCACAACCCAAGTGATTGAAGGAGAACTGGTGTACTCATTCAAAGGACACAATGGACCCATGAAGGATTTCCTTTGGCGGACCCAGCACGAAAAGTATGAAAACTACGAGTCAAAGAAGAAGTGGAAAGATTATCAGTTGGTCACTTGGTCAGCAGTAGATTACGACTTGAAACTATGGCCCGACAGTGAAGAGTTGTACAAGTCGGTTAATTACGATCCTAGCTTTGTAAATGTATTTAAGGGCCTGGATTCAGATACTAGTCGGCCACATACTCCATTAGAAGAGCAAACCTATAACTATGATACATATTGCGTGGAGCCATCAGTCACCATTGACGATTTGACGAGAACAAATAACGATTTACTTAGCTCATTGACACTTCTTCGCATTTCCGAGAAACACAAACAGGCAGGCGTGGAATTCACCCAGTTGAATCATTTAGATTGGATTTCCGGAGTGAGAATGGGCCGACCAGCTCAATCATCCGATAGAAAGGATAGTACTGGCAGCTTTGAAGATGATGGACCACTCAATCTTGGTGAAGAAGTCAGTATAGTCGGTCACAAGTTCCCCAAAATCAGATTTGAAAAGATTGCCGTTAGTTCAGGTGAATTGGTTATTAGTTTACGAGGACCCATTCCTGACATGAGCACCACTATGAGCAAAGCCGATACCTCAGATATGTTGTTTGCCGAGAATACCAGTGTTGCCGGTGAGAGTACGGCCATTTCCAATAAGGATAAACGAATCAGCGTGCATAGTGATGATGGACACGAGCAATCCATCAGCCATAAAGAAGAAAGTGTCAAGGACAATACCATCAGTGCATTAACGCCAATAGATGAAACGAGTGAACAAAAGCTTATTTTCATTAGACTCAAGGTGAATTTTCCCAAGACTTATCCCTATCTTGAAGATGTTGATTATAACAAAAAACGTCTGAAATTGCTGAAGCTGAATTTAATCAGGTTTCACATTGAAGTAACCCACGAATTAACCAAGGAAATTCGTGATGTAATGCAAGAGAAATTATCCGAGATTTCCCAGTTTTACACTAATAAATACCAACGATTCTGTCTTGAACCATGTTTGCGTTCATTAATGGGCGAGAAGGTTGAACTTGACGATGAGATTATGATGGAATCCGGTGCCAATAACAACAATGAGGAATTAGAACAGGAATCTGTGCAAGAAGTAGGAAACGAAGGATGGGCGGATGATTTGATCCGACAACAGCCTGATTTCCGCGGATATTCCTCAGGCGAAGACGATGTTGAGTATGCTGATCTTATTCCCGCTGTCAATGATTCATTGGTACTCACTCAGAACTTGGACTCAATAATGCATCCGGCACAACGAGCAGCAGTGGGTCTGCCGGACCATGTACTTGAAGCCACGGCAGCAGCACGACAAATGTATTATGATTCCACACCACAGCCCAAGGGATGCGGCGCAGTTTGGTCAAGGTCAGGCCAGCTTGTATGTTTCTTCATACCGAAATCACAAGACGATGACCAAAACGACAGTAAGGTCTTGCAAAAATTTAATATTTTCAAATTCACCGATCGTGGATTCAGTGTTAAGGCCAATCAACAGCTGCATCATCATCACCATAAACTAGAAGAATCGATTTCTGACTCTGACCTCGAAGGCGAAGATAGTGATGCTGAGCCTGGTAGCCGTCTGGATGGTGAATCAGGAAGCAGCTCCTCTGAAGACAGTTTTACCAATGATTGGGATGAAATACTACAAGATGAAACATCATCTCGTGCGCGCGTGCCTCGCATGTTCAAGACCACACTTGGACTCGGCAATCGATATAGTGAAAGCAAAAAGTCATCCTCAATTAACAAATTACCCAGCCAAGGAGGTACCCTGAACCATAGATCATCGGTTAAAAGCAAGAAAAAGCCCAAATCGCAAGTGAAGAACCGCAACATTGTCGGTATATTTGATTTTAGTCATTTGCTTCCCGATAAGTATGAACTTGCCTGTGAATATCGTGTGCTTGGGGATGTACCTGAGAATTTAGCCGCTTATAACAGTAAAGTCGCGCTCAAGTATGGACTCAAGGAGATTAGTGAAGTATGGAAGATGTTGGCAATATTGTTGGTCAAGAATGGACAGCCGCTACAGATGAACAATGGATACTTCCCTGATCAGATGAATAACAGTACGAAACTCGCTGATAAATTCCACCTGTTCTATTGGGGGAATCATCCGTTTGGAAGTACCTGGCTTATCAAGGAGATATTTGACTATTTTGAAAAGAGAGGCAATGTGCAGATGTTGGCGATGATGTCGTGTATATTATATGAAAACCCTAAGAATCTAGCAATGCCAGATTCTCCAGCTACAGACATTGCATACAATGTTCCGATTCATACCCCATACCAGGCACTCCCGCAACCACCATCAATCGCAGCATTATCCCGGTTAAACCGCCAAAACTCAAACTCACTCCCACAAAGCATTTTGCAACCTTCGTCACAAGACAAGTTTCCGTTAATGCAACACCCCAACTCATCCCACCTGAGCTTCAAAAGAGATTCACTGGTATCGGGAGTAACATATGAACGATCGATCAATTCATCATTAGACGGGGCCAGTCAGGTTGGTTCTCCGGAGAGATTTGGATACATGAAGAAGAACTTATTATTAACTGCACCTGTTGCTGCCAGTGAACATTCGTACTCGTCCCTTAGTGATTCTGTGAGTGAAGGGTTGCGAGCCACCAGTCCCAATCAAATGACCAACAAACTAAAATTCGACAAGCGGATGATTAGTAAGATGCCGGTGAAACGAGGAACAAGTTTAGGTGCTGGCCCAGGATTAATTAAACCGAAAAGCACAAAGATAAGGCCACCACCTAGCGTCACGATAGAAATGCAGAATGTGGAGGAATTGGACTTGTTTGAAAATGTATATTCTCGCCCATTGCTAAGCTCGCAAGATGTCGAGAAGATAAGAACGTATCGAGAGTTATACGCGGATATGTTGTATAATTGGGGATTGCCCGTGAGTCGAATCAAGATCCTCAAATTCAACTACCCTGACATTGACGAGGGCGAATTAGAGACATCACCATTTGATTCACACAAGTGCAAGATTGGCTTGCGCAAGCGCAACAAACAGCTACCCCAACAAAACTTTCTTAATGCCGTGTCTACAATCATGCAAAAGAAACCCAATGCATGGAACACGAACAAGCGCTCGATTATGAAATACTGTAACTTGTGTAATTTGGTGGTTACCAAGAACTTCACCATGTGTATTGTGTGCGAACATATCCTACACACTGACTGTGCCATGGAATGGTGGACTGGTGGCGCGAGTGAATGTCCTAGTGGATGTGGCTGTACTTGTTTAGAACATAGTATTTAAAAAGAAAAATATGCATATATAGAGGCTCTATTGACGAGAATTTACGATTTGATCCTTGAATTTGTCGTCCCATTCCTCGGCGAGAGATTCCAAATACTTCACCACATCGGAACTACCGGTAGTATCGATGGTGTCTTCCACTAACAAATATTCTTTCCCTGATGCCGTTGTGGCCGAGCCGACTTTCTCATTTTGTTTAACTCGGCCCAAGGCAGCGGCAACTGGCGCATTGGCGGCGATGTACCCTTCGATATTGTGATAGGGGGAACCCAACCACCTGGCCATGTAGAACAAAACCAACATTCCGTAATAAGTAAAGAAGTTCAAGTACTGGAAGAACGAGAAACTGGTGAAGATACCCGGGTGGACAACATACAGTTCAATTCCATAGTTCTGTTTTAAGCTCTTGTACGTACCATAATGTAACAAATCGACGAGGCGCTTAGACCCTTCGTAAGAAGCAGGCGATTTCACCAATTGTAAATCATTAAACGATAAATATTTAGGTTGAGACATCAAGGAACTAATCCATATTATCTTGCCGCCATTGGACAACAACGGTTTCAACTTGTGTATTAAATAGTATGGACCAAACACGTTAGCTTGAAACACCAATCCCAACCCATCACCAGATTTCCTTCCAACTTGCTGAAGTTTGTATGTAGGACTAGTCACGGCCTCAACTGGGTTCTTGAACACTTCTACGGTGGCAGCGACCCAATCAATCCCGCTGTACACTCCCTGGGCCGCGTTAACAAAAAAGTAGTCCAAGTGCTTGTATCGTTTAGATAATTCGTAGTAGGCAGACAAGACAGACACCATATCGGTGAAGTCTACCAACAAGTAGTCGAACTCAACTTGGCCACGTTTTTGGGGGAGTTTCTCGGTGATGAACTTTTTGATGTCGTTTATCAGATCTTTGGCTTTGGGTAAGGTTCTCGATGTGACTATGAGGGTAATATCCTTGTCTTGGGGGAGTTGTTCTAGTAATCGAACGGCAATGTTAAATCCTAGGTTAGAAGAGGCACCAGTGATTAACGCAACAGTAGAGTCTTTGATTAATGACATGGTCGGGGATAGGTGGTGAAAGCTCTCTTTTGGTAACGTTACAGAAAAGTGCAGGATTTATATTTTTTTTGTTTTTTGATTGTGAAGGTTAAACGACATACAAAATTTTGTTTTACGAGGGGAGACTTAGCTGAATCACCACATTCTTATTGGTGTAACAACTGGTATTAATAGAAACAACCAAGTATAGATTGTGTATATGCAACCACCGAAACCGCTTAATTATATAAAATCTACATAGCCGAATATTATTTGTAGTAGTTATACTGATTTACAGAGATCGGACATGGAAAGGCATTAAATCTCCGTCAGACGATACCAAGCGTTTGTTTTCTGATTTGTTCTTTATTCGAACAAGTACAGTCAAACGAAAACGCAGTGTAAAATCGAACGAATTACACGGAAAACCCACGTCGTCCATCCACTCCAGTGGTTTCATTTCGGAATTACATTTCTTAGTCCGGGGAGGAACCAAAATATTTATAATCAGTTGGATACTCAACAGCATCAGATACGAGACTACATCCGACACGCACCAACACGGAACGAGCAAACGGGTGCAAAAAAAATTTTTTTTATACGAGTACGCTCCCTCTTCCCCCCTATGGCAACCAAATATCTTTCCAGCCAATATTCTTTCTGACTGCATTGGAAAAGCCTTCATGGTACTTGACCCATATTCTGGCCGGTTGGAAATCGTCATCGGGAGTTTCTGATTTTATTTGCGTGTTCATATCCTGGTACTTACCCTTGAAGAAATCGACACTGTTACCACCTCTAAATCTTTTCTTGGCAGATTCTTCCGGTTCTGTTTCGTTTGGACGTTTCTGCGATTTACGTGATATCTCGTGTCTTTCCAATTCAGCAGATATCAATGGGAACAAGTTTTGTCTTCTGATTTGTGTTTGTTTGACTATGGTTGCAGATGGCAACAAAGTGAATTCGTTCTCATACAATGTCAAAGAATCCCAATTGGGCGATATTTGCAATGACACTACTCCTGTCTCTATATCCTTCACATTCAACAAACTCAAGTTGAAATCTTTGACAATAGAAGCGATCTTTCTAACCCATCCTTGTTCGGTTTCGCTCAATGTAGATTTGATTTTACTGGATAAACTTGGTGCTAATAATTTCGACATGTATGGCAAGAAATATCCTGCCATTGAATCTCCGTTTACACCTAATGATAGCTGTGTTTGCAATGGAAGTTTATCGGTTATACGTTTAACAGTAGCCTTGTTCTGCTTCAAAGCTTCAAACGAATCAAAATCAAGGTTTCTCGCATTGGGAATAAGCTTGGCTCCGTTCTTTTGGGGGTTCATTTGACTAAACAATGACCAAATCTTTAATCCAACTAAACCAGAATATTGATTGTCTTTATTGCTACTGGAAATCTGGTCATAAAATCCTAACCAGTCACTAAATTCACTTGGTCGTATCAATGAATCATCTTGCAAATGAACTGTATCCAAGTATCGATTAAAACTTCCCATAATGACTCTATCAAATGAGCTGGAATTGCTCACCACTGATTTTCCAGTACCATTCATAAACTTGTCTAGCAAGAACATAAAATTCTCGTCCTTTTTCAACTGTGGCTCTCTTCTGAATAGTTCATCCACCATGCTATACCAAGAAATTTGCTTATCCATAGAACTATCATTGGCAGTGCCTGTTTTCTTAGCATTGAATTGTATATAGTTAATACAAGCACGAATATCTCCATCACAAGTATCGACAATATCACCAATGGCTCGTGAATCCAATCCCAATTTTTCTCTCTCGTTGATCCACATTAAGTGATCCTTGACTGATTTCATAGCATTTCCACCAAACTTCTGACCAGTGGTGGTTTTCCCTGATTGGGGTTTCCTAAATGGAACAATTTCAGCAATTGGACGTAATTTGTCCATGGGGTTAGGCCCGAATTTTCCATTTTGATTAGAGTATATTTCGTTTGCAATACAAATGATTGGTCTGCTTAACAACACGTCCTTCTTCTTCAGTTTCTTGCTAGTTTCTTCGGTTGATGCTTTCTTTAACTTCTTATTCAATGCTTTTTGGTCAGAAGCGACTAAATCATTCAACACTTTAACCACATCGTTAGCGTTGGCCAACGAGTCTATTTCATCAATAACAAGACACGAAGGTTTACTGGTTGTTGACGTCAACGAATTCGATGTTAATGCGTTAAGGATCTTCAATTTCAAAGCCGAAGCAGCATTGGCGTATGGATTGGATCCATTGGCGGCCGATTGAGGCAATATGTCCATACTGTTAGCTGCATTCAACTCTTGAATGGCATATCCCATCTGTTTTGCCAAGATGTGTACCACGGCAGTCTTACCGATCCCCGGAGGCCCATGGATAAGCAAGATTTTCCTATGTGGTCTTCCTAACCCATCAGAATGGTCAGAATCGTGCACTTGTTCTCCGAACACTACCGACGACCACTTCTTTAACCAGTGCAATACAAGTCGGTATTGTTTGTCGTTCCCGGCTGAACATAACTGAAGGAATTTCGTAGGTCGGTACTTTTCTGTCCATATTTGCGACGAGGTGGAAGCTACTGGTGTGTGTTCTTCCATCTCAGCAAGTTTTCTGTTGTTTTCCTTGATGGTATTGTGCAAATTTGCTTTGCTAAAGAGCGTGTCCATGTCCATGTATGACCCTTGGACAGGTGCTTGCACAGTAGCTGACTTGGTTTTTGGTTTCAATTTGACGGTTCTTCCGTTGAATAGCTTTACTTCTTTGAACGGTTGCGAGATGTGGGATGTAAGTATGTCGTCTTCTTCTTCATCATCCTCTTCTTTTTCTTCAATTACACCTGGTTGTTCCTGAACCTTTTCAGGTTCAGCAAAGAGTAACGAATCAGTCATTTGAAAATCGTAATCATTGTCATTCCGCTCTTGGGTAAAGAGCGTTGATTCAGACAAGTTTATACTGTCTACCTCCATAGTAAACTCGTCAACTGTGGCCATGTTGTCTGTCTACTGTTGGTTGTCTAAAGAGTTCACTTTGGAAAATGTAAATAACGCGTCTTAAATCAGACAGAAAAAAAAAAAATAAATGTCGGACAAAAACTAATTTTTATTACAACTATACACCAAACGTCTTTAATTGAATTTCTTCACCTTCTTCAAATGGATCAGCAGATTTATGCTCAGGAGTCAACTTGACCAACTCTTCAGTCAATTGTTTCTGGGTATCACTCAATGTGTTGATCACTTGCTTGAAACTGGCTGGACTTTGTTGCACTAAAAAGATCAACTTTTCATGGAGGTATACTCTTGGAATCACATCTTGTTCATTATACTTCAACAATAATGGGATTAATATCGTGTATAACGCGGTTTTCTTAGCTTCATCTAGTAATCTCGTAAACAACATCAATATTTCAAAGGCAACCTTGACGTCAATGTTCTTTTCTTTGTTGCTGACGTGTTTAAGCAACTCCGTAATCAAGTACTTGATAGTCAAAACATCTTCCTTCTGGTTGACACTGTATTGGATCAATGACTTTATGCATCTGATAGCAGTAGGAGCAGTATCAGCAGATTCCAACAACTGCAACAAAGCATTACTCAACTTCTCCGATTCTGACGGGGTCAATTTAACATCACCGTTGGTAATTAGTATCAACACCGTAATCACGGAATAGTTGTTATTCTCGTCTATATCAAAATAGTTCTTGATGGTCTTATCAAACGTGCTAATCAAATCACATCCGACCTTCTTGGATTCAACCACAACATTCTTCAAATGGGGTATGATGATCGAAATCAAAAGACTGTTTTTGCTTTCGTATATCTTGGCAAATATGTAGAGCAACACTCCATACAAGTCAGCCTTCACCACGTCAGGCAAAGAACCAACCATCTCGATCAAGGTCTCCAATGTCTTTTTCAACACCAACAAATTAGGAGCACTATCAGCATGCTTCAACAACAACTGATTCGATTTATTAGTTGGATCGTAATCATACCTCAAAAATGGCAAGACTCTAAACAACGGCAACATCTCAACCCTAATCAACTCAAACAACTTATCAAACCCAGATTCTATCTCATCGTGGCTCTTGATAAATGTCTGGAATATCGTGCTGATAATATCCACCAAATCACACTGAATCTCCGTATCTTCGTCAATCAACATCAATCTATCAAATAAATCAATCACTTCGCCAAATATCTCATCATTGAACAACAAATCAACCAATTCTTTGATCTTGACCAATCGGTTCAACGACACTAAAATCTCAGCCACATTCTTGTTCCTAATCAATGATTCAACACACTGACTGAACAAGATAAAGAAGAAATTAGTAGCATCATTTCCACCCAAGTACTTCTCGATGAAATTACTATTATTCTCTAATTCCAAACTTAACACACTGATAAAGTTGATCCAATAATCTCCATATATTTCCAATTGCTTATTGGAAGAATCACTATACTTCAACACCGAGAATTCACGCAATACCAAGATCCAAAGTGAGGTCAACAATGACGAGTATTTGTCGAGTGTGTCCAAAAACTCAGGTTCAATTTCATTGTCTTCATATGCGTCGATCCGTAACACAGCCCAACAATTCAAGATTGACAATTGGATAGACTTTCGCCCGAATTCAGACATAGTTTCCAAGAATCCAAACCTCAAGAACTTATTGGAACTGATCTCCTCAAGCAAATAAATTAACGTCTTTAAAATTCTCTGTTTTGAATAAAAGTTTATCCTAGGAAGATTAATAAATTTGGAAGAAACATTGATTGCATCTACAATGACCTTATAATCATTTCCTGGGGTAAAACAAGGTATCAATGCACTGATAATCTGAGCTTGTTGTTGCTCTAAGATAGAAACACCAGGATATAATGGATCCGGCAAATCACCAAACAACTTTAACGCGCGATCCAACAATTCAATCCCATGGATTTTAAGTTGGGTAATTGAACTGGTCGATCCAATGAATGACAACTTGACAATCTCCTGAATCTTTGGCTTCAATTTATCAATCAACTGTGAGTTCTTATTAGCAAGTCTAAGCAAATGATTAAGCAATTCGTAAATGTACAACTTAAACTCCCAGCTAATCGGTTCGTTCTTGTCATCCTCCTCGGAACTATCCCTTACGATATTCTCAATTTCTTCATCCTTGAAATTGACACTGGCACTTGTGTTCTTTTTTTGTCTTTGCAGCAATGGTAACAACTTATGTTGGTAATTCGATTCCAAAAACCCACCCATCAACTTCTTAGAACTTAACCTGAACAACGAGTTAAGAATGGTAAACCAATTCTTATCCAAACTGGTCTCAAGCCATAATTTGATAAACTGCTTCAATTGATCACAAGGACGAACGTTCATCGACACCCAAAGCAAATTAATAGTCTCTTTGGTAAGGATATCCACCCCGAATATCTTGAGTAATTCGTAATAGCATTCGTAAGCAGCACAATACAAATCAAAACTGGTGTTGAAAGGGAATATCGCATCAACATTGAGCGAAGTTGGAGATACGCTTGCCAAACTAATCTTCAAGTTCTTGGAAATGATCAAATTAAGCAATTCAGTAAAGAACGTAATTTCACCTTCGAGCAAATTAGGATCAAAGATGATCAACTCCTGGAATAAACGAAGCAAGTTCTTGTACACATGGCAATATTCGTCCAAAGTAGCCAATCCTATTCCTTGGCTTAATGCAATAATCAATGACTTTAATTTATTGCGTTCAGTCTCGTTGGAATCACGAATGGCTGGTCCTAAAGACGTGACAAACAATTGTAAAAGCTTTGACATTGGTCCCACTGATCCAAACTTGGTCTTTAAATTAACAAGAACATTAGTCTCGATATCATAACCAAACCCGTCATTCAAATAATTAGAATACAACTTGTTCAACACAGTCGGAATCAATAAATTATTCTCCAAATTTGATTCAAACAATTTAACCACTCCAACCAACGTAAAATGAGCAATTATCGGATTTGGGTCATTCATCAACTGGATGGAAATACTATAAATATCGCCAAACCCAATCTTGGTCCCTTCATATATCGAGCAAAGTGACAAGATCGAGAATCCACGATTGTATGGATTTGAATCGGTCACTATATCATTAATAAACCCACTGATTTGTCCTGCTACTCCATTGACATTAAGGAACTGACTTGCCAATCCAATGGTATCAGCATTGATTTTAATTATACTTTCATCCTTTAAGTTAAGCTTCTTGATGATATCAATAATGACAAGAATAATACTTTCATCACTGGTAAGTTTCTTCTTCTTCATATTGGAAAGCACACCATGTAAAGCAATGGCAGTATTCACCCTAATTGCACTAGACCTTAAGGGATCAATTGGCTTGGCAGTTAGGGAATTTCTAATTTGTTCAAGTAAGGAAAATTGGATTTTGGAGGATAAGTAAGGAAACACCAATTGAAATAATTCAATACTTATATCAATTAATGAGGTAATTAAATTGGTTGCATACCTGTGATGAGTCGAGTAATCTTGAGTCAACAAGATGGTTGGGTCATAATTGATAGAATTGACAACGGATTTAAATGACAACTTTTCAAAATAATCAAACCAGGCACCAATAGTTTCTACGTCTTCGTTTTCAATGCTGGTTTTAGGTGCTGCAGTTACCGTATTCGTAAATGTACTTCTTATCCACTGAACGTCCTTCTCGGCAGCCTCCAATGGAAACTTGATTAACAACTCGTCGATATTGGTACCTTGGTACTTGCTAGTAACACCATAGCAATATTTGTCCTCGTCATTCAAAACAATACTCTCTTTGTAGTAATCAGACACTCGGACAGGCTTACTCTTGGACTTGCCCTTGTCGGGGTCACTCTGAATTCTAGCAAACAACTTCCCATCGGAAAATACCTTAATCAAGAAAATAATCATGTTCGAATTGATATCGTTCTTGAGTAATGTCGCCAACCTGGCAAAACTTTCAAGTAAAAGTTTCTTGCAGTATAATATAAGACTAGTCAATATCTTATCTTGAGATAACTTGTTATTGAATGAGTAGTTGGTATATAACAAATTGTTCAACATGTTGACATTGTATTCATACTCGTTAAATGTATTGAATGATGTGATTGATCCAATGGCAGGAACTGTACTTTCAAGATAAGACAAATAATTATATGATTTAGTAAGCAAGAATTGAATCTGTTTGAGTGATTCTGGGGTGAGCTCCACTGAGTTCAAATAATTCAATAAACAAATCAAACTGAAGTTTCTTAGTTTTAAATTAACGAGGATTTCTTGTGTTTGGGCATTGACATCAGCAGCATTGGACATGTACTGTGAAGTCAATAAACTCTTCCAGAATACCAACAATTGCGACGAATTCAATCTGACGTATTCTGAACTGTTGTATAATGTAACCAACGACGATAAAATTACCCAACAAGAAGTGTTTTTATTTGGATTAATATTATGCTTTAAGTTCTGAGTACAGAAACTCAATACCTTGACAATGGTTGAATTTTGCAACAAGTTAGAATTAGTCTGTTTGATAAGCGACAGCAAGGCAAGGGAATAGCTTAACAATTTCACCGATGAAATGCCACAAATATTGTCGGCGCTTGGTCCAGTAGTAGCATTAGTTTCCACATGATGGTATTCTTGATCTACTAGTCTAAATGCATATAATATAAGTTGGTTAATCTCCACTTCATTATTATGAGCATACACCAACAATGACTGCAATGCATAATTTCTAATATAATAGTTATCATTAACAATAAGTCTGAATAAGATGTCTCTTACAAATGAAGCGGTTTCTTCATGAGGTTTTTCTAAATCTAAATCATCCTCATCTTTAGGTTCCTCGGGGTCTTCCGTTTTTTCCTTATTTTGAACAATTGCGTCAAAGTTTACTCCGTAAGGAAGTAACATTTCAATAATGAATAATAACCAATAGGTCTGGTAAGAATTGTGGTATGGCTTTGCTTCTTGATCACTAAGGTCTCTCTTGGATTTCGAGCTCTTTGATTTGAATGTGAATAATCGAGATTCCCTTTTGCGTTCCTTTGTCGTGCTCTTTTTTGGTACATCTTCTGAATCAGGAGAAAACTTTCCATACACATACCTTGTCAACATTTCATGACAATTCAACCCAGTTTCCTGAACCAAATATTCAATCAAAGTAGACCAATGTTTCAAAGTTTTGACCCATGGTTGGTTCTGAATATGGTTGTGCTCAACATCTCCGAATTTGCTCAAGATCAAATCTAAAATAGTTAATAAATTCTGGGATAAGAATTCTGGATTTTGGAATTGCTCGAGTTGCAAATAAAATATAATGGCTTCAATCACACTGGATTGGGTCAAGGTTGTTTCTAGTGCTGATGCAATTGCAGATTCACTATCTGGCTCTTCTGCTATTTCTTCGTCGTCTATTTGTGCGGTGAGAGAGTCGTTCCAAAGGTTGTAAGAAGGTAATGGATATAACGTGATTAAATATTCAATAGGAGTAAACTTTCCCGTAGGAACTAAATTCATCATAACATTGGATAATAATTCCACCATTGCAATTCGAACTTCTTTGGAATAGTTTGACAATCCATATGTGAAATATTTTTCATTGGAACTTAACAAATTAGTTTGAAATTGGTGTTGGTTAGACATGATAACTTCCGGTTTCATCTTTGCACCAGCAGACGAGCTCGAGGTAGACACTGCTAACAAACCTTCGTAACTAGTAGAAATCGCCAACAATAGCAAATTCTTGCAACACAATATGTAATTCTTCTTAAGTAATACCGTAGATGTGCCATCATTGTCTTCCAGCTCGTACAACTCGTATGAGATAGTCTCCAGTGTGATTGCCTTGGTGACAATCTTCATTAATCTACCCTGCATCTTTTCGTCAATGTCCAACCGAGTGGCATTCTTGGTAATTGAATTCAACAAAAAGACTAAATTACTACTGATATTTGGATTCTTCTTTAAGATCTTATGGACTTGGCTGACAGAGAAGTTTATTAATGCTCCAAGTTGGTTGGGAAACGATTCGAACAAGTCAATGAGAACAAGAATAGACACGTCAGTGCCGAGACTCAACTCAGCACCTTCCAACTGAAGGTTATTCAACAATGCATTGGCGACGTCGTACACCTTAGTTGTGAGCTTTTGTAACACAAGAACAAGATTCTTGGACACTGATCGATACAAATTCAACGATGTGTGCAGTCTGGCTTCAGAATCATCTACCAGATCTTTCTTTTTCGGTTTGGATGTTGTCTCTGAGGTTATTTTCGTGATTAGTTGTTGCAATTGACCAAGATATATTTCGTAGTCGGCATCTTCTTGTAATAGTTGGGAATTGACTGTCGTTAAGTAATTGAATATCTCCGATTTATCGAATCGGGTGATAATATCGGTGAATCGCTCCATGGTAGTGGTTGTTTACGGAGTGAGTTGTTAAAAATGTGGTCAATTTGTTTTGTATTTTCCACTGGCGACATTTACAAATGTCGCGACCGATTTTTGTTTTCTTTTTACCAGAGACATTTCTACAAAGCAAGACTAGAGCAAATGCAGATGTATTAAAACAACCTTGGTTTCGACAGCTTGGGTTTCGACTCTAAACTAATAGTTCTATTGGCAACAGGAGACCCCTTGATCGACGGCAAATCTGAAAATCGTTTGCTCGAACTGATTCTCATTTTCCTTTCTTTGGTACTAGTAGAAGGATTAGACATCGACACCGATCTGGTTGGTTTATCATTCAAAGTTCTATTCAATGCTCGATCAATATCCAAAGTCAAACTTCTTAATTTCTTGAGCGATCTTGATTTCTTCATGGTTCCTTCGGCATACTTTCCCGGTGGCGGGCTGGACCTTAGCATTTCCTTTATGCTTACAATCAGAACGTCTCCTGGTTCATCAGGTACACTCTTGTTCGTCTTTGTAGTGTCTTTTTGCTCCTGTTTCAACTTCCTAATCTCCACTTTTAGGTCGTTAATTTGATTCTGATAGTTTGTGATGTGTAGCTGCCGTTCAAGATTCAACTTCCTCTCTCGATCATACTCATCCTCAAGCAAAGCCACTTTCTCCAACAACTCGTTACTAAACTCCTGAGAAATCTCGTATTTATTGCATAATATCCGATCGTTAGACTCCATCGAATCATTAACAATCTCAATTCTCACCAACTTCTGCAGTAACCCCCTCACTTCCTCCTCGAGGCTCTTGATCTTCCCACTAGTGCTCTCCTGAATATCGTTGATCTCAGCATTGAGTTTTATGTTCTTGCGCTTCTCCTGGGTTAGATGGTCTTGCAAGACAGTAATGTCTCGTTTTAGTTTATTGTTGCGGGTTTCCAATTCTTGTAATTCATCCTCTAGTGCTCGCTCTAACTCCTTGGAAGATTGCTGGAAGTCATTAAGGATTGATTCTAGTTCAACGACCTTGGATATTAGGTCGTCCCTGGACAATTCTGATAGTTTATGTCGGTCCATGTTTGCTTGGTCAAGTACTGTGTCAAGATGTAAAGTTGATTTTGTTTATGTTTTGGTATGGGCACGTAGTTCATGCGCAACTACCAAGTGAGGGATAAAAAAAAAAAGTTGCAAATTATAGAAAATATAACAATTACTATTAACACTATTAAAACAACAAATGACGGGGGGAAGCAGATTATTAAAGTCAGATGTTGGTGTATCTATTTGAAGCAGTCTAGTTGTTCTTCTTGGTTTCTTCTTCGCTGCTGACTTCATCTTCTTCTTCATCGTCACTTCTTTCATCCTTGGTTTCTCCCACAAATACATATCTATACAAGATTCTAAAGATCAAAAACAACCAATAAATATTAACCAATTGCAAGGCAAAGATCAAGAAGAATGTAATTGGTTGGGAAATATAACATTTATATTGTTGAGTATCCCAATTCAATTCCCATTCACCAACGGTTCTGAATTCAGTAAGAACCGACCACAAGATCTTCAAGTTGAGGTAATGTCTGAGATATACCCAAACACCAATAAATACGACAAAGAAAGGACCAGTGATTGGAGAGTCCAAATAGTTTAATGTCTTGGAAGTAGCCAACACAAAATCGGAAATATCCATAGTGATGTAAATAGCTAATCCCATCCAAGTGAAGTGGAATCTATAGGAACACCAAATCAAAGCAATAGTGACAATGTGATGAAACACCAATTCCTTGAAATCCTTTCTTGGTTTTTCCAATTGCAACACAAGCACCACGGACTGTTGAACCCAGAAAGCGGCTTGGCCCAAGTAGTAACACTTAAAGAAAACATCATGTGTCTTGTGCGGGTAAGCAACGTAGAACTGGGTGGTATTGAAGTACCAAAGCGGTAATCTTGACATGATCCATAACCCAACAGGTCCGGCAACTCCATAGTAGACCATGGAATAAGTTTGTTCCATAAATCTCTTTTGTTTGGATGCACGGGAAATACCAAGCCACTTGGCAATTGGACGAAGGAAACAACACATTAAAAATTCACGGTAGAAAGTGAAAAACAAAGCATAGAATGCAACAAACTTGAAATCATTTCCACCTTTACCATATTGGTCTGTTCCTTCAATGTGGTAAGAAGGAACAATAAACTCGGCTAAAACTTGATGAGTTTTACTTTCTGGGGTGGAAAGGTAAAAAGTACTTAATATACCAGACAAGTAAATCAAGGGGTAGATCCAAGTATGACGGTAGGTCAACTCTTGAAAGGCGATAATGATCTTTTTGACAATAGCAGTGTCTGACTTACCGTGCAGTTCCAATTCGACAAGTCTAGATCTTGAACGTTTTCTTTGTTGCTTAGTACTAGGTAATGTTGAAAAACCAATCGATGCAGTGTCACCTACATTGATGTGGCCAACTGAAGAACCTCTTCTTCGATGAGTAGTTTCGTCTTCTGGAACTCTAAGTGCGCTCATGTTTGAGTAACGTACTAATCAATCAATCAAGAAGAACAAATGTCAACAAGTTTTAACTTTTTTTCCAAAGAGGAGGTAAAAAAAAAAAGACTCAGTACGCGCGTAAAATCCGAGGAAGGAAATTTTTTATGGCAAAAAGCCGACTGTGCTTTGCAGAGACTGGTGGCTAAAATAATACTACTACTCCTATAAATCAGATAGGGGTTGAACAAGCACATAAACTTACAAGAAATATGTGTGCATGTAGGTTAGCTGGAATTTCATGACCAAAAGTTAACTCCGACAATAAGGCGAGACAATAGACGATGCTGATAACGTGACACAAACGTTACCCCTATTTGTGTTTACTTTTCGGAGTGAAAGTGTTGCCAAATTTGTGTAAATAAATATTGTAAAATTTCTGCCAAATAACTTCAAAAGTCTATCCCATTTTCTTCTTAGGGTTCAGAATATCCAATTGACATCTATAATCAACATGCATAGCAGTTACTTGCTAGTTAATAAGAAGATATTAAAACTTTTTGAATATCCCCTCTCCATGTTGACTAGTGGCCATCACTAGATATTATATGTGCCGATTAGATATTATCAACAACCCCCCCCTCCCCCTCGGTTAGTCCTGACTTCAATTTTACTTCTTTCAATACATCTAATCTACATTTGCTATCTTTGTCAATGTATATATCGGTTGTCAGATCACCACCCACAGTACCAGCTTTGACAATTTAAGACGTATGGATTGACATAGGTTGCAAATGTCAATTAGCTAACCTTTTCTGAGTTTCTTAGCAAAGCTTCACGTTGTTGTCCCAGTAAGTGTGCGAGACAACTAGCAGGTATTGCTATATATTTTGCCCATACTAACTGTACCAAGTTTCAGATAGCCGGTATTGTTTACCGCCAGTTGGCAACATTCCTTAAATCAAATATATCCTGCATACAACCACGTCACTATCCCACTTAAAAATCTAATCTTGAATTTGCCTCCAAATCAAACCCAGTTAACTACCAGGTATACACCAATGTCCCCAACGCTCTCCACATTAATCAATAAAGCCACCGATCCAACACTCACGGCCGACAATTGGCAATACATCTTAGATGTATGTGACAAAATATCTTCCGATCCCGAAACAACCACCAAGGAAGCCATTCGGGAACTTACGTTCAAATTAAACTCCAAAGACGCCAATACTATATTAAGAAGTTTATCCTTGTTAGTCTCTATTGCTGAGAATTGTGGATCGAGAATCAAGCAGGAAATAGCCACCAAGACATTCTTACAGGATAACTTGATTCGGAAATTGAGTGATAGAAAGTTGCATGTTACTGTAAAGTACAAGATTGTTGAAGTTATCGAACAGTTGTATAATACATTCAAGACTGATCCTTCTTTGAAGCCAATGACTGATGCATATAAGAAGGTTCAATCAGACTACAAGCAATACTTTAAGTCCGCTCCATCCAAACCAGCAAAACAAGAACGAACCCAACAAGACAAACAAAGAGAAGATGATGAATTACAAAGAATCTTGAAATTATCTTTGCAAGAATACGAACGAGAACAAACCATGAAGAAGGTATCTCTTCAGGAAAAGCCACTTCCTGATGACCCAACTTCTAATCAGCCTAACCAATCTCCACCCAATGAACCACAAACTGTGGCTACTGTATCTAAAGTGCGTGCATTATACGACTTGATTTCATATGAAGAGGATGAGTTGTCTTTCCGTAAGGGAGATGTAATCACTGTTATCGAATCAGTATATCGTGATTGGTGGAGAGGTTCTTTGCCTAATGGAAAAATTGGGATTTTCCCATTAAACTATGTCACTCCAATAGTCAATAAATCCAATAAGGAAATAGCTCAAGAGGTTTCCATTGAAAACAACTTACTCTCGGAGCAAAAGAAGATTGACAAGTTATTGTCCATTCTTTCTAGTCAAAATGTTCAAAATATAAATGAAGACGAGATCACTCAATTATATAATGAAATCATTCCATTAAGACCACAATTGGGTAAGTTTATTGACAAGTATAACGTAAGAAAGGAAGAATTGATGGTTTTAAACAATCAATTAAACAATGAGGTGAAGTCATACAATGAGTTATTGGATCAGCTGATTGCCAGAAGAGCCCAACAACAACACTCACCCCAACAACAATTTACTGCGCCGCAAATGGCACCTTACCCCACTGGTGCTGGTACTGGTACAGGCGTTGTTCCTCCTCCGCCCCAGGCCAACTTCCAACCTTCGTACGAATATCAGAATTTACAACAGCAGCCTACCAGTGCTGGGTTTGGTAATGGTAGACCGCAATATCCCTACCAATAGATTTTCTCTATATATTATTTCCACATAATAGGTACATAGTAAAGCAAGTTAAGTTTGTCCTGTGTAAATATTTTCTTGTGCGAAACAAACAAATGCCAACGGTTCGATCGTGCACTCATACGTAAATTAATACTCAACTACACAACTAATAACTAATATAGTCATATATATATAATGTCGGATTCATTATACTCAACACGAGAAGACCAAAACAATCAAAGATTTGATCAGCTAGCACACACCCTCCATCAATTTAGAACCACAGTAAATAACGACATCCATGGCTCCATACAGCAAGAAAACTCAATCTTGGACTCATTAAGTGACAACTTCAGTCTGTTAATGGTTCTGGTTAAACGAACTAGTGGAGAATTACGTACTGTCATGAATAGAAACGCAAGCTTGACGAGAATCGTGGGGATGATCTTGCTTGTATTCTTTATAATCTGGATGTTATATAAATTTAGATAGGCAAAAATATACTAACTACTACTACTACTTCTTGTTAACTACATCAGAACCCAATCTATAGTTACCAATGGCATTCCCCCAGTTGATCTTGGATCGAGTGATGGGCAATAATCTTCTCAAGTTCTTGAATTGTTGTTGGTTAAGGTCGTTGAATTGGTCAATGATCTTCAAGGTGACTTTAGTTTCGGAATTACTAATGAAATTGACAATATCGCTGGCACTACCACCGACTGATTCACCGTCCAACTTTTCATCCAACTTCAATCTGACATTCCCATCTTCATAGTAATGTATATCTAAATTGACCGTTCCTGAGATTTGTCCATTTTGAATGGCGTACTCACTCTTCCATTGACCGGTGTAGAAATTATCAGGATTCAATCTGCGTCCAATGATAATGACACGGACAACATCACCAGGGATAACCGTGAACGCAAACTGAGGGTAGTGATCCTCCCCATATGTTTCCAATTTTTTGACCAATTCATCAAAATATGAAGGATAGTCGGCGTGTGCAGTGTACAGCTCTATATCAATAGCCTTAAAGCTTTTGGTGTCAATGTTAAACATCTTCTTGGAGACATAATCAATATATTTCGAAGAATTGGCGTCTTTATTATATTGACTGGCAATATATCCCGAAAACACACTGCTGTTTTCATTAATGTACTTCTCAAGAGCTTGGTCAATACTTTCATGAGTCAAAGCAGAAAGACTGTTGTTGATTTGAGGCAATTCACCTGGTGGCGAGGTTTTGACTAATGAGTCAACCAATTGATTTAATTTAACTGACATTGTATGTATTGCTTGCGGGAGCTAACTAGGTGGGTCCCTCGACTACACTTGAAATCCGCACTGAAAAGTTACACCCATATGGATCGATTTGGTATATGCAGGACCACAACACACTAACCTGATCCCATACATACAATACGATCAGATTAAGTTAAGTAGAGTTGTTATATGTAATAGAATATATAAGTACACATTCACGACAACAAAAACGCACCAGCTCCTTCCCTAATGGCCTGTAATAACTTCTCTCGCATAACATCTTCGCTGGAATAATTGGGCAACTTCAAATAATTAGCACAGGTCATTACACTAGGTAAATAGTCATCATCCTTCAAATCATCCTCGGCATGCTTCCTTACCACAGTTAATGGAGGTCTTAATGCTTTGAATCCACCAATCGGTAATTTCGGTGCCCCGGTTAAGAATTGGAGGAATGCTCTTTGTTCATCGTGGTTGAAGTTCACAAGGATATTAGTCAAGGACTTGATGGATTGTGATTCTTTCGAGTATCCATGATTAGCATTGATCGAAGAAGTTAATGCATCAAACGACCAATCTTCTTCAGCGTTACCAAAAAGCTCAACTAATTCTTGAGGCGAGAAAATGACCAACGAGTTGATGGGGAACACCTTGGAAAACCCCTCCATGAATGCTTTGATCTGGTGAATTATTCCCGTGTACAACGTAGCTTCAAGGATTTTGCTCACGTAAAGTTCAAGATTGTCGGCAGTTACTTGGGTTTCACCACCGTTTGGAATAAGTTCGTACTCGGGATTACCGGGCAATTCAAAATATATAGACAAGTCTTTAATAGTACATCCATCAACAGTAATACCATCACGATGTTCCGGCTTAACGTCAGAGAATTGTTTAATGTACTTGACTAAATGCTCCACAGAATCAGCCAATGCTGGATCGACAATACGTAAATTGGCCATGGTAGTGAACTTCTTGATGGACTTGGCGTTCAACTTTTGCGCATTACCCAACAGGTTCAACAATTGCACCAACTTCAAAAACACAGGATTGAAGTTAAAATCAATAATACGTGAATCCAACAACGCCCTAGCGATAAACTTACCCAAGATCGAAAAGAAGTACACCATTTTCTTGCCGTTCTCACTGGCAATGCCCAGCTTATCCATAGGAACAGGAAACAACCCATACTTATTGTCAACATAACCCTCGCTATCACTAGGATCACCATGATCGCGCCACATCTTCAACTTGCGCTTGCCAAACTCTTTCGAGACCGTAGAGTAGAACTCGAGAGTAGGTCCCAATCCTGACCCAACTTCATCAAAATACTCAATCTCTAAAATGCCTGGCGTGGATCCGTATAATCCAAGCACCTTGACGGCGCTCTGCAACATCATTTGACGGGCGATTCTCACTTTATGTCTCGTTGGTCTGCCTAACTGGTGGTGCTGTTGGCCTTGGGTTTGCTCTTCGTTTCCTTGATTCGTTCTAACCTGCCATTGGTGAATCAAGCGAGAGTACCCAAATGAAGTTGACTGCAAAAAAAATATTCTCGTCTCCAATGGGAATATAAAGGGGAATTGTTTAGTAACATGAATGCTCCAACCGGGCAAGGTCCCACTAGCTACCACCAATGGCTCCTCCAATTGTCGATTCAACTTGACCGTCAATTTCCAGTTTGTGAACTCCTTGTCGGGTATCGATCCATTAGCTTCATTCATGTAAAACATAACCTTGAGCAATTTCAAAATACTCATTGTGGTCTGATCATATACCCAATCTTGATCGTACGAGATCACCACGGGACTATCCTTGACTTCAGAACTAACCTTCCTATAAGTTATGTTATGAACAGTGGTCCATATTCTGCTTGGTTCGATTATTTGATCAGGTTTATTCTGCAATGATCTATAAATGGCACCATAAATAGTAGTTTCATTAGGAATCACCTCACCATTAATCAAAAATTCAATATTGATATCCGACTTCTTCTCTTCATCATCAGAAAATTCTTCCATGAATCTAAACCTCTGTTTCAAAAATGCAAACACAGACTTGAAAGTAGCAATGGCATGTACCGATAAAATCATTGTTTTCAAATGGGTAGGTATCTTATCCTCACCCTCGCACGTCAACTTCAATCTGATTTGATTAGCTAAGGCGTGGTTATGTTGATTAGTATTAGTTCCGGCAGAAACAACATCAAATGATTCTGAACGAGTCAATGCCTCTTGAAGCTTTTGCACAAATGCCTTGGCGGGAACTGTGTCCGATTCAAAAAATACAGCAGTGAATGCACGATTGCAAGATGATTCAGATCCTTCTTCTGACTTGAACGTGGTTGTTAATGCTTCTATCAATCCCGAAGAAATCAATTCAAAGCTTGAGATTTGGACATTGTCAATGAGGGCAAACTTTAATTTATTCCATAAGTCAACCCATTGTTCGAATGTGAATGACTTAATCAATTTCTGATCTTGAAGCAATTCTTGAATCTCAATCAATACCTTCATATGTTCGGGAATGACCGCATCACCGCTCTTCATAGCGAGATACAATTGTTCAATCTCATTTCCAACGGAGTAAATCCGAGCATATAACCTAGCAAGGGTCAATCTGGATTCATACTCCTTAGTAACTTCGGTGTCGATGTACTTGTTGCTATAGGATGCAGATATTGAATGGACAGGTGGCCCAGTTTCGTAAAAGTCATCATCAACATTACCCTTCAAATCACTCAAAATCAGAATGATATCCTTGATCAAACCCTCTCGTTCAAAATTGGAAATGAATGCTGTTCCATGCGATTTTTCAAATATGGTGCGAATAATCTTGAATGATGCAAGTAGAAGTGCGTTTGCATTGATCTTGTTGATGTCTTCTGGTTCGCTCCTTACTGGGTGGGCTGATTCTTCTTCATCACTTCCTTCCATATCTATATCCTCCCATTGACTGTGACCTGCGAAATCAGTATGAATAGTTAATTGACATTGATTAACCACTGACGACAACAAGCCTGATATCGTAGCAACATCGTGGATGACAGCAAACTCTTCTGCTGGGTAAATCATTCTATACATGTTGATAAACCCCTTTCTTCTAATATCATAATCCATAGTTGCTTCAAAACTGATTATAAGAAATGACCACACGTCATTAACAAACTGCCAGTAATCATGGGGGATAATCTCAAGACACAATTCCTGTCTTGATTTATTGATCTCTTGTCTTTCTTCATAGTCCTGGAAATTATCTCTCAAGAATAATGCATTTTCCGGGGCATATGTTATGGGGAGGAGGTATCCAATCAAGCTGAGAAACTGTGAGATTAAATCTTTAGGAGCAGCCATAATCGATTCAATCGTCAATTTCTCTGATTCTTCATTGTCAGTTTCTTTTCTTCCGTACTTGTTCAATGATTTTGTGATGACTTTTCCGATTTCACAATCACAAATCAATATCTTTGAAACCTCCACACTTACACTGGTAAGGATAATCAACGATTTGATTAAACTAAGACAGGATGCATAATTCAACTTTTTCCCTTTATTATCGTTAGATCCCTTGTTGCAACTTACGCTAATCACTTGTGTAAGCTCAAGCAATAATGGGCCCTTATCGGAAAACAACTCATTCAAAAAGTCGGGTTTATTCCTAAAACAAATGATAATCCTCGAAATAGTCAACCATGCATTCTCAACCACAACTTGATCTTCATGAGTTCGAACAACGTCGGAAATTCCTGTAAATGCCTCTTTAACCATGGGGAAATTGGCAATGGAAATATTAGTGCAACAGTTGGATATGATGGTCAAACACTTGCGCTGGGCATGTATGGTCAAGAAATCCAAATATTGTAAACATGTTAATCCATTGTTTGAAATAATACTGTTATGAGATATCGGATCACGAGAAATCATTTCGAGTGTCTGTAAAACTTGCTCTGTCAAGTCAATGTATTTTATCTCTACGAGCTTATGACATAATGCCCGGATGGCGTTGTTATTGAGGGCATCATGGATGAAATCTTGGTTAACTTCCAAGAAGTTGTACAAACATCGACAGGCCACTAGATGCAATTCTAATTCTTCTTCCAATTGTGGGTCTTCCATGATATTGACTAAGCTCTTGGCCAATTTGTTTGCTGGGATCAAACGTTCAGCGGTGATACCATTCATCATAAGAAGACGTTCAGATAGTTCATTCAACGATTCAAGCATGATGTAGGTGTCTTCCCGCTGGTTCAAGTTGTTAATCAAGGCGTCAATCTCACTGTTTCCTTCTCGTTCACCAAACATCATTCCGCCGCCCATAAGTCTCTGCATAACATCAACAAATCCACCAGCGGTACCACCCGCAATGGCGCCGCCTGGTGTTGTTTGATCGCCTTCTCTTCTGCCAGATAATGCGCCAATAGCACGCAAGAACTCGGCACGAGGATCATCGTCGTCTTCATTGATATCCTCTTCCTCGCCCTCATTGGCATTGTCAACCTCTTCAAAACGGTCGTCATCATCGTCATTCCCTCTTCTTCCACGTAGTTGCAACAAGCTCTGCAAGAAGGTAGCCGGCTCAATCATATCATAATCTTCGCCTTCGTCATCATCGTCGTCGTCGTCATCGTCATCATCTAGGCCTCCTTCCTCCTCCTCGTCTTCGCCGTCGTCTTCGTCCTCCACTTCACTATGCTCAATCTCAATATCGTCTTCTGGGATATACAGGGAATCGCTGAATGGCTCATGACGAGTTCGGGTCTGGGCCTGGTGCGACAATCGTACCAAACTGTCGTATTCATCTTCATCATCGGTGTGTGTTCCTAGTGGTATGTTGCCAGATGTGGCGGACGGGCCTGGTGCGCCTGGTGCGCCTGGTGCGCCTGGTGCTGTTGTCTGGGTTTGGTATTGGTTTGGTTTCTCGTTTTGCGGTTTGACCATGGTGGGAAAACAACAGATGCAACTGGTTAATTAGCGTATAGTAGTGATTGTTGATCTGATATGGAGATGGTATGGGTATGGGAAGGTGTACCCAGGAATGTTTACTGTTTTATGTGGGTCGACTAAGTTTTAAGTTTCCTATATAATTTTTTTTTGGGCTAAAGGCGTTGCAAGGGGCGATCAGGTTTGTCTGGTGGCGAAAAATAAATCTTCACAATGGCAGGCTATGGATGCCGACTGCAAACAAATGCATATCTACCGGCATATTGTTCGTAATTAGGAAGAAACACAATGTGGCTGCATTTAAGTGAATGCAATGTTGTTGTTCTATTTTACAGTTGTTATCACTTAGTGTGTCTAAATAGAGAACGAACCCACAAGACTTGAGCCCTCGCCTACCAATATATTAACAAGCACCATCTCTAACAAACGGATTATCAAAGGGATACAAGGGATGTACCATCTCTACAATAACACCCCCTCGCAACGCACAACTAACCAACCAACCAACCTGCTTGCTTTGTGGAGTAATTTATTATGCTATCTGTAAGGAGTCGCCATTTTTGCAACTCGACAATCTTCACGTGACTGAACATTTCTCCCATACAATAAATTTTCCCCCTTCACAATCCAGACAACCACTTTGACTATCCAACCTAATCCATCAGATAATATGTCCGATTGGGAAAAAGTAACGAGCGAGGATGGTCAGGTATACTACTACAACTCAAAGACCAATGAAACTAGCTGGACATTGCCCGAAGAAACAGCTGTTGTAACTGGCAGTCAATGGGAAGAGTACACCACCGAAGATGGCAGGACATACTACTACAATGAATCAACAGGGGAAACCACCTGGGAGAAACCAGCCAAATTGGAGACTAAGAAAGAGGAAACTGTCGCCAAGGAAGAGGAATCCGAAGCTGATTTGGAATTGGCCAACAAGCCAGTTGTTCTTCCAGCCATTGAAAAAAAGGAAGAGGAGGGGGAGGAGACAGAAGATGCAGAGAAGGCTTTTGTTAAGTTGTTGTCTGATAACAATGTTGATTCCACCTGGGCATTCCAAGCAGTCATGGAGAAATTCATAACATTTCCTGAATACTGGAATGTTCCCAACCCCTTAAAGAGAAAACAACTCTATGAAGAATATCTAGTGTCCAAATTCCAAGATGAACTTTCCAATAAAACATTACTCATTGAAAACTTCAAAACTAATTTCATCGAAGAATTAAAAAAGTTGCAAGAAAAGGAGAGCATGGACTATAATACCAGGTGGATAACTGTACGAAAAGTGCTTATTGACCAGGACAATCCCATATTCAAGCATGCAATATTACTGGATTCCGAGTTGGCACAATTGTACTATGAATATACTGATGACTTAAAGGCAGAACGCAACTCGTTTATTGAACAGCAGAAGGAACAAGCATTGTCTGAATTGGAAGCATATTTGACCCAAATCAACCCCAGTCTAGTAACCGAATCAAAAAACTGGCAGGAATTATACGACAAAATCCTCGTTGACCCGAGATTTAAAGCAAACAAACATTTCGACATCTTGAACAAGGTGGACATATTGACGCTATACGAACAAAAGATATACCCTACAATAATAGAAAACATACGAACGCAAATCAAAACAATCGAAAAACAAAATTACAGAAATGATAGAAAGGCAAGAGATAATTTCAAGACTTTACTACAAACTTTAAAAATCGAAGCGGTTACTACATTCAAGGACGTCTTACCTATTCTAGAAAATGAGGATTCCTTCATTGAAATTTGCGGTAGAAATGGATCGTCTCCTCTTGAACTATTCTGGGATATCGTTGATGAAAAGAAGCAATTGTTGAAAGTCAAGAAAGATTTGGTGGAAGGTGTACTTCTAGACCTCAAGAACCAAGATCCAGAAGCAAACTCCATGGAAAATTTGTTAAAGTCACAAGAAGAGTTGATAAGTAAACTTTCCCAGGTTAAAGATGACAGGTTGTCGCTGTTTGATTTCAAAGAAACCCATGAATTGGAAATGATTTACATATCTTTGAGAAATGAATTCGAAATACAAAAAGAACAAGAAAAGAAACGGTTCGAGAAAGCATTACAGTTGGCTGAGCATGATTTTGGTGAATGGTTGGCTGATAATTATGAACAACTTGACATTATCGGAGAAGAAGAATCCAAGTTGATCCCCATTCAAATTGAAACCACTTCAATTGGAAAGATCTACACGTTGACTGCTAGCATAGATTACCAAGCTGTATCTGACCAATTGACGCAACTTGATGGATACAAGAGCATATCAAGCCTTGCCACGGATAAATCAATTGATTTGGTGGATATTGCAAAACGTAGTCTCCAAGAATTTGTCAGGATAATGACAAAGAGAAGTTCCAAGAAACGTACTTTGAGTCTGAGCGATCGAGAGTTTAAAAAGTTCAAGGCTGACTCTAGTGTATTGTTGAATTACTAATATAGAATGTAATATTATCTTGTATTGTAGTGTAGCAAGGTCGAGGTCGTGCGAAATTACCAAAATCAATTTTGCCTCAACCCTCCTTTTGCTCGGTCAATGTGGAGCGTTGAAACAGGACGGTACAACCGAGCCAAAGACGCCAACAACAATACAATCAACCTATCACCATCCCAACAATGGTATGTGCTACATGTCCATCTATTCAATTGATACACAAAAGTTATATATATACTAACAGATTGCTCTAGTCCCAATCGTTAAAACCATATTTAACCGCCGTAAGAGCATCATTAACTGCAGCCATTTGTTTACAAGACTTTTCGTCGCAATTAGTAGAAAGACACAACCGACCTGAAATAGAAGTTGACAACTCACATGACCCCGAGTTGATCTTGAACCCCATGGTGATTGCCAGAAACGAAAATGAAAAAATCTTAATTGAGCCTTCAATCAACTCGGTGAGAATCTCGATCAAAATCAAACAGGCCGATGAAATTGAACAAATCTTGGTTCATCAATTCACAAGATTCTTGACTTCCAGAGCAGAAAACTTTTTCATTTTGAGAAGAGTCCCAATCAAAGGCTACGATATTTCATTCTTGATCACCAATTTCCACACCGAACAAATGTTGAAGGACAAATTGGTCGATTTCATTATAGAATTCATGGAGGACGTGGATAAAGAAATCAGTGAAATGAAGTTGTTTTTAAATGCAAGGGCTAGAGTGATTGCTGAGTCGTTCTTGATTCCTTTCGATTAGTATTATTACATTACTATTACATAGTTTAAATAAACAAGAATTCGTTATACTCTTAAGCCTCTCCTCGATGGGGTGTATTGGGGGTGTTGCCACTTTGTACACTTCCTGGCGTATTATGTTCATTGACAATACTGCTTGTTCTTGAATTCAGCACTTGTCGTTGTTTGATAACCTCCTTGGGTGAAAGAGCATTTGTTAATGGTGAATGAGCAAACAGACCCTTGGATTGTGGTTGTTGATTATGAGGCGAGTTTGTGGCAGGATAATAGTTTTGAGGTGAGTTATAAGGTGATTGGTTAGTCGAGTCGTTGGACTCTAATTGCGGAGCCATTCTCATTCGAGGTGTAGTCTTGCCGTTGTATGTACTTGGTGTTGATCTGGGTGGTGGAAACGTCATGGCAGGGTTCTGTGGAAGTTGTTGTTGTTGTTGGTGTTGGTCCTGTGGCAATTCATAATACTGTTGTCTTTGTTCAGAAGCATTGCTCATAATTTCCCCATTATCATTGAATCCCGGTAAACGGCTTAATATCAAATCCAACTCCGTCAATGACTCAGCAGCTTGGTCAAATCCCTTAGAAGACATCTTTAAGATCCATCTATAATTGAAAATCTGATCTCGATAGAAATTAGACTCTTCTCTAGTTGGTGCCGACATAAACAATATCGTAGCAAATATTCCAATCAACGTAAAATTAGCTGACGAGAAAGAATGCCAGAACGAATGGATATGTTCAGGCTTTAAATCCCTAACAAACTCAATCGACGCCATTATTCTCGTCTTGGCTGCTCCTCGACACACATTGACTAACTCCATAGGTGGTGGCAGTCCATTCTTGGTTTGTTGATAAATCACAGTTATAATCTTTCTGTGCAACGTCAATTCTGTGGAAAAGTATGCAAGTTGCAAATATCCATTCAGACACAACTTTCTCGGTTGCACTGATGCCATTTGCAATTCGGCCGGTAACGAATGATACCAATTCCGTAGTCTTAATTGTAAAGGTTTGGCAATACTGAGCACCTGGTTAACTTCAGTTATTTCACTCATGGCTCGCATGGAGTATAAATGATTAAGCATATCGGACAAAATCTTGCCCAACTCAATTAAATTCATAAATATCTTCTTACCGTTTTCAGTATCTGTAGAGCCCTCTTTATCTCCGTCATCCGGGAAATCCTCCTCGTTTAAAGGATCAACCACCCAATTATTGTCATGGATATGCGATGGACGAGAGCATCTCAACGCCAACCATTTATCTTCATTGTAAACGGCCCACGCTAATCGTTTCCGCAATCCTCGTTCCCACTTGGGTAATTTCCAATTATGGCAATCCAATCCAAGCCCCAATTCTTCTGATAATGATACAACTTGAGAACACAATATCCATTCAGAATAGTTAATGTCTCGATTGGGGAAGCTGGTGGGACTTTGATTGCCAGGCGGGTTTTGCGTGGCTTGATCGTTGGTTATATGTTTGCATTGAAGAAGTAATAACCCAGCCTGTACTGCACTTAATTTAGGTCGTTTTAAAATCTCTTGTAAATAATTGTTCAACCCGATTTTCAAAATGATCTCCACGTTAGGTTTAGGGAAGCGGTTTAATTGTGGGTCGTAGTCCCACCATTGGATAGCCAAGACGTAAACAGCTGCTAATAATGGAGCACTGAATTCACGGTGGGTTCGGGAATACTTTTCTAAGAAAACTTTCTTGTGGATTATGGGGTATGATGGATGAATTATTCTAAAGTATAAGTCAATCAATACCTGTCCGTGAGGAGATACTAATTTTTCAATTGTGTCTACATCATTGGACATTGCTTGGTATGATTGCGGTGATTGGTCGTCTTTAAGAAGAAACTGTACCTTATCGCTGACTTTTCTTAGGGATATTGAATTGTTTATATGTAATTGTTCGACTTTGGTGCCCTTGGCACTGGTGGTTTGTGAGTCCATGATTAAATTAAGTAAATTGACATCGTACAAATATGACGTTGGACCAACGTAAAAACTTGATCTGGGGAACTGCAAAGTTGCCTTCTTCTTTGCCAATGGATTGCTTGGATATTCACCAGGAGTCTGTATGACGGAGTTTGGAGTATCACCTGCTAATATAGCAAGATTGGGATTTAAGTCACTTCTTGGTCTCTTTTGCGATGATTCATTGCTCACTTGCACTGCATCCATATCTATTGGTTTCCTCTTTATTTGTTGATTATTATTATTGTTGTTGTTGTTGTTATTATTGTATGTACAGCTCAACTGTTTTGCTTCACATTGGACACAATTGTTGGTATTGGGGACAATCACACATTTGGTTTTTCTTCTCCGACATTGATCACATGGACGACGTTGCTTTGCCTTTGAGCTGTCTGAAGCATTTGAATCACTGGCGGCACTAGTCACTCGTTCGGGAACTCCCCTCATACTATCAAAATGATCATTCGGTAGTTGATGGCCCTCCGGTTGTATGTTATGTTGATATTGGATGCTTTGCATTATTGAACTTGGGTTGCTGGGAGCCATGGCATTTGTGCTTATGTTAGTGGTGGTCGTGGACGATGAGACTGCGGCAGCGGCAGCTGCCAAGTCGATGTTGTACAAATAATCTGAAGCTCCGGGGTCCATAAGTAAACTATTAGCCCATTGAGAATCCATGAAATTTGGTGACGGGTGTTCGAAATTGGGGCCCCCGCTGGCATGATTATAGTTGTCGTTTCTGTCGTGGTGATTATTTCCGTATTGTGAGTTATGTTCGGGATGATCCGTCAGTTGATCCCTGTCGGTACCCGACATTGATGGATTGTGGAGGGCATTGCTGGTGTTGTTGTTGTTGCCGCCTCCACCTGCTTCATACTGGGACAGCTTTCGTGACTCCTGTTCATGATCGTTATTATTCATTGTGATTGCTGTCTATGCATAGGAGCAACCTTCTCTATATAAATCTATTTCTAAAATCCGTAAGGTAACACTAATCCCCGACTGTGATTTAGCAATTAAAGTTGGTCGTAAAAAAAAAACATCCCGATCTTTTTTTACACAGAGAAGAAACAGAAAAAAAAAATGTGGAAAAAAAAAGATATGGCTGTTCCTGTATATAACTTCAACATATCGAAAGATTGGCCGTATGGACAAAGTTGGTGTGGAATCTTCGTCTAGCTTGTTAGGCATTCGTTAGATATGTTTATACGAGTATCATTGTGCGGTTTTGTGTGCATTTGGCAAGTGTTTTTTAGCCACTTTAGGTAATACAATCCAAAGTTGGAAGATCCGCACTTGATATGTAGTCTGACATCACAGTCACGGTAGCTAAGTTGAATAATTTACACGGTCCTTAGTTGAAATGCGCATCGATGCACCGTTGCATATGCCAAGAACACAATATGCACACATACGAGCGCACACCAATTTCTGGTTGGTAGCGCTGGGTGGCTGCTGGTGCTGTTGCTGGTGGAGACTAACTCTCCACCCCGCCGCCACGCCGCCTATTCATAATTAAACAATCCAGATACCAGATTTAGATTCTGGTACACATTGTCATGAAAGTTAAATTCTATTTGGCCGGGCTGATCAACCATTTTAAGCTTTGCACTGAAACCTTAAACATCAAATAAAACAATGAGTAGGAAAAAGAAAAAGGCAGTGTGTTACTTTTGATGTAAGTTCATGCAATGTGACGTGAGATCAAACATGTTCTGCACCACCGCGTGCCGAATGGCGGGGGTTATCATCTCTCTTACCTATGTTTACCCTTTGTGGATCAATCGCTTATCCTGCAGAATCAACATTGAACTAAAAGGTTTTGGTTTGAATATTTAAGCATTTGAGTGTAAGTTAAGCCCGGATATTCGCAAGGACTCTGCTGTCTATAAATTATAGAACATTCCCGGCTATTACACAGGTTTGCATGTCATGCCCACTAGAAATCACCCAATATTCCACTAGTTGTATCTCTGTCGTGTAGGGTCCAAATCATATACAAGTGTTTATTATTGACATTCAAGCCTCAAGCTATAACAACAACAACAAAAAAAAAGGATCAGCTTTCAAGTTAGAGTTTTTGGCTGCCAGATTTATTTAAACCAAAACATACAACATTACACTCCTTTATACAAGCTTGGATTTCACAGATACATCTATCATTTTCCATGAATGGTGTAGATAATAGTATCCATGGTGGAAAACGAGGACTACCGCCGACAGGACCTCTTGCGGCAGCATCTTGCATTCTCTGGGTAGGAGCTGTACCCTATGAGTGGGACGAAGAAACTATAAAATCGGTAGTATGTGGACTGGGCAACATCGTGGATGTTAGAGTACTATTCGATTCTCCTGTCAAGAACAAGGGGTTTTGTTTTATTGAATATGAGACACCATATGATGCTGTACGTGCTAAGCGTTTAATCTCCAAGATTGCCATAAAGGCATTGAATGGAACAAAACGACTCCGAGTAGAGATCTCCAAAGATCCTCCAAAATGGACAGATCCAGCTCTACATGAAAGACCAATTATGCAATTGAATAGAGGCAAATTACCTGAAAATGTTAAGCTACCTTGGGAAATGACGACCGCGAGTGAAGGAATATCTTCTAAAAACGGGGATTTTAATACACATCCAGGAATGAAACGGACGTGGTCTAAACGACGAGGAGCCAAACGAGGAAGAGGAAGACCCTTTACAAATATATCCCAAGTATTTCATGTTAATAACCTAAATCATCAACCGATACAGCTGGGTAATTCACGTTTTAGCAATAAAGTTGATATAGAGGAATACAGCTACCCTGAAAACAAACAATATGAGGACCTATTTGCACAAACCGATTCTCGTGGTAGTAATAAAACGATTGACTTGTTTCCACCAGTTAATGTGCACCATAAAGGCAATGATGAAAATTTGTTTGCAAATCGGGTGTCTCGGGAACAAGATGACGATCTATTTGCAAATCGAATAGAAAGTGGCGCGAATGATGTTTTATTTCCATTGGCCAACTCCAGTAGTATTCCACTTTCAGATCAAGCTGGTTCTGTCGTGAATGATAAAAGTGATAATGATCCTTCAGAAGCTAACCCCAATATTGACGTTGATTCATGTAGCAAGCATGACGAACTCAAGCAACCATTGTATAATCATAATCAAGTTCAAACTGATGAAATAAACCAAGCTAAACATACGCATGACGCTACCCAAGCTAAGCAAACACATGCCGGCCATGGCCCCTTAAAACCAGATATAATAATATGTAATAACAATCTGCCATTAGGAATACAGGATCAAATTAAAACCGCGGAGTTGAGAATAATGTTGAAGTTGAAAGGTTGGCTACTGAAATGCAAGCTTGAACCTCAAGAGGATATCCCACAAACAATATTAGCAAAGTATTTATCAGAACTGTCTACATCCTGGTTGGGTGACATATGCCGATTTTTGTTTCTCAATTACAATAAGCTTCGAATTTTCCAGGAACAGGATCCAGAATATAATACCAAACTGTCGTTGTTTCAATTCTATTTACTAACTTTTCTGCAGGGTCGAGCAAAGTATTTGGATAATGAGATTCATGAGAAATTTTTCCATATCTTCCTATCTATATTGTCTACATATAAGAGAGTTTACAATGAAATACAATATGGTTATAATTTTAAAATTCCATTTGGGATAGATGTGGATACATTTGCTGAACATATCTTAAATACAAAAGAAGATGAGGAGAGATTACAAGAAATGCGAAGAATTGAAGCCATTTATAATTCTGGGGAAATGACCCATGATTCTCATCTAGCGGTTACGGGGAAACCATCACCAATTTTAGCACAAATACCATTACCACCACCATTGACTCCACCTCCTCCTCTGTCTACACCACCGTTACCACATCCACCGTCTCGACAACCACTGCGATCGCTAGTACTCCCTCCTCCACCTCCACCTCCTCCTCCGCCACCGCTACCGCCACAGGAAGAGATTGACTCTAGCAGTGATGAATTTAATCAGAGTAGAAAACTTGAACCATTGGTTTCTTCATTAAAGGAAACCAAGAATTCTGAAATAAGAGGTGTATTAAAAGATACAGTTGTTGTTGGTGCTGGTGAAGTTTTGCCAGATTATGATGAGGTTTCACATATAGATGAGTCTCAAACTAAAAGGAGAAAAACTACAACACAGATTGAATCTGATGATAGTTTTGAACCGGAAGCTGAAAACGCAAAAATTGCTGAAGAATCGGTTGGTAATGATCCGACTAAAGTCATTTCAAATACCAAAGAATCAGAAAGAGCTAATGATCATCCTACAAAATCATCCAACTTTCCATATTTACAAAATCGAAACGGTTCAATTGATTCTACTAATGGAGCGCAACCACATACCTCACCTGATTTAAATCTAGAAAAAAGTTTGGAAGAAAGTTTCCGAACCACTTTGAAAAGAATTCAGTCACCGCAGGATGAGCAAGAAGTACTTATTATCCAAGCAAGAAAGGAAAGGCAACGAAAAAAGAATAAAGAATTGTTGAAACAGTTTAATAAAAATCAAACGGAAGTACGTAGGCATGGTGAAGTTAGACGATTTAAGGAATCATGTAGAGATAATCATGATGATACTAGAGTTACTAGACGACACTCTGATGAACATATTGGAGAAAAGAGTCCTGTTCACACACGTACACCTCCTGTTAATGAAATGCTGTCTAAACGCGCTTTGTCAATGAGACGAAGTACTAGTCATAAGGAGGGAAAAGAAAAGGAAATGTTGAAACACAGACCATTTGGTAATGAAATTTCTCTGAGGCATTCAGAAAAAAGTCCGGATGCTGGTATTAGCAACGAATATGAAAAGGAGAAGAATAGAAATGAAGAAAAATCACAAGAAGTTATTGTCATACATGACGTTAAGTTGACAATTCAACAAAATTCAAAATCACCTGATGCTATTAATGAATCTCCACAAACTGTAGAAAATGCCCACGATGACGATATGGATGACCTGTTGATTGAAACTAGTTCTGAAATATTTGAACAACAAAAGCAAAAAAGAAAAGGTATTGTGATTGATTTAAGCACGAATAATGAATTGGGCATTGTTCAAAATGAAGAGACGGATGATGTTAATGCTGTTATAGCACCTGTAGAAACAGGAAATGAAATTTCAGATAAACTTTCAAACAAGTTAGACGATTTGTTGCACGAAACTGAAAATATGACACAAAATGAAAAAATTCGAAATCAGGCAACATACGAACAAAGTGGGAGCGAAGAAAATGTGACAAACGAGGAATTGCAAAAAAAAGCAACAAGTGACAAGGAAGATAGAAGCTACACTGTGGAATTAGTAGTTTGCCAAGACGATGCATCAGTTCAAGAAACAGAGCAGATAAATCCTATTTCTGGTGACACTTCGGAGCCGAGCTGCGGTAAAGCTACTGATGGTTCAACAAGTCTCAACACTGTTAGAGTCACATTATCACCACAGGTACATGATAATAATGAAATTGTAGGTGATGTTGACCAGAATCGTATAGATGAGGTAAGTCAACATCAACAATCCTCTACTGAAAGAAATGAAGAAGCAACTCTGCTGAAGCATCAGATTGGTCAGCTTGAACAGGCCGGCCAACCTCAGGAAGGAAGATCTGAAACAGTTATAGCAGTAGAAAAGCTACGGGATCAAAGTGAAAAAGAGAATATTCAGGCTTTGGAAGGGTACGGACAAGAACTAACTGACTTTTTCTCGTTCCTGCAACAAGGAAGTCAACCCTTGTTCGTAGCACCACCAGCACAACAACACCAGCAAGCGCATGTAGTAGATCAGCAAAGGAAATCTCTGGGAATTGAACAGCAATTGCAGGAGATTCGCGAGGCACAATTACAAGAACATGAAAAACAACATGTTGATATGGTACTGGAAGAGAAAGAACGGTTAGCACGAGTACACATGGTACAGGCGCAAATTTCTCAGTCACAGAGGGTAGCAGCAGCTCAAAAACAGACACAAAAAGAATATGAAAGATTACAGCAAGAGTTTTCTGTTAAAGCAAGTGAGGCAGCCAAAGATTTGCAGAGGCAGATAGAACTAGTGAACTTTAAACAAAAGCAATATTTGGAAGAATTGACTAAAAGGGCGCGAGCTGAAATCGATCAGATAAAGGAAAAACATCAAGCCTATATGAAAAGTTTGAAAAACTCGTACCTATCTCAAGCTGTAACTATAAATGCTGCTTCTAGGAATACTGGGAACCAAGCACCATTACCAACTTTCAACTTAATACCCCAATATAATCAGTTCCTGCTGGATAATAACATTCTGATGTGTTGGCACTCGGGTCAAACTAATTTGCAATCTTATCTGGTAGTGCCACCCCAACAAAATGCTCTTAATCAGCAGACTTCACCCAACAATACGAGCCTTGTACAACAACAGTCGCCAACTTTTGGTTCTTTTGTGCTTCCTTCGCGAGATGTAATGATGCAACCTACAGCAAGAAGTGCATCCCAACTTCCCCAACAAAATTTACCAAGATTGCCACAGGAGGGTGCTCCAAATTCTCAAACATCGGGTAAACTTTCATATCTTGAGAAAAGGTATAGATATGACTCTAGCAATGTTGGTACTAGTAGATTGTCTACACGAACATCATTTGCACCCCGACGTTCTCCTACAAAAAGGGAGGTTGTTGATGTTTACATACCTCCTGAAATTCATACTTTATTGAACTCTTCAAAATAAAGAATGCTATCTAAAGTCTTTCCTTTAGGTTGTTCCAAAACCCTTTGTCATACACGTTAGTTAATTCGTGTTCCATTGAATTTATGCAAGTTAAAGTGAAGTTATTGATGTTGGTGCGATTAATTAGAATTTCTTCACTTTTCAAACTCAAATAAGCTGGCTCCCCCGAGGAAAGTAACACTTGTTCCACAAATGGCTCCTCATTATTAACTGGGGGCTCGACTCTATATAAAGCCCTTAATCTAATCAAATGTTCAATTTCTGACCATTTGTCTAATTCATTCGTGGTAACCCCAAGATAAACATATTGTAAATGCAACCCGGTAAATAATGTTGTAATTATTATGAAAATAATGCATAGAATTAAAAATATTCCTGTTATTTTATTTGCATCGGTGGTTTTTGTAATTAATTTCCAAAATTTACTGATTGCATTGTTTGCACCACCGTTGTCTGCCCCACCAAGGTTGTGTCTGAATTGAAAAATTAGCGCTTGGTAGCACACATATCCACCGTAGCCAAGCATGATGATATTAGCAACCAAGAATAAGAGAAACCACTTGTAGTTGTAGTAACCTATGCAATTATTTACCCATACACAGTGATGGTCATATAATAAGTAGCAATGACCACATATTGAACAATGTTTTGATCGTGGTGGTTTGACTATATGACAAGTATTGCATGTCTTGTCGTTAAAAAATATTAGTTGGTTATTCTGAAACTTGTAGTTGTGAGGCACGGGTTTTTTCGAACTGACTACACCGGGATCGGAAAAAATTGCCAAAATAGTCGAGGAATAAACTAAAATTATAATGAATGTGATATCTGTTTTGTAGTAAGGTCCGATCATAGACGTGGTTACCATGGGGATTGTCTTGACTAAGAATTGGTAAATGCAAAATGTGACTACTGCAAGGTAACCTGATGGCACCAACCAACTCAACCACTTCAAAAGTTTTCCATTGGTTTTCCGATCTAGGTAATTATAGACGTGAGTTATTTGCTCAGTAGTCGTGAATATGGCTTTTCGTAGTTTGTGGATTGGAGTGTTTCTAAAACTTGGCAGGTCTCCAAATATTACTATAGCTGAAAGGAATGAACTGATAATAGTTATCCCAAGTATTAATATAAAGAGCATGGTTATGGTGTAATGTACAAAATAACAAGGTTTTAGAAGGAAATGGACCTTTTACAAGAGGGAGATTCCCCTTTCGGAAACCTAAAAAAAAAAATCACGAAAAACAAAAAAAAAGTTGAACAAAACCACGTATCATTTTGTATGTGTTACTTTGATATAGAGTGACTATGAGTTCGTACTTGTCGATCCTTGAGGAGGAGATCACGCATGTCCAAGAACTACTACAATCATTACCTTTCAATGCAGAAAAAAGAACAATCCCGTTTCTCGAGGTGTACAAAATACCTTATCATGAGTTTATAGAATTAAAGAATCATCCAAATAAATTTCCAATTGATGGGAACAAGCTCCTTAAACTCGGAATATCGTTGGGTAACCTTTTAAAGACACTAGAGGCTGAAAAGGAGAATTATGATCGTCAACAAACACAGCAACAAGTATTTATACAGAATTTAAACAAATCACGCGCGAACAAGCCCAAACCCACCACTGCAACTGCGAATGGCCAAGAATTTGACCCATTTAAAGAGAGTTCTGATTCAAATGATAATTCACAAATAAAACGACAGTCCGGCACCTCGGATGTAAGTTCCAATGCAAATGCAGCCATACATCCTTATCAAATTCGATTCATGATGAACCTTTTAAATATTCTAAAGAGCTTTGATATACGCGTGCCCAATCCCTACAAACCGGAAACAACATCTGTGGTCAGCCATTTATATGGCGATGGACCTACCAAAAGAGATAGTCTACCATCCAATTATTCTCCGGCAAATAGAACACCCCCGCGTCCACGTCCCTCGTCAGCCTCATCAGAAATTTCTCGGCCGGACTCGGTGGTAACATCCTCACCTATAAAACTCAGTTCACGACAGCTATCAATCGAGAAATTAGAAATCAATATTAATGTTGATAACATATTTATTTACAAAATCTTGTTGAAGATGATTAGGGAGATCTATCTCCGATTAAAGGAACATTTCCAAACAATTGAATCCCAAGGTATTGTTACTGATACAATTTCCAAGAATGATTCCGATGAAAACTTTTCAATATTTTCCCTGAACTCAAATAACTCTCAGGAGAATTTACTCCCTGGTAACGATGAATATCTACGTGTGTTTCATCAAGTGATGAGTCGAATTTCTTATGGAATATTGGAACCTTTTATCCTTATGATTTACCACGAATTGGCTGAAAAGAAAATCCAGGATTCTTTCACAGATTTGATTGAAAGTTTGTAGGAGCTTTTTTTATATAAGTTGTAGATTAACTAGCTATGGGGTATACAATATATATATTTATTTATTTACTACTCTTATTTTTATGCCTCTATTTAAGATATAGACCTGCTATATTCCAACATACCACCATTTGGCAAACCTTCTCCAAACAATTTTACTGAATCTTCTTCCAAGCACCTTACCAATCAAGGGGAATATGACAAAACTAACCAATGCCTGGATTTGTTGCATGCTTTCTTCCCATTGTTCTTGGGCCGTCAATGAGTACTCCGACGAGTAGTAGGATGACTCGGAGCTGTTGTCGTCAATTTCAGAATCATTCTCAATGTCTGAATATTCGTAGTTTACTATGTCAGTAGCTTGTTCAAACGACATTGTCTTGTGATGTGTATGGTGTGTTATTCCTGTTTGCCTTCAAACTCCACACTGTAAAAAGTGTTGCCAAACGAAAAATACAATCGTAAGAGGAACGAAAATTTTACATAACAAAAAAAAAAAAAAATTTACAGTAAATCTGTCTTTCGCGATGCTGCAACAGCATCAATGTTTAGAGCAATCCGCAGGCTTGTCATGTCTGAGACGATAAACGTTGAAGACTACAATATCGTTAAAGAAGGCAAAGCTGAAATTCTTGCTCCTAAAGAAGATAAAGTTTTCTACAACCACATCCAGCAATTCAATCGTGATTTATCAGTGTTGGCCATCAACGCTTATTCCGAACTTAGAAATGAAAAACAAGCTTCCAAACAAGGAGCCAAGAAACGTAAATTAGACGGCATATCTATATTAGAAGCACTTAGTGCTACGGGATTACGTGCAATTCGATATGGTCATGAAATACCTCTGGCATCTAAGATTGTTGCCAATGATTTGCTTCCAGAAGCTGTCAAATCAATTAATAGAAATATTGAATATAACAAGTTGACCGATAAAGTTAGAGCCAACCATGGAGATGCAATCAAGTACATGGCTTCAACGAATGAGAAGTTTCATGTGGTAGATTTAGATCCTTATGGAACTGCCGCTCCATTCATTGATGGAGCTATTCAGTGTATACATGAAGATGGACTTTTATTAGTTACATGTACTGATGCCGGAGTTCTTGCTGGTTCCGGTTACCCTGAGAAATGTTTTGCATTATATGGAGGAAACAATTTTGGAAGTGCTTATATTAACAGTGAATGTAATCATGAAGCAGGAATCAGATTGATTTTAAATCTGATTGCTAATACTGCTGCCAAATATAAGAAAACAATTGAGCCATTGTTATGTTTATCTATTGATTATTATTTCAGATTGTTTATTCGAGTCAAGACAAGTCCAATAAATGTCAAGAACCATGCTCTGAAAACAGTATTAGCATATGGGTGTAATGGATGTGGTCACAAATTAATCCAACCTTTAGGTGCACACAAAAAAGGGAAATATCTGTACCCTAAGGTTAGTCCAGGAGTTGCTTCTCAGTGTGAATATTGTGGTGATTCGTTTAACTTAGCTGGTCCAATGTATGGATCTAGTTTACAAAACCACGATTTCATTGATAAAGTCCTTGCTCTTAATTCTGCAGCTGATACTTCGGTATACGGAACTTGTGAACGTATAAAAGGAATGTTGACCTTGGCTAAGAAAGAATTAGACTTACCATTTTACTTTAATTTGAATCATTTATCATCTATGTTTAAGTCACTGCCTATCTCGATCGATGAGTTTGTCAAGGCATTAGGATCATTGGGCTATCAAGTAAGTTTGACCCATGCAAAGAGGAATTGTATAAAGACAGATGCCCCTTGGGATGTTATTCTTCAAATTAACAAAACTTGGATGGTTGAACAAAACAAAAAGTATTTAGAAACACAGTCCAAGAAAGAAGAACTGGAACTTAATAATAAGACAAAGGAAAAGATCAATCGATTAAAAGAAGATATAGCCTATAATGCCAATTTGAGTGAAAACTCCCCTGGGGCAAAGATCCTATCTAAACTTCGTGACACTAACTTAGAAGTTGACTTTCACACTGAAAATGACATCAGTCTTGAAATTGCAAAATTGAGGAAAGTTAAAATGGTTAGATTTCAAGAGAATCCTACCAAGGACTGGGGGCCTAAAGCGCGTCCTTCCAAAAAGTAAACAACCCTTTAGCGATTCTATCCGAATGACATTTCCAGCAGACGGCATCTTCTCTGGTTGTTCGGTTAAATAGTCTAATCTATATACTTTGATTGCGCAAAATAGCAACCAAAAAAGAAACAGACCGTTAAGAAAAACCCTAAACTCAAGTACTGTATACAAGTATGCCGGAGGGATGTAGTTCCTAAAATCGGAACGCCCCCGAAAACAAATAGATGAAAAACAAAAATTTTTTTTTCTTCTTCCAAAAATGTGTGGGAAGAAAATCTACGATAAAAATTATTAGGATTGTTCATTCTCATCCCCTCTCTCCCCGCTCCCGCTTCTCCTATCCCCTTTGTTAACAGACAGTGGATGGACTTTTCCGCCCTTTTGAAGAAAATAATAAATTGCTGTCAAGAATATATGATTACGTACATTGTTTTTCAACTTTGTGTGGTTACGGTTTAATTTTGAAAAAAAAAAAAAAAAAGAAAACTGGCTAGTTTATTTGGTAACTGGATATCGTTTTTTTTTTTCGCCCTCCACTGAAATGCCACACGTTTTCATATGCAGTGCCTCGGAATATGAAATTAAAGGATATTTTGACCTTCCTAAAATAGCGTGAGTTCAGGTGGCACAGCATCAACCCTTTTCTTTTTAATGCTGGTTACGAAACAGTGAAATCTCATGTTGAAAATTGTTACGTAGTTGTAGAATTTTCTAGAGTAATTTTATTTGTAATATTTTTATTGCCTCATATTTTTTTGCCGTTTGCTTGCTAATGTGTGTAAATTTTGCTTTTTTTTGCACGAGGGTAGCACCCTAATTTCCCTTGCCATTGACCGTAAAAATCATTTCTATTATACGTTGTGATGGACAACCTAAGTAATTTTAGTTTATCCGCAAGGCTTTACATTAAGGTTGCGCTCCATTAAGATGAGATCAAGCTAAGCACTAAAGTTTGCGATATCTACAAAGTCAAATTTGAAATAAAACTATTAGGTGTTGTTGTTATATTATAATAAATTAATAAAAAAAAGACAGATATTAAAATAACTCTAAATTTATATAAATGACCAATTGATGAAATGAAAAATAAATTGAAAAAAAACCAATTTTGAACATCAAAGGGAGACGATTGGTTTGCTCAATCATTGATTACTCCCTGCTTTCCCATTATTAGATGTTTGTAAAACACTTAGTCAATTTAATAAACTTAGAATAATAAAGCAACGGCACCAGCGGCAATAGCACCAACGGCACCAGCAGCACCTAATTGAGCAGCACCGTTCTTACCAGTGGTGGTAGCGTTGGAGTGGTTACCGGTAGCGTTAGCGGAAGCGTTAGCAGCAGAAACGGCACAAGCGGCGGTTAAAGCGACGACAATAGACTTGAATTGCATTGTGAATATAATTTAAATTTAGTAATTAATCTATTGAGATAGGCTTAATATGAGCTATGGACTGAAGAAAGGAAAAGAGAATGTGAAAAAGAAAATGGATCCTTTGGGAAAATCCTGATTAATTTATACTCTATAGGACCCAAAAATTTTTTTGTCAATTATTCCAGATAAATGAGTAATCAGTACACATAAAAAATTTCTTTTTTTTATTTTCCTTAAGGCAATTTAAAAAAATAATTTTTTTTTGTTATTTTAGCAAAAAAACAAAGCAAGATGGCTGAGTAAAAAAAAAAAGAGAAATATCAATAAACACGAAAATAAAATTTTATTTTTTTGTTATCCGGACTCATTTTTGTGTAACCTGTTCCTATTTAGGTTTTTTTTTTGTTCCGCGACTGATGCCGCAAATCGTCTAATCATGATGTGTTTACACACGCTTTAAGTTGTATTTGAAAAGTTAATGTTTAATTTACACTTTGTTTTCTGTAATAAAGTTTGAAACTTATACAAAGTGAAGGTAATTGTTAACCAAACAAAAGAATTTTTTTTTTTCTAACTCCTGTGGGCGTTCATTGCACAAACACGATAAATTGTTTTAATTGTTCGGTTGGTTTCACTTGATTTCCTAATCGGGATATATTCTATGCATCCACCACATTGAAACGCAAAATTATGCACTGGAAGAAAAAAACAAATATTAGCCAATATACACCTTCCAATTGGAAAGCTGGACTCGTGTTTTTTTTTGGAGGGGGGGGGAAGAATTTCAAGACATAATAATAGAGACATTTTGCAAGAGATTTGTCAAGCAAAGCTCCAATTTTTAGTTCACACAGTTTTCTATTTCGCTACTTTACGTACCTTTTTTTACATGAGCTTGCGTGTAATTCGTAAAACAATGTCGATTTTTTTTTCGTGTGGAAAAAGAATCTGGTGTATTTTTTTCGCAGCTTATCCCGTAAATGAATCCATTGAATGGTAGTAATGGTATGGTTACACATTCGAGTAGTGGGGCTTTCCGGAGTATGTATTGTCTCCTTTAACCAAATGAGACAAGTAGCCTGTTTGGGCAGGTTTGTCGTGTTCAACTCGGCGCAATTTGCTTAGCCTAAGGCTTTATTTTCTTCATTGTAAAAACTGCCCCCTCTAAACTGAGGTTATGCAGCTGGTGCCTTAGTTTCAAATCTCTACAAGTTCCAAGCTTTTCTTCAGTTTTAAGAATTTGATCCAACCGCGTTAGAAACGTGGTATTAAAAAAAAAAATTCTGAGCCATAGGCTAATTTGATTTGGACACAAAACCAGGGAATTGTACAAGAAAATTGTTAATTGTTGGTAAATCAACTTACATTCTAATGTACCGAACGATTGTTTCTTATCGTCAAGCTTTAAGTCAAGTTAATCGTAGCTTTTGAATGTCTATTACATTGTTTATCTATGTTGTTGATGACAACCAAAAAAAAAAGCAGACGAAGATACAATTGCATGACAAAACTTGTTAGCCCGAATTTCAAAACAAATCAAATGGCGCGACAAATTTGGTGCAGATACAGATGTGTGTGTACAATTTTTGCTTATCGTCTGAAAATTATTCCCCTATTAGATTTATAGTGCGATTATAATTCATGACGCCCCACATCACATCTGACGCCTCTGACAAGATACTCATCAACCAGATCCACAGTTACACACACGCGTCATGTTTAATTGGAACCTGACACCTTACCTAATCGGGTATAACTATGGAAAAATATGAATTATTTGCATCAATGCCATTACACATTTCCACCTCGTGTATCTATACTATGTTAATGTAAATAATAATTAAAAAGAATTTGTTCTTTCTATCCCCCACCCAGAAAAAAAAAAACAACTGAAACTGTATTTTTTTTATCCAAAAGTGTGGATTTTGCCCGCCTTGCCCTAAAAAATAATTATATTCGTCTCATACATTTAGACTCTAAACTAATCTGTCAATCTACCAATAATTTTGTTGCTATTTTTAAACATTTTTTTTTCTTCTCCTTTTTTGTATGCAGGTGCAGAGATGAATTTTTCTAGTTTGTTTCTTTTTTATGATTATTATTTTTTTTTCTTTTAGTTCCTATCCTATACCCCTTAAACGGATGCAACTATTACTTAATTCGATCTCATCGCGACTTGCAACCATATTCCATGACCATTGTCATGTATAGTACTTTGGAACTTGCATCAGATCGACGTGATTATTCTGTGCGTGTGAACCGCCTTTAGTTTTTTTTTATTATTTTTTGTAGTTTTGTTTTGCCTGTGTAGTTTGAACAGGTAGGCTAATTACCACAAATTGGGTGATTTGTGACAAAGTGCAACCATTTTGCAATCTACAGCTGTTATCGCTGATTTTGCTTGCTGAGTGGCAAGCTTTCAAACACAGCAAAGCGAATGCCGTAGTTGTTGAAACTCACCCATAGAAGCTACCGAAGTTTCTTTTCATGTTTACGTTTGCTATTTCCGTTGTTATTTCCGGCTATATGTTCCAACGATGATATCATTTATTATTTTACTTTTTTTTTGCAGATATTTCGGAATAAAAATTACCATGATGTAATAAATTAGATATCTAACTTGACACACGTAGCAATCATTATCCGAAATCCGTTTCATGTAGTGAACAATCTAAACATGTCATTTTGCATCGGGATTCAAACCGACAGATGCCTTACATTCCTGGTTGTTACAGGCGATGGATGCCAATTTCAGGCGCGGTACACGACCCCCTTCCGTAATTATTGTAAACAAACCAGAGTTAAGATTGCTGCAACGGTTTTATTTCATGAGCCGCAATGTCCATACTGGAATTATTGAAGGGTAGTAAGGTTAGTACTCTCAATCAAATAGCATTACTTTGTGGATGTCCTATTTTTTCAACTGTTAAATCAGAAAGAATTCTCGGAATTAAGTCAAGTATCGATTTCTATAATGGACACGTATTGAAAAGCACGAATCGAACTACTCTTGCCATTGATGTTGGTATTAAGAATTTTTCATATTGTAAATCAGAGGGCTCTTCATTTCCATTGACAATAACGAAATGGGATAAGATTAATTTGGATGCTAAATATGGCATGTCATATTCACCCATGCTTCATAAAGAATCATTACTAGACAAGAAAAGATACTTGAACCATATTGCATCCAAGATGATAGATGACAAACTACTACCTTGGGCTGATTTGGTGGTTATTGAATCTCAAAGAACTCGATCGAATAATAATTCATCTACATTACCTAATGCATTACTTAATCATACCTTGGAGAATTTAATATTTAGTAAGCGATATCCAGGACTAATAATACCCATGACTTCAAATCAAATGATTAGTTTTTGGTTTAATAGATTCATCAACAAAGAATCTATGAAGAAACTTAAGAGTACCAAGGTTATGAGAATGGAGTTAACATATAATTGGCTAGATGTATTGTTTACTCTTCCTAGCTTCAATTCTCAATTGTCCAATAGAAACCTTTTAGATTATTTAGGGTTGGATCGTAAGCAAAAGACTGATGATTTGATAGACAGCCTATTATATAACCTAACTTTAAACTGCACATTAGGACATTTGAGAGACCTTTCTAACTGGATCGAAGATGATGGTAGAGAACTCACTGGCTTTGTAGAAGAAAAGAACAAAATTCATTTACACTTGATAAGGCCAATAATTGAAAAATATGATTTGGAAGTAAAAGATGATTTTAAGGAATTGATTTGATGGAAATTTAGATTACCAAGAAGCAGGCATTATAAGAGGATTATAAGCTGATTTTGAAATTGGTTGGTATGGCCGCTGTTCCACTTCCCTATTAGGTTCAGTCTCGGTTATATTCCTGAATATAATAGTAGGTGGGGAAGCGAACGTGTTAGAATAACGTGGTAACAATGCGAACTGGCTTGTGTGTTTTCCATCGGACTTTAACCCAAGTTTGCCCACTTCAGGTATCGCATGAAATGATAAAATCAAAAGAAATGTACGGCCGTATATTTTACCCAGATACTCTAGACTGTGTTTTGACCAGTAAAAGAAAGAGAAAGAGATCTAAAATTCAGACGTGCAAATCCTTTTTAGTATAGAAATAATTAATCTACGCCTAAAGATTTATCTCCTCGATATACACCTAACTATATCTTTAGGGGGAATTTGGCTATAGAATTAGTAAAAAGACCTAGAAGTAGTCCCCTAGAAATATAAATATCTACTAGTATTCGGGTCAATATTGTAATCTCCGATCCAGATACTTTCGTTCGGGGCAAAAACAATGTTTTATTGTCCGGAAAATCTTCCCCACTAACCCCACAAACCGGTTCACGAAAATTTCAGACCACTATTGTTGCAACACAATTCCAAGGTTGTTTAAACGGTGGAACAGAGATAGTTACATGGAGTTATAAACTCTTGTGGGGAAGTCTGTTAATTGTGATAACGGGATTTTGAAACACTGTGCATTACAAGAAAAACTACCTTAGATTTGCTAATTGGATTGACTATTGACTTGGATGCTTCAATGGGAGGACTAAGGTCTTTCACCATTCTATAAGACACTAATTCAGAAGAAATATCATACTTTTAAGTATTTTCGATTTGTAATTAATACAAACTTTAACAAGAGCTAACCTTAACACTGCTTCCTTTAATCTGAGACTTAAAACAATAAAAGGTTTTTTTTTTTAATCAGGCTCGGCTTTTGGGTGCAAATCTTGTGGGGCCCCCCAAAAAAAATCTAAGGGACAGATACCTATTGCAAAAAACCCTTTTCGATGGAATTTAGTCCTTGTTATACTAGATATTTCAGTATATAAACCTAGTAAATTATTCTCGAAATATGTGTTTAGAAACAATTTTATTCAACAACATTGAGAATGTCCAAAAATTTAGAAGTAGACTCCATCAGAGACTTGCCATCTTCATTCGATGAAAGCACTTCATCGATAAACAAGACAATTACAAAAGTTGTAACCGATAATGAATTTGTGATTCTTGGTAACCAAAAATTCTATACCCATGAGTTAATGTCTGTATTTGGTCCAACATTAAATTTGGGTATCACTCCCGTATCTGCAAACAAAATAGGTAATCCTGCTCCAGTTGGTATGTTAACATTTGGATTAACTTGTTTTATCATGAGTCTTTATGGAGTCCATGCAGGGGGTATAACCGTATCTAATGTTGTTGTAGGGATGCTTATATTTGTTGGTGGTACAGGCCAGGCTCTTTGTGGGGTTGGTGAAATGATTATTGGAAATACATTTGGTGCTACAGTTATGCTTTCCTTTGCAAGCTTCTGGTTTAGTTATGGTGCAGTTCTTATTCCAAGTTTTGGAATTGAAGAAGCATACGCCGAGGATATGGACCAATTCAACAATGCCCTTGGATTTTTGTTAATGGGTTATGCAATCTTAGCTAGTTGGTTAACTACATTCACATTTAAGGCTTCTATCTCCATTCTCATTTTATTTGTCTGTATTACCATGACATTTTTGCTACAATCAATAGGGGCTATGACAGGAAATTCCCATGTAGCTTATGCTGGCCAAATATTTGGTATTTTCACTGGTCTTTCAGGTATGTATAATGGTTTAGTAGACTTGGCACTCAAAGAAACTACTTATTTTACCCTTCCTGTTGGACCTTTAAATTCCCATCATTAGAGATTTGCAATATTTAAATGTTCAGATTAGAATTCTTCAACCAAAGGGTCGGGATAGCGGGGGGACTCTTTGATGTTTTTGTTTAACTAATAATTACTACTATATATGGATTACGGAAAACAAATTGTTGTAAGTCTCTTATCCATGTTCTATTGCAACTTGGTTACATACGATAAAGATTAAATTTGTCTCCATCATTATTTAGGTGTAAAAAAAGTTAGTACAAAGTTCGCTTTCTTTTGCACTGAGCTACATGAACTTACGCCATATCTGGATGGTAGGATATAAAGTTATTCATTTTGTTCAGGGTGCCAAGATATTTTTAACTACTTACGCGAGAAACAGTTGAAAGGTAAAACAGAAGAGATAATAATAAACAGGTAACAGGGATATATCGTTGAATTCAAAGGCAGAACTTATCACTTCCTTGAACAATTTCATATATTTAACATTCGAACTGCTGCTGGTGATGCAGGTGATAGATCTGTTCTTCAGAGGTGAATCTGTTGATTATTATACAGCAGAATAGGAGATAACTTGTGAATTTGGGGGAAAGGATACATTGTAATGCATTTGCCGCACATATTATCTTCATTGTATCTTATTCCATACAATTTCTTTTTCGAGTGAAATTTTTTTGGAGGGGGGAATATTATTCTCCACCTACCCCGCAAAATGGGCGTTCCTTGAAAATCCCACTTTGATTGTATGCGAACAATTACCTATAATTCCATATCTACTGTAATGGTGGGGCAGTGAACATTCCTACTTGATATTACCACTTGTGGGGAAAGTGGGAGTTCTCCTCATAATCGGCTCTGATAAGGAATGTGTCGAAAAAGAAACATTTATCTAGCCGATTAGGTTTGATAACTAATTACTATGATTTCTTTTTTTGTGGGTGGTCGATAAAGTTCGAAGAGGTTGGCAAAAGACCTCAATATACCCGATACAAACCTAATAACTAGTTCAGTGGCAAATTGTCACCTGAAGAGCAATAGTACCTATTTGGCAATATGTGCTAATATGCAAGGAAGCAACACAAACAAAAGAAATTCTATTGATCGGCAAACTTTGAACAACTCCGAGAGGGTTATTTTTTTTCTGTTACTACCGGCAATATTTGGGTGCAAATCTTGTGGGGGTGGCTACTAATCAGACTTAACAACAAACGTATATTACAAGAACTGTCTTTACTTGTAATATTTCACTTCCTGATCTGGGGAATTCCATATAAAAACTTGGAAGTTACCTCTTCAAGAAACTGAAAGAAATTTGTTCACTATTATTTCCTAATGTCCAAAGATCAAGAAGTCTACTCTATTAGAGACTTGTCATCTTCGTTTGAAGAAAGCTCTTCATCATCAATAAGCAAAACAGTCACTAGAGTTGTAACCGATAATGAATTCGTGATTCTTGGTAACCAAAAATTCTACACCCATGAGTTAATGTCTGTATTTGGTCCAACATTAAATTTGGGTATCACTCCCGTATCTGCAAACAAAATAGGTAATCCTGCTCCAGTTGGTATGTTAACATTTGGATTAACTTGTTTTATCATGAGTCTTTATGGAGTCCATGCTGGAGGGATAACCATATCTAATGCTATTGTTGGTATGGTTATATTTGTTGGGGGAACTGGGCAAGTTATTTGTGGAATTGGTGAAATGATTATTGGAAATACATTTGGTGCTACAGCTATGCTTTCATTTGCAATGTTCTGGTTCAGTTATGCTGCTATTCTTATTCCAAGTTTTGGAATTGAAGCTGCCTATGCTGAACACATGGATCAATTTGAAAACGCTATAGGATTTTTGCTAATGGGGTATGCAATTTTGGCTATCGGACTCACCACGTTAACTTTAAAGGCTGCTGTTTCGATTGCAGTCTTATTTGTTTGTATTTCAATGACATTTTTATTACAATCTATCGGAGCAATGGTCGGGAATGCCAATGTTACTTATGCAGGTCAAGTATTTGGTATTTTTACTGGGATCGCAGGAATGTATAATGGATTAGCGGAAGTGTCCTTGAAGGAAAATAGTTATTTTTCCGTTCCTGTTGGTCCGTTAAGTTCACAGCACTAATTAATTACTATACGATTTAGTTGATCTAAATCTTAGTCAAGGGAATGGGGCCGCCTTGTTAATCTCTTTAATTTTGATTTTACTTGTTTTTCGTTACTACTAAAATATACATGATTACACGTACTTCTGTCTTATACGTGCCTCTCACCCGCATACATTAACGGGATCCTAAGCCGAATTCCTGGCTTACATCTTGCAAGAGAATCACTTTGTCTGGATAAATGTTTAACAGAAAAACAATACCCCCCGCAAATGTCTCCGACTTTGTGTGTGAATGTTGTTGCTCGTATCTGACACCCAAGTTGGTGGGGGGAGGGAAGTGAATGAAATTGTGTACACGCAAAAAACCGGAACAATAAAATTATCCGCAAAATATTGGGTGCAAAGGCACTAGCGCAAAAAAAAAAAACAACCTACTATTGTTCAAATTCTCGTAACAAAAGGACAAAACAAGCTGTAGTCCCCTCTGCATGGAGTCGTGTTTGATTTGATAATCATTTGTTTCAGGGAGCGCCAAGAGGATCATTTTTGATGCCCTGAGGCGTAGTTGAAAGAGGAGTAATTTGAAAGATATAAATACCTTCATCACTTTCCTTCAACAAGCTGAAAATGTCTTTGGATTCAACAAACATGTCATCCAAGGATAATACATCTGATTCACTCCATTCAGTTTCCTCTAACGCAGCATCCATCAACTCTGCTGATTTTCCAATTGCTAAAATTCAAACTACAGGTGATGGTAATGAATTTGTTATAATCGGTAGAACAAAATACTATCGTCATGAATTAATGAGTGCATTTGCTGGTTCTTTAAACCCAGGTCTTCACCCTCCTTCGCCTCACCATATTGCTAACCCTGCACCTTTGGGGTTGGCTGCATTTGCTGTTAGTACTCTTGTTATGAGTTTATATGGTCTCCATGCCAAGGGAGTAATGATTCCTAATGTTGCTGTTTCGTTAGCTTTGTTTTATGGTGGTGTTGGTCAAGTTACCTCTGGTATCTGGGAAATGATTCATGGAAATACCTTTGCTGCTACTTCTTTAGTTTCATTTGGCTGTTTCTGGTTTAGTTACGGTGCCATGATGACACCAAGCTTTGGAATCATGGAAGCATATATAACTGAAGACCCTACTCAATTAGAAAATGCAATTGGATTTTATTTGATGGGTTGGGCTATTCTTGCATTAATGTTTTTGATTTTAACTTTCAAGTCTACACTTTCATTTGTGTCATTATTTGTGTTCATCTTTATGACTTTCTTCCTACAAAGTATTGGTGCTATGGTCAATAGTCCAACATGTACTTTAGCTGGTAACTATTTTGGTATGTTCACCGCAGCATCTGGATTCTATAATGCATATGTTGGTATGGCCACTAAGCAAAATTCATATTTCCAGTTCTCTGAATTTCCAATTTCAATGTTTTCCAAGAAGAAATGAACACTGTTATGAATTATGACTTTCAATTCTTCACTACATGGGGCCGGTACTTTTGTTTTATATAGCTTTTTCTCTTTATTATTTTTACCATTACTACTACTATTAATATACGACAGATTAATGAAATCAGCAAATATGAATTAAATATACGCTACATTGTGAAACTAACCTTAATAAATACCCTACAACTTTTTTTTTAAATAATGCCATAAATTCAACCTCCAGACTCTGTTTTTTTTGTTTAAATAATATTCTGTGTTTCCTTAGGAATAGTGATTTTCTGTTGATGATGATGAGAATTGACTGAATCAGTTGGTCTTAAACTGAGGGAATCGTGGTTATCATTTGGTTGCGATTCATCCTGATCATCTGTTGTTATTTCAAACAAAATTTCATCATCATCATTGATTTTGTCATTTGATGATGAACCTTGTGTGGATATTTGGTTGTTGTCGATATTCTCATTCCTTTGTTCATCATCATCTTCTTCTTCGTCGTCGTCATCATCATCCTCGTCGTCGTCGTCATCATCATCTTCTTCATCATCGTCTTCATTTTCATCGTCCTCATTTTCATCTTCTTCATCATCATCTTCATCATTATTCTCATCTTCTTCGAGTAAATCACCCTGTCTCTTCTTTTCTGCCTTTATCGCAATAATCTTTCTTCTTAAAATATCTACAACTTCAGTCCATTCTCTCATACCCCCCATACCGATATCACCACAAACCAATACTTTTTCGACCGGCTTCAAAACCTCAATCCCAAAATCAGGACAAGTAATAATATTAATTTGCTTTGCGGTAATTGGATGGGTATACATAAATGTATTCATTGCTGGAGCAACAATTATAGGCTTCTTAACAGCTTGACCTGAAATAGAAGGTGACCAAGATCTAACTATTGAAGTTAATAAATTGTCTGCTATACCATTGGAAATCTTGGCCAAGGTGTTTGCGGAAAGAGGAGCAATCAACATAATATCAGCCCACCTTCTCAATTCATTATGGAGAATCAATCTGTCATATGGATTCTTGGGTTTCTTAGGATTTAAATTAGAAGTCAGAGTAGATGGAGTAATTGTACTTGAAGGTTCATTGAAATTTGCCCATTCATCTTCATCACGCCAAATCTTTACATCATTATGAATCTTCAACCCACGGAGAAAATGACTAGCGGATTTTGTCAACACTAACTGGATGGAAACCTTATTGGTGGTAAAGATTTGAAATAATTTATCAATTATTTGTGGCATTTTAATAGTGGCAACTGATCCAGTACATGCTAATAATATATGGAATTTCCCGTCGTCTTGCTTGGTCAAATATTGTTGGAATGGGACTGGTGGACCCACTGGTGATGCAACAATTGTCTTATTAGATTTTTTAATTGAGCTTCGTCGGGATGAATTGTTACTGTTAGTACCATTAATCTTAATCGGTACTGCCGGGGAGGCGCTAGGTGGTGGGCTAGGAGAAGCAATCCTTATAGATTCTGGTTTCTGTTCAAAACTAAACACCCGACTCATATCTCCAGCCTCAACAGGGGTATCTCCTACACCCGGAGTAATTGGTGACATAGCACTGTCCTTAGCCAACCCTCCAGTTTGTAATTGATGAAGGTGGGGGTTTGGATATGACTTGCTTGGTGAAGGTGCATGCGAATTGACTAAAAAAGACAATACGTCATTTGTTGAAGTATTGGTTTTAACCGATGTATTTCTTGAAGGAACATTTGATCCAGGTTGTGATGCTTGTTGTTGTTGCTGCTGTTGATGCTGTTGTGGAGCTTGTGGTTGTTGGCTGTGAGGTGCATTTTCTTGCATCACATTGGTGGCAGAAGGTTGGGCCGAAATAGTAAATCTTCTAATTCGCTCCTGGGACTCTAAATCTCCAAAGGATACACTTGGATTCCGGAGTGGGGTACCTGAAGAATTTGAACCTGTTGCTGATTGAATTGGTGTTATTGGAGATTGCAGTGTACTTGCTACCCCTTTAGTATTAGTTAAGATCCTAGGTGATTCAAGCTTAGTAATTGGTTTGGCTGGAGGCGGGTTGACCTGAAGCTGCTGTTGAAGCAGTTGCCGTAGTTGACCCACAGATTCATCAGTAGTTGGAGCTGGAGCTGGAGCTGATTGTTGTTTGTCGGTTGACGCGGTTGAAGTATTGAGAATTGGTTGTTGTCTAGATTGTTTTGGTGAAAGTGCCTCACCCATCGGATCAGGTAAAGGCGAATAATCTTCTGATGCAGGTTCAGTCATGAAGGATTGAAAGTATACAAGTATTAGCTTTGTAACTGGGTGTTGATCGTCTAAGTGGCTAGTAGATTGAGAGTCTTTGAAAGGGTGAAAAGTCTCTGGATTCAGTTATGAATGTGTTAAAGTGGGAGAGGCAAAGGATCTTAAATTTTTTTTCTGCCTATATAAAATTTGTGGGTGATTTTTTTTTAACGCAGCGTTAAAGGAAAGAAAAGGAAAGGGAAAAAAAAAAATAAAAATTTTTTGGGGGTCTCACTTGTGTTTTTACTATGGTTTATTTTTGGAATAAAAATTGATCCGAAAACAATCGGCTAATATTGGCGCTGTGGCCAGTGAAATGTTTCCATTTCTGTATAGTATCCGCCTATAGGTTATCTTTTTTATAGATGGAAAGAACATTATGGTATTTTGTAATTGGGAAAGTAAATAATTAAGCGGTTATATTATGTTCAATGAGCTCTGAAAGAACACTTTTTACCAAACCACGGTTGATTACCACAGTTGATTACCACGAGTTTGGATTTGTAGTAAATGCTATCATTTTGGGTTTTACTCTTGTTTCAAAGTACTGAAGAGGGTATTCTTGTCTGATGATCCAAGGAAGCATATGTAGCCCCGGTTGCGCTTGCGACAGTAGTATTTTTTTACGACAATTATTTTCGACACTGAATTTTCTTAATACAAAGAAAAAACACGGTGTTGAAAATAGTAACCATACAGTTTTGTTCTCTAGAATATACATATCAATATGAATCTTCGTCAACAAATAACTCAATTCTTAACCCTTGCATATGTGTTTAGTTCTGCCTTTGTTGCTTGGAAAACATTGGGTATAGTCACCAACTCACACTCACCAATTGTGGTTGTTCTTTCAGGATCTATGGAACCAGCTTTCCAAAGAGGTGATATATTGTTCCTTTGGAATAGAGACAAGCAACAGAAAGTTGGTGATATTGTAGTTTATGAAATTGAAGGAAAGTCTATACCTATTGTCCACCGTGTTTTACGTGAGCATCATAATCTGGAAAAACAATTACTTTTAACTAAGGGGGATAATAATGCTGTTGACGATTTATCATTATATGCTAAGAAGCAAAGCTATTTGAATAGAAAGGAAGATTTAATTGGTACTGTTAAGGGATACTTGCCATTCATTGGCTATATTACTATTTTAATTAGTGAAAATATTTATTTCAAATATGGTTTGTTGGGCTTAGTTGGTCTATCTAGTGTTTTTTTTGAATAGTTTCTACATATTAATATAAATATAGTTCATTAAGTGTTCTTGTATTCTTTCTATGTCTGTGCTTGTGTGGTATTGTAGAAATTCTAGTGTATGTAGCAAGTTAAAGGAGATTTACCTACCCCGTTCTCGATTCTTCAAGTAAATTACCAAACCTGAAAGTGTTGTCCAAAAACTATATTTGAGATATATCTAACTATGTGAACAATGTCAGGTCAATTTTTACTTTCAGGTAAAAGCACGGGCGTACCCAGGTATATAAAAGGTGGATTACTAACGTGCCTTTTGCTCACTTAATACTGGTTTAAATAATCTAGACAAACTAAATTTGCTCTAATTCACATTTTATTCACATAATGATTATGCAAAATTGGTTTAGTTCCCTATGTCAACAATTGCAGGTACGAGTTGTTGTTATAATAGCAAAGTCTAAACTAAGTAATTGGTAGCGGTGGCTTCTCGTCTAGCGACCACCTTGAAGCAACAAAAAAAAAGTGCAGCAATTTGCGTGACCGAATGGGTATCTTTGAAATGTGTCATGAAACAGTGGTATCAATAACATTTACTACGTATACATACGACCAGCGGTTTTTATGCTGATTCGATGGCTTCGCCTACAAATGAATCACTTCTCCGTATAACTTTAATGGCCTACGTTGAAACCACAAAAATAAAAAAAGGGATGATGTAATGAGCTGATAAGAAAATGAGCAGCAAAAAAAAAGTCTAAAAAATAATCACACAATGAATCTGGATCATTCCCAGAAATGACTAAAATCTCATCTGGCGGTCATCAGTGGCGAATAAATATCTTATCTTTTCCTGTAAACATTACCCCTTTTAATACATCCTATTAGTTCACACAAATGATATAACCTCAACAACAATGTTTAACATTGAATTATTAAAGGAATGTCCTGATGACATTATCTTTAAAATATTAGACCATAATTTCCTAGCGGTACATGATATCTACAACTTCCTTTTCTATAAGTCAACCCATGACGTTGCTCAGCAAGTTTTAAACAAGCGAAGCTTAATTCATTTGACTATTGGAAAAAGGAAAAACTGTGAAAGTGTAATTACTTCTAGCCATGATTACGAGATAACTAAAGGCCCATATTTCTGGCATATTTACTACAACTATGCCAATAAGGATTTATTCTTGTCGTGGTATGATAGACACAAATATATTCAAAATTATGTTGTGCAGATTTTCTTAGACCAATTCCAATTTGAAAGTTTGCAGTTTTTGCAAATTCTCAAGTATAAGAAAATTAAGATTTATTTGAACTACGAGTCTGATTTCAATCATACTGTCAGGAAGTTCACTCATATCATATGGCCCATGATTGGTGAAATTTTTGATTTGAGTAATAATTTTGTTAATCTAATTTTGGAATATGAAAGTTCAATTGACCAGAACTTAACCATCGACTTGTCAAACCTTAATCAATTTGAATTTAGACATTATACCCCAACTTATAGGCTGATTGAATTTAAAGTCAATGACAAGTTGCAAGAATTGAAAATTAATAATATTAGCATGTTACCAATAACTATAAAGTTAAGTTCAATTCCACTAAATATCACTCAATTCTTGTGCAATGGTCCGATTGCAAATCTAGTGTATCTAGGACATTTCTTAACTAAATGTCCCAATTTACAAAAATTGTCAATTTCAAAAGCCCATTTGTCAAATTTTCCGGATTTTATTGACATAATTTCTCCAATGGGCCTACCAAGGTTGGCTTGGTTAGATTTAAGTAATAATGAATTTGGTAATATCGAAGATTTAGATTTGTCGACTATATTCCCAAACTTATCCACTTTCATCATGAAATTCGAGCAATTGAAAACCCATAGGTTTAGATTTAGTGATATCACCTTCCCAGATACTTTAACCTCGTTGATACTACACGACAAAGGTATATCAAAATTCACCAATATTGAAGGAATTAAATTCTTGAAGTATCTTGATCTATCCTATAATTACCCGCAAGATTTCGAAATTCCCCAGAGGGTGTCTCATATTACCACTTTAAACCTTTCATACAATAGAACCATATTATCATCGATTTATAGATTTAACAGAAGGGATATATCCAACTATATATTCTTTCATGTGACAGAATTGCATTTACAAGGATGTAATATTACCAATGAAGATTTGGAACATTTAGAAGCTGATTACCAACATCTGAAACATTTGCCCAAATCTTGTGTGGAGTATCTCGACTTGTCTAATAACAAACTTTCCAATTTAAGACTGTTTTCTGGTAAGTTGTTTACAAACTTACCATTGAAATACCTTGATTTGTCATTTAATGCATTCACTTACTTGAATAAAGATATATTTCCAATAACTAGACAAATCTACCCAAATTTATCTAAAGTAAATCTTACTGGGAATGCAAGGTTACATAATATCACCTTAAGTAATGATTATCCAGAGTTGGAACTTATGTATACTCCATTTGAAAGAACCAAACCTACTAATTGTTAATTTACTATATTTATAATATCCCTATTTTCTAATATACAAAGACATCATACTTTTATGTCAATTGATCTATACTTGGTGACATTGTAGTATCATGAGAATTATTATTGGGAGGAATGTATGAAGTTCCATATCCTAACCGTTTTTCTTCATTACTATGGTGTGTCTGTGGAGTAATCACAGTTTCATTCAACAACACAGGACTAAATTCAACAATAATCTTTCTTAAATTGGTTCGTCTGATTGGCTTAGACAAGAATCCACTCATTCCATTGTTCAAACATTCTCGAACATTGCTTTCATCTGCAAATGCCGTCAAGGCAATGATTGGATTGTTGTAATGTAAATTATTTCTAATCATCTTGGTAGCCAACAATCCATCAATCTTTGGCATCTGGATATCCATAAATATTAAATCAAACACGTCATCCTGTTCAATTGATTCCTTAACAAGACTAATAGCTTCAGCTCCATTACATGCCATGGCAATATTATTAAATCCTTCTAATTTCAACATTCGTCTAATAACTTCTTGATTCACAAGATTATCTTCAGCCACAAGGATCTTCAAATGAGAAATTTCATCAAGCAAAGTGCTATTATGATCACTGGTTGATTTCTTACTGTCACCCCCGGAATTGGCCGTACCAGTTGAGCTGCGTGTATATAATGGTGGTTTCGATTCAAATGATTTATTGCTATTGGCAAATTTTAATGGACTGGAAGCAACTTCATCTTGACTTTCTGAATCTCTGTTACTTTCGAGATTTTCATCATCTTCAAATACAACCCTTCTATTAACTTTAGCATTAGGGTTGAATTCATCATCGCAGAAATCATTCAAGTCTTCTGGATCCACAATAATCTCTCCAGTTTGAGGTATTGGGATAGTTAATGTGAAAGTAGAGCCTTGCCCAATGGTAGATTTTAAGGTTAAAGTTCCCTTCATCATAGTAGCCAATTGTTTACAAATAGACAATCCTAACCCGGTACCTCCATAACTTCTAGATAATGTTTGATCACCTTGTACAAATGGTTCAAACACTTTTTCTTGTAATGCAGGTTCAATACCTGGTCCAGTATCAGTAACATCAATTTGAATCACCCACGTCTTGGGGTTATATAATTTTCTCATTCTATAAGTCTTGTTATTCTTGATAATCTCATTATTTGAAATATTGGTAGGATCAACCAATGGCTTCTTTTCAAAAGTAGGATATCCTTTGAATTCCGGTTGAGGAATTATATTGATCTGTTGGCGTTGGGAGGAGGTTGGTGAAGTAATTGGAGCTAGTTCGCCACCTTTTTCATCGGTAATCAGATGAGTAGAATCAGTTCCTGAAGAAACACTCTGTTGTTTCTCATCAATGTATGAGGAATCCTTACTTGGCACTTCTCCTTCATTGGATGAACTGCTTGATGGTATTGGAATTTCTGGTAATGATTTATTATTAAATTGAGATTCAAATATTTTGTTTTCGTATTCTTGTGTAGATAATGTTATTATACTCATTACATCGTCTTGGTTAAGAATATCTTCCTTTTGTTCAGCTTCTTTCTTTCTCCTCTTGAATATTCCTCGTTTCGATGATATACTTGTAGTCAGCTCATTAGAAGGTGTTTCGTTCATTATATAAACCTTGGTGAAATTCTCTCGCTGTGATCGTTCTAAATCATATTCACCCAATATTTTAAACGTAACGTCGACAGAACCATCAACAGGAGTGAACTTTAAGGAATTTGAAACTAAATTCATGACAATCTGAATAATTCTATTGGAATCTCCATAAATAATCAATTTTCTAAAGAAATTAGGCTTGACAAAGATCTTGAAGTTAACTCGCTGATCTTGAGCTAACTTATTAAAAATTGATTTAATTTGGTAAACAATTTCAAGAATTTGGAAATTGGATTTTTCCAATTTGGATCTGTTCAATGTGTTTTTCGAGTAGGTCAACAATTCAGTCAAGATATGTAATAATAATTCCCCTGATCTATGAATTAATTTTAACGAATCTTGTATTCTTGTCTGATCCTCTTCTTCCATAGCAATAGATGTCATACCTAAAATCCCATTAAGTGGTGTCCTCAATTCATGAGATATGTTTGCAATGAAAACGGTTTTGGCTTCATTGGCAGCTTCAGCTTCAATCTTACTAGCCTCCAATTCCTTAGTTCTTAATTTAACTCGATCTTCTAAATGAGTGTACTGTTTATCTAATTCTTCCGTCATGATATTAAATGCTTCAGATAATTCCGTTAATTCATCTTTAAAGAATTTCTTAGATCTTGGGATTCTAGCAGGTAATAATATCCCTGTTGAATAAACTGAATTTGTTGTGCCGGTTTGTGTTGAATTTATTGAATTACTTCGACTTGTGTGCTTTTTTGATGCGAGGGGAATCAGTTCATAATCATTTCCAGAACCATCAGCTCCTCCACCTCCTCCATTATTTCCTTTCTCCTTTTTATATCGCGTAATTGCCTCTGTGGCTAACTTCAATTTGGTGATGGGTCTAATAAACCACACTGCAAGCGGGAAAGTAATCAAACACATAAATGCACCAATTCCAATTACAACACCAATAATTATTCGCTTTAACGTATTTATCGGTTCCATGAATACCGACCTTTGTTGAACGACAATAATGATCCATTTTGTATCATTATCGATACTTATCGGCGTAAATCCAATAGCTACTCTATTTCCTGAGTACGACCGAACATTTGTATTTGATCCTGTATTACTCTCTATAGCAACTTTTATTGATGATGACGAGTTAATATTATAAATATTACCCGGTTCTAGCAAACTATTAGACACCGGGAAAACAGTTTCAAACCCAATTGGTTGCACACTCGTATCATTCTGTGCATTATCAGAATTGTTATCAATTCCCAGAACAAGCGTACCATATATTGGTTTTACTGCTATTGCTTGATAATCTGGTTGACCACTTGCATTTGCATTTAATGCAAGTTGAATATTTTGTGCTGATGCAATGACACTAAGATATCCCGAAACACTTGGTTGATCAAGAATGATGGAAGAATTGGAATATACTGGTAAGGTAATGCCCATGAAATACGTACTTGTTAATTCATGAGAGTTGTTTGCAATAGGACCTGTGAAATATACTGAACTGTCACTATCGGCTTGGGGATTTAATAATGTGCTTGGGATTGTTGCATTCGGATGTAATGGGAATAATGCTGATAACGTTGGATCTGATACTATTGTGGAATTACTATAACTTGAAGCCATAACTTCCAAATCTAAATTGTATAATTTGGCAGCAGCAAATAATTCCGTGGATGCCATTAATTGGTCTAATGTTTGTTGGGCTCTGCTGAAAATTTCAACGGAATTATTACCAGCTTTGTATTGTGATAAAGGTGTGGTGATAGCTTCTACATTTGTAAGCCATAATACTTGATATGATATATATATTATGGATTGTTGAACTTGGGTGGCTTTTAATTGGGCAATAACTTCTAGTCGTTCTTTTCGAAGGTTGTTAAGATTAGTACTAAAATAAACACCTGTGACTATAGCCAATATTAAAAGGGAAAACAACGATGCAAAGCAAACGAGAACAATTAACTGGGGACGAATCCCAATCTTTAATCGTCTCATATTGGTAATGTGTCAAGGTTTTATATTATATGAGTCATGAAATGAATGAAAGTTAGGCTGATATCGTAAAGGATCTAGCTAGCGGATGTTTGTTTATCTGTTGGGTGATTGGTTGGTTGGTTGGTTGGTTTGTGAACAAGCTAATAGGAGTAGGTTAATGTTGTTGTCTGTCCAGAAGGTAAGATCTGAAGGTGTTGCTGGTTTGACGACAAAATCTGTGTGGCCGCTTTTTTTGATTTAACCCTATTTATTCACACAAGTATTTCGATGGTAAAGGTTTAAAATTTCCTAGTGTTGATTATAAGAGAAAACAAAGGAAACAAATATGATTAATAAAGAAGGTTTTACTATTTTGTGCCGTTGTCAAATTTCTTTCTGTCTATTGTTTAGCCCCAAAGAGGTTCAATCAAAGTCTGACCCCCCAAAAAAAGAAACAATCTTTTTTTTACGGCGGTCACGTGTGTAGAGTTGTTAAATTCTCATGACCCTCCCCAACTTCCTCCCCCGGGTATTTCATGATGTCATATATTTACGTAATACGTCAATAAAGCTATGTCGTGAGGGATTTACGGAATATTTCGGTTTAACTTTGTGATGTAATTAATATAATTACCGCAATTTAAGTTCAATCTTTTCGTGGCACATTTAATGCTGTTTAGTAATCATCTCGACAAGCATTGTTGCCTTTTTTCCTCAATATGTCGATGCTAAAAATAGCAGTGTACTTAACGAGGCGAAAGTATCGCCATATTTGACCTTTTGAACAGAAATTATCAGGTTATAAAAACCTTTCTAATTGAAATTAGTGCTACTTGTGCTTTATTTATATTCCTATGTATATCTGGTCTTATGTATGAATACCCCTTTTAAAAAAGCAAACATAACGTTCCACGTCCATTGATATTGGAGTTCATAGTTGCTTTGGAGGGCAAAAGCTACAGTTACAGTATTTCAAAATTTGATCTCTCAGTCATATACTGTTGCTTGTATTTTTCCAAATAGGTTCGTCCTAGGTGTTAGACCACTCGAAATTGACATTTGGTAGCATTACCAAGGCCAAATAACATGGTTTAGGAAACCTATGTGAACCAATTAATGCGACTATGGAAAACATTTTGGTAATTAAGAAGCTCGATATTGTACTTCAATTAAGTTATCACGGTATTGAATTTAAAAGAAGCCAAGATAAATTTAGGATTCAATAATTTTTTTTTGCATTTTAGAATTTTCGTGTAAGTTTAAACCTTGGGCATCCGCCTCCGAAGTATAGATCTCAAAACGAAAAAAAAATGAGCCCCAACTGCCAAGAATTTATTAAGTGGGTCCCTTTAGAAGATGTCAAATCGTTAATTTTCAAGTGCATGGTTTTGATATTAATAAGTGAAAAAAAAAAAAGCAACACGTAGCAAGATATTCCTTGAAATTCGGTCCTATTGTTAAATTCGTATTGTTATTGTTTGAAGCCTCGTTATGGTTCCAAGACATTTCAACATGAAGCTATCAAGTACGGGGAAGAATTTTTTTTGCTCTTAGAGTCGTTAACAAACTATTTTTTAGGTGAAATGCCACCCTCATTCTCTTCTGAGATTCTGTAGTTTCAACAATATTCTTATATTTGACTCACTGGTTTGTCTCAAAAGTTTGATTCTCATTTTGTCTTTGGCAAAAAAAAAAAGAAATATTATTTCAGTTTTAGCGGTTTCTTCTGGAACGACACGAGAAGCTGCATCTTTGCGTGAGCTGTGACATTACAACAGGTCTGAAATCGTCGTAGATAGTTCTGTTTGGGCGGAATGACGAAGGGGCTCAAAAAAACTATAACCCAACGACAATGCAGTTTCTTTTAAGCTTGGCACGGGGACTAGTGGTGCCACAGAATAAATTTCTTGCATGACGCAAAACCCTCAAACGGTCTAAATATCTCTAATTCACTCCTTTCTGTCTATTTAAACTTCCAATTATATGTGCCTTGAAGTTTAAATGTATTTCTTTTTTTACGTTTTTACCATTCAGTTTTTTATTTACCAGAACCATATAGAGACTATGCTTCCAATAAAAGTAATTAGCCGTACGGGTCGTTTGTACTTCAGGCAAATCATGCTTGCCATAATCATGTTGGCATTATTGTTTTATCCCTTATCATTGGGAATAATAGCACCATCCATGAGTCTATCTTATTCTAACTATATTTCCCCCAAGGATGAATTCTTCTATGAACTAGAAGACCATCCAGATTACAAGAAAACCGGGATGAACTTCCAACCATTAAATCCTGGAACGCACTCATATAATACCACTGTACTCAAACAATTAAACAAGGCGTTCCCCTATAATCCTAGAAAAGCTATTCCCAAGAAAGTGTGGAAAATGTGGAATGTTGGACTTGATGATCCTGAATTTCCTGAAGATTATCGTACCTATCATCAAACCTGGATCGACCAAAGTCCAGAATATGACTATATTGTGAAAACCAATGCCGAATATGGCGACATCATAGCTGATCTATATAAGGATGTGCCTGATCTCGTGCATGCATATAATATCATGCCAGAGGTTATTCTCAAGTGTGATTTCGCAAGATACTTGATCTTGTTCGCATATGGAGGAATTTATGCCGATATGGATACTAAACTATTGAAACCTGTTCATGAATGGTTCTCGAGTCAACCAATGTACTTGAACCAAACACTTGACTTGGGTCTCGTAATAGGTATTGAAGAAAGTATGAGTAATTGGTACAGATATTATGCTCGTAGAACCCAAATTAATACATGGACAATCATAGTTAAAGAAGGACATCCCATGCTTGCTGAACTAATTAGTTCAATCATTGAACATACATTATGGAGAGAGAAAAATGGGCAGTTGAATGAAACAATTGGTAATGATGGTGGAAATAATATTATAAATTGGACTGGGCCGGGGAGATTTACTGACCATTGCTTCAAGCATATCAACTATCAACTTAATCCCGTGAACGAGTATCAGACAATAATTGACGAGAACTTTCTTGCCAATATCCAGCTTCCGATGGTTTTTGGTGATACCATGGTATTACCTGTGAAATGTATGAATCCAGGGAAAAGACATTTGAGGACAACATTGAATGATACATTGGCATATGTCCATCATGTGGGCCTGGGGACATGGAAAAAGAAAGCAGCTCAAAAGGCGAAAGCAGCTCAAGAGGCAAAAGCAGCAGCTGAAGCAGCTGAAAAAGCAGCTGAAAAGGCCAAAGCAGAAGCGGCTGAAGCAGTTGAAAAAGCGAATGCGGCCGAGTAAGCACAAGGAGAAGTGGTACAATCACTAGTAACAGGAGAACTTGAAAAGGTAGAAACAAAGGATAAAGAATAAAATAAGGAATAGGGAAAAGTTTCACCTTCTCTCGATTAATACTATCAATTGTGTAAATAGATATGTTTCATAATATTATTATTATTTTGGTGATGAGATTTGTCATGTAGACAAGAGTTTTCCTTTTCTGTTGAAGATACGACAGGATGATTTTCGGACATGATTTCATTGTCTCACAAATCCTTGAGCTTTCTTCAAATCTCCTATAAGGGATAACATCAATTCAACTCTGGATTTAATTAATATAAAACTTATAAAAGATAAAACATAAGATAATTGAATAAGCCAATAAAAGACATTTCAATTTCTATTAATTTTAGAATCTTTTAAATCCATTCAAAATATTTATTACCCTTGTTTCAAATTCTATACAAAACTGACTAAAAATAGGACTCTTGCCTAATATTTATATATTTACCTTGGAATAATGCTCATTTAAGCAAATATTGCACAAATAATAATTTATAAACCTTAATAATATTCCCGAAATATCAACTATTAACTCGTTCTCTCTTATTTATCAGAGTTAGTGCTACTGGTCGTGTGACTCTCAAATTTACCAAAAATAGTTTCTTTGAAGTTGCTGTACTACAAGATTAGATCTAATTAAAGACGGGTGATGAACACCACAGCAACTCCTTTATTTTGCACAATATAAGTTTTCAAACTAGATACATAGTTACCTTATAAGCCTGTATATTATGGTCTGCCCGTAGTGTGCCATGCCCAACAACACGGGCTCTGCCTTTGGTCATAGTGATCAAAATCACGCATGTGGAAAAAGGAAGCGATATTTTCTTGGTTATTCTTTTGAATTCTAGATATTTTTTCTGAATTGAAGATAATTTTATATTTTTTTGTGATCGTGTTCCCATTGTAATGCAACATGTAGACTTAAGGCGGGTTAAAAGTTATAAGACCTCATTCCTATTCTGTACTTACAATGGGCGCGAAATTAACAATAAACTTTTAACAATCTTGTGACCCACAAATCTAAATTTATAAATACCAAGAACAATAAAGCTACATTTTTATACATGAAGCTTTAAATTTTAGGGAGTCACCCACTTCTTTTCCTTGTACGATGACCATAAAACACATTCTTTTAAGAGTAATAACAAGAAAATTAATTTTGTACTCATAAATACAAAGATAAATAGAGAAAAGATAATAGTACCCCGGTTGAAAACGACAAAGATTTTGGCACGGGATTTGAAAACAAAAATGAGAAAACTTAAATAAATTTCCCCCAACTTCCCCTCCAAAAAAAAATAAATTGATATAGTAGAAGGGTTACAGAATTTCATTGATGATGATAAATTCCTCGAAAGGTTATTCATATATAGATATGGACGCGCCAAGTGTTAATTTTTTTAAGAAGACCCACTTCTTATAAGTTTTTTTTCATTATCTTTCGCTTTTTCTTTTCACCTACTTCTGTGATGAATATCAAAACCATGGTATACAATAGAGAATTCAGACGAGTTATACTTGGTCTAGCCTCTTTTATAATATTCTTTTATCTCATTTCAATATACCGTTTGGTTGATCTGCCAATATCCTTTCCCACTTCTTATTTTTCCTACAAAGTGTCCCCTAAGGAAGAGTTTCTCAATGAACTAGAGAATAATCCAGACTATAAGCAAACAGGATTGAATTTCCAACCTACTAATCCCGGCATAATTCCTTATAATACTACCGTGCTCAAAAAATTGAGGAAACTTTTCCCATATGATCGTTCTGAGCCAATTCCCAAACAAGTCTGGCAAATGTGGAAAGTTGGAGTTGACCATCCAGATTTCCCCGAAAGTTTTACAACGCTCCGTCAAACCTGGCTTGATAAAAGTCCTGAATACGAATATATTGTAAAGACCAATGCTGAATGTGATGCCATGATTGCAGAGTTATATGCTGATGTTCCTGAAATCATACATGCTTACAATATCATGCCAGAAGTCATTCTTCAGTGTGATTTGGGCCGATATTTAATCTTGTATGCTTATGGAGGGATATATACCGATTTAGATACCAAGCTATTGAAGCCTATCGAAGATTGGTTCTCAAGTCAGGAACTGTACTTGAATAAAACCCTTAACTTGGGTCTTGTGGTGGGTATTGAATCTGATAGACCTGATTGGAAAACCTGTTGTGCTCGTAGACTCCAGATTCAGACCTGGACAATCATGGCAAGAAAGGGACATCCTTTCCTTGCTGAATTGATTAATAGTATTGTGGAGCACACATTATGGAGAGAAGAAACCGGTCAGTTGGGTGTCAGAATGGGTAGAGATGCATCTGATAATGTTATAAATTGGACTGGTCCAGGAAGATTTACTGATTTTACCTTTAAATACATAAACAATGTGCTTCAAACCGATTTTGACAATTATGAAACAGTAATTAATGAATCTTTCCTTACCCAGACCAAATTACCAATTATCATTGGTGATGCAATGATTTTGCCTGAAGAATGTATGCACCCAACAAAGAAGCTGAAGAAGGGAGAATTTATTGATCCAAGAGCACATGTGAGACATGTTGGTCTGAATGTGTGGAAGACGGATCAGAAGAACAAGAATAAAAATAAGGAAGGTGATAAGAAGAAGGAAGACAAGAAAGTTGATGACAAGAAAGCAGACAAGAAAGTTGATGACAAGAAAGCAGACAAGAAAGTTGATGACAAGAAAGTTGACAAGCAAGAAAAACCTTCTACTTAGATGTTAATGAGAACATCTTACATCATCCTAGACGCTTCTTTTATATTTCCTTTCATTTATTTATCATTATAATACAATATTTATATCTGTCTTGTTTTAAGTAATAAAAGACTAGCTCAAAACTCAGCTCGGCTAAACTTACCTTGTTTGCAGCCATTCGTTTTTCTGTTGGCTTGGCTGTGGTGGCTTGACAACGTAACTATATGCAGGCACTCATTTACCAAATTTAGCAAATTGACAAATAAAAAGAAACTTCCGTTTTTGCCGCGTAAGAATTTCTCCTTTATACTTAACTAATCAATCAATATAACAAGACAATATGGGATATATAGAGTTACCTGGCTCAGGTGAATCAGTATCTCGTACAAGACCACCCTTTAGGAGCTATTTTTATTTTGGTATTATACTAGGGATATTGGTATATGGAGCGTCATTCTTACTTATTACGATTCAAGATTTCCAATTAAATGTATCAATACTTCAAACAGATAAGCCTTCACATTATGCCAGTCCGTCACGTAGAAGTGTGACTGGTAAAAAGATTCCATTCAGTAATGAGATCTATAATTCACGGGTTTTGGCGCCAAAGTACACCTCCATCCAGTGGATTCGTGAACCAGGTTCAATCTACAATGACAAGGGAGCATATGTTATTAAACAGGAAAAAGATGACGGCTTTGAAATAGTTGTCAAGTCGATGGACGATGAAAAATATTCGTATATTCTCATCGACAAGTCAACATTTAAACACAATCATATGGAATATGATATTGCCGATTACGTGGCATCACCAGATTTGAAGAAGGTTGTCTTGAAGACTAACGTCACTGGGAGTTTTAGACATTCTTCCTTTGCATTGTATTGGATCTTAGATGTCGATTCCAAGCGTATACGCCCTGTTTACAACGAGAATGATTTGATATCTACAGTTTCGTGGTCGCCTGATTCAACCAACATTGCATTCATCTATAACAATAACATATATTTAAAGAACATTGAACTGGACTCATTGAAACAAGTAACTACTGATGGATCGGTACAGTTGTTTAACGGTAAGCCAGACTGGGTATATGAAGAAGAAGTATTTGGCAGAGATATAGTACTTTGGTGGTCACCAAAAGGTGATAAGTTTACATTCTTGCGCTCAAACAATACTGCTGTGCCTGAATTCACTATTCCCTACTACACTCACGACAAATTTGAAGACTATCCTGAAATTTCCAAGATTAAATATCCAAAAGCAGGATATCCAAACCCAATAGTGGATTTATTAACTTATGATTTAGCTGGTGACAAATTAGCTCAACACGAATTAAAATCTCATACCATTAAACCAAAGGAGAGATTAATCACTGAAGTTGTTTGGATTGGTGAATCAATATTAGTCAAGACTACCAATAGAGCTAGTAACAAGCAAGAAATATATCTTGTAGACGGTGACAATGTTGATTTAATTCGTAAATCCAATGCCAAGAACTCTTGGTTTGAAATTACTTCCAATACTATATATGTTCCAAAGAACAAGACCTTGGGTAGGAAATACGACGGATATATTGACACAGTTACTGAAGGAGGGTATAATCATTTAGCTTATTTTAGCCCACCTGAAAATCCTAAGGGGCAATTGTTGACTAAAGGTAATTGGGAAGTTGTGAATGGCGTGGAAGCGTATGACTATACTAATAACCAAGTATATTTCACCAGTACTAAGAAACTGTCTATCGAGCGTCATGTGCATTCCGTAAACTTGTTGGATCGTACTAATGATGGTTTGCCATATATTAAAGACATTACTACAAAAGAAGGCTGGTATGATGTTTCGTTTTCCGCAGGTGCTAGATTTTTGTATTTGAGTGATAGAGGTCCAGGTGTACCTACTCAGAGAATCAATGACTTGAGAATGAACAAGCATGTCCAAACAATTGAAGATAATTCGGAATTAGTCAAGAAATTGGCCAAATATGACATTCCTAAGGTAAAATATGAAACTGTTGAATTGACAGATGAGTCAGGAGAAACATTCTTGGTTAATGCAATGGAAACTTTGCCTTTGAAATTCGACCCCAAGAAGAAGTATCCAGTCTTGTTTTTTATTTATGGTGGTCCTGGATCACAACAAGTTAGCAAGCGTTATTCGCTTTCATTCAGTTCAGTAGTAGCTGCTGAGTTGGATGCAATTGTTGTGTCAGTTGATGGTAGAGGGACTGGATACAATAATCTCAACTTCAAACTTGGTTCAGATTTCAAGTTTATTGTTCGTGATCAACTTGGCACGTATGAATCTAAAGATATGATCTCGGCTGCAAGACTTTGGTCAACTAGACTGTATGTTGACCCCGAAAGAATAGCAATTTGGGGCTGGTCATATGGTGGATATCTTACATTGAAGACATTGGAAAGTGATATAGAGGATCCCGTTTTCTCATATGGTGTTGCAATTGCACCCGTTACCGATTGGAAATTGTACGATACGATTTATACAGAACGATACATGGACACTCCAGAAAACAATCACAATGGTTACATTACCAGTTCTATTCATAATTATACTAATTTTGCACATGTCAAGAAATTCTTTATTGGACATGGAAGTGGTGATGACAATGTTCATTTACAACATTCCTTAAAATTAATTGATGAATTTAATTTGCATGATGTGGAAAATTTCGAATTTATGATTTTCCCCGACAGCAACCATTCGATTAATTATCATAATGGTAATCGAATTGTTTATGATAGAATATTGGAGTTTTTCCGTAAGGCATTCGATTGGAAGTTTATATAGTATTAGCTACCCAATTAGGAAGTCTACATGTGTAAAAATGAAACACGTGAGCAGAATAATGGTTTTGTGTAATATACAGGAATGAAGGAAAATAAAAATTTTTTTTTCAGCATCATCACCCATCAGACATTTTTTTTTAATTAACTCTTCTTTCCCTCCTTCTTCTTTTCTTCGGCAATTGCAATTGAACAAGTAGATATCTCACAATGATTATTTTTACCGACGTTATTTCTGGAGACGAATTATTATCTGACGCTTATGACGTCAAGTTAGTCAACGGTGCCGTTTACGAAGCCGACTGTCAAATGGTTACTGTTGGTCAAGGTGACATTGATATTGGTGCCAACCCATCTGCTGAAGATGCTGACGAAGCCTTGGAAGATGGTGCTGAAACCGTCAACAACGTTGTTTACTCTTTCAGATTACAACAAACTCAATTCGACAAGAAGTCTTTCACCACTTACATCAAAGGTTACATGAAGAAGGTCAAGGCTTACTTAGCTGAAAACGACCCAGATCAAGTTGAAGCTTTCGAAAAGGGTGCTACTGCTTACGTCAAGAAGGTCTTGGGTTCTTTCGGTGACTGGGACTTCTACACTGGTGAATCTATGGACCCAGATGCTATGGTTGTTTTGTTGAACTACCGTGAAGATGGTACTACTCCTTTCGTTGCTATCTGGAAGCATGGTGTTAAGGAAACCAAGATCTAAGCTAGCTTAGAGACTGTTTTTCTTTAGTATATCAAGTTATATAGGCAATAAAGTATTATCATATTTCTTTTAGGTATATGTAGGTAATCCTCGCATCAAAAGAGAAGCGTGATATATATATATTGAAACTTCCAATGTATGTTGTTGTTTTCACCATTTAGGTCTTGCATGCATGCCGATTGTTGTAGTTAAACATGTCCAGAAATAGTGGAAGAATTTGACAAGTTATACACATCGGCGTAGTAAAAAAATAAAAAAATACAACTACTTTTGGTCAATTCAAGGGTTGCTACAAATACTAGTCTAAAGTAATGAATTGTGATATCAATTGGGTTATATTCAGAGTTAAGTAAATGACAATCACATCCAGGATCATAACAAATGTCTTCGGAAGAAAAGACGCTTAAACAAATCATCTCGTGCGGCTTGTCCCGAAATAGCAAACCCGCATTGGTTTGATTTGCTGCGAAAGTTTTTGCTCGGAAATACAAACTATCTACTGTTGAATAGACTAAGTCCAACGGTTTTGGATCTCCATTACGCTATATCGTCTAATAATGCATTACATGTGAATTTTTCTTTAAATTTGTAAATATTCTGTGTTACATTTGTAAATAATATATTTCGGTTGCCAAACAATTTAGTCCAACGAGAAAACATTGGGTTGAGAAAAAGTCACTCCTCTACCCTATGAAGACTTTGTATAAATATATTAACTGCACTTATCTAGATACTATAGCAAGAGCAACATTTTCTAAAGTTGTATCACGATCAATATATTTGAAAATTTCAACATTGTACTTATCACCAAGTACTCTCTCTAAAGCATACTTTCTGCTTTCGTCAATCAACCTTCTCGCTAATAGTCCAACACTTTCTCTGTCTTCAGGATTGATTCCATATTTATTATCAGTTTCCTCTTCCTTTGTATCTTTGTCTTCTTCGTTCTCGGTTGGTCTGGTCTTACTGACAGCCCAAGAAACTAATTTCTTGAGCACATTAAATGATTCAACAGTTTTAAATCCATGTTCAGACAAATACTGTCTAGACTGGGGGAGTAATTGGTCATAGGAACATACATGGCGGCAACACATAGCAATAAGAACACCACCAAATTTTCCATTTTCAAAGATGGAAGAATTGAGCAACAGCTTCAAAGTTAAATCCGTGGCTGCACCGCATAGATGTTTGGATATACTTACTATCTTTGTTAGACTTACATCCGAAATGAATTTATCAAGATCTAAATCTTTTATGTCTATCCTTGTTCTTTTTATTGTTGGTTTAAGTTTGTCTTGACAATCATTCAAGATTCGATTGTCTTGTTTTAATCTATTTACGCCACGATCAATTAACCCAAAACCATAGTTGTCAGAAGTGGCATCTTCAGATTTAATATCTTCAAGTATACACAGATTCACAAATCTTGATAATTCCGCCTTACCGCATCCGAACTCAACATAGAAACAATCTGGATTTAACAAGTTCATCAGCTTCAAATTTCCGATCAAGCTTGCCTGCTGTGTTGCGTGTTTTTGACGAGATGCAATTTCCATTCTAGAAGTTAATCCTTGATGTGAACTTACTTTAAGCGGAAGTTCGCCATACTCTAAAGACTTCAATATTGGAATATACTTGTCAAAGAGCCCATCCTCAGCTAAGTCTTCATGATCAAACTGTTCCTCTGTCCTATTCTTTAACGAGACGTTCAAGTCTTGTTCATACCAAGGATCATGTTTTGGTCGAGCATTACATTTCTTCAAATGTGATTGCAAGTCCTTAGTCCACACAGTATGATTAGGATCCAATGGACATGGCACCCTTTCTTGGTTGTTATCATGAATCATATGTTCGGAACAAAATCGTTGGTCTTTCTTTCTTGTCATTCCACATCTTCTGTTTTTCTTTTCGAGGAAATACTCACATTGGAGTCTTTCCTTGGGCTGCTTCTCTATCTTTCTCTTTTTGTTCTCTGGCATTGTGTTTGCTTATAGTGTTTTCTTCTGATTGCAATCTGGTTAAATTTTTCATACTCTTTATACGCGCACAATGGGAAAAAAAAAATTAGAGAAGCTCATCCCATTGAGAGTTACTGAACAAGCTCATCCCAGAACATACAATGGTCAAGAACAAGAATGAAATGTGGAAGCTCGACTTGTTAGAGTCGAAGTTCCAGAATGCATCCCCTAGATTCCCCCATACGAAGAAACTTTTAGTTGCAAAACACAATACTAAACTAATGAAGAAATTGCCAACTACTCCCGAAGAAGCCAACCTACAAATCAATAGTTTGAAATCAGAAATATTCCACATGAAGTATCATGCTGCATCTAAGAAGCTTGAAAAGGAAATATCTCGACTTTTAAAACAAAAGAGCACTGACTTGGAATTCTTTAAGTCTGAAGACAATGTCCAATTGTTAATCACATCTAAGCTTATAAAAGGAATAACTAGTACTATCCTACTCAGTAAGGACTTAAAAACCAACCCACCAAGTTACATCATGACAGAAATAAGAGACATAATCACCGACAGTAACAATCCATCTAACCCGTCATGTTTCTTCAAGACTTTCTGTCAAAACAATAAGGAGTTGAATAATTTCATATCAAACCTTTGGAATAATAAGGCTGTCAAATCATGTTTGAATGAAATTGAATGGAGTTTCAGAATGGTTAGAGGTAATCTTACCAAGCAAGAAAGAGAAGCTAGAAAGAGGATGACTGGTAATGCAAGTGAACACGATGGAGAAACCCCTGAACTGGACGAAGAAAGCGACGAGGAGTCAGATGAAGACCTGGAAGAGGATCTGGAAGATAATGATGAAGAACAAGAGGAGGACATAGACTTGGAAAAAGAATATGACAAATTTGCCGTATATGATAAATTGGTAGGTGATTCTGATGACGAAGGTGAAGAAAAGTTCGAAGCTGATCCAAATGTAAATTATAACGAAGTCACTGATGAAGAGCCTTCTGAAAGCGAGTCTCAAGATGAATCAGAAGACGACTTTTTCGAGCATTCCGAGGAAGAAAAAGACAACAAGTACAACTTGCCTGAGCTTGCAACCGGGTACTACTCAGGAGGATCCGACGATGAAAGTGACGACGACGTTGATAACGACAAAGTCGTCAAGGAATTAACTACCCAACGTAAGAATCGTCGTGGTCAAAGAGCAAGACAAAAGATTTGGGCCAAGAAATATGGTCAAAATGCTAAACATGTTAAGTTGCAACAAGAACAATATGCTAACGAAAGACAAAAGCGTCAATTGGAATACGAAGAAAGAGAAAGAAAGAGACAATTAAAGAAGCAATTGGCTGAACAACCAACTGGTGCAAACACTGCACCATTAGGTGAGCGTAAGGCTGGCACTTCTTCTTCTTCTGCTCCTGCTGAGCCAAAGGCAGTTCATCCTTCTTGGGAAGCAAAGAAGAAACAAGAAGAAATGTTAAAGGTTAAATTCCAAGGTAAGAAGATTACATTTGATTGAGGTTATCATTGAGGAAGTTTTATAGATTCCATTATAGTTTTATAGTATATACGAACTAGAAACAAACTATTGTAATAATGTGGAAATGTTATAACTTATCATAATCAATATTAAAGTTAGCCCTAATTTCCTCCTCGGTCATTGGCTCACACCACGATTCACCTTGGATAACAAAATTATAATGACATTTTTCAGGTTCACTTACACTTACGATATCTGGCCCTTTGCCACAGACAAATTCTACATCACCAGCTCTTTGTGGTCCATTCCAACATCTTGAGCCATAGTCAAAGTAAACCTTGTTATCTTTGAACTCCTTGAATCTACCTATTAACACATCGTCTTGATATATTGAGTCCAAAAGGCTGATTCTGTAGTGGTAGCCTGATATCTTCTTGTTAATTGTATCAAATGCTCTCAAAATATCATTTGGGCCGGCATTAATGTTTAAGTTAGAAACCACTTCTTGCAATTTACGCTGAATATTCTTGACTTGTGTTTCCAATTGGTCTATTTGTGAAGACAATTCATTGTTGCCTAGGTTGGATAAGTTTGGAACCTGAGGTGCTACCAAGAAGGTGTTTGTGAATAATTGGTAATAGTAATGGAATGTGTTTGCAATTGTAGGAACAACACCACCACCTTGAGTTAAAGATTTGGCTTGTTGTTGTAACTTTTCAAGCACATTTTGTGCGTCGCCGATGTCGTTATTGACTTCCTGTTTGTTGGAAATGTACTGCTTGAATTTGTTGATTGATTCTTTCACAGCAGGGTCGTTGAAATTTGGGTTATAGTTGTTGGCTAATGTGTGCAATATTTGTTCCAATGTGTCAATATGGGAATTCTTGGTAAAAAGTATTTCCTTGTTAGCTTGTAATTTCTGATTCAAGTTAACAAAATGGTCAGATAAAGCTTCATAAACGGAAGGTTCCTCCAATTCAGCTTCTAATTCCTTGTTTTCTAACTCGAGTCTTAATCTTTCTAGTTGCTTCTGTGCCAGAGACAATTGTTGTTCCAATCTAGTTTTATCATTCAGCAACTTTTCCTTTTTAGTCTTGGCAACCTGCAAATACTTTTCTTTGGTTTGCAAAGAAGTGGCCATAAACTTTTCCACGTTTTCTTTATACTCAACATACTGGTTATGAATCACATCGCATTTATTCTCGCAACCTTCAGGTTCGTCTGAACCATCGCAACAAACGTCATAGTCACACACCCCGTCATTGAGCTTAAAACTGTCGATATAAGCTGGGAAATGTCCTTTATTTTCACAGTAGTACTTGGAATTTTCGCAAGCATTTGTGCCCGGTTCATCTGATCCATCTGGGCAATCACAATAATTGTCATTGATTTGGTTGTAAGTTAGTCTGATTGAGGAATCATTGAGACAGTGCCAGTATTGGACGTCATCTATAATTACTGGTTCATACAAGTGTTGGTTTTCTGGGCTGACTCCTTTGATCGAGCAAGCTACTGAAGCTGCTAGATAAGTAATTGCTATAAGTTTGAGCATCTAGCTTATTCTGTCTTGAGTTCTGGTATTAAAAATAGGGGGGAGGGAGGGGAGGAATGTTAGCTACTTGAATGAAACTTTGTCTGTCTGAAAAATGCGCGTAGATTTTTCAAGCGGGAAAGCCCTTCGAGATCAAACTGCCGATAACGAATAAGCATGAAATGTCAAAGCAAAAGTATACTTTACGTGAAGATATAACAATTGGTAAGTTCAAAAGGATTGTTCGACCATTGCTCACGAAAATCCATCTACTTAATGATTTGAATTTGAAGAATCCATCATTGTTTATCATTACTGTTAATCCATTACCGAGGAAACTGAGGAAGCGGCGCCAGAATCCGAGGCCAGTTAGACGGACAAAAGTTGTAAAAAGGGTAACTGATAGTGACCCGAGTGATTTAGAGTATACAATATGCACAGACACTGAAGAATTAGAGGAGGAAATAGTTGAGCATGACTATAGCGATAAGTTTTCATTCAAGGGTTTACTGTCATTCATTTCCCAGGAGCTATTTCTTGAATATTGTGAAATCTTTACAATAGTCAAGGCAATTTTCAATTCATTGATGGTGTCAGACACTTTTCCCTCACTTTCCACATTATGTCTGCATGTTATTGGGAAAGAAATTACCAAAACGACAAAGACAACATTTTTCAAGATGAATCAGACATTACTATTTGATCCCGAAACATTACCTCTAAGTATAAGGCAATATCACCATACCCTAAATGATGATATAGACGGGTGGTTTCACTTGGAACCAGAGGATGTGTACGGTAAGCACCGGCATGATTTCTACTTGGGTTACTTGATACATTTACTTTGTGTCCATAAAAATGTATTGTATATGCTTATACCGATGGTTATTCAATGGTTGAGAGAAGAAGGGTATGACTATATTGCCCAGGCTATGAATTATGCCTTTTGGCAAGACACTGATGTTGATCTTGAGGTTTTGAACGGGAATTTCCTAAACAAGTTGGGCCCGTTTTGGCAGCTTTATAATATCGGATACTGGAATAAGTTTCTAAATGCAAACCAGTTACTTTCTATACTTCACCTGAAGGTCAATTTGCAAACGTTCAATGCAATAGAGAATCAGAATGGATTGACTAGAGGACATTTTCTTAATATTGTCTATTCGTTACTTAAGCAGGATCCACAACATCCAAATATAAACACTATTCTAGTGACTATACTAACAAATATAGTTCACTACACCAGGTCTGAGCTAGCGAGAGATGACTCGGTGTTAGAACATACAAACGACTTAATCCTTGTATTTGCAAGCAGATGGTTAGCATTTGTTCCTGATTCAGAATCACTTTACAATTCCTTGTATCCTGAGAATAAAATGTTGTTCCTAGGATTAACCAATCTCTGTCAATACTGTTATAAGAATTCCTCTGGAAAGTTAGGTGAAAGATTTAGAAATCTAAAGGAAACAATCAACATGTTGCGAATATATTATCTTTGCCTGAATGAACAATTTGAAATCAGTTCATACAAATCAATTGTTAAAACGCTTTTAACAATTCAAGGCCCTAATGTTAACATTGATGAATTCTTATATTGGTTAGAAGATACCGGACATTCCGAATTAGCCCAAAATTTGCATATTTATGATGATTCAATAATTGACGACTTCAATATATAGGGATGTTCCTTATCAAGAACTACACATTTACCATTCATATCTCCCCCTAGTATTTTGACAGCTTCTCTTACAACACAATCTAGGCTGACAATAGGTAAATCTTCGCTCATTTTAACACTTGATCCCATTTCTGTTTCTCTAACTAATCCAGGCAACAATGCATTAACTCGAACCTTTCCACGTAACTCATTAGCTAAGCTGGTTGTAAACCCCAATAGACCTGCTTTAGATGCAGTATATACCGAGGTACCTGCCATTTTATAATCAGTCATTGATAAAACTGAAGAAATGTTCAATATAGAGGGATTCTTCTTTCTATTTCTAAGCATTGGCTTTACAACTTGTTGACTTAGAATAATAGGAACTGTCAAATTCAAGTTTACAGTATCAACAATATTTTCCTTTGAAGTTTGAGATAATAACGAATGAGTAGTTATACCAGCACAATTCACCAACATGCTGACATCCTTAGGAATATTAACCTCACCTCCATTGACTACATTCAATAGATCAACAGTTTGAAAATTATGAATTTGACTATAACTTGTAGAAAGTTGCGATAATGTATTTTCATTGCTGCTTCTTGCAATCAATGTAATGTTTGCTCCATATTTCGATAATTGCTTCGCTATAGCAAGACCAATCCCTCGACTGCCTCCAGTAATCAAAGCGTGCTGTCCCACAAACATTGTCTCCCACTTTAACTCCACAAAGAAAAAAACAAACTTATTTTCGCACCAAAAATTGAGATGGACCTTAACTCGTTCAATACACTTTAATTCCAGATCAAGAAAAAAAATACAATATTGTCCTATACAACCACTATTCTAGACCGAATAATCAAAATTTAAAAAAGTAATGCCTTCAGCCAGATTCGAACTGACGATCTCCTCATTACTAGTGAGGTGCCTTACCAACTTGGCCATAAAGGCAACGAAGAAATGGACGACCTCGGTGAGGGTCGAACTCACGATCTTGAGATTAACAGTCTCACGCCTTAACCAACTTGGCCACGAAGTCCTTTTCTTGTTTCGATGGTTATGAATTTTAAAAGGGCTCATAATAAATTAAGTCACGTGGTAGAATATATCGACAGCTTTTTGCAACCATTTTCAAATGGTCCTAAATCTATTAAAATAATATTTATCTTGTTAGCTTAATGTTACAATATATTAACTTCTTTAGATTGTAATTTCGTTTGTTCAATATAACAAAAATCAGGGGCGTAGTATTTTGTTAAGAATCGGTCAAAATGTTGCGAAAAAAAAAGAGATTAAGACCTGTTAAATGAAGAGATTTTAAAGTTCACCAATTAATCAAGTTAAATAACCCGTTTTTTAATGAACTTGATCCTACTTTTTCATTTTTAATACTAATAAATCGAAAAGAGGGCTAAATAATTCTAAGATGTCCAAATGATTTTTTCTTTTTAATTTTATCAGTGCCATCTACTTGACACATCAAAGATTAGAAAAATGACGAACAAAGATCAAGAAAATGCAGTTCCTATTGATGCCACTTCTAAATTATCAATTTGGTTAAGGAATAACATATAACAGGCGATGTTGGTTAAAAATATTTGAGAGATTGAGATTCTTTTGTGGTGATGAATTATCTTCATCCAAAGCTAACTTCTGCAACTGGGATCAACCAAAAATGCCCACAAAAAACTTGACACCAATGTACAATGAATGTTGTTGTTAACTTAGAAAATCTTAGACCATACCCTCTATATCTTTTTGGAGAAGAAGGATATGATCATTGGGAAATCCGGCCACGACTATCAAGAATATTTTGTTATCGTTTTCGATGTGCTATTACTTTTACAAAAGGCCAATAGGTTTATAAACATAACAAGAAATAACCTACTATCAAAGCCCGATTATTATGGTCTTTATCAAATTGTCAAAGTCATAGGTAAATGTGCTTATAAAATTAGGGAAGCTGGTGGAAGAATATTGAAATGAACTTTCAACTAAGATTTGTTGAAATTGATCACATAGGGTTGATTTCAGCGGTTCTTCCATAAACCTTCGATAGCCAGTAAAGAACTCGTAAAAAGTCGGAAGTTGTCAGAGGCCGAATCTCCACTTGCTTTTGGCACTAAGTATATCACTCAAACATGTGAACTATGTGGTCAAAGTTTACTCATTTAAGAATCTATACTCTGAATGTCAATATTCCAGGCAAACCCAGTTTTATTTTTCCTGCTCAGTAGAAAAAAATTCATAGTGAAAGTGAGGCTTTTTTTCATTATTAGTAAATCTTGACAAAGTTGTCACAAGATCTCATTCTCATTTCTTGCTATGAAAACTAGCTATTTGTGTCCAAGTCATCACTAAAGAGATTGGAAATTTCATAAATACACAAAATTTATATGTCAAAACTAAAAAAGACAATATGATTGTGCAATAATTCGGCAAAATATACCTGTGCCTCAGATCGGTATTACTACATTAAGCAGGATTCGAGCAACAATTAATTCTAGAACACGTGGGACACAAATAAAAAAATGGCGCAGAGATGTTAGTGTTACAGTTATTTATAGATGGAGCAAGTGTATAAGGTACATAGTGGGGTGGAGGCTTTTAGTTTCATCCAGAAGACCTATTGCCATTTTGGAAGACAGTCATTGAAAGCGAAGTAGGATGATGTAAACCTAATGGCGAATGCAAAAAAAAAAAGACCCAACTTTATATTATCTCTTATTTATCACTTTTCTTTCATGGTCTGGTATTCAAAAATGAATAAAAAATATACATGAGATTTTTCGTAAACTGGTATTTTCCTGGTGCTATTAATAACTTGATAGACCGACTTCCATCTTGCCAGATATTTTAATAAATGTTTTTTGTTGTTTATAACTAAAATCGTCACCAAATATAAAAAAAAAATAACTAGAAATAGATTGATCAAAATAATAAAATAGAACCATAATAATATCAATAGTGTAGTGTGTGCAACTTATACACTCTGTGTAAATTAACTTTTTTAGCAAGATTATCAATGAGCTTGGCGCCGTAGCTTGGTGCCGTAACTTGCAGTCTGCGGGAATACTGTTTCCTGTTGAGAATGCAATAAGGTTGTCTTCCAGAGTGAGTGATTTAATTTTTTACATAAGCAGACTAAAGTTAGTAAAACTTACTCAAAAGCAAACTCCGTTGTGCAAAAAAATGATTTCTGTATATACTTTAGCATAGCCCCTCAAAACAATAGGGAACGTTTTAAATTGTAATGTTATTATTACAAAATCAACTTCATTCAGATATGCATTTGATCTAGTGCATTCAAAGTAATCCGATGTTTAATTATGCTTGTTATTTTTGACGAATGTCTTTAGTAATGATAAACACTTCATCAATTACGAATGTGTAAAACTGGCCAAGAACTTCCCAACCCCCCCCTGATAAAAATTTATGACCAAAAAGAGCTGCTAAAAATATTTTGTGAGTAAAAAATAATCCCCCAAAAAATAACTGAAACATTACACTGTAAGAAGAACGATAAAAATATGTTATCCCTAACCCCCTTAATTCAATATCAGCAATACCACTCGTGTGACAAATACAAACTTTAGCTAGTGTTTTTTTGAATAACGAGGCGAAGTATGACACAAACATTCAAGTACTGTTGGCTTCTATTTCTTTATTTTCATTGTGGTTGCAACATCAAGGCATTTTTTTCAGTTGCTACTTATTTTTTCTAGCGTTGCTGCATTTTTTAGACAAAGAGTTTGTGGCATTTTGAGGAAAACTAAGAGATAAACTATGCATAATTAGGAGCGAACCTAGATCACTGTAACATCTATACCACGAGGCCTCATCCTACCCATGGTAAAATTTGTAAACAATAGTAATCTTTTAGTTCACACGAGGTTTATAACAAATTTGAAAAATAATTCATCGCATATATGCGAGATTAAGACGCAGGTTCGGGTACCCTTTATGGAATTCCAAAATCTTGGAAATATTCTTAAACTTCCTTGGGAATCCTTAGATTCGTTTTTTTTTTCTTAATTTCTTCTTTCATCTTTAATTTGGTCAAAGATTACAAAAAGTTTGCATATTTTAATACGGGATGATTCATAGCTCAGCATCCCTGTTTCATTTAGCAATAGCAACAGCTGTTTCATTGGCTTTATTTGCAATATATAAGTTCCTGGCCAAGGGATCAAGGTTAATAAGAATTCTTTCTTTGACACTATGTCTTATGGTTGTAAACTTCTTGATAGCATTAAATAATTCCTATGTCGAACCCAGTCAGTTACAGCCACCATTGCTTAATTCCGCCGTCAGTGATTCATTATATGACTTGAACTATAAACCGTTTAAAGTACCTGCATATTCTTTTATTGAAACACATAAAGAACTCCAAAACGATTTCAAGTGCTCACAAGTTCAATTTGAAGATAATTCAAATGTTCAAGCTTCGCAATTATTTGAATTAAATCAACCAGAAGATTTAAAACGGATAAGAAAACAGGTCAAGCAATTACTGAAAACCCGACTGATTTATAACTTGTGTTTCCAAGATAACGACTTGTCGGAGAGTGAAGTTCTTGAAACAAAATGGTTTAAATTCTGTGGTAGTTCAGTATGGTTGGACAAGTACAAGGTTCATTTCATGGTCAATAGAGTTGTGTATACAGTTGCGGCCCGTAGAAATAGCCCGACAGTATCCATGCTTGCAGGACAAGTATTTGACAGTGATTGGAATGAAATTATGGATTTCAGGTTCCCAAATTCCAATTTAACCTTCCCTACTATATTGCCACATTATATTGACCCTGGTAAACGAGACATCAAGAATGTTTTAGGTGCTGAAGATCCAAGAATTATATTGCACGAATTTACCAATAACCAAGGAGAACTGGATCAAGAACCGATAATTGTTTTCAATTCAAGAAGATCTAACATCAGATGGAATAGAGCTATGCATATATATCGTCCATTACACGATTCCTATAATATTGTTATGTTGAATATCAAAGGTAAAAAGAGAAGTTTTAGAGAAAAGAACTGGGCTCCATTTATGGATTCAGTTAACGAAAATAAAATAAATTTTGTATACAACTTCAATCCGTTGAGAATTATTCAGTGTGATATTACTTCTGGACAATGTGAAAAGGTAAGTGGACCAGATTTTAATAAAAATGCCAATGACAATGCCGGTAAATTAAGAGGGGGTACAAATATTGTTAAAATCCCCCCACATTTCCTTCCAGAGAAGTTACAACTGAGATACTATTGGTTCGGAATAGCAAGATCTCATATCGAAGGTTGTGGATGTTTACACGAAGTATATCGTCCGCATGCATTTATAATATCTCGTCCCAAGGAAGGACTTAATTTCACCTTGGACTATGTAAGCTCATTGATTGATTTTAATATTAATCCTGAACCATGGCATGAGCAGGAAGGTAGATGTTCAGATGGGAAATCAGTATTGATTCCTAATTCGATTGCTTATTGGGATATAGACAGTGTCACCAATAGTAACTCAATACCTACTGATTACATGGGTATAACTTTCAGTGAGGCCGACAAGACGAATCGAATAGTTCATGTAAAAGGTTGGTTGAGCCATATTTTAAAGACTTTGGACGTTGATAAACACCAGTTGCTTCATCACTATGCTGATGAGAAACATATTTATTACGAGAATCAATTGCTAGGTGAATGTGCTACTTATTTAGCTCAAGAATACTGTCAATATTCCGAGAAGAATATGAAGTGGGATTAATAAGAAATTACATCATAGAGAGTAAGCCTAGATATTTAATAAATGCATTATTATTTCTCAATCAAACTTGTAGATCTTTTACCTGGATCAGAGGTGTAACGAAGTAGAATCAAGCTAGTACTGTAGATAAGATCCATACTTTCTGCTTGTGGGGCATATGCCATGGAAATTCACAATTTATCCTTAATTAAATATTTTCTTTATCTAAATCAAATGCCGGGCTTAAATTCACTTTCAAAACACGGGCAACAGTCTAATTCCTCGAGACTCCACCATAAAAGCATGCTCTATAAACACATTACTAGTAGAAACAAAGAGATCTAGATCAGAAGAGGTCGTGCAATACACAAGACAAGAATTGCAACATTTTCAAGATTTATACTTTTAAGTTGGCACCACACATGACGCCTTATTCTAGACGGCAATTCTAAAAAAAAAAAACAATAAAAATTTGAAACACCTCCTGATCATCTTCTATATTTCTAACAGACAATCAATTACTATACAGCGTATTGTTGCATAATTTAAAGGTCTAACATGATCGTTGTAGTTTGCCAATTACACCGAGGGCAACAAGACCCGGAAGCAAAGTTATCTTTGGTGCATGGAGCATAATCTAAAAATATAACCAGGGCTAACAATGAGGCGGAGAGCAATTTTATTTTAGATAAATTTTTTACGCGATTTGATGGGGCACGTGAACCTAGGGTAAATCTGATGGGAATTACACATTTTTTAATAAAATCCAGATTTAGTGGAAGCCAATAACACTTCCTTAACAATAAACGCAAGCATTTCAAAGCTTATAGAGATATGACTGTAGAAGTACCCAATATAGAGTTATCTACTCAAACGGCATATCTTGCAGCTTTGACCATTTTCACTCCTATTGCGATATTTTTCGTCCACAAAAGCTTTTCACCAAAGACAAGAGATGGAAGTAGGCAAGCCCGAGTAACCCGAGTCGCTGGTATTGCTTTATACATACTCATATTGGTCCTTAATATAAATGCTTGGTATTTCAGCTCGACATTATTTCAAGGTAGTAAACCAACAGAAACAAAGCATAACTCACCAATAAGTGCAAATAGAAGCAAATTAAAATTCGAGAAATTTAAAGTTCCGGGATATTCATTTATTGAAACCGGAGAGGAATCAACTGATAGTCGATTTAAATGTACTCAGGTAGAATTTCATGACGATGAAAATCTTTCAGCTACAGTTGCCACTAATTTGAATAACAATGACGATTTGAAATTTTTACGAAACCAACTCAAGGAATTATCCGCTACTAAACAAGAATACCGCGATTTCTTTGTTGATAAAGAAGACGAAACTGAAGAAAGTATTCTCGCTAACAAATGGTGGAAATTCTGTGGTAGTGCGGTATGGTTGGAAAAATACAATGTTCATTTTATGGTTAATAGAATTGTTTATTCCAAGGATGCTGTTCGAAGTTGGCCTACAATCTCCGTACTTTCAGGTCAAGTATTTGATAACGATTGGAATGAATTAACTGATTTCAAGTTTCCAAACAGTGATTTGAAATTTCCGGGAATATTACCTCATATTATAGATCAAGGTCCCTACCATAAATTAGAAATCTTGGGAGCTGAAGATCCTCGTGCGGTTTTGCATGAATTCACAAACGATCAAGGTGAACTTGATCAAGAGCCTTTAATTATTTTCAATGCATTAAGAACTGAAATTGGTTGGAAACGTGCCATGCATGTATACCGTCCATTGCAAGACCCATACAATATCACTAGATTGTCCATTAATGGACTTAAGCCTCGTTTGATTGAAAAGAATTGGGCCCCATTTATGGATGCTGAAGAAGGTGAAATCAACTTTATTTATAATTTCCATCCGTTACGTGTATTGCAATGTAGTGTTTATACCGGGGAATGTAATAAAGTGAGTGGTCCTGACTTTAATAAGGACCCTACCAAGAATGCTGGAAAGTTGAGAGGTGGAACGAATCTCGTACCAATTCCAGCTAGTTTATTGCCTAAGAAATTAAGTCATAGAAAATATTGGTTTGGAATTGGTAGATCCCATACCAAAGATTGTGGATGTGTTAATGAATTATACAGACCTCATGCATTTATAATCTCCAGACCTGAAGATTCTCTCTCTTTCACCTTGGATTATGTTTCTTCATTGATTGATTTCAATATGAGACCAGAAACTTGGAATGGAGGTGAAAGTATTTGTGACGATGGGAAATCTGTATTGATTCCAAATTCAATTTCTTATTGGGATATTGCAAATACTGATAGTACCGAAAAGCCAGAAGATTACATGGGTATAACATTCAGTACTGCTGATATGCATAATAAATTGGTGCATGTTAAAGGGTGGTTGCCTCATATTTATCTTGTCTTAGATAAACTAGAATCCCAATTGATTCAACATTATGCTGATGTTGACCATACATTTATTGAGAATAAGCTTTTGGGTGAATGCTCAACATTCTTGTCCGAAGACTATTGTGAGGCCACTTCTAAATTGCAAAGTTGGTAGGTTAATTTTTCTTTTTTTTAATAGAGTGTAATAGATTAATAGTTCATCTAACGAAAACTGTGTATTTTTAATCCAACTCAAACTGTATCATACATACTGGTAGAACTAATATCAAATTAAAAAAAAGAATATAAAAACAAAAACAACAAAAAAACATTATAAAAAAATAGTTCTAGTCAACACAAGCTTACTTATCTTGAGGAGGTTCAGAGTTACCTCGTAAGGTTAAAGGGTAGTGTTGACCTTCATCTTCATTTTCGTCATGGTCATCACCATCACCCAATGTGAAACCAATATAATCATCAGTATTCAAACTTTCTTGAGCTTCTTGTAAACTACCTAAATCACCAGGAGTCATCAGACCAAGTTTACCTCTTGGAGAACCAGGAACACTCAATGGACGAGTCAATTTCAAATTACCAGAGTTGGCAAATGGATTAGCACCATTCTTGAACTTATCAGGATATGCTCTCTTTAAGGATAATTGACGAGCCTTGATGTATTCCAAACCCATACGTTTCCAATCTAATAAATCACTCAATCTTTCGGTACGGTTACGTTGGTTAATTCTTTGACGTCTGGTCTTTTGAGCAAAATCATACATGTAGTCGGTTAATTGATTAATTGATTCGTCAACGGACTTCATTCTTCTATCAACAATGTAAATACCGTAATCACTGGTGTTTTCAATAAGATCTTCCATATAACAACCAAAACCGGACAAGTTGGTGGTAATGGATGGAACACCCATGACAGTACATTCAGCAGGAGTGTAACCCCATGGTTCATAATATGATGGGAAAACACCCAAGTGACAACCACGAACAAATTCATCATAATCCAAGGATAAAAGTGGGTTATTAGCATTAAGGAATTCTGGGTGGAAAATAATTTTAACTCTATCATCAGGACGGTTGAATAATTGAACTCTTCTGATTTGGTTTAAGATTGGATCAGTAGAGTCATCAACCATGTTATGGGTGACGATTGGTGGTAAACCTTCACGCTTCAAGGCAAAGATTCTTCTCTTTAACAAGACACGATCAGCTGGCTTAATTAATTCATCAATCAGTGGAACCTCACTATTTGGTTTACCTTGATGGCTTGAGTTTGGATATCTAGCACAATGTTCAAATAATCTTTCACCAACCTTCTTTTGAACTTCTTCAATGGTGGATTCTAATTGCTTAATAACAGCTTGACCCTTTAAGGTTTCCACGGTGTATGATTGAGTCTTACCTGGCATAATAATGAATGCAACAACGGTCATTTTAGATCCGCTTTCCTTTAATCTGTGATTCAATCTAGCTAAAGATTCAATAAAGAAATCACAACCCTTGTTTCTAAATTCATATCTACCAGCAATAAAGAAATATAAGGTGTTTTCTAAATCGAAATCATAGTTACCATAGAAATGTCCTTTAATAAATTCATTAATCTTGGCTTTCTTTAAAGCATGTAAGTTTTGGAATTCATGAACAGCTTGGAATTTGACAACATTCAAACCATTTGGTAAGACACCATCTGGTTTTCTCTTTAATAAATGTTCAGATTCATAAGCAGTAATATGGGAAACAGTGGTGAAAACATCAGCGGAATGAGTAGCCGATCTTTCGATACAGTAACGATGGTAAATACCTCTTTTACCAGCTTCAGCATCAACATCAAAGTAAGCCAAATTATTGTAGAAATCAGTTGAACCAGCACAAAGATATCTACCAAGAATAGTGGCATGGGTGGTGAAGATAGTTGTAACATCAATTCTTCTCTTTCTACACAATGGCAATGCAATACCAGCTAACCATTCATGACAATGACAAATAACTGCTCTTTCACGGTCATTGTAAACCAATTCACCCAAGAACCAAGCAACCAAATAACCCAACAAGATGGCATCATTGGTTTCCAGATCGTGATCAGGAGTTGGAATTCCAGCAATGTTCCATAAATCAGACTTCCATTCATTCAAGTTGTGACCGGCTGACCAAATATCGAACAAAAGAACTCGTGGGGCCCCTTCAATCAACCATCTACCATAGAGCCAACGGATACCACGTTCACTCATTTGGTCCAAAGTTTGTTTGATCAATGGGTCCTTAACTGGTAATTCTTCAACTTCAATGGCAGCAGATTGATAGTTTAAAGGACCAATTAAGGTATAACGTTCTCTGTATTCAGCAACGGTGATTGGTGCCTTAGATTTAAGCACGGAGTAAATACCCCCGACTTTATGAGCAACTTCAGTTGCAACTTCAAAAAGCAAGTGATTACTAATGTCTCTAGTCATTTGTACTTTATGCTATTATAATGTCAATGGGAACAGTAAAAAGTACAATTCAATTGGTTGTAAAGTTTTTTGGTTGTAAATGATTTTTTCTTAAGGGGAAGAAACCAGGGAGGATTTAAATAAGTCGGAATGGAAGTGGAGCTGGCAAAGTGGGTTGACACAAAAAATTAAATCCACAAAAAAAAAAAAATGTATGGAATTTTCCAACAAAAAATGACTGTTATTAAATGAAAAATGGGGGATTCAATTCAGAAATTATTGTCTGAATTGGTATGATATGTCTATGTTTAGTTATATATAGTCGATGGATGATGCCTGGAAAGGTGTACAGTGATCCGTAGGCACGCAATGCTTTGTGAGTGTCGAATTAGAATTGAAATTAATCTGAAATTTCTTACGAAAGAAAAAAAAAGCGAGAATTGGAATTAGATGACTTTTACTGGGAATGTCTACGTTTATAAACTACAGTAAAAAAGATCAATTCAATTGTGTAGATCGGTAGTGATCTGCCCCCTTCTGTGTGGGCATGGTGGCTGATCTGTACCTAAGTTTATGAGATTACAATGTGGGTTATTGTTGTTTAAAAATGTGTTGAATTATGTTTAATTAAACCTTTTTTGGTTGCAGTTTTAAATTCGAAAAAAAAAGTGGGGAGAGGCAAAAAAAAACATCTTCTATCGAATTTGTTTACTAAGCCAGCGCTCAATTGCAGATGGTTTACTTGACATAAGTCTGAGTTCTTGGATTCAGTTGTTCACATTGATCTTGTATAAACATACGCGAGTATTGGTTTATGTCCGGTTTATGTGGCAGTTTCATATGAATAATTGGATGCACCAGCCCAAATGAAAAGTTTCTGCAAGCTGCAGCTATATTGGACTACACAAAATAAAAAAATAAATTCACACATTTTTGTCGCTACAACGTTCCACAACGACATAACGTAAATAAATTACATCACCATACGATTTGGAGAGGTTTGTATACACACTGTGAAATTCTTACTTCACATTAGTTTATGCACGTCGTTCCATTTCTCTTATAGTTTATTCCAGTATTTCTTTCCAATACTAGGCCAGTATTGGAAATGTTGCGGTCTCGCTAATTGATGTAGGTACAAACCAAAATGTGTCATCTCGTTATCTGCTCTGTTTACACTTCGATGCATTGTCCAATATGTGTTGACAATTCCGCCAATTATTTCGAGTGAATGACTTTAATTAATGACATACACATTTTCATAATAATTTAACCTTCTTGAGCTTGACAAAAAAACCGAGAAATTCGTTTTGTGTCCGGTCATCTCATTGTTCGTTAAGTTCCTTAAATGATTAGCCCCTCCCGCAAACGGAATTTTTTCGTCCAAAAATATCTTTCTTTTTTTATTTTAGCAAAGAATTTATTTTTCTGGAGTTTAATTTTTACGAAACAAGGCTGCTAAAAGCTAAGCACAAAAACTAGGAGTATTACCCCAGGCACGAATTCACGTGAACTGGATAAGCGAATCAAGGGTTGTGCTTAGGAAGATGCTTACGTCAGAATTTATATGAGGTGGAATGATTACATTGTTTATTCATGTGGAAGATGCGATATTTTTACTCTGTTATATCTATTTTTCTATGTACTAGCTAAACCTCTATTAATTCGTCATCCTCATCACTATCTTCATCCCCATCAACTTCAAACACAATACCATTACCACTCTTCAAGGAATGCTCATTAGGAAGTAACCATCCTTCATCATCAGAATCCTCGTCTTCGTCCATTACTACATCCTCACCTTCACTTTCTTCAGATCCTTGTTCTTCTTCTGGCACATCCTCCTTCAAGTCTTTACTAACCGTCAAATAACTTAATAAATAATCGTTCTTCTTTCCAACAGTGACAACATCTTTGGCAATCTTATTCAAGAATCGCGACAACAATTTCATTGAAGATTGCAATTCCAATCTATGACCACTGATATATTTCCCATGTTGAATCAATAAATTCTTGACCCAAAGTAAATAAAATTCAAAATGTGGCGAGTTTTGTTTGATTAATAATTCACCAATGAATGTCAACACACGATTCAAATAAACCACTGGTAAATCTTGACAAACTAATTGAATATCACTTAACGGTACCGATTCCAATACTTTATGAATCAAGTAACTTTCATTTAATCTGAACGCCATAACCAAAGCAGTAAGGTATTCCTTATCATTAAGAGATTCCAAGGTAGCTTCGGGAGTAACATCAACATCCAAATCAAATGGATCAAATATAACATCTTGGTTAATTGAATACACCAACAACCCTTCAGTAGAAGCAGCAGCAAATGCTGATGAAGTAGGGGAGAATTCAATAGAGTTGACTCTGATTTCTGGTCTTGCACGACGTTCTCCTGGATCCCCACCTCTAGTTGATCCAGGCAAGGTGTTATCTATACGATCTTCCAAATCACTTAATTCTCCATCACGATCAATCAAATCGGAATTTATACCAGAATCTGTAATTTTACCACTGTTGAGATATTGTAAAGTACCATCAATAGACATGTTTTCCGATACAATAAATCTCTTCAACAACACTTCATTGTCAATATCATACATACAAATGGAGTTGTTATCACCGGCAGCCAAAAGAGTTAATCCATCAAAGGAATAAGCAATAGTTTTGAAATATTTCCCACGACCAGAATTTTTGGCAACAAATTTATCATCAAAGTATCTTCCATTGATAATGTCCTTTCTACCATCAATTAAATGTAATTGTTTGGCATCTTCAATATCAAAAATGGTAATATGTCCATCTAATGTCAGGACAGCAATTTCTTTACAATCTGGTCTCATAGTTAAGGAAATCACATCGTTGGTGACCTCGATTGGTTCCACGGTTTGATTTCTAGCAAAAATATTCCAAATACGAATAGTCTTATCCCATGAAGCTGAAGCCAACACCGAGTTTTCTCTACCAAAGGTTAAACAAGAAATAGGACCTTCATGTCCACTTAAAGAGTCTAATAATTGACCAGTTTGGACCGACCACACATAAATTTCAAAAGTGTCTTGAGACCCACCACATACAACTTCACCACTTGGATCAACTGCCAAACAATTGAATTGGATTCTTGAAGCAGCAGTAAATGTCTTGAAGTTTCTAAATCTGATTAAATCCCATGCTCGTATAGTACCATCCAAAGAACTTGAAAATAAAACTTGTCCACGTTTAGCAAATTGAACTCCAGTGACTGCAGAAGTATGTTCCGTGAATGTGAAGAGACAGAATCCAGATTGAACATCCCAAATCTTAATTTTACCGTCATCAGATCCTGTAACTAACCTAGATCCATCAGGAGAATATGCCAAGGTATTCATGGAATCAAAATGTCCTTGTTGCTTAAGAATATATGATTCTGATTGCCATTCGTAAACCAATAATTGTCCAAGTTTAGCAGATCCAAAGGCCAACCATTCTCCTGTTTTATTTATGGTGACGGTATTGATGGAATTTTGACCCATACTCAACAGTTGTATAAGATTGAACTCTTCGATTTCATAAATTCTGAATTCACCATTGGTAAAACCAACAATTAATAAGTTAGATTGAGGATGGAAAGTAGCACATTTTAATTTACCGTCAGCATGAAAGAAATCTTTTCTAGTTATTCTCCAACTCATTGGTTTAGCGACGCCTTCCTCTTCTTCCATATCTTCATCATCACTTTCTACTGGTTTCTCGGTGTATTCCCATTTGAACAATGCTCCATCTTTACTGACTGTATATATGACTTCTTGATCAGCACTAAAGAAAGCATTAACAACATAATCTCGATGTCCCGAGAAAGTCATAGTAACGTCTTTTTCATCACTGGAAAGGGAAAAAATTCTAGCAGTCATGTCCTTACTAGTACTTATAAAGAAACGAGAATCTTGAGACCAAGTAATGCTCGTGACATCGTTGTAATGTCCCAGATATATTCTATGTCTTATGAATGGAGAAAATTGTCTATCTTCGCTGACATCAGGAGTTTTCCAAACTTGAATGAATCTAGCCATGGCCACGGCAAAGTAATGACCACAAGGACTGAACTTAATGTCGTATACTTTGGCTTTGAAATTGAAATGATGCAAGACAACACGCAGGACTGCGTTCACAAGTATAGCTCTACCATCTTCATCAATAGAAATCAACAATGTACCTGGTTTGTTCAAGGCTATACAGCTGATATTTTTCCGATGTTGGTAATTGAACGTGAATGATTGGGAATTAATAAGATCAAAACAGGAGACACGATTGCCCACTGGTGAAAGTAATTTGGTTCCATCTTCAGTAAACAAGAGATTACCTTTTCTATAAACTGTTCCTAACAAGTTAGAGAACTTGAAATCGGATTTCATTTTCGTTAATTGAAGTAAGTTGCTTATAAGAAGAGTAGAATCTTTAATTTTTTTTCAAAAGCTCATCTCGCGTTAAGTACGTGCAGCCGAGAAAACAAAAAAATTATTAGGCAATAATCTACCACTAACAGCAAAGGATCAGGTACCAATAATTCACAACTTAATATGTCCTCACTATCTAATAGAGTCATGAACATGAAGTTCATGCAAAAAGCAGACGATTTGAAAATAAGTGAAGAACGAGAACAAAACCAAAAGAAAATTGCCGATTTATCTGAATGGGTATTACCATATCTGAAATCATTATTAAAGATGGCCCAACTGAAACCAAAGATCGAGTCAGTTGGGTATGGAAGTATAATGAGTGCTCCTACTAGACGATCTTGGGGCACTAAAGTTGAACAAGAAGCAACACCTAGTCCAGAAAAGGAAGCTGTATGTACATTTCTTTGATTGATCTATATATTACACAAATACTAACACTTGCCAGAGCAAGAATAAATCAGAAGACTTGAACGAGTTATGGGGAAAACGAACAAAGTCAAACAATGCCAATTCATCGAAAAAGAGACGTCTATCATGATGAGCCAACTTTCCTACTTCTTTTTCTTTGTATTATTAGTATCATTCACAAAATTCCCCTTAATTAAAACATCCCTGGCGGCAGAATTGATATGTTTAAACCGATCTGGTCCTAAATGTATCCCACCAAACCATCTACTAACAACAACAATAACATTCCATGCATCCATCATCTAGTTCTTAGTTAGTACTATATCCACAAATAGACATAAAAGTTCATACATACTTGTAATAAATGTAGTAATCGTCCTCCAGCAGCAGTCTCTCCATCATCATCACAATCCTGATATTGCACCCCATCCATCGTCTTAATTCTCCAACTTGATATGTTGTGTGTAGCTCGGGAAATTTTCTTATCGGTGATCAACTCGTTAAGATAAGTTTGTGCTTGTTCTAAACTGTCAACTTTCCGGGCGTAGCCAATAAAGGTAGAGTTTCGATCAAGAATTGGATCTGACTTGGCCCAATCTTTAGTCGGATCCACTTGTTTTATGGGTTTCTCGGGAGTGATAACTTTCGGAGGAGGAGGAGGTGGAGGAAGGGTAGGAGATGGATTGGGGACAACTTCCTTTTCAGGATGTTCTTCGACATATTTATCAAAAAACTCTTGCAATTCCGTTAAAAACTCAAATAGAACAACTTGATCAGGAACAAACACTCGATTTAGAATCTCAATAATGTTTCTTTCAAGGTACGCCGTATCGGTAAATCTACTTCTATTATCGTTTATTACTTGTAGAAGCTGTGGTATTTCTTCAGGATACAGTTCAGGAAATGTGAATTGAACAGCCAAGTATTCATGATTGGGGATTTTGAATGTGTAGATCTGAGGACCAAGTGGAGTTACAGAATTAGGATATATCGCATCAATGGCCTCGATTTCATCTTTCAATTCTTCTACTGTCATGATGTCTTATTTCACCTGATGCACAACCAAAAAATGTAGTGAAAAATTACATATATATATATATATAAATAAAAAAAATAAATTATATACTTATTTATAGGTAGACTACAACAATGCTAACAGCCGAAGAGTTAAAACAGGAAGGAAATAAAGCATTCGCTAATAAAGAATACAAGAAAGCAGCAAAGATATACCGTGATGCGATCCAATTAGACATGTATAACCCCGTGTTATACTCCAATCGAGCTCAATGTTTTATAAACTTACAAGATTACCAACGGGCATACCGAGATACAACTACAGGGATTAATTTAGGTGCACCAGTCCCACTTCTTGTCAAATTATACTTCCGTAATGGAATTGCACTGAAGGGATTAGACAGATTACAAAAAGCAAAAGAGTCATTTGAAATGGTATTAAAGTTAGAACCGACGAATTCAGCTGCTAAATTAGAATTACAAAAATTGGACAAAGTAACTCCAAACCCACCGCAGGATGAAGATCTGTTAATAAATATTCCAATTGAGGATGTGAAGGAACTACCACAAAAATTTGCAAAGTTACTTGTACCAAAGCCAGAACCAGAAGAACTTATTGAACAACCAAAGAAAATAGAAACACCTAATATAGACAAGGACATAGATGAACTTTTCGGTAAAAAACCAAAACCAAAACCTAGGTCAAAGGTTACAACAGTGAAACCACAAGAAATACTGCCAATGCATTATTTAACTACATTGAAATTCCTTCCTGAAGACCAAAAAGCAAAAGGTTACAAGTTTGTTCTTGGTCTTGATTCTGATAGTTATGAAAATATATTTGGATCTTCAGGAATAGAAACTGAATTCCTTCAATTCTTTTTAGATGCAGCAGTATACTTCTCAACCCATGAGAATGAATTCCCAGATTTGAATTCCACAGTGTTACAGCATCTTCAACGGTTCGCCAAGTTCAAAAAGTACGACTTGGCCATGTTGATGTGTGATGACAACACCAAAACTAAATTAATAGAACTCATCAAACACAAACACCCTAATAACTTACAAGAATATCTCACATATATCAAATAATTTATTCAATACATAACTAATAATGCTGTACTTCAAGATTCTTGAGTAACCCTTTACGACTACTAGCTATAACATAAGGTTGCACCAATTCTTGAAGCACACCTGGCATATACAGGTCATAATCAATATCAAAGTACTTGTTAGCAACAATAGGCACCACGAAAATACTGGCAAATGCAACAAAACTCAACAAGAAAATCAAAAGGTATAAATTAGCTTGAAACCTCCTCTTTCTCTTTTGCCTCTTGGAAAGAATTCTTGGTCTCAATTGGTTCCCTGGTTTCAACCAAAATAACATTAAACTATGCCATTTATCAACATAGGGAATAAACAAAATTGGAAATTGAGCATATAAGATAACATGAGAAGCAACTAAATCACCAGCAAAATATGTCATTTCCGTCAATTTACATATGGTTTCTCGTAATGGTTGAGTAATAATGTACCATCCAAGACCAGCAGTAGCCCATTTGCCAGACCACCATGACCGATTCGACCTATCATGTCTAAATTCCCTAGAAATAAATAAAATTGTAAGTGTTTGTAAAAACCAACTTTGTAAAAGTATAGATAATGCCAATCCTAGTAAAGTTCTCGAAAAATTCCAATTTTGTAATAACCACAATAATTCGAAAAAGAAAACATGATTAATCACAGCAAGTGCATGGGCTCCAGAAGCAAGGAATGATGGATATTTCTTGCAAAATAATGTGAATATTGGACCGGTAATCACAGAAAGAACAAAGAAAACTATCAAAATGGCAACATTAACCACAATGGGACCAAACGAAACAAGAAGAATTCGTAAAATACTATTCACGGGATATGTTCCTCGAGCGTCATTTTGGGAATTTGCAAACAAATATGCAAATCCAACCAATGAAATAACCACAAATTGCTGCAATGTTTCAGAAATTACTAATTTGAATCGCGAAGGTTTCACTTCACTGACAACTTTAATCTCCTCATTAATGCTATATCTCTTACTTTTCACACCAACAAGACGACTCCGTTTCAACCTAGTAAAATTGATCCACGAAGAAATTCTCGGTTTGCTATTTCCACGATTCAACCATTTGAGGTACTCCTTATAATCCAAAAAAAAATCATTCCAGGAAAATTGATTGGGGTTATAGAGAAAAGGACAAATCAATAACCCTACAATTGTGATCCAAAAGTAAAGTAACAGGATTTTCCACATTGAAATCGAACTGTAAAATATCAATAACCCACAGAAGCCTCCAAAGTATAAACTCTCTGCTGCAAATCTTGAATAAAGTGTAGAAAACGGAACTCGAATGGTTGCAAATCCTCTTCCGGTTGCAAGGTATCTTGCCCCACCAATGGAAATATCACTGACTAAAGAATACCCATAAATTCGACAAACAAATACTTCAAATAATGGTGAAAACGAAGCAAATTGTTTTCCAAGTCTCGTGATAGCCTTGTAGAATCCTCGTTCAGTTAGTTCCTGAACTCCTAGCGGGACAAATGATATAACAAACACAATAAAAATTGAAAAGATACATCTTTGTAGCCACTGTACGACAGGTATCAAATTATAGCAATCAACTGGTCTTCTTGGATCCGTGATAGGTCTAAATCTATCATACTCACAAATTGTAGATTCATTAGTTAAAGCTGCGAGATTGGCACATACAAGGAGAAACAATTCGATGGAAAACATAATAAAAACATTATTCAAATGGAAACCAGGATGCGCATAATAAAATGATAAGAACCTATCCAAAGGCAATTGGGTTCCCAAATAAAAATACTCTCTCGAAAGCATCTGTTCACCCATACCCGCACCAATTTTAGTGGTGAAATTCAAAATTGAACCAAATCCCAAATCTCTACCCTTTCCACATTGCATGTATTCACAATGCTTGATCCTACCACCCCTAAGGACAACATTCATTCCAGCATAGATATCTTCATTCAAATGAAGACCCTTTTGTGCCTTAGATACACCTCCTCTTGTAGTCATAAATATGCCATTCAAGAAATCTGGATGGCCGTAATGTAATTTTCCTCCGATATGTGCCAAGGTTCTTGCAAATAACGTACCAAATGTTTGCTCTTTTCCAGCGGCAACATCCCCAAGGATTCCAATATTTTCTGAAAAGATATACTCCCTAGTACCAATGATCGCAACTGGATATGCCATTTCTGTATTCTTTAAATCCTTCGCATATGGATCGAGTGGGAAAGTTGCCTCTTCAAATTCAGCCAAAACACTCCTAATCTTAAGACATTCCTCCAAGTAGTTGTCTTGGTTAGCATCGACTAATTGAATATACTCACCTCTGCAGAATATCAATGAATGATTTTGATTATCAGATTTCCCATCTCCAAGAATTGGATTTCCTGACAATTTGATTCGATATTTGGGTTCTCTTTCCCCATTGGCTAAAATTGCACAACTTCCATCGACCAATGCCGAATAGTACACAATTTCCCCTGTAACATCATCCACGACTTCATCAAGATAACAAATTTGCAATTCAGGATAAGCTCTCAATAAAAATTCCGTGTTTTCCTTTTCCTCGGGGGAAAAGTATTTTAATCTTTGCATGGAGGTAATAATCCTAAACTTCCTATGAGCCATAACAGAAGCTTGCTCCAATTTCTCTTGTTCACTATCAAATCCATCTGGATTCTCAACATCAAATAACAATTTAATAGCACGAGAATAATTCATAAATCCCGAGATAGTTCTGTAAAGAGTTTGTGATCTAAGTGATGCCCAAATTCTTGTTCTCAAGATATATTCAGGAGTTGCAACTTTGAATCCAACGGAATAATAAGGAAGATCATCAAGTTTTTCCTTTTTACATTCTGCCGAGGACGAATCAGTTTCAAATTCTTCTGCCAACATCTTCGTATCTTTCACAAAACATGTCCATTCCAATGGATGGAGTTGCTTCAAATATTCTAACATAGTTACATGTGAATACTGTTCTTCTTCTCTAATAATTTCTCGCAATGAAAGCGTAATCTTTTCTCCATAATGTGGAATCAATACTGTGAAGGAGGGCATCAAATGAACAGGACCAACCTCAGGCATAGGTGTTGACAATGACTGTGCAAAAAATGTAACACGTCTTTGAGCTTCCGATTGATCTCGAAATAATGATGATTTGATAGACTGATCTTCCTGAGATACAAAAAAGATCGGTTCTTTCAAAATAGAACCCCCTTCAACACCAGGCGTATCTATTTGTTTATAAATCAACTTCTGAACATGTTCCAATGATATTAAATGTTCTCGATACATAGAAATCACGATTGAATTCCAAACTTGAGACACCAACAATTTAGCTTTGACATTTCTATCACCGGAAACAGATATGATTTTAGAAAATATTCTCTTTGGTAATCTTGAAAATATATTTCTCCACGGAGTCCAAATCGATACGCCAATATAGAATGATCGACAAACGGAAAATATAGTATTCCAAACAATGTACCACAAGTAAGTATCCAAGAAAAATAGTACTAAATCAGTCAAGTAAATCAAACATAAGACAATGACTGTTTGCCTTTGGCAAAGCCAATTTCCAATCCAAACCTCACCAGCACATCGAGTCATCTTCATCACACTTAATTCCCTTACTGGATCACGCATTGAAAGTGTAAGGAAAAAGTAGGATTCAATGAATTTAGAAATGAAGATGGCAAACCATAATCCATAAGATGCAATTCGGTCACTTTCTGTGAGGGTATAGAAATTTGTCACAAAATATTTTGTTGCCAAAAACCTTCTATCTTGCTTCCGAGAAGAAGTAAATATCTTTCCTAATGGGGCAATCGACAAGTACAATACCATGATCACTGAAAACCCAAATTGGAATGAAGACAAAACTAGTCCTAAAGTGTTCTCCACATCCAAAGGGTAAACCAAGAATAGATATACAGTTGGTCCGGTATTAACAATGAATGCTAAAAAAAGTAATAGTAATCTCTTTAATATTGGTTGCGCTCCAGTCCACTTTCGAGGAACTAAGGAGAATTCAAAAAGTAAGCTAGCCATGCACATTAGAATTGCTATGGAACCACCAAGTGACAAAACACTTAGTCTTGCTTGGGTCGTGGGTTGATTATCAAGTACTTGTTGATAGTTCTTGGTATATAGTGTAGGCGAATTGAACAAAGTATAGTACCAGAATACTGAAATATGAATAATCCAAACTCTGTTAAAGTTAACAAGAACATGGGACCAACTCCGTCTTTCTCTGAAAGTTTTATAAAAGGCCTTGTGCCATAATATTTGATTTAACTTTTCATACCTCTCACTAGGTTGAAGACTCATTAACTTTGTCTTCTTATCAGTTAAAACTAAACGTTCCAACCCTTTGCTATACCAAAAAAGTTGGTTCATATCATCATACCCTATTACAGAATCATGATCTTTATCCCGTCTATGGTACTTGGAATCAATGAGAACATAAGATTGGTCTCTGTAAAAGTTGTATAATGGCGTGATAATGTGATCCAAGAAGCTAACAGTGACGGGTTCAACTGGAACATCCGGATCAATGGAGAAATAATAATCGTTGCAACACTTGAAGATGAAACAAAGGCACTCGGGCATAAATCTAATGTTATTAGCTTCTCCCCACACCAAGAGAAATAATGCCAACTGAATGGTGCAATCTGTAGGAGAAAGTGTTAGCATATTGGACGACCACAGTTCTTCGGCTTGTTCTAAAGTAGCCACCACTTCATTTGAATCTTTCACTTTTCCACTTTTCGTAATATTATCCAATCCAAAGGCGTCATCGATATCAAGACTCGCTGCAAAGTACCATCTCCTAAAGTTAGAATTAACGCCACCAATATAATCAGCATGAATTGACCTAAGTGCTTGCATGGGACCAAGCCTTGATGCTCTTGAATCCAATAAGCGCATCAAATAGTCAAACATGTTCCTAGTATTATCAAATTGAAAACCAAAGATAGTGGTCAATTGCAAAAAAATAGCTTCAATCTCTTCTCTTGTAATAGGAACATGCTCTGGAGGATTCCAAGCTGGATATGGATCGAGCTTATTAGAATAGATATCGTAAATACCATCCTCAGCTAACCCTTCTCCGGAAGTTCTGTAATAGTCATGAACAGGTCCATCGGCTTTCCCAATCTTTTCAACTTCTGCCCATCTACTGGTATTGATATATGGTGTTTTAAAACTACTAAGGGGGAATGACGAATTGAACGCGTCAGGATCACGGTCTGATAATGTTAGTAATTACTCATGTGGGAGTTACTTTACCCACAACGGTAAATCATACTAATTGCAGTTGCTGTTCGTTTGAGCAATTCAATAGGATCAGAATCATCCTTAACACGGTTCAGAGGCCGTGATGAACGTTTTGGCATTTAGTGATATATTGCTGCTAGAATAGATAAAGGGAATGTTTAAAAAAAAAAGTTACAACCAAATATTTTTTTTTTTCTACAGTTGGCGGTAAAATGTGAGACGTCGTCGTGGTTGCCAAAAATTTCGACGTGATTGCAACTACCTCTGCTTTTCCCATACTTCTCCCGGTTCATTACTGACTACTTTATTTGGACCCAACTATCATAATAGAATATTTTAATAGATTGATCAATTGATCAACCCCAGTGTTGGGGAAACCTTTTTACGTCTACTGTCGCAATATCCTATTACACCAAAGAATCATGTCCCATTATTAGTCAGCGAGGATTTAACGGTACCGGTAATGTACAATAATTAGATACATGATACAATACTAGAAACAGTAGTTTAAAAAGAACTACCTTGCAAACAAAAGTGTAGTATCAACTATATATTATTTTTAGTGACCACTTTTGTAAAGAGAAAATTCAAAATGGTATTGGTTTTGCAGCCACAAAATCATTTCTACGTTTCAATATTATATTCATTACTAACACCAATAATATGAGAGTGCTACTCACTTTCATTCTTATATGTGGTACATTTATTAGCAGAAGTTTAGCACATACTTCTTACATTGTTGCTCTTCGAAGAAATGAGACTTTTAATAGCTTTAGGACGTTCGATCTTACATTCCCTTCTTCCCAACAAGTTACACCACTTATTATAAAATCATATTCATTTGGGAAGTTCAATGCATTCACAGGAAATTTCACTAAAGAGACTGTTGAAAATCTAAAGAGTAGTCCGCTAGTTTGGCTGATTACTCCTGACATTATCCTAAGATCTTTCCTGATTCAAACTCAAGAAGATGCCCCTAAACATCTTGCAAGGTTAAGTCGAACTAAACGAATGAGACCGGGGAAGTCATATCCGTATCTATATGATGATCAATTTACCGGTAAAAGGGTAAATGCATATGTCATTGATTCTGGAGTGGAAATTGGACATCCTCAATTCCAAGGTAGGGCTAGAACTGGTAAAGATTTCTCCAATGAAGGACCTGGTGATCAAAGTGGCCATGGAACTCATATTGCTGGATTGATTGGTTCCTATACCTATGGATCATCCAAAGGAGTGGAAATGATAGATGTCAAAGCTATAAATAGTAAGGGATTCACAACACTATCATCCATCATAGCAGCGCTAGAATTTTCTGCTAACCACAGACTCAGGTCAAGAAGAATGGGAGTTGCGAACTTGTCAATGGGTGCAAAAAGGAATGCAATGATAAATAGAGCGGTTGATGAGGCTTTCAATACTGGGTTAGTTGTTGTTGCTGCAGCTGGAAATTCAAATATCAATGCTTGCTTGAATAGTCCTGGAAGTTCTAAAAGTGCAATAACAGTGAGTGCAATAGATGACTACAATGATGACATTGCCAGCTTCTCAAATTGGGGTGAATGTGTTGATTTACTTGCTAGTGGAACTTACGTTAAAAGCTTAGATAGAAAGAATATTCACAAAGCTAATGTTCTTTCCGGAACTTCTGTTTCAGCTGCAATTGTTACCGGTTTGGTATCTAATTTACTTAGCCAGGGTGCCGGACCTAACGAAATCAAAAATAAATTAATTGAAATGTCTACCAAGGATAGAATCCCGGAATTGTCATTATTCCTAAAGCAAAAAACTCCCAACAGAATAGCTCATGGAATAGGCTCAATTCACGAGGATACAAAAGATGACTATGATGACTATACACGAGTATAGTACAAATCTACAAGTATTCAAGATTATATAATAAAGTTTTTCCATTTAGTTTTTCCAAAAATAAAAATATAAACAAGTAAAATAAAAAGTATAAGTTTTAAAAAAAAAATTAGTTACGTTTACCAGCACCAATAGGTATCAGGCAACTTATTTCAATGATTTGAGGAATGATTCCTTTTGTTCCTCAGAAAGAGTTTCAATGAAATCTTTCATGGCAGAGACAGCAGTACTTGGGTCTTCTTGCAACAATTTAGCAATATTTGAACGAGAAGTTTCTTGTTTCAATTCTTCGATTCTCTTTTGTAATTTAGCATGATGTTCTTCAATCCAAGCACTAACAGCTTGATCATCTTCGTAGTCAACAGTTGGCATCCAACTCTTCAATCTAGCAACCTTTTCTAACTTGTTGGCATTCTTGACTTGTTCACCAATAAGTTTCAAAACGTATTCTTCATTCAATCTACGACGTAAACGCCAGAAGAAGTAACGTCTAGCATCGGACCATTTGATTTCTTGACGAATAACACCCTTAGCCAACATACGACCAGATCTATCATGTAAGTCAGCAAATTGAACAGAGATTTGAGCATAAATTGGTAACAATGCTTTTTCACGAGCAACAATCTTGGCATTGATTTGAGCATGTTCTTCTGGAGACAAGTTAGATTCATTCAATCTAGCCTTCAATTGAGCGTAAGTAGGGTCTAATCTTTGCATGGTAGCCAATAACTTATCACGTCTATATTTAAGACCAACCATACCTTCTGGTTCCAAGACACCGGCACGAGCTTCAACATCAGCGTACATTTCCATCATGTCTGGGTTGATAGATGGATCAACAACAACCCAAGAACCACCTCTTAATTCACCATTTGGAGGAATATAAGTGAAGATTGGTTGCTTGAAATCAACTAATGCATCAACAATGAATGAACCATATTTAAGAACTTCATTATACATATCTCTTTGACCACCAGAGAAACCTCTCCAATTAGCCAAAATCATTAATGGTAATTGTTCACCATTGTTGAAATCATTAATAGCTTGAGCTGTCTTGAAGGCGGAGTTTGGATACCAAACTTGACCAGCTTCTTGAACCATACTTTCAGTAGAGTCAGGGTTGGCTGGATCGGCAGGAGTCAAGTTTTCAACAGCTCTAGTTTCAACACCGATAATACCAATTGGGATACCACCAAGACGGGCTCTACCAACGACAACACCTCTGGCCCAACCAGATAAAGTTTCTTGGAAAGAACCCTTATCGAATAAACCAGATTCAAATTCGCCATCAACTTCTCTACCTTCAATCATCCATCTAACATCATAAGCTTCTTGTTTTGGTGGGTAGTAATCAATTTCTCTGTCCCATGGATCTTCTGATTCCAAGATTGGTACTGGCATACCTCTTTGGGCTGGAACATAAGATAACCATTCCATAATCTTTTGAACACCTTCCAAATCATCGTTAGCAGTCAAGTGAGAAACACCATTCTTGTACATGATTTGAGTACCACCTAATTGTAAGTTAGAAGTATAAACTTCTCTACCTAACAACTTATTAATGGCAGGAGCACCAGTTAAAATAATTGGTTGACCTTCAATTTGAATAGCTCTTTGACCTAATCTGACCAAATAAGCACCAATACCAACAGATCTACAAGTGACCAAAGTAATAGTAAAGATATCCTTGTAAGCTCTAGAGGTAGCACCGGCAATCAAACCAGATCCCTTAAGACATTCAACACCCAAACCTTCTTCAGAACCAACAATAGTCTTAAGAACATAACGTTCTTGACCGTTCTCAACAATTCTTTCAGTGATAATACTGTCACCCTTGCCATCATTTTCAATAGCTCTCTTGGTTTCAGGAGTCAAGTACAAGTATTTGAAACCCTTGTCTGGAGCACCTTCTTCATTCCAAGCAACGTCGAATAATGGAATTAATTCTGAAGCAACACCAAGTCTAGCACCAGAGTTAGCAGAAAGATAGATTCTTGGAATACCCAATTCTCTAGCCAATTCAGTACACTTGTTGAAGAAATAATCTTCTTCAGGACCAAAAGAACCAATCTTGTGAGTGATATCATTAGCAACAATGATGAATTGACGACCACGAGGATATTCAGGAGTCTTGGCAGTCACCTTGAAACCAACCATACCAATCTTGTTAGAACCAGGTTCTCTTTCAACAGCGGTCAAATGATCATTTTCATCGTGGATTAATTCTAAAGAAGTGAAGACATCCTTTGGCGCCTTCTTACCATACTTCTTCCATTGGGAAATAGTTGCTTGACGGAACAATTCTGGGAAATCGTAAACATAAGTAGTACCCATGTTGTGAGCCTTGTAACGCTTTGGTTGTAACGATTCCTTGGCTGGGTAAGGAGTAGAGATTGGTCTCAAGTGCATGGAGCCTGGGTTACCAATAGACTTGAAGACCCAATCACCCTTGGCATTCTTAACTTCCATGTACAACTCAGACTTGACAACATAACCAGAAACATTGTTGATGATAGCTCTCAATGGGAATGAGTTACCTTGTTGGTCAGCACAAACAATTCTAATTTCAGCACCAGTAACTCTTAATCTCCACAATCTTCTACCGAATCTTTCCAAGAATGAACCAAACGCAGCTTCAACTTCATGAGGTTGAACATTGAATACGTTGGAGAAGTTAATGAAAATATGATTCAAATCGGAGTTGGAAGTATCAATAACTTCTAAAGCATCCAAGATATCAGCCATTAATCTGTTTGATTCAGCAATCAAATATTCACTAATGGTAATTTCATCACGAATGGAACCGGGTCTAACAATACCTCTAGTGAAGAATCTCTTATCAGCAGGAGCATTCTTACCAACAGCTTCATAAACATGAATGTTTCTGTTATCAGTGAAAATTGGTTTGATGTCAAAGTTAGCCAATCTAGATAATTCTAATTGGAAAGCTAAAGCTGGTTCAATGTGTCTAATAACCTTGTTTTCAACATAATCTGGGCCAGTAAAAGTGTAGTACTTAGGATAAGTACCAATCTTGTGAGCAAAAACAAAGGTGATACGACGGATACCAGCATTCTTCAAATCTTGCTTGTATTCATCAAGAATGTCATGAACTCTACCCAAAATTTCTTCTTCATTTTCGTAACCATCAATGTTAGTAATAACAATATTCAAAACATTCAACAATGGAATATCAGCTTTATCACCATTGGCTTGGAAGCTGATACCATCACCGCCTTGGTAAGTTTCTAAAGCAGCAATAAGCATTTCATCAACATCATCCAAATGACGAGCTGGAACCAAAACACCAGTTCTTGGAAGTTGTTCAGTCTTGGCATCAACAACAAATGATAAGTCAGAGACAGAAGCAGCATGTTTCATAGTAGTAGCATGATCATCATCAGAAGAAGGTTGTTGAATGGTATTGTATCTCGAAGAGGCCATGTCTGGTAATCTAAACTTCCATTCAATAATTGGGAATCTGTCATGGAAATGGTAATTGATGTCAGTTAAATCATAAGCACGGTAAGAACGTCTAACGTAAACTTCAGAAGCAGCAATTGCAACCCATTCATCAGGATTAACCAAGAATTGAGCCAAGACATCAAAGACAGTGTGTTTAGAATCAACAACTTCCTTGATAATTTCCAAATTAGGTTCACGATGCTTAGCATAAATTTCACCATAAGAAGTTTGTAAAACAGCTGATCTTAAAATGTGTTCCAATTGATCAGATCTTTCTTGAATAGATGGTAAAGAGCATTGAATAGAGATTTCTCTGGCCTTCAAAGCAACCTTGGAACAAACTCTTGAATCCAATTGAACAAGCTTCTTCAAGGATTCTCTAATAGCGGTAGCAACAGATGAATTACCTTGCAAGAGTGGTTGATAGGCTTGTAAAATGGCAATGATTAAATTGTTCTTACCACTGACTCTGGAGTGTGACAAACAAATACCAATAACCTTTTGTAAATCAGATTTGTTTTCATCTCTTAATTTCAAAACAACATCATCTTCTCTGACATTTTCACCTGAAAACAAACTTTCAACTTGGTAGTATTGATCAATTAAACCAGCAAAGAAATCATATTCATGTTCTTCTAAACCGTTTTGGTAACGGGTAGCAATAACAACTAATGGTTCAACAACATCTTTTAACATAGAATCATCTGATTCAGAAACAGACTTGGAAATTTGCTTCAAAATTTGACGAGCTGGGAATTCAGCATTTCTGGATTGATTTCTTTCCACTAAACTGGTCAAGGAATCGTTCAACTTGGCTGGTAATCTTGAGTGTAAAGCAGAAATAATTTGTTGCCATTCAGAGTATGGCAATTCTTTGTCCTTCAAAACTTGAGTTAAACTTTCCAAAGTTGACTTCATAATAACTTGATTGTCGTAACCACCTAAAATGTTTTGCAAAATAGAAGCATAATAAGTAAATCTATGAGCTGGCTTAGTACCAGTAACATTTGGTTCACCCATTTCTGGTAAAGTACCTTCAAATGGCTTAGCATGTTTGACCTTGGATGGATCGTCTAAAGCTAAAATGGCCAAGATATCACCAGCGTTAACAGTGGAGCCTGGTTGCTTAATTAATTCAACAGTACCATTTTCTTGGGCAATTAAAGGCATACACATTTTCATGACTTCGACTTCAGCGTATGGTTGACCGGCATTAACATGGTCACCACTTTCAACAAGATACTTAACCAATTTACCTGGAGATGGAGTTCTCAATTGGGTTGGGTCATTTTCTACTTCTAATAAACAAGTCTTACCATCAACCGATAATCTAGTAGCTGATGCTTCTTCCTTCCAGTAAACAGAGTGAGATTTACCACCAATGGTACATAATAAACCACCATCAGATAAGGTACGAGCACCAACAAAACAACGAGAACCATTAAGGAACAAAGTGTATTTATCAGCAGAAGATTTTGTAGCAGTAAACTTGTATCTTTCACCTTCATAAATGAATTCAACTGGGAAAATGGTCTTGAATTGGTTCTTGTGAGGAACTTGACCACGTTCTAAAGATTGGATGAATTCCTTCTTTTCTTCTTCTGCTTGAATGTGAGCCTTGGTAACAGCACCACAAACAACGGCCAAGATTGGATCTGGTCTTTCTGCAGTCAACTTCTTGGTAATTAATTCATCTAACCAACCAGTAGTAATAGTGTTGTCTTCAAAGTCTGGAGTTTCCAATAACTTAATTAAATATTCAACAGTAGTTCTGAAGTCACCACGAATACTTAATTCCTTAAGAGCAACAACCATGTGCTTTCTTGAAGCTTGACGGTTTTCACCGAAGGCAAAAATATGACCAAATTGAGAATCTGAGAATGAATGAATCGATGATTGGTTACCCACAGAGAAATAACCCCAAACGTTGGAAGATGATCTAAAGTTCAATTCGTGTAAGGAACCACCAGATGGCTTGAAACCTTCACCAGGATCTTCAGAAGTAATACGACAAGCAGTACAGTGACCCTTTGGAGCTGGTCTTCTTTGTGTAGTTAATGAAGATTCAGTTTTGAATTCAAAATCAATATCAGTGGTAGTATGAGGATCAACACCATATAAAGTTCTAATATCTCTGATACGGTGCATTGGAATACCCATAGCAATTTGTAATTGGGCAGCTGGTAAATTAACACCGGTAACCATTTCAGTTGTTGGATGTTCAACCTGCAATCTTGGGTTCAATTCTAAAAAGTAGAACTTGTCTTCAGCGTGAGAATAAAGATATTCAACAGTACCAGCAGAAACATAACCAACCAATTTACCTAATCTAACGGCAGCATTTTCCATTTGGTGGAAGGTATCCTTCTTGGCAACAGTAACTGGAGCTTCTTCAATAATCTTTTGATGTCTTCTTTGAACAGAACAATCTCTACCGAAAAGGGAAATGTTGGTACCATATTGATCGGCTAATAATTGAACTTCCAAATGTCTAGCATCACCGGCTAACTTCATAATGAAAATTGGAGAACCTGGAATTTCATTGGCAGCTTGATTATACAAAGTAACAAAATTGTCTTCGCTGTCAACTTTTCTAATACCTTTACCACCACCACCTTCGGAAGCTTTAATCATAACTGGGAATCCAATTTCTTTGGCCTTCTTTAAACCATCTTCGGGGCCAGTACAACAACCTTGTTGGTAAATGTGATCAGAAACGGAAACTAAGTTAGTGGTAGGGTCAATTTCAACTTCATTGACACCAGTACCTGACCATGGAATACAAGGAACTTGGGCATGTTGAGCGACAATAGTGGAAGAAATCTTGTCACCTAAAGATCTCATGGCAGAACCTGGAGGACCAATGAAAACAATCTTCTTTGGAGAAGCAGCCAACTTTTCTGGCAATAATGGGTTTTCGGAAGCATGACCCCAACCAGCCCAAACAGCATGGACATTGGTGCTTTCGGCAATCTCAACAATAAGGTCGACATTGGCATAGTTATTGTTGTTAGTTCCACCTGGAACTTCAACCATTTGGTCGGCCATTCTAATGTATTCAGCATTGGCTTCTAAATCTTCAGGAGTGGCCATAACAGTGAATTGAATAGCTTTTTCGTCACCAAAAGTTTCATAGGCCCATTTTCTGACGGATCTAATTTCTTTAACTGCGGCAATACCGTTATTAGCAATAAGAATTTTGGAAATAACAGTATGACCTTGGTGAGCCTTGACAAAGTCAGTAACTTTGGATGGTTCAGCAGTGGCAACTGAATTTAACCCCAAAAAGTGGTCCGGTAAACTAGGGTGTAAGGAGGAGTAATCCTTTGTGGTTGGAGTATCTGACATTATAAATCTATTAAAAATTTGTCTAAATGAAAAGGATCTTAAAGGAATATAAGTGTTTGTAGCAGTTGTAGTTGTATGTACAAAATTGAGTGTTTTGGTGTAACGACGACTGTAGGTGTATAATGATCTATTTACAAGTGTATAGTTAGTACAATGAATGTTGGAAAAAGACTTAGTGCATCTGGCACGCATAAAACAGGAATGATGGGAAACAGATTGTCTTTATATGTGGAGAAAACAAGTGGTGATACTCTAGTTTCACTGGTTGTAAAATTGGTTGTAAAAAAAAAAAACAAAGGAATTAGACATAAATAGAAATTTTTCCAGTCTTCTTCTCATTGGATTTTTGTTGAGCTAAGGCGCGCAAGTTGTGGTGGGAACAGATAATGAATGCACAATAAGAGCATTTGCTGGCGGTTTCCCTCCTTGAATCATTATGCTTTGATATGGTTGGATGCGGGATTAATCGTAATGTATCTCTGTAGTGTTTTTCCTGCTTCACTGTTACCAGATCTAAAGTCGTAATATCACTTCGGGATCCCGGTGACCGCGAGCGTGTCGGAGCTTCTTATTTTTTTTCGGTTATATTTTAATTTGACAGGTTGACGGGGATGACCTAAGCTATGATTCTTTTTGAAATATATCGAGGGTAAATTGAAAGTGAACTGAAATTCTCGTTTGTCTCCATGTATTGTATATTGGATCATTCTGTTTCATGTATCTCTGTTAAGCGTGCAAATTGCATCAGTTTGAAAAAAAAAAAGTACATACCTCTTAAATAAATGTATAATGTTGATACAAATTAGTTAAAATAAATATAAGATGGGTTGTTTGTAGTAGTAGCAGTAGAAGTTGTAGTATATGATAATTATCTTTAACAATTCAAAATCCCAATAGGAAAAACTTGGAAAAACTTAATGGAATAATAAAAAAACGTAAGGATGTTTGAAATGTAGTAACGTGATATACAGTATATGATCTCTCTGTTTCTACCAAAAGATTGGGGATGATTTGGTTTGGTTTGAAAGTGATAACAGTGAATATGAAAAGGAGAAAGGAAAAGAGAAAGGAATAAAAAGATAAGCTGGTGATTTATTCTGAAGTAAATAGAAATCAATATATATTTTTCAATATTTCCTGTATACACATTTTTTTTGTCTATTGTTCAATTAAACTTTTTAATAGGAGAGTGTTGATTAATTTTTTTTTTGCGTTTCTATTTTTTAATTATTTTTTTTTTTGGTTCTCAACAAAAAAGTTTTGCAGTAAATTACTATGAATTGGGGATTACACAGAGGAGCGACATAATAGTGACGGGGCAGTTGCCATTGATAGAGGCGAAATTTAGTAAAGATCTTTGTTGACGTCAGCCATTGTGCAGAAGGTGTTTATTCTGTTTGGTTGTTTGTTGGTGTGAATCAACATGAATATGGTTTAAACTGTACACTATCGCGAAATAACCTGTGTAGATAGTTTACCTACAAGACATTGTTGCTCTATTTCTAGAACAAAGAACGTTGGGTTAACCCCCTAATCAAAAGCACTTGGATACAATTAACGGGTATCCAAGGAGTACCCCGGAAACCACCTAACAAATGCTTGTCTTTTTAAGATAACACCAAACCGTGTAAGGACGTTGGGCTTAACATTAGCCGCAAACTTGTAAAAAATTATTTTTTTTTCCCGTCTTTCCCAACATCAAAAAAACTGTTGGGTTCAGACATTGGCTTTTGTACAGGAAAACAGAAATTTTCCAACTCCGAAAAAACGTTTTTGTATGCAATTGTATACAGGAAGAAACCAACAGATTGGACCCGGGTCCTGCACGATGGTTGACGTCAACATTTACTAACTATGCCTACTTAAGCCTTTCAACATGGAGGTAACTACGGTATATGCAGTAGAGTTTATCTCACCACATTTTACAGTCACCAGGTGCTAATCTATTGCTACTAAACATAATGCATCATTAAACACGTTACAATAATACACAAAATTTTTTTTACTACAAATACAAAATTTTCCAAGAATAATTTTTTTTCGTCAAACATTTTTTAGGGACATAGCTTCGGTTGCAAAAAAAAAAAGACACGCAACCAATAAGAACAAGGATAATGCAAGAATGTCATTATATCATTATGAAACAAACCGTTTATATTATCATCACAATAATGGCTGAAACTTTGGTAAGATAGGCTGAGGTGGTGGTGGCGGTGGTGTAGTTATTCTATGAATATCATCTGAATTACTTAAAAAGTTAAATTCGGAAGTGTTTCCGTATGCATGCGTTGTGTTTATAGGTGGTGGCAAGATAATCTTGGGTGATTCGGTATGGGTACGATTAATAGCATCCATGGATCCATTCGAGATAACCGTGGATGTCAATTCATAGATTGGAATTGCCTTTGTGCGCTGAGTGAATATTTCAAGTTCAATAGGATCATCACCTCGGAAAATTCGCTCTAGATCAAAATCAGTTTGTAAAATCATGCGATCAACTTTATTACGCAACCCTAGTATGGAATCACTGGATGATGGTAATTTGAATGCAATACGGGCATTTTCTATAAGTTCATTATATCTCGGCGGAGCCGAATTTCTAATAGGGTAAGTGAATTCAAGAACTTGATTAAGAAAGTGAATAAATACTCGCTTTCTATCACGAAGTTGGGCCTGTGGTTGGGGTGAAATATGAGGTATATGCTGTGGTGGTGGTGGTGGTTGCTGTTGTTGCTGTTGTGATTGTCCTTGGGGTTGAGGATTCTGAAGACGCAGACGCATTTCCAATTCTGGAGATATACTTCTAATTGGAGGGATTCCTGCTGATGGAGTTGGTGATAAATTCTGAATAGCAGATGATCTACCAGATGTGATTGCAGGATTTACAGGAAGGTGTGAATGTGTGTTATGTACATCTGCTGCAGCTACTTCTGCTAAGGAGTTCAAGGAGCTGGATGCTCCTGGAGCCGTATTTTGAAGGTATTGTTCAGCTTTAAATGGTACACTATGTTTAACAATCAACGGATATTCTTGTAATACAGAGACATACATGATTTCACATAATGGCAACAACACTTGTTCAAATCCAAAATCGTTAACACAACCTCCAATGAGAGTGAATAACGTTATCAAAGCAACTTCATCACTGATTGTATTATTAAGCAATGCTTCCTTAGGATCTAATTCTCGGAAAAATTTAGCTAATGAGGATTCGGTGGTTAATTTGTTTCGCAAATATTCAATGGACCCTTCATTAATTTTACTAAATGATTTTTCAAACAAGTATGCAATACAGCAATTCATAACTGATTTGCCCAAGAATTGAATATTGTCCGATTTCTTGAGCACTGCTGATTCATTACAAGTTTTAGATCTTTCGATTTTATTCAAAAGGTTTTGTTTGGCAGCTTGACAGTTGGGAATATTGACAACTTCTTCATTCATGGTGAGGTTTGCAATAGGAGGTAGCATAGCACCGCCTATCATGGAATGATTATTACTATATGTATTACCAGTTATGATTCTCGGAGTAACCATTGAATCAATGGTTTCCTTAGCACGATCATCGGAAGTTATAGATTTAGTACGGGAATAATTCACATCATACACCTCATTAGGATCAACATGGGCAATTTCTGATAAGAAACTTTGATTTTCGTGGTCATCACCAGTTTTGATTCGTTTATGATCCCTATCCATTCGTTTAGATTTGTTTGATCGTTTTCGATTCCGTCTCACACTTTGAACAGCAGCTCTTACCAACTTGTCAAAGTCCTGTTCGTACTCCTTGCCATAGTTAAACTCAATTCTTAAAGAATCGGCCACTCGCTTGATCTCGTGTTCTTGTTCACTGGCCTTGCGTGAGCTCAAGTCCAAGGTATCAATTAGTTCCAATCTCCGGGCAGAAAATCGTTTCCATAACCGTTCGTCGAGAAAATTAAGCTTGGCTCTAATGGCGTGGGTCACTCCGAGCTTCTTATTTAGCGACGACGAGCCCTCTTCTGTTTTCAACATTGTTTCTGCCATGACTCATTCACTGGGTTACGTTGTTTCTTTGCTGTATGTATTTTTTTTCTTCTTTTTTTTCCCCCAGGTATTTGTTTTCAGCGGGAATTTTTAAGGTTGGATCGGGTACACTTGTTTGTTTGCTGAGGTAGAGTAAGCGAAGGTGAATATGATATAATAGTTGATATATAAAGGATGTTGTTGTAGTACTAGTTGTATGTTTATAAAAAAAAAGAAAAAACAATCACTTGATGCAAAACTGTGGGAACTGGATTTAGTGACTATGAATCAACCGGAAAAAAAAATCGAGCATTCAAAAACAGAAATTTTTTTTTTTTTTATTTTTCCTTCACAACGTTTTTTTTTTTTTTTGCGAGAGGAGCGGATTTCTGTTTGAGTTTCAGATGCCTACGACTTCTAGTCATACGGCACAGGTTTCTGGAAACCCGTGCGATGAAGATAAACCACACTTCCATCAAAAGGCACTTTCTGATTGTGGTTTATTTACAAAAGCAAACGACAGGTGTCTCTGTCAAAGGGGCTTAACTGTTGTGATTTCTTTTTTTCCAAAAAAATGATCACTTGTTTTTTTTAAATGGGCCATGTCATAAATAAGAAACTCTAACTATAAATAAAAAAAAGCGGAGTTGGGGTCCCCCCTCCACCCCCAAAGAAATTCTTGAAACGTCATGAAATTCAAATGACGTTCCCAGTTGTTCCCGACAGTTTTTTAATCATTCGGCTTTTTTTTCTGTGCTAAAACCGATGACCCATGATTTCTTTTTTTGTTTTGTGTCTCCAACATTGCATTCCGAGACACAACGACTCAAAAATAAATCCTACTGATTCCGAGCATTTCTCCGAGATTTATACGAGTCATCCACGTGATGATTCTCTAGTCATAACAACAAACCTATCACTTCCCTCAGTAGTAAATACTAGCTAGGAGTCCAGAATTCTAACGACAATACCAAATTCGTCAACTGCTTCCTAAATTGTTATAAATTCATCTAACTAGGTTATAGTTATAGCTATTGTTTGCGTTTACGGTTTTAGTTAAATTACGTAAGATTTCGAGAAAATATCGTTGATTGCGAATAATTTACAAAATATTGATTATAAATAATCTCTTTCGATCTTCCTTTTCTTGGCACCAACATATATACCAATCACAGTATTAACAAGAAATATAACGTTCCACAACACAAACTTCCAATCTTCAAAATATAAAATCCCTACGGGATAATTCTGCAACAAGTATCCAATGGGAAGTTGCATGGTTGAATTGATAATATAGATCAAATGAGCCGACATAAAACACAAGAATAGCCAGACTATTTTTGCTGCCAATCTTGTATTTAACCTGAGTCTATGAAACCCGTACTTCAGCACAAATACCTGTTCGGCAACTCCGAGAATAAACAATACCACCAAACACCCATAATGGAACACTGCCACTTGTTGGACAAACAATCCACCAATATTGTACGCTTGTAACTTACATATCTGCAGTTGGTAATCTTGTAATTTTGTTGGAGTATCAACACACAACTGTTGAATTGATTTATAGTACACATCAACGAACCGGGAAGATACCGCCTGCGGATCAGGTTGGTTAGTCAAATTTCCCAATTGCATGCCGAAATCCTGGATGAAACAAGCAATCATATTCAAACCTTGTCCTTTATAACAGTTGACAACTCCTCCAAACTGATCGTAGCGACAAAATCCCCAAATGTTAAATTGATAGAGATTATTGTCATAACAGGAATCAATTTGCTGTAAATTGGAATCAGATATCGTTTCATCGACATACACGTTTAAGTCATTGGATAGGTAGGTTATGAATTTCAACCCCTCTTGAACTATCAGGATTATGTTCTGGGAGTAGCTGGAATTAACATTAACTTTAAATTTGAATATTGAGTAATTGCCGCTGAAATAAACAATGCTGGATATGATTATGAGTAAACTGGAAATATTTTCAATGAAGGTATAGTTGAGTAAAGGAAGATGCGATTGGGGAAGAGCTGGAGGAGGGTCGTTTGTGAATTCGGTTGAAGTTTTAGGACTCTTTTCTAGATCTTGATTATCCATTTTGTTGAATAGAAGTGTAGCAGGAAAATTTTTTTTTGTTTTTGCAACTATTTTTATCAGCATACTCAGAAATAAACACATCAGACTTATAGTTATTATTTGCCAATTCGGTAATTAGATATGCGATGTGATATCTGATATTAGAAATAAATCCGTCTATGAGTTCTGCTTGAGTAATACAATCCATTAGAGTCATCTTGTAGTATAAATTCTTTATGACTGGGTAACTATTTAAGATAAACTATAGTGCACGTATTGAATGGTATCATTTGCAAGCTGGGGAAACCACCACATCCTCCTAACATATTTGAGATTTTTTATCAGACAAGTTACACAGAAGCAAGATGGATGGTTAGTGTCAGACACTAATCTGTTCAAACTAAGAGCTGCACGCACTTCAAGGACATACATGTCATACCACTACGATGTAATGACAACACAGTATAGCCATTGATTAGTCACAATCTATAGATAGAAACAGACGATGGTAGAGTACAGTCTTTTGACTTTTGTTTCGTACTAATGGTCATAATTATTCATACCAGTGCAAAAAAAATTATTCGTACTATTTGTAGAGAAATGTTCATACTAAGGCGGTTAATATTTTTCGTACTAGTGCTCATTAAATGTTCATACTATATGACCACTTTTTATTCATACCAAAAATGTATGACATATAGTATGAACAAATAGGGTCACATGGTAAGAATATATTTTTTCTGTTAATATGAACATTTTAAATGTCGAAGTATGAATAAATTTCAGACTTCGTGTGTTCTATTTATTTTCTCTATTTGGATTTTTGGTAAGATGTTTGTTCATATTTCATCAATTTTGAGAAACTGCTAAAAAAGATTGACATTTTTCTTTCTTCAGTTTTAAATCTCTCCTTGAATACAACCCCCCCCCCCCCCCCCCCGTTGCTCACCAAGCTTAAACTGTTTACGATTGATTAGGCTTGAGCAAATCATCACATACAGGTTCGGATTGATTGTCTACTCAATGAAGACTTTATTCCACATTTAAGACCAATCAAGTCACGTGATATAATTACATAGTAAATTGTTTTTGTGCACTTTTACATCTATATTCATATTAAGATAAGAAAACGTATTACTACATTTGTGTTCACAAAGATCCATAATATAACTTCACTGAGTTAGTACTATTTATCACACCCAAACGGATGTGGTAAACTAGACAGGAAACAACTGCAATCAGCATGTAATGTATTACAATTGAAATAACTTGAATAAGGGGGACGAGCTAGTACAAGGACATTATTCAGTCTTATTGGCAATGAACTTAGCTTTCCCATACAGAAACCAGCATATGATTATTGCTAAAATGGCTCCCCCATAAACTGCAGATACATAATTCATATTGGTATTTGTAATGGGTCTCTCATAAGGGAAGGAAAGAAAGATCAAACAGAATATGGTCCACAAGATAGTCAAAATATTGGCGGCGTACCCAAGCTTGCCACACCAGAATGGGCCATGAGCAAAACCATTGTTTCTTACTCTCAAAAGAAGTATGGTAGGAATAGTATAGGATACCAACAAAAGACATATGCATGCAGTGATAATGGCATTGAACGCGGTTGTAGAACCCACATAAATACATCCGATGATAGCAACTAAGAAGGTGGAAAAGAAGTGGGCATTCACAGGAAGCTTAGTACGAGGATGGATTTGCTTTAAATATTTGGAACCTGGAAGTGCTTCTGATCCAGCCATTGTCCAGCAAACTCTTGCCTGCCAGGTGTGAGCCGAGATATTGCAGACAATACCAGTCAAAATAGTGAGGACTGCAAGCAAGGTAGCAGCTGCTTTATTCCTAGTTGACTGGTAGAAAATGGTTAAAAGGGGTAAGCTAGAGTCGACAACCTCGGACACATCGGTTGCACAAAAGAAGATAGCCACAGAATAGGCAAATGCTGTAAGAAACCCCAAAATAACCGTACATAAAACAGCACGAGGAATAAGCACTTTCCCTGACTTTACTCCCAAGTCATCTACCATATGAACAGCTGAGTCTAAGCCAGCAAAGCACCAAATAGGACTAATCAAACCAATTATAAAAGATAACGCCTTGTTATCCCATCCGGTGATACTGGTAAAATCGCTAAACACAAAACTTCCCAGATTATATCTTCCCGATGAACATGCAAGGCAAGTTATCATGGTTACCACAAATCCAATGAGTGAAATCCAAAGACCAGATGTTACAATATACGGCAAGTACCTACCCCAAATATTGAATACTGAAAGTGTTACGTTTATCACTTCAAAAGTAATAAATGCGTGATATCTTTTGTATTCAAATGATGGGTTATTAAGAGAATACAATGAAAGGATTGAGTTTGCAAGCGAAGAACTGATCGACGCACAGGTGAAGATGCATCCAAAGTAACTAAACAAAGCAGTGACGAATGCAAGTAGTTTTCTATAACGTTCAGGTGCCAACTGAAGCGTCCAGTAGTACTGACCAGCAGAATTCGTGTAAGCAGAAATTAATTCTCCTAAAGTTACAGCAACACATAAGCTGAAGAAGGCTGCAATCACCAAACCATAAATGATTAAGATTGCACCACCTGAACCAATACTTGTCCCGAAAGAAGCAGAGACCCCTACCCAAGAACAAGTCAATGAGAAACTAACCGCGAAAAGTGACCACCAACCAAAATTTTTCTCAAGCGATGGTTCGGCTTGTATCTCTTGGGTGCTGATTTGTTCCAAGCTTTCAGCTTTGTTGATTCCATCCTCAAACTTGATATCCATTTTCAAATTCAATAAAAGTATAGATTTGTATAAGAGAAATGAAATGAAAAAGATGAAATAAAAAAGAGGAAAATTGAAAGAACTGGTAGCAGAATTGAATTATTTAAGACGGTTTATATAAGTTTTGAAGTCGTGTAAAATTCGTGGGTTCAGTTCAGCGGATACATACATAGCTGCAACCTCAACAAAAAAAATTTTTGCAATAAGATAATGTTATATTCAGTCGATGTGACTCTAAGTCGATGTGCGCACTCAACAAAAAAAATAGCGAGTCATCATGATTCAGCTCATTTCTATAGAATCTAAACTAGGTACGTAACTCAAAAGACTCTCAATCTCGTTCAGTTTGGAATAGGGGATACTCGCAATAACCTTGATTCCTTCTGAAAATCCCTCAATTGCCTCAGCGTTATCAGCATTGATTGGTCCATTCATGACTACGTATACTTTATGTATGCCGTGGTTCCTCAAATGCTCTAAACTCAAAAGGGTGTGATTGATGGTTCCCAATCCACTCCGGGCAACTAAAATTACTGGTACATCAAAGTGTAAAATCAAATCTGTAGTAATCTCTGTTTCATTGATTGGAACATATAAACCCCCTGCCCCTTCGATGATCAATGGCCGTGGGCTATTCAAGAACTTTGCTGGGATCTTAATTTCATTAACCTTTGTTTGTGGTTTATTTTCCTTTATGGCTGCCCTCCATGGACTCAAAGGAAATTTAAGTTCAACTTGGGGTCTCTCAAATTGACCTTTAGGCATACTGGTTAATTCCTTCACTGTTTCTGTATCTCCTTGGTCCGATTCCAACCCTGTTTGAATGGGCTTCCAATAATTTGCGTTCCAAGCTTTGGTAAATAAAGCAGATATGAAAGTCTTGCCAACATCCGTATCTGTACCTGTGATAAATACTACTCTCATTTCTAAATCTTAAATTAGTAAAATCAAGTACGTCGAAACAAAATATTCAATAATTAAATGTTGTTTCTTGACTCAAAATTCCATTCGTGAAATATTTCTATAATCCACTAAAAAATTGAAAATTTCCCAACATTTTGTTGCAAAAAAAATTAAAGATTTCCCATTCATTCTTTTTTTTACTTTTCCAGATTATCTTCAGCATAATATTTATCAGTGGAACTACTACACTTATCCAAAAATGAGTCAGATGAATCCAAAAATATCTGACCTGATACCTCAAGAAGACAAAGATTTTGACAAGCAACATATATGGCATCCATATTCGTCCATGTCAAAACCACTTCCATGCTATCATGTGAAATCAGCGTCCGGCGTCCGCTTATACCTTGATTCCGGACAATCATTGATCGATGGAATGTCGTCATGGTGGTGCGCAATTCATGGATATAATCATCAAGAGTTGAATGATGCCTTGGTAAAGCAAGTTAACCTCATGTCACATGTGATGTTTGGAGGAATCACTCATGATCCGGCAATCCAATTGTGCAGACACTTGGTCGAATTGACAAACCCCAAGTTGGAGTGTGTCTTTTTGTGCGACAGTGGGTCTGTATCCGTTGAAGTAGCTTTGAAGCAGGCCATTCAATATTGGGATTCTAAAAGACAACCCGAGAAGAAAAAATTCTTGTCTATCAAGAGAGGTTATCATGGCGATACATTTGGAGCGATGTTTGTGAGTGACCCAGAAAATTCAATGCATTCCATTTACACAAGCTATGGTCCAGATAATATATTTGCAGAGGCACCACAAATAGGGTTTGATGATGAATGGAACGAAGCTGATATCGAGGACTTCAAGAGAAAAATCGAGAAACATCATAAGATTATTGCTGCAGTTATCTTGGAACCCATTCTTCAAGGAGCCGGGGGAATGCGCATGTATAACCCTCAGTATTTAAAAAGAGTACGTGAACTTTGTGATAAGTACGATGTTTTGCTTGTGTTAGACGAGATTGCCACTGGTTTTGGAAGAACAGGTAAACTCTTTGCCCAGGAACATGCCAATATCTGCCCTGATATCATGTGTGTTGGAAAAGCTATAACGGGTGGATATTTAACTTTGGCTGCAGTAATTTCCACCAGAAGCGTGGCAAATGTCATCAGTGGTGGCCGAACTGGTTGCTTCATGCATGGGCCTACTTTTATGGGGAATCCAGCTGCCTGTGCTGTAAGTGTTAAGAACTTGGAAATTCTCAGAACTGGAGCTTGGAAATCTCAGGTCGATACTATAGAAAAGATATTACTAAAGAAGTTCAAACCATTGATGGAATCTGGCCATAGAAAAATTAGACAGATCCGTGTACTTGGTGCGGTAGGCGTGATTGAAATGAAGAATCCAATTGATGTTGCGTTATATCAAAGGAGGTTTGTCGAATTAGGTGTCTGGGTTCGTCCTTTTGGGAAATTGTTGTATATCATGCCGCCATATATTATTAGTGAAGACGATTTGAATCACCTTGTTTACTCTTTAATAAGCGTTGCTACGGATGAATCTCTTGCCTAGAAAAGTTTGTCAGTCTTTATTCAAAAAATTAAGTAGAAGCAATTTTAGATATATATAGTTCTTCTGAGATATCAGTACATACCATATACTATATTTTGTGCCACTAATGACTTTGTCTACTTGATAAAATTTCCTGTTCTCTCGGTAAAAAAAAGTCTATGCAATTGGATAGACATTTAGATTTCCTAAATGGTAGAAAGATAAGAGTGGTAACAAATCCCTTGAAGTTCTGTCTATGGGTGTTATTACAACTATAGCGTTCTTTTACATTTTTTGATTATTGCTCTGTACTAAAATGTGCCATTAAATTCTAATGTGAGTTTATTTCTAAGTGTTCAATAGAAATTACTGTAGAATAATATCTCTAATAAAGTCTTTTCTGGTTGGATTATATGACTCTGAATAAGATGCTTGGTTAGATATTATACTTCAACTGTTGAAGTCTGATCAACTATGAATTGCTTTGTGTAAATAAACAAACTATATGATGTCTTTGTAAAATCCAATTTTGTGTTCTGAAATACCTTCATTAACTTAGTCGTGCAATGTGAATATTTTTGAATTCTCATTAACTTTTTTATTTGAAACTGGTAGCACAAGAAAGACGTGCCCAGGTCAAATAATAAAAATATTTTTTGATGAGTCACTCCTAATTGGGTAATTGGAATTTCTGTTAACCGCGCTATGCTATCTTCGATGATAAAAATTTTTCATCGGGAAACTATAAAAACCGTTCATTCCCACCTTGAAAAAAAAATTTCATCACTCTTCCCTTTTCTTTTCTAATTAACACATACATAATATATATACACAATGTCTAAAGGAAAAGTTTGTTTAGCTTACTCTGGTGGTTTAGATACTTCCGTTATCTTAGCCTGGTTATTAGAACAAGGTTACGAAGTCATTGCCTTTTTAGCCAACATTGGTCAAGAAGAAGATTTCGAAGCTGCTGAAAAGAAGGCCTTGGCTATTGGTGCCACCAAGTTTGTCGTTGTTGATGTCCGTAAGCAATTTGTGGAAAAGGTTTGTTTCCCAGCCATCCAAGCTAATGCCATTTACGAAAACGTTTACTTGTTGGGTACCTCTTTAGCCAGACCAGTTATTGCTGAAGCTCAAATCAAGGTTGCCGAAGAAAACGGCTGTTTTGCCGTTTCCCACGGTTGTACCGGTAAGGGTAACGATCAAGTCAGATTTGAATTGTCATTCTACGCTTTGAAGCCAGATGTCGTTGTTATTGCTCCATGGAGAGACCCAGAATTCTTCAACAGATTTGCCGGTAGAAAGGATTTGTTGGAATATGCTGCTTCTAAGAATATTCCAGTTGCTCAAACCAAGGCCAAGCCATGGTCTACCGATGAAAACTTGGCTCACATTTCTTTCGAAGCTGGTATCTTGGAAAACCCAGATACTACTCCACCAAAGGATATGTGGAAGTTGACTGTTGACCCAACTGATGCCCCAGATGTTCCAGAACAATTCTCTGTTGTTTTTGAAAAAGGTTTACCAGTTAAGTTGATCTTGGACGGTGGTAAGAAGGTTGTTTCTGACCCAGTTGAATTATTCATTGAAGCCAACTCCTTGGCTAGAAGAAACGGTGTTGGTAGAATCGATATCGTTGAAAACAGATTTATCGGTATCAAGTCCAGAGGTTGTTACGAAACTCCAGGTTTGACCATTTTAAGAAACGCCCATGTTGATTTAGAAGGTTTGACTTTGGATCGTGAAGTCCGTGCCATCAGAGATCAATTTGTCACTACTACTTACTCCAAGATCTTGTACAATGGTATGTACTTTACTCCAGAAGGTGAATACGTTAGATCCATGATCCAACCATCTCAAAACACCGTTAACGGTGTTGTTAGAGCTGCTGCTTACAAGGGTTCCGTTACTATTTTAGGTAGATACTCTGAAACTGAAAAGTTGTACGATGAAACCGAATCTTCTATGGATGAATTAACTGGGTTCTCTCCAGAAGACACCTCTGGATTCATCGCTGTCCAAGCCATCAGAATCAAGAAGTACGGTGAAGCTGCCAGAGAAAAGGGTAACTCTTTAACTTTGTAAATTTAACGAGATAGTTATGTGTATATATAATTTAATTTATTGTCATGGTCATATAAAAAAGATTCACGTAAAAGTGTCTCTAAAGCTGGATAAATTATCTAAGAATGTCGTAGGTGTCTTTCCAATAAGGTTGACTGGTATACTTCGTTTTGCAACTGTATTAGTTTTGCTTAATTCGAGATGACTACGCAACTGAACTATGAGTGAGTCCAAGACTTCATACTGTGACTTGGTCAGACTCTTAACATCCTCACGGAAGTCCTGCCTATGATTTAGGTAATAGTACGCTGTCAACCACAACACCTTATTAAACATAGGAAATCTAAATCGTGAAGGAACTTTAGTTGTTTTTTCAATATTATTAATACTCAATTGCATCTTCATATCTCTTAAGGTAAGATAATTACCACCAATAACTATTGAATCTTCAGGGGTATGAACAGCATGGATCCATCCACTAGGAATAATAAACAAATCTCCTGGATGTAACGTAACCTTAAACCCATTTTCCGGTGATATCCGTTGTTTGTTCTTGACTATCGAGTACTCTCCAAACCACATAAAGTTTTGGCTAGGTTCGAGACACCAAGAGGTGTATAACTCCAAGTTGTTTTCTGTTGGTGGATACATCAAGAAAGTTTTGAGTCCCAGACATACAGTATAATACACGGACGTTCCCCCAAAATCAATATGAAAGTCAGTAAATGAGTTCTTGACCGACATTAAACAATACTTTGTGACTTTTGATCGAGGCTGTTCATCCTCTTTATCCCATACTTTATCGACAAGATCCAAATCACGAACCATTTTGGGTCTGATGAACGTATCACCGAGACCTTCTACCAGGGATATCTCCAAGGAAATGACATTTCTTATTCGATCCCGAGATATTTCGTCAGTCATGAAGTAATCTCGCCATTGTCCCATTTTCCAACCTGGTTGCACGCTCTGTTGAGTGAGGACATCCATTACTTCCACAGGTTCGTCTTCTCCCACAAGATTTGTAATGTATTGAATGGTGATTTTCTTACGGTCGGCAGGTAATTCCATACCCACTTTGGACAAATCGGCATTGGTGATTAGAATTGGCTTTACCATCTGTGAATCAAGGGCATATTCTTTAGTTAGTTCGTCTACACTGTTGATACACTGGTCGATAGCACTTTCAGAGGTAAACTCCAAAAACTTGCTTAAGTGGGGGTGACTTGACTTGTCTACGGCAAAAGCATCACCTTCATTCAATGCTACATAGTCAATTGATACTTTTGCACGTTTAGATTTCCGTTTAAACACGGATGGTCCATGGACTTTACTGCACTGTTTGCAATGGTAAGAATGTAAGTTATTTATTTCTGCCGGGGTGAGTCGTACACACTGGGCATGGAACCATTGATTGCATACGTCACATTGGATCCATGATATATTGGTAATAGACTTTGAGTCGTCTATGGGGTTGGATGTACAAATTGGACATGTGTCTGTTGTAGTTGGCATATTCAGTAGTAAACAACAATGAGCGGCTGGAAGTTTAAGTTTTTTCTGAGTCATAAAATTTCCTGTTCTTTATCAAGAGGAAGAAGAAGAAGAAGAAGACAGAAGCAACAATCATGATAACCAGGGCTAGATGTGTCACCTGGAGGATACCAGCGATCAATCCATTTAGGACTTATGTTCAGAGTCAGAGTCATCCAATCAGTGTTTGCGAAGACGAAGTTGGACAACAAGAACGATTTCTTGAAGAGTACAAGATAAGGAGTCTTCTCGAACGGCCAATCGTTCAATATTCTCAGAAACCTTTGCCTAAATTCTCATTGAAACAGTTGTATCGTCAACTGGAGAAGTTGACTAGCAACACAATTTTGAAGAATGCCTACGATACAGTTGAGCATTTGCTTATATATAATGCCAGAAGATTAAAGGAATTTAGAAAGTTGCCCTATTTGGTGGTGCTTAATCCTTCTATATCTGAATCGTACGACACTTATTTACACACCATGTCATCATTACTTCGTGCTTCCTTGTACCCTCCCCATACATTAAAGGAGAATGAAGAATTCGCTGAACAAGTCTTGACTGAGTTTATTGATGTTCATGCCGATACATTGCCCAGTTTATCCAAGGGCTTCAGCGAAGTCAGCAATTTGTTAACCCACCAGCAGATTAAAGAGTTTTTAGATGATCATTTACGAGAAAGAATCAGTATGAGACTAATAGCTCATCAACATCTTGAATTGACCAAGTCTATAAACAACCCGGACAGATATGTTCCTGGAGGGAAATACAACGGAGTAATCAAGATGTTGAATATCCCCGACGTGATTAAGAAGAATGCCGATATCGTCAATGATATCACCATGTTAAAGTATGACCAAGCAGTCAAGGTGCAAATTGATTCAAACCAGTACCAAGGAAACTATTGGAGTCAACTGGAACCAACCCTTGAAATAAACCAAGAGTTGACGTTTCCTTATATTGAATACCACCTTGATTATATCCTTATGGAACTATTCAAGAATTCATTTAGAGCGCATATAGAGAATAAAGTGGACCAACCGGTGCAAGTCACTATTTCCATTTCCAGAAACCCCTTGTTCCTTGAGTTGAGAATTCGAGATCGTGGTAAGGGGATCCCCACCAAGGCATACAAACATATCTTTGACTATTCATACACCACGTATGAATCAGGCGAAGGAGAAGCCAACAAGACATTGAATGTTCCACCAGGGTTGGGTGGTAACACCGTAGCTGGGATGGGGTATGGATTACCCTTGCTGAAACAATACATTGAGATTTTCAATGATACGTTGGTCCCCAATGATGATGATTGGGAAGTAGAAATCCCACCAACCAAGGGCCTGTTGACGGTACAGACTTATAATGGATGGGGTACCGATGTGTATTTAAAGACTGTAGGGTATTAGCTAAATATTAAATAGATAGACTTTTGATTGCTAGATGTAGTACTGCCCAGACCCCCGCCAATGTGGAAGTGACTCAACCTTTCCATGGATGGCGGAATAAGAAAGGTTGAGCCCTTACACACAGGTAAGCGTGTCAATAATGGGAACTGTTGACTTGACAACGTTGATGTGTTGTTGACATTTTCAAGCGAAAATGTGACGATGGATTGATCGATCGATTGATAGATTGCCGTGTTCACTTTACTATTTTTTGTAGGTTTTTTTTTTTGAGCCACGCTAAAACCACAATGTGACATCACCACTTTATTAACCAAAGAAGGAGTGGCTGGTCTGTCTCTTTTCTATCATTGCTACTAGTTTCTTATCACCATGAGTGACACAATACCACTGCTGTTCAACTCCTACGACATACCCGTGCATTCATTCCCGCAAACCTTAACTGATTCCAACATATCCACCATCGTCAGTCGGGACTTCCTCAATGACGAACTAGAGAGTATTTTGATAAACAGCGACTCCCTGGTTGTCAATGAAAACTTCTCCATATTTATCAAATGCATCATGGACAACGTGTATGATAGTGAGGGGACAACTCCAACCTACGAAACCTTGTCCTTACTTGGATTGAAGTTGCTAACCCTGAATATGTTCCTAAAGAACTTTCGCTTTTGCATTGGTAAGATCCTAGCGTTCTTGAACACATTTGCATGTTTGACAGAAACAAACGAGATAAACACAGAGGGAGAGAACTTGAAAGAGTTTCTATGCATTGTCCTACTATTACTCCTCAAAATCAAAAACACTCCGCTGTCAGACTTTTTGAACTGCCCCACAGAACAACTTGAACTTTTGCCAGCTGACATGTTATACTCCGCATTATCCGAATTCAACTTTGTGGCAGTGGCATCCCACTTTATCAGTGCACAAATCAAAGCTGCCAATGGTAACTTACAATCAACAGACACTTCATATGTCATTCTCAAATTCAGCTGTGACATTTTCTTCGAATATTTGTTTCACATTGAACTTTTCAATGATGGCGAGTTCACTTGTTTGACAAATACAGACTTGATCCCCACGGTCATCACTTATTTGCTTGACAATGAGAATTTCAACAATTACGATTTGGATTCCGATGATTTTGAAAATGAAGATAAACTTATTGCTTACGAAGAGTTTAAGCTTTTGCTATTGATCAACGAACAATACATGATGAGATCATACACTTCCAACGTCAACAATCGCGTATTTGACGGACTAATGAGGGGAAAACTGGAACAGCCAAACTTGACTAATATCACCGGGTTCATCAACTTGCTAATCTACCACTTGAATAGAGAGGAGTCAAACATTATCAAGATATTAATATTAAAGTTTCTCTATCTTGTATTCACCACATCATACGTTACAAAGATGGTCTACCTTAACGATCTCAAAATCTTGATTGACATTTTCATCCGAGAATTAAACAATATGGACAATTCAAAAGAAAATCGAAGTTTGACATTGGTGTACTTGCGAGTGTTTTACCCACTACTTGTGTTTTCCCAGTTGGGGGAGATAAAAGATGGGTACCGATTACGAGAAGTGTTGGATGTCTTTCGCAACATCATTATGTCAACGGATAGCTCCTCTGATGAGGAAATCACCATAGGCAAGCTTGCAACTAAATGCATGAACATTAAATGGCTCAAGCAGAGGCCCAAAACGTACGAAGCATCGGTGATCACCCACACAAACTCCTCAGGCTCTTCAATAGAATCAGTTCATGACAAACCTGACCGTATCAATGACTCTAAGGAAAGTCTCACATTCACAAGAGTAGCCTCGGTTCGAGCATCCACCAGAAGCGACTATCACAAACACACCACCTCGCATAATATCCTCGAACGAAGAACTAGCTCGAGCATGATCCTTGAAAACAACAACAATGTGTTCCTCGCCAACCTGCAGACATCCACGTCCCGTATATCCATGCAACGCACAGACTCAAACATTCTAGATTTGCCCAATGAGTACCTCACAAAACCATTACCAAAACTTCCGCAGCATATGTACATCCATCGTGACAACTCAAACGATTCAGTTGGCTCTCAGAACCTGTTGAAATTGAAAGCATCAAAGAAGAAAGCACCCCCACCCCCACCACCAAAACCACGGTTGCGCCATATGAAAGATGGCGATCCCTGCATTTCTCCAACGCCCCCTCCTCCTCCACCAAGACGAAGACATTGATAGTTTACCATTTAATATACATTACATTTTTATACATGCGTAGATACTCCAGTATACACTACATCGATATATCCTCCTTAAAACTCAACACATCATCAAACCTCAACCCATTGATTTCGGTTTTCGTATACGAATCTAATTCCTTCTTTAAACTCTCTTCGTCTACTTCATCCTCAATATCACTCGATGCAACAAGTACCAATCCTCGTGATCTAATCAATGGCACCAACTTAGGTACGAGATTCAACAAGTGAATCGAAGTAATCAACCCAATCAAATTGTTATTTATCGTGAAATTGACTGCTTCTTTAATGGACGTGATTGTCAACTCTTGATAATTGTTGGGTATTTCCGACTCACCATCATTAGCATCATTTGATAATGACTTTCTTGGAGACACATCCTGCAAATCCTCAATTAACAACCCGTTGGTGGTCCTTGATTCAAACTTCGATGTCTTTGGGTTATAATTGATTCCATTCATGATTAAAAATACGGCAAAGTTTGGTTGTTTCCAATTCAAAATTTTGCAAATCAACGAGTTGGAACTGAGGAATATAATAGAACGGCCAGACATACCCGGTGAAGCCTTCTTAGACGATCGGATATGGTTAAACACGTCGTCCAAAGTGAAATCAATGAAGTTGTTTAAATTGTGCTCAATACTGGAAATAAAAGGTAATTTCTCCAACTCGTACAAGCTAGGAAAGATCAATTCCAAATTCAAGTTAATATCCACGTCTAAAATCTGCAACATGATGTCCAAGGGCAAGTATATAATCTTCAACAATTTCTTGATTGAACCAATGTCTTGGATAGTCATTCGCGAAATATCATGAATTACCTTGGAATAATCAAACAAGTCGTCAGTTATAGAAGTCAATTGTTCAAGCGACATATTGGGCAAATACAACTCAATACTTTCAGTAATGGCAATCGACCAGTGGGGACACACAATGGGTGTACCATCATTAAGCAAACATATTCTTATTCTCAAATATTCTCCAGATAAAGAAGTGGCAGTGACAATCGAAGAAGCAGGAGCCAATTCTGGGTGAGTTGCCCCGGCAGTATTCGTGCTGTTGGTACTGGCATTAAGGCCACCAGTGGGTGACAAAAAGTTATTGGGTGATAATCCTCCAGCAGCATTCAATTTCAAAGTTTGTCTGCTCTTGACAAAACTAGTGGATGATTTCCAATATGTGTCAAATTTGGCAGTTTCTAATAACGTGCCTGAAAATGGGAATATTATTTGATAATTAAACTTTAATTCACCAATATTCCTCAATCTCAAATCAAACAATGGTAACTTTATAGAATTGATTGAGGGAACGGTGGATGATTGTGAAAAGGTCAATGCGGTAGTCTTCGCAATCAACCTGGTACCAAACTTGGGGAAAATTTCAAAATCGATTCGAAATTCACTTAATGATTCAATATCAGTTTGAAACACACAGTTACCCTTGGAATCATCACTCATGGGCAACAAGATGTTTCTGGGAACAATATCGGAAATGTTCGAAGTTAAAGTGATTCTCCCTGGTTTCAAATCAGTAGGCAGGTTGTACAAATTAATAAATTGTTCTTCTTGCTGAGGGAAAATCAACTCAATCAAAATCTTTTGCTCCAAGAAATTATGTCCATATCTTCTCAATGGTAATATAGGTGGTGGTAATTGTAAATCAGGTATACTGTCGCCGTTATTTTCCTTGGTGGTGTTCTTCTTGATTGACTCACTATCTTCAGAATCATCATCATAGTCATCATTGGCTGCTTCAGGATGTTGTTTATCATCTACTGATTGGATAGTTGAATAGTGACTCAATAATTCGTTAACAACATCAATATGTCCTTCAACAACACAATAATATAAGACATTGTAGCCATCTTCATCAATAATGTTGAGCTTGGCACCAAACTTCATTAATTCCTGTGTAGTCTTGACATGTCCTTCAGAAGAAGCATAGAAAATTGGAGTCCATTTGTTAAATCCATCCAATTGGTTAATTTCAGCACCATATTGAATCAACAATTTGATCAATTTGTAATGGCCAGATCTAGAAACAACGTGCAATGGGAATAAGCCTTCCACATCTTGTTGATTAACCAATTGCTTAATATTTTGTGTGCTTGACAACAAGAATTCCAACGTTTTGTAGTCTCCAAATTTACATGCATAATTTATAGGTAAATATTGCAACTTTTCTTTATCGGCTTGTGGGAAACAATTTGAACCGGAAGAAACCAACTTCTTAATCATATTGAAGTTTCCATGCTTAATAGCCAAAAGCAAAGCTGACATTGAATCATTGTCTAAATCGTCGATATGATCAGTGGGGAAACAGGGCAATATAATATCCAACAAGTCGACTCTATTATTCTGGGCTGCATAATGTAGACAGCTTCTTCCATTATCGTCTTTACTGATTAAAAGTTGGACAAGTTCTGGTTTATTGGTGTACTTGTCAATAATGTACTTGACGATAAACGTTCTATTGTGGATAATTGAATCAATTGGACTGACTACTTTAACTCCATTATTGATTATAACATGATGATTTGGTTCATATGTAAGTCCTTCACCTATGGAACAACATTCATGTAAAATACTTTTATTGTTATTAAAATCGTCACTTAAAAATGTGAAATCAATTTCATAGTCTATCAATTCAAGAAACAGTTGTAAAAATGAATCGGAAATTTTCAAATTGGTAATGGATAATAAAAAGATTTTTGTAATTTTATACTTGATGATGGCCTTATTGGCATTCCCCTTTGAAGAACTTTTAACTTTATCGACCCATTGAGCTAATAATGACAAATCTGGGTCTTTGATAGTGGCCACATTGACGAAACTCGAATACAACTCATCAATTTCATGATTACTACTGTATGGGAACGTAGCTGTGGTTGCAGCAGTGGCAGTAGCACTACTTTGTAAGTTAATAATTGAGGAATGTCTTGAATTGAAAGTGGGAGAAGTTCTATCAATGGCGGTCACAATCAGGTCATGTCTTGACATATTATGCTCTACTCCTCCTTGTGTGTAGTAACTGCCCAAACACGTGTAATCTCCATCCATAATCGACTCAATGTCAAACAAGGACTGGGTGACCAAATCACTTAGATCGTTGATTTCATTCTTGTGGAAAACAGGTTGGACACTGACTGCAGTAGATATGAATAATTCTTTTGTATGAGACTTGGAGCGTTTATCCCATTTCTTGACCACTTTGCTGAACCCCGTTTCATTCAATTCAATAAACTGTTGTAAACGAACCAAATCTTGGTGAATCTTTTTGAAATTTTGATACAAGTTCAAGTATGAAATGGAGTTTCTGAAATTAGCATTAACGGTGCTGTTGCCGCTGCTGCCATTGCTTTCATCTTGAATAAACTGGGCTGACTTCGTAAACAACTCGTTCTTCTTCATAAGCAACAAGTCCAAATTGACAGCCAAATTGGACTGTTTTTCAAGGTAGAACGAATTCACTTTTTCCAATTCACGTTCCACCCTGAAGAAAAAAGACGCTTTGTTTTCTTTCAATGTTTGTTGGATTTCTGTTTGGCTGGTAGGTAAAGAAGTGCCGGCTCCATCAGTGGGGATAGCTAATTGTTTGATGAGTTTCTTCAACCCTTTGTAATCTATGAAGTGGCCTGAGTATTCAGGTAGTTCCAACTGTCTGGACGCAAGATATTTCCCAAACTTCATGGTATAGCACACAAAACTGCAAGAATAAGGAAATTGGTTGTAAAAAAAATTGAAGTGGTGATAAGTTTTTTTTTTTCTTAATCAATGGCTCTGCACGTGGAGCGTAAAGTTTTCAAAAACGTTTATGTCGTAAAACCCTTGCGACATAAACAAACACGACATACTTTGTTTACTGTAAAGGAGGTCTCTATGGTTGCTAGAGCAAACTAACTGTTAGTGTTTATGTTAGTTTTAGTCTATTGTTGACATGGTTACCAAACGCATAACGTTTATTTGATGGGTATATTTTTTATGCATAATATATTATATTAAACCCACTCAATTCAGAATAAACTACAAAGAGTATTGTCGCAGACATTGTCAAAATGGCTTAAACAAAGCATGCAGTTTATATTCTCAACCTATATACTATTTAATCCTTCTTGTTAGCATTCTTTGCTTCATCGAAATGTTTCTTGAAAAGATCGGCGTTTTCCTTGTTACCGAATCTGATAGCTAAAGTTTGAGCTTCTGGTTCACCTTCAGAAATATCAGCAGTCACGGTATAAACCCAAGATCTGTCACTACCGATATTTGGCTTCAATTCGTATTCGCCGGAAATCAAATGGTTGGCACAAATCTTCAAGGTCTTGTCTCTTCTCATCACAATTCTGACTTTACCGGATTGCTTGTGTTTCAAGAATTTAACGTCACCGGTACCTCTTTCCTTCCATTCATTGGTGTCACCGTGGAATCTGAACAACTTGGCACGGACTTTGTACAAAACTTCTTCATCTTCTTCGTTGGTCTTGACATCGACCTTTTCCAATTGGACTAATGGTTCGAAATGAACATCAGCTTCTTCTTCAGCAGCAGCTTCATCATCGTCTGCCTTCTTGTCTTCTTTGGCTTCTTCCTTCTTTTCTTCCTTCTTGTCTTCTACTTCTTCCTTTGGTTCTTCCTTCTTTTCTTCCTTCTTGTCTTCTACTTCTTCCTTTGGTTCTTCCTTCTTTTCTTTCTTGGCTCCAAACATGGAGAAAACATTAGCGGTAGGTGGCTTTGGAATTGATGACTCTTCAGCAGACATTGTAAGTTGATGTTATAATGGTTTACTGTGTGGTGGTTCCTCCTCTTCGTCTGATCTCAATTTTTTTTTCACCTCTCACGCCGTCCGGTGGAAGTGGACGGAAGAAAAAAAGAATAAAAAAAAATACCTAGACTAGACTTCCATATTGGGAAACATCACACGCGAACTAACTCCATTGGTTATGAGTGTGTATATATATATATGTACATGAGAATAACTTTATAAAAGTCTATTTGTTTCTAGTCAATACAGAATTAGTTAACAATTCCAATGCACTTCTGGCATCAGATTCTGGCAAACATCTCAAGTTGGTTAATGCCTTATGACAATAGTCTTCTGCCATCAATCTTGTCTGGTCCAACCCACCATACTTCTCCACAGCCCTACGAGCAATTTCAACATCTCCCGGTTCTTTAAACTTTCTGGCAATAAGCTCACCCAATTTAGGCTCTTCCTTCCAGGCAAATAAAATAGGAGCAGTGGCCAATCCCAACTTCAAATCGGCTTGACTCGGCTTACCGAAAGCAGCGTCACTGGAAGTATAATCCAACATATCATCGACGATTTGGAAACACAACCCCAAGTTTCTTCCGAATTCATAACAGTTTTCAATTATGTCGTCTTGGGATCCGCTTAAAACAGCTGCGGCACGGGACAGCTTGGACATTAAAGATGCTGTTTTAAGATATGTCTTGTGCAAGTAATATTCAAATGCAGCATTTACATTAGTGATATGGTCAACATCTTCGGGACGACTTATTGAGTATTCGTGTTGCTTGGTGGGTACTTTTCCGGTAGGTTCAGGAATGGTCTTCTTTTCTCCGTCATTAACGATTGTGTCTGATTGTGACATAACGGTGTTTTTCAATTGCATGAATTCCCCCTCGACTAAATTGGCGATTGTGGTAGATAACAACTCAATAACCTCAGGGTTTCTTAATCGGGCAATGGCCACCGAGGCTCTTCCTAATAAGAAGTCACCTGCCAACACCGCCATCTTGTTAGTAAAGGCTATATTCCCACTTGGTCTGCCTCTTCTTGAATCACTCAAATCTATAACGTCGTCATGCAATAACGAAGCAGTGTGAATCATCTCGACAATTTCCGCTAATCTTCTTTGCTTTGGTAATATACCATTCATGGCATCAAATTGTGGCAACTTGTCCATGGGTTTCAGCAATGGGTCTAATATAACCTTGGGGTTTATTCCGTGCAAAATGGCCAAGGGGGATATGGAATCGTCCACAGACTTCCCAGCAATGGTTTCTTTGCTGCCAGGTGTGCCTTTGAAATGGTACTGATCAGTCACGTCATGGGTGTCTATTTCAATTCTGTTTCTTTGCTCAACGGGAATATTAGACAACGCCTTGGACAATAAAAGGACAATCAACGGACGCACGTTCTTTCCCTCGGCTTCGAAATAGTACGAGCTGACTCTGTTTAGGATCGGATGTCCGGATCCGATCAAGTTAGCTATGGACTTGGCCAAATTGGACATTTCGTGGCTGACAATTGAGAACGGGTCGTCAAAGATCTTGGACGATTGCGGTTGCACCAACTTTTCAGCGGTCTTGACGGCGGTGGTGAATGTATTTGGCGGAGTTACTATTCTTGTAGACGAGCATCTCAAGAGAGAAACCGAGTTCTTCAATATCCTTCGTCTTATCAGGAGCATCTCACGTATACTTGATTGGTCTTCTTATGTTGCCAAAATCAAAAATTTTCTGATAATTTTTTTGGCCACATTTTGGAAATTTTTTGTTGCGCTCGGACTCGGTGGGCAAATGCAACATCGCATATCCAATGGGCCTGAAACTATTTGAATAATACAAATACATTCTAATTAAGTATCAATAACAATAAACACTATATAACTAGATTCAACAAAATGCAAACATAGGCAAATAAAACCTATTAATGACTACTACTGCTGCTATAGCAGTAGTACTGGTAGTAGTACTGGTGGTAGTGCTGGTGGTAGCGCTGGTGGTAGTACTGGTAGTAGTATGTGAAAATCTCTATTGAAATTCCTTGATATGACTTGGATGCATATTTCTTAAAAATACCTTTGGTGGAGTCAACGTCCCCAAGGCACGTTGAGCGTAAAGATTCAAAAACTGCAATCCAAATAAATAACTGGCATTGACCCAACCGAACCCTTCCGTGGCAACCCCCTTAAAATCCAACCCTTGATTACCGTACTCGGCATCAACTCTGTGTGGAACAGCACCTTTAGTAACATTGTACTTTTCAACAACCACCCCATTGTAATCGACAAACGATTTCGTCATCATGAATAACCATCTGTATGCTAATCTCCTGGCAACACCGTCGTACCCATAATTGACCAACCCAATCCAGGCCAAGATTTGTTGTGGCGCCCATCCAAATGGATAATCCCATTGTCTGGAAGGACGAGTCAAGCCAACCTCCCCACGGGATTTCAAAGTACCCGAAGCTAAACCACCATGCTCTTCAAATTTAGACAATGAGTTACGAATAAGGGCTTCGGCTTGCTCAGGCAGAGATAACTCAGCATACAAGGGCCAGAAAGTAGTGGCTGATTCATACCGGGTCTGTTCTTGGTCGTGGACATTGTAGTCGTAGTAAATGGAATCCTCTTCATTCCACAAATACTTGTCAACATTAATTCTTCTTTGCTTGGCGCGCTCCTTCCAAATTGGCGATGTGTGAATGGTACCATCATAATCCTCCAAGTTGTCGTGGAAGAAATTAGCCAAAATGAAAGCAATGTCATTTTCGTATTTATAAAGCAAAGAATTTAAATCAACCGTGGCCAAATAAGCACATTTACCTTCCAAACGGTATGAAGTATCGTGACCAGATTCTCTCACAGCTCTGTCGTGCAAGAAATATTCATCTAAATAAGGCTCCTTGATTATTCCATCGTTATACTTTTCAATAAATTCATCACGAGAAAGCTTGTGTTTTTCAAGGAATGGCTTTAAAACAGCATCAAAATGAGTAGCTTCAGTTTCAGGTGGCACACCAACACCATCGGGGTGATAACAGGAAAGTCCTGTACGCTCATCCAATCTTGGTTTGCAACACCAAACCGTTTCGTATTCTTGAATGGCAGCCAAGGTCGACCGTTTAAGGAAATCAGTAGCATCGTCAATTTCATCCGGGGCAATCTCAATCGTCTTGTTGAATATACGCAATGCCATATCAGTCAAGAATGGAGGTTGCGATCTACCCAAATAATAAGATCTATTAGCATTAAGAATCTTACCATAGTGTTGGATTTCATAAATAAAGTTTTCTGCCATGCCTCGAGCCAATTCCAAATGTTCCCGGCGACCTGGGGTGACATCAGTTAAAAGACCCAAAGTTTCCATATATGAATCCCAACCATACAATTCGTTAAATCTACCACCAGGAACAACATACGGCCAACTAAGCAAATTTTCGGGGTCGTCAGGATCAGGTCTAGTGGCAAGAGCCAAAAGACCAGGCTTTTTGTTGATGGATTTGATATATTGAGCATCAATTACCTTGGGCAAGTATTGAACATCAAGGTTCTTGTGGTCCTTTTGAATTCGCTTGAAAAATTCATATTGATCAGCACGATTATAAGGAACGTAAATACGATGAGAGGGTTCATCTTTATGTAACACGCCATCGTCATCTATCCAAGTTTCCAAAATCTTGGTATCTGCAGACATTTCAGTAACATTTTCCTTGGTTATCTTTCTGGTCAAAGCTTTCCAGAATGCAGTTGATATAAACCTCTTCATTCTATTCAATGGGTTTTCATTCAATCTAGCCTCATCCAAGAGAATCTGTCTTCTCCCGAATCGACTAGCAATGGTTAGTTCTTGTAACAAGTTACTCAACATATAAGTACCTCTAACTGAAGATTGGTAGTACCCGTTGGAATTAGCCGTACCCAATCTCAACATCTTTGGACCGGAATCTTCAATTGTAATTTGGCAATTACCATCAGTATCTTCATTAGCCAACAACTCCTTTAATGTGTCTTCCACATCAGGAATATAAAACTTTTTAGGCCTGATCGTGGTGTCATCAACCGATTGACGTCTATAGCGCCTCTTGTTTTTTTCTGCTTTATCGTAGACTGATTCCAGGGAGGAATTATCTTGGTAAATGGCAATAATGGATGGTTTACGGGTGAGACCAGAAAAGTCAGGAACTTTAATGTTAGGAGGAAGATCTTCAGATTCCATCTCATCAACAGGAACAATGTCGTGAAGACCAGTGGCGCCACCTCGTCTAACTCGTGGCGATACTGGTGGTGGTGCATGGGTGGGTTCTGCATTACGATGGGCGTCAATGTTGGCAGTCATAAGAGCAGGGGATGTGAGAGGTGCATGGTGTACTTGGGCAATAGGAGGAGTTGTAGAACTTAGTGGTGGAGCATCGTCATCCTTTATCACACCATTAGAAGGAGCAGACACGGGATCTTCATCTTCGCTATCCTCCTCGTCTTCAGAGTCGTGGATTGCAAACTGGATCTTGCGATGATCATATGCTTTTTCTCCAGGTGTATTGAATTGTATTTGTGGGGTGGGTGATTTGGATGGAACTTCGGATGAGGATCCAGAAGAAGGCGGTTCAGACGTTTCTCTAATTGTGTCTGGATGTTCCACGTGTGGCAGTGGTGGCGGGTTATGGGACACTTCTGCCAATAATTGCTTTAAAAAGTCTTGTCTGGTGGTTTTGGATTCAAACACGGAATAGGTGCGGACCCTAGCCAATGGGGAGGTGAGTTTGTTCACTTTACGCGCATCGCCGTAGTAGTTCTCAGCTGTGTCGTAGGGATCTTCCTCTGACGACATGGATGAAGCTGACAGCTTCCTATTGGAGTGGGTAAATGGGTTAGACAGCATTTCAAACATAGTAGTAAAAAAGAAGAACGAATGGAATTACACCAATTCAAATTTCTTAAATCAAATGAAACAACGAAAATCCCTTGTTTTTTATATGATACCCGTTAACTATGAGGGTTTATCTTAGTGAAACAAAAAGAAAAGATTCGTATAGAAGAAAAAAATGATAACAATTTAAATAATAGTTTTAAATAATAAATAAATAAAAAAAAATAAAAATAAAGTAGAGTAGAATTTGTTTAGCTTTTGATGACACGTTAAGATTTAGGGACTAAAATCTTAACCTTAAAAGGAATTATGACATGGACTAATTGTCGGCAAGTTCAAAATTAGTAAAGTATTGCCACACCAACTGGATAGGGCGGATAAACATCATTCCCTGCAAATCCAACACTCTGTGATTTTGTACCCTCAGCGTAGAAAAGAGTGGGGTGGGAAATAATGCTGGGAATGTATCTAAAAAAAGAAGAACGCCTGGAGAGAACAAAAAAAAAAAAAAAAAAATTCAGTACAATTGGCAAAAACGGGTAAAAATGAAATTAAGCAAATTTAGTGCTCACAAATCTGTCAGCTTAACCTGTAAAATAGAAGAATCAAGTGGTGGAGAAGCACAGTAGTTTCCTCATATGGTATTAGCTTGCTGGCTGCAACTGGCAAGCATGCGAGATGCTTCCGGTTGTGGCAAGAAATATGTCATATTTCATCATAGCAATGTTAAAACAATAAACGAGGGGAAAACTGTTAGCTCCGAACGAACCAGATTTTCCGAGATATTTTGCAAGTTTCACCGTAGTATTAAAATTTTGTCCAAAACTGCACGACAAACAAACAAACAAACAAAAAAATCAATGACGCCTGTTCTGCGGACCGACTAAAAGAAAAGCCCGTTTTTATTTTGCGTCCTGCAGCTTGTCATAAAAAACAATAAGCCATCGCCTACACATTGCGAGGCATTCATTTAATTAAGGTTCAAATTTGATCCGTTATTGGAACCATAGCACTACTTGTGATTTTAGGAATTGTTCTTTGATCATTAATCTCATCTGGTTTCCATATAACCTTTTGCAAATTTATCGTTGACGTGATTTTTTTTTAGCTAATTATAACCTTCATTTAGATTTGAAATCGTATGATATAGATGACTACCTTGCGATGAGGGTGAAAAATTTTCCAAACTAACAACTGCTTTAACCGAAAATAATACCCCATTTGAGTCATACCCCCCGCCTCTAACTTTGCATAGCCTGCACCTACCCATGTCCGTGTCGGGAGTTAATAGCTGATGTGATTTTGTTGAAACGTGTAGTTCATTTTTCCGTGGATGCAAAATTTGTTAATTTTATTTGAACGTTTCTTTTTGTGCTCTAACTACACAATTTCACGAAGTTGCCCACAAGAGCTGGCCTAGTAGTTGTGTGTTACTGTTTCGCGGCTGGAGTAAACAATGCTTAACGCATTTGGCAATAATGTGAAACATGCCAAGGCTTTACATGAAAATTTTTACTCCGAAATTTGTTCCAACTAGTCCAAGCCTAATCAAAGGTCGTATTTGCCATTGTTGATAAATACAAGTTTCAAAAATATCTGGAGATGAGTGGAGGGGGAATTCATAATTCCATGAAACGTTTCCTGCCTGAGAAATTTCCAACCGCAATAATTCTCGCTCAAAACTATTTTTTGCAATCACGTCCAGAGAAAATATCACATCATTAGTTAGTAACGGTTAGATCAGACTATATTCTAAAAATAGGTTAGTTCTATAATTGGATCTGATTAATTTGCTTCACCTTGAACATGATTTTGTTGATCCAGCGGGATTTATCCTTGATCACACCACACTTCAATAGTTTACTTGCTTTATTCACTTTCGGTATGGAGAGAAATACCAACTAACCCAATTATTTTATTTCAATCTGAAATTAGTCTTGAAAAATATTCACGCTATTATAAATCTAAGTCGACCATTTCTGAGACGGATTCTTAACTTGAACTTAGGGAAATGTCCATCAGAATCAAGCGTATGCTACTGTTTCAATCATCGAAATCCAGGTCTTGTTGGCCATTATAATTCAAAACATATCTTTTAAAGTTCATTACTACTAGTTAGATTGGTTGCATTTACTTCGACTGAACTAATAAGGACGTGTTTTGCTTAGAAATATCCAACAAAACTCAGATTCCGTCGATTCAAAATCAATACAAACGCTAAGTCAAGACTGCTTTTGTTGGGTACAGATGATAACTTACTTTCTTAATCAGAAGTTTATGTTCTCAACTAGCCTGATTTTGAACATAATTGTAGTTGGAGCTTTGTTGTGTGATAGTAAACAGACAATTGGTTGTCTAAATTTAGTATTCCCCCCCTTGCTCCTGGCAAAAATGTTTTTTTTTGGTTGCAAGAATAAACTTCACATTTTTTTCTTTTAACTCACACACCACAATCATACACTATCGTCAGAGTATCAAAGAAAAAGAAAAGCCTAGGAGAAGCCAGGCCATCTTCGGTGGTTCTTTTGTTGGTATTGAAGATCAAGAAACAAAATCAGGCTCTGCTTGAAGAATATTACAGAATTGGATTCATATTTGTGAAGGTTTGAAAGAATTTATTAATCTATGTCAGCGTGTTCGTATTTGTGATGAGATTATTTTTTTACAGCTTAAGCTGTTAGTGCCTTACTCCCCAATTGCTTTGGTTTATTCTATAGGGTTGTTTTTGTTTTCCAGGATTAGAAATCCAGTGTGTTTGTTGATTTCAATACTAATTTATCAAGTTTTGTTTCAAAGTTTACCAATTTGTGTCTAAAAATTGTTTTTCAGTTGGTAGATATCTGTTAATTGGGGATAAAATGTTTCGGCTGAAATAGTTTGTAGCTAGAGTATATCAAGATTTGGTTTTCAACTTTGTTTATGTTCCTTCTTCAGAGGTGACCATGAGGTTAAGTACTGGTCTAACAGTAAGAGATATTGCGAGTCTTCTAATAAAACTCTGAAAAATTTCTTGCAAAATTGACTCAAAAATCATGAAACATTAATTTTCATTAAAAACTTCTCTACATTCAAGCATGAACACAAGATTAGCCAGGTTTAATGAGCCACAGGACCTGAGTGGGTACATTTCTTGTCAAAAGAATTATGTATTTCACATGACATAGTCGTGCACCAGTCTATTTCTCCAGCTCCATATCCCCGGCCCAGGTTAGTTTCGTTCCTAGATTTTTGCAACTCGGGAAATATCTTCCGAGTTCTTCCTTGTAAACTGTCTCTAGCAAACGAAATTACTGCAAACAACGGTTCCGAAAGTTCTCGAACATTATCCGTTGAAGTCTCGGCAGGTTCGGTACACTGTTCCGTTTATTTACAATACTGTTTTATTTTTAATTAAGTTTGCACTTCCCCGGATTTCTCCAATTTGTACTATATTATTTGATAGTTTTGAATGATGGCCACAGGTTATGAGACTATTCCCCTGGCTATAGACTTTGCTAACGCGGTGTTTTTATTGGGGGGAGAATAACTACCGAAAATTAAACCATTTTTTCCTTTTTGGGCGAGGGTCAATTGTTCAGGGGAGGGGAGAGTGGGGCAGCCAGAGGAAGGAGCTTACAATTTTACTGAATTTTTTTCCATTATCTTCCAATTCCCCACCTAGTCGGCTTTAGATTTAGTTGAAGATTTGACAGGTACCATTGGTATTACTTTATAGAATAGGTTGTAGCCGAGCAACGCACAAGAAACCTGTCAGGTGAACCCCGGATTCTTGTCGTTTATCTCGGAGATCCGCAAGCCCGGTGTTCGTCGGATCAAGCAAGCTAAGAACCCACATTTTTATTTTGTGCGAAAATCCGGCGTTTTGTTTTAGTTATTTTTCTTTGGCAAATCACCTCCACCTCATTGTCCCCTGGTCCTCGGAGTTTGCCCCAGAACTAACAAATCACGTGCTCCCATTTACCAAGATAATTAATGCAAGAATCCCCCGATATTTGTTAATAACACACAAGCGAGAAGTACAGTAATTGAATATTTTCTAAGGTTATGTAAGAGTGGTAAAAACAATTCATGTATGAGAAACTAAAATTTTCCGAGGAGGTTAAATTTCAATTTGTGTGTGCGTGTGTGTTCATAACTTATTGTATAAATATCCCCGTAATTGCGCCACTTGCAATTTTTCAGTCCTTTTTGTTTTCTCCTTTTCCCTTTCTTTTCTTCCCCAAATAAGTTTAAATTTCCCAGTTTAACTTAGCTTTTTATTCTACTCAATTACATTTGTACATAACTTCCAAACATGGTCAAAGTTGCTGTTTTAGGTGCTGCCGGTGGTATCGGTCAACCATTATCTCTTTTACTCAAATTGAACCCACAAGTTGATGAATTGGCTCTTTTCGATGTCGTCAATGTCCCAGGTGTCGGTGCTGATTTATCCCACATCAATTCCGACTCCAAGACCGAATCTTTCTTGCCAGCTGACAGAGAAGACAAGACCGCCTTGGCCAAGGCCTTGACTGGTGCTGATGTCGTTATCATCCCAGCCGGTGTTCCAAGAAAACCAGGTATGACCAGAGACGATTTATTCAACATTAACGCCTCAATTGTCAGAGGATTAGCCGAAGGTATTGCTGAAAACTGTCCAAAAGCCTTTTCTTTGATTATTTCCAACCCAGTCAACTCCACTGTCCCAATTGTCGTTGAAACCTTGAAACAAAAGGGTGTCTATGACCCAAAGAGAGTCTTTGGTGTTACTACCTTGGATATCGTCAGAGCCAACACTTTTATCGCCCAATTGTATCCAGAAGAAACCAAGCCAACTGATTTCAACGTCAATGTTATTGGTGGTCACTCTGGTGAAACCATTGTTCCTTTATATTCTGTTGGTAAGACTGCTGATTACTACAAGAAGTTATCTGAAGAACAACAAAAGGCTTTAATTAAGCGTGTTCAATTTGGTGGTGATGAAGTTGTTCAAGCTAAGAACGGAGCTGGTTCCGCTACTTTATCTATGGCTTACGCTGGTTACCGTTTAGCCGAATCTATCTTGAAGGCTGTTAAGGGTGAATCTGGTATTGTTGAATGTACTTTCTTGAACTTGGATTCTGGAATCAAGGGTGCTGCTGAAGCCAAGAAGTTAGTCAATGGTTTAGACTACTTTTCCTTACCAGTTGAATTGAGCAAGGAAGGTATCCATGAAGTCAAATACGATATCTTAGACAAGATTTCTACTGATGAAAAAGCCTTGTTGAAGGTTGCCATTGAACAATTGGAAAAGAATGTCGAAAAGGGTGTTGCTTTCGCTAACAAGTAATCTTATGTATTTGAGTTTTTTTCTATATATAACTTATTTATGATACAATACAAAAAAAGCACGATGAATGGAAAAATCTAGCTATCAGAAACTATTTCTCTAATTGAGTTGAACTTGGCTAAGTATTCTTCGAGAACTTGAACCACATCGTCAGCTTCTCTTGCTGCTCAGCTGGTTACAAAATTGAGGCAAGTTGAGCATAAGAAAACCCACTCTTTCCTTGGTCAATGCGAACTGAGTGGATAAATCCACTAGAGCAACTAGTTTGATCAAACTGTCAAACTATGTCATTTAGAACTCTCTTAATAACCTTGTTACATTGGAGGATTTTCAATTGGATGTAGTTGAACAATTTGGAAACCATAGTTTGAACGTGGAGGAACGAGAATAATTGGTGCAAGTGGGAACAGAGACCGTATTATTTACGAAATAAGAAATACCTCGAGCTAGTGCGTTATCTAGGATTACTTTGATTATGTAGGCAGAGTTAGCCAATCATGGAGGGAGTTTGAAACGAGAGTTATCATTGAGTACATTCTTGGTTGTTCGTTTTGCAACACTATTTTAAAATTTTTTGAGACAACACTTGCAGACACTATACAATAGACAGCCACACCATGGAAAGCAGAGCTTAACGAAAACCAGAGATTAGTAACAATTTCTGAGCATAAGCTCTAAGTATTTAGACATACATGTGTCACAGTGTAGTAACATGTTAACCCGGGCCGGGTGCTAAACATGTCAAGTGCGGAATGTGCATGCTATTGCCTCAAGTTGCATCAATATGCTTTTGCTACCGTGAATAATCAGAGCTTGCGTGACACTCAAGTGTGTTACTAAGTTGTCTTTATTGGAAGTCAGTTGTGTTGCAAAGATTGATTTGTAAGAACACACGTGATCAATCACCAACCGATACGGCAATTTAGAGTTCTAGAAAATTCAGTTCCTCTCCTTTCCTTTAAACAAAGAAAGTGTCAACACGATATTTCCAAAACAAACTTGTCACTGACACATTTGAATCTTGGTATTGTAATACATCTTACATATACTCTATACATATTACCCTTTGTTTTGCTTTAGGGGACTTACCATACTAATTGCTACTGCTAGCTCTCCCGCTCCCTCCTCCCTCCCCCCTCCTCCTATTTCACACCTCGCAACACAAAAACAAACAAGAAGAGAAAGGGACAGAAAAAACAAGTCAACAAACCATCAGCTGTATATTTTAATCCTTTCTTTCTCCGATTCAATTAGATCTACTACCCAATTGTTACACAATGGAAGCGATTTTGGATTTCTCCAAGGACTTGGATATCTCCTTATTTGATCAAGTTGTTGATACTTTTTACAAGGGCTCAGGAGAAAACCAACAGAAGGCTCAGTTGGTCTTGAACCAATTTCAAGAGCATCCCGATAGTTGGACTTTACTGGACAAAATCTTGAGTAATTCCAACAATTCCCAATCCAAATATATCGCGTTGTCATGTTTGAACAAATTGATTCAGTATCGTTGGAAAACCGTGGCCGAAGCCGAACGAGTTGGTATTCGTAACTTCATTGTCAATATGATTATCAGCCTTTGTGAAAATGAAACTATTTTTGAAACTCAAAGGGCTTTGATCAACAAGATTGATTTAACTTTGGTTTCCGTTTTGAAACAAGAGTGGCCTCACAATTGGCCCAAGTTCATCCCGGAGATTGTCTTGAGCTCAAGATCTTCTTTTAATGTCTGTGAAAACAATATGATTATCCTTAAATTATTGAGTGAAGAAGTTTTTGATTATTCTCAAGACCAGTTAACCCAAGCCAAGGCTCAACAATTGAAGACAAGTATGAAAAATGAATTTGAAGAAATCTTCAAGTTGTGTTATGAAGTTTTGGATAAGACTACTAAGCCTTCCTTAATTATTGCTACTTTAAACGCTTTGTTGAAATATATTCAATGGATCCCAACTAACTACATTTATCAAACAAATTTGTTGGATTTGTTAACCAACAAGTTCTTGGCTCCTGCAGACACAAGAGCAATTGCTTTGAAGTGTTTAACTGAAATTTCTTCATTGGAATTAGTGGATGGTAACGAAGAAAAGACATTGATTTATTTCAAGAATACCATGGAACAAATATATTCAATTATTCCCGTTTCTACCAATTTGAAAGAAACTTACAAAGTTGCCAATTCTTCTGATCAATCGTTCTTGCAAGACTTGGCCATGTTTTTATGTACTTTCTTGTCCAACAATTTAATCTTGTTGGAAAAATTACCAGATACTCAAGAGTTATTACAAAATGCCTTGTACTATTTATTAGAATTATCTCGAATTGAAGAACGAGAATTGTTCAAAACTTGTTTGGATTTCTGGAGTGGATTCGTTAGTGAATTGTTTAAGGAAATTAGAAAATTACCATCCAACGAGTTATCACCTATGATGCAATTGACTTATGGTAATTCATTAAGACCAACTTCTTCCGGTGGTGCACCCGACCCAGCTGTTTTAGCCAAGTTTCCTTTAAGACAACATAAATATGCTGAAGTCTTGTCTAAGTTAAGATTGGTAATTATTGAAAACATGGCTAGACCAGAAGAGGTGCTCATTGTTGAAAATGACGAAGGGGAAATTGTTCGTGAGTTTGTTAAAGAAAGTGATACAATTCAATTGTACAAGTCCATGAGAGAAGTTTTAGTTTTCTTGACCCATTTGAATGTGGTTGATACTGAAACCATCATGATTGAGAAATTAGCCCGACAAATAGATGAAAGTGAATGGTCATGGCAAAACATCAACACTTTGTGTTGGGCCATTGGTTCCATATCTGGTGCCATGAATGAAGATATGGAGAAAAGATTCCTTGTTTCCATCATTAAGGATTTGTTATCTTTGACGGAAATGAAGCGAGGAAAAGATAACAAGGCCGTGGTTGCTTCTAATATCATGTATATCGTTGGTCAATATCCCAGATTCTTGAAGGCTCATTGGAAATTCTTAAAGACTGTTGTCAATAAATTGTTTGAATTCATGCATGAAACTCACGAGGGAGTTCAAGATATGGCATGTGATACCTTCATTAAGATCACCCTTAAATGTAAGAAGCATTTTGTTGTTACTCAATCTGGTGAACGAGAACCATTCATCAATGAAATCATTAGAAATATTCAATCGATTACTGAAGATTTACAACCACAACAAGTCCACACTTTTTACGAAGCCTGTGGTATTATTGTCAGTGCCCAAAGTCAAAAAGATGCTAGAGACAAATTATTGGGCGAATTAATGGCGTTACCTAACATGGCCTGGCAAGCTATTATCCAACAGGCTGGTCAAGATCCTCAATTGTTGACTAATACCGATACTGTCAAGATCATTGCTAATATCATCAAGACCAATGTTTCCGTATGTAAGGCATTGGGACCTGGCTTCTACTCACAATTGGGAACTTTGTATGTTGATATGTTGTCTTTGTACAAGGCTGTGTCTTCTATGATCTCAGATGCTGTTGCCAAAGATGGTATCATTGCCACCAAGACTCCTAAAGTTAGAGGTTTAAGAACTATCAAGAAGGAAATTTTGAAAATGATTGAAACTTACATTAACCAAGCAGACAATTTGGAAGAAATTGTTCGTGATTTGGCCCAACCATTATTTGCTGCCGTTTTGGAAGATTACAGTTCCAATGTCCCAGATGCTAGAGACGCTGAAGTATTACGAACTTTGACTGCATTGGTTTCTAAAGTCGGAAGATTGATTCCTGACGGGGTTGTATTAATTTTACAAAATGTGTTTGAATGCACCTTGGATATGATCAAGAATGATTTTGTTGAATATCCTGAACATCGTGTTGAATTTTATAAATTATTGAAGGAAATCAACTCCAAGTCTTTCCAGGGATTATTGCAATTATCGGGAGATGCATTCCAATCATTAATCAACGCGGCATTGTGGGCATTGAAGCACAATAACCGAGAAGTTGAAGATAATGGATTATCACTTACATTAGACTTGGTTGAAAATGTAGAACAATTGGGCGATACTCCATTTACCAAGGCATTTTACGAAAATTTCTATTTCCAAATCTTGTCAGATACATTTTATGTCTTTACTCAACCCGATCACAAGGCTGGGTTCAGATACCAATCGCAATTATTGGCTCAATTAATCCATTTGGTCCAAGACAATGTGATTAAAGTACCATTATACACTCCTGACCAAGCCCCAGAAGGAACTTCCAATTCAGAATTCTTGAAGCAATATTTATCCCAATTGTTGTCATCAGCATTTGATAATTTACAAAAGGAGCAGTTGGTCAATTTCCTTAATGTTTTAACGTCGGTTTACAACGATTTGCCAAGATTCAAAGGTATATTACGTGATTTCTTGGTTCAATTGAAGGAGTTTGGAGGTGATCCAACTGATTACTTGTTTGCTGAAGATAAAGAACTTGAAGAGAAAGAAAAGGTTAAGTTGCAACGACAACAAGATATGTTGGTTGGTGGATTAATTAGACCTTCTGAAATGGTGGATGACGATTAGTTGTGTTTGCTCATTGATTACCCTCGCTGAAAAATTTATATATTAATATTTTTATAATGTTTGTTTAAAATATACGTAACGCATAATATGGTTGTAGAAGTCTAAGTCTAAGTCTAAGTCTATGTCTAAGTCTATGTCTAAGTCTATGTCTATGTCTAAGTCTATGTCTCTCCAGTTATATTACTTTGCAAACGGTTACCCGGCTTATCAAAAAGTATTTAAAAACGTTCGCATCGAGAAAAATTCAACGTCCCCTTTTTGTTTTCTTTCTTCTCCATCGCCAGAAGATCAATTTCTTAATCGTACATGGTTCTTGCCTTTTCCCAGAACCATCCGGGGATTGTCTTTGCTAATGGTGTATCAAGCTAGTTTTTGGAACTTTTTTTTGCAAATCATCCAATGTTTTTGACATTGCTTTGTTGGTTTGTCTGTGTGTCTTGCACACCATCATTTTTTTTTCAGGTAGGCTGGTTTGTGGTCAAACCAACTGTGTGAAGAAGCATGATTGAGCGTGTTAACACAATTGGAACAGTATGTGAAAACGCAGAGAGAATTTAACAGTCGATACTGTTACCTGTAGAGAAGAATTGTTGAATGGAAGAGAAGCAGAGAACTAGAGAATACTTTACAAGCTCCATTACTTAAAAAGTTTATTAGTATATATGTACAAGATTAATCCCTTTCAATACTTTCGATTGATTTACCATAAAGTTTCACGGAATCGGTGATTTTGACGTAGGCTTTGTTAGGACCAGGAATACAACCCTTAACAACCAAGATACCAGCATCTCCATCAGCATGTAAAACTTCCAAGTTCATTTCAGTACTGCTTCTACCACCCATTCTACCAGCCATCTTCTTTCCTGGCAAGACTCTACCTGGATCTTGATTACCACCGGTGGCACCTTGTTTTCTGTGAGCTTTAGAAACACCGTGAGTGGCAGCCAAACCTTTGAATCCGTGTCTCTTCATAACACCGGCAAAACCTTTACCCTTAGTAATACCTTTAATGTCCACCATTTGACCCACGGCAAACATGTCAGCTTTTAATTCAGCACCAACTGGAACGAGTCCAGTCTCACTACGAACTCTGAACTCACCGAGCTTGTGCTTTGGAGAAACACCAGCTTGTTCAAAAAGCTTTAAATTGTTGACATTCTTCAATTTGTCGACAGCACCAACCATTACGGAGGTATATCCAAACTCTTGTTCAGTCTTGTGTTTTATAACTTCCACGGAATCGATTTCGATGACAGTGGCTGGAAATTGACGACCATTGTCGTTGAACCAGGTGATCATTCCTCTTTTAATACCAAACAATCCTGGTCTGTCCAACAAACACTTTCTTCTGTTGCCAAGTTCCACAGAGTGGTTGACTTGATTAGGTTGTGTCTTCATGGACGTGATGGCGTGGATGGAGGTGATTTTGCAGGCATGACGGGTGGCGGTGAAGTTGAACGTAGAGTTCAATGTTTGTAGCACTCTGCTAGATACGGAGTTGAATGACAACATTGCTGAATGTCCTGCTCCTTAAGTCTCTGTTGTTACAATAGGTCGATTTGAAAATTTGGTGAAGTTTTTTTTTTTTTTCAATACAAACTACAAAATTTTTTTTTTGCACTTTACAAGTTACAGGTTAACGAAAGGAGTATACATTCAGAACATTACAATGCATTTTAAATATGTACAAGGTTAGTATATCACGACTAGACTACTTAATCTTCTTTTCCTTCAATTGGATAGTTTCATCATCAATAAAAATACCCTTACCCTTATAAGGTTCTGGTTTCTTGAATGCTCTAATCTTGGCAGCAAACAATTTAACTTGTTGCAAGTCAGTACCTTCAATCACCAATCTGGTTGGGATGGGAGAAGTGACAGTCAATCCCTTGGGGATTCTGAGTTGTGGTGTACTTGGAATACCCAATTTTAAAGAAACTATATCATTTCCCTTGGCGTCTTTTTCTAAAATGGCTCTGTAACCGGTACCGACAAATCTGACAACTGCCAAGTGACCTTCAGATGCTCCAATAGCGTTATTGTTTAAAAGAGCACGATATGTTCCCCATAATGATCTTTGGACTTTACTGGTGCTGTCTTCGACCGAAACAGCAAGGTTGTTGTTAGCGTTGTCTACCTTGACAAATCCTGGAATTGGTGTTTTCAATGTTCCACGAGGTCCAGCAATCACCACTTGTCTGTCCAAAACATATCTTTGGTTACCCTTGGTGAATGTTTTACAGAATTCATGAGGAATGGATTCGATGCTGGCGGTGACCCCTTCGGTCAATCTGATTGGTTGTTTTCCGACGTTTGAAAGAGCAGGCACGGAGGTGCTAAATTGTCTGAGCGTATTGGCGCTCGCTATTTTGGGTATCCTTGCAAACATGGGTATGAACTAGGTATAAACACCACAATGTACCCTTCGTTTGAACTTGCGAATAACTCGATTTGATGAAAATTTTTAAGTTGAGAAAAAAACTCACGTGCATACACTCACGTGATCATATCTTGAGCCATCTCAATTTTTTTATTTTAAAAAAATTCAACTAGAGATGTGAGTGCAATATACCTACTACACAGATAATACGTACAAGAATAAGTAAAGATGGTCAGAGCATTGAAACATCATGAACAGAAGTTGTTAAAGAAGGTCGACTTCCTTGATTGGAAACAAGATCAAGGACACCGAGATACCCAAGTGATGAGAACATACCATATCCAAAACCGAGAAGATTATCACAAATACAACAGAATATGTGGTGAAATCCGAAAATTAGCCCACAAATTGTCATTATTACAACCAACAGATCCATTCAGAATAAAGCATGAACAGTTATTATTGGAGAAATTATATAATATGGGAATATTAGCAACCAAGGCGAAAATCTCTGATTTGGAAAACAAAGTCACTGTGAGTGCCATATGTAGAAGAAGAATCGGGGTTGTTATGTGCAGATTGAAGATGGCCGAGACTATGAGTGATGCAGTGATGTTTGTCGAACAAGGGCATGTCAGAGTTGGTCCAAATATCATTACTGACCCTGCTTACTTGGTGACTAGAAACTTGGAAGACTATTTGACCTGGGTTGACACTTCCAAGATTAAGAGAAATGTTCTCAAGTATAGAAATAAGATTGATGATTTCGACTTGTCTTAGAGTGACAGTGTATATTATTTATAGAAGTTAATAAAACGAACTAATCTTAATCAGAACTGTTCATAGTAAATATCAAGGGCTTGACTAAGTCGCCTTGATTTTAAAACAGACGTAGGCATTTAAAGAACATTGATCACAAATAGCCTTCAAAAGCTATAACATAGACAGATATTTCAGACCTTTGGCGGAACAGGCTGGAAAGACTGTGATTGAATATTAGTGGAATACCGGCAAACTTGAATTGTTGGATCCCAAGCGACATGGGCTGTGCAAAAGCGGAGTGGGATTGCTACAATAGGTATCCATCAACAGCACATGCAGATAAATTATGTTACAATTCTAGATAATATTGCTTGTGCATTTACCAAGACTCTGGGTTTCACGCTTTATTCTCCATCACTCAAATACTAGTACTATGGGGCGGATAGACAATATAGACAATCCCATTGTCATAAACTTAATCAAAGAGCCCAGCTACAAAGTTATAAAATCAGAAGAAACTGAAACTACCCATATTACTTAAAGTACCAACCAATTCATAAAAAATTGCTTCATCCGCCCCAAATTTGTATGAAAGATAAGGGCCGTAAAAAACGAACCACATTAGAAGATTTCAACCTGGACAGAATGAGATCAGATATATTGACAAGTCTTTAGATAGATATTTGGGAATTAAAGGTCGACGTCCAAAAACTTGAAAATCTTGTCGACTTTGGAAGTTATACAGGAAAAAACTCGGCGGAATCAAATATGGTATTTATCCATGTTGTCAATTAATATTTCATGATATTTTCCAAGAAATATACAAATAATATATCTTAACATTAACGATCAAGAATTATAATTGGACCGCGATGGTTATTATCACCATCGAATTCTAGAATTCTTAAATGTGATACATTTTCCCAGTATAAGACTAGCGTCACAGGATGGTCTACCCAAAATGAATGAAATCAACCTTAGAGAATTTTTGTCTAACGAGATGCTTTTATACAAACAATTTGGTTACCCTGACAAAGGAAGCTATTGTATTGACAACAAATTCAACTGTTGCTTGGGCGGTTGTCAATTGGCCGGTCCAAGTGAAATCTACATATATTAGATACCGCAGTTGCCCAGAACTGCTTTTATACTCAACCTTACCAAATCAAGCCATATGCGGGTTAAAGTCCAAGTATTGTTCAGTATTCTCCGATTAGGTTTGGAGAGATTCATTGCTAAAAAATAGAAAATGGTTGAAAAACAATTCAACTTTAATAGTTTGATCATTCGCTAACAGCAAGTTCTATGCATAACCGATAAAAGTGAAAGAAGGGATATGTTCGGTATATTCATCCCTTTGTAAACCCTGTAACCAAGAGGGTTTGTTTGCCGACTTGCCAAATACTTGATGGAAACAAATCTGTTTTGCTCGGGCTGGCCTACTCCATTTATCAAAAAGGCCATTTTCCTAACCAGGCATGTAATGGACACAAACCCTGTTCCGCACCAGAATTTGATCTCGCGAATCGGATTGTGTTAGACGATTTGGGACATAGTTGACGAATGTCGCATACATAATACGTTTGCCTAATCGGGCAATGTGTATTCCTGCATGGAATACGCAAAAGTGTTGAGTATTTTTAATTTGGTATTTTGTAATGGAGCATAAGAAAAATAATTTATTTTTGTGCATCTCGTAAATTCTTAAGTTGAGCAAGAAAATATATGATCTTACACACATACTGTATACAGGTGGTGCTTTATACATTATTATCAGGGCTCAGTAACCTGGGTAAAGTCTCTTCTATAGAGATGATATTCTACTAAACTTGTTTCATTGTACAAGTGTTAACAGAGGAGAGCTCCGTTTACGCAAGCTCGTAGTTTGGAAATTTTTTCTCTTGACACTTCACTCCGAGTATAATCTTGGCAAGAATTATATAGAATAGACTTGATTTAACAATAATCACAAGAAATATGCAGTATATAGATACTTGGGGTTTGTTTATAAACATAAAGGATACTGGAACCTACTAGAGCAAAAATCTCAGTGCCAAATTGTAATCTTTCTCCGGGCTATTGTTAAGCACTGAATAATATTCCTCCCCCCCCCCCCCCCTCCGCGATCCAAGAACCTTAATTCACGTGAATTATACTAGTATAGCCTTTAATACGAATGTTCACCAACTACCTGGCTTCTAGCAACAGGAACCTACTTATTACGAAGACTAAACAACGGAAGAGATTTGCTTTGACGAGATATGCAACCGTGACCTGTAAAAAAATATTTTGTTTGTGGTTTATGACACCAACTGGTGCACTGAGGACAAAGACAAGATGGGTCTAATTTGGAATACTATTGTTAGACAATACATGCACGAGATGTTAAAAACAAAAAGACCTGACAAAATCGATGATGTCAGCGGGCTAGATTTATAGCATAGAAACTTAAACGTGATTTTTCTTTACGTTATTTCTTGTGTTTGATCCCGTCTCCTATTTTTTTGGGGCGACCAAAGATGTCTGTCTCAGCCGTGTATGTAACGTATGTTTCACGCCGTAAATCGCGTGCCTTGCCAATACTCCGGAACCGTCGGAAATGCATGAACTTGTACATTGCTTTTACCAGTTATATACATCTACTATATGCTACCTTTGTCGCGCATTTATCAAATCATAAAAGTGAAAGTCAAATAAAAAAATAAAATCTCAATAATAAAAAAATAATAAAAAAACTAAACATTTAATTAATTACACAAAACAATGGGTTTGTGATATATAATTAAATAATTGTCGCGGGAATTTCTGTATTTATTGTTATGTTGAGCTTCAAGTTAAAATTAGACAAGTGAGTTGAACAACAACAATATATCTTTGGTTATTATGCCGTTTTCACAGATGTATTATTAGTTATCAGTTGATGCAGTACAACTTACTATGGCTGGGATTCTCTCTGTTACCAGTATTTATTTTTTGATTTATGGTTTTTTTTTTTTAGATACAATATTTTTTTTAGTTTTGCTCTTTTTTTTTTTAATTTCCAGTTTTTTTTTTTTTTGCTGGCGAATACGAAAACAAAAAAAAATCTGTAACAATTGAGCTTTTGTTTCCTTAACAAATTTCCAAAACACAGCGGACAAGGCAAGAACGAGAAATTATCCAACTTTTTGAGAACCTGCGTTTCTTCTTCTTTTATTTGACTGACCGCAACATCTTTTAGCAAGTGTTTGTTCTCACCTACTAGCGTACACTACCCTAGGTTAAATTGGTTACCATAGTTAAGTGGCGATCAAAAGCACGATCACGCACAAAATCAAAACAAACCTATTCAGTTTTACAACACCAATCAGAACAGAAGAATAATCAAAGACACTGGAGCAGGAGGACCGCAATCAATCAAATTGATATCGAGACCAGATCTAGCATACCCGAATATTTACCATCTGCACTGTCCTTTTTGGCTTTTGAAGTAACAATAACAATTTCCTAAAAATAGAAATTCACTAGCGGCTGCCCAATAGGCTTTTACAAACCGGTAAGCTCTGCTTTCAATATATTACTATTCCAACTATTTCGTCATTCATTTACAACCTACTTTTTTTTTTAATTTACTATATTCTGCACTACTCACAGCAGACCCCCAAAACAGGCAACATATATATTGAAACAAGACTATAATAAAACATGGCTCGACACCACCTGCTGCAGAAACTGCCTCATAGACATTCCCAGACTCCACCACTACCACCATCACCATCTAACGAGTCATTCGACAGAGGCAACGCTACAACAGATAGATTTTTACAACAAGACAACAACGACACTACATACCTCCCAAATCCACTGCCTACATTTATAAGTATTGTCAATAATACTCACGACCAGCGGGCTTCAATTGCGGCACCGTCTGTGTCTATTGAACATGAACTGGACCGACGCGCTTCTCACAAGATCAATAATCCCTTTGGCCATTCGAGAATAAGGTCACATTCGACTCTGTTTAATCAACATCCTACTAAACGATTATTCCAACCAATTCACCACAATGGATCTGTCCAAAGAAACTACCAACCAGGTCAACAACAATATGATCGGATCACATCGCCAAACCCATTGCAACAGAAGCAATACTCACAAACTGATCGACCACCTTCTGCACCAATCACCCAAAAAATGTCACATACTCCAAACTGGACAGCCATGCCCGATAACACATATTCGCCCGAGGATACCTACAGACAGCAGAAACAAGATCGTAACGAATTTAATTTAGTTAGTCGACCTTCAAGTTCGGCCCCACCAAACACCACTTATGGCTCAAGTTTATCTACCCCAGCACCACAACGTCCATACCAAGAAAGAACCAATAAATCCACCAGTTCGACCCAGTTGAGTCCGTCTCATCGACATTCTATTGCCGTTTCTCCTACTCCTGACAAGCAACCACTGCGTTCCTCCGAGGAGATGCTCGCGAGAAACAATCCAATCCCTCTCAGATCTAGTACTTCCAGTAACAGAGTCAACCAACTCAGCTCTTCAACTACAACGAATAGTACTTCTAGTTTGGACTCCGATGCCAAGAAGGTGCGCAAGCGAAACAAGAAAACGTGTAATAAATGTGGATTGGAAATAACTGGCCAATTTGTCCGTGCCTTAGGGTGCGCTTTCCACGTCGAGTGCTTTACATGTAATGAATGTGGTAAACAGTGTTCAGCCAAATTTTTCCCCTACGAAATCAAGGACACCAATGGTAATGTAAAGCAAGTAGCATTGTGTGAATATGACTATTTCAAAAAGTTGGATTTGATTTGTTTTAATTGTAATTGTGCATTACGAGGACCATATATCACCGCATTGGGGAACAAATATCATTTGGAACATTTCAAGTGTACTGTATGCAAACGGGTATTTGAATCTGATGAAAGTTATTATGAACATGAATCCAATATTTATTGTCATTACCATTATTCCAAATTGTATGCTTCCCATTGTGAAGGATGTCATTCATCGATTGTAAAGCAGTTTGTGGAATTATTTCGGGGTGGAAGAAAACAACAATGGCATCCTGAATGTTATATGGTTCACAAGTTTTGGAATGTATGCATAACTTCTGATTCTGTAGGGTTGCAACAGTTGTATGGATTATCCGAGGAATCACTACAGAATATTAAAGCATTGACGACAACCAGTGACAAGGACGAAGAAGATGCCGTGAATTCGATATTGCTCGTTCACATTGAACAACAGATTGAGCAAGTTGTCATGCGATGTTGGTTGACTTTGTCTGGATACGAAGAGACCACGGCAACTTGTATTTCCGACATGCTTGTTAATGCATGCACCGGCGACAAATTTAATGGGTTGATTGTTACGGGAAAATTGATTTTGAGTGTCGAAGTGTTGTTTAATGCCCTTGATGCCATTTTTGAAATGTGTGGTTCCTCCAATGATTTACTTCAGGAAAAATTCCAAAGGTTACCTGAACAGCATACGTACGATGATCTGGAATCATCGTTGACTAGCCCCAATGAAGAGTATTTCCAACCATTGAAGAAGGAACCAAGAAATATCACGGGGAAGATTATGAGTTATTTGGCGATTTTGCGAAAGTCTGATCATATCGCTAAGTCAGGCCGACTTTCGGCTGAGTTGCTTTCAGTCATCACTGGATGTGCTCACTATTTGAAGTTACTTATTGGAATAGGGTTGAATAATGCGTTACGATTGAATAAATTGTATGGTACCACCACCGCCATTGATAAATTCTTGACACTAACTTCTGAATATGAATCGTTTACGTTTGACGAGGCCAATGAAAAGAATTTGCATATGCTTAATGCTAAATTGTCTATTCCAATTAATTCTACAGATGCTTGTAGGTTATGTGGCAAGAGCATTGAGAAGTCGTGTTTTAGAAATGGAAGCCATCGTTGGCATATCAAGTGTTTTGAATGTAGTGTATGCCATAATCCTATCCTGATTGAAGAGGCTGACTTGTGCAAAGTGGATTTGACTGACCGGTTAGTGTGTAATAATTGTAACAAGGACGGTGGAGAAGTGGGTGGATTTGAAGTGATCAGTGACTTGGCTCAATTAAGTTATTTGTTAAAGATTGCTCTTTTCAGATCGCGTACAGTGATGAAGATTGATTTTATGCAAATCCCTGTGTTGGAAACGGCCTTGAATAGACGACTTTCTATTAGGGAAATTCCCGAAGAGTCACCCGTGGATAGTTATTCGCAAACATTGAGTGATGTGACAAGATTACGTACCAAGAGACAGTCACAGAAGTTGTCAAGATCCGTCAAGAAGAATGCTAGGAAGTCGGTGATTGTCGAAGCTCCTGAGGCTGATAAAGCTAGTAAGTTTGAAATTAGAAATGATGACCATATCGCGGAAGAATTGGCGGATCTTTCATTTGATTCACCCCAGATCATCCAACCTAAACGAATGGATAGTGGATCATCCCTGTTGTCTTTTGATACTCAAAAACTGGAGAAAGTCGTGGTTAAGAAATCACTCAAGATTAGAGATGAACCCCAGAGACAACTCACCAATACTCAACTTGATCGTACTTCGGACATGTTGAAGAATGAGAAATCATTGACCTTGGATGATATTCCCAGAATTGTTGCAGCTGAACAAGCCCGTGATCAACGTCCTAATGCATTCAAACATCATAATAGTTTATATCAACGTCAACAAGTGAAGATGAAGGGCAGTGGTGGGTCAAGAAGTCCATCAAACATGATGTCACCTTCAGGTGCCTTGGATAATATTTTGAGTGCTAATCATTCCCAAGCTCCAAGTTCTATCGACCATCCATCAGTTAAGCAAAATAAGTATTATTCCGAGTTGACTAAACTGGAGCATTTCATGTTGAGACATATTGCTGTCGAGGCACTTTCGAGAATCAGTTCTAATTATAACCGTGATGATTTGTTGCCTTTAATCCAAATCAAGAAGCTGTCCACCTTTTGGGATAAATTCAAGTTCAGCCTGGGAGACAAGGAAAAGACTACCAATGTGTTTGGTACTGATTTGTTGGAGTTAACCAAGAAGTATGGAGTAGATTCTGATTTGGGTGTTGGGCCCAATAAGCTCCGTGTTCCCATTGTGATTGACGATGTGATTAATGCATTGCGACAAAAGGATATGTCGGTGGAGGGTATTTTCCGATTGAATGGTAATATCAAGAAGTTGCGAGAGTTGACTGATGAAATTAACAAGAACCCTTCCAAGTCTCCTGATTTCAGTATCCAGACCGCCGTGCAATTAGCGGCATTAATGAAGAAGTGGTTACGTGAATTGCCTAATCCGCTATTGACGTATAACCTTTATGATGTATGGATCAGCTCACAACGAGAACCTAACCCGGTGATGAGAAAGAGAATCTTGCAGTTGATTTACTGTATGATGCCACGAAGCCATCGTAATTTGGTTGAAGTGTTGCTTTACTTCTTTAGCTGGGTGGCTTCATTTTCTGAAATTGATGAAGAGACTGGATCTAAAATGGATACGCATAACTTAGCCACTGTTATTGCCCCCAATATTTTGATTTCCAAGAGTGCCAGTCAGAACAATGATAATATCCAGACTGGAGGAGACAACTATTTCTTGGCTATTGAAGTTGTCAACCAGTTAATTGAGTTGCATGAAGAGTTGAGTATTATTCCTCATGATTTGCTTGAGTTTTACGAGAGTTGTGGGCTTGGCAAACAAGAGAAGGAGTTGTCGACTAAGGAGATTATGAATGTCATTGACAAGTACATTAAGGAGAATCCTAGCTGTTTTGACGTGGATGTTCGCGATGGCATTTCCAATGTGGAAGTCAAGAGTAATACCGTGTCCAAAAGCCAGAATAGGGTTGGAGGTGAGTTGAACGGAGAGACCCAAGAGGTGTAGATGTTCTTTATGTATCATGTGTAATAAATGTACTATTATTAACTTTTATGTGTATAGAGTAGTTTCTTTATTTGTCGAGAGAGAAAATGACTGAAAAATAAAATTATCAGAAAAATCTCCACCACTGTTTAGTAAGCACCACCACCACCACCACCACCACCCAATGTCAGCACTCACGGTAGATACATTCAAACAGATAATACAAGAGAGACTACAGGCAGAGCTCGTCACCGTGGAAGACATGTCTGGAGGATGTGGACAGGCATTTGCCGTGATTATCGTGTCGCCTTTATTCCAGGGCAAGAACAAATTAATGAGACATCGATTGGTGAACAACGCCTTGAAGGAAGAAATAGCGGGGATCCATGCGTTTACCCAGAAGGGCTTCACTCCTGACGAATGGGCTGCCCAAGGCGGGAAAGTATAGTTATGTGTTTTATAGAGGTCTATACACTTTAATACAAAGTTCTATAAATTATTGCGTTTGTAGGATTTTGCGTATTTGAAAATAATCAATGCCCATATGACGAGCAACACCGCAAAGAGGACAATGACAATGAGTGGAAGAATGGATAACCCTGCATCGCTGGATTCGGCAATTAGTCCAGTGAGGAATGGGATTCCAGCCGCACCACCACCGCCAAACGCACATATGAACCCGATCCCAACCACTTGATAGCTTGCTGGCAAGATATTTACCGCTGCTATGATTGTCGTAGGGAATATTGGCCCAACCACTACACCAGTAACGAATACAACTCCGAATAACAACCAGTTTATTTTCGTGAAGGAAAATAACCAGAAGAGTGTGTATCCTGCAAATGAAAGGACAGTGTATGTCAAATTGGCAGCTAGTTCAGTAGTAAAATAGTGGGCGGTGACAAACCCAAGGACCATTCTACCGATAGTTAAACCTGACCAGAACGTGGTAGACATATGCGCTGAAGATTTATAAGCCCAATGTTTGATACGGATGAGGTAGGTGACTAGCCATGCCCCAAATGCCACCTCTGCTCCGACATATATGAAAAGAAAGACGGAGAGAATCCATATAATCTTTGATTTAAGCACCTTGGCTAAACTTGCTGAAGAGTCGTCGCTTTCGGTATCTATTGATACTTCCTCCTGAGAAATTTCAAACGAATCCTTCATCGAGTCCATTTCAATTGATTCCTGAGCCTTCTTGTTTCTTATTTTCGTAGTATACCTGTACTTTTTAGGAGTTTCGTACTTGAAGCTAAGGATAACAAATAGAACACAAAATGCGCCAATTGAGGATAATACCATGTAGTACTGATTCCAAGTCCATGGATTGTTCTTCTTTTCCATGAGGTAAGTCACCAAAGTAGGCGAAATCAAACTGCCCATACCATAACAACCATGCAATATTCCCATTAGTTGATTTGAATCAACAAGATTTCCCATCCAAGTGTTTAAACTTGCATCTAACCCACCACAACCGAGTCCACTCATAAAGGAACAAATCAAGTAGACAAAGAATGGTGGCTTTGTGGATACAATCAAATATGCCACCGTCATGGAAGTTGTTCCCAACGTAGTTACCCCTTTAATCCCAAATGCTTCGTGTGTCATATTAGAAATTAGAGCCATGGTAAGGTATCCTGTAACACCACATAAGAAGATGAAACTGGTGTATAGATCATTGATTTGGTAGTGTTGTTGGAGTTTAGGAATGATTGTTCCTGTTGTTTGTTCAGCTAGACCGAACAATGTGAATATGGTGTATGCAGCAAGAATTTGAAACTTGAGTAATGTGGATATTCTCCAATTGGTGGTATCCACTGTGAGGATTTCTCCTTCGTATTCCACCTGATGTCGAACATTAAGGAATTGGGGGTTTTCATCCTCATGAGTGTCTGGATTGAGCGGCGCATTCGGAGCATCTGATTCAGTGGCGGGGAAGGGGTCAGGCGAGGAGCTTTGCATTGGTGTGATTTGGTTAGTAAAAGAATTGGCAGTAAATTCGTCAGGTAGGCTTTGGATCATGTTGAAGATGAATTGTATGAATTTCACAGTATTACTCAGCAAGATGCCCTTGTAACGTTATTTTCACTCCCCGGATGGCATTGTTAGATTAATAAGGGCTGGGATAACAATAAGACAGGCGGGGTGGAAAATAAAGGAAAAATTCTCGCTAGAATTTTTGGTCAAGATTTTTTGCGTAGGGGTTTATGTTTGTGGATGCATTCAATTTAGCCTTTAGACTATGCAGCGTGAGATCAGCCAATAGAGATGAAGCCTGGGCTATTATCCAGAGGATTAGAATGGCAATGGATTAAAAGGGATTGATCCTTTGTTCGCAAACCATCTGTTCTTTTCTTGCGTCAATCTGGTAATTGATTGGCGCTTAAAAGCGCATCTCTCATTTACCACATCAAATGACCAAACTTTACTTTCCAAATACTGATTCTGAAAATTATGGTCAGCCATAGAAGTGCGATATACTCTGGCAGAGCTTGTTGCGTTTGTCGAATGCGTATTTGAAAGAACCTGGTTTATCTACTCAGAAAAGTGCTAACAAAATCGTGTTGCCAAATTACTACCACTTCGCACCCCCCCCTTCAAAACGACATTTCACTAAAACCATGTCTCCTGCGACATTTATCGTACAAGCAAACGTTTCCTTTTGGTTAACATTTCCGTTTAAATTAGCCAGTCGATCGCCTCGTAATGTGGCTGAATGGTCATTCACATTTCCGTAATCAACCGTAACATCGGATGATAATTCCGCCAATTATTTTGACCCACATTGTTTTGGTTATTTCTTTTTCCGGGATCAAAAAAAAAAAATCGTATTAATTTTATCAGAAACCAAATGTTATCAGAACTTTCCCGGGTAAACACCTTCTTCTACCGATTAAGATTTCCCAAGTTCAATACCATGACCAAATCAGACAGTCTCGCCGAGTCCAACCTATTCAAGCCGATTAAAGTTGGTGCTCTCCAGTTGCAACATCGTGTCGTTCACGCACCAACGTCCCGGTCACGGACCGATCCGGAAAAATACGTCCTCACCGATATCATGCTTGACTATTACCATCAAAGGTCACGGACTCCAGGCACACTCGTGGTGACAGAATCGATGATGGTTTCACCACAAGCTGGTATTCTCCCATTTAAAGCTGGGTTATGGAATGATGGCCAGTTGCAAGCGTTAAAGAAACTCAGCGATGTGATTCACAAAAACGGTAGTTTTGTCAGTGCCCAAATTATTGGCGCTGGTCGTGTCTCCAAGATCGAACTTTTGAAAGAGCATGGTATTCCATATACTGCTCCATCAGCAATTTACCATACTGAAACACACAAGGAAACCGCCAAGAAGTTGGGGTGGGAATTACGCGAATTAACCGTGGAAGAGATCCACCAAATTCAAGACGATTTCGTTGCTGCTGCTGCTAATTGTATCACTAAAGCAGACGTTGATTTAGTAGAACTACATGGTACTTCTGGGTTATTAATAGAACAATTTCTCTCTCCGTTATCCAACAAAAGAACTGATGAGTATGGAGGAAGTGTCGAGAATAGATGTCGTTTCCTTTTGGAAATCCTTGATAAATGCATTGCACACCCTGACATTGGTGCTTCTAAAATGGGTGTGAGAGTTACTGCATGGAGTACCCACAACGGAATGGTCTATCCAGGAGTTAAGGACTACCTTGATGAAAAACAGTTCCCGCCGGCTGAATTCTGCAGATATGTCTTCCAGGAATTGGAAAAAAGAAAGAATCAGGGTAATGAAATTGCGTACCTTTCCATCACCGAGCCTCGAGTTTCTGGATCTTCTGATGCTGACCCTACAGGAAAATCCAATGACCCATTACTTCAACATTGGTCCGGGATTGTCGTTAGAAGTGGGGGATACGCTACCAATTACAAGGGTGATCCATTTGCCATTAAATCCAATGCCCAAAACTTACGAGTCAAGGATGGCGTAATCATGCATTACGAAACCTTACTTCATGATGTCAACTCCGACGACAGAACATTGATTGGGTTCTCGCGGCCATTTACTTCCAACCCGGACTTGATTTCTCGTTTGGAACATGGATACAAGTTGGATCATTACAATCGTGAGTTCTTTTATACACATACCATCGAAGGGTATTTGGACTACGGAGATTACAACAATGACCACGGTCCAAACTCAGTATCTCTCTCACCCGAGGAATTGTCACGGGAGGGAACGCCATTGGTGTAGCTTTTGCAACTTTGTGGTTTGCGAAAATTTTTGTATAGAAAAAATTACACGCTAAAAAAGAACGCGCTTTATTTATTTTGATTTATATATGGAACCATTACATAGTATACTATAACTAATATATCTAGCATAGCACATGGATTCAGCTACTATATAAAACCAATGAGTTACGAATGCATATCTGATTCAGAAGAAGAAGAATCGTCTCATTTGGTGATCTCACCACAACTCTTGGAGAACAATTTGCATACACTATCACCAAACAAGCGCTCCACCACTAGAGATCGACTACGGCAATACCTCCAACAAAATGCATCCGTGCAAGAGCAGTTAATCGAAGTGAATCCACCAGTATCTGATATACTGCTGAGTGAATTACCAACGGTAACCATGATACCATCACACCATTCACCACAGACAACGGAACTAGATGAAGACAGCCACCATTTGCAAACATACATCAACTCACGAGCCACATCCACAAGAAGGGGACTACGCAAACGGAATTTTGCAAGCACACATCCCTACCTCTCTGATCAAGCCCACTACTTGGGTCTTTGTGACATATCCTATTTGAATGAACTATACGATGAAAACAACCAGGACTTAGATGTCATTGTCAAATATTTGAATTACAACTATATGAAAATGAAGGAACGTTATCGCGGCGATGAGAAATACCGACACAAGAACTTTTACACAATCTTGGGAAGAGGACTAAACAGCTTGAGAACGGAAGAGAATCAAGGAGAGACATACCATGACACCCAAGTAGAATCCCAACTGGAGACCCAATGGCATAAAGAACAGGATAGCATTCTGGGATTCATGAATGACTTGTTTAGTGACAGTGACCAGGATAATTACAGCCAGAGTGAAGACAGCGATCTTGAGCCTATACCGACACATAAACACCATTCACTTGTAATAGAAGACGACGAAGAACAACTGGATTCCGAGTTAAGCGATTCAGATGCTTTAGTCAGAGTAGGTGGCCGAATTAGAAAGGAAAAGAGTATTCTAAGAGGTGCATTACCTGAATCAGCAAAACGTTTAAGCATATATAAAGCACCGGCATATAAACGAAAGACCAAATCCACCCCAAAACAAATGGATTATCGAAAAGGAATGGCAATTCGGAAGAGTGCACCCAAACATAGAAGTATACCCGAATTCACGGGGTTTGTGGATGATTCAATAACTTATGATACTTCTAATGAGTTATATCATGAACTTTACAATCAACCTGAGGATGAACCAATATTGGAGAGGCTTGAATCAGATCCACCTTCCATGTACGATGCCGTAGTTCTTTCAGAAAGCTCATCATCAGATAATGAAAGTGGTGATGAATCAGATATATTTGAATACGGACATCCCGATATAGACACCCATACAGATGCAATTGACTTAACTAATATAACAGATGATGAATTTGGCGAAGTTCAAGAACGAGATTCCATAAATATGATGTTGGCTACTGGCGAAAGAAGACATGGACCTAATACAAAGAAGAAACATAGGTCCACACAATCGACATTACCTACAGCATACAGACCACCAACTTATGGTTCATCAGCGAATACTTCGTCAGCACATACTTCGTCAGCATATGGGTCATCTTCGACTGTTCGAAACGCTACCAACAATACATCACGGAAACGTCTTAATTCATCCCATCTGCTGTCTACACTGACCAAAACTCGAAAGCAAAATCCCCAAAGTTATGGACGTTTGCAAGTCAAATCCATATCACCAGCAACGAATCAACGGAAAAAGCACAAATCACAAAAGAAGAACGGCATAATTGATACTTATCTTTCAAAGAACCCCAAGGATTTGTTTGCTAATGATTATTTATTCCTGAGACAACCTATATTATCGACCACAACCATTGAAGCAGAAAGTGAAACGCGATTTGTTAAAGAACCAATCCATAGTGGAGAACGAAATCATAACAATAATTCCCTATCAAAGCCTTTATTGAACAGTATTGATTTAGCAAAGATCATAGAATTGGCTCAGGGGAAATCATACACTCTTGCCAAGGATACAGTTAATATCACTTTCCTCAACGAGACATACACATTATCATTAGTTGACATTCAGAGATCAACATCCACCAACGAAAGACTACTAACTCAATTAGCAAAGACTACCAAGTCTTTCAATGTCCCACTAGAATTATTTTCACAAGCAGTAAGTGAATGTATAAAGGGTCTAATTGAATGGGCACTAGTTCTCCAAAGATCATTTTCCACGAGAGAATGGAAACTATTAGATATTTGCTACAATTCCCTTGTTAAACTGGTGGTTATTCCAATACTGTTTAAACTACAACATATGCCCTATTTTATGCTATTGTATTACACAGTATCGAATATTGCTTTGTTCCAAGGTGGATCGCCAGTTGATCTTAATGACTTTATCAAACGATACGCACAACTGTATTGGAAATTGTATTTTGACAGATTTTCAATTTATGAAACATTTGATGAAGATGAATCTTTTACTGTCCATTGTATGCTTGTAAATAGGAACCTATGGTGGGAAAGTATCGTATCAACTTTACAAAACTATGATTCTCCCAATTCATCAACTCTTTTAGAACCATTGTTTCAATTATGTTCCAACACCAACAACAAAGGGTACTCATGGGTTCCAGTAAGCATATTATTTGACAAACATGACAATTCCACAAACATAGATTTCTGCTATCGGTATATTGAAACTATATACATGTTGAACCAAAGAAAGGATTGGCCAATTGATGAAAAAGTGATTTTGCAAATATATCGCTCGATTGCAGCACGAAAGTTTGCCAACTTCACTGATGAAATCGAAGTGCCTGATTTGCTAGGACGTGTGCGTACTAGGTATGACATCCCTGATTCCTCTTTCTTTGAACGATTCATGCAGTTTTTGTATTGGTATGTATCGGGAATCTCGCATGCGCAAACTGTCAAGAAATTGATTACCAAATTGTTTATTTCTAGTAAGTTTCAATATGTCAATGATAAGACCCATCGGGTAATGTTTATCAACCGACTTAATTTTGTGGTTTTGCTATCACAGTTGTCAAACAGTGTTGATTTGGGGAATCAAATATGTGGACTTTTTGAAGCAATTGAACAGCCCAAGGATGTAGAGTTGTTTAAATTGGGAATGAGCTCATTGATTGTTCTTTGCCAAGTTGCCGTTTCTACCCATAGTAAACTCCCAATTGATGCCATGGTCATATTCATAAAGTTTTGTGTTCACAACTTCTTTACTGTTTCTGGTACATTCAGACTATGGAATCGATTCATTCATTTGTTTAAAGATAAGATCGTCAAGAATTTGAATGCTAACCAAATGATTCAGGTATTGGGACTTTCCAAGGGATTGCATATTGATATGCCCGACCTTATATGGCAAGATCTTCTCGAGATGTTTGCCCATATATGTCCTGTATCAACGCCAGTTTCTCAAACTTGCAAGGTTATTCAAGGATTGGTTGACTTGCTTGAACGAGTATTGCACCGACAAATGGGGCGAATCCCACTTCCTAGTCTCCAAGAGGAGACCAGGGTCTGTACACTAATCGAATCGTGCATTGCTAACTGGATCAAGTTCTCTGCATTACTTCCCGGTACAAATTGGGAAAAATTGGTGCTTCAGACATTTCCATACACTGGTAACCATGCCCTGAGGGAGAAGTTCCTGATTTACTTCTACTTCAATGTGTTGCAGTATCACAATCTCAAAGGATGTCAAGAATTAGTCGGTCGTTGCGTTATACGGGAATTAATGTTGTATAATCCTTCGAAATACTTGAGTTCGATATTGAAGGTGCTTGAACGGGAAAAGTGGGGGCTTTTTGCCTTGCTGAATGAAATCGATGTACGATATTTGATCCAGCATTCACGGCATATAATTGTGAACAACATCATTGACAACTTGTCCAAGTCAAGAATGAAGAGTCTGGAAAAGTTGAGGTATGTGAACGAAATTCAAAAGGTGGTCAACTCTGAGCTTGACAAGTACTATTCATGTAATTGGTACAAGGAGTTTTGCGTTCGGGTGGTCAAATGCATCCAGATTCAGTGTCAAGATTTCATTGACGATGCCACGGGAAAACTGTTGTCTTCTCTATCTAGCAAATTAGGTATTCTGCAATTGGAATTGAGTCAATTCAAAATCCACAAGATGCCAATATTGGACAAGTTACGTATGTTTCATATTGACTTTGTGAATGCGGTACATTTCGGCAGAGACGTTCTAGAAATATTGGACAAATTTGTCATGGGTGGGGTGGATGTATTGTATCATCTAATGAGCGTGTACCTTGAGGCTATATCAGCTAGGCAGTATGACAAATGGAAGTTGGTGTATGAATTGTTAAAGTATTTTGACACCAATGTGAGATTGTTAAAGTTTGATACTCGCAACAGTAGCTTTAAACTGTTCTTGCTTATGATTGGCAGTATCAAGAATGTCAGGGTTGATGATAATGAAATTACATGGTTTATTATTGAAAGCAACCGATTAATACTAGCAATACTTAGGCATTGCTTTCTCATCTTTGAAGGATATAAAGACATGCAAATTTTACGAGAAATTACTCAGACATATCTACAAATAAATCAAGGTGGTGAGCAAGTGGTTAACTTCTATTCACACTATACATACTACGAAATTGCCAATGGACAAGACCCTGTCCTGCATCATCTGAATCATATCCATGAAGAAACAATAGTCGAAGTTGAATCTCGTTTCTATGCTGAATTACATGAAATAATGATGATAAATATAACCCCGGAAAACGTTAGGTTACCCGATTATGAATATACGTTTTAAAGCATCCCTCGTTGACTCTTGATCAAGTTTATTTCCGATTCTAATTTATCTTTAGCCTTCTTGACTTCTAATAAAGCAACCACTGTCCTTATTAATTCGTCGTAGCGAGACATGGTCTTTCGTGTAGGCATTACTGGCTTCCAAGCAGTGCCTCCACCGGTGGGGATATCCAATTCCTGTAACACTTGATTGACTGATTTCAACGTTGATTGCTTTTGGTTCAAACTTGGTAATTTTTGTGTAGATCTTAACACCACACCAGGAGTTAATTTCTCATTGCCGTGATAGTGCAACCCGTATGCCTCTTCTTCCTTTTGGGTCAATCTCTTGGATAACATTTGCTGAATCGCACTTGCTTCTTGCTTAATTGCCGGGTTAGTGTGAACATTTTGTTTCAATAAACTGGACAAGTACTGTTGTAAGTGAGTTTGAAACACCTTATCCTTCTTGAATGAAGACGATGCCGCCATGGGAATAGGTGGAGGAATAGGTTCGCTGGCCTTTTGTTGTTGTAATTGAAGTTGTTGGGCTTGTTTTTTCTTTTGGTGTTTATCAAAAATCATCAAGTTGTTATACAAGTTAGCCAATCCTTGTGAAGATTGATATTGTGACGAGTTTTGCGTGGATTGAGGAGAATCCAAGAGGGTTAACAAATTGGAACGTTCAATCAACATCTTCTTGGCTGCCAATTCGAATCTCCTTGCTTCAATAACTAATGATTCTTCTTCGGCGATTTCGGCTGGGGTACGTTTCAACAAGTTCTCCAAGTATTGTTTACGTTCAATTTCTCGAGGCTTGGAATAAGCCTTGAGGGATTCTATTAATGAACTTTGCGAGGAGTCACGTTTGGATTGTAAAATCTTGATGCAAAGACGATAGAAGTGTTCTTTCAAGTCTTCACATGTACGAACATTGTTGTAATTGTATCTGTCATAAATTATGGGCCATTTAAGTTCAAATGCTTTACACAATTCAAACAAGTAGTTTGTTTCTTCGTATGTCCATTCCAATTCTTCATCCTCAATTGGTTCATCCTGTTTGGCTTCTTGTTCTTTGGAAGCAGATTTCTCACGAGCTTCTGTTTGATCATCTGCTTTATCCTCCTCAGTTTTCTCATCTGATTTCTCTTTCTCCTCGGGCTTATCGTCTTCTTTTTTGATATCTACAACCTCTGGTTTATCCTTGTCGTCTTTCTTTTTCTGATCCTCTTTCTCCTTTGCCTCTTGCTTCTTTCTAGCTTCTTCCTTCTTAGCCTCGGCCTTTTGTCTTTCCTTCTCTTTCTCTTTCTCCTTTTCTTGTCGTTCACGTTCTCGCTCTTTCAATTCCAACAATTTTCTCTCCTTTTCCTTTCTTTCATGCTCTTGAATTTCTTCCATGAACTTGTCATAGGTTTCCTCATCAACCAATTCAGGAATACTCAAATTGACATTGAACTTTTCAAAGAAGTACGGCTTGTTGACTTCTTCAGCCAGTTCAAGAAACTCTTTGGATCCCTTTGTCCAATGGTATAATTTCAACCCATCTTCCTCTCTAGCTCGTTTCTTAGGGTTGAACTCCATCTTGGTCCATGGTGACGGCTTGAAGTTTATCTTGTCCTTAATGGAAGTCTTGGTGTAGTTGTTAGAGCTTAGTTGAAGGGGAGGAGTGTTGGGTCCGATTAAATTGTACAACTCACGAGCCATCCCTGTGAGTTGTGGCTGCTGGGTCTGTGGTGTGGATTCATTACGTTGTTTCTTCTTGGGTGGTTCGTCCCTGCTGATGTTCAACACATCCAAAATGTCATTTGCTGACATGATTATAATTTAATGTAGTGGAATATAATACAGAAAGTGAAACTAGTTAGAATGATAGATCAACGGGTATTGATTACTTATTCCTTGAAATGGTAAATCTATGTTGATAGTAGAGTGTTGTGTGGTTATTGCTTTGAAGATTTTTTTACATGTTCAGTTAACAAGCAAATTCCATTTTTGCAAGTTTTTTTCTTCATATACAGTTTTAGTGTTTGGTAGCGCCAAGGGCATTCTACCATATGATGGTTTGGTCCAGCTGTAAGTTCTCTTGAATTTATATTTATTGCCTAAATACAACTATAAATATTCATATGGTCATTATCAAATACTTATGCCACATAATGGTACACATTTCTATCGGAGTCATCACGAGTCAAGTATTCCTTGTCAATCAAATCCTCAATTCTTTGTTTGATTAGAATCATCAGGGGTTGGAATCGACTAGCCAACTGCTTGATTAATTCTTCCACTAATTCATGATGTTTCATCAGATGCCTTGATTTCATGATTCTTACAATTGCAGCATTGACTTGCAACTTTCTTCCTTCCAAGATATTGTTCTCCACTTCTTCACTTTCTTCTTGTTGTTCAGTACGCACAGGTACTTTAGCAGTTGAAGCGGAAGAGGATGAAGAAACCGTGAGAACCTTGACTTTTACTGATGGAGACTTGAATTTCTCATTAAGTTTAAACACATCAGTGTTGTTGACATCTTTACTCATTGGCACCTTGATCAATAATCTCAGCTTTGGATTAACTGCAATGGATTGCAAGTGTCTCTTTAATTCCAACTCGGGTATTCCTGTAAGTTCAGCAATTTCATCATATGTCAATTCTTTCTTTTCTTCAAAAGCCAGAACAAAGCTTCCATCAGGGTTGGTAGATTGTGGGGCAAATAGCAACATGATGATCCCGGCGTAGGTCGACATGTTAATCTCATACGTTCTTGAAGGATATGTGATTCTCATATCCATGGATCCAAACTTCGGACTCCAATATAAGGACTTGTTGTTATTGTTCTTGTTTGTGGTCCAATACTCTTCAAACTCTCTCATGGTATTCCGCAATTGTCGTGGCCATATGAATGGAGTGGCTTCATTTTCTTGTTTAGAAAACCATTTATAATCTTTGGTCATGGATTTTGGCCAGTCAGTAACATTACAAATCTTCAAATCTAAGTCAATCAAAGATTGTTTTTGATTGCTGACATAATTTCTCCACTCGTGAGTTAAATCTTTAGACAGTTTAATGTCTTTGTTCATCTTAATGATCTTGTTCAAAGATGACGTTCCCAATTCATCACAAAGCTTACCAAGCACTAATTCTTCAATATCAATACCCTTGATCATATTAGTTAATGATGTCTTGGAATTCAAGAAACGCTTAGCAAAATGATTAGCATAATTGGCCTCAAATGCATCTTTATCCTTGATAAATTTCAAAAACTGAATTGACTTATTAGTGAAATCTTCAACTTGATCTCCTGACTTTAAGGAATTGTCTTTAGTAGTAGATCCTTTGTTTAGTTGTTTGATAAAATAGTCGATATATACAGACAACATCTCGGGAGCATTGACCGCATCAATATTACTACGCTTCTTTTTGTCGTTGATGAAATCACGCATGGCCATAGTGATGGTTTGTTCCACTATTGGATTCAAATCAAAGGACACTTTACAAACTTCAACGAGTTGGACTCTGTATTTAAGAATAGTTTCTATCCATTTGGATGCAAACAACACTGTGTTTGAAGATGAAGGTTTCTTCTTTTCGCCGCTAGTAGTTTCAACCATGGAGTTTCTTACAATTTCCGGTAAAGAGTAACCTTGTGCGAGAATACCTTCCTTCAAGCGTAGTCTCAACAACAGGTATTCTTCGTCGATTCTACCTATTAAGTTGTATAATAAGCCCAAAGCGCTATAGTGATATGTCTCTTTGTTTTTATTCTCGTTACTAGTGTCCAATATGTTTGTCAATAACGGTTCTAGCCAGTACTTGAGTCCTTGCTGTTCGTAAGAGAAGGTTATAATTCGATCAATTTTGTCCTTTATAATGATGTTATTCAATAATTCTATAAGTTTCGGGTATGTTGATAAAGGAAGATAAAACTTGATTCTCGATTCTTCGTCTTTAATAAATTGAGTTGCTTCGTAGAGATACTTGGATCCCAGTTGATACTTCAAGAATGAAGTTGACAATTGATCAAAAAATAATTGTGAAGCCTGTAAGAAATTAGGTTCAAATTTGTTCAAATAGTAGTTTTCACCTCCTCCAGATTGACTTGGGGTTGACTCTATTAATAATTCCAACATGTTGATAATTTTGGTGATGTACATATTTGACGTGATAACTGTACCGTTTCTACTCTTTGTGATTTCGTCAATGACAATTTGAATAATCTTGTTCCCCACTTCATCTTCATTATACTTGATAATGTTATCTTTAAACAACTGGATCCCGAGGTCATAGATGAGTAACTTTTTGTGTTCCTTAACGTAAACACGATTAAGGTACATCAAGACATCACTTATAAATTTCATTGCTTGCAAATGCTCATCCCATTCTTGGATTACCCGTTTCATAAACTCTTCGTTGGTGCAATTCATTCCCATCAAATTGGATCGTATACCCAACAAGTGCTCGGTGATGACCGATGCAACATTATTATACAATTTCCCGCCAAACTTCTTAATCACGAGTATGTAAGCCTTACGATATAACTGTTCGTACGACAAGTTGCTCACATTCTTGTTTTGGATTTGATTAATGGCGTTATTCAAGATCGACCACGACTTTTCAAAATCCACGGTAGGGTCACCACCACTGGCACTAAGAGAGGAATTTTCAATGGACGAGTTCACAAGGAATTTCCGGGGTGGTCTGATCTTGGACCTTCTGCCTCCTCCTGCTGGTACCATTATAGATTTGATTGTTGTTTTTGGTGTTGAGTAGTCACCCTGAAGTGAAGTGCTGTTTGTTTGATTGGAAACCCGTTCAAAAGGCAACCATCTAACTTGTAAATGCGATGTAGAATTCTTTTGCAGGTTATGACGGTCACATGTGCTGCGTCACATGAACAGTGTCATGTGACCAGTTCCTGTTCTGGCTTTCTCCTGTGGTGGCTTTTTTTGGGGCCTTACCAACCACTCGCCGGTAATTGGCTGGACGGAACAGGGAAAAGCAACGGAGCGAAACCGGCGCCTGTTTCGCTGGGGTTTTTGTATGACCAATTCTGGATGAAAAATTTCAACATTACCGACAAGCCTGTTTGTATATAAATTGTTTACTATTTCCTCTTCTTTTCTAGTTTTCTTTCTATTCAATCTATCAATCAATTGAACATTCAATATGTCACCTAAAACATTATACGACAAAGTGTTTGAAGACCATATTGTCCACAAGGACGACTCTGGTTCTTATTTATTATACATTGACAGACATTTAGTCCATGAAGTCACCTCACCTCAAGCGTTTGAAGGTTTGAAGAATGCTGGTAGAAAAGTCAGAAGAACTGATTGTACATTAGCCACTGTTGATCACAACATCCCTACAATTTCTCGTGCCAATTTCAAAAATGTCGAAACTTTTATAGATCAAGATGACTCCAGATTACAAGTGCTGACTTTAGAAGCCAACGTTAAGGAATTTGATGTCACTTATTTCGGAATGTCCGATGATCGTCAAGGTATTGTCCATGTTGTCGGTCCAGAGCAAGGTTTCACTTTGCCAGGAACCACGGTTGTCTGTGGTGACTCCCACACTTCCACCCATGGTGCCTTTGGTTCCTTGGCCTTTGGTATTGGTACTTCTGAAGTTGAACATGTCTTGGCTACCCAAACCATCATCCAAGCTAAGTCCAAGAACATGAGAATCTTGGTCAATGGTGACTTGGCCCCTGGTATAACTTCCAAGGACTTGGTGCTTCATGTGATTGGTGTTATTGGTACTGCTGGTGGTACCGGTTGTGTCATTGAATTTGCCGGTAAGGCCATCGAAAGCTTGTCCATGGAAGCAAGAATGTCCATTTGTAATATGGCCATTGAAGCCGGTGCTCGTGCCGGTATGATCAAGCCTGATCAAATCACATTTGATTACATCAAGGGCAGACCATTAGCTCCTAAGGGTGAACAATGGGACAAGGCCTTGGCTTACTGGAAGACTTTACACTCGGATGAAGGGGCCAAGTTCGATTACGACATCAAGATCAATGCTGCTGATATTGTTCCTACTATAACCTGGGGTAACTCTCCTCAAGATGCTTTACCAATCACCGCTAAAGTTCCTGATCCAGCAAATGTCACCGATCCAATCAAGAAGGCCGGTATGGAAAGAGCTTTGCAATACCAAGGATTAACTCCAAATACCCCATTGCAAGAAATCAAGATTGACAAGGCCTTTATTGGGTCATGTACCAACTCGCGTATTGAAGATTTACGTGAAGCCGCTAAGGTTGCCAAGGGCCACAAGAAGGCCGATAATGTCAAGTTGGTTTTAGTTGTGCCCGGTTCTGGTTTAATCAAGGCACAAGCTGAACGTGAAGGGTTGGACAAGATTTTCGAAGCTGCTGGGTTCTCATGGAGAGAAGCCGGGTGCAGTATGTGTTTAGGTATGAACCCAGATATCTTGGACCCTGAAGAAAGATGTGCCTCTACTTCCAACAGAAACTTTGAAGGTCGTCAAGGTGCTCGTTCCAGAACCCACTTAATGTCCCCAGCCATGGCTGCTGCCGCTGCCATCAAAGGTCATTTCACTGATATCCGTGAATTCGACTATGTCAATCATGATGAACCTGCTGTCCACATTGAACAAGAACAAGAAGACAAGGAATTACAAGATGCTGTGTATGAGCATGAAAAAGAGTATATTGAAGAAACTCCAGGTATTGAAAACGACCGTCTCAATGACATTCCAAAGCCTACTACTCAATCTGCTGGTGTTTCTGGTGCCGTTGACAAGTTTACTGTATTGACCGGTATAACTGCAGTTCTTGACAAGGCCAATGTTGACACTGATGCCATTATCCCTAAGCAATTCTTAAAGACAATCAAGAGAACTGGGTTAAAGGCTGGTTTATTCTATGAATGGAGATTCAACCAAGATCCAGTCACTGGTAAGGACATTGCCACTGATTTCGTTCTTAATGTTGACCCATACACTCATGCTGAAGTCTTATTAGTTACTGGTGATAACTTCGGTTGTGGTTCTTCTAGAGAACATGCTCCATGGGCATTAAAGGATTTTGGTATTAAGTGTATCATTGCTCCTTCGTTTGGAGATATTTTCTACAACAACTCCTTCAAGAACTTCTTGTTACCAATTAGAATCCCACAAGAAGTTATTCTTGAAAAATTGGTTCCTGTCGTTAAGCAAGGACACAAGTTGACCATCGACTTGCCAAGCCAACAAATTAAAGATGGTGAAACTGGAGAAGTTATAATCGACAACTTTGATGTTGAAGAATTCAGAAAGCATTGTTTAGTTAATGGGTTGGATGATATCGGATTGACTTTACAAAAAGAAGAGTTCATTGTCAAGTATGAAGAGAAGAGAAGAGAAAAGTTTTCCTTCTTGGAAGGTGGCTCTAAATTAATCAAGCCAATTAAAGGTACCAAAAAGAGTCCATACGGTAACAAAGCTCAAGAATGGTAATTTATAGTGAATTTATATATATATATATATATATAGGATTGGGGTTACTTTAATGTTATATTAGATTAATTTGACACTTCTAAAAAAATCAAGGTCTATAAAGGTGAATTGAATAAGTACAGTAAATCAACATCTATTGAATGGTACAGTAAAATCAATCAGTGCGTTCAGACATAACTTGTTTGACCGGTTCGGAATCACAGTATAATTTATGCTGTTGGATATATCGAATGACGGAATTGGGCAATAAGTACTGCACCGACATGCCTCTTCGAATAAACAACCGTATTTTCGTTGACAGAATATCATTATAAATCAATTGTTTGATAACCAAAACGTTTCGTCTGTGTTCATACATTATGTCGTGACTCAACAAGAAACTTCTCACATCGGACCCGGTTCTTTCCACAATCAAACATCCGTATTTCCCTAAAATGTGATGTAAATCTTGATCAGCCCATACATCAGGTTCTCCCATGGATTCAATCAAATCACCTCCGGCAAGCAACATGATTTTAACCCCTCTTCGATCACCAGATTTGGTCATGATACCACCACGCTTAATGTTAATTTCCTCATTGAAATGGTCCAACACTAATGCCGTACGAGTATATCTGGGTTGGAGGGATTCCCATGCATCAACCATCAACCAGCTGGAAGTTCGCTCACAAGCCAATTCACACATTCTGACTCGATGGTGAGCTGGTGCCAATCCCTGTTTCTTGTAATTTGATGAGACTGGCGAGTAGAAACCACCAATTACTTCAAATCGAGTTTGCTCTGTGATGGCATCAAGGGCCATTTCAAACATTCGCAAATGCAAATAGGTAATGGGCGAGAATGATCCACAGGCTACTATAACCAAGGGATACTTTGTATCGTCCAGCAAGGTCGTGGCCAAACGATGAGTGGGGAATCTATAATCTTTCAAGTTGGCAGCTTGTCGTTCAAGACCATGGGGAACCTCCTCTAAATCGGCAATCTGGTAAGGTTTCACATCAACGGTAGCGGGAAATATCACCGAGGGATCAGGACCAGCTGAAGCAGCAGGACCAGCAGGTGGCGGTGATGCAGCTGCCGCTGTCACGGTGGAATCTTCTGTTTCTTCATCATTTATAATAACCACCTCTTCATCGGAACTGGAATTACTCATAAACTCGGTGTGAATGCGAGGAATCTTGGTATGGTACTTGGCAGTTTGTTCGTCGGTGTGTTCCGAAGCGGATGCTGACTGGCGACGTTGGGATCGAGAACCGGAGCTGAACTGGGGGTGAGGGGAAGGATCATCCAAGGCTTCACCTAAATCGGCAAGGACATACGGCTGTATAGGGACATTAGCTGGGATCTTGTAGGAAGGAGCCGGAGGTTCCATATCTTTATTCAAAGATGGTGGTTTGAAATTGGGATCATGTGTTGGGTCCATTGGTAATCAATCTGATAACGAACTAATAAACGGAATATGACAAAGATTAAAAAAAAAAAGCGAAAATATGGAAAGATTTTAGGAATTAAAATAGCAAAATTGATGAGATGAAGATAATCTTGCGTCTATATAGTATGTCGTGACCGGCCAGGGTTGTATTATTCGTAGCAATTGAGGAAGAGAAAGCCAAAACAAATTAGTGGTGTGGCATAGGTGACATTTTGTAATTTTATAAAAAGATTTTTTTTTCTTGGGTTTAGACGACGGACGGTGCACCGAAGGAAAAAAAAAAAAATTTAGATTAAAGAATGTGTGGGTCATTGGCAATAATTAAGAAAACAATCAGCCTAACCGTTACGGCGTTTGGCGGGGGTAGGGCGAGTGGATCAGTATTTTACATTTATCAACACAGAAGTCAATCAGTATATTTACAGTCTTGTGAGTGTTTGATGGTTTCATCAAAATTATTAATATGTTTCTACAAGCTACATGTCAAAGATCTCTCATCACCTGATGACAGGTCTTGTGATTGAACTCGTTGACAGGTGGAAATTAATTAGTCACAAAGTGCTAATTTTTTACTAAGGAAGGTAAAGGTAAATTTTAGGTGGTTTTTTTTAGAGTGTAAAAATAAAATAAAAAAAAAAACTGTGGATTTGTCTGCTATATGTTCTTATCACCATGTAAGTTATATACAGTGATGACCAGGTAGTTACAGCGTGTTTCGGTTGTTTATAGTTCAGTAGTTGCCTTACTCTATGTCCGTGAGAGGAGATGTTTTTCTTGTTACATCTTTTAAGGTTTATTTTTGTCAACTTTTTTACAAAATTTTTACAAATATTACATTTCCACTTCTCTAGTAACAGCAATATTATCATGCCACGAGCTCGCCAATATCCTGACGACTCGGGTATTTAACTCGTTTCATGCGATTACGAGTAGATTGCTATCATGTTGTTGCTGTACTCCTCGGACGTTAGGTCCAGCCCCTCTTTTACCTTGTCTGGACTTTAGCGTCCGCGGCCAAAAATAAAAAAAATAAGAAATAAGAAAAAAAAAAAGAAAATCATTTTGCATGTAATGAGCAAGTGAACTCTGATCAAAACCAACCATGTCACCCCCAAACAAAATCCGTCCTGCTAAGAGATTCATCCAATCTTCAGCTAAGTGCGCTGATCTGGGAAAGTTATACGGTGAATGCATCCTTGCCAATTATACTGGCATGACCAAGGATCGTTGTGCCAATGAATTCAACAAGTTTAAAGCTTGTGTTGCTAAGCAATTGGGTAAACCATTTTAGATACTGAATAATCATTAACAATACGCTGTTTATTCCATAGGCTGATGCACGTTTAAGAAATAGTGATAGAGCAACATATAGCTCCTTATGTTCCGGGATCCAATCGGGGAAATGCCGTGTCCGGACTACTCGGCTCCTGATTCCAGCTATAAAATGTTTGTAATATCATTCAATGCAGATGATGAATATTGGGAGTTCTTGTATATAGACTAGAATAGCTTTGCTTTACTCACATATTATATTTATAGTCATAAACGAGTGAGCGTAGTACACGCTTCAAGTTATATTCCTTTCGCCCATACAAGTAGAACAACTTCACTCTAGACTGTAATTAGTTAATTCGTCAAGCGTACTACTTATACGAAATCCATAATTTTGATATTTGTAAAATATTTCTCAAACTTGAGTCATGAGCATGTGTTTGAGTCAAGTTAGCTACGGGTTAGTGCAGTACGATGCCTCCACTAAAAAATTTCAGCGGGAAAAACCAGCTATGAAAATCGCGACTACTAATCGGACGAAGACCGACGACCAGTCACTCAACTTAGCTAAAAATATTATTTGCATTAACCACAGATTATAAATTATGCTAAATTATTGTGGGAATTATCATGAACAATATTTGTACGAAGCATAATAAGATGTTGTTAAGAAAATATAGAGTTATATGAAGGTTTATTCTCCTATTGACTAATGCTTGATTAACCGAGACTCACTCTTAATGAATCAGAGTGGGTAGTGTACCGGTACACAAAAAAAAACTTGTCCCGAAAAATGCTCTTCTGAAATTTTTGAATTTTCATATGCATTTTATTTTACTACAATCATCCCCCAGGGCTACCCCTCCTTCATCTGTTCACTATTGGCCCTAGACCAAATATGACACACTGTCATAACCGGGAGAGAACATTTATATATGCAATTAGTTATAAATGTAGGTTTAAACACTCGTAGTAAATCTCGGAAGCAACTTATCTTTGTAAACAAATGACCCTAACCGCTTTTGGAAATTGCGACTTCCTCGCCCACCCCCGCAAAAACATTTTCGAGACACTGCTGCCTCCGAAGATGCCAGAAATTGTAACATGAAAATCATAAGATTTCTTTCTCTCCTTGTTTACATACTTTTGAACCAACCGAGAATTTATATGCAATCTTGAATCTCACATTGCAATTTAGCCCTGCTTCTTTTCTTTTTTTTTAGTTTCGATTAGTTTAGACTTCAAGCTTTGTTCATTTCTTCCTTAGATCCATCGGCCTTGTTCATCCATCATCGGTTTTCAAACATGATCAACATCTCTAGGTTGTCAAGTTACACCAAGAAGGATATCCAGAACTTGATCCTACTCCTTCAGGAGTTCATCAACACCTATAGAATAAGCAAGGTCAAGCTCAACTACCAATCCCGGCCTGTCATCCTTTTCTTGAGTACCTTGATAGCAACCGCTGGCCTAGGTGCATATTACACCATTCGAAACACCATTACCAAATACAATGAATACACACTAAATCGAAGATTAAGAAGACCCAGTTTAATTAGACAATCGTCTACGATTTTGGAGAATGGAGCTAGAGAAATAATTATCCCCAAAGAAGGTTCCTTAAAGCAAGGTAAGTTTACGAGAATTATCATTCCTAAACCAAACAATGATAGGTATGCCGCTGACAAATACTTGTACAAAGACTTTACTAAGAACTTTGAATTACAAAGTAAAGGCAAGGGTGCTGTGGTAAATTCTAAATTCTTGAACCAATTAAGTATTATCTGGAGGATCTTAGTCCCTAGATTCTACTGTAAAAACACTTCCTTATTGCTTTCCCAGTGTTTCTTTCTTATTTTCCGAACCTGGCTTTCGTTATTGGTTGCGAAATTAGACGGTCAAATAGTTAAGAATTTGATTTCGGGAAACGGAAGAAAGTTCCTGCGAGATTTAATCTATTGGTTATTGATTGCATTCCCGGCATCCTACACCAATGCTGCTATAAAATACTTGGAAGATAGATTGGCATTGGGATTTAGAACAAACGTGACCAGATACATTCATGATATGTACCTCGATCAAACATTTGCCTACTACAAGATTGGAGTCAATAATCCCGAAATCGACAATATTGACCAATACATCACTGAAGATCTTACTCATTTCTGTCATTCCTTAAGTTCCTTGTTTTCATCCATGGGTAAACCATTCATCGATTTGATTTTCTTTTCAGTATATCTTCGTGACAATTTAGGTACTGGTGCATTATTGGGTATCTTTATCAACTATTTTGCCACTGCCATGTTGTTAAAACGTGCAACTCCGGCATTTGGAAAACTTTCATCGCAAAGGGCACAATTGGAAGGTGTTTATTTCAATCAGCACTTGAACTTGATGACCAATTGTGAAGAGATTGGATTCTATGGCGGTTCTCTAATTGAAAAGACTAAATTATTGGAGAATTTCAAAAAGTTGATGAATCACATCTCCAAGGAGATCAATATCGGATTTTGGTATTCGGCTTTGGAAGACTATGTGTTGAAGTATACTTGGTCCGCATGGGGATACATCTTCTCCGGGTTACCTGTTTTCTTGGACGAACTTTGGCCCAAGCAAGAGGGAGAAGCCGAAAAGGCAGTTGAAGATGCTGCTGCAGAAAGAAGAAACATGCGTCAGTTTATCACCAACAAGCGACTCTTGTTATCACTTGCCGATGCCGGATCTAGATTGATGTACTCCATCAAGGATGTCAATACCTTGACTGGTTACACTGACCGAGTATTCTCCCTCTTGACGCAACTCCATAGAGTTCATTCACCAAGGTTCGATTATGGTGCTACCAAAGGAATCGCTGATATCAGAGGAACCATCCAAAACAATTATGTATCAGGCTTGAGATTTGAACATATCCCTGTTATCATTCCTACCAGCCAAGGATCAGAATACTCACCTTTGATTTCCAATATTAACTTCACGCTCAGTCCCAACAAAAACATGTTGATTCTCGGATCAAACGGAAGTGGTAAGACTTCAATTGCCAGAATAATTGCTGGACTTTGGCCATTGTACAGTGGATTACTCTCCAAGCCAAATGATGATGACATGTTCTACCTTCCTCAAAAAACCTACTTCACCACCGGTAACCTCCGTGATCAAATCATTTATCCATACACCTACACCGATATGTTGGAAATGGGATACAATGACGATTACTTGTACCATATTCTTCGTGAAGTAAAGTTGGAATATCTTCTTACCAGAGAGGGAAGTTTCAATGCTGTGAAAGACTGGAAGGATGTGTTTAGTGGTGGTGAAAAGCAAAGAATGAGTATCGCCCGAGTATTATTCAAACATCCAAAATTGGTTATTTTAGACGAGAGTACCAATGCTGTCAGTACGGATGTTGAAGATTATCTTTTTGAATTGTTACAATTGAAAAAGATCCCATACGTTACATTATCTCATCGTCCTTTGTTGATGAAGTATCACGATTATTTACTTGAAATTGACGACCATGGCGGTTGGAAATTCCAGGATTTGACCAGTGTGGAGAACTTACAGAGTATCGATAATGAAATCGCCGAAATTGAAGGAAAGTTGAACATGGCTGAGAAATGGGAAACCAGAAAGAAGTGTCTTGAACAGTACTTGGATGGTCAAATTGATGAAGATGATATGGCTGCTCTTGATGGTGAGTTGCCTATTAGATCAATGCCTCTTGATTTATCAATTAGTCAAACTGTTTAGTTTAATAAATTGTTGATTCCATATATATGCAATGTTATTGGTTGTAGTAATCACATTCCTAGCTGTCACTCTTCACAATATCGATTTGGCAACCATTTGCCTGTTGCAACCATTTTTTTTTCCAAACGCGTAGTTTTTTTTTCCGATTTTTGAACCGCACACGTTTCTTTTTGAATTTCTTTTTCTTACCCTCCTTCAGCCCAACGCTCTTCGCTAACGAAAAAATTAACACATACCCAAATCTAGATAAAAACCCAACAACTCTTCTTTTTTACGTGTAATCAATTATATTATCATCGATGTCTGAACCAATCAAGAAGAAAAACGGCGATATTTCCAAGGCCCCTACCCCTCAAAACACCCCTTCCTCCGTAGGAACTTCTTACTTGAGATCACAACCACCCACCGTGTCCACCATTGAAGAAATCAATGAAGATAACGTTGGTAAGCAAATAGCCAACAATCCAGCCTTGTTGAGCATGATCCAAGGTAAATTGGGTGACTTGGTTGGTAAGACTTCCGGCTATGTTGAGCATTTACCAAAGAAGGTTAGAAACCGTGTTTCAGGATTGAAGGGTATCCAATCTGCGCAAATGAAATTGGAAGCTGATTTCCAAAAGGAATTGTTGAGCTTGGAAAAGAAGTACTTTAAGTTGTACGAACCTTTATACGAAAAGAGAAAGAAGATCATCAATGGTGACTTGGAGCCAACCGCTGAAGAAGTTGAAGAGGGTGAAGCTTTAGAAGAAAAGGATGAAGAAGAGGAGGAAGAAGAAGAAGAACAAGAGGAAGAGGAAGAAGAGGAAGACGACGAAGAACAAAAGGGTATTCCAGGATTCTGGCTTACCGCTTTGGAAAACCTCACTACCGTTTCTGAAACAATTACCGATAGAGACTCTGATGTTTTGCAATATTTGAGTGATATTCGTATGGAATACTTGGAAACCCCAGGTTTTGAATTGATCTTTGAATTCCAACCAAATGAATTCTTTTCTAACCAAATCTTGACCAAGACATACCACTACCAAGCCGAATTGGGCTACAGTGGTGATTTCGTCTATGATCACGCTGATGGTTGTGAAATCAACTGGAAGTCCAAGGAAAACAATGTCACCATAACCATTGAAAGAAGAAAGCAAAGAAATAAGACCACCAAACAAACAAGGACAATTGAAAAATTAACCCCAACTGAATCATTCTTTAACTTTTTCGATCCTCCAAAGCCTCCAAAGGTTGACAAAGAAGATGAAGAAAAGGACGAAGATGATGAAGAACACGAAGAAGATTTCGAAGATGTTGATGAGGACTTGGAAGCTAGATTGGAATTAGATTACCAATTAGGTGAAGAAATCAAGGACAGATTGATTCCTCGTGCTATTGATTGGTTCACTGGTGATGCTGTTGATTTCGCCTACCCTGAAGATTTGGAAGACGACGAAGGTGAATTTTCCGATGAAGACGAGGATGATGATGAAGACGATGAAGATGATAACGACCAACCAAAGCAACAACCACCTGAATGCAAGCAACAATAGATTCTCACAAACAATATGTATGGTATGTTTTATAGTTGAGTACTTTAATGTAAACTTACAAAGTCATATAGAAGAACCAAGTATATTTAGTACTTCTTTGAGTAGCCAGGCCTTATAATAAGTGTTTATGGATAATATACGATACATAATAAGATTATACAGATACCTTTTCAGCTTGTTCGCTGTCAGCTTTTTCTATCGAAGAACCAGCTTCATGAATCCCACTTGGGACAAACTTGGCAGAATGCCAAGCCTTATCAACCTTTATGTACATTTCTTCCACTTCTTCCAAAGTCAATCCCTTGGTTTCATAAACAAAGAAGTAAACGAATAAGAAACCAAGAACATTACATCCACCCCAGATAAAGAAGACTTTAGATCCCAAGTTGGCATTACCTGGACCAGAGTCAACCATATATGGAGTTGCGTAACCAATAGCAAAGTTCCAGATCCAGTTAGAAGCAACTGAAAGAGCAACCGACTTTTGTCTGACATTAATAGCAAAGTTTTCAGCAACGACGGCCCAACAAAGAGGTCCCCAAGTTGATGCGAAACCTGCAATGAAAATACACGAGAATGCAACCAAACATTGATTAGCTGCCTGGGAATCACTGGTAACACCAACAATAGCAACGATCAATTGAGAAACTGCCATAACTACCGAACCAGCCAACAACATACTTCTTCTACCCAAGATATCAACCAAGGCAATACCAGGGAAAGTCATACCCACATTAACGATGTTTGTAGCTAATTGAATAAGAAATGGGTCTTCAATACCTGAGTTTTGGAAAAATTGAGTACCAAAATAGAAGATGAAGTTAATACCAGTCAATTGTTGGAAAGCTTGGAGAGCAACACCAACAAACAATCTATGGTGTTGTCTATTAACATTCTTGAGAACCAATAACCAAGATGCTTTTCCGTATTGCATCTCAAATTCAAAATTAGCTTTTATTTCATCGTATTCTTCAAGCAAGTCAGGGTGATCAATAGGTAACTTTCTCAATCTTCTTAACGAATTCTTAGCTTTATCTTCATTAGATTTAGAAATATAGAATCTTGGAGTTTCAGGAAGGCAGAGCATACCACCACCCAAGATAAGAGCCCAAGCAAATTGAAGAGCAATTGGAATTCTATAAGACCCGGAATCTTGTCTTGTAGAAGTTCCTTTGTTGACACAAGCAGCAATCAACAAACCACAAGTGATGGCCAATTGATAACATGAAATAATAGCACCTCTGATCCATTTGGGAGTCGTTTCTGCAATATACAATGGAACAACAGCAGAAATTAAACCAACACCTAACCCAGCAAAGAATCTACCAGCGACCAAAAGTGGAATAGCTTCAGCAATAGTTTGTAAAAGAACACCAAAGTTGAAAACAACCAACGAGGACAAAATTAAAGTCCATCTACGACCAATTCTATCTGAGAAAAGTGGAGCAGCCAAAGCACCAAAAAAAGTACCAGCTGATAAGATTGAAACAATGAGAGAACTTTCACTTGCAGTGAAGAATGGTTCAGCTGAAAGTCTATTAGCTGGGAATTGGTGTTTGACGAAATCCATAGCTAAAATACCCGAGATAGTACCAGTGTCATACCCGAAAAGGAACCCACCAAAGGCAGCAAATAAACCAACCAAGATACTTCTAGTGGTTGAACCGGCTTTTTTTTCACCAAAGTCAATATACTTTTGTAAGAATAAACTTTCTTCAATACCCATTTTGTAGTATGTTCAATGTTAAGGGAGTAATCAAATAAGTTTGGAAATAGCTGTAAATAAAGAGGAATTGGTCCATGCTATATATACTTCGACGCAGAAATACTAGAAGATTTGCAATCAACAATATTTATGGATATTTTTTTTTAAAAAAAGATATTTTGAGATAATAATTGCTTACCCACCACATAAGTTTATTTTTTAAGTTATTCCACGAACATAGCCATCCCACGGCAAAGTGGGGACAACCACAAAACCGAAGCCCGAAGCACATAAAATTTTCCGTCGTGAAGGCATTGTTACTTAAGATTCAATTGATTTCTTGGTAAACCATTATATTTAGGGACTAATATTTTATTCTATTGTTGTATCCAATGAAACTTTGAATAGTAAAACTACTTGAGTAAATTGTTTTATTAACTCGATCATTGCAAAAGTGGGGTGCATAGTAGTACAATCATGAGATGTGGCTAAAAAGCTGTAAATATCGGTTTCTTACTGCAACTATTGAGACTACATTTATTCGTTTCTTTCTTCCTTTTTCTTTTATGTGGGAAGCTGAAATTTGTGACCCAATTTTAATGCATGGGATCTTCCCATTCAATAATGTTTTCGGAAAAATATCCTGTCCTAATATCGCAAATGCGGCAACCATAAGAGAAAAATACGACAATAAATCCCACATTAGACCCCGCATACTAAGCAAAAAAGTTGTTCCGTACGTGGGTGCAATGCCGCGTTGGGTAAAACAAAACCAAAATTATCCCCCAAAAAATATTTGGGAACAGGATAAATAACAATGGATATCCCCAGGAAAATTTCATTGAGCTAGTCAAATCCCACATAGTTGAGAAACAATTGAAATAAGTATTTCCGCGGTGGGCGTTTTCTCTTTGTTAGAACTAGGAGAGGAGCCGCCTTGCCAAGTAAAACCACTAAATAACGCTATTGTTTAGACATCCATAGGAACAACTAAGTTGGTGAAAATTGACTCTTGAAACACGCCTACTGTATAATATGTAGACTTATTGAAAATGTATTTATATCTATTATAAGCAAGCTATAGCTTGTATGTACAATACATGGATTAGCAACTACCCGGTAAGAATTCAGACAGCTATGGGCATGAAAAATAGCGCTATATTCAACTTTTGACAAAAAAAAATACAAATTATTCCGACAAACAATAGGATATTCATGGCTTTGTTTCGCTTGCCAAGGATTATCAGAAAGTTGAACAGGTCCAATACGATTTTCCGCATCTGTCACAAAAGCAGGTTAGATTCATTGTAGCCATCCCCACACTCGGCCAACAAAAGGGGTTATACGCATATGTTAAAAGTATTTGCAGATTTCATGTCTGCTTCTATATGGCTCAAATATTCCGATGTAACCTAATTTTATTGCCCAACAATTTAAGTTGTTCCAAGGCATTCAATCTAAATAAAACAACAAACAACGTTACAAAAACAAAACAAGAAAAGTAACTGTGTAAACTAGAAACGAATACTAAATTCTAGTTATTTGATCTATGAAAATCTTTTGTCCTGTATTTTTTTTCGTTTCATAGAATTTGGAACTTTCAAGAATCTACCATATTCCAGTGTAAATCAATTCAAAAGACTGTAGAAATGTTGAATAATAATCATCCAAATTAGTCTACCAACATTCCTAAATACGACCCTGGTTAGTTTATACGCATGTCACCTTAGCAAATAATTTTCATAAATATAAAACCTTGAATGCCTGTCCAATTAATCACTTAAACCAGGATAATTTGTAGTAATTGTCATGGTGCCACACCAAGTTTTTATCTATCTTGTTAAGTTCCATGTAACCAAATCCAATGACATATTTGTAATGATCCCGCAATTTTATGAGAGCAACAAATATTAAACAAAGGCTGTTACCAAATCAGATCTCTTCTCTCCAATTGAATAAGGTCAATCATGACTTTTTGAAAGAGATGGAAAGTGTTGAAACCAGACAGTTAAACTATTACAACCGATATTATTTGCTCTTTCTCTTGCACCCTACCAAACACAGCCTGATACTACGAAAACTTATTGCAAGTAAATATCAATAGAACAATGTTTGATACACTTGTTTATAGTACGCTAAAATCTGCACCATTTGAAGCCTTCATTATGGGCCACTATAATATTTAGTTACTTGAAGATCGTGCACTGGCCTTGTTAGTTGATTATTATTGATTTTATATATGCTTTATATTTTGTAGTATTATATTCATATATTAGTTTATCAACATATAAAGATTTTTATAATACATTGCAATTGCTGAACTACATAACAATATTTGAATTAGATTTATTCTCAAAATCACCTTGTGCATTGGAACTAGCTAATGTTATTGTGAAGAAAATCGAACAATCCCCTGGTAACCTTCATAACCATAAACACGTAAATAAACTGAAACACGGTTTATAGTTATCCATCTCACAGATACACACGCAATGGGGTCTTTTTTTTAAGAAATCCTTACTTGATAACCTTGAAAATTGTTTACAAATATGAAGATTCGAATTCGTGGAATGAATGTCCCATAGCGTGGTGCATAAAACTGCGCTACATTTGGCTGCACGACAAAAGTTGAATATTTGATTAAAAAGCATAGGGGGGGAAAATAATTTCAGTCTAGAATCCAATTGTTCACCTCGTATAAAAGCGAGACTAGACTAACTAGTCCAAGAGTTTCAAATAAGGATTCACACAAACACGCTATTGTCAAAATGTGAAGAATTCTTGTTTAGCTAAACGTTGTTTTGCCAACCAATTTTTTTTTTTGCAGTGCCTAATTCGCACCCCTCACGATTTTTTTTTATTTTTCAAAACAAACCAACTGACATTGCCATGTTCTCCCTATGCATCTCTAAAACAATAGCCAGAGAAGTTGTCATGATGATATGGTGAAGGCTGTGTAGGACGTGTAATACTTCAATAGTTCCAATAGGAGAAGCCCGTTTGCAATTATCATTAGGGTTAGGGATAAGAAAAATAGAAAATGAGATGATTTTATTTAACTTTAAGATACAATTACCCAGTGTGGTGATTGTTTAGCTTCAGTTACGCGTTCCTATCGTTATGAGGTATCAGTTTGTCACCCAAACGCTTGTTTTTAGATAATTGTACGAAGTTTATTTCGCACATGGCCCATAATTTCTAGGTGGACATATAGCAGAAAATTTTGATTAAACCAACGCCTTAGATAGTTGCAATGGAACACTGATCCTTTCGATGGTTCATGCCAAGGATATATTTTAATCTGCAGATTTCAGCATGCATGAACCAAAATAGGGTTTGTTTTGTTTCTAAATCTCCGCATCTTGTGTGTATATCTAGAACATCCCGATAGTACCATGCCAAGCATTCAGATAAAGTAAGTATTTCTACCCATCCTAGAGTCAACTAAATGCTAATTAATTATCGTTATTCGGACAATTTATACCATTATATTGTGAAATTGGTTGATATGTTCGTTGACAGTTACGTTAATGCTTATATCACCCCACGCACTTTAAAAAATCTAATGACTGGCTGCAAACCCATGCATCAACTAGAAAAACTCCCCCACAAAACCGGATAATCGCACCTAATCCATTGTATTTTGTTAGTTGGAGTAACATTGTTCTGCAAAATATTTAGACTTTGGCTTTGCAAGAATTGTTTTCTTGAAAAAAAAAATATTAAACTCGATAAAGTTAAAAATGACCTAAGTTGGGTTGACAAGAAATAATTCATAGGAAATGTTTACAAACCCGACTGGAATGGTTCATTAGAGTCTCATTTAGTCAGTTTCATTGAAACTGGGTGTATGGGTATAAATTGAAAAGAGTATCTCGCAGTTTGGAAACTATTTTTTAACATTTTATAACACCAATTGAAATTATTTATTACAATGAAGTTTATTTTTACTGCCTTATCTGTCGCTACTTTAACCACTGCTGCTTCTATAAACAAGAGAGCAGATGAGTGTCTTACAGCTTGTGTTCAAAGTGTTGAAGCCAAAGGAGAGGTTTGTACCAAATACGGACCAGACGAAGAAAACATTTCCAGATGTATCTGTCAGCAAGGTTCTTCTTACTGGGAACCATTGTGGGCATGTGCTCAGAAATGTCCAGCTTACTCTCAAATGAATTTCTCCTGGGAAGGAGCCAAGCCACTTTATTGTGCAATGCACCCAGGTGAACCAACTGAACCAGAAAGTGGTGCCGCAAATCTTGCAGCAAAGCAGACCAAGACTAGTGAGGAAGCTGCCAAGGAAACCACTTCTGCCCAAGAAGCACCAAAAGAAACCAAATCTGAAGAAGCACCAAAGGAAACCAAATCTGAAGAAGCACCAAAGGAAACTCAATCCCAAGAAGCACCAGAGGAAACAGAAACTCCTGATGTCACTCAACATAATGCTGGTGCAGCAGTTGGTGTCGGATCTGTTGCTTACTTGTTGGCCCTTGCCATGATCTAAGAAGATTATAGTTTTACTCTCTCTCAAATTATTCAGTTATGACAGTTTTCTTTTTTCTTTTAATATTGTTTCATTGTTAGCTAATCTTAGTCGTTTAATGAAAGAACAAAGAATTAGTGTTAATACTACAATTATATTGTTCTCTATGTTTAGTTTAAAATTGCTGGTCAACATCAATTAAATTCTAACAAATTGTAGAATTCTTGTATTCGAATAATTTGCTCAACATACATGGCAGTTGAAATATTTTGATAGCATGCATACTATTTTATTCTCAATGAGATAAAGTGCAACACAATTTGTAAAACATACGAGGGTTTCTTAAAAAAAGTTTCAAGAGCCATTTCTTGTACGAAGTGAATTATACTAATCGAGCTTCAAATGCGTTCTTAAATGCTGTTGAATCTAAAACAGAACCACAGTTAGGTGGTTTTACCAACTATTACAATTCTACAAGTGTCTCAATTCTCAATACAAATCATGTGACTGCAATTCTCCTTTTACCCAGTAGGCTACTTTTAACCCCACATGCATACATCAAATAATACAATGTAACAATCTACAAATTCAATCTTTCGCTTATAATGTATTATTTCAGTTTAGATCATGTTAAATTTCTATTAGAACATATAATGGACTAGCTTTTACCGAGATCTCACAAAATTCACACTTGTGAAGTTGGTTAACCCTCGGCATTTAGAATTAATTTCATCAGATATTCTCTAAAAATTGACATGTATCTCGGCTTTAAGATTGTTTCGGTGATTAATATTCCGAATAATTGCGCCTAGAAAAAAAGCAAGACAAGTAAAATAGAACAAACTTATGTTAAAAACATACCTCGAGGCAAGGAACGTGGCATCGGGTTAATTAGCAACCCAATTGTTGTCCAATTATTAACTGAAGTTTCTTGTTTCACAAAACATTATTCGAAAACGCTTAATTAAAAGTTCACTACATAAATGCACATTGTCAAAAAGTTTCTTCGGACTATCATTTTCACAGGAAGCATTAGTTGACATTATTTCATGTGAAAATTTGCTATTGCCGTCTACCGTAGCGGAAGGAACTGGAGAAGAAAAAAAAACCTTATGATAAAACAGTATGAACTATAAATCCAGTTGTTGTCAACCAACTTGCTGACTTGGCAAATCATGTAAAGAGATTTACGCTGTCACGCTCAACTTATAGTACATTCCTTATGCAATTTTACATTACCAAGTACTATAATTGAAAATTGTCATTTCCTTAAAACCAGCTGCAGCATGTGAAAAAAAATAGGAATTATCTAGCATGGTGCGGCTCGGCACTTATTTTTTTTTTGTGTCAATGCTCCCAACTAGTGTGCAATCAGGTCACCCCAAAACAAACATAGGGGAATATCAGATTGTGTGTTGTAACTGTAACGTAAATTAATAATACTCAACAGTTATGCCTAGACAAAAATGACTAGATAACGAACACTGTGCCCCTAAAAAGAAATCACAGTCATAAAAAAATGGACGCGCTAAGAAATAAATAAACATCAGAAAAATACCGGGTAGAAAAATAAAAACAGGAGACTTGTCTTCGTACTTTGAACGTTAGGGGGGAAGCACATTTCCAATCTGGAGTATGTCATTTATTTGTTCTCTCAATATTGACTAGGAATTCTTCATGGGAATGCATGTCTTATTTGAGAATATTCCTGTTCAAGCATCCACTCTTGGAGTCTATCCCTTAAACTTGTATCTGTGTTCGCAGCCGCACTTAGTTAATGATGATTATCGGACATATGAAAAAGGAAGAAAAAAGAAAGAAAACTAGAGCATGCATGAATGCTAAAAAATAATGTCGGGAGAAGAAAAATCCCATAGCACAAACTCTAAAAAAAAGTTTCACATGCATATTTATCATGACGACAAACTTTTTACCTTGAGAAGACACTTATGGCCAGACTAGATATTAGAATATCAACCAGCAATTGTTGTAGGGTATATACTCTCTATGAAGCTAGGTGCAATACAACTTAAGTGTTGCTAAAAAAAGAAACAGAAACGAAGAAAATATAAAACTTCTAAGGTGTACCTTGCACATGCAGATAACACATTTGATTATCCTGATGACTGAAAAAAAAAATAATTTTTATTTTTAAAATATAAAAAAAATCGGAAGCCTAAACCACAAATATAAATACCCTTGTAAATTCTCTAATTGTAAATTAGTTTATCTTCCAATTATTTTACCCTTTAGCAAGTCTTCACTTCTACTTACTTATTTATTTTAACATTCCCTCACAATGTCTAACCAATCCACTCACAAACAATTTGACTCCAAGTTGTTACACTATCTCAGACAATACTCCTTGATTCAATATGTCAACAATTTAGTATTTTCATTCAGCATTACAAACACATTATATGCTCAATACGTTGCACCAGTAGCAGAATATGTCAACACCCAAATCTCCAGTGTTAGTTATTCCTACAATTTAGCAACCTTTATTGATGGCGTTAGTACTGATGTTCTTTTACTCCTTGACAAGTTGTTATTGCAATATCCCGCCCAAACTTTAGACTCAATCACCAAAACTTATGTTAAGCCAATTGACAACAAGTTGGTTGAAGTTAACAACAAGTATTTTCGTCCCATTGAGGAAACCAAAACGGAAGGTTTTACCAAGTTGTGGAATACTGTAAAGAACATTGCTACTAACTTGAAAGCTAGCGCTTTTTCTAAATCTACTGAAATTCAAAAGAATCTTGTTGACACCTATAATCAAGAATTGTCTAGCACCACCAAGCAAAATGTCATCGGTAAGAATATTGAAGCTTCATATAATACTGCTTCTAAGACTATCAAGACTTTGAATGAAGATTATATTACTCCTTTAAAGGCACAAACTCAAGATATTGTTGATCAATTTGCTGCACAGACTAAGAATAAGGCTGATGAAATTATCAAGACTAAAGTCAACCCAAAGATTGACGAATTGAAACAAAAGAAGGATGATTTCTTGCAAAAGAATAACACCTTTGTTTCTGCTTCCGCATAAAATTGAAACATCAAACATTTAATCACCTTCCTAAGCTTTTTTTTCTACACTGTTTGACAATTGATACTATATTTTTCTTTTTTGCTACAGCATTCTTCTTCCACTTTAATCATTGGTGATTATAGTGTGTTGCCTATTTTATATCCCATTTTTGTACTTTATAGTCTAAATACATCCATTTTGAAAATAGCTTACTTTGTATTACTGTAAAATCTGAATTTCAGAATAGGTTATGAGCACTTAATTAGGGGTAAAGAGGAGATAACTTTTCGGTTATGAGTCTAAAGATCAAGCCTTAGTCATGGTGGAGTATTTTCGAGGGGGTGCAAAAACGTTTCAATGCCACCCTTTTTTTTTGCCCTTGCTCAAGCTCCGGGTGGGATAAAACAATAACAAATAATTTTTAGATCTTTAATAAACAATAGACTTCTTACAAAGGAGATATGGAAATAATCTCCGAATGAAGAAGAATGGTTCGGGGAGAATTGAATAAACAAAGGATTTGAGAGATAGTGATTAGTCGTTGTCAAGGGGGTTGATCTCTAAAAGTCGGAACTAGAACCCCTTTTGTCCTACAATTGCTATATATATATATATATAAGCCACACATACACATTTAACCGACGTGCATTTAAGAAAAGTATACACGTTTTTTAGCAACTAAAATATTTACTGGAAGGTCTTAATATAATTGATACCACCCACGCATTCTGGTATGGTTAATTGCTCTTTCAAGATATTTTTATTGATTTCAATACCAACATTCACGGTCTTTAAAATCGCATCATGTTCAAGCATGATTCCCTTTGCTTGATTTCTAACTTGGAACCGTTTAACATCGTTGTACACATCCTGTTCTTTTCTATTGTTTGTCAGATCCAACATTTTCCAATCAAATGTATCAAAGTCCCACAAAACCGCCTGCATACCAAATTGCCGTAATATCGATCTCACTCTATTATCAATTCCTCCATATGGCGGTCTAAACCATTTGGGCAAATGACCAGCAGTTGCATTCATCGCCCATATTGACCATTGAATTTGAGCAATTATTTGTTGATTGGATAACCCAGGTAAAAACTGATGTGACCAGGTATGTGATCCCATGATGTGACCACGAGCATGACTTTGGCGGTATACGTCGGGATGTCTAACAATATTAATTCCTAAAGTGAACAAAGTTGTCTTTGTATTGGTTGCATTGAATGAATCAAGTAATTTCAAAGTATATGGGGAAGGACCATCATCAAACGTTTGTGAGAGTTTAGGACAAGTATAAACATCATCAAAATCAACACAATTGAAACAATCAAACGAACATGCAGTTGGTGTTCTTAACATTGGATTTGAACATTGGGCTTGTTGATGTCTTGGAGTGTCAATTATCTTGTTAAAGTCGATAAAGTCAAGTGGAATGTAAGGAGGGTCTAATCCAGGCCATTCTTTTAATCCAGTGAAATCAGTTAACCATTTGGGAAAGGGTAATATGGGGTTGGACTTGATTGGTACTAGTCGATTTATTGGTTTAGGAATAATATCCGTTTCGTGATTTTTGGAGGAGGGAGACCTGGAGAACTTTGACGATAAACGAGGAAATCCTTGTCTGTCCCCAGTTACACAGATAACTGCCGCTATGAAAAGTATCCAGAGAATATTCATGTAACTAAGGGTTGGTTAACATCGATTGTCTGGCAAAACAGTGGAATTTTGTTTGTGCTCGCAAAAAAATCAGTCGCTAAAAGTTGCGGTTTTTTTTCTTGGCTGTTAATTACACAAAACACAATATATTAACTCCAGTATGCTTGTTTAATCCTAGATAAGATCTATAACAGAGAGAATGATATATTGTACACATTTCAAATGTTTATTTCCCTGCGAATGGATCATAGACATCAGCTACTACTTTTGTACATAGCCAATTGTATGTTGTTTTTATGTTCTATAACCATCCCAGATTATACAAAATATACAAATATATATATATAAATATAAATAACCAATAAAAGTTTCATCCTTAATTCTCCCAAATATAACCCAAGTTTAATCAACTTTTTTTTATCTCTTTTGTTCTGTTTTTTTTTTAAAAAATTTTTAACTTTACTATTTTTTTTTAGGTTTTTATGTTCTATATGTCATAAAGTGTAAGCTGTACACTTACGTGACATTCAACAAATGCAAGTATCACAGCAAAACAAGTTAGGTATCCAAATAACTTACTTTTTCAAATTTTCAAGCTCATTTTGCAACCTCTTAATTTCTCGTTTCAAATTTCTATTTTCATCCATAATCTCTTCATATTTCCCATTCAAACTAAGTCTTCGAGTTATTGGAAATGCTTCACTCTTGTATTTCTTGATAATATCGTCATGAGTAGTTGTAGGAGAATGGGTGGAATGACTCTGGGCAGGAGGAGCAACAGGAACTATTTGACTAAGTTGTCCAGTACTGTTTTCTCTAAACGAATAGTTACCAAACATTGAGGTTCGTTTACTTGAACTTGAAGAACTACGACTTCCATTTGTAGATAAAGAACTTGAACGGCGTACGGATGGTGGCGAACTAATAGGCAATGGAACACTGCTTGACCCATGGTTATTCATCTTTAACATTTTATTTTCTTGTTTTAATAATTCAATTTCTCGCATCAACTTTAAAACAATAGCATCTTGTTCACGCTCCATCAAATCAATAATTTGTTCATTGGAAAATTCAGAAAAGGAACTTCTCTTTGGTGATGAACTTGGCAAATTTGATGTAGTATAGTTATGACCAGTGGTACTTAAAGAACGATATCTTGCTGCAGCATTGGCATTGGTGGAAATAATACTATTGCGGGGAGATAACAGTGATGGTGAAAACGTTGCCAATATAGGTGGAGAAATTGACGAAGACGCAGTGGCAGAACCAGTGTGGGCAGTAGTGGCAGAAGTAGAACCAGAAAAGTCATTACTTGTAAATGTTGAAATCTTAGGTGTTGTTTGAGAATGAGGGATATTAAACCCGGATGACGGAGTAACTGGAGCTGACGCTGACGCGGAAGTTCTTGAAATTGATCTGGAAGAGGGTGAGGCAGTAGTTGTTCCTCCGGCTGAGTTGGAATTACTTGAATGCGTCATTATATCTTATTCAAACACAGATTCTTAATATAAAACAAGAAAAGCCCTTTTTTTTTGTAAGAGAGCAAAAGATGGAATTGTTGGTTTTATTTATAGTCTTTGTGTATCTGAGATTTTATTCTCCGCTTTTTTTTTCCATAGGTAGCATTTCCTTTCACATTTATATTTTTTTTGTATTGTTGACGTATCCTGTTTACATGCAGGACAATGTTACAAATTTATTCTTTATTGTTCTTTCACGATGGTTTTTTTCATTTGAGAGATATGGATATCTGCCACTAAAGTGCCTTTAGTAATACAATGAAAATTACTGAGGAGAAACAAGGGGGAAAAAAAAAGCAGCACTTTAAGCCTATTCCAATTACTTCAAAAGGTTATAAACATTCAAGGGTTAGCAACCCATTAGCAAACCATTCAGCATAACTTGGTAACTGTCAACTTTGTACCCTACACCAAAAAAAAACATTTTGTTGGTATTAGATAAGAGGTTTGAAGTTGCAAAGTGCTAATTGGAAAAAATAAAAAAATAAATAAACAAACTGGGTTGTGGTTATTCAAAAAGGAACAACAAAAAGTCTGAAGATGCTGGTGTTGTAAACAAACAGTTACTTTAAGTAAGTTACAGCATTAGCTTATATTCGACATTAGCTGATTATGGTATTGGGTTCCTATTTATATTTCCCCACAAGTGCAACCGAGTTCCCTTCCAACGTGGATCTGGGCTCAGATTGATAGGAAAAATACTGAAATTTCAGAGGAGGGGGGGAATATTGTGGTGCGCGCCAAACAGCTACTACATCGCTCTGAGAGCAAAAAAAAATGGTGAAGGCTGCTATGACGACGGTGGCTGAGGACAGTGTTGAAACATTTCCCATTACGTAATATGGGCCCATAATTTAAAGAAATTTTTCAAACACTTCCTCGTCACATCTGATACATATGTGTGCTGTATGATAACATCTGCAAACCAAATTACTTGAACTTGTTGGGGGGACATCCCACCAAACGCTAATCCCTCCAAGTTGGGTCATTTTCTAACTTAGTCTTTATTTGTTGACCCTTGGTGATACAATAAGTGAGGTATTTCTTTTTTTGGGCCGATGCATCCATCACCTGTTCTACCCCTTTATTGAAAGGGGGGAAAAAAGGTCCAGAAAAATGAAGTTACAGCGATGAAATTAAGATTTACAAATCGGCCATAGGCCGAAGACTTTCCGTTCCAGAGCTGACCAATAAACTGTAAGGTTCCATAACAGCACATATAACCAACAAATCAAATTCTTTTGAGATAGGTTGTAATAGAAGAACTAACCGAAATTTCCACCACAATGGAGCTAGGGTAATCTAAATTTATAGAAAATGTACCCATCCCTACTATTACCAATATAATAGCCAATTAATTCTCTATTAGTGAATTCTTAAGCACTGGCTTTGTAAGCTGCTCATTTTAACGTCGTGAATGGATCTTGTGTTGGACTTACTCGGATTTAAAACTCTTCATGAAAATATGGCTCATGTATATGGTAGCGTATAAAACTACTGTTTTATTTTATTTTATTTTATTTTTTTTTTTTTGTCAGACAGCGCTTGATAACAGTATCCATATGTATTGACATGTATAGTTTCAGTAGTTTTATACACTTTAAAAATAGATTACAAAGCTCAAACTATGCATTCATACGTTTCTACTTACATGATAAGAGGTGTGGGAGGAACAATGTATGTATTTTCAAATGATTAGCCTTCAAAATGGTTTACTAACTAAAATATCAGTCTCCATGCAGTTGGTTATGTTGGGTTTAAACTTCCATGCATTATGATGATGTCAGTTCTTTCAATTGTTACTAAAATGTTACGATTTTTGACTTTCGGGTTTCTTTCTTTTAATTAATCCAGTTAGATCGTTGGTTTTTCTTTTGACTGTTAATGTATTTATTGTCTGAGCTTGTTGTGTTGGTTTTGTTGCGTTGGTTCTAGGCATTTTGCCCTTGATGGGTTTATATTCAAAATTGATGTTGTTCTTTTTCATAAATGCTGGTATTTTTGTTCCAACTAAAGTTTTAACATCTTGTTCTATATGGTAATCTTCCAGTTTTATTAAGTTAATAAATTGTTTATATTGATGCACCGATAATTTAGTGATTGCGTCTTCGTCTTCTTGTTCTCCTGGAGCTGGAATAGAAACCCCTCTATTTTCACAACCAATTAATCCTACTAAATCTCCCAATCTGAATTCTTGTCTATACCCCAATTCTTCATAGAATTGGTCAACGCCAACATTACCATATCTATTCTCAACAATTAAATGCTCTAGGAATCTGCCCTTGGGATCATCCGGAAATAATGCAATATTATAAACCGCAGGACCTGAAGTATTGAAAATATGTCCAATTGACCAATTAGGCAACCCCTGGATAAATTTCTTAGTAGATATATCATCGGAACCTGGAATTGCTAATTTATGAATTGGCCATTTAGATGTGGCATTGTTGATTACTGGTATCCACCATTTAAGTAATTGTTGACCGTTGATCACATGCTTATGAGGGTTCTTGGCGGAGTCAGGAAAGAGATACTGTGGTGCCGCTTTTGTAAAGAGACATACTTTTATATTTTGGATTGGAGGAAGTTGGCATAAGGATTCTGAAGGTTGGGTAGGATGATTTGAGGACGAGTAGTAAGGAATTTTAAACTTAGGGTCTTGGAGTTTCTCAAGTACCTTGTTTATGAGGAATAGTGTTTCACTGCCTTGTTTTCGTTCGTGCTTTTGTTCCTTGCTTTTGTCCTCTTTGTCATCTTCTTTGACTTTTCTTTGTTTTATCTTATACTTTGTCAAATCATAATTAATCAAAAACTCGACAACTTTTTCAATAATTGAACCTACTTTAAAATTAACTTTTGAAAGTCCGACAGTGTCGCATTTAGACACAAATATATACTGATCGATTTGATCCTGGTAAATTTGCAAATATACAAAAATTTCAATTCCTAATATTGTAATATCATCGTCAGTGCTAATTGAAATGAAATGTCTTATTTTAACGGTATCGGGAAAAATTTCGGACGATTTCGAAATATAAATGGGTGACTTTATATAAACTGGATTAGATTGAAGATATAATCCCTTGAATGTAACATTCTCAGGAAGATATTTGGAAATATTTTCAAATATTTCATTCATTTGTTTACTTAGTGTGGGTGAATAATAGTGGTAAGCCATAGTCGCGTTCTTTTTTTTTTACCGAAATTTTAAGAGTTTGTTCCATTTCATGCAGGATTGAGTGAAAACAATCATACCCTAAACCGGTATCAATATTAATATCGTATGAAAATAATATTAATGTGCAGTATAAGGCACATATTCATGAAGGAAATATCCACATTTTGCTTATTCTTGAATGAGTTCTGCCTTAAAGCCTATATCGTATCATGAAGCAATTTTCATAATATTTGGCAAGGATTTTGAAAAAAGAAAAACATACCAATTAGATGTTTCTGTAAATTTTCGCACCTGTAATATAACAAATATTATTACAAAGGATCCCAAAAGGTAAATTCAAACTGATATATGTATAATTATAGAACCACCTGTACGTCATTTTTCTCTACATTTTTATTATTTTTGCTAGTTTTGCAACCATCAGAATTTTTTAACACCGAAAAAAGGATTTTTGACATCTGTGTGCGATACACCTATTTGTGATTCTCCAATCACAGCTAAGCCAATCTACCTTATCAGTTGTGACCAGAAGTCAGACGTTATTACGTTGTTAAAAAATGATAATATGATAATTTTAATAGGAGGTTTAAACAACGAAAAAATTGATGAGGAGAACAATCTATTTCTAGTTCATTTCTTTATAAGATTATTTTCAGGTAAGATGAATTTCCTGTAGCCAAACTTGGTATAATAGATGCAGCTGGCTGGAAAATGAGGAGGATTGTGATTCCGATTGTTATAATGTCTGCAGCAAGATTAAACTAATTTGGAATTCTTACACAAGCAATGCCCAATATAGAGAATTTTTTTTTTTCAAATTGATTTCCATGTTTTAGCAATAACGAACTATTTCAAAGATTTGGAGACACTTCAATTAAGTATAATCAATAATCTATTTTAGCTGGGACACAACCGTAAGTATAGAATTTCAATTAGCAAATTGTTGCAAAATGTGAATAAATGTTTGAAATATTCGAATAGTCAATACGGTTTGGCCGAGATAAATTTAGAAAATCATAAACAAACAGACCCACAACTATAAAATGTATATAAGATTAGTAATAATATTGATGAAGAAAATATTTATCGGGAACAAATACGTTTTGGTGGGATTCAAAACATTGAGACGGTTTGCTTTTGCAATTTTAGGGTTCTGCTTGTAACCAGTACATACGAGTTACACCGACAAGTATTCTTCTTATTGTTACCAACTAATACTTTTTGATGGATTTAATTTTTAGAATTACAAACTGTAACATTAAGATAAGGAATGTTTTTCAAAATAAACTAGCTAAATAAATTACTGAGAAATAAGTCATATTTATAATTCCTATCTCAACCAGATGAGAACACCTCCGTAGTTATTTGAGGTAGATTAACCTGAATTTCATATTATCAGCTTACTTTAAGCGTATATGTCTTATATGTGATACCACTTATGTATTGTATATTTTTTGGAATGCGTAACATAATATTCAGATTTACATATGTTGTCTTGATTTGCAGAAGGATATTATAAGGTAATGAGGGATATTCTTCAACTTTCGGGTTGGGATTGAGACTTAATGGTTTAACCACCGTTCACTAAAAAATCTTAAAAAGGATCTTTTGACATAGAAATCGACTATAGTTCTCTCGTTAAGTAAGCACAAAATGCTACAAGTTTTTCCAAATTACCTACAGGATAATTTGCCATAAATGTTGCAAATTGGGAAGGAAGAAGGTTTATGATGTTACTAAGATTCAAACGCAAAAGTTTGTTAAAGAGAGGCTTTGCTATTTGTACTGATTAGTTGGTAAATTACGTAGTCGTTTAAAGCAAAAAGAATTCCCATAGGAAATCAACAAAACAATAGAAGGATAGTGCAAGTAAATGCATAGGGTATGCGCTTTATTTTGTTGGTGATTAATTGAAAATTTCCTATTGTGCACAGAATTTAATTAGACAATATGGGAATTTTGAATTGTAACCAGAACATAAACAATTGACCACATTTCAAACATAATACAAGTATAAGATTACTAGTTTGGGAGGCGAAAGGTTCTATTAAATAACCTTTGTTTTTAGCATACTGGTTTAACTACACCGTTTGTCTTTTGTTGGTAGTTTTTTTTTTTTTTTTTGAACAAACTGGCTAAAAGTAATATACCAAAATCTTTTAGTTCTATTTAATGTAGTAGTATAGTGTGAGAAGAAATTCCGCCTAAATTTGAAAGCGCAACATGCTTCGTAAAATTATTCTCAACTTATTTTGAACCAGGACTGGAAATTGCATTGCAACAAGATTGCACAAAAGATTTATACTTTCAGTATCGCTAGTACAAAAACAAACAATATGGTGACTGATACATCTAGAAACGTAATCGTCTTAGCAATATAGGTGATTGAATCGTACCATGGTTCCGGGTGAAACATTAGTATATCATAAACTATATTAATTGTTTTAACGGAGTATATTTGATTATGAAGTAATGCATTTGCTCGTGTTCGTCTATGCTCGTATTTTATTTGCCGAATAAGTGTATAACTTTATCTTAATTCTAAGAATATCCATCTAAAACTTACTGGGATGGTTCGATAAGATTAAAGGGTAAGTCCGAGAGCCGTTGTCGATCAAACAATGCCGGTTCATGTTGCCATGGGAAATGCAGGAACGAGCTTGTATTACCTAATTAGGTATGTAGAGATGAAATATTATTGTTACCTTAGCAATCTTAGGTTGCTTAATGAGAACAATAACGCGGAAAGATTTCTCACCATATTGCCGAAGAGTGGGGGCGTGCGACAGGAATTATGATTAGAGCAAATAAACAAAGAATAAAATTGAGGGGTAGTCGCTAAATAGACTTAATCCAAAAATACATTAACTTGGCGGAGTTAACCTGTGTAAATGACCTTTCGTACCTTGTTACAGTGGTTAAACGAGGGGTGGACAAAAAGTTTCATTTTGCTAAACAATCTCCGTCATAGTAGTGATCAGTCCGAAAGATGCATACATATGGTATCAAAACAATATATGGGTTGTACTTCCTCCCCATAAAATTTCCTATTTTGTATAAAACTTTTTTTTTTAGTCCATAGTGAATCTGCCCACAAAAAGTAGGTTTGCCACTCAAAATGACAGAATAAACTCCGTCAGGGGCGGGATTAAGAGATGGGTACCTTAACTGGAATAATGGGATATCTAATCTACATGTATGAATATGTTCCTTGATTCCATCCCCTGTCGGTGTAGCACTGACAATTTTCGGAGTAATGTATTTGAAATTAGCACCAAGTAATATTTTCTAAATCAAAAGTCCGTAGGTCACATAAAAAATATAAAATATTGGAAAAATAGTAACCTTCTTTTTTTTTCTGACTCTACTTACGATTGTATTTTTTTTTTGCCTTTGTCAAGAATCCTAACACCACTACTGAAATTTCTTCTTTTCCTAATTAAGGTTGTGGTGGTTTTCTTTTTTGGTTACAAGATTTTTCTGGGTAAAAGGCAGCAGTAGGAGGAGATCATTTAGTTAACCCATTCTTTGCATAGAAATTCACTAGGTAGCAAGAGTATTTTTTTTATTTATTTTTTTTTTTTTAATTTCTCCCTCTATATAAATAAACTTGATTATTTTGTCATTCGTGGGTTAATAAATTTTTAGGTTCTTTTTTTTGCACATGAAAATTGAAAGTCGAATTTAGTCGTATTTTATTCCACTCAATTTATCTTTGTACATATAAAGGTTGAAGTTTCACAAGATTCTTTTAAAAACCCTAGATATCTTATAAGCATCAAATTTCACGACCAACTTACAAAAACGTATTTCCTATTAAATATAACCATTTTTATTCGAATTGATTCACACAGCTACTTTCGTAATATCAAATAATATGAACATCCACAATTTGGATACAGGACAACATCAACCTCACGATAAGCTGCACTCACAATCACAGCAGAATGGCTCAGATCCAAGCATGTCCTTCTTAGATTTATTATCATCCGATATGGACTTTGAACAAGCTTATTCCATGTATAATAATTTACAAACTAAGATGGCTCATGGAACAGTCGAAGAGTTACAAAAGGTACAAATGTTAAATCAGCAATATCAAACAAATTTAACCCAACCAACTGAGCCAGTACGTAATGAAGATGAATTTGCCTATGGACGTGCCCAAATATTGAATGGTAATGGGATTATTTCTAATTATATGAACAAAAATTACTCATTTGACATGGCAAAGGATAACAAACCAGAAGGAGAAGATGACTTTGACCAATTCTTTTCCAATACTGAATCCAATGCATTGGAGAAATTTCTTGATAATTTAACCAACCCAAATGCGTCCGGGGACCCCTTGCAATTTTACATAAATAAGAGTCAAAGTGAAGGTCATAAAAGGTTTAAACAAGAAGAAGACGAATTCAATCCCTCATTTGAAATGCACACGATGAAATTACCCCAGTTAAATAAGACATACCATGAACCCAATAAAAATATAATATACCCTGCAGCTCAATTTCCCCCCACCCAACACTCATTGCCAACTCCAAATACTACTCGACAGTCATCATCTAATTCAGCCAACTCTAGTTATATATTGGATGACTTTAAAAGAAGAGCAAACGATATAAATGGAATGATTATAACCCCACCAACAAGCGGCGATGAAACAAAAACTCAGGAGGACAAACCACAAGTCAAAAGAAAGAAGAAAAGAGTAACTCATAAACCTTTATTATCATTAGAACAGAAGAGATTAAATCATTCACATTCGGAGCAAAAACGGAGGCAATTATGTAAATTGGCTTATCAGCGTTGTTTAAAACAAATTATTGATTTAGAAGCGTTCAATAAATTACCAGCCATAAGTGAAGAGCAAAGAAAATCTAAAAAGGCAAGAATAAGCAAAGACGGATTACCAAACTTGTCAAAACATAATGCGCTAATTAGAATAAGCAACGAAATGATTTTAATTAAACGTTTGAACGAAGAATTGAAAAAATTGATTGATAAGTCATCTTAGACTGATAGAAGTTTTTATGTGTTATGTTTTTTTTTGGGTTATTTTGGTTAGTTTTTTATAGTGTATTAGTTTAATTTATTTTTCTAAAAATGCCTGTTGTGTATAACACTTATTGGCGATAGTAGATCTGGCAGATCTATCATAATTCAAACAGGACAAACTGTGACCAACCTATTTAGGAAAAGCCGGTACTTTAAATATTTCTTTATAACATCTTTGTTATATCGTAACAAATTACATAACATAGACTTATTTATTTTAACAAAAATATAATCAACAGTGTTTTGGAACTCAGAAAGATCTTGAAAATCAAGGATCGTATGTTCAGCAGAAAATAATGCGTTAGACCATTACACAGTAGAGGCAGTAGGTTAAATATATCTATATTTTATACCGGTTTTTCATTCGAAGTACATTCTCGATTTTGAAGATACCATATTGTTAACTGGTCTAATATTAATATTTTGACCAGGAGTCCCTCTTGATAAAGTAGCAACTTCCATCGATTATCACCTACTTCAACTCCGGGAAACTCTTTGGATTCTTTACACACAATCGTATCTTCCGAGCATGCCAAACTATTTCTTCCATACTTAGTTCTTCTTTACATCATTTGAATATTTTATCGAATTCTGCAAGTCCATACCATCTATGGTGGGATTCATAACCAATATCATAACTCGCATACTACCTGCATAATTTTTGATCTTGATTCTTCAACATGTTCCAAACAGAAATTTCTACTGATCGATCTTTCTCCTTCATGATTCGCAAATAGAAAGTATGTAATGAGTTTGGCTTGAATAAATTGAAGAGCTGGTCATATTGCATGAATTGTGATATTAAGCAAATGCTATACACGTTTTTCAAATTGGCAAAAAACCGACAGAATGCTGGCTGGAATGATTTTAGATATTCTTCCATGAACCAAAAGTGCAATTCAAATGTTATTAGATTCTACAAACTGAACATTGTCGATATAACAGCGATCACTCATGTGGAGATGGCTTCTGTGAATGAGGCCATCAAGAACTTGATCGGTAAATCCTTGAAATGGGTTGCTCAAAGTTTGCCATAATTGCTACCACCACAGGTATGAATGGCCAAATTGGTCAAACCCAATAGACTGTGTATCTTTTGTAAGTTATTCTCGCTAGCAATATTGGCAGATATACTGAGTTGTTTAACCCAAGGCATGGGATCTGATTTGGCATTCGAAGATCTTAAGGCTCTAAAACGCGATATTATTAGTCTTTCGCAGTACTGGCTTTGTGTGTTATATCGTGGACGGTATTGAAGAATCTCTTCTCGAATAGTAACGTAAATCGAAGCATATAACGCTTAGATTGCAACATAGATAGGGTGGCCACGTTCAAATACAATCCATTTAATAAGGTCGATGTTTGGGTTGTTTTACAACCATGGGAATAGGTTTTCACTATTCACCACTGTCTATATGAGATAGAACAGGGGTGTATGTATCAACAGAAATTTGGTAATGTCGATTCAAGCTGTTGATATAGATGAAATTATATAACTTTCTCTTTCCTAAAATATATAGTCGAGAGTTGACAGTACAAATTTCACAGATATGGATCTGATTGAGATAAGTCAAAATACCACCAAGAATATCATTTGGCAACGTCATTATTGTGAACTTGGTGCTTGAAGTCTCTAATGCCAGTTTATAATTAGCATACTTTGTATCAGTGTTTTCCTCACCAATTCTACGAATTTGGTACTCGATTTGTTCTACTTTACGTACTAATGTGGTTATAATACTTTTCAATTTCCTGTACATTCTGTTGGTGATTTTGTGGCCAGATCTTGCTTACTTAGTTCTTTGCAGATATAAAATGGTTCAACTTAAGATGAAGAAACTTATGATTAGATGCTCCCATTGAATAGAGGTCTAGGCATATATTATACAAATTATGTCAGCATAATGATTATGCTTCAAATGCAATTTTTCAAGTTATACATGGGACATCAGGTGTGGGAGTTGTTTTATTATGTAATGTTGATCGACTTTAGGAAAGGAAGAGAATACTGGTTCTGCATCCAAATAAACATACCGTATATGCTGCAATATTTGTTGATAGCAACGATAATCCACGGGTTTTAATTGAGAATAGATGAGTGCTTCGATCGATTCGTACTTTACGTAACGTATTATTGTTCCAAGTAGATTTGCTAATGACGTGGTTACGAAGAAGGTACTAAAAGTACAAACAACCTTGGTGAAACCAACCTTGGTAAAACTAAATTTTATATTAGAGGATACCAACAATAGGCACACCCTTCATCATATGGCCATTGCCATTTAGTTGGAACAAGTATATACGGTGGGCAGATATAGAATGTTTCAAACTGTAAGCATCAAAGTTTGCCAATTTGCACGACTCTTACCGATTGCGCGTGCAGGAGAACGCGCGTTGCTATAACTTCAACAGCATCATTTCTGTCAAAATTTCAAAACTTCACCTACTTATTTCTTTTGCTAACAACACAAACTATGGTGGCCAAAGGATCCAAGTCTTCCACACCAGCAACTTCTGCTGAAGAATCACATCCTGCATATTCCTTGAAGATAGGTAGTGCTGACCAAAAGCAAACCTTAGCTAAACATCATCCTGTAAAATTACCAAATCAAAATGAATACAACACTGAAGAATTGGACAATTTACGAGCCAGCTTCAAGTATATATATGTTATTAATTGGTTGTATAACTTTCGAGGATTCCTTAAGTTACAGTCCGAGTTATTTGATGTTGATTTGTTTGAGTTGGAATTATTGAATTATTTTCCTAGCGGTGGATATGGAGCGAGTGAACAACAGCTGGTTTTGTTCATAGATAAGTTAAAGTTGAATTTAATTTCAACATTGCAAAATTCAAAATTGTCCTCGTTGAATAATTTCGAAAAAATTTTCAGATTATGGTTTGGTATCGAGACTCCATTAGGCGGGAAAGAAGAGGAAGAAGACGAAGCAGAAGAAACAGCAAACACTAAACATGAAGAAGAAGTTGACATTAAATTTGATCAGTTGAAGATCTCTGACAAATTTGAAATCTTATACATTTTAATCTCATACATTTCAAACTATTCCAAATTTAGAGACTGGATAGACAAAACTGGATTAACATTTGATCAATTAAGAGTGAACTCAATATTCACCCCACCTTCCAAGAATAGCTCCCAAGATGAATATTTCTTGCTATTCGAAGATAACAGACTTTATAAAAGAACCATCACTTATAACCAGTTGGTAATCCCCAAAAAGAGAAAATTATCACCGGAAAACCCCAATGAATATTTTAATTCAAACTCTTTTGATGTAAATATGTCTAAAATCAAGTTTGAATTGGTTTACAAAGATATTTATGAATTAAATGAATATTTAAAAAAATCACACAAGATCAAACCAATAGTGACAAAAATTTCTAAAACAGTTGATGCAGTTTTCAATCACGAAATTCGGAAACGGAAATTCTTAATTAATAAACGTAAAGAAATTCAATTAGTTACCTTGTTAGCCACCAGAAAGAGATCTTCTAGATTGGAAGCAAAGGAAAAACAACGTCAACAAGAATTAGAATTACAAAGACAACAAGAAGAGATTGAATTAGCATTGGCTGCTGAAAAACGGTTTGAAAGAAGGACAAGATTGAAGGAACAACAATTGAAACAACATCAAGATTTTACCAATGGGTTAACCAGAGAAGAAAGATTAAGATTAAGACTTGATAAAACTCCAGCATTCACCCCAACTCCTGAAGTCGAAGTTGTATCACTCGATTCGGAAGGTGAAACTGCTGAATTTCCAGTAACTATTCATTTGGAACATCCTGAACAAGTGAAAACTCCAACTCCATCCTTGTCTCATACGGCAATTGACTTGTCTAGTCCTTCACCTGCAACAACCCCCACTAAGAGTGAAACTACGCCAATTAAGACCACGACAAATGTTCATCATATACAATCACAGGAGTCAAAGCAAGAATTTCCCATTGAGAAAGTAGTTAACCAACAATCAAATGTTCCACCAATTGTGACAACAACTAATATAAACCCGGAAAAACCCATTTCACCTATTGTCACTACCACAAATCAAATTGTAAATCACTAGCATTGTTACTGTCAACTGTATTACTATTTAGAAATAAAATCTGTATTATAACTTTCTGCTCTTGTCCTCAGATTTAGTAAAGTATCTTGATATCACCGCAAAACGATGCACCAGCTATAAATTTAAGCTCTTACTTCTCGATAACTTTATACGTGACTGTAAATTAAATAATAAACAAAAAAAAAATATTAAAAACTATATAAGAGACAAGTAACAGCACCGAAATGAACTTCATATAAAATAAGCAATAACGTCTCCACGTAATCAACTATAAATTCATCTCATTCAAAATTTGACTAGCCAAAGTTTTATAATTCCAAGTGTTGCCGAAAATCTTTTTAAATTGAACACCGTATAATCCAACTAATGGAACTTTAACTATATGAATCTCAAATTTCAATGGTGACTTCTTGGCAATTTTCCTACTGCCTGTGGATGAAACACTGGCATTGCGTTGATGTTGAGATTGTGTCTTTGCTGAAGTTGCCCTTTGCTCAATTCGAGATGATACCAACATATCACTTCCACCAATATATCCATTCAATGATTCTGCAGAATCGTCCATTTCAAACGCTTGAGAAATCTCAAATTCTTCTTCGTCATCATACATTCCACGAATAACTTTAGCTGCAGCTGGTGTATTAGGCGGCATCATAACTTGAGATCCATTCTTCTTACGATATTGGGTAAGGAATGAATTACCAATTGAGAATTTTCGTCTATGTCCTCCAGATCCAGATCCAGATCCCGAAGCACTGCCAATTGAATTAGATGATTTATGAGATTTGATACTTCCAGAAGGTGGGGCCGCACTAGGTGATAATGTAGTTTGAATTTGAATACTTGGTCGTCTACTTGGAGTTTTTGTTCCTTCTGAGGTTCCGGGAATCTTGAAAGGTTCATCACCAAAAGATGAAGAAGTAGATTTAAATGCATCACCATATAATTGTTTCTCGGCGCTGTTTTGTGTATCATCATCATCCTGTCCTTCTTGCTCTTCATCATGAATGGTACTGTTTCCTGAATCATTTTCTTCCCCTTCATCAGTTTCATTCTTTGGCTTGGTTTGAACTGATGGTTTGTGAACACAAACAAAACCACCTTTAACTTCCTGGAATCTAACACCTAACTTGCTCAAAATGCTAATTATATTATATCTAATGACCGGTAATGGTTTAGCAGATGTAGTTTGAACACTAAAGAATCCTTTCAAGAATAATGTCTTACAATGTTCAATGGATGGCATACTTCCAGGTTTAGCATTATTGTATTGTTCTACAATTTCATCTTCGGTAAGTTGTGGTAATTCATGAACCTCTAATTCATCCAACTTAACATCATCAAAAAATCCATCAAATGTGTTTTCACTACTTGTGGCAGTACCGCCAGCAACAATTTCATCACTGTTTTGATTACCCATGGCATTGGGCAATGGTGGGTGTGCTCTTCTTGTAGAGCCACTACTGACATATTGATCCTTACTGACATGACCACCAACAGATTTGGCTCGAGCTGTAGGGTGTAATTTTCGACCACCAGCTCCAACTCCAGCGCCGGGAACAGTCAAAGTTTGTGCCTTTGGCTGATCAGACACAATTGTATTAGTATTTGCATCAAGTGTTGGTAATGGTGGCAAGTATTCGACAGGTATGAATCCGTGCACCTTATTCGCAGTCGTAGCTGTTGTATTACCCTTTCTAACCACTTCATTTTTCTTTTCCTTAGCCATTAACTTCTCTTTGGCAGTAACCTTCATACTGACACCACGACGCATCATTGGATCTCGTTTGGTAACTGAAGTAGTGGAGGATTGTGGAGAAATTGAAGTTGGTGGAGATACAACCGTAGTCTTGAGTAAATCAGTATTGGTGGTTTCGACAGGTGGAGATGTAGTTCTCTTTGGTGAAGCACTAGAAGTTTTGTACTTCTTGGAGGATAATCTTCTCAATAATGAATTAATGCCAGTAGTTGTACCTGGGCTCTTACTAACATTTGGATCCAAACTATCGCCACCACCAGGACGACCTCCAAGACTAGTTCTTGGGCTTTTAGGTTGTTGTTCAGGTATGACTGGTGGTCCTTGTCGCTCCACGGAATCCTTATCAAGCACAATATCGGGTGTACCTTTATTAAAAGTATGTGCTTGTTCAGGAATTGGTAGGCTTGGAAGTGGTTGTTGCTGCTTAGATTTTGGTGTGCCAGATGTTGGCAAATGTCTTTGTGGTTGTACGGTTTCCACCAATCTTGGAGTGGTGGCAGCATTTCTTTCCTTAGTTGGACTTATTTCAGCCAATACTGCAACTTGAGTAGCAACTTCACCACCAATATTGTAGTCTTTATCAGCTTGAACTGGAGTTGTTGGTTGTTGTTGTTGTTGTTGTTGTTGTTGAGGCTGAGTAACTGGAGCACGTTTAGGTGGTGGCTGCTTGGGGGTAACTGGAACCACTTGAGGCTGAGCTTGCACGGGTACCTTTGATTGGGCTTGAACTTGTTGTGCCAATTGTTGTTGTTGGTAAGCCAGTATGGGCGGTAACTGTTGAGAGGTGATTGGTTGCAGTTGCGATTGTTGCATTAATTGGGCCTTAATTGCTTCTTCCTTTGCCCGCTTACGTTTCCTCATTTCATCAGCTAAATGATAAATTGAAATCAAAGGATGGAATCCACCAGTCGGGTCTGGTAATATGTGTGAATTATTTGCTGATGCATATTCTCGTCCTTGTTCTGTTAATTTATACCAATTCTCACAACTCATTTGATATTCAACACTAGTCAATATATTAGTTAACTCCTCGGTGATTGTTTGAACGTTCCCCAAATCAAATGCAGCTATAGTCTTTATAATTTCTGGGTCTAAAGGTAATTTCAATGGTTCCCTCTTAGGGAGATAATTAGATGCTTTATAATCATAGCCTTTATTCATCCATGGATGCAGACAAATCTCATACAATGTTGCTCTTTTAGTTGGATCAACAACCAACATTCTTGACAATAATGACACGCATTCACGAGAAAGGAAATTTGGATACTCGACATTTCCTCGTTTGATCTTTTCATGCAATACTGAAACTGATTGATCATCAAATGGAACTTTACCACATACTAATACATAGAGAACTACACCAAAAGACCAAACATCAACTTCGGGTCCGGTGTATGGTTTTGCACTTAATAATTCGGGAGCAGCAAAATAAAGGGATCCACAATACGTCTTTAACAAATTCTTTGGTGAATATAAATTAGATAAACCGAAATCGATAATCTTAATATCACCCTTCTCAGTAATCATAATATTTTCAATTTTCAAGTCACGATGAACCACATTATTTCGATGGCAATAATCTAAAGCTGATGCAATTCCTCTAGCGAATTTCCTAGCATGTCTTTCTTTTAAGGAACCATGGGCAACAATATAATCAAGCATTTGTCCACCATCGATATACTCAAATAACATATAGTAATGATTGGTCATGGGGACCATTTCATAAAGACGACATATAAACGGATGGAATAATAATCTGCCTAATGCACCTTCACGAATAGTACGTTTATCTCTGGCAATTTCCTTCTCAAACTCCTTGTGTCTTTGAGCTGCTTCTTGCGTGCTTTGTGGTGGTGGATCATTCGCATGAGCACGTTGATATAATTTAGCAGCACGGGGTATTATCTTAACTGCACAAATTTCTCGGGTGGCATTATGTTGAGCCAATTTAACTTTTCCCATAGAACCAGCACCAATAGTCTTGACAAAATCCCAATCTCCAATGGATTTTCTGTGAAACTGTTGCTGTTGGTGTGATTGTTGTTGTTGTTGTTGTTGCGGAGTATGGTGCTGGTGATGCAGATGTGATTGTTGGGGTTGCAGTGGTTGTTTTTGTGGAGGTTGTTGTTGTTGTTGTGGTGGTTGTGGGTTAGATTGACTGCGAGCATGATGACCACTGGCAGAAGCGGACGAATTATATGATTCGTGCTGCGAAGTAACTATATCAGGGGGGGCCATTTTGTTGCTGGGCGGGTGGTGTGGGGACATACCTGTAGGAGTAGCTGCCGGTTCAATTGGATTGATTTGCTTTAGAGCTGGTGAGCCAATAGCAGCAGGTGGCAACAATTCATTCTTGCGTGTTTGAGATTGTCCTGGTTGAGATTGGCCTGGGTTGAGGGCAACCGGTGCTTGAACCCTGTTGGTTGAGCTACGTGGTTTAGAATATTGAGCATTTGATGGATTGGAAGAAGATGGACGATAGTATTGCTCTGATTCTGATGTTTGCTGGCGGTGTTGTGGTGGTAGTTGATTAGCCGGCAGTTGAAAACTTGGATGTCTTGAATGTTGGTCTGAGGGATTCACGGTCAGGTAATGTGGAGAATTTGTGGACAGGTGAGAATCACTAGGAACAGTAGTCAGAGACGACGGTTCCTGTGGATTCAAGTCAGTTTTGGATTTCAAAGTACCACTTACACTTCGTAACATTCTTGGGGTAGCAGGACGGGCCAGTACTTGTGAAGGAGGTTGAACCGTTGATGCTGCACTAGAAGCTTGTTGTTGCTGTTGCTGTTGCTGCTGTTGTTGTTGTTGTTGTTGCTGAGATTGTTGCTGTTGATACGTCACATTTTGTGCTTGCGGGTAATGCAGATGTGGTTGTCCAGGAACTGCGTGATTGTTTGAAGGTAGAGGCGGCTGGACATTTGAAGCCAACCCTCCTACAACGCCTCTTCTTGACGATTGATACTCGTAATCAGGTGCATCCATCGTGTTATGCAAAGGTGTATCAATTGAGGCAATGGCTCTATTAGTAGGTATGGTGACTGATCAACACTATTTAGGGGTTTGATGGATGGTCTCTATACAATCTTTAAGGATGGAAAGTTCGTCGGTTCTGAGAAGCGACCAGACAAACTGAAATTCAACTATCAGTTGGGAGAAGGAAAAAAAAAATAAATAAAAATTAAACTACATGTTCTACTACGGAATTCTTATGGGCTACATCTTGCATTAGATATTTACGTCATGGGTTCCTTTAATGACGGTGCAGTTTATGATTCAGGAAATTAGTGATAGATGTAGCATATAAATCATACAAAGAGTATTTAAACCAGTTTCATTTCAAGTATAACTCTTTGGACTAATGTGCTTTGCTCAGAGAGGAAGTCGCGCTACTTTCAATGATAGCCAATTTTTTGTTACTACTGTGAGAGTCAAAAATGATATCAATTGCACTACGTTGAAGAATTGCCCATATCATTGTAGGTTGTATGAGTTTCTCTACGAGTGTTTAGCAATATATTTCATATTTGATTATTACTCAATTTGTGAATATTCAAATAGTAAATGCTGATCGTGCAATGTTCATCTACATATTATGTGTGTGTGTATATACAGAAATTTCCAAGAGCTTAAACTTGCACTTGTCGTCTAGAATTCTAATTTCTCTGTGCTTGTTCTGCTCCCCGCATACCAACAACTCCGGCCGGATTAATACTGAACGAACATTTTGCTGCGTTGGCATTTCCATCAACGAGGAATGTACAAGCTTTGATTGAAATTTACGCGTGCCCTGTTGCATACATAGATACATCGTACCATAAAATCTACAACCAACAAAAAAATATCTCAAGTTTCCTTGACAATCTGTCCTGTGAATATTATAACCTCGTCAACTATATGCACTGTCAAAGTAGAAAGTTTACTTGTGACAACTGCACTAGCTGGACATTGTCTGACCGATTTTCAACAGTAGCACCCTATATCAAATCTGATAATTATATGTCTAATAACTCAAAATGTATATTTTTAACTGTATGAACAATATATAAGCTATTTCAATGCCACTTTTAGATATCTACACATCCATCAACACGATTAATGGTGATGCTTCAAGTGGGATTGGTATTCCCAGGTGTAACCAACAACAACAACTAAAGCAATCAAGTGCAATAATGGCTTACCAGAGGCATTGTCACCTTCAAAGTAAGCACGGTAGTACTTGGTGAATGGGTTGGCAGTTGGCTTTGGAGCTGGAGCAGCACCCTTTGGTAACTTTTGGTAAAAAGAAACAACATCAGCCATTCTCTTGGCATGTGGGTTGGATCCAAGGGACTAGAATATATGTTAGTATTACAGATCTTGTGTTATAATTTGCTGCAGCTATCATTGGACATTACAGATTATTCAATTCTTATGCATCTGGAAACCATTAGGATAGATTTTATACGTTCTGTAGTTAAAATTCAATGCATTTTCGCATATACAAAATTTTGGAAATATTACTATTCTCTTGTTTCCCTCTGTTTTATTCTTATTTTCAGATTGTTTGGTCCACTTCGTTAATTATGTGGGATACACACTCAACATGAACATCACGATGATATGACTTATTCTCAATTCTTTAACATTTAAACCCACAATTGAAAATACTCTTGTCCGATATATGCACAGTCCGTTCACTCCATGTTTCAAATTGGATGACATACTCTAGCAGAAGCGATCTTTGGTGGAATTAAAGTAGACAATTGTCTTCTGATTACGAATGACATGATTGTTGGATACAAGTAATGCTTAAACCGAAAACTACCTCAAAACATTATGAACAATTTTTCTTCAGTTACTTTTGATTTTTCGGAAAAGGCCATAATTCGCAAAAGTGCACGACTATTTTTATATCAACGCTGGAATTTGATTCGCTCAAAATAACTTTCTAAAAAATGTTACATGGTTGTGTCACGTGTACAATATCACATGTGGACTGTTTTCCCATATAGTCCCCTAGAAGCCATATTTGCAACTGTATGACAGAATGACGCATGGGTTACTCAATCAGGTGTATAATAGAACCTGGTGATTCTGAGAAAGACTTAGTTGCACTAGACTAACTTTAACCAATAACCCAAGTCTCAAGGGTTCAAGGTTCTGAGTCCTCTGATAGTAACTGGATACTTCAATTTGCTCAAAGTAGAACGGTACTCCCATTTTAGGATTATATAGATGACCTTGTTCCGTGGGGATCAAATAGAAATTACTGTCGATTTGCTGTACATTGCAGCCTATTCTGACTATGATACTACGAGAATTCAAGAAAAAATAGCAGTGTTCGAACCTCCAACTGGTTATAACAACCAACTATAGCTACATCAATATGGTAAATATTTAACATAAAACATAGTAATGTCTTAAATTCTAATATACATTTATGCTAATAACAACAACCTAACTTATGCTTCACTAATATACAACACTAAAGTTGCCGTTAGTATAAATTCGCTTCACAACACTCTTGTTTATATACATACCATTGTTACCTCTGATAAACACATCACCATAATCCCTCACTACTTTACCGTTACTGCATTCCTTGGCATTGTCCAATACAACATTCATGTATCCATCTATAGTTTGTAAATTTCCGGTATAGTTGATACCGTTCTGCAACTTCACAATCACAGATGATCCAATTATATCACTCAAAAACTTTGATGGATCTGTCTTTTCAAATTCTGACATTGTTGATGTGGTATTTCTATTCGATTGGTAACTTGAAATATACTGACACTTTAATCGCACATCCAGTCCATGTACAACTCAATAAGCAAAAAAAAAAAAAAAAAATTAAAAAAGGTCGTGCACTCTAGCGAATATCACCAACCTATGAGCCTACTCACAAAGACTATAATTACATATTTCTATTGTAGTATACTCTATAAAAAAAACTATTCTTTGACACTAGAATTAACCAAAGAATCAATTAACGTAAACAATTTAACCAATTTCTGCAAGTCTTGAACTTGTGTACTATCTTCTTTATAGATACCAGTAACATTGGTAGCGCCAGCAACAGCACCAGCAACATTATCCTTTCTAGATTCTAACAAAACGTCCCTCTTCATTACTCCAACAATTAATCTATTAAAGCTTTCCATTAATCCCTTGGTTTCCATGATTCCTGGTTTATAGGTTGGACCCATAGCCAATAAAACTGTAGTTATGAGTTGGAATATAGGAATCAAAAATTCAAAGTACGATATGGTATTCTCCTTGCGAATTTTGCTCAAATCAACCAAATCATTCAATGTAGATGGTGTATCTAACAATACATTAACTGTAATACTCTTAAAATCATGACCTTCTTTGATATTCAAATTGAGTCCTAAATCTGGATCAATCAGTAAGAATCTGGATTGTCTCAAAACAGAAAACAATTCACTTTGAATCAATTGCAAAGCTCCACTTTTAGATTGTGAAACACGTATCAACAAATATAACGTAGACTTGAATGCAGTCAATTCAAAAATTAAATTATCCAAAGTTACTCCTCCTCCTGGTTTAATACACAATTTAATCATTTGATCGGTTCTCTTGATCGATCTGACCAATAACAACAACGAGTTATTCTTCACTAAGGAATCCAATATGAAATTTGCCTTACCCGCCAGTGAACCCAAATGTATCAATGATTCAAGTAATAATGTCGATGTTATTCTTGAAGAACCTTCGGAATAAATAGCATCATTACATATAATCTCGAAAAATTTCTTGTCCAGTGACTTAATAATACGAATCATTGGCAAAACAAACAGGGAATCCTTATCAAATATCTTCATCAAAAACTTGTTGCATAGTACATACAAATCCGAACGAAGATTTGGAGTAGAATTAGAATTCAAAATCCCAGTGAGGCAAGTTTGAAATAATGGAATTAACCTTCCCATTCCAAGAGTGAAATCTTCTTCTCCTTTACTTTGATTGAGAATTTGTTTCTCATATAAATCAAATAATAATACACATAATGAAATCATCTCGGCTGAAAATGAAATGTCAGTCTCCAAATAGTCATTGGTTTTGGGGATAACAATCTGCAACACTTGTAATAAGAAATCGGTTGATTGTAATCCATTGTCAGTAATCAAAATCTCAATCAATTGACACCATGAATGTAAACATTTCAATTGAACTTCTTTCAAATCATTAGAGACAATATATTTGATAACAAATTCGTTAATCCTATTCCCTTCGACCATAACCTCTTGAGAAAATGCTCTCTTAGCATCATTGGTAATTGCATTGGAACCTTGGCATAAAATTTTAATGATCTTGTTCAAAATCGATAAATCCAAATATTCTTCCTGTTCGTTGTCCGACTTATGTTTAGCTTGTTGCAAAATCAGCAACATGTTGAATTTCTTATCTAACAGTTCATACTTTTGCATTTCAAAATTCTTGAATGAATAATTCAAAACATCCAAGAAGCTAAGTATCTTAGGAGCATGATTCAAAAATTCCTTGTTGTTAATTAATAGGTTGATATAATATTCCTTTTTTGTAATTGATGAAATGTGATGGAATTCCAATGATAAGTATTGCAAGATCAAGTTTCTTTGGTTTATAAAAGCAAAGAATGTCTCGACACTTAATGATGATTCAATAAATGCATTAACACCATCCACTTGTAAATCTCCATTGAATTCAACCCCACACCAAATAGTACTCAAGTCTAATTTAGGTTGATAATTAATCAACTTTTCAAACAAATCGTCATATTCACGCAATTGATTCAAGGTAACAACTGAACTTATTGGATCCCTTACTAATTTAATCAAAACTTCCAAGATCAAAGATGACAATTTAGCAGGGCCAATATCTATGATATATTTATTTCCATTATTGTAATCAATTTCTGAGAGTAAATCAAGACTGACACTGAGAGTACGCAACAATGTTTTCAAAAGAGTATTATTTTGATTTCCAAGTGACAAATTGTGACCTCTGAAATCGAAACCTAATAAGAAATGAGCCACCGTTGCAACTTTGCCATTTGGTTGATGATTCAAGTTATTCAACAAAAATTCAATTATTCTGTACTTCATTTTGAACGAGGATTCTTCAAGGGACTCGAACTTGTTAATAAATGCATACTTGATCTTAATTGATTCATCAATACTTTGGAAAGTGGTTAATAATCTGTTATTTTCCAACAAAGGATCTACAGAATTAGCAATCTTTCTTGAATGGAAATATTTGGAATTGTCAATTTGCTGTAAGATGGAAATTGCCAGGTTTGAAATTTCATCATTGTTACATCCAACATATAAAGCGAAATGGACAACTGTGGCCAAATGGAATAATAAAATTTCGTAAAAATCATCAACTCCGTGAGAACCAATATTTCTTGGGTAATAAACATTATCAAATATAGTTCTTGGAGTGCTCAAAATAAGACTCATGCTTGTGTTGACACCTAATGGTTGTGCTGGAGCTTGTTTCTGTGGTTGCGTGATACCATCCTTAGTCTTCAATAACGGTAACAATCTTCTAAGATATGTGGGTTGAACATCCAATAATTTATCAAGCACCTTCAAAACTTGTGCAACTAATTCTGATGAAGATTCAGATGAATTAACTTCATCAACACCAATATCAATAACTTTAAACAATGTGTTGAAAAACTTGTTGTCAAACAAATAATGAAGAACAGCTAATGATTGGTGTAACTTGGCAAACATGGCAAAATCAATTTGAATTCCTGGAATAAGTGAATCAAAAATATTATCAATATTATCCAATTTTCTGATTACTTGTGGGGCGGTTTCACTCAAAAACTTCCAATCAATCTCTTCAAGCGAATTAATCAAGATTTCAATCACTTCCAGTTGTAAAAGATGACGATCTTTCTTATTAGAGATATTATGTGAATTTCCAAACACCTCCAACATCAAAAATTCAATGTATGGCCAGATCCCAATTTGATTATTGACTCTATAACCCAAACCCAAATCGCAAGGAAATAAAAGGGAATATTTCAGGAAAGCTTGATTATTGGTATTGAATGGGGTTAATAATTTCCTAATCAAGGTTGTGAAATTTGCAATTTCGCTGAAATGGGTCAAGTTTACAGAAAATGCTTGATTAATTCTCATATTTCTCTTACTTGTATATCTTTTTCTGGTAGCTGACAATGATGTTCTAGAAAACCCATCAGCTGAAGAGGTACTGGTTGTTGCAGTTGTTGTTTCTGGTAAGTCATGTAAACCAAAATATAACCACCTATCGACTAATCTCCAAATTTCATAACCAATCGTATTACCTTGACCATCGTCATCCTTTGAATGATCAACGAAGTCACCCAACAAAGTTAAAATTAAATTGATCAATATAACCATAGAATCATCACTGACTAAAATAGTTGGTAAATCAATAAATTTAGGATTGTTGTTCGAAGTACCTGCATTAACATCAACAGATAATATTTTTCCTCCTTTAATCAAGTTGTCAAATTTCAAGAACCCTTTAATTATAGGTTGAAATCTGGTATATGCAATGTTCTTGATTTCTCTTCCTCTTTCATTTTGAATTGATAGATTCTTAACAATACCTGAAACCAATTGCATAAATCCTGAAATGAAAACAATTGAATCCTCGGCTAATTCAATAGTAATTCTGTTTGCGTTAGCATCTTCTGCTTCCTTTTGAGCTGAATAATTATTCGAAAATAAAAATTCTTGTTTCTTTTGGTATAGTTTTAATTGATCATTCAAATCCAACTCAAATTGTTCATTTAAGGAATCAATATAATAATTCAAGGAATCAACCAAGGAATCGACTGATATTTTAGAGTAGTCATTCTTTTTCATGGTGGCATTATTATTGTTGACAAGAATTTCCCAGATTCTAGCTGCAGTCTCGTTGCCACCAGATGCTAAAGAAGATAACAAGATACAAAAGGTAGCTGTAATTAAAGGTGATGTATTGTTTGATAACCCCCAAGAAATAAACCCAACAATATCATTACTAACCTGTTGTTCTTCGGACCAAAATAAGTTACACAATTCAGGTCTATTATTAAACGTGTATGCAAATGCCAAGTAAAATCTTTCTAAATCTGCCCTTTGAGCAACTTCGTCCAAGTCTAGACCTACTTTCTCGGCAGATCTGGTCCTTGAATTTGAATCAAAATCACTGTAACTATCGTCTGTCTTTCTGCTTGATACTGTGGTGGCAGTTTTAGTTTCGTACTCATCACTATCTTCGTCTTGCTGTCTGTTTATAGATGATAATACAAAATCCTCCTCTAGATCTCTCAATTGAGTCAAAACAATAGCAGCATTGACTATGAATACACTAAAGAATCTTTGGAAGAATGGTGCTATTAAACTTTCATTCAAATCTTCATTTAAAGTCAAATATGAAACATCGAGTAATTTTCCGATATTCTCAAAACCTGGTTTCATATTTGAAGCATACAACAATTCTTGGGTTCCTGGGTATTGAAATTTAGAAGGTGTTAATTTGGGAAAGTTTCTTTGCAATAAGGATCTGAAGTCATAAATATTACTATATTCAAATGCTTGTTGTGTTTTCGCATTGCTTGTTTCAGCACAATAACACAATATTCTTTCCATTACTCCATAACTTATCAAATATTCCATATACTTTAAAATATGTTCCTTAAAATCGTACTTGGCGGTTCTAGTTCCTTCTTCTTTACACCAAGTAATGAAATGTGATAAGAAGAAAAAATTGGTTACAATTTCAAATCCACTTATCTTTGACTTTGACAAATCAATTATATCGTCATTGTCTTTATCACCACCACAGGTAGGTATCGATACTAATCGATAATCGTCAGATATTTTGGTAGTAATGTGAGTATGGAATTCACCTACTAAGGCATCATTGCCTTCCAATAGCTTGGCTATGAATTGTAAAACACCAGGTAAAAAGTGTATTTGTAAAATATCACCATCTTCGTGATGATCCAGTATCAACTGTAACATTTTCTTGTAGTTGTTTAAGTTACCGAATTTATCAAAATATTGATCAACCAATCCGTACAACACTTTGCCTAATAATTCATGATTATTAAATAATTGAGTTCTAGCAAAATTGATAGAATTTATGAAAGCAAGACTATTGATATCACTCGTCACCTTCTGCTTATCAATCATATTATGAAGATTGTTGATTAATCTGTAAATCTTTTCAAAACTTTTAATCAAGTTATCAAACAAGATCTGGAAATCAGACTCCTTTGTAATCACCAAATGCAATTGCTTCTGAATGGTTAAATATCCCAAGATATTCAAAATGTACTCTAGTCTAGAATAATATGAAAATCTAGCAGCATCACCTAAAGAGGTTCCCTTTTTATAACTAACATCACCTGCATAATATAACAACTCAGCTGACGCTATTTCATTCAAATCTAATTCCTTTGCTAAAACTGCACTAATTTCTATAAACGGTTGATTCAATTTAACTTGAGATCCATTGGAAAAAGTCACCGGTTTAGTTTCGTTTATTAATTGAGTCCGTGATTCTTCCAAGGGAGTTGGGGTGACCAATATATGAAGTAAGTCATTGATTATCGGTGAAAAATCAAGCTGAGAAAGGTCACCACCTTCACCGGCCGTTGGCAGCTGAAATTTGATGATGTTGTAAACATTTGCAAATACGTCGCAAGACCAATTCATAGATTCATTCATCTTCGAAAGGTCTAGGGGTGGGAGTATAGCAATTCAGTAACTGTGTAAACCTATCGAAATGAGTGATATGAAAGTTTAAGTGGTGGTTTCACTTTGGTTGTAAGAAATAGCAGCAGCTGGGAAAGAAAAAAATTTTGTTTACATTTGGTGGATGTCTTGGTGTTTGGATGTTTTCCCTTGAGCAATGGTACAGAGACAACCACAACAAAACTCAATGATGAATTGAGCGGGTTCTACATAAACAAAGCAGTTAGATTCCAAGTATAACACAAACTAAAACAGTATATATGAATTATTATCAAACTAAAAAATTATAAACAGACAAATCAAACTTACATTATAAACCCTCGTTAAGGAAATGCAAATGTGGCAATAATTACCACATCTTAACATTGCAACCTTCAAAAAGCGACATTGTCAAATGTGACATCTTTAATGGTGGATATCTGGTATCTGGATCACCCAAAGTCAAATTTGGAAATTCTTGAATTAATCTTGTAGTAACATAAGAAGCTTCAGTCAAGGCAAATTGTTGACCTAAACAAATTCTAGGACCACCATTAAATGGCAAAAATGCCCAACCCAACTTCTTGGTTTCAGGTTCAAACCATCTTTGAGGATTAAAATCAGCAGCGTCTTTACCATAGTACTTTTCAGTTTTATGGGTGGACGAGATTATATATACGATATTTTGTCCCTTTCTAACTAAAACCGGAGACATTCCATCGGGACCTCCACCATGAGGTAATGTTGTGTCTCTGGTTGCAATTCTAAAATTCTGAGGCACAGAAGGGTATAATCTCAAACACTCGTTAATGACTGCCTTCATATATTCACATTGCTTTAATGTTTCAAAGGTAATTTCGTTGAATTGAACGTCATCTCCAGAACCAAATTTGGTGTAAATTTCTTCCTTTAATTTTTCAAATACATCAGGGTTTCTAGCCAATTCGAAAAACATAAATGACAACAATCCAGCAGTTGTGTCTCTACCAGCAACCAAGATATTCAATAATTGATCACGTAAAATCACAGGGTCTTTGGTTTGTTTAGCTAACTCATAAAGGAACACGTATCCCTTTTCCTCTTGTAATTCTTTTTCAGTCAAGTTTAATGCTTTTTCAACATAATAGCTGGCAAACTTGTGAACCTTGGCATTACAATCTCTGAACTTCTTGGTATTCAAAAGCCAATACAATTCTTGCAAAACTGATCTTGAAGCTAAAAAGTTTTGACTGAAATTAAAAGCAGTAGCAAATTCTTGTTTCCCATCAATTTGAGTAGCTTCTAGTTGCATACCAATTGATTCATCTCTCAAAGATTGAACTGATTCTCCAAACAAAAATTCAGTTGCTGAATCAATAGTCAATCTGAAAAACAATTCTTGTAAATCAAACACTTTACCTTTGTTTTTACGAATATGTTTGAAAAACACTTGAAGATGAGGTTCAAGTAACTTAACATGACCAACTTGTTCTCTAACAAATTGTGGTCTTAACATTGCTCGAGAATGTTTCCAGCCTTCACCATCCAAAGTGAAAATTCCATCACCCAACAATGGTTGGAAAATTTCATGTCTTCTACCTAATGAAAAATCATTAAACTGAGTAGCCAAGATAGCCTTGATATTTTCAGGGTCCTTGGTACTGATTAAAGGCTTACCAAATATTCTAAATTGAAAAGTTTCACAATTTGGATTGGTAATTTTCTCATAACGTTCATGACCAAAGTCAACAAGTGTTCCTTCAGCTTTCTTATCAAGTAATTGTTTCCAAACATAGAATCCAAACCAACCATCTCCTTCATCATTAGTAAAAGGTTTAGCACCCAATCTTTTCATTAATTGTTTAGTATGGATATATTGGTAAACGGAGTAGAGAATAACCCCAACCGTTGTAACCACATACCATTTCGTAAGGTAATCAAGAGGGTCCATGATAAAAAGTTTAAGTCTATGTACTAATAGATCATCAACAGTCTGAAACTGGGGTCATCAAAGGATATTTATATCTCTAAACAATTATCACAGGATTTGAATGCGGTTGATTGTTGAGATTGTAGTTAGGCACCACATGCGCACAAAGATATGGAAGTTGGAATGCGGAGAACCAAAGAAAAGTTTTTTATTTTTCATGCATGTTGCGGACTTAAAGAAAATAAACCCTGTTGTCGTATTTCAAAATAAATATCTCCGTCTGCCGAAATAGATCAGGGTGATAGAGTACATACGAAGATGGATCAAGCGTGATGCTACATCGAAAATATAAAATAGTAGTGCTGGCTCAGATTATTCTGAGTGCACTCCTATCCTTAAAGCCTATTCTAATTTTAGATCAGATCCAGATATTAGCAAATATATTGGCAAAAACAAAAAAGATCATTTCTATTCTTGACAGATAACTTTAGGCTTAACTCCGCAGTCAGACCTTCTTGGCAAGAGCGGTTCAGATAAAGTTCCGACATTTTTGTTTGCTCCGTCGTTAGACCCAACAATTGAAATAATACCTGTAAATTGTTCGAGAATTGTGTTTTATGCATGTTACGGAGAAAGCTAAATTGTATGCAGGATCTATTACGGACGTTCAGCGCTTTTATTTTCTCCTTTGCTATACAAATATGTAGAATTCATAATGTTGTTCGTCAATAGTTACCTGTATCTGGAAGCTCAAATAGTATTGAGATAGCAATACTCTGAATTTGGCTCTCAAATTTTTATGTTCTAAAGGGGGGGGGGGGTATTGGTCTGGAGAAATCTTCCTGACACAAAAATTAATCTTTGCCATTGTTTTGCGGGGATTGTCCAAATTAGCGGACTTTTTTGATTAATAATCTGCTTATAATTACAATTCCCTCATTCGCTTTTTTAACCGACGGTTGCTAGAACAGCGGGACGGATGCAAAATTATGGTTTCCGCTGGCTGATTGAACTCGTGTTTCAAAATAGATATCTCTAATGGGGTCCCATCTTGGCAGTTCAAGATTTATAATTTCGTCTGACAAATCAGTTTCTGAAACATATTGTAATTTATGTTCCAGTTTTTCCGATTGAAGTTATTGCCGTTTTTGTATTCCATTTCGAAAATTTATGTTTAGTCAACATATAGAAGCATTTTTTTTTTTGGTCTAAGCAACCAATCAATCTACAACCGTAAAACTCTACAAGTAAATATCAATCAAATAAATGTATATGTACGAATAAATTAACACAAACTATAAATAAATAAATATTGATTTTCTTTAAACAGTTGGAGCAGCAGCCTTAACTTCTGGAGTAGCTTCATCAGCATAGGTCTTGAAGTTTTCAACAAACTTACCAGCAAGTTTGGAGAGTTCAGCATTGAATGAATCAGTACCCTTAGTCCAAGATCTAGCTGGATTAAGGATTTCGGATGGAACACCTTCAATAGCTTTTGGAATGTTCAAGTTGAAGACTGGGAAGGTTTCGTATTCAGCCTTGGCTAATTCACCAGAATGTATAGCATCCAAAATAGCTCTAGTGTATTTCAATGGACATCTCTTACCACCAGTGGAAGCAGAAGCACCAACCCAACCAGTGTTCAATAACCAAGCTCTAGCCTTGTGTTGAGAAATCTTGTCAGCCAATTGTTGAGCATACTTCATTGGGTGCAAGACCAAGAATGGTTGACCGAAACAAGCAGAGAAAACGGCAATTGGTTCAGTGACACCTTCTTCAGTACCTGGAATCTTGGAAGTGTAACCGGAAATAAAGTGGTACATAACTTGTTCGTTAGTTAATTTAGAAACTGGAGGTAAGACACCGGAAGCGTCACAAGTCAACAAGATAATGTTACTTGGGTGGACATCGGCCAAACATGGAATCTTAGCAGATGGGATGAATTCAACTGGGTATGAACATCTGGTGTTTTCAGTAATGGTAGAATCACTGTAGTCAACAACCTTGGTTTCTGGGTCATAAGCAACATTTTCCAAGATAGCACCAAACTTGACAGCATTGAAAATTTCTGGTTCCTTTTCAGCAGATAAGTCAATACACTTGGCATAACAACCACCTTCAATGTTGAAAACACCTTGGTCAGACCAACAATGTTCATCATCACCAATCAACTTTCTCTTTGGATCAGCAGAAAGGGTGGTCTTACCAGTACCAGAAAGACCAAAAAATAAGGAGATATCATCATCTTGACCTTGGTTACATGAAGAGTGTAAAGTCAAAACTTGGTGCTTGATTGGCATCAAGTAGAACATAACAGTAAAGATACCCTTCTTCATTTCACCGGCATATTCAGTACCCAAGATAACCATTTCCATGTCCTTGAAGTTAATTTCAACAGAGGTAGAAGAAGTCATACCCTTGGTGTGAACATTAGCTGGGAATTGGCCAGCATTGTAGACGGTAAAATCTGGTTCACCAAAGTTTTCTAATTCTTCTGGAGTTGGTTTAATCAACATATTGGTCATGAATAAAGCATGGTAAGCTCTAGCACAGATAATTCTGACTTTAATTCTGTATCTTGGATCCCAACCGGCAAATGCATCAACTACAAACAACTTTTCTCTAGTTCTCAAGTAATCTAAAGCTCTAGATCTAGAAATCTTCCAAGTTAATTCGTTAACTTGCTTGTTAACTGGACCCCACCAAATGTTGTGAGCGGAGGTACTTTCTTCAACAATACGTTTATCCTTTGGAGATCTACCAGTCTTCTTACCAGAGAAGGCCATAAGAGCACCAGTAGAACTAATGGTGGTACCTTTTTCAGTCAAACCGTCTTCGTAAAGGGTTGGTGGAGCAGCATTGTGTCTGATAATAACATCTGGGTTAAGAGACAATTGGTGGACTAATGGGTCTTGGTTGGACTTAATGTTGGCCTTGTTACCGAAGTCTAAGGCGGATTCAACAGCAGCAGGAGGAGGAGCCATATTGGATGTGTTTGATAAACTGGTAGTTATATGGATCAGTTTTCTTGATTGATAAACTGAAGAGTAAAAGAGGAATTTTTCAAGATTTAATCGAAAGGGATTTTTCCAATTATTTATACTTTTGAAAAAGGGGTGATGATATTGAATAAATTTCAATTGGACATAAAAGATGTTACAACTCATAATTGCCAGTAGCCCTAACCTATTACCCCCGGGCAGGGCGAAAGGAATTTAATTTTTTTTTTTTTTATTTTGCATATTAAAGCTTAAAAAAAAAAAAGTCATGTAAGTTCTCACAAGATAGAAGAAAATAATAATAATTCTTACATAAGATTGAAAAATATTTTTTTTTTTGGTCCGAATTCTGGGGAAAGGAGAAATTAGGAACGTTTGATTGTTCGTCCAATGGAGCCTCCGGAAACTTTCGGATTTTCCACTTTTTATTTATTTTTTACTGGCACACACTTTTTTTTACCAGCAATAGAACGTTGCTGCGTACAAAATAATTACCCCGGGATAAATTGGATTCTCCAGATTCCCGGAAGAAAGGAACTGTTTACATGCGGATTTGCAAAAATCTCGGATACTGGGGTGAGGTGATGATAGTGACGAGATTATCCTGGCTTACACAGCCATGGATCGAGGCATACATAGTAGGGAGATTTTAAAAATAATAAAACAGCTGATAAAGACAAGAAAAGGAGTAAAAGAAAAAAAACTATACAGTTTCGCCTAGAGGAGAAATCTTCGTCCGTTTTGAGTTACGATTCCTTATATCTTTTGCTCGCCCTACAGAAAATTGCGTCACAAAATTTTTCAGAAATTTCATAACTCTGTTGACCGGTTGGTGGTATTGATATTTTGTAATTACTATTTGTAAGGGTTTCATTCTAGTAAGTGAGTTGGATTCTCTACTGAATTTCTTGGTGTTTGAGGAGAGGGAATGCGCCAACTTTTTTTTTATTTTCCCACTCTCTCGGTTTGCCGCACGGTTTCAATTTATTCGGGTGATAATTCCACACACACAAACCTATTTTGTCTGCAGGAGTTTGGACTTAACTCACCAGATAACATCAAGGATTCTCAAGTGTGTTCTATGAAACTCCACTCGATTACACGGCCTCTTGAGGAATATACCCCCTAAATTAGTTTCAAGACAGTGCATCAAAACCAGGTTATAATTAAACTTTTTTGGAACCACTAAACTTATAAATTGGATGACTTTTTTTTTCGCTCCTCTCCCCCCTTTGTTCACCCCACGCTCCACAGCAGCAAGATGCACTACCGTAATGCGGCTATAATTCCGTGTGTTGCTTTTTTCTTTCTTTTTTTTTCTTGCCTGCAGCCGGAAAAAGCTTGAAATGTCAAACATGCTCGGAGGTACGTTCCGCGACTATATCAATCCCACATAAAAACATATACACACACATAAACAATACAAAGAAATTGTGTGGTATTTTTTTCAAGAAACAAGGTGGGGAGGAGGGTGCAGGATTCATACCTCCCCTCCTTTATTTCGGATCCATCGCGCAAAAATACGTCAAAATCAGGACATAGGAAACAATACCATGAGGTTTGCTGGATTGCCAACCCGGGCATTCCTAGATTTTCCGTTCTCGCTTGCTAGATACAGCCTAGAGCAATGTTAGTAAATATTATATTCGACTGTTGACAATCTCGTTCGGATTTCAACGGAAATCGTTAAAATGTTTGTGATTTCGAGTCGGCTTAAGCATCCGAATGCCAGTACAACTACACATAAACTTGGTGGGGGGGGCAAGAGGACCAAAAGAAATTTTTACCAGATATCAGGTATTATCTGAAATGGGTACAGATCGTATTTAGATATACCCCTCTGTTTCAAAGCTGCAACATTTGATTTAATTGTGTTTCATATTTGTTTTTAAAAGTACAATTTTGGTAAGATTTTTGCAATTTCTTGCAGATTTTACTTAACCTTAAAACTCATACACTCTTGAAAAGTTAATCTTATCAAAAAGATCTCTATAAATAGACCTTGACTTACATGTTAAAGATCTTATAATATTAATCAGTACAAATTATTACATACAGAATACATTTCATGTTAAAAATACCTTCTCCGGGTTGGTACGTTTATCATAATAATCATAATAAGATTTCCACTCGTCAAATCCAATCTCTTTAACCCCAGAAATAGTCTTATCATCGAGAACATCCACCATAACACATTGATCGATCTGTGAATCCTCATTCATTGAAGATTTCAAAAACGTAATTGCACTACAAATTAAACCATACTTGAAAATATCAGCAAGGTTGGAATACAGCGGGTCAATCACAGGACCAATAATACCACCAGTCAACGGGATATCTTTTTCATTCGATGTGTCAACACATTCATCAATGAATGGATAAAACTTGGAAAATTGCGACTTATTGGTGAAAAATATAATACTACCAATAACCTTTTGATGTGTTGGTTCGAGGGCAATAATAATCTTGACTCCTAATGGTGACTGGTTTCTTATATGTTTAATAGCTTCAAGATATAAATTACTCTTGTTTAAACATGCATCTTCGTCATCAAGATTATCGTTAATGGAAGATTCAATCAAGGTCATCAATTTCTCGGAATCATTACAAATATCAAATCTTACACCAACAATCATCAATTCATGGAATATCTTTTTCGGAACAACCCAATTTTCTAAATTACGTATAATCATAATCTTCTTCTTGCGCGATCTTTGCCCTTCCAGGGACAAATTCCAACCAACTCCATTCATAAATGCTCGAACTCTGCTATTATTAAGGTTGGAATTATCATGTGCCATAATAAGGGGAAATGAACCTCCCAATTTGATACTGGTACATCCTTGTTCCTTAATCAAGTATCTGATGGCTCTTGCATGTAAGTTTTTACCTACACTTTGCAACCTCTTTGATTTATCAACCAAAATAAACAATATATGACCTGTTTTAGGTAATTCATGTCCATCACCAGTCAAATCGTTACTCACAGGTGTTTCATCAGCCCATGTTAAGACTACACCATACAAGATATTCAATGATGAATTACGAACCACAAAATGCTTCTGTTGTTTAGCAGTGGTTGCTAATAATCCATACAACCGCTTGTAGAATCGTTCAGCTTGATAATCAATCTTGTTCTTATTCTCATTATATCCGGAAACCTCCCCAGTATTGGTTTTCCATAACTTCACCAAACTGGTCCAATCTCGTTTCAAATCTAATTCATCCACCAACCACCTTCTCTTAGGCAAAGTAACTTTTCCAGGAGGTGCCTTGATTGACGAAGGTGGACTATTCAATTCATCAGTTAACCTTCGTTTCCTAATCAAAAACTTCTTTTCACCAGGTATACATCCTTCTGGGTCAAAATCTCCCATTATTGCCCCAACCAATTTTTCCAATGCGTTATTAGTATAGTCATAACAACACATATAAACACTACCAATACTTCTGCTGTAGAAGAAATCATAGGGTGACGAAGTTGCTACTATGATCAATGGTTTTGTTAACTGCGAATAAGTCGCTTGTCCTCCTTTGCTGAACGATGCTGGATTGGCTCCACACAAAATCGAAACATACTTCACGATACCTATTTGGTACATATTTCTGCTGGCTTCACTAGTCAAGACAATAACAATCTTGGAAGATTCAATCAAGGATTCATGTAACGGTGTTAACCCATTGGCGGTATATGTAGTATGAAGGACATTGTAAGATTTGGACTTGTTGATAGGATGGTTAGCCAATAAATCACCAAATTTTTGGAAAACTTCTTCTCCTGTAAATAAACGAGGTTGTCCATGTTTGTTACCAGGTGAAGGAGATCTTGTAGAACTATCATCGTCTTTTTCCTTGTCGTGATCATGCTCCGGATTAACTTGGTATATTGGATTTAACAAGGGGGTTAATAATAGAATCGAATCCACTTGTTGCTCTCCAGATTCATTTTCATTTAAAGGAGCTAAGAATTTTGAAATTGGTAAAGTTCCATTAAAATCACGAACCAACGTAATTGACTTTTGATAAGCCATCGATGATAACTTTTGATGATGTTGCCATAATTCTGGATATTCATATTTGAATAATGAAATTTTATCTTCTTTCGCCGATGCTTCTCCTCGTGGGAATAAATCGGACCAAGTTGGTGATTTCTTTTGCAATTTTTCAATTCTAGCAATACTAGCCAAGATAATTTCTTCATCCAAGTCACCATTATGGACTGCTTTTCTCATGGATTCCACTGCTTCATTCTGTAAAGCGAGATCATGACAAACCATAACAAGATCACACCCAGCAGATATAGCTAAAACCACACCTTGTCCTAAACCTATTGAATGATACAATGTTTCCATTTCTAAACATTCACTGACAACAAACCCATCGAACTTTAACTCGTTTCTTAAAAGCTGATTTATGATCATGGGCGATAAACAAGCATGGGTTTCATCGGGACTAATGTTAGGCACAGCACATCCAGCTGCACTGACACCATCTAATACTCCTTGCTCAATTAATTTGGCAAAGGGGACACTATTGAAATTTTTAACTTGGTCTAATGAATCTCCAATCATTGGTAGTTCTAACAATGAATCAACGGTGGCGTTTCCAATACCAGGGAAATGTTTCCCGACAGTAAACAACCCACCGTCTTGCAAACCCTTAGCACACATCATCCCGTATTTGACAACATCTTCTACAGTAGTTCCAAAACTTCTAACCCCAACCAATTGATGTGAAAGTTTAGTAACAACATCCAATACTGGGCCCAATATTATTGAAAACCCAATCTTCTTGAGCTCAATTGCTACAGCTTTGGATACTTCATACACCAATTGCGGATCACCAGTGGCAGCCAAAGCCATGGCACCAGGGTACTGAGTTAAGAAATCTGGGTCAAATAATGAGTTCATCATGCCACCTTCTTCATCCATGGCAAACAAAATGGGGTATTTATGTCCCTGGCTATAAGCAATATATTGTAAATCTTTTATAAGCTTTGTCATTTGTTCAACATTGACGGCATTCTTTCTTGATAAAAACATTGTCGATACTCTGTGTTCCACTATGAGGTGGTAGGCTTGCGGTGTCACGGTGGTACCTTGGAAACCACCGATAAGAAGTTGACCCACGTTCAACTTGGACATATCAGGCGAATCCATCTATCTAATTTTGATGTTAACAATGCAACGACTGGAACCTTGAAAGTAGTGGTAGAAATAGTGATGATAAAAGACGTTGGTTGCTTTTGATGTAACCAAGACTTTTATTAGAAAAAATTTTAGTTTACAACCAGCCAACCACAAGGTAAAAACTACCAAGAAAATTTTTGGTGGAGAAAGCAAAACCAAAACACACCAATTAACGATAAAAATATTTGGTGTGAATGAATGGGGGTGGATAACTTATGGACACATTTACAGGAGAAGTGCGGGAAGCGAGTCCTGCTTAAGCTGTTTGTCAACGAATGGCTAAAAGCAAATCACCGGCGCCTCCGAGTGGCTATTGATGGATACAAGTTTGTTTTTGAATCGACCCATAAAAGTATTCCTGGTAAAGACAAGGATAATATCATGATTGAAAATTTTATGGCCAAGATTTGGGCTTTGGTTCCCCTCAATATTTCTTTTATTATTGTGTTTGATGGGGTGTACAAACCAGTCAAAAGGGACTATTCAAGAGCTTCATTAGGAAAATCGTATGAGGATGATCTTGAAGTGTTCCAAGCAGCCAATTGCTCGCATTATGCAGCAGGAGATAGTGATGTCATTAAACTATTGAAACAAAGATTAAAAGTAGAAAAAATCAACTTTGTTCAAGCTCCTGGTGAAGGGGAAGCCCAATGTGCATGGATGCAACAACTTGGCCTAGTTGATTATGTCATAACCGATGATAGCGATGTATTTGTATTTGGGGCAACAAAAGTTTTAAAAAATTTTAATCGTCGACATGTCGATGATACCAAGTCATCTCCTAAGAAAGGGATGGATAATACTCAATATTATGTGACTCCTGTCGATATAAACAAGGGAGAAGAATCAGGAGAATTCACTTTAGAAAAGTTGATATTTTTGGCTTCTCTACGAGGTGGTGATTACTCAAATGGTGTCGGGAGGATCGGAATTAAATATGCAATACTTTTAGCATTGCCTTCAACCAGTGAAAATGCCACCGAACTTAAGCAAGAGCTTGCAAATGAACTTCAAAAAGTAGAAGGAGACGATTTAGAAGAAGTTCCAGAAGAAAAACCAGTACCTAACTTTGCTGATGAATTTGTTGATTGTTTTACCGATCGTATCCGGACCAGTTTGATTCGTTCCTGGGATATGAGATTAGCAGAAGATGCAAGGAAACGACGACTTCGCGAATTTCTGCATAGACTTAGTTTGTACATCAGAGACCATGCTCGAAAGGTTTTCAAACGTCGATTTAACCTCAAGAAAGATATTGTAATTGATGAATATGCAACCATGCATTATATGTTCCCATTTATTAATACGAACGTGTTTTTGTTTCAACCCGACAGTCTCAACTGCTGTGAACTTGAAGCCGATTGTTCAAGTATTCAGGTACCTAATAACTTTCTATTTCAAAAATTTGAAGCAAAATCCGAAGAAAACATCATTCGTGAAAATGGCAATAAAACTTTTGATCAAGTGCTTTGTTTTAAGGATGGAAAAATCAAACAAGTTATTACAGTGTCTCAAACCCATCCAGCAGTCACCCACTTTCCTGTTCCTCGCTCATTTACGGGAAACGTTAAGCATGTTATATTTAGACTCGCAACTGACAAGTCGGTTCCAATTACAATCACGAAGGATAGAAGTGATGACGAATTTGATGAATGCAGACTAACCTGCGATGCAACCACAGTATGTGAACGAATACCACACTGCAAAGAAGCTAGTAAACCCTTGAAAAATCTACAATTTCTGACGTGGGTGCTCAAATCTTTAGTTTACATGTATCTTGAAGATATTCACCAGGCTTACGAAAATGAAAAGCAACAAAAGGAAGAATTGAAGAAACAAGAAAACACTAGAAGTTCTTCACCACGGAGGAAAGGAAGTAAGAAATTTCCAATTCAGAAAACAACCTTAGATAGTTTACAATCTAACTTGTCGTTAACTAAGAAAACGAAGACTAACGTTTCATCAGTATCTCCTGAACATAAAAAGCCTAAACGGAGAAGTGCTGCTAAAAGGGAGGAATTGCCATCTGGACAACGTCAAATTGATTCCTTTTTTGGTAAGAACACATCGAGTAATAAGAACGAAGAAGAACAACAACAACCAGATAGTACAGATCTAATAGTGCCCAACCAACAAAACTACAATACCTCAGAAGAAAACCCATTTTTAGAAGAAACAACATCCCGCACGAATTCCCCATCTCAACAACATCCAAACCATACCTCGCTGGACTCCAATTACCAATTATCAAGTCAACCCATTGATTTTAGTGCCATGAATCATAGAACTATACCAATCATCGATATTGCTGATGATGACGGCGACAACGAAGCAAACGATTCTAATGATGTGTCACTAGTAGAGATTTCAAAGCTGGCCTTTGAACTCTCGCGATTTCCAGTTTAAGCGTGCGGCTGAAAAATCATGTCGATTCTCAGATCATTTTTAAGCCCACTAAAACAAAGCAACCAAACTTGTTTTAAGCTTAAATACTCTTTTTAATAGATTTATACCATATAATCAAGCCCCTTCCCGATTCGTAGATCCAAATGACGAACTGGTCAACCCCCACAAAGAAGATATATGATGCTTCTGACCTCAAGAATTTTAAAAATTCAATTGCTTTTGTGAAATTGCAGAGAAGTTTAGATTTTATTATGGAAACAGTTCAAGGTTGTAAAGTCCCCAAGGACATGTTAAATATGGATATTGTCACCCGTTCAGGCAAACAATCTACTAAAGTATCTTCAATAGTTACAGCTATACCTGAAAATACTCAATCAATGCCTCCTCCTTCCCCAACTCCAATTCTAACAAATGAATTCAGTTCCAATACTTCCGGGTTAATCAATATATTTAACGAGTTGAATAGACTTATAGACGAGACACCTCCTTTGAAGGGACCTACAAGATTTGGAAATTTAGCATGTAGAACGTGGCATGATAAAGTGAACGTATGCCTAACATCTTTAATAAAGGAAAACTTACAATTTCCTACCCGGTTAGATGTTGATGGATTCTTATTAGAAGCTGTTTATTACATACAAAATTCCTTTGGGTCAAAAATAAGATTGGATTATGGAACAGGACATGAATTATCTTTCATTGCATTTCTTGGAGCATTGTTAGACTACAAAATCCTTGACTGTCCCAAGGGAGAGGAATTATTAGCTGTGTTTGCCAAGTATTACGACCTTGTTCGTCGTTTGATTCTTGATTATAATTTAGAACCAGCAGGGTCACATGGTGTATGGGGACTAGATGATCATTTCCATTTCATGTACATTATTGGTGCCTGTCAATTCAACACTGACAAATTAGCACCTGTTGTACTGCGAGTTCTAACAAGCCAAGTTATAAATTCATATAAGCAGTCGAATTTATACATTAATGCAATTGCATTTATATTTAAACTTAAAATGGGACCATTTAACGAACATAGTCCGATAATATATGATATTCACACAACAGTGTATCTGTGGGCCAAAGTAAAACAGGGACTCATTAGAATGTACATGGTGGAAGTTTTGGGTAAATTCCCAGTGATTCAACATTTCTGGTTTGGAGACATCTTATACCCTTGGACAGATATCAAGACAGGAAAGGAACTTCCCGTTTATCAAAAAGATAACCAAAATGAAGAGAAATCAGTGCAGTCCCACAATACCAACATTAAAATAAATCCTCCCTCATCGCGAGCAGGTATCCCGATGACTGCAGCACCATGGGCAAATACTGCAAGGCCATCAGTCCCTCATAATCGCCATACTACACCTACGACTACAACAAGTAATTACTCTAGTAAATAAACTAATTTAATAACTAATGCTAAGATCTCCCCACTCTAAAATTAAAAGCTGAACGACAAAGAGGACACGTACTACTTCCCGAACTCTTGAACCATTTGTAGAGACAAGCAGCATGGAACTTGTTGGAACAAGTTGGACAAGTCTTTGAAGGAAGCGACAAATCTTGATGAAGAATCGAGTAACAAATTGCACAATCTTCGAATCCCGAGAAATGTAAATTAACATTCTTACAGAACAATTCGATTGAATCAATAATAGACCCATTGGTTAATGAAATAATTCTTTGAGATGCCAAGAGCCAAGCCTTCCATTGATTCTCCTTAACACCCAAACGTAACGGACCTTCAACTGTGACATTAGCTAACGGATAATTGTGCGGTATTTTAATCACCATTTCCATCTTTTGCTCATCAATAACATAAGTGGTTCTGATTTCATTAGTCACTTGATTAACTTTAATACTCAAGTTTTCTTCTTTTCCTTGAATCTTGTCCTTTTCTTGTAACACTTGTTCCATGATATTCGTAATCAAAATTGAAGATACATATTTGGCAGATGACTTCTCAATCTTTCCTTTGAGTTGCTTATCACGGAGTTGCTTAAACCAATATTGAACCTGAGAGCCACAATAATTTAAACATTTATAGTAAATATGAACTATGAGATATTTAATTTCATTCTTCAAATCCTCTGTGCGTGCTGTTTCTATTAGATCGTAGTTAGGAATACGATTTTCAATAACACCATCATCTTGCTTGAATACCAAACTAGAGAAGAATTTATCACTAAAGTCCATATGTTCGGCAATGAATTCAAACAAAACTTGAAGTTCATTATGCTTGGACAATTGATTGATATAATCCGACCTTATTTTAAATGTCGAGTCCTCAAAATACGTGAAAATCAAATACCAAGCCCATAGATATTTCGTAAAATCATAATCATCTAATTCCAAAACAACATACTTCATATTTCTAATAATACTTATGAATTCATCCAATATTTTAGCTTCTATACCACCTTCTTCATCTTCACCTAGTTTGGATTTCAGTAATTGATATTCTACCACAAAATCTTCTTGTTCTTTCAAAAGTACTTGCCTTAAATATGAAGCAGTAACCCTTTGAGTCAGAATCAGTCTCGAAGATGAAAATGTAGAAACCAATTTCATCTTTTCATTTATAAGAACTTTTGTTGGAATGTCACTTTCTTCAAGAGCTCGTTGTGAGATTTGCTGGTTCAATACAGTTGCTTGATTATCTATTTGAATGCTATCTTCAGCAAGGAAAATTTCAAGAAGGTCATTGTAATCATCTTCAACCGAATCTTTCAGAATCTTATTTATCAAATTGTATAATTTAAACGTATAATATTTCAAGTCAGCTCGTTCAGGGTCAGCCTGAATAACACCTAAATTGTCTTTTAATACTTGATTTGTCAAATCCCAATAATTATCGGGAATAGTAATTTGTTTCTGCAAAACAAATCCCAAGAATCTGGCAACTTGAACTCTAATATCTATGAATTCTGGGTCATAAGCAATAGACGAGTCAAACCAGCTGGATATTTGATTCAAAACCATGGTAAACTTCATTATTGGTAAAAAGTCAGCTTTATCTTCAATATTGTAAAATAGAATGCTGTAAGTTAACCATTTCAAACCTTGTTCCACGATATCTGATTCCTTTCTTACACCCAAGATTTCAGAAAACACATACTGTCTAATCCGATCCAATTTCTTGGAAGTCAAGAACAGAGACATTCCACTAATTACTGACACAAATTTCAATGAAGATTTAACAAGTTTCGTGTAATTGATCTCTTGCAGCTCAAAATTACTCAAGCTTTCATTTTCAAGAGAATTCTCGATGATTTTCTTCACCGCCCTGGCAGCATAAAACGAGTAAATATCATTTTCTTCTGCAATGGAAAACAAGGTAGCAATAATTGAATCGGAGTTACCATTCAATGCTCCTACAACGTCAGCGAACGAAATAGCATTCAAGGTATCATTGACGAATGTATCCAACTCACTCAATATTTCCGATACTTGTTCAAAACTGAAGTCTTTAGAGTTTTGAATAAATACATAATCGGAAATATATTCTTTCACAAGCAATCCAAGAATAATGATCTCATCAGTGATAGATTCCGGGGCCAATGATACAATAAATTTACCAAGCACAGGACCAAACTCGCTAATTGCAATAACATGCGGTTTCTGACATAAGTAAATGACCAGCTCTAGTGGATTTGAGATAGCCACAGTATTCAAGTCTATTTGATTCGTGATTGTCTTCAATTCTTTGGTGAGCATAGAAGCTGGAATTGGTCCAGAACTAATGAATTTTCCAATTTCTGTCAAATTATCTCCCAATGTACAGCTTGATAAAAACTTATGGAAACTAGTAATATACGTTTCTTGATTCTCACGTAAAGATATCAATAAATCCTTACAGGCTGGATTATCCACACTTTTCCATGCTGATTGTACGATCTTATCAAACTCCATCGATCCACGCCCTCTAAGCAACAAAGGAAGGAGATTGTAACGATTCACAAGCTCAACAAAGTGAATAGAAGATTTATCATCAACAGTGGCACGAGAAATCACATTATTCAACACTTCTTCTTCAGAACTAATACTTAAAATAGTTTCTACCTGTTGTTCACTCAAGTCTTTTCTTTGTGATAATTCTAAGATGCACGAGTAAAGGTCTTCATACTGTTCTGGGTTAATTTGTACTAATCCTTTCAATGACAACAAAAAGTTTTTTACATTTGAAGGAGATACCATAGTAAGCTTCAAGTAAAAGTCATTTATAATATCGACTAGTTGTGCCTCTGTTATACATCCTTTTGTGATGGCAGTGTGAAGCAAATCAATTGGAATATCAATAAATTCATCTTCGACATAGGCTGGTAATACTTCAATGAATGCAATAACTTCAGGAATAAAGTGGACTTCTGTTTGCAAGTATACCTTTATGACCGATAAAAGGAGTTTTAAATTAATATCAGAATTCTCCTCAAGTTCTTGAATAATATGTTTGATACAATCCTCAATTAGCCCGTTCATGTTTAACTTCTTCAATAAAGCAAAATACTTTTCTATAAAATTCTTTTCAGGAACTGTTAGAGACAAATCCGTAGCTAATTTGCCAGTCACAATTTTGTTTTGGATAGTTAAATTCAATTTGTTCAAGGCATCATTCATATAGTCTAAATTCAGTTTAAACCTGGAAGCAATAGTGGTTACTATTTCATCACAAGAGCTTTGTGCTCTGATCGTAGTAAGATTATTTAAAACCGTGACAAGCGTTTCATAAATAGTTCCAGATTTTGAAGTATCGGGTAATTTAAAAATTTGCACAACATGGAAAAGGCAATCTAAAGCTGATGCTTTAAACCTAGGTTGGTTTGATGTAAACTGCTTTAAAAATAAGCCAGTGATATATTCGAATTCATCTTCACTAACAAAGTCAACAACAGCAGCCTCCTCTTCTTTTTCATATAATACCTGAAAAACATCAAAGAGTTTGCAAATAAGTTGGTAATAGATAGGGTCCAGATTACAACTTCCAATTCTTAAGTATTCGTAGAATCTACCAACGGCTTTGCTTCCTCCTAAATTCCAGAAATTTTTCTTTACTTTAAATCCTTGATCACTTGCTTTTATGCTAAAATCAGTCAAGGTAATAATAGTACTCCAAAATTGAAGAATAACATTTGAATATATAATGGCACCACTAGATGATTTGGAATCATTGACTAGTTTTATTTTAAAGAACCTTTTGGAAATTGTTTTGTAGATTCCCTTGATATCTTTGATTTGAGCAATAAATTTATTGGTCTTGTTCATATCAAAAACTCTTGAAAGTAGCATCAAAAGTGATTTGAAAAGAGGGAGATTCATTGTATCCCCTTTGATAGAAGAACCTAACTTATCCCATAATAGTTCCAGGTTCAAAATATTTTCAATTTTATTTAAATCTTCTTTTGAATCAATAGTTAACTTGTCGTCATTGATTAGGGAAATCAATTTCATTAACATGCTTAAACTACTGCTTAATGCTCTGTCATACTTTAAACTTATTTCAGATTCACTTGTGTATCTCTTGTCAGACATGGTTTCTGGACCTTCTATTACCACAATGGTAGCAATTAAGTTGAGAATTGCATCTGCAAATATGATCCAAATTTTCTCATCCACTCTTGATTTATCATTTTGGAATGATTCAAGTAAGCCTGTGTATGCTGTGGAAGACACACTTTTATCTGCATCAAATACTCCTAATAACCACACTGGCAAACAACTCTTCAAATACTTGCTGAATGTCTTACCTCCAACTTTTTTCAAATAGGTTGCTTGCGCCTGATGAGCCAATACTCTGATATTCCTTGAGTTTTCAATGGCCAATTTAGGATACGTCTGAATCCATGCAGAAATTGTTAAATAGTCAGATATGGAAGCTTCATTTTCACTAGACTCCAAATAGGTAATGAAATCAGTTAATGCTTTTTCTTTGGTCTTTGGATCTTTCTTTAGGAATGATTTGAAAATAACAGTCAATTCAGAACTTACTATCAGAACAACATCTGGGAGTGATGTAAAGTAATTGAGTGACACCTCAAATCCATTATATCCCAAGTCACCAGTTAGTTGGTCTTCCTCTCCTCCCATAGTTTTTAGGTGTTGAATGTTCTTATGTAAAGCTTATCAATTACGGTTGAAGCAGGATAAAAAAAAAAAAGCGGCGAGCTGAAAAATTTTTGTGATCACTTAGTAATTAGTCACAATACTGAATAATGCAAATGTATTCTATAAACTGAGTTTAGTAATTCGTGGTATTGCTAGTTAGTACTTACCATGTGCTAGGCTCCGATTTCTTCATAAAACTTCTTTACTACTTCAGAAGTCATGACTTTACTGGGATGAAAATTACGAATTTCCAAATGTTCCTTTGTGATTGCTCGAGACAAAGCCACATATACCTGCCCCATTTCAAAACTTTTTCTCAAGTCAATTCTCAAACGATCAATTGTTTGCCCTTGAGCTTTATGGATTGATATTGCCCAAGATAACAAGAGAGGCAATTGAGTTCGAATTAAAGCATCAGGCGTTCCTTGAACTTGGGATGAAACGGTTTTCCGGGCATTCAATTCAATTTTGAATTCTTCCCTATCTACAATGACAATATGGTCCATTCCATTAATCTTAAAGTTTACCACTGGTAAGATTTTCCCAGGTTCTTCTTGGCTAGCTTTACCACAAAGCAATTGAAAAATGGGTTTTCGTTCTGGTGGCACACTTTCTATGAATTTTGTTTCGTCTGCAGTTAATTCGGTAGTTTTACCGATTCTTGATGATAAAAATTTCATTTCCTCCAACATTGAGTCATTAAAAAGTTCCAAAGGACCATAATGCTCTAACACTTTAAGGTGCAATAGGTGTGTACTGAAAAATAGGACAGTTCCAATAGAACCATTGACCAATTGATCATCTACATTCTTAAGGTTCATAACTTGGGCCCCTACTTTCAAAGTTAATATTTCCTCGCACATGAGGTTATCTAATTGTTTCTTAAGGAGTGGATTGACGACGTTATCAACTGCTTCAAACACATATGCTTGGGAATTCAATTGATTTAACCGGGCAAAATTGGCTCGTTTAACTTCATTTCTAGTAGGGAATAATTCGGTTGGTTCAATTCCATCCTTATATTCCACTTTTCTAGAAAGACGCATGAATTTGTCAATTATTTCCGGTTGCAATTTACCAAATCTTAATGAATTAAGCATGTCAATAAGTTCATTATCACCCTTTTGTCTAAAGATCTTTCTAAGTACGATTGTCTTTGTAATGACCTTGTTCCAAGTCTTGGCTTGAAAACAAAATGTAGCCTTCCTATCCTTGGACACTGGTGGTAATTGAAAGAAATCACCAGTACACACGACTTGAATACCTCCAAATGGCTTTGAATTGCCTCTAATTATCCTAGCCACTTCTTCTATCTTGTCGAACAACAACCCTTCGATCATTGAGATTTCATCGATAATCAAAACTTTGACCATTTGCCATCTTCTCAAGGTAGACTGGTTCTTTTTTATCCTTTTGCTCATTTCAAAAGGACTTCCATCCCCAAGACCAATACCCAAGAATTTATGCAAAGTTTGACCTTGAATATTGCAAGCAGCCATCCCGGTTGATGCAGTAATTCCCACATTATCTCGATATATCTCTTTTAATTTTCGGACTAGTTCACGTAAAACCACGGATTTACCTGTACCGGCACTCCCGGTATAAAACACATTTTGTTTGTCATGTACAACGGCCCTGACAACTGAGTTTTGTTCTTCACTTAAAATAGCACTGCTAAAACCCGGGTCACTAGGCTTAGTTGCCGATGAATTATTTCTGAGTAATTTGGGGACTTTTCTGGCCTGGCCAGACAAATTATCTAAGAAATCAGAAGTGTTAGATCTCTTCAAAGATGTCAGACCAAATGATTGTGTTTGTCTGGTATATTTGGTATCAGTGGAGTTAGTATCATCTTCATCCAGGATTTCGATGATCTCTGACTTCTTTTCAGAGGTCGTTGTGCTGGATTGACCGTGTCTATTGTCAAATGATTTGGAAAGTGTGGGATTCCGAAAGTTGTTAATTTCGATGCTGGTGTCAAAAGATGTGTCTGAGCTTGCTGGGTCATCAAATCCAGAAGAAGAAGTCATAGCCTTGGACAAAAATGAATCTGACCTAGTTAGTGATGATGTTATAGACTTTCCATTGTAAGTTGATTTTCCGTTGGGGAAGCTGCCTGTTTTGGATGTGATATTCCCTGCCTTAATAGGTTTTGAACTGGCAAAAAAACTGGAAATGGTCGGTTGGGTCCTTGAAGTGAGCGTAGGTCTTTGTTTTCTTTGAGTTGTCATACTTAACCTAACAGATCTTACTCCTTACCGCCACCTTACCTAGTAGAAAACTTTGCAACAAAATTCCTGATTTTGAGTAGGACGCGCGTTGCATGAAATGTAAACAAACCAAAAAAAAAAGAAAAAAAAAAATTCTCTGATCGGCACGTGACCGTTCGTTTAAGGAAACGAGAATGCTAATGGATATGTAGCCCCTTGATGTCAATATTACTACAGCAATTGTTATGTAATTTTGTGTATTACATACAATATCAGGATAGTGGAGCCCTTCTACGTACTATCTCATTCATAATTCGTTTACTTTTGCTCTGGGTTTTGCAGTAGATGTCGTATAGACTAGCTCACCATATGCAGGAACCAAAGTGGGATCAAAAAGCCTGTCGCTTTTTTAGATCAAAAGTTTTTATGTACAATGGGAAAATAGTGTACTGGGCACTAATTAACAACATCCTTTACCACAAGTTATAACTTGCATCAAGGGGCACCACACAGGGTGAACACGTTAAATCTCCACATATTTTTACATTCGTTAAACAACACCGAATTTCCATTCTATTATTTTATTTTTTTTAAGTCCCACTTTACCTTTTTGACGCTTGTCGTCAATTTGATTTTACTACAACAAGATTTACATCTGTTTCACACCATAATTATATAATACAACTACTGGAAATCGATTCATCCAACTCAAACTAAACTAGTTCCTGCAATAGATTACCCTCGCCTGAAATGAAAGGTGACCCACCGGCTACAACTAATTTGGAAGAATCACATGATAGCCATGACAATAGAAACAAGAGGTCAAATGTCCTGCTCTCTAAGAAGATAAAGAGTTTGAAGAAATCAACTTCAAAAACACTTTTAAGTTTTGCCCAGCCAAAGGAAACAGGAACCGGTTTCACAAATTCAGCCAACTCAGCTGATGATACCACCGCCACTTACTTTACACTTTTGCAACATGATTCAAATTTAAATGATCTCTACGATAACAGCTACTTACGAAATACCAGGAAGATTTCTCCTGATTTTAATAGAGTGGGAAGCTCTGAGAGTTTTTCTGCACTAGATCCCAGACGACAACAACAAGTAACTGGCCCTTCCAATGTTAGTGCCGTTGGCCTACATCTTGTTGGTTATGGGTTATCCAATGATGATTTTGCACCACCCAAAGCTTTAGAGCGTGTTTCTTCAACGACATCATCATTATCATATTCAAGCGATACAGACTCACTTCACCTAAAGTTTAAACGAAACCAATCCCCTACAATGCATGTAACTTCTAAATTCAACCCTACTGCTACAGTTGATTCATTTACCACAGTTTCAAACTTTAAGCATCAACTACCAAAACCAGAAATTGTGGATACATTATTTGAAAATTTGTTAGCTATACGGGTTTTTCCAACGGAAGCTATTCAAGCTTTAAGGAACCAATCAACTCAAAGGAAATGGGAGCTCCTTTTGCGAGAAAATGAAACCAATGAACAATTTGATTTAAATTCGTTATCACGTCAAGCTAGTAATCGCTTTGGCATGCATGATCCATTAGTTCTGCTGCCTCACATACCCCAATCTCAGTTTAGAATACCGTCCACTGAAGAGTTAGCTCCATCTGAATTACTACCTCCTCCAGAAGTGCTTCCTAAAACCAGAAATGTGGGAGTTACTAGAATCGTGACTGAAATTTCTCCTAAAAGAAATCCATCTATAGAATCATCGGGTTCGGCATCATTGTTGTCAGGCGAAAGTGAAGGCATTTTAGGAATGATGAATAAAAAATTCAAAATCAAGGATGGAACACCTGAATGGTATGTTATGAGAATGATGTCTAATAAATTGAGCATTAAAGATTTTAAGAAGTTGGAAAAGAAATTAGCAGATAATATATTCTCGACAAGACAAGGTATCAGCTGGATTCAAGGCTTTTGCAATGCACAAGGAGAGCCTGCCCTTGCAGTTATTCTTGGAAAAATTAACAAGAAAAGTTTTAAATCAAATGAAGAGTTTGATAAAGAATATATCATTGTTAAATGCTTGAAACATATATTGGATTCTGAAAGGAAAGAAGATTTGTTACTTGATGAAGAATCTTCAACTTATCCATTATCAATCAAAAATAAGACTCATGTAATCAAGTCGTTGGTTTTTTCATTGATCTCTCCACGATTAACAACACGTATCCTAGTTACAGAAGTTATGGTAATGCTCATGTTATACCAAAAGAAGGTCTTGCTTACTAGTGCATGTCAAGGTTTAACCTCGTTACAAAATCTGGTAGGGGATCATCTGAAATTTCAACCGTGGCTAAATGCCTTTGAAGAGTTGATTAATAAACGTCCAACTAATACTACAACTGGATCTGGACATTCAAATATGAAAAATTATTGTGTCATTACATTAATGTTGATTAATTCTATGGTTGAGTTATCGAGTTCACTTAAAGAACGTATTCAAATACGGCGGGAACTTGGAGATGCGCATATTGTAGGGATTTTGGAGAAATTGAGGTTAATGGAGGATAAGCGAATTGATAATGAGATTGAAAAGTACGAATATTATGCTGAAGAGGATTATAACACATACATGACCCGTCGTCAAGCAAAATATAATAAAGATCTCCCACGATTGCCATCATTGCATAAACTTGATATTCCTGATTATGTTGACTATGCAAGTTTGGATGATACCTCACAAGAGTCACAATATCAGAGTCAGTTTAATGTGGATCTTGAAGATGTTCCTAGTCCAGATATTGACTACGTTGAACCAGAAGAAGTGATTATTGATGAAAGAGAAAAAGTCTATCAGAAACCACCAAGTGATGATAAAGATGAAGAAGAAAATGTATCAAGCGATATTATTGGTGAAGTATTATCCAAATTGACCAGTTTAAAGAAAGGTAATCGAAGCTCTGAAAATTTCCATCATACATTAGTTCTTATTGATTCTTTGTTAGAGAATGTATCTAATAGATCTCATAACTTGGGAACCGAATCTGAACTGTCATTGAATATAACTGTTCATAAGTTAATGGATCGCCTATCCACAGATGATATGGCAAGAAGGGCAATTGCAGAATCCAAAAGTTTAGCTCGTGAATTGGAAATTCTTAAACAACAAAAGGAAGAACTTGAACTACAATTGGGAATTGATAAACTTAAAACGATTCAGTTATTACAAGATGAAAACGAAATTCAAAAATCTCAATTATCAATGCAGAATAAGCAAATTTCGTTGTTGCAAAGACAAATCAAGCAATTAGAAGATGACAAAGCTAGGGGAGGTACTCGAAACTTGACTCCGAATCATGCATTTAGTGTTGATAGTTTTAATGATGACCTTGGTAAAGTTTCGGGAGACGCTAAGATGTCTGAGGAATTGCGATCAATATTGAAAAACAAAACAGATAATGTTGTTGGATATCTGGAATTAAAGGATGAAGGGGTTTCGCATTACCATGTTCCAAGACCACCAACACCACCAATGATGTTCTCTTCCAGCTCAAGCCACCTGATGGATAGCGACGACACTAGAAAAGGGCATATTACTAGTTCGAAAACGATTAAAAGAGGAATGTCGCTTCATTTATTAAATGAACAATTGACTGGGAAAGAATCTGTTGGTTTGGATCAATCTTCTTCGATTACAACAGACGCAAGTGACGATGTAACTCAGATGCTGGCTCCTCCGCCACCACCACCTCCTCCTCCTCCTCCTCCTCCTCCTCCTCCTCCTCCTCCTCCTCCTCCTCCTCCTCCTCCTCCTCCTCCATTACCACCATTTATTCAAAGCGCTCCGCCTCCTCCACCACCACCTTTACCTGATTTTATGAAGCAACAATCAGCGGCAGCTCCACCACCACCACCTCCTCCTCCTCCTTTACCTTCGTTTATGGATAAACAATCAGCGGGAGCCTCACTTCCACCTCCACCACCTCCCCCTATGCCTACATTCATGCAAGGTTCAAGTGATTCCTTATCATCCCTAAACTCATCTACTGGTGTAACTCTTACTAACCCACCACCTCCTCCTCCTCCTCCCCCTCCCCCTCCTCCCGGAACACCACCTGAATTAATAACCGCTTCCAAGGGATTGACCATTCCCAAAAAACAAGAAGAGCCACAATTTGAACCCCAATTCATCATTCCTACTCTTCGTCCAAAGACCAAGATGAAACAAATGCATTGGGATAAATTAGATAATATTCAATCTACATTTTGGGACAATCTTGAATATGCTCCTCTTGCAGATCGTTTAACAGAACATGGAGTATTTAATGAAGTTGAAAAAGTGTTTGCTGCAAAAACTACGGCTATGAAGAAGAAGAAAGATATGGATGTTGGAGCTGATGCAGACAAACCACCACAAAAGGTTACATTTTTGTCACGCGATATGGCCCAACAATTTGGTATCAATTTACATATGTTTGCCAATATTTCGGAAGAACGATTGGTATTGAAGGTCTTGCGATGTAATTCAGATATTTTGGAGAATGTGAGTATATTGGAGTTTTTCAATAATGAATCTCTTCTTGAAATTAGTGATAGTTTATTCAGAAACTTGGCTCCATATTCGGTCGATTATTTACGACACCCAGCTACGAAGCCAAAGAAAGACCCCAATGAATTAGAAAGGGCTGATCGAATATTTTTGGAATTGTGTTACAATCTAAGACATTACTGGAAAGCAAGATCAAAGGCATTGTTATTTAGTCAAACTTATAGAAAGGATTATATGGATATGGTCAGAAAGTTGAATGCTATTGATGAAGCTAATAATTGTTTAAGAAACTCTGATAGTTTGCAACAAGTATTAGGGATAATTAGATCAGTGGGTAATTTCATGAATGATACCTCTAAGCAGGCAATGGGATTCAAAATTGGAACATTACAACGATTGAAGTTTATGAAAGATGATCTGAATTCGATGAACTTTCTCCATTATATTGAAAAAATTATTAGACATTCTTTCTCCGAATATGGATGTTTTATTGATGATTTAAATGCTTTGAGTTTTGTCCAGAATATTTCTATAGAACAATTGGAAAGTGATTGTGAAGAAATGTCTAAATCTATTCAAACTATTACCTATGCTATAGAGTCAGGAAAACTTAGCAATCCAGAACATTTACATCCTCAAGATAAGATATTAACAGCTATTAGTGCATCAATTCAAAACTCGAAAAAAAAGAATTCGCTTTTACAAGCACATTTGAAGAGAACAATGAGTGAATTAAAATCCTTGATGGCATATTATGGTGAGAATTTTGAAGATTCGAATAGCAAGGGTACATTTTTCCAAAAGTTCAGGGTATTCGTTGATGAATTCAAGAGAGCTCATGTTGAAAATATCCAAAGAGAAGAGGAACAAAAGGCTTATGAAGCACGTAAACAAATGTTGGAGAACAGATTGGCGGAGAAGGAACGAAAGAAGAAGGAACTTGAAGAAGAAGGTGCATCTGAAGGTGAACTGGTGAAAGATGGCAGCTACTCTTCAAACACTGAAGAAAAAGCAGTTATTGACAGTGTTGAAGAATCTTCTGCTGTTATTGATTTGTTATTAATGAAGTTGAAGTCTAATGCCCATGCCCATCCAATTAAATCAGAAAGAGAAAAGAAACAAAAAGCTAGAAGAAGCAAAGCATTATCATTCTATTCTAGTGTATCACTTGAAGAGCAAATAGAAACTTCTAGTCCTGCCGTTTCTACATCCGATTTAACTCAGTACGAAAGTGTTAATAGTTTAAAGAGAAGATTAACAAACAGGAGAAAACAGCATCACCACCAAAGTCAGACAGACCTGGAGGCACAATCTGCAGTTAGTTCGGATATAACTTCTAAAGCAGATGAAGTTATGCTGAGGGCGCAGACTATGTTGCTTCAATTACGAAATGAGAAACAAAGTACTGACGTTGTTGAAGTAATTGAGGTAGAAGATGAAGTTGAACGAAAAGATACTTTGGCTGATTCAGAATTATCAAAAGAGATAGAAGTATAAGTTTATTTATAGGTATAGAAGAATTTAGGGTAATTTATTATTATGTAGGTATTTAAATATAGTAACTTATTTATTAGCATCAAAAAATTTTGCAGTTTGGTTGCGAAAATTTTACAAAAATAAATACTATATACAATTAGTAGGAAATTACAAAATATCTAAGCTCAGAATACAGTTAAACACAACGATAAATCAATTCATAAGGGAGTAGTCTGTTACAATCTACAAGGATACCATTAACACTTGAAGATGTCACAAGGATAAGGAAATTTATACAACGAAAACGAATGTCAACTTGACTAATGTGGTGAAGTGATAACCTTCAAAAAACAAGACGGCAACTCCACAAGATTATCAGTAAATATGAAATTGCAAGGTCTAGAACTAGCGAGGAGACAATAGATTACTTCACTCTCTTGCTCTCTTGAATAATTGCGCCCTATTTCGATTTCAGAAAATAAATCTGAATCACACAAAAAAAAAGAAGTCAAAAATTTACCAGAGTCCAAATATATTTTCATATGCATTTCAGTTTTTAATGCACTCGTTGACTCTTCTTACAGAAGTCAAATCTTTTCTTAACCGTTTCACGTCAATTTACTGATTTAATTTTATTACTTGTTTTCTTTATTTTAACTCCCCCAGTATTTGATATTTTCATCAATAAGCTGGTAGTTTCGAGTATTTTAAATTATAGGTTTATGAATCTAGATTTGTAAGCGTATTTTGTGTAAACCGCCAAGTACTATCCATCCAATCAAATCTTTGCTAATCTCTGACTCATCGGAATAAAATTCCATTTACAGTGAAAAATTTTCAGTTCTGTTAGCGGAAACGGAGCGCGGATTGTCATTGCGACTTATATTCCTGCATACAAAATGTTCTATTATTCTCGTTTTAGTTCCCCTCCAGCCAAATCAGTGTTACAAAAATGGTCTAAAATTAGTCACCTTGAATTAATTATCATACTGAAACTAAGCCAAGAGATTTCGAATCCCTCATCGCCTTGAGCATCGGATAAATTGACGGGATTTGGCGTCACAATTTTTTAAAGTTCATTTTTTTCTTTTCTTAATTTGAAGTAATTATTCTTTATAATCCTTTCTATCATATTTGGTTTTGACTCATTAACCAACCCTTAGCCCATATTCCTAATTACCAAGCAAAGGTATATCAAGCATTGCAAAAAAAAAAAGCGTGAATCTAAAACTTTTTTTTTCATTTTCCGTTTATATAAGAACTTATTCTGAAAACTTGTGCATTGTCATATACATAGAGGTAATATGCTAAAATCCAGATCAAGTGTCCCTATTCTTAAAAGGGCAATAAAGTCTTACAGAACATTTTACAATTCTTCCATCAATTTGAATGCTGTTGTCGTTTCCGGAACAAAGTTGGCCAAATCCATAAGAACAGACATTGCTGAAAAGGTGATCTCATACAATTTACAACAGTATCAACATGACGTCCAAGATACCACTTTTGAAAAATTAAGATTCAAACCAAATTTGGTAATTATTCAAGTTGGTTCAAGAGCAGATTCATCAGCATATGTTCGTTCCAAATTAAAGGCTGCCAAATCTTCCAATATTAATTCAAGTTTGGTCAAACTCGATGAAAATATTGCTCAAGATGAATTGTTGGAAGAAATTGAAAAATTGAACAAGGATCCAAAAGTCCATGGAATTTTGATCCAATTACCATTACCAAAGCATATTGATGAAACATTGATTACAAATTCAGTTGTTACTGATAAAGATGTTGATGGTTTTGATCATTACAATGTTGGTCAATTATCCAAAAAGGGAGGTGTTCCAATTTTTAAGCCATGTACTCCAAATGGTATAATTGAGTTAATTAAAACCACTGGTATTCAATTAAGAGGAAAGAACGCTGTTGTTATTGGAAGATCTGATATTGTTGGTACACCAGTTGCAACTATGTTAAGAAATGAAGATTGTACTGTTACTATTTGTCATAGATACACAAAGAATTTGCCTGAAATAGTTGGTCAAGCAGATATTGTTGTTGCTGCTGTTGGTATTCCAGAATACGTTAAAGGTGACTGGGTAAAGGAAGGTGCAGTTGTCATAGATGTCGGTATCAACTATAAAGCAGATCCAAACTCACCAAATGGTAAGAAATTAGTCGGGGATGTAGATTATGATGAAGTTGTAAAGAAAGCCGGATTCATTACTCCAGTTCCAGGTGGTGTTGGACCAATGACTGTTGCCATGTTATGTTCCAATGTTTACGACGCTGCTTTAATCCATGCCCAAAAGGCTCACGAACATGCATTCAAACCATTACCATTAAATCTTGAAACCCCAGTTCCTTCTGATATTGCAATTTCACGTGCACAAAAACCTAAAAAGATCACAAGAGTTGCTCAAGAATTGGGTATTCTTGATCGTGAATTAGAACAATACGGTCATTTCAAAGCCAAAGTTGACCCAAAGAGTGTTATTGAAAGATTAGATGAACAAGTTGAAGGATCAATCAATGAAAAGGGTCACTATGTTCTTGTTGCTGGTATCACTCCAACTCCTTTAGGTGAAGGTAAATCTACAACTACCATGGGTTTAACCCAAGCTCTTGGTGCTCATCTTGGTTATAATTCTATTGCTAATGTTAGACAACCATCAATGGGTCCAACTTTTGGTGTTAAAGGTGGTGCAGCCGGTGGTGGTTATTCACAAGTTATTCCTATGGATGAATTCAACATGCATTTAACCGGTGATATTCATGCTATTTCAGCAGCTCAAAACCTTTTATGTGCTGCTGTTGACACAAGAATGTTCCATGAATCAGTTTCAAAGACAATTTCTGGATTCTATAAGAGACTTGTTCCAGCAAAGAAGGGGGTCAGATCTTTTACTCCGTCAATGTTGAAGAGATTAGAAAAGTTGGGAATTAATAAAACCAACCCAGATGATTTAACTCCTGAAGAAATTGAAAAATTTGCTCATTTAAACATTAATCCAGATTCTATCACCATCAAGAGAGTTGTTGATTGTAATGATCGTTTTGTTCGTGAAATCACTATTGGTCAAGGTAAGAATGAAGCTTCCAAATACCCGCCTAGAAAATCAGGAATGGACATTACTGTGGCATCAGAATTGATGGCCATCCTCGCTCTTTCCACGTCATTGCAAGATTTACGCCAAAGAGTTGGTAGAATTGTTGTTGGTACCCAAAAAGATACAGGTTTAGCTATCACTGCAGAAGATATTGGATGTGCTGGTGCAATCACTGCCTTATTGAAGGATGCTATTAAGCCAAACTTGATGCAAACTCTTGAAGGTACTCCTGTTTTCGTTCACGCTGGTCCTTTTGCTAATATTTCAATTGGTGCTTCTTCTGTTATCGCTGATCAATTAGCTCTCAAGTTAACTTCTCCATCTAACCCAATTAACAATGGTAAGAAAGGTTTTGTTGTTACTGAAGCTGGATTTGATTTCACCATGGGTGGTGAAAGATTCTTCAATATCAAATGCAGAACCTCTGGTTTTAAACCTGATACTGTTGTTCTTGTTGCCACTTCTAGAGCATTGAAGTTGCACGGTGGAGCTCCTGATGTCAAACCAGGTACTGCTTTGCCTAAGGAATACTTGACTGAAAACCTCGAATATCTTGAACATGGTTGTGCCAACTTAGCCAAGCAAATTTCCAATATCAAACAATATAATGTTCCCGTCGTTGTTGCTATTAACAAATTTGAAACTGATACTGCTGCCGAAATCAATCTCATTCAAAAGCTTGCTCTTGATGCTGGTGCAGATTTTGCAGTTGCTTCAGATCATTGGGCTCAAGGTGGTGCTGGTGCTCTTGACCTTGCCAAATCTGTTGTTGAATCTGTTAAGTTATCTAACCAACTTGAAGAACAAAAATACCTTTACGATGTGAATGACTCCGTTGAAAACAAGTTACATGCAATCACCACTAAGATGTATGGTGCTAGTGGTATCGAATTATCACCACTTGCCAAGCAACAAATAGAAACCTACACCCTGCAAGGATATGACAAATTACCAATTTGTATTGCCAAGACGCAATATTCATTGTCTCATGATCCTGCTCTTAAGGGTGTTCCACAAGGATTCGTGGTTCCAATCAGAGAAGTCCGTTGTTCTGCTGGTGCTGGATACTTGTATGCATTAGCTGCAGAAATTATGACCATCCCAGGGTTACCTACCCACGCCGGATTCATGAATGTAGAAGTTAACGATGAAGGTGAAATTGAAGGATTATTTTAATAGTCTTGTATATTATTTATAGAACCTTGTTAATAAACTAAGATATAGAGAAAGATAAATATTGTAGGGATTACAATTGGTACAAAACTTTAAAAAAAAATTTAATAACCATTACACTATAATACATACTTTAATTTTGTCCTAAAAATGTTAGAACCAGTTTGTGAATCTCTTCGAGAGAATTCAAAACTTGAAATGATTGTACAACATATATACACAAGAACTAAAATCATCAGCCCTATCAATTTGGAGGGTTGGTTTCATCAGAAGAAAGTTTTCGATTAGCAGTAGAGTTCGAATATGGTCTGGTGGATGACGTACTGGATTGGCTCCCTTGTGAAGATGATCTTTGAATACTTCCACTTGGAATTTTAGAAACCTGGGCGACTTGACGTCCAGCAGCAATACCTTGACGTTGTGGCAGTTGCTGTGAACGAGATGCCGCGGCTTGACGAGCAGCTTGTTGCCTAGCATGAAGTTGAGCTTGTTGCTGTGGAGTTAATTGACTTTGATCTTGTTGTTGCTGTTGATTTTGTTGTTGTTGCTGCTGCAACTGAGCTTGTTTATTTGCCAATTGTTGTTGTTGAAGTGCACGCATTCTAACTTGTTGCATATAAATTTGTTGCTTTTGTTGCACAGATTCCTTTAACAAACCATAAGATTTCGACAACAACATGGAACCAAAGCGAATAGATTGTGTATCATCACTAATGCAATTTAATTTGGATGGATCCAAGCTAAATGGATCTAATAAACCTATTTGGTTTTCTGATAAATCATTGTCAAACCTCCAATGAGAATCCAATCTAGTTATAGTATCAACCTTTGAATCATAAACATTTGGAATAGCTGATTTTTCTTCTGAATCAACATCCATAGCATCTAAATCCAAGAATTCATCAATAACATCATCTGGTCTTTTAACCAAGCCTCTCCTGTCAATATATACCCGGTTATTTCTACCAGCTCTCTTTCGTAATCTGAAAATTGGATCTGATAACTTAGCTGCATCATCAACCTCTCGTTGTCCTTGACGATAACCATAACCATTATTGTAAGCATTAAAATTATGTGTTTCAATATTATGCAATAGCTGAGCAATGTAACTGACTGAAGTGTATTTGTTGTGATCAATACTATCTTGAAGTAAGGACAGTATATGTGGGAATGTCTTTGTTGGAATTAATTCACCATTAGATCCTCTAAATGTTCTTATACCAGGGATTGGTTTACCTTCTTCCAATAATTTCTTTAAAGATTCACTTATATAATTAGATGTATTGATTTGATGGAAATTGGAAGCAGCAATAGATGAATATGGGATATGACTTAATTCCTTGGTGTTGTCATTCATAGAAATATCAAAATGAGGTTGATATGGATCATTTGTAAGATTAACATAACCCTTGTCTTGTTCCTTCCTCTTACGTAGCTTATCAAATACAGCTCTCTTAATGGATTCGTTCTTTTCTTTCAATACTAATGATACAGTAACAAGTTCCATATCTGGAATCTTGGAAGGTGGTAATTTGACATATGGTTGACTCGTAGCAGCACCTTCGGCAACAGGTTGTGGTTGAGGTACATGCTTGTCTTTGTGGACTGTGGGAACTGGTGCATGTAATGATTCTCCTTTTCTTCTTTCTTTTCGCTTGACTTCTCTTTCTTCCTCTTCTTCTCTGGGTTTGATAACCTTTTTCCGTTTGTGAGGAAAGAATAAATAGTCATCACCTTTGACACCAACAGTACGTTTGAGATTCTTGGCTTCACAACGTAATTTGAATATATCTAATTCAGATTGTAAACTTTCAAGTTTCATGAGTTCTCGCTCACTTACACTCAATACTAAATCTCGAGCTCGGTGCAACGATTTCTGTAATAATCTTATTCTTTCAGCACCTAAAGTATCAGCTCTTCTAGTCTTACGAGCTTGTCTGAACTCACGACGTCTAAAACAAATATATGGGTCATTATCATTATCTTTTTCATTAGCATTGGGATCTTCGAATTTCAACATAGGTTTTATGGACTTTCCTTTACGTTCAATTTTACGTTCCTTCCAATGTTCATATATGGGTTTACCAAACAATTCAAATAACTTAGGTATTGGTCGTACTAATCTTGTTGAGGTTTGCTCCATAGGATTCTTATCAAAGAGGGTTGTAAATGGTTCATAATTCAATTCTTTAGATAATCTCTCCTTTAAAGTTGTTGTAGATATATATTCAAGAGTGCCTCCACTTGATTCAACATAAGGATTATTTGATTTGACCGTGCTTTTAAATTGATCTATTATATAAGTTGATAATTCCTCATATGATAAGATATTGGAGGGATCCATGGATAAAAATGGTTGTCTAGATTCAATAGTTTTCTCCAAACGATCACAAATGGTTTCAAATTCAAGTTCAGTACATTTTCTAGTATTCTCCTCCAGCTTATTCTTTTTTGCATTAGGAACTTTGGGATAATGCTTGGTCAAGGTGTCATTAAAGAATTGTTCATCTATTTCATCCATATTATATTCCACACCAACTGTATCTTCAACAGTGGCACTAAACTTTATGTTGGTCTCTGGTTCTTTAAACTTATGATCATTATAATATTTAGAAGCCTCTGGCCATATTCTGGATGCATCTGGAGTTGGAATATATACACTTGTATGACCTTTTTCTGCATCCGTTTTATCCCCAGAATTCTTGGAGCCAAGCAACGCCTTTTGCGCAGCATTAATGACTTGTTGTAAATGCACTTCATCCTCTTCATTCTTATCGACCCCGGTTTCTATAGCATGAATATCACGTGGTGGTTGTGTACCATTTGATGCGCTCAAATGATTTACTTGACTTGGTTCTAATTCATTATTTATATCTAGTGTCGGCAAATCCTTTTGTTTATATATAGTTAACGGTTGTTTCACTGATATCTTCCGCTGTCGAAACCTGGCACCAGCAACATGATGTTTTGCCTTACTAGGCGTTTTCGCTGGTAGTATTGCCATGCCTTGTTTCTTCTATAATGTATATTTATGCCAAAAAAAATTTATGCCAGCAAGCAACTAGGGAAGTAAACAGTGTCCCTGATCTCTTTTTCTTTAGTCAAAATGATGGATTGCTGTTGAATATTAACAATGTTATGGGTTGTGTTTACTTGACAAGCTTTCAACGAAATTGGGAAAATTTTCAACCGGTTAACTATTGAAGATTGGATGTTACTCTAGTAAAAATTTTTTTCTTGCGCAGAACTCCCGTGGACGGAAACACTAACAAAAAAAAATTTGGTGTATGCAGATATTAAGGGGGGTGGGTTTGGTAGTCAAAGCAAAACAAATGGACGAATTTAGACAAATCTGTCACAATCCATGCAAATTAAACGGGTTGAACGGTTGGATTCCGGAATTAGTGGATGGTATTTAAAAGTGACGGTATGCCTAGTAATGTATAACCCCTTTAGTTGATTGATTAGTCGGGATTTACCCTGCTTTGGTGGGTGGGTTTGTAGATAAGTTAATAGGGGTTGGACGACGTGGACACCTATTTTTTTTTTTGCCCTCCGTTTCAAATGGAAAGCGGAAAAAATGATTATTTTTGGAATTGGGGGAGAATTGCTAAAAATGGAAATCTAGTCATGTGACACGATGTATCACGTGAGCAATGGTATGCGGTCATTTATACAACTCTAGTGGTTATAAAAGACCCAAGTCCCATGCACAGATACATAGACGTTGCATGATCTCAATAGTGTTCTAAGTTAGTATTAACTTGATTATCACCTTCGAGGAGAATTTTGATTCACTTTTTGATACTGAACAAGCAGATTCGCTCAGGTATAACTGTCCACATATTTTTGGTTGCCATTAATTGAGCAAGCACGGTGAAACACTTTAAAATTTCGTTAAATCATATTAAAATTGAAACATCATGTTTAAAATCAAGTTGACTTTGTATTTCTTTAATTTTCATCCAATTCTATGGAGAGTGAGTCTGAAATCCGATGTGTAGTTGGCTCTGCTGAATTTTGGAAGTAGCCCCGTCAATTAGGCATCGTATTAGATGTGAAGAACTGAAATAACGGACATTATGGTAAATATTTACCAAGAAATCGAATTGCTTATGGCATTCTGATCACTATCATTCATATATAAATGAACCTAAACCGGGTAGAACATAAAAGAATGAGTTAAGGATGATATTTCACTAACTTTTTTCTTTCTTTTTTTTTTTTTTAATTATCTTTTGTAGAAGTAACCCAGAAAAGGCAAATCCTACTATAATTATTTGACCCGGGATTATATGCAGTCTGCCAGCGTACCAGGGTAGTAGATTACGCCTGTATATAATTTAGGCAATGACATTTTCCCCAACCAAAAAAAGAAGTAGCATTATTAGTTTTTGCGACATTGTTAACAATGAACTTTATGCCCATGGTGTCGGGATTATATGCAGGTCCGGTACGATTATTAAGCCACTGAACATGATGTTGTTTCCTTTCCACACTTTGTTACTGCGGGTAAAAAAACGGAGAAATAAAGACTCAAATTTTAGGAGGGTTAGAATTGGAATTATCTTAACTAAGTAACGTGGTTGGAATTTTTTAATTGACGTTTACATTCCCTACCGAAATTACCGACACAAATTTCTTTTCATTGCAAACTCAACTACACAAGGTTTTTCGCTTTACATTTTTGACAACCAAAACAAAAAGGCAACATTTGATGATTTATTAATAGAAGTACAAATAGAGTTATAAATACGACAATCATCATTCCCATTTGCCATCACGACTTAGACTAATACATATAGAAGCTTAACTATTCTGTACCATAGTTATGACACTGACAACAGTCCCTTTGAACAAGCTTCCACCGACAGCCCCATTCCTCAATTCCGTTTGTCCTGGGTTTACAACTTTGGATGATAATGTGCATTATACCCTTAATGATTCGGATATATCATTGAAGAATCAAGAGTTCTTATGGCCATTTTCAGAATCAGCTACCGACACACACACTGCACAATTGAATAAGACTTATTTGAACATTAGTCGTCCCCCTATTTCCAAGAATGAATCAAACACATATGTTTCTTTACCAAATCACATAACAAGCCTTTTTAAATCAGTTGTTAGAAACAATGATAAGGGAATGGAGGGCAATTTACACATAGGTGCCAATATTAATCCTTTAAGTCATGATCCCTTTAGGATTGTTAATTTGAACCCTGGTTGTATAACTAAGATAATACCTTTGCATAATCATACCGATGACAAATTGAAACAACACCAACAACAAGACAAAACCAAGAATAACCCTTTTAATAAACTAACCACTAACTTCAACAGGTTATTGAATTTTGGGAATGACAGGAAGGGTGCCAATGATAGATTGTTTCATAAGTTGCTAGATAAGCCGAATAAGCTTATTCAAAAAGTGTCACAAAGTGAAGACTTTATCCAACAACTACGATCAGATCAAGCTGATAAACTTTTAGTATCAAGTCATGTTAATGTCTTGAATGTTTTTGCATTAAGTCCATCGTCAACATTTACAAACACCAAGAAAGTTGTTGGTGAAAAACCTCCGTTGTTTACCCTGCAAGAGCTTCGAAGCGAAGATGCAAACGAGCAACAGAAAGCTGCTGCTTTTGCAGCAACCGAAATTGTTCCAAGAGTAATCCAAGAACCATTGTTGAGGGTGCAATTCAATAAATCTGCATTAATTACATCCATGACGACATTTGTTAAGTTTGATAAGGAACCAACTATTGTCTGTGGTTTTGAATCCGGCGAACTAATCATGATTCGATTATCAGATTTAACCTATCTGGTATTTGATGATTTTGGGTTTGAACAAGAGACTCCAAGCCCCTTTACTCCTAATGTAGCAGTTACCTCACTTGAAATTATTCATCATGTCAATTACGACTGTTTGATAGTTGCTGGGTTTTCAAATGGTGAAGTTGTTATTGTTGACCCGTATCCGAGAGTACCCTCAGCCAATGACGAAGTGCCGCCGACTAATGCTACATTCATGACAACAAGTTCATCGGAAGAAAAGATCAAGAAATCTGCAAGCGCAACTACTGGTTCCTACCGTAAGACGGAAATTGGAAGTGATTCTTATATCACCTATTTTAAAAAGTTTGATTTGAGTCCAATAAATAAGTTAAATTTTGAAAAGTTGAACCAAAGTCAAGGATATCCAGTTTATTTACTTGGTCACTTTAAGATCAGCCATAAGCCCATCACCGCGATTAGTTCGACATTGGAATACTCCAAACTGATAAATTTAGCTAAACCTGAAACACAACCTATGATTCTTGCTATTGCTGCCAATGATGGGTTTGTTCGTTTTATTGATTTTGTATTCACGTATAATTTAGATTTTGGTGATGAAACGAACAAAAACAATCATTCAATAGTCACGGACATAATTTCCAACTATTTCAATGATGGAATAACTGATGTTCAATTCTCTCCTGATTTTAAATTTGTTTGCGTTGTTGGTAAAGGAGATTTAATTGAAACTTTCAAAATGAGCTATTATAATGTTAATGGTTTACTTGCCAAAAATACTGGGACAAGCAATCATGTATCTACCACCAATGTTGCATCTACTGCAAACCCAGTAGCAGGGAGAAGATCCAGAAGTGGAACTATCAATAGTCTTAGTTCAGGAGGACAGATAGCAAATCCAATGTTTTTATCAGCTGCATATCATCCATATAATACATCATCAGTAGCTAGTGTCGATGCATCTAGGAATGAAAATAGCCCTACTCCCAGATTAATTAATTTCCCTTTGAAAGAAGTCTACCCTCCTATGATCAAAGATATTCAAATTGTTGGTAGATTCAAGGGACATACAAACACAGTTAAAGCCATTCAATTTATAAAATCCGACGATTCTTCAAATAACCTGGTTTATAAATTGATTAGTTGTGGATATGACGGAAAGACCATTTTCTGGGAATTTGACTATAAGGCCTTGCCCAAGGTTAAGAAACCCAAAGAGAAGCCTTCACAACAACCAATAACTAGAAGGAGATCACTTTATAAAAAACATGTTATTGGACGTAGTCCTAGTCCTGTCGGCCATAGAAGAGTTGGCAGTGTTTCTATTCATAGGTCATTAAGTTCCCCTGAGGACATATTAGCAGGAGGATCAATTGCCAATGCCACTATGAACATGACTAGTTTATTATCACCCAATGATATTACACCTGATCCAATTGCTGCAGCAGCCAGAGTCACAGACCAACTTGAGATTATTGTTAGTATCTACAAATCACTTTTTGATGTTCGGTTAAAACGTCATTATAGAAATATTTACAAGAAATCTGGCAATCATCCAAGACATGCTGCTATTATTTCGCCAATTGTTAATGATAAGTTGGTCCCATCGATTGAAATTCCCCTTGCAAGTGTTGATTTATCTGGAATTGTATACGATGGGAAAATTGATGGATTCTACATTGACCAGTATACATTTTGGGTGTTTGCGAAAAATGGAGATTTATTTACTTATACAATTGTTTAAATAATATAGATTTGGTCTCTACTACTTATTAAGTTGGTGAAAATTAAAATTAAAAGTCGAAAGTAAAAAATGTTTTTATTGAAATGTAGAATTGAAGAGCCTGGAGCCATCCAATCCAAACCCTAAATCTTCTTCTAATCGCATGTAATCATTCCCAGATGGTGTTGCTTGGGTTAGATTCTGATACAATTGATCATCGACAAGTTCAGGATTAGATACATTAGTCATGGTTGGTTCTAAATTGGAAAAGGCAAACTCGTCCAATTCTTGTGGCTTTGGAATTTGATAATATTGATTCTCAGTTAGTTGCAGAGGATCAGTATTAACCACCGCAGTTGTGTTTGGATTTTGTGAATGTGCCGAATTAAGATAATCATAAGGTGCGGGAGTTTGGGAAATATCCATGGCTTCAAATTGTTGTCGTTGTTCTTGTAAATGGGCTTCCCGGGCTTGTTGTTGTAAAATGGCTTGTTTAACTTCATGTTCACGTTGAAGCCTTTCTTGTTCTTCTTGTTGTTGTTGTTGTTTCTGTTGGATTTGTAATTGTAATTGAATTTGTTGCTGTTCTTCAATTGGTTTTCTAACAAATTCTCGGAAATTCTTGACTTCTTCAATTATTAATTGTTTCATATCTTCAATTGAATCAACTGTTTCAAATGACTTGAAATCGAATTTAACTTGACATTCAGGTTCATCGCGTGGATCATGCCAGACTTCTAAATATGGATGGTTAAGAGCATCTTCAACACTAATACGTTCGCTTGGATCCAATGCCAACATCTTCTCTAATAAATCTAACGCTAATGGATTGGCATTAGGGAATAGTTGTTTATAACTAACCTTTCTCATAATTGGTAACGATCTGACATAATTTTGAGCACGATGAGACCCAATTCTGGTTAAAGTAGCTTCCGGTGGAGTGCCCAATATCAACAAGATTTGATTCAATTGATCAACGTAATCTTTACCTCTGAATATTGGTTTACCTCCCAATAACTCTGCCAAAATACATCCAACTGACCAGATATCAATTGCTTTGGTATATGAAGAAAAACTCAACATGATTTCAGGAGCTCTATACCATCTAGTGGCAACATATTCAGTCATGAACCCCGAGTTTTGTTCTGGATTTTCCAGAAATCCTCTTGCTAATCCAAAATCGCAAATTTTCAATTCACAATCAGCATTAACTAATAAATTTCCTGGTTTCAAATCACGATGTAACACATCGGCCGAATGAATATATTTCAATCCGCACAACACTTGATATATGAATGATTGGTAATGCAGATCAGTTAAAGGTTGTCCCGATCTTATGATTTGATGCATGTCACATTCCATCAACTCTTCATAAAGGTAGATTTCGTTGAATTCACCAGTCAAAGGGTTGGGGATGATATCCAAGTCATATAAACATGTGATATTTTTGTGACCTCTAAAGAATTGTAATAGTTTTAATTCTCGTAAGGAGCGTTTGCAAAGGATCTTTTTGCTAAAAATATTAGTGATCTTCTTAATTGCAACATATGAGCCATCACTGGATGAACTATTATTAGAAGAGTCTGTGGTTGTAGTGGATGTTCCATCATCATATTTTGCTGAACAAACTATACCATAGGCACCATGACCCAATTCCTTTACTATCTTGAATCTGCGATCAATTATGAATTCTTGGTTATAGACTTTGTTAACGGTACGTCCGTAGTAGATAGGAGCAGCTGCCCCGGTGTCATCTGTTTTGCTAGACATGGTTTATGTTCTATAAGATGCAAAAAAATTTGTGTGCTTTGTGTGAGATTTTGTGAGTAAGAAAAATCAGTTCTTCAAATAATGAGGTGATGTGGAGATGCTTGTGTGATCTGAATGTAATGCACGATCTGGAACCAGGGCCTGTGTGGTAGGTGTGAGTGTAAAGATGTGTCAACAAAAAAAGGCTAAACGCAAAACTGATTGTCGCAATGGCTTTGTGTTGTCAATTAATGATGACTTTGGTTTGTTTGAAAAAAAAGTAAGGGATGATTATTTAAAGGCGGAGTGACAGCAAATCAAAAGAAAGGCGCGGACTGAGGGTGGTTGTGTGTGCAAGTGTGATCAGCCAGGGCGGGCGGTAGAAAAATTTTGGTAGTGATTAAAGGTCAGCAAAAAAATTAACCCCGTAGTAAATTTAATTACCTTAAGATTTCAACGAGTGATTTATTTCAAATTAAAATGTCACAAGTTTCGTGTGGGAATTTTTTTCAGAGTCAAACTGTCCTTTTATATTTCAAGCTGGACAAACCCCCCCCCCCACCACCCACCTGTTAGTACTTTTCAGTTTCCCCCAACTGGCTTAGGATATTTTTAGAGTCGAAAATTTTTCAATTGTAATTACGAGTGAATTGTTAAGATTTGGACGCGAGCAAAATTTATTTTTAGAAACTTCTTTTTTTACTTTTTAGCACGAAATAATGCAGTATTCTGTTTCTAATTTAGGTTGTTTTTTTTTTTTGCAACAAAGTACTTGGAATTGATTGGTGGTAGATCCTGGAATTGCTGATCATCTCGGTAAGATTAACATATTTGGACAATTTTACGCGATCCTGTCAGGGGTTATATTATGTGTTTCTATAGGAACTACCAAACAGTACATTTTAGCAACAAGATGCCTAGATCTACTTCATTTCGTCCGAACTTTATACTAGCTACTACTTCATCTTTCTTTATCACGTTCAATTTTACAAAGTCAAATCTAAAAATAGCCTACTCGATAGCAATTCGTAAATAAACGGCATAATGTGTTCCGATTACGTCATAAACTACTTGTCTTTAAATTTTTTTTTTTGCTTTGTTCAATTTTGTTTCGATATATGCTATAAATAAACGAGATTTGAAATTTGACAAACGGCTTCATTTATTTTAACTTGATACGACAAATCTATTAGTAAATGCTTACTAATCTGGAATCAACTTAAATACCCATTACTCTTAAAGTATTTGGTCAATTGACCCAAACCTTGTTTGATATCGTCACTACTATTTCCAAAACCAACTCTAATGTATCCTCTTTTGTTGTCGAATACTTCGCCAGGAACAACCAATGTCTCGAATTGTTCAACTAATTCTACACACATCTTCATTGTATCAATACCTTCGATGTTTACTTTGATAAAACAAGTAGAGCCACCTTTGGGTCTCACCCATGATAATAAGTCAGTGTTGTCGATATAATCTTGAAGGATCTGTAGATTTGTTGTGCAAATCTCATAACTCCTTTTAAGTATAGTCTTATAATTTTCTAACGCAACTGTTGCCAATAAATCATCAATAATTGAAACAGAAATAGTATTATAGTCACGTTTAGAATATAATCCATTGATAACATTACTGTCTTTAGTCACAATCCATCCCAATCTTAATCCAGCCAACAGGAATGCTTTACTGGTAGAAGAAGTGGAAATTGTTTTGGTATATCCATAACTAACCACAGATTTAGGAATATTATCCGAAATTGAATGATATAAAGGACGATATACTTCATCACAAAGCAAATACATATCACTTTGAGAGCAAATCTTAACTATTTGCTTCATAATATCATCACCCCATACAACCCCAGTTGGATTATTAGGATTATTGATAATCAACAACTTAGGTGAATGTTTGGCGACCAATTCCTTCAATTGATCAAGATCGGGTAAGTAATGATTTTCAAAATTTAAATCCCAACTAATGATATTTTCAGCTTTTCCGGAGAATGCTTGCGAAACTGACAGTAATTGTTGATATGTTGGATTAACAACAATAACTTTATCATCAGCATCGACCAAGGAATAAAGAGTTAAGAAATTAGCACCAATTGCCCCATTTGTAATGACGATATCCTCTGGAGTAATACTACCTCCATCTGAACTATAAATATTGGCGATTGCTTGTTTTAATTCGGGAGATCCTCTAATATGACCATATGTTAATTTAGTGTTTAAGATCTTTTCTGTCAATACTTTAACATTTGAGTCACCAGCAATTAACCCAAACAACTGGTTAAAACTAAGCGAATCAACGCATGTTTCTGCCATGTTATACTTAATTTTAGTTTCATATTTATCCATGAATTGCTCTACGGCAAAATCTTCTTGCTTGACCATTTTGCATTAAATGAAGCTCAGTGTTTTACAATCTCCCCCACTAAATTTCATGAGCATTTATGATGGATGGCGCGAACCCCCAGTAAAACGGAATTTTTAACCGAAAAAATGCATTCTTTTTTGGGAAATATTTTTCCATGACTACTCGTCAGATCGAATCTTGAAACAGTTTCAAAATAAGATCGTTTCAACGCCTGAAACAACTTTATGGTTGACTAGTGGCCGCATTATCAGTTGGCTGAATTTCATAGCCAACTGCAATCATCTGTTTTCAGAATTACATATTTCTCCTTTCTGCCGATATTTTGTAGAATTTCTTGGAATATAACATATTCTTATTTAATAATAATTGAAAAGGTACCTTCACCCCTCTTATTCTACAAAGAGAATAAACAATAGTTAAAGTCAAAAAGAAATATCTAGTTTTCGAGGATCAACTAATATTTAGAACTGAGGTGTGGTGATTCAAACATGTTCACACAAAATGTAGAAAATTAGATGTTGCATTCTGCTTAATTTTTTGCAACTATAGTGTGAAATTTGCAAACTGGCAAAAAAAAAAAAATAAAAAACTATTGGCTTTCACGTGAAGTGTAATAATTCGCGTAAATACATCTCTATATTGTTTCGGGAAAGCTCCGAGGAATTGTAATCATTTCATTTTTTATTGTTTGAAATTACGAACAGAGTTTTGCAGTGAAATTATGGTAACTCAGCCTTTAAGGTGTTTCAAGGTGCTTACCCATGGTTAACAGGTCTATTACTCCACCATTCTCATATAATCAATTGCATATAAATTTTGTCACTACCATGTATTACTAGTAAGGTCAAATTTGTAAAACCAAGATTCGCCTCATATTTACTTTTGTAGTAGTTTGAGTAGTATTCGATGCTGCATCTCGTGCAGAAATACGAAACATTAACATGGGTAACGCACTTTTACCACAATAAACTTATCGCTTACGTAGGGGGGCGAAAAATTCCAAGAAAAACTATAACTAAACTAGCAAGATTTATTTTTGCTCCGCTTTCTCCCCTCACTAATCTCCAAGAATTATACCTATAGGTTCGAAGGATAACCTTCAACAAAGTGTTGTACAGCAATCCACTGTTTTGTGTAAAAAAAAAACTTGCTGCAACTGGTACTGCGATTATGCAAAGACTAATAGTCGCGCATATTCGCCTATTGGCTACACAATGATAAAGGGTTCCGGTGTTTCCATTATTGCTGTCAAAAAAAACAGCACTCTGTTTCAAAGATCATGAAACATACCCCTCCATATGCAAAGTCACATTTTCCGTACGTTGATGAAATTTATTGGTGGGATTGGCGTTTTTCTTGTGGTTCGGTAATTTTTCTTGGATGCATATACGCTAGCATGATCAAATCTATTAATCAATCGAGTATAAACTCCATTAATGTAATGATATACGAGATTTTCTTACACACCGGGCGAGACAATTGACAATAGCATGATAAAAATAAGAAACGATTGTTATTGATTTATTTTTGCAACCACTAGATGACTGAGAAAGTGTAAGTCTTGAATCAAGCAAAAAAAAAGTGAACAGCTTTAAAGACTGTTCTTACTGCTTACATTTACAGGCCAATACATCATGAGAGTATTATCCAGCTTCTATTTCAGTTATCCAAGCTGAAATGAAATTTTTGAATTCCTGGCTGGCATGCCTAGAAGTTTATATTTTTTTTTTTTCCTCTCCTTTTCCACAAGCACTTGCGAAGTATTCAAAAATTTAAACATTTCTTGGAAACCAAGTTATATCTTGACCGGATATTTATATCCACTAAGGCGAAAATGATCATCGGTTTTTATTAATGGGTTGGGCTTCACCCAAAACTAGTGGTTTTTTTTTCTTGACAGATCTGATATGTTCGTTAAAAATGAAAGTGTGATGGGGTTACATTGTTGGGTTTGGGAGATATTTTTTTAAATTCAATCGATATTTTTTTCGTTCTTTAGGTTTTGTGGCATAAAAAATTAAAAAAATAAATTGATATTCTTACCATCATACCTAGGTAAATATGCCATGATCATTGTAAGGAATGTGATTAAACATGACCTAATTTAGACACATAAATGAGTGGTATAGTGAATAATGAAATTGGGAAATTGATATATAAACATGTGTAGGGTGGCAGAGTTTTCATAAATTTTATATAACCTCTTCTTTTCTCTCTTACTCTTTAAAGTAATATATTTTATTAATACATCAATCCTTATAAAAAGGGATTCTATTTTTAATTCCATAAATTAACTAGTAGAGCTTCTACAAGATTAAAAAGTTGAATAGAAGTCCTACCAATTTTCCACAATACAAACTTTATTGTTATTTAAGGTTCCTTCCTTTGATTTGAATTACTTAAACGACAGATAATTCAATCAACCATAAACTTTATTCAATAACCTCGGTTAATCGAGTGACACTATATCAAAAGTTTAAACTTAAACTGCCCAACTCCGACGGTATTATAACCACAAGCAAAAAAGCTTATTTTGCAATAGAAGAGCTAGTTCCTTACGTCCATAATTACCGTGATCTGGACAAGAAAGTATATAAAAATTCTAGGATTTAGTGGGTATTAGATTTATTTTCAGAGATCCTCAAACTAATCGTATCTATTAGATCTTTGCATCAAGTTCGAACATTCAACCACGTGAGATCTAATCATTAGCTAGAGCCGTTCGAAATTTCAAGTTTCACAAAAGTAAATCATTCGATAGCCAAGCAATATTATTATTCAGCATTTGTTCACCCGTGTATACCAAGAATATTACACTTTCTGAAAAATCAAATAAGGTTTAAAAGAATTATTATTTTTTGTGGCAAGAAAGAAAGAAACATTAAATAATATTTTATTTTTTGATACTATTATTTTCGATTCCAGCCCAGAGAAAAAAAAAAAATTAAATTTTAGAATTAAGAATTATTTGAATTCAGACAGACAGACAAATCTAACCATTTGAATTTTTTTTTGTTGTTGGTACTATAAGTATAAACGCAAATCTAAAAGAACAAAGAAAAAAAAATAGACATTTTCTTCCATTCCACATATAAACAATATAATTTTATCTACTACAGAAGATATATACCTAAGGTAGATAATTTCTCATATTGTCATTGACATAGCATACACCACAAGCATAGACAGTCACTGCAATTAATTCTTAATTAAAATACCACTCCCTACCCCCCCACATACACATTAACGATGAATGACGCAACTACCAAAGACCAATTAGAAGATTTAGCGTCGTTATTTCTACCTGACATTCTCCACCCAATACATTCCGCTGGCAACACACCAGGAGGAACTAATCTCAAAACATCAGCAAGCACTGGTCATACGACGACATCAGCTAATCTTATCAAACAAGAAGAATATGATGGACTCAGTCCTGATTTTAATTTGCTACCACGAGATAGTATCGGTAGCTCCTCCAATACTCCTTCAGCTACCACTACAACTAATACTACTGCAACCAACACCACTAACTTTCAAGACTTTTTATCCAACAACAACTTCATCAATCGTAGCAACAACAAGAGCAATATGATGTCATCGTACATGATGCCTAATGACTCTCAATCAGACCAATTGTATTCACAACAACTGCAGCAGCAGCAGCAGCAACAACCACTGTACTCCCATGTCAACCACTACGCGCCGTACATACCGTATGAGGCTAATGCTGGAATGGCGCTGGCGCTGCTGCATCATGGTCATCACGGACATCAACAACAACACATGACTATGTCGTTGATTAATTCAACTTTTCAACCATATCCATCTCAACAGGGATCCAACCAAATGTCTCCACTGCCAATGCCCACTCAACAACAACAACAACAGTATGGATCATATCAATATCCCAATACTTTAAACTCTTCATTATCATCTACGTATCTTAATGGGTTATCCGGATGGTACCCAAGCAACAATAGCAGCACTACCAATTTTGACAATTTGATGACTACTGGAGGATATCAACAACAGCAACAACCACAACTGTATGTACCAGATATATTACAACAGCAGCAACAGCAATCAGCCCAGTCTCAACAAAACTCACAACCACAACAGAGTCAGTCAATGGAAGGAATTCAAATACAGTATGACGAACGTGAGTCTTCTTCTTCTCTACCCAAGAAGAAAAAAGTCAAAGGAAGAAGGAACAGAAACACAAAAGCTACTGATGTTGAGATTGACTACAAGCCTTTCAAATTAAAGAGATTATTAGACTTTAAGCAAAGCGGTGTTACTAGCAGTAATGACTATAAGTTAATTGACAAGGACAATAACGAAATCGAGATTGACTTTTGTGGATTTTTGAATGGAAGATTCTTGACTAATGATATTGACAACAATAATTACATTTTCACCAAGAATGAATTACAACGTGAATCAGGAGAGGAAACCGTACCTAAAGTTGTTAACAAAAAGGAAGATCCTAAAGTTATTTCATGTTATAGAAGAAATTACATTCAAATTTCCCTTAATGTGAACATTCATGGATTTAAAGGTTCCAACTCCAAGTTGTTGAAATTACAAACTAGTGAATATGGTTATACAATTACCAGAGTCATTAAATATTTCAAGATTGAAATATTGGCAGCTACAAATATATCTAATAGTAAGAATGTTCCTATTCTTATTAGAAACGACCCCAAGGATATTGAAAAGGATAAAGACAAAGATCTCAAGAAAAATGTTCAAGCTAATTATGAATACAAGGATGATTTGGTTAAACCAGGTCCAATTACTTCTCAAGAACACATTTTAATTCTTAATGATGAATGTCAGATTGAAAATGGTGCCATTGATAAGTTCTTTGTTATCAAGAAGTTACAATTCAAAAATGCCACCCCTAATAATGGGAATCTTACTTTCCAGAATTACTATCATTTAAAAATCAAATTGAGCTGTATAGTGGCTGATCTTTATTATGATGATTATATTGAGGAAGATGGAGCCATTGGCAATGATGCTTCAGCAGCAACTACAAACAACGGTGGTGATAACAATGAAATAATTTTAGCTGAATTGATCAGCGAACCAATAATTGTTCGTGGACGTAATCCTAGTTTCTATGCTGAAAGAAAGGATATCTTAATTAAGGGCAGGCACCCAAATTCCAGAGGTTCATTTAAGATGGCAACTCAACCTATTTCACATATTAATGTTCAAGTAGATGATCAAGACTTGGATTATCACGATGAAGATGACGAAGAAGGAGTTGCAGCAGGAGAAGATGAAGAGGCCAGTGGAAGTGGACCAGCTAACATGGAAGAAGACGATGATGATCAACATATACAGACAATCAATCCCGAAGAAGACAATAATGAGGATGATGGATCACCAATATCATTCAACAACGAAGAGCAAAGAGCAAGAGCTGGCCTGTTGGTTACTACCAATCTGCAAATTCCACCATTGGCATATTCCACCAATCAGTCTGCATTAGATGTGAAGAATGTCAAAAAGTACAAATATTTTCCAATTTCCAATGTGTATTATTTACCACCAATTAATGTTGTATATTTCCCTCATAGAGCCCATCAAAGTCAAAAAGGAGAGGAAGCCGATCCACAAGTTGAACCCGCAGTCGTTAATCATACTAAAAAAAGTTCAAACGTTTACTTCAAATAAAGTTTTAAGGTTTTAATATTATTTGTTCATCTTACAATGGAGTCTTTATTTTTTTATGTTTACAAAAAAAAATTGGTGTAAATAATTTTACTTGTAACTTTATTTAGATATGAATACAAAAATTAAATACTTAATAGTAAGACGTTAGTTGATGTAGTTGTATAAGAATGTGCCATAGAGCTGTTGTAAAAGTTGCAGTTTTTCAAGTTGGCTGGATGGACCACTACATCAGAGTGATTATAGGTGTACTTTCATCAAAAATCAGAAACGTTTCTGTCAATGCACACTTTCTAAAAACTTAACTTGCTGTACATGAAAACTAAACTAAATTCTTCAAGGATACCCCTTTCTACATTAGTTGGAATCCCTTGAGCCTTCGATTCGAAATTCATAATTTTTTTTATCAGGAATGATGACAACACAACTCTATAGTTTACAATTACATTGCACTTGCGAATTCGCTAATTTGAGACAGGTTTGGCAATATTGAATGACACATTTTTTTTTAAATAACTTAATTAGTGTCATATTCGGATCTTGGGTTTAGAAAGAGTTAAATCGTTATTTTAAAGCAAATGCAAAAGAGGCAAATTTGTACAAAAAGCTTAAAGTTTAAATTGATTAATTTTATTTTTCACTTCCCCTCTGAAAAAGTGTCTGGGTTTAATCATGTGTTAGAGATATAGCAACAAGTGTGGAGTATAATTGGAATGATTAAACGAAATTGATTCTTGAAAAATACCCAATCAATGCTTATCTTGACCGGTCAGACACAAAATTTAGGGATATATCATTGAGCACAAGGTCATATACACTGAAGACAAATAATTTTGGTCATTTTTTTTTAAGTAGGCCAACCGCTCAAAATATTGTAAGTCAAAAGTTAAAATTATTAGTTAAAAATATCACAATCTTTTGACTAAAGTATGTTTAAGAGATAAATCTGGTTCACCAGCCACAATTCAAGTCCAATAATACATCAAACCAATATTTTAAAATTCTCAATTGTAATATTAGTATAAACGGAATAAATAAAAATACTTCTTTACTCTCTAACAACAATAGAAGCTGCACCCATACCAGTACCGATACACATAGAAGTAAGACCAATTTCACCCTTCTTCAACAATCTCAAGATGGTAGCATATTGTCTAGCACCAGTGACACCTAATGGATGACCCAAGGCGATAGCACCACCATTGATGTTTAACTTTTCTTTTGGAACGTTACAGGCCTCAGCAGAGTAAAGACATTGAGCAGCAAAGGCTTCGTTGATTTCGAAAACATCAACATCAGAAACAGTTAAACCGGTTCTCTTTAACACTTCTGGAATGGCATAAGCTGGACCAACACCCATAATTTCAGGTGGAACACCAGCAACAGAACATGCAATGTACTTGGCTTGAATTTCGTAACCCTTGGCTTCAGCAACTGATCTTCTCATTAATAACACGGCAGCAGCACCATCAGAAATTTGAGAAGCGTTACCAGCATGGGTGGTACCCTTGAATGCTGGCTTGATCTTACTTAAGGATTCTGCAGTAACGTTTGGTCTTGGTCCTTCATCGGTATCAACAACGATTTCCTTTTCTTGGCCATCGTTTCTTAAAAGAGCCTTGATTGGTAAAATTTCATCCTTGAAGGCACCGTTCTTAACGGCCTTTTCGGCCTTTTGGTAAGAATCAGCAGAGAAAACATCTTGTCTTTCTCTAGAAATGTTATATTTGTTAGCAACATTTTCGTTAGTGTAACCCATAGGAATTAAACATTTAGCCATTTCAGGATTCTTAAGTAAAGATGGATCAACCTTTGGAGTAAGATTGGCAGCACTATAGTTCTTGGACATGGATTCAACACCACCGGCAATACCACAGTCAATTTCACCTACTCTAATTTTGTTGGCAATTTCAGAAATAGCCATTAAACCAGAAGAACAAAATCTGTTGATGGCAATTAACCCAGCAGTGTATGGGATACCAGCAGCTAAACAAGCACCTCTGTGTTCAGTGGCACCGGCGGCTTGGTTCAAGACATTACCCATAGCAACATCTTCAATCAAAGAAGGATCAACACCGGTCTTGTCAAGGAATTCTTTCAAAAAGTGAGTCAAGATGTATTCACTGCCGACATCCTTGAAACTACCTTTGAAACCTTTGGTAATAGCAGTTCTGTAAGCGGCAACAATGACAACATCATCAGGGTTCTTTTGTAAAAGAGCTTGCTTAGAGCTTGGGCTTAATTGTCCACTTAATTGGTTAAGTCTATCCATTTTATTGTAGTTATTAAAGATTTAAACTAATATCGTTAGTTGGATAGAAATGAAAGTTTTTTTTATCAAAGTTGAAAATTCATTGGGTTTTATATATTATCACCGTTGGCTTGTGATTATTAATTTTTTTTGGTTGCCCGCATTTAATTCTCCGCAATTCGCATAGTTTTCCGAGGAAAGTTAAATCTGAGTTTTTGGTAGTCCCGAGGTACAAATCATAAGTGACGTCCGACCTATATGCAGGAACCAGACATTGCAAGGGTTAACTGGAGTTAAATATAAACCGGTAAATGTGATATTAGAAGAGAGCCTGTATTACTTGGATTAGGTCCAGATTCAGAGCAAGCTAAATGGTTAGTTAGATGGAATTAAGACAAGCTTTAACAGGATAAATATTGCTAGCAGTTAATTCATTAATCTATTTCCGTGGGGTATCTAATCAGAAACCGTTATAATACAATAAGATACAAGTATAACTCTCTTAGTAAATCATTACTCCTTGTGGGGTTAGGCTTATCAGAATATCAAGGAACGTTATCCCGAACTCTCTAAAGAGTGGCAGGTTTGACGTGGGGTTAAACAATGATCCCGCTCGGAACAAAAAAACAAATTTTATGTAGGCAAAAAAAAATGGTCGACAAAAGTGGGGGACAGTGAAATTGCCGAAGGCTCAAGTAGCGACACCATACACATTTTGCATATCCTTCGGATATTTCCTAAACCTCTTTCAAGATTTTTTTTTCAGTCAAGATGGATTTAGCCAAGGGAAAGTTACTTACTAGCATCAACTGATAAGAAAATTTTCAATACTCCCACCCCGCTTTTATATGATTCACGATTAAGTTAAGCACAAACTGTAGTAGTTACTTGGCGATTTCTCTTACATGATATATTTTTCTTTATTCTTGGTTATCAAGAATAGTAATATCCATTAAATATATACCCAAAACAAAATTATAAATGTTACACATGATGAAGTAAAAAGGCAATTTCTCAATTCTCCTTCTCAAACAGAAATATTCCAATGAATGGTTCAATCCCATCTGGTCTCCCTTCAGGACATTTTCCTCTAAATATCAACGTAGGGGTTTCTTCTTGTATATATCCATCATCTTCAATTATGGCTTCTCCTTCTTTCTTGATATTGTCAGAGTTCTTACTTGTATCTACTCCCTTTGCTGTGGTGAATATTTTCGTAAAATCAATTCTCAACATTCCTTCATCATCAACAATTACATATAACTTGTATTTCTGATCAATCAAATCATTTGAATCATTATAATGAATCAATCCTTTTGTTGAACCTGTAATTAATCCCATAGTAGATCCAATCCCCATTAGATTGGTACCGTTGATTTTGATATAGACTCCACTGAGACCAAAGGGTGAACAATGGATTTCCAAGTCACATTCATTAGCATATTGGAATGCAATCTGTTTCTCAAGCACTGTAGGAGGGCTCGAACTTGATGATACTGCTGTGGTCATGCTTAAGTCTTATAGCTTCTTTTGTTAGTTTCAAAAAGGTAATGTATGAATTTTGTACTATCACGGTTTTTTTTTTTTTCTCTTGTCAGATCATGTATGTCGATTACGAAATAATTTCCATTACGAAGGATTTTTTTTTTATTACCGTAATTGGGCGGCTTGGTTAGACATGTTGTTATGACATAGTTGGTCTAAAAGTCTTTAAATCATCACATTGTTACTTAACATCTAAAAATATCTAAATAAATAATACAGAGATTAAACTGAATAATACAAGTCCCAAACGGGTGGTTAAATGAGTAGCACCACCTTGTGAAACCGTGGCAACTTCATCTCTTTTTTGTATTGGGCTATCTCCTAGTTGAGGGGTATTGGTTGGTGGTGGTACCAAAACAGTTGTTGTTAAAGTGACATAGACTTTATGGACAACATGTTGATGTCTTGGTGTGTCTGAAGTGGAATAAAGTGTTTGTAAAGTGGTAACTGTAGTAGTTCCTTCATCTGATTCTGTAGTTGCAGGTGCATCGGCGGGTATCCATTGGAAGGAAGATGTACTTGGTTCTTGAGAAGCCGGAGCCTCGGAACTTGGTGCTGGTGCAGGATATCCAAACTCTGCAGAAGGTGATGCACTGCTTGCTGGTACAACAGTTGAAGGTGCACTAAATGCGGGTGCACTATACGATGGAGCACTTCCACCGCTGCTTGAACCTAAAGCATTCTTACATCCACTAAGGAATCCATCGTTTTCACCTGAAGAAATATCCCAAATAGAAATACCACCAAATGATGGATCACCTTTAATACTGGAGACAGCTTGTTGTACTGTACTTAAATCAGCGTACCCTGAACCAGCAGAAGCAGTTGACCCTGGTAAACCAAGATATAACTTTATGTTCTTATTTGGCGAAGTGGACTTGGCATACAGACTCCAAGTGTCCCAGTTAAAGCTCCCACCCAAAGAACAGTAGTTGTTATAGAATTGAATAAATGCAAAATCAATGTCGACTTGAGATAAAATATCACCAACAGATTCATCAGGGTAGGGACATTGTGGAGCAGCTGATAAGTAGTAAGATTTTGAAGAATCAGAGTTGAAATATTGTCTTAGTTTAGCAGCCATTGCAGCATACCCGGTTTGTAGTTTGTTCTCCATATCAAAGTCAAACCCGTCTATAACAGCATCATCAAATGGTCTTTCGCTGTCACTTCCACCACCAAACTTATTCCACAATGTGGTTGCAAATGATTGTGCATCTGAATCAGAAGAGAAACCATAGTTTCCGGTTGCACCACCTAAGGAAAGCAACACAATCTTCCCCTGACTTTGACAAGATTTAATATCAGAACCAATTTGCGAACAATGCAATAAACCATCGCCATAAGTATCGCTACATTGATTAGCAAAGTTAAGTTCGAGATTTGGAAACCCATTCATGAAAGATAATATAATTATATCAGCTGCCGAGGAAGAGCAGTATGAGCCCAAAGACAGTTGGGAACCTCCAGCATTCTGACCCCAGTAAGCGGCGACATTGGAGTTGGAGTTGGCATTAAACGCTATGACCGTTGATAATATGGTAAGGATCGAGATTATTCGAGTAAGCATTGCTTATCTTAGTTTGTTATTTACAGATAGATATTTCATTATACAAAATTACTTAGAATAGACAAATATCTATCAATATATAGTTGAAAACTATCCTGACGCAAATTACTGCAAAAGGTGTAGCAAATTAGAAAGGGGGGTGTTTGTTTAGATTGCAGAAGGTCAGATTCGGTTACATCACAATGTAAATCGACCAGATACGGTGAAAATCAAACAAAATAATACGCCAAGGGTATTTACAATTAACTCGAAAGGGGAATATAAAACAATATCTCAAACATCGGTTGACAACCTTCGAATCACGTAAATATCAATCTAATTAATTATTATTTGCCAATTTACCAAGAAGGGGTAAACGCGCGTAGCAAACAACCAAAACACTAAACGCGCTTTGACTGTTTCAGGAAATGTTTTTTTAGGGTGATGCTGCATCGCGAAATCTAAATTTCATTGTTCTCTCATTACCTTTCCCAATTGGGAATAGATCAGATTTTGTACGTTTCGAAGGAGTTCCACAGGTGATGGAAGTACATAATCTTATTTTCAAAACATGTTTTCCATTTGATGGGGTGTTTAACGAAGCGTGTCGCGACTGTTTCAGAAATTACCGTGTATTATATGATGTCATTTAATTAATACTCTAGCGTACATATAAGCTATATTTGATTGAATACAAGCGAATAATAAATCAAAACGAAACTTTATCTTGTTACATAAAAAAAAATACACACACACACACAAATGCTTTAAAGCATAGCAATAGCTACCAAGAACAATGAACCAGCTCCCCAAACAGCAGTGCCAGCAGCTCCAGTCAGGGATTCAGATTTCGAATTAGGTTCGTCTGTTGCACTAGAATCGCTTGTTGTTTTTGTGTCTTTATCAGTAGTTTTTGTAGCCGAACCACTTTTGTCAGTTTCAGACTTGTCTTTATCAGTGGTTTTAGAATTCTTGTCCGAGGTCAAGGTTTTAGAATCCTTGTCAGTTTCAGATTTGTCGCCAGTTGTAGTTTTGGTTTCCTTATCATCTGACTTGTCTTTGGTTTTGCTGGATTGTTTATCATCATCAGAAGTCTTGTCATCCTTAGAAGTTTCTATACCATCATCAAAGTCAGTATGTACTTTAACTGCTTGACAGTAGTTTTTCTTTAATTGGGTGGGGTCTTCGGCAGAATTACTTCCACGGTATTCATCACAACCTTTAACACAAGTGCTTAACAATTCCCAATATTCATCTCCGAGACGGCAAACACATTCATTTACGTCAAGGGCATTATTAGATTCGTATGTGTCTTTGCATTGCTTCACCTGCAAATCTCCTGCTTTGACACAACTTTTACCACATTCTTCATCTTCGGCTCTCTTTAGCAATTCTATTGTTTCTTCCGTAAATGGGACAAAGTTGGAAGCAACAGTGACAGTGGCATAAAGAATGAGAGAAGTTAACTTCATGATTTTAAAATAATATTGCAAAAAAAAATATCAAAAAAACCAAAAAAATAACCAAGCCAATCATATACTTCAAAGGATTTACTAAAGGAAAATCGCCAGGTTTAAATAATGATTGAAATTTCAGAGCATGTGAGTCGGTTTAAGTTTTGTTAATTCTGGGCGTCAATGTGATTAGATTATTTAGTCCATACATGTTTTCTTGGAACTAGTTGCGCAACTGTGCATCATCTATTTTTAAGGTTGTGTAGCTATATCGTGAACGGACCCCTTCCAAAAATAGCATCAAAACCACCAGATTTATAAATAATTGGTTTTGTTGCCGTTTCAATTGGACTCGGAATGAGATAGTTGTGTTACCTATTCAAGCTAAATCAGCACGATTTTCGTAAAGACAGAAGTTTTTTTTTTTCTATTGTTGGGTGGATTACTCTCCATTTAACTCTGATAACAAACTCGGCTGATTACAATACAGAAGTGCGACATGTTTCATCATAAAATTTATAAATGTGGATGAATTGTAATCTTAATTGCGTGGAGAAATTTAGTATTACGTTCACACATTAAACACGGAGCTTGCCACATAAAATCGGGTGAGGGGAAGTCTCGAAGGTGGCATGCCAACCAGGTGACGATAATTGAACATTATGCCTCCCCCTAATTATACTAATTTATTCTAGACCAGATCTTAATTAGTGCAACTGCAAGGTAAAGTATAACATTGTTACAGTTTGCTTACTCCTAGTTGTGTTTTAAATCTAAATTACAAATCCTTTTTGGAAAAGATTCAGAACTACCTATTGCAAGTACAATTGCTTATACATTCCAAGTTATGAAACCAAAATGGGAGTCAAAATTGTGTAATAAATTTTCGAAGAAATATAAACTTTGACAAAGTGTTGTATTTTTATAGTCGTTAACTGCATACTACTCCTAATATTTTTTTACATCACCAGAAAATCAAGAATAACAACCAATTTATGAATTGTTTACCTTGTAATTTCTCAGATTGAAAAGTCAGCCTGATCATGTACCATATTGAATATAAAAAAGTATTAATGGTATCAACTATTCATTGTTGTATTGAACGAAGTTGAATTTTTTAAACAACAATCCATTATTAAATCAATTAACCTTGAAGATCGAGAACATAGAACTATGTCACCATTGGAACGGTTATAACATTATCTGTCAAATAAGAATTTCATGATCATGAAAAGATTTATCAGTAGTCTCATGATTGAAACTAAAGAATATTCCAAACTTGAAGTTAAAGTTGATCTATCAGACACAACTACTACTAGTTTAGCTGAAAACAAGAGTTTTGATGGATCCCACAAATTGATACCAGACATAGATTACTTGGAAGAACATTAGTATATTTAAATATAAACTGTTATATTGAACAGTATTTGAATTCAAACTGAAAAATTAGAAGTATTTTAAGCATTACGATTATTTGAATTAATTTATTATTTATACACAAATTTATTGACATTAAATCATGAAATAGTTGATTAAAAGTCCCGTTAATAAAGCAAAATTATTTGCTGAAACAAAGTGTGCTGATCCTTGCAAATAATCTTCTTCTGATGGTAATGGAGAAGTTGGTTGTGCTGCAATTGATTCTGATTCAATTGGTGGCACTTGTGAATTATATGGATCTTCCTCTATTTGTTCATACTCATGTGGAAGTTCTGATTCTAAAGTAGGATCATTAGCCAGAGAACTAATGTATGAAGTTTCAGGTATATATGATTCAACTAATGTGGTAACAACAACGGTTGAAGTGATTTCTGAAGTGGATCCTTTGTCAGTTTCTGTGAAGATAGTATTTTCAGTTGATTGTTTAGTAACTGGTGATTCTGGATCTTGACTTGTTGGCTTTGGATCAGGGTCTTCAGTAGTTGGTACTGGATCTTGAGTGGTAGGTACTGGATCTTGAGTGGTTGGTACTGGATCCTCGGTTGTTGGTTCAGGATCTTCAGTTGTAGGTACTGGATCTTCAGTAGTTGGAACTGGATCTTGAGTGGTTGGTACTGGATCCTCGGTTGTTGGTTCAGGATCTTCAGTTGTAGGTACTGGATCTTCAGTAGTTGGTACTGGGTCTTCAGTAGTTGGTACTGGATCCTCAGTTGTAGGTTCAGGATCTTCAGTTGTAGGTACTGGATCTTCAGTAGTTGGTACTGGGTCTTCAGTTGTAGGTACTGGATCTTCAGTAGTCGATTCTGGATCTTCAGTAGTCGATTCTGGATCTTCAGTAGTAGGTTCAGGTTCCTCAGTTGTAGGTTCTGGATCTTCAGTAGTAGGTTCAGGTTCCTCAGTTGTAGGTTCTGGATCTTCAGTAGTTGGAACTGGATCTTCAGTTGTTGGAACTGGATCTTCAGTACTTGTTTCAGGATCCTCGGTAGTAAATTTAGGATCCTCGGTAGTTGTTTCAGGTTCCTCAGTTGTTGGCACTGGATCCTCAGTAGTTGGATCTGGTTCAGGTACTTCGGTTGTTGTTTCTGGTTCTGGTCTTGGGGCATTGCATTGGGGATCCCAATAGACGTTAGGAGCATCTGTTAAGCCGTCAACTGGACAATCAATTAGGTATTGAGCATAAAATGATTTTGTGGTAGTTTTGCAATACTGATCGATCCAACTATTATCATCCTTTTGACACCAGACATATTCTAATGTGAAAGGGGTAGAGCTGTCGAATCTTCCCGTTTCTTCAGCAAGCATTAACCAGGTGACAGAAAAATGTTGTTCAGCTGACCCTACCTTGTCAACCTTTTTAGTTTTGTTAAATAATTCTATTTTGCCGCCGAGATAATCACCTGGACTCTGTAATCCTTTGAGATAAAGAGACGATAATGCAGCTTTTGTGATGGAGTTTCCCATCATAAATTCAACCTCGACTTGATAGACATTATCGTAAATCCATTTGACTGAATTAAATTGTGCCATGCTTAAAGGCGGATATCCAAGAGATTTTGCTCTTGCTCCAATAACCACTGGACAAGAAGCACTGTTGGATTTGCATGTAGCAACAGGTGTAGGCTTGGGCGTAGGTACTACTGTAACAATTGTATGTGAATATACAGCAAGTATAAAATAAGTTAATAGTATGATAATCTTCATGTTAGTTTTGTATTATGGTTTGGTTTTGAATATAGAAAAACAATTATAGATCTTAGAAATGTATGCTGTATTTATATTCCAACATTCCCGAGATGCTTAGGCGCAGTGGTGAGGAACCTTGATGATGTCATTGGCAAAATTTGATCAGATGTTTTCTTTGTGATGTCACTGTTTAGGTTTGGTCATTCTAGTTGTTAATAGAAATCAATTGGTAGACATTTCAGGGCTGCGAAAGCGTTTTGGTAAAAAATATCTGAGTTGAAATTATTTTTTTTTTGTTACCTGCACGTCAATATTTTTTAGATCCTTATTTTTTGTACCGCCACGGCGTTTAGAAGGACAACAAAACTAATTTAGAAACTTCGTAAAGTTGAATATCGAAGCAGTAATCTGTGCTTTCAACGATCAATGACCTATAAGTTCTAACATAGTAGTAAAAGTAAAATCAATTATCTCAATCCAAATATAATTGATTTTGATTAAGCTTATTCGAAAGTGGAGTATTTGTTCATATTATTTACGACCGATAGATAGTTTTGACATAGGTTAATGACTAATTACTTCTGCACAAATCATTCCATTTACTGCAAGGACGCCATGATGTAATTATATCGACATAAACGATTGCCCAGAAATTTGGATTATGAATGGCCCTGTTCTTCCGTGACAATGAGCGATGACAATATTTTTTTTCCCCCGAGGCTCATGCATATCAGCTGCATAAAATTTTTTTTTCTATAAAATGTACATGTTAGAATCATCGAAAATACACTCTTTTATGTTCATTACATTGGTAGAAGGTAAACCATAGGTGTACTTTAATTCTGAATAAATTTGCAGGAAGAATCGTCCAGGTATTGTAAAATTTTTCGCAAGACGGAATATCTGGAACCCTTGGTTCTGTATGATACATGACCCCTGCAGGTTTGTGTCTTCGTTATTAAAAAATATTGACAACATAAAAAATAACTAGAAATTATTTTTGGTCAGCTCGGGTATCACTCAGCCTGCAAAACTGCACCCACCAAAATGGCAGTAATTATAACAAATCTGGATATGTACGAGGAATGACGTCTTTGATCAGCACAATATTATAAATGACAACGGCGTTTTAGAAGTAGTAATCGATCTGATAATGTTTCTGCAAACTAATGCAAGGAACCGTTTGTGCGATTGAGAATTGTATGGATAGAGAGTCATTTTAAACATCAAGGTGCAGCATACAGTCTATGTTCTTTGATCAATCATTTCTCAAGAAGGAATCAAGCCAATTGGATTGCTGTTCTTGGCTAGATATAATTACTGCCACAAATTTCCCCCGCGTTGCACATCTAAGTTTATGGCGTCACGTATTTTTCTGGGGTACCATTTTGCGCTCGGTCCGGTTTGCAAAAAAAATAATTGATTTTTTGTGTTTACCATGTGAAATAGTTAACATGGAAGATTATTATTAGAAAAGATGGCACAAAAGAAATTTCAACAAGTCATTGGTTCAAATTAAGACCTGAGTTACGGTGTAATTAAAATATCTGTGCCTTAAATTGGTCATACGTAGAACCGTATCTGTGTGAATGACACAAAACTATGTTGCATATTTTAAGACAAGTAAATTGCGTGTTCTCTAGATGGATGTTACGGATCTGAAGTACAATAAACCAAAGATTCTAGCTATGTTAGTGCTTACTAATGGTAAAATTTATAAAGAAAAACAGAAGATAAGGAAATTGATTTATTGTCTCTTTTGTAACAAAAGCAATGAAATTGATATTAGTACCTAATATTGTTTGAAGGAATTTTACCCAATGGCGATCGTGTCTAAGCTAAGGTATGATCTGGTTTGACCAACTAAATATGAAGGGTCAATTAGACGAAATAGGTAATGGCCTGATCACTTTCCCTCTAATATTTTGTTTTTATAATGACGATTCATCGACTGCTTTCCATGAATGATCAAGTCGACGTAACCCTACATTTCTCCATATTCTAATTATAGATATGTACCTTAATATCGTCAAAGCATAAATAGAAATGACATTTGGAGTGTTGCTTTTTATAGGAAATTATTTTTTTTTTGACATCTTGCGCATGCAGATTATTCGGATATTTTTTCTTTTTCTTTTTCCCAGTTTATCCGAGACCGGAAAAACTAAAGCTCATATGTGGTGGGAGGCATTCTTAGTAAAACTCAATACGAAAGGTCATTCGCTGCTTGGAATAATCCAAAACCAAGAATAGTAGAAATCCTATCATATATAAATATCTTTCTCTTACTATGCGAAAATACAATTCTAAGGTGGGAAGATACAATCTGTAATCCAAGTTTACAACTACACTACGATAAGTCGTTATTTGGAATCAAATAAACTCAAATATCTACAATTGGTTAACCATGAATATTGATACGTATACATCAATTGACTAGAAATCAATATAAAACTAAATACAGAATTAGGTGATCATCAAATTAAAATTACATTAAGGAAAAGACAAACAAGGATCATTGGACTTTGGGAAACATAAGATGCAACATTTTCGTAATACACAATTTGTGGAGAATTATCAGCGACTGGATCTGTAGATACTGGAGGGGAATTATCAGTGAGGTCTTCATCTGGCTTTTGTAATTGATCTAAACCTTCGTGTTGATCTGCCATAGCAAATGGTGTTGTATCGGTAGTAGCTTCTGCAATTTCATGTTCTGGATCTATTGAATCTGGGTCATTTTGAGAACCGGAAGAAGTGGCTTGTGATATTGGGTCTGGTTTAATTGGAGCATTTGATGAAGATCCTTCGGATGTTGGATATCTAGCGCCAGAGTTACCTGGAACCTGTGAGGAAGATCCTTCGGATGTTGGATATCTAGCGCCAGAGTTACCTGGAACCTGTGAGGAAGATCCTTCAGATGTTGGATATCTAGCGCCAGAGTTACCTGGTACCTGTGTGGAAGATCCTTCAGATATTGGCAAGGATGTTACATAGGTAGTAGTACTTTCGGTAATGGTTACTATGGTATAGCTGAGGGTGTTGCCATTGACTTCCTGTGAACCTAATGTTGTAGCAGGTTTATTTTCATTACTGGAACCAAGAATGGAATTAGTTTCTTCAGGTTGTAGTAAGTTTGACAGAGACTCAATGGTCAGTAACCTTGCTGGAGTAGCATTGCTTTCTAAGTTTCCCGTAGCGTATTGAGATTGGCTTAAAGGAATGGTTTCAGTAGTGATATATGTGTAATGTGGTGCTGTGACAGTTATAATTTTAGTGGTAAAAGATTGTGCATATTCACTTGCCAATGGATCAACATTAATAGTTTCAGTATTAGTAACAACAGTGGTGGCAGGTTTCCAAATTGTGTATGTGGATAAGTAATCTGATGTAAATTCCGTGGTATAGGTTTCAGAGCCAACAATCTTAGTACTGATATAACTGATTGCAATTGTGGAAGTTTGAACTGATGGAATGGTTGTAGTTATTGTTTTTGTTACAATAGTGATTCTGTTGTTGGAAATATTAGCTGATGATATTTTGGTTTCAGATGGATCCATAATAGTAGATTCTCCAGCATAGACAGGATTTGATTCATTACTTTGAGTTAATGTTGTATATAAAGTTTCATCTGAACTTGATTTGGCAATCTGTGATGAAACTGGATTGTTTTGTTGTCCCAGGGATGAAGAAGCATTTGTGTTTGTGGTGAAAGTAGGTTCTTTAGGAGAGCTGATTGTAGAATCACCTGGATTTCTTTCTGATGTTTCAGTGTAAGAATTCATTTCAGGATCACTTGAAGTGATTGCAGGGTCTGATGGTGAGGATTGACTAGTAACTTCAGAATTCATTTCAGGATCACTTGAAGTGATTGCAGGGTCTGATGGTGAAGATTCACTATTGGCTTCAGAATTCAATTCTGAAGGCACCAAAGTAGATGTTTCATGATAGCTAGAACTAACATCTGGTTCTATTGGAGTTGTTTGGACTTCAATTGGATCAGATGTTGTAGCTTGTGATAATTCTTGGCTTGTGACTTCTGGATTGGGTAAGACTGATTCTGTTTGCAAAACTATATCGGTAGATTCAACATCAGTAACATGTTCTTGAGGTAGAGAATGTTGTCCTCCTAACTCACCTCCTTCGAAATAACCATGTTCAGGGGGGTTTGACGATCCAAGTTCAGTTGTTGACGATTCAAGGGGTAAATTTTCTGTGGTTTTTTCCCCAGATTCGGAAACTTCCAGATTTTGTTGCGATTGTGTAGGATCTGCACTAACTGGATCTTGTGAAGTAGCAGGGTCTTCTACCAACGTGGTTTCTATTCCATTTTCCTCTGAGACCGTCTCAGTTGATAATATCGAGGTTGTTTCTGGCTCAACCGGAGGGTCAACAACTTGTGAATTAGATTCGGTTTTCAAGCCAATACTTGATTCACTTTCATATAACGATGGTTCAACTACTGAAGTAACAGCTTGTTCTTCCGATTGAACGGTAGTTTCTGGATCAGTTTCTTCAGTGGAAGCTTCATATTCCAGTTCCAGTTCAACTGTTGTAACATCAGCAGGTATCTCAGATACATGCCATGGTTCTAACAGAGACATGTCTTGAACAGTTGTGGATTCAAATTTTAAATCAGTGGTTGGTTCTTGAGATGATTCTGTAGTAAATTCGGCATCTACTTCAGTGGATTTAGTGGCTAATTCAGATGTGAATTCTACATCAGATTCAATGGTTGATTCAAGACTAGCTTCAGTTGATTCATCAACTGGTTCAGTAGTGGAGTCATCATCTACCTCGGTTGTAGGTTCAATGGAAGGTTCCAATGTTTCAATAGTATTTGTTTCTGGCTCATCCTTTTTGGTTGGTTCTTCTGAGGTGGTTGGTTCTTCTGAAGTGGTTGGTTCTTCTGAGGTGGTTGGTTCTTCTGAAGTGGTTGGTTCTTCTGAAGTGGTTAGTTCTTCTGAAGTGGTTGGTTCTTTTGAGGTGGTTGGTTCTTCTGAGGTGGTTGGTTCTTCTGAAGTGGTTGGTTCTTCTGAAGTGGTTAGTTCTTCTGAAGTGGTTGGTTCTTCTGAAGTGGTTGGTTCTTCTGAAGTGGTTGGTTCTTCTGAAGAGGTTGGTTCTTCTGAAGTGGTTGGTTCTTCTGAAGTGGTTGGTTCTGGCCTTGGTGCACCACAACATGGTTCCCAGCACACATTTGGAGCATCAGAGAAACCTGACAGGGGGCAATCTATTACGTATTCAGCGTAAAACGATTTGTCAGTATTTTTACAATATTGGTCGATCCAACTATTATCAGATTGTTGACACCAAATATATTCCAATTGAAATGGAGTGGAGCATTCCAAACCCCCAACCTGTTGGGCTTCCATTAACCAAGTCACAGCAAAATGTTGTTCTGCTGTGTTAACCTTGTCAACTTTTTTGGTTTTGTTAAACAATTCTATCTGACCATTTAAGTAATTGTTTGGGGAACTCAACCCTTTCAAGTAAAGACTGGATAAAGCAGCTTTTGTTATAGAATTTCCCATCTGGAATTCAACTTGAACCTGGTATACGTTATCATATACCCAGGCGACATAAGTGAACAGAGCAGCCAGAAATGGGGGATATTTGAGCGACTTTGCTCTTGCTCCAGTAACACAAGGGCATTGGTTAACATCATCAACTGGATCGCAAATAGCAACCGGAGTTGGTTTAGGAGAGGGTAAATTAGAGACCAACGTGAAGGCGTGGACTGAAAGTATAAAGTAGCTTAGCAATATAAGAGGATTCATTGTTTGTGTTGTATGTTATTGTTATTGATGAATTTACAAAAGGAGATGAATCAATTTAGGTGGGGAGGAATACTACATTTATATACGTCTGTGAAATGACCCTATGAACCATTCAATTGAATAACTACGAACAAGTCACCATGATATTGCCAGTGGATATATGTTCCGCTGCTCTTAAAAAATAACGTGATATTAGCGCGCAAAATAAATTATTTGGGGCGACATAAATATTTCAAAAGTTCGTACTCCATGTATAGAAAGTTCTACCACCTCGGAATAATGCGGAACAATCGGACTATCATGTTCTCCGTTAGATTGATTACCAAATTGAGTTTTTCATAATATATGATGCTATCATAATCAGAAAGTTACAATCCTGATTTTTTTTTTGGTAACCTATTGCAAACTGGTCGTGAAGTACTAGATAGTTATTCTTATCATCTTTTCTGAGAATACTAAACTAGTGCGGTTTAATTACAGTCTAAAATCCCAAAACTATGCTGGCTCGCCTCCTAAACTAAAATTAACCTCCGCATTGTATGCATTCGTTTGAAATTTCTTTTACAAACCGTCACACCCTTTCTTTTTTTTTTTGTCTTTACTATTACATCACTTTTCCAACAGGGTCAATTTTCTCTTTTTTTTTTTGTATATTATTCAATTTTGTGGATCAATATCTGGAGGAGTGACTCTAGCATGTCTTTATGATTCAATTTTCCAGAAATTTTGGTTTGTTTATTTAATTTTTTTTACTGTTTTAGTACCAGCTCTGCAGTAACGGAAATGCTGGAACAATATCTAAATAATATTCCCCACCCATTTAGATTATTTTTCGTAAGTATTAAAAAAATAATTTCCCTACATGCATATGGTGGAAAAAAATAAAGCGACCCTCTTGGTCACGAATCCTGAACCGAACTGTTTCGGATAAGTCTTTCTAGAAGCTTATTACATTTAGAAAACCATATACGCGGCAAACCATTTCTTCTTCCGCATATATATTTATCCTAAACGCCGTGGATATTGGAGATATGACGCCTCTGTGAATCATGTACATCGGTTTATTTATTAAAGAGCATGCATTTCTAGCCAGAACCAAAGGCTTAGTATCGCCAATACGAATTTCCAATGAAGTTCGTATCTTTCGGTTATATCTGGACAAATGTAAAACTATTTATACAAAGACTAAACCTGTAGTTACAAATGGGACAATATATCAGTGCCAAACTAATGTAACCACTTCGTAAGGTCCTTACCAATACAGTTTATGAGAAAAAGCTATAATGGTTTATTTTCAACTTAATGTGAAAAGAACATGATGCTAATGATAAAAGAACTATGTCAAGGTAGGAGAAAATATTATACTCGGTTTATGTTATACACCTTCTACAAACCTCGGGGGCTGATGATAAATTAAGATTTTGTTCGTATAAAGTTGCATTAATTCAAGACCATAGGCGGTTAATTCGGTTGTACTTATTTTATTTTTTAGTCCAACCATCATAATTGTAGGGATGCCACGGAACAAGTTTGAAATGTTTTTTCCGCCTCGTATTTTTCAGTCAAGGATCGTTCGGAACCGGGACAGAAATTTTCTTTTTATTTTTTTATTGCGCATTTGTCCGAACAGGGTAATATAGCGTATGAGCTTGTTGTAACCAGGAATCTCGAACGTTTGGATCTAATACAAGCTTATTATTTTGAATTACGAAAATTCTTAACAAAACTGGAATATCTTCCGATCCGAAGTGATGCAATTTATTCTGCAGATAAACATACGTAGTTGTTATTCCCAAAACACATCAACTTAGTATTTTCCAATAAATTAAAATACCCTTATAATTGGTATGCTTAGCCATTAGAAGTAAGCCGCCTGGAGTTTAGAACGGGTGTAGGAAAGTTGTAACTATACATAATATTAAATTTTTTCTATAGATTATGAGCCCGATTTCTTATTGAGTTCCATTCCAATCTGTATAACTAGTGTTTCGCCTATTAAATGTTACTTTCATGGACAAGATATATTTGGGTAATTTTATTACCTAGCAACAGAACTTGGAATAGATATTATTACATTTATTACTAAGAAATTCAACTCCAAGAAAACTATTTCATATAAAAACTAACACATTTTAAATGAAACATTAATTAGATACAAAAACACCCACATTAGAATATACCACTTTTATTGTTCACCCATGAACAATGTCGAAGTATCACAAGAAAGGGGTTAAGTCTGACAAGTCTGCACTTCTCCTAAATCTCCACCCCCTTTTTTCGATCCAATTATTTTTTTTTTAATTCTTATTTTTTAAGCATCCTCGAAGTTGGTTCTGCCCCACGTTCCAAAATTAGAAGCTTTTTTTTTTTTGTTGCATTCCAATCAAAATTCAATTATATTAGAGGAAATACACAATACACTATTAATATTAGCTAAATAATCGTCCTGCGACAGAAAGATAATCTATTTCATTTGTAATTTTAATTTCCTAAATCAAGCACCTTAGAGAATAGCAGCAGCAACAAGGTAGATCAAAGAACCCAAACCAGCACCAGCGGCACCGTTCTTAGTACTAGTAGTGGAATCAGTTTCAGCAGCACCAGTAGCAGAACCACTTCCAGTAGTTTTAGTAGTAGCAGTAGTACCAGAAGAAGCCTTGGTGGTGGTAGTTTCAGCAGATGTGGTGGCCTTGGTGGCAGAACCAGAACCAGTGGTTTTGGCAGAGGAAGTAACATCCTTAACACCTTCGGTGGTACTAGCATCATCAATTTCAGAACTTGCTCCTGAGGCATATGGAAGAAGAGCATCACATTGATACTTTTGTAAACTGGCAGCGTCATTCTTTGGAGCATGAGGACTGAATTCTGGACAACCTTGAACACAGTTACTTAAGGTTTCCCAGTAGTTTGCATCTAATTTACAGGTACATTCACCAATCTTTAATGAGTCTTCGGAAAGGTTTTCTTGTTTACAGGAGGCCATTTGTAAGGCAATAGCATCAGCACAAGGACCTTCAGTCACACATGGTTCTTGAGTGGTTGAGGTGGAAGATGGTTTGGCGTCTTGAGCAGCAACTAAAGCAGTTAATAAAGCGAGGGCAGTTAAATATTTCATTTTGGTTATATAGTAAAGTCAGAAAAAGAGATTTTAAAAAAAGTATTACAAGGAATAGGGGATTTTTTTACTCTTTATATATTGGCCCAATTGAGTGGGCAAAGACGAAGTTTGAACATTTTTCATTGTGTGATTTAAAGTTATTATTAGAAATAGTAAATCTTTAATTTAGTTTAATTTTCTTACTCATTGTTAACTTGCAACAATGACACAAATGCAAGGAATTTTTTTTTCGCCCACCTTGTTATTAAGCCATGGGAGGGCAATATTGCCACATTGAGTATATTACACATACTAAATCTGCAGGTAATATAAAGATACAAGATAAAGGTGATCTGTAAAACAGGTACGCCCCTTTTGAATCACTGTCTTTTAAAATTAGCAATTTGGGACTATGATCTAAACTCTTGTTTTGGGTGGGAATATACTGGCCAACAACCGTCTAATTTAAGACCAAAATTCAATGTTGAGACGGATAAACCTCGCAAAGATTTGTTAAGGGGATTATTTTTTTGACTACTCGACAACTATTTTTTTCTGGTGCAACCCGAAAATGGAAATAGGAAAACACATTTCACGTTTTTGTGTACCTTTTTTTTGAGTTGGTTACAACTACAATTCTTAGATGAGATATGATCGTCACGAGTTCAAAGATGTTATGTAAACAGCGGAGATTGCATTACGATGATCAATAATAATCAATCTAGTACTTCTTTACTTAATGATGGAGGTAATTCTTTAGCATTAACAACAAGCAAAGCCAGCCCCTTTTTTTTCCCAATCTTAAAAGTTATTTTTAACCATCCCACAAAATTGAGGGAGGGCCATTGATCTAGTGAAAAAATAAAAAAAAAATACACTTTAGAAAATATTTTAGTACGAGACGCTGCTTTTAACACATTGCGGCTATAATACAAATGCAACTCGGGGGGGGGGAAGGGATATACGGATTATGTCATTAACATTTTTTTTCACAGCTATTCCAACTCATAGCTTCTTCACAGTAGACAAATCAAAGGATTAATTAATGTTTTACAGTTGCGGTTAAGATTGTGACAAACTATTCAATACAATTATTGCTGGATAATAACGAAGTTTAAACAGAAGGTGGGACTTTTCTCGAACTTTGAAAGTTTAAAATGCGGCAGCCCCGCAATTATTTTACCTTCACATTTGCATTTAAGCTATTGTTTGAATTCGATATTTGCAACAAAATATGAAATTGAGTTCATTTGACGTGTAATTGAGGAGTATAAAAACAATGAACGGATTGTTTAGGGTCTTCTTATCTAGACCAACTACTCCGCTTTTCGTATATTTGATGATCCCTGAAAATAAATCGAATGTAGACATGAGAGAGAAGCTATGAATACTGTTGAAAAAAATAAAAAAATAAAAAGAAAGCCAAATTTAGGCTACTCCTTGGTTGTGAGGAGATGCATTTGATTTAGATTAAGAAGCTTAATTTATATCTGGTGGCGGAATGTGAACGCCGCATCATCAAATATAGTATGTGATGGCTTGTATACGCCGCTCCATAAAATGTGGTACATCTGCAATAAACAATACAATGGTAGTTCTCTATCCCTTTGTTATTATAACTCTGGTCCCAAACATAATCAGTGAAATCCGCTATGGCTATCGGAAAACATTGATTGCTTTCTGGACCACTGTTGTTATTGTCCTAATAAATGTTTTAACAACCAAATTTTATTAGACTTGAGCTAGTTATTAAGTTCTTTGATTGGAAATATATCTATTCTAAGTTAACTGATGATGTGTCACAGGAAATGGAAAGGTTATTTTATGACTATATAGTGTTTCTTCTAGTTATGATGCTCCAAGTAAAATAGGCATTGAGTTCTCGAAGAAGATACAACTAATTAATGTTTCTGTCTTCAAAACCTGTTGGATCAGGCTTGCAGTATTTCAAGTTTACACGGTTTCTCTTTAGGTAGTTTGCGTTCCCATTTAGATGCGCATTATGTTATTTTTTTCGATTAGTTAGTAAAAAAAAGGTACAATCACAATGCCATCTTGGATTACATCAACAGCTCTTGCCACAGACAGACAAAGCAAACACTCTTTTACAGGAAATTTCAGGTTAGTCTCTGTAAATCTGGTTAGATGAATGTGGTCTACATTTTATCATATTGGTTAATAAAATGGAAACATTATACAATAGTATACTAAATACTCAAATACAAACTAAGCAATAATAGTCTGGTCTCAAATTAATGCAAAAATGACTAAGTAGATGATGGAACAAACACCCATAGTCGAAGCTGCATTATGGCTTGTTTCCTTAGTTGATGTATCAGTCTTTGAGGTTTCACTTGTATCTGTCTTTGCTGCTGAGCCGTTTCCATTTGTTGTTCCGGCTGTATTTGTGGTATGGGTATTGGTGTTTGTTGTATGGGTCCCAGTGCCAGTGCCAGTGCCAGTGCCAGTACCAGTACCAGTACCAGTGCCAGTGCCAGTGCCAGTTCCAGTGCCAGTACCAGTGCCAGTACCAGTACCACCATTACCACCAACACCAGTATCAGTCTCAGCGGCTCCTACATCTTGTGTAGCAAAACCACCTAATCCACCACCAATTCCTGCAGCTGCGCCTCCATAAGCAGTGGGTAAAGTTCCGCTGAATTCTTGAACAAGGGAAGAAAACGAAGCAGCACTATCACAGTATAATTGCCTTAGGCCAGAAGGGGAAGAATCAAACCCATCAAGTCCACCTTGATCAACTTGATCACAATTTTTAATACAATCACTCAAGTCGTTGAAGAAGCTGTCGGGGAGCTTACAAATACAATTGAATTCAGCAACAAGATCTTGATCAGAAGGATTTGATTGACCAATCCTACATTTGTTAACCTCGGTCTTTGCAGCATCCACACAACTGCCACTACATGCATCTCGTTTATGTATTCTTGCCATTGCTTTCTCGTTGAAAATTGGAAGTTCGATCCCAAACACGAAGGTGATTAAAAATAAAACACTTAAAAGTTTCATGATAGAAATTATATATGAATTGTTTCTTACTGATGAGTAAAGTTGAAGAAGATTTGGAATTTGGGGAAATTGAGTCGATATTTATACTTATCTCAGAACTTGGACCATTAGCCAGATACTAAAAATAAATCTGAGCCTGGTATTGTATGTGACATGTCCAATTACTGAAGCAATCTTATTGGATAACCGTAATCCAGGTACGAAGGTTTCCAAATGTTCAAAGGGAATATTCTAACGAGTTTCTTTTACATTTTATTTTTTTTTTTTTTGTCATCAAGAAACAATCTGAAGCGGAGCAGTTTCTACTTTGTGGGATATTGATACAATAGAACAAGGCTGTGCCATACATATAGTAGAAACAATTATACGTATAAGGTTAATATTCCGTTAAGTTTACACTGCCTAGCCATGTCACATGGCATAAGTGTCTTGGTCATGCGTGATTGTTCCAACCCTCAAAGCCAATTCTAAGGTTCATTGTTCTAAATTTATTTTTTTATCGTAACCTTTGTTGGAGCAAACCGCCCCTGCTGTAGTTTTTTTATTTTCTTGTCCACATTCTGCCGCGCTCTAACGACTTAGCTAATGTAGTTAATCTCAATTTCTTGGCTCTTTTGCCAATTTTGGAAAATGTCATTGGAAAATAACTGAACAGAATTTTTGGTATCGAATAAAAGCTTTAATGTAGTAGTGTAGATATAGCTACAAGATTTTTGGAATGTAATTACTTTTTGACTGCGCCGTAAACGTAAAACTGCCTGAATTCTACTTGTTATCAATTTAGGGGCTCAGTGATTTGCCTGGTTGTGAGATTATTTTTTTTTTCTAACTAGTATTAAATTATATGCACTCTAATGTGGGGAATTTTTAAACAATAGCATGATAAAAGAAAAATATTCTCTCTCTAATTATTATTTAAAATGAGGCAGAGAATGTATATGACCATGAATATTAGTCTCCATATAACACAAAACAAAGATACGGTCTTGAAAAAGTTGAAATTTGTTTGTGGTAAATAGAATTCTCCCTAAAGGGAGTAATTAAAAGTAGGATTCTTGGGGTAAAAAATGATTTCATCATGATTCTTGTGTAAAGTCCATAGCGTGTGAATTAAATAGTGCCTCTTTGATTTTGCTATTAATCTGTATTTCATAATAACTTGTATCTGAAAACAGCTTGAACCAAACTCCAATTTTATTAACTCAAATATGTTGTTATTTACAAGGCGGTAGATTGTGATGATTTTTTTTACAAAAATTCAAGAAAATATTACGTAAAATACAAATTGCTGTTAAAAACAAAATTTTATTGAAACTTTTGGATTCTCCTCATTCAAGAGAATCCTAAAAGTAACGTCGTATTAAAAGCATGGCTAACTACATAAAGGAGAGAAGATAATGCTTGTTAGTTTTTTTTGCATAACAATTTTATTTTTTTGCATCCAGCTAATACTTTACAAATTTTGGTGTACGGAATTTACCGTAAAGGTTATACCAGAAATATATTTAATCTGAATATCAAGCTATAGACAAAACTTTGATAGATCGTTCTAGAATCAATGTCAATTACTGTCGTCATATATCAGAGTGACAGTTGAAAGCAACCTAAATTAATTTTTTGTCTTGGATTCACGTGACCAATAGTCGTACGTTTGATGTTACACTTTTAAGTAACGATAAGAAAATTGATAAACAAAGAGCACGCTACCAAATACACGATAAGATAACAACATGTAATTGCTGACCACAGTGGGATCCAATATAAAGTGAACACAAGTAATACAGGACTAATATTATCAAAATAGGTATAACCTGATAATATATCAGCACTAATAAACTTTTATGACATTGATTTGTGCTTCATTAGTTCCCCTCCCTCGCTCCCCCACCCCTCTACCGTTTTGTTAAGTTTGCGCAAAAAGAATTTCCGCACATCAAAGATTTTAAACGATCCCCTCACTACAGGGGAAACAAGTGGCAACCAAAACTACACGTCTATTACAGCTGCTTTAATTATCACTTCCCCCCCAAAAAAAATCAGTAATCAATTACCCGTCTACTTTGGAAACAATCACTATCATTATAGACAACATCATACTGATTCAACAGACATGGGTTCTACTTTGTTACACCCTGCTCTTTCAGAGCCAGAGTCATCACCCTTATCACCTGCTAATGAACCAGTTGACGATGAGCAATCAAATCTAGACGACAACAAACAATCATTTGCCCTTTGCAAGTTACTTAACTCCCATCTGTCAGTTTTTAATGCCTTGAACAATCCAGAATTGGATTCTCCAATGTTGTTTGATTCTCCTAGGTTGAGAACCCCTGAAGTATTTCTTGACCAGTCAACAACCCAGGGACAACAGCTGCAATTCTCTATAACTTCATGGCAATCAATAACCAACGAGTTCTTGCAAAATTCCCCAGCTATTTCACGTGTTCCTTCTAATATTAAGCGCGTTACTAAAACATCCAGCATACTTTCTACTGATGATGATTTACCCAGAGATTATTCAGCCATAATTGTTCCATCACCGTCTAATATAAATGCTATGGTGTTTGATACCGATGAAGAAGGTGATAGTGAATATGAAATTCCCCAGCCTTCATTTATCATGCCCAAGATGTCATTTTCTGCCAACTCAGAGCCAGCTTTCAACAAATACCAAGTTGCAATTTTGTCTTTCTCACATAAACCTGAGATAGATCAATTAATTGGTTCACTACGTGATGAATTAAGCAAACAGGTTAATATAATCCATATAAATTTACAAGGGGAATGGAGAAATACCAAATCAATTATGCAGACTTCCAATTTGATCTTTATCATCAATGATGGGTCTTCAAGTATTGTGAAATACTTGAATACAATAATGGATAAACCAGTAGAAGAGGATTCACAGAAAGTCACCATTGTTAATTTGATCACTGTCAATTACTTTATCAACTTGTTTGAATTGATCAATTCATTACGTCCTTATCAAATTTGGAAGGCAGCTTCGTTAAAGCAAGATAACTTAATTGATAGATTTACATCATTTATCGAATTGGAATGTGATGCAGAAGATAATTCAAAACAAATTGTTCCCAAAGCCATGTATTATTCAAGTTTGATATCTACCCAAAGGCAAGATTATAAAGTTATTGAAAAACAGTTCAAGTTTGATTTGCAATCTTCAACCACGTATAATGATCCATTTAAATTATCTAAAAGTTTTGTTAAACTTGATCTTTTATTTTCTAATTTCAAAAAGTTGTTTGTTCTGAATGGCGGAGATAATAATATGTGGTTAATTTATAGTTTTACAATGGGAATTGGATTTGGAATCGGTATGGCAACAGGAACAATGTCCTTACTTGGATATTATGTGTATGATGAACTTTGTGGAGGAGGAAAGATTGAAACTGAAGCCATTTTACAGGAAGCTCCGAAAGTTGAATTTGATTCAGGATCAACTATGGATAAATTGCTCGAGGGCTTATCTAATGCGAGAATTGTTTTAGAAGTTAAAGAATTTTGTACGAATTATGTTTTGGGTTTTAGTTCTACGGTATTTGTTTGTATTCAAGGTGGGCTAGAGAAAGTTATTAGTCTTTTTTTAAGTGTATAGGTTTGAATATATTGTATGAAGAATAGTTGCAGTGGGTAGCTTTATTTAGCTTCAACATTACCCCTAAACGTCATTTGGATAATTTACTAGTAATCCTTTACCAACTGTGAATGCATGCCACTGTAGAACAACACTCGTAAAATACACAAAGAAGCAGATCCATGTTAGTTCATATTAAACATATTGAAATTATAATTCGTACTATTCCTTCCTTATGTCATTTAAAGCAGGTATCACCAAAGTTGGGGGGAGTAGGGGTTTATATGCTTGCAGCTGTCAATGTAAACAAGTGGTATTTAAGCGCAATCAAGGAATACACACTCCATGTGACATATTAAAGCAGTTTCTGGCAAAAATTGCGGGAATAAATTCAATGCTGAGGGCTTAAACGAACATCAGTAGTAAATGCCAAGGCAAATATAGTGACGGCTGTAAGCTTGACAACAGTAAATGTTGAGAAAGTATTCTGGATGCACATGCAAAAGCGGGGGAGTTGTATTATGAGCCATCTCAACCATCACCCAATATGATGTTTAATAACCAAAAGCGGGTATTTACACTCGAAACAGCAATCAGTTAATATCTAACCTTACAACATAAGCTTTTAAGTTTCACCATTGACATAGCATCAATATCAGTTGTAGTGGTCACCACCCAGTTTATTATACATTAAATACTTTGTTGCCGGATGCTTGTGAAAGTTATACTCCCATTCCCCGATGTATTATTTCTTAATCCCGCAAGAATCTTACGACAAATCTATACTTTACGATACGCGGTCCTGTGCAACGCACTAATTACATTTCTTTTTTTTTTTGTCCTGTGCGTTGGATTTTGAATGGTTTTTAAAGTTAGTTCCGTGGTTCTTGTCTAGGTCCAAGTAAAATTATAATCACATCGGTTTCTTGATCACCGATTTAGGTTTTCCATATAAAAGCAGATGTTTCCTTTTATTAAAAAAAATGCTTGTACAATCAAAACGATAGTATCACACCACCAAATAAGCCACGCTGGTATCCCCTTATAGATACAAAACAATACGACTACAATTTAGAATATTTGAATCAATCTTTTAGTTAACTATGAATATACTTTGGTTCATAGTAATAGTTTGGCGATACCTATTACAAGCAGATATAACCATCGCCAACCCGCATTATGATGATTTTTACACTCTACCAGAAGGGTTTGATGATGCAAAACCAGGTGACATTTTGAAATATAGAGAAGTACCCCCAAAACTCGCCAGTCTTTTCTTTCCAGTTGAAGTTAAGAAAGTATGGCAATTAGTTATCTGTTCTCAAGACACGTTTGGAAACCCAACTGCATTTCTATCAACAATAATTGAACCATATAATGCCGATCCATCGAAAGTTGTCTCATATCAAACGTTTGAAGATTCAGCCAATTTAACATGTTCACCTTCCTTTGGTATTAGATATGGTGCACCTCCAGATACATTCACCACACAAATGGAAATGACATTTATTGTTCTTGCACTTAAGCATGGTTATTTTGTTAATAGTCCAGATTATGAAGGATTCAACTCGGCATTTATGGTTGGGCGCAGATCGGGACAAGCCACTCTTGATTCAATAAGGGCGACTTTAAGGTCTGAAAATATCACTGGAATTAAACCCGATGCTAAGGTTGCACTCTGGGGTTATTCTGCAGGAGCAGTTGTAACAGCATGGGCCTCGGTTCTTCAACCAAGTTATGCCCCGGATTTGAAACCTCACTTGGTTGGTGCAGCAATTGGAGGATTTGCTCCTGATTTTATAAGCATGGCAAAGACTTTAGATGGAACGTTTTTATCAGGTTTAATCCCTGCTGCATTGTATGGAATAGCCAACGAGTACCCCGTGGTCCATGACATAATAGACCAACACGCTAATCCTAAATTAATGTCAGAGTTACGTCTTGGAAATACTCTTTGTGCTACTCCAGCAGCTCTCTATTATATGGCAGGAAATTTCATGAAAGGAAACGAACCATTTTTCCTCCAGGGAGATGCATTCTTGGAACATGAAGTCATAAAAGAAATCCTTGAAGACAATTCAATCAATAGATTTCAAACAATTCCCGAGATTCCAATGTTTTTATATAATGGACAGTTGGATCAAGTAATTCCTATTGAGGATGTTCGAGGAATTTACTCTTATTGGTGTGATAAGGGAATTGAATCATTGGAATATGCTGAGGATATGTTGAATGGACATTTTTCAGGAATATTATTTAGTGCACCTGCAGCTTGGACTTGGTTAGAAAATAGATTCCAAGGCAAGGAACCAGTAAAAGGATGTTCTAGAACTGTTAGATATTTTAATTTGTTTTATCCTAATTCCAGTTATGCAACCAAATCATATATGGGAGGTCTAGTCGATTTATTAATGCAAAACAAGATAGGTCCTGATTTCAATAATTCCTCTCCAAGATTGACTGATATTCTTAAAAATAAACTTTCTGGTTATATTTATAATTTATAGAATGAATAAATGTTAAAATGATAGTATTTGATAATGGAAAGCTAGCTGAGGATGTTCATAGATGTAACCACCAATCTTATCCTGCTGGTTTCATCAACGAGTTATCACGATTGTTCCCCTCCACAGGTATTATCAGGATTTAGTTGTCATCTCTAAAATGTTGATAGATGTATCAAACTGAGTATGTGTCACATTGCATAGGTTATTATCTAACAACAGTTAATTGCTGCCGTTTCAAAGTTTAAATAACATTGTGTATATGCAGGAGCAGCCGCATCCCATTTAATGAATTTGGAAAAACAAAATAAAAATCATAACTATACCTACAACACAAAATTAGATTTTAACCAAAGGAATCATATCTAGGCTAAAACACTATAGAAGGTCAACGATGTTGCATAATCTGCTTAACTATTCTTAGGGTGGAATATTTCAAATAGTGAATACTGAAACATTATATATTTATGATAGTTTGGGAGAACGTATTCAAAATCAACGACTACCAATCTAGGTTCAAAGTTCCAAAATATTTACCTTTTAAGAAAATTTGAGCTACGAGAAAGCCTTTGTTACTGTTTAATTAAATCATTTGTTTTCCTAAAAAGATTACATGTACCACTATAACAGGGTGGTATCTAGTTGATGAATTTGCACTTGCTATATTAGTTTATCCCTGAGAAGTTTCAACTCAGTTTCATTCATTCTAATAAGCTAATGTATAGCTCAACAATGAAGTATACCTTTTAAGTTTATTCAAAAACCCACTTCATGAAATTACTTGTTTTACAAAAGGAAGGATACAACACATCTGTAAGGGCCAAGACATACCAATGACTCAATTGTTATTGAATCTGTATGAGAGACATTGGACGTATATGGTTTGTGTGAAATGATGACTCAACTATAAGTTTAAACTATTTCATCAGAAATTGTCCGATATTGAAAATTTTGCCACTTTATGATGTCAAGAAGTTGAAGTTGCCTAACCTATTGCTTGCACATACCAGGAATAAGGTATTGTTAATGACCGTAATGATCCTGAATTCCAAAAAAAATAGAAATAATATCGAAACAATCTAGAAGCTTCTGAGAAATATCATCTACGGAGTTACTAGAAAATAAAATCTTGCATATTGTCAATATTTAAAGAGCATTGCATTATTGAGGCAATTGTAGATTTTAGATCAAACCATCAAACCGAGGTAATTACCACTTTGAAAATGTCACTTTATAATTTTAAACTGTGAAAATCATGTGCTAATTCCAAATCATAGGAATGAAGACAACCTTTCATCCCCCAAATAATCATCTCATCCTTTTGTTTAATTCCACAATCAAATGGATGTATATATTGATCATTGATATAACTACATAATTTGGATGTATTTTGTGTAAGGTATGATGTAAATAGACAAGATTTGTCATATACCTATTCATTGAAGTAAGCCAAAGTCGGAGCTTGTAAATTAAAAGGGAGTCATGATCATGAATCCGGGTAATAAAAGTTTTGAACACTTTTAGCAACACACTTACTGCAAAAAAACCACATAATTAGAATTAAACTTTTCGTTTATATGTAAAAAGGCGAGGCGTTTTCAAAGTTAATAAACGAACCACGACGAAAAATAAAATGTATTTCGCATCCAGTCAAATGTTTACAGAAGATAATTCCAACGTTGAATATCTTAAGTTATACCGTCTATGGCAGTTCTAGAAAAAATTAGTAAAATAATGAATTTGAATGCTACAGTTGAGACTGAAATCGAATACTACCACAGTAAACAAATTGACCCTTCAAATTAAGTTCTTCTGACTATGGTTATTTATCAAATTTTAAGTTACAAAGGTTAGTGCTGTAGGTTAGAAGCGGGTGAATGTAGAAGTAGAGTAAGGGCTTCTATTTTGTTTTAATTGTAACGGTTAGAGAGGACTAGTCATGAACTTATTTTGTACAACCTGAATTATGTATATATAATAATATTTCCACAAATACCTTAATTCTAAAATTTGTTATTCATACAAAATGTGGATAATTTGGTTATTAATATTTATTCGAACCATACTAGCAGAGATTATTAGTAATGAAAAGGTAGTTACATCACCGAAAAGCTTCAGTGCTTCTGGTCTAACCATAACTGAGACCGGAAACTACAAACTTTTGGAACTAAACACTATTGCAATTTCAGTAGACTTTGAGAACAAAGGGAACTTGCTAGCTAGCGGGCAAAGTCTAAAGAAAGTAACATTCACTAAAGGATTATTTTCTGGAACTTTTAAGAACAGTGGTTCTATGATTTTTCAAATGCAAAGTGACACTGCAGCAAGTGAATTTAACATAAATATGTATAATTTTGAGAATACCGGGTCAATAGTGATTGATGGAAAAGCTCAGTCTGGAAAAACAAGCACAACTATCCTGGTCACTTTGAAGTGGAGAAACCGGGGTACAATCGTTGTGAGAAGCACGTCACCAATACAAGCATCCTATGTACAGTTTTGTGGAGCTACTATATCACCCATACCTACCATAAATACCGGAATAATAAGGTTATACAATCAACATTATATACAAACAATGGCAATTCCGGGAAATGGGTGCATATTCCTTGAAGAAGGTTCTTTAGTAGTGCTTAATACTCTTTTCAAGGCGCCACATCAAAAGTTTATCATGGGAGATGGTGCCACGATCCAAATTACCAGTTTGTTTCCTCAAACGTATCAGGTGAGAAAATTCCAGCAAGGTAATAAAATAAGTCTTGGTGGCAAGCTTAGCAATGATGGAGTGTCTTATGATTCCCAAACTGGTCGCTTGACATTGAAAACACTGATTTTTACCTATTATTTTATAATTGGCAGAGGCTACAATCCAAGTTTATTTTTGATTCTCCCTGATGGCCAGTCTTTAACCTACCAAGATGTTGCTCCTATTGATCCATATCAAGAAGAAGAATGTAAGGTATTTCCATTTGATAACGACTATGTCGCAGGTGTAGATGATAAAGATCCCATATCAACCACTTATACTAAAACATATGAATATCCTCATACAACATTCAGTGCAATTGTCTCTGTATTCACTGATATCAATCTGATCTGGTTAACCCAGACAAATATATTTCAACATTATACTACAACATATAACTAACAAGAGTCAACAGTTACAGCAGAAGTGATAGTGAGCACAGACTCTCAAAGTCAATGGTATACTTCAACATATACTTTTCTGGATGAAGAACTTACCACTACAGAGTATCTTGAAACTACTGATGAAGAGTTGAATAGTTTGGAGATAAGCACGTATGTTGATCTGGAATTTCTTTCTTTGGAGAGTTTAACAAGTAATAGTATTGAAGATGAAATCAAGGAATCGAGTGGATTGACTGAAGGAGATTACTCCTCCACTATGGATAATATGAGTGAACTGATTCCCAAGGTTAATACACCCTCTGAACTTGTATCTATGACAGATGAGGGAGACTTACAATCATCTGATGAGATTATATCTGCACAACCAACAGACAGCGAACTCCCTTTAACTTCAGAAATATTAGATTTCTTGTCATCATCTGATTTTGAATCGTTCATTATAATTGAGAGTATAGAATCTTATGGTAGTGACAGACTAATTTCAGGAGATTCCAATGATACAACAGGTGGTTCTGAACCGTCCACTGATGATGTGGAAATGTTCGAATCTTTGTCGGACAATAGTGACTCTAGTGAAGAGTCGGAAGAACCAATTCAGGATTCTACCAGTGTGCAGGTACTGCATGAGGAATCAACAAACACTGAAGATTATATTGAACAATCAACAGAATCCAACAGTAATAGTATTACTTTCGATCAGATTGTTTTGGATACTACTGGTTTTTCTGAATCAAGCTTTAGTTTATTAGACGAATCAACAGCAACAGAATCACCTTCAGTTGAAGATAGTTTTGTTTATACCAACACAAAAGAAAGTCAAGGTTCTCATAGTTTTGAAATAACTGAAGAGAGTATAAATAGTGAATACATTCACATAATAGATTCTCAATCTTTGGAATCATTGGATACTACTAGTATGGAAGAAATAATCATTGAAGATACTAATTTGATTGGGTCGACTAGTCAGTCCGATGATCCATTTGCAGAGACGTCAATTTCTGAGGTGGTTATATATTCAAGTGACAGAAGCTATGAAGAGATTCAACTATCATCTGACGAGACTATCGTTATTGAATTGACTGAATCTGAATCTGAGGAAAATATACACGATTCAATATCTTATGAAAGCATAGCATTGGAGACAAGTATTGACACTAGCAACCATGAATATTTTGAAACCACCAAACAAAGTCTGGAAACTATTGATCATTCACCTGAGACAACTAATTCGGAAACTTTTACTTTAGTTGAAAATACGAAACTTTTTGAATCAACAGATATGGTCTCCCTGGATGAGTTCACTACTCAAAATGAGAGTATAAGCCAATTGTTTTCATCAGAAACCCATGAGATAACAGCTACAAGTGATGATGTCAGCGAAGATGTCTTGACAGAACAAACTATAACACCAGCTTTACCAAGTACTTCAAGTAATCAAGAATATCAAACAGAGAATATGGAAACACCCCAGGAAGGTATGCTGTATTTATCTACCATAAACATTGACTACCAAGAATCTCAATCAACAGAGAAAGAAATATTACCTGGTGAATCTATTACAAGAACAGAACATATATTTTTTTCAATAGATTCCACAGAAGATACTGAGTTTGGTTTATCTTCGGGTCAGGTGGTCCCAATTGAATTAACATTGAGTGTTGAAACAAAAGGAATTTTAGAATATACCACTGGGAAATATTCTACTGAAGAAACAGAACAAGAATACTACAAACTGGAGGAAATTCTTTCAATTGATGAAATATCCACTGAAGATTTTAAATCAACTGACGATTCAGAAGGTTTAGATTTGGAAACAAGTTCAAATGTTGTTCCGGCAGAATCGATAAATATTGAAACAGAGAGTTTGGGGAAATCAATAGTTATTTCATCAGAGATATCACTAGAATTAATAGAAAGCGAGATTTTGACGTTTGAATCAACAAGTGACATCTACAAAGAAGTCACATCCATATCCGATTCACTAGATATAAGAATTTCTAGTGATTTTAATTTTGAAACAATACCACATAATGAACCAACCAGTATGTCTACCGAGGAAGATTATCAACCTATATCCCTGGACATAATTTCAGAACCATACGCTTTTACATCCTTGTCTGATGCTACAATATTGATAACCGAGGAGCTACCACACTCATCCAGTATAGGAACTGGTGAATACATTTCTCATTACAGTGAGGAGATTGAATCTCTTGCTATATCTGAGGAAGTTAACACAAACGAAACGATAGATCGCGAACATTTGTCATTACCCTCTTCTGATGAAGGTTGGGTTGATTCAACACAAGAATCCTATCCTGATAACTACACTACTGAATCAGAATCTTCTAACATTGATCCAAAAATTCAGTCAATAAGTAGTAAGGATGAATACCAAGTTGTTACCTCTGTAGTTGATGCTGCGTCTACAGAATTAGATCCAGAACAATCAGAAGATAAGTTCCAACTCGATTCAACAGCAGAAGGGGGTATTGAGTTCATATCAGAAGAATCCTTTGACAAAGAATTTACAGATGATTCTACTATACCAATTGTTACACCTTTAAGTGAGAGTATTGTTCTATTGGAATCATCTATTGTGACTGTTGCAACTGTCGAGTCTATAATTCCTGAAAGTTTCCCCAGCGAATTGGAAAGTATTGAATATATACCAAAATCAACTATATCTGAGGAACCATTTCCCGAACTTTCAAGTAGTGATACGGGTGGATCGGACAAATATCTAACTAAGGAAACTCAATCTAGACAAGCCACAGAAAGTACCGCAGAAATTTTCAAATCTGAAACAGAAAAACCTGTACCAATACATATCAGTTCTAATGATAGTGGAGAAGAGGGCATATTAACAAACGAGGTTATATCCGAGGAATCTACCTATGATGTGATTGTTGATGCTTCTAAGTGGTTAACTATGGATGAAAACACGACCTCGATGGAACAATGGTACGAACCAGGTACTGAAGAGACATATCCTTCACAATCCATTACTGATGGAGATATAGGGCCCTCCACTGAACAACTCTTTCCATGGGAATCAATTAGTGAACAAGAGTCTTTATCAACTAAACAGGTTCTACCTGCAGAATCTAGTGTAATTGAACAGATTGAATTTTTAGAGACTAGCTCGGGAGAGATGACTGGTGAAATACCTAGTGCAGATGTTACGATTTCACTTTCTCCAACTGAAGAAGAAATTCAAGTTAGATCTACCATAGACATGAATGTTGGAAGTGTGACACCATTAACCTCAGAGACCTTACGTGGTGGACCATCGACTGCTATCAATGAACAAGGTTTTGAATTCAGTAGCAAAGTTATTCATCCACCAGAATCTTCATACATTGGTGAAGGTGTACACTCGGAAACAGAAGATATAGTATTCTTAGAGTCAAGTGTTGATGTACAGGTAGAACCTATAACCACGGATGAATTAATATCACGAGAGTATTCTGGTTCAGAGGAAAGTCTGTCATTTAGAACTGAAGAAATTGATTCTGGACCCAACTCAACTGATAGAGAAATGGTTATCGAGCCAACCAGAGTGTCTGTTGTTTCCGATGAATCTACCAATGATGGTGAGAGTCTTGGTTCTAGAACAGAGGAAATTGATACTCTGGTATCGACAGACCGTGGTGCAGATACTATACATTCTCAAAGTAAGGAGGTTATTTCGGAATGGTCTACGGATGTACAAGACAGTGTAGTCAATACTGGCACATATGATCATCTCTCATCGGCAGAACCATTTGGGCTGTCTGATCTTTTGGAAAGTCAAAGTGTACTAACTATAACGCCTAACTCTCAAGGAGAAATATTGGAATCTATTGGTCCATACACCAACCCAGAGAAACCCACCAGCACAGAAATACATCCTAATGAATATTCAAGTGATGAAGGTGGATATAAATTTGAGTCCACAGACGTGGTGGCTGGACAATCTACTGAACAAGGTGAACAATTGTTGCAATCTAGTACATATATGACACTTTTACCAGAATATACTGATGAACCGGGAGGATTGCATTCTAATGTAAAGTCCACACATGCAACTGCCAGCGAAATAGAACCAGTGTCTGGAACTGAATTTTTGGTTGGTGAATCCACAAACTATAGTGGACAAACGTGGTTTACACCAGTTGAATTGACTATATCGAATACGGAAAAACCAGGAAGTCGGGATATTTCAACCCAGGAGCCCGTGCCAGGAAATATTCCATCTACTAGTGATACTAGATTCAATAAGGAACTGTTGGTTTCTCCAGCAAGTGACAAGCTACTATCCCAGGAATCATTTCTAACCAGTGATTACGGATTAGTTTCTGATTCCACTGACATAGTAGGCACAGCTTCGATATCTCTGAGAGATATTACTAACTCCGGAAAAGGTTCTACTGATTATAAGGTCTCTTTTACCAACACCGATGTTCCAGCCACAGACAGCACAGGCAGTGTGAATCTCCATTCAGCGACCACTGTAATCAAACAAGGTGAATCTACACATAGCGAGAATCTCTATTCTGACTCATCTAAAACTATTGTTAAACCAACAAATGATCTAAGTACTTCCTGCAAGTCTTGTGGTGAGAATACCGCCTCACTATCCACCATCTTTCATTCTGATTCTGTGGAACTTATTATACCAACGAAATCTCAAAGTGATCAGTCTGAAATATTTTCCACTTTCTATAGCAAGTACACTACAGAATATACCAATGAAATGGGGCAAAAAACTACAGCAGAAGTTGTGATCAGCTCCAATTCCAAGGGTAACTGGTTCAAGACTACACGAGAATTAGTCTCCACGAAAGTCTATTCAACTTCCACCAATACAAGAGGAGAGGTTAGCATTAATGAAGTGATTGTTTCCACTGACTCCAAAGGCAACAAGCACACCCACACAACTAATATTCCTGTGTCTATTATTTCTAGATATGATAATGACAGTATAAAGGATAGCGAAGGCGTTAAAACTATACCACCAGACGGAAGGCCAATGTTGTCTTTGCAGAGCAAATCCACCACTGCATTCACTGGTGAAGATGAGAACATTGATATCATAGACACTGTTGAAACTATTGATCGCAAAAGTCGTGATCAATCTACATCATCACAGAACTCTGCGGGGTATGTATTGATAGATTATGCTGATTCTTCTAGGATTCAGAAAGTAAAGACTTCTATTTACTTACTTTGTGGGTTGGCTTGTTTTGTGCTTGTATTTTAATGTTTATACAAGTTTTCTAGATGCTGTTTACTTATTTCATATATGTTATTTAAATTAATAATGAATGTAATTCGTTCCATATATAACAGGGGCGAAAAGAATTAGTTGCGATTTACATAGTAAAACATTATTTTTTGAAATTCGTTGCTACAGCTAAACTGTTAGTTGTGTTTTTCACGCACGATTAGTTGTGATTTGAGAGATTTCAAACTGCAACGGTAATATACAGAGCATAACAGATATTCATCCGGTAGATGAGAGGATGAGAGCTATTATTGCATTGATTAAACTAGCAGACTTGATTGGCAATATTTGTTAAAATGAGAATAGGATAAGTGATGGATCAATCAGATGAGCAGGCCCACTTAGGAATATTTTTTAAATTGACAGTACAATATGAGGGAGAGAGATTAGACAATGGGCAGCTGCAGGTCGCTTAGGTGGTTTGAAGCATCGCAAGTAACCATGCGAGTGGTTCTGCATCGTCTAGAGAGTAAATAGATGAGAGAACCAAAGATCAGTAAATCATTAGTAACCAAGATAATGTTTCTGCGTCATCTAAAATGTCAATAGACAAGACAAGGATAGATCAGTACATCACTAGTGGACAACAGGGCGGCTACATCGTGCAATGGATGTCAATGGACAACGCAACTGCTGATACATACATCATTGTTGGCCGAGAGTGGATGACCGTCTGGTATATAATGTAAATAGACCAGAAAGTCATAGACTAGAACATCACTAGTGGTGTAAGCAGTGTGACGGTATTGTATATGATGTAAATAGACATGACAAGCGCAGTTCATTACATCACTTAAACAGTATATAGAGGTTCATGATGCAATGGATGTAGATAGACATGACAATCATAGATCAGTACATGACAATGGTTTAGGAAGTTATGCAATTGGGGATGATTTACGACAAATGTAGATTGGCGAGCTATACCAGAGCACTATCTATATGTGAGCAGTAGTCGTAGACATTGTATGGAGATTGATATATGTAGAACAGATTGGATGAAACATGGCAGACAAGAATAATAGATAAGGAAAAGTGGAGGAGATGACAACACCAATGCCAGAGCAACCAGCCGCAGAGGCCGAAGGGGAAGACCGGCGATACTAGATCACTGAAATAGTGGACATGGGCAAAAATTGAGGATAAAGATTGCTAAGGAATGTGAGATGGTGTTTCTTTAGATGTAATACAAGCTGATCAAGGGAGTAACAGCGATGACTTGACATGGTAGTTGATTGAGGAGAGAGCACATTCGATAATGTCTAGCAACCCATGCAACATGAATGTGTAAGACGGATGTACAGGCTATCAGGTAGTATTTTGTAGGTTGGGAAGTAGGCGTAGTAACAGTTAGTAACATATAGTATACTGGTACTTGTGCTAAAATTGGGAAGGGAAAATATCAGTATATATTTGCTAGCAATGTTACTAAGTTTTACAGAAAAATAGGTATGATAATATATATATTAGATATAATTTGTAGGAAAGTGAGAATAAACATAGGAGATATTGTGTGCAGGAGAATGTTGGTAGCGCGGTTACTATTATATGCAGGACACGAAGGTCAGTCATGGAGACGGGAGTCAATGACAGGAAGATGGAGAGAGAACACTAGTTTCTAATGCTCATGGTGATGAGTGCATAGATGCAATATGTCAACAATACTAATCTAGGTTATTTCAGCAAAGTAAATGAGTGATAGTCGACTCATTTTTTATACTAGCTGTTAGCATATTTCGGAGAACCGAGCACCGGAAGTGGATGTTGTTAATGGACACATTAGCATTTGGGGTTGCAGACAAGTGGTAGTAGACACTGTTATGTTAGTAGTGTACAATGATTTGCGAAGCTGAGACCGGAAGTAGGACTGCTTCTAGAATATAATAAGTTCGTGCGCCGCAGGATACACGATAGTATAGTTAAGACAACGAG